ATTAATATGATTTTTGCTGGAGACTTTGCACAGTTACCACCTGCAGTTGACAACTGTCCATTATATTCTCATAAGATTGAACCAGTTATTCATACAACATATACATATAGTCCTTCACAGCAGGAGGCCGCTATTGGCAAGGCACTATGGCATCAGGTCACTACTGTAGTTATTCTGCGAGAGAACATGCATCAATAATCACAAAGTGAAGAAGACAAGAAGTTGCAAATAGCACCAGAGAATTTAAGATACAAGTCTTGTACTAAGGCAGACATTAAGCTGCTCCAGTCTAGAATAGCTGGGAGGGGTCCTGACAAACCCAAACTCTCTCAGACAAGATTCAGAAATGTGTCCATCATAATAAGCTTCAATGCATATCAGGATTGAATTAATGGACTTGGCTCTGCACAATTTGCTAGAGAGACTGGTCAGACACTTCAGACATTTTATTCTGTAGACAGCTGGAAGTCAGAAGACACTAGTAACAAGAAGAGAAAATCAAAGAAGAAGTCTGCTACAGTAGATCCTAAGCGATCATCAAATAAGATCAGTCTACACTTGCAGGAAAAACTCTGAAACTTGCCACACTATTGTACCAATCATCATCCAGGTAAATTATCCTTATGTATTGGGCTGCAATTTATGATTAAGAACAATGAAGCAACTGAATGTGGTGTCACCAATGGTGCTGAAGGCATTGTAGTTGGCTGAAAGTCACGACCACTTACTCAAGATAAAATGGCTCTTGATACTCTATTTGTAAAGTTGACTGCACCTCCATCTCCTATTCAATTAGATGGTTTACCTCTGGATGTTGTTCCTATTACACATCAAGTACAAGAAATTGACTGTGTAATGCCCAATGGTGTACGCCTGCATATAAGTCAAGATCAAGTGGCAGTAATTCCAAACTTTACAATGACAGACTTCAATTCTCAAGGCAGAACTTGTCCAGATAATGTATGTGATCTTCAGAACTGTCGGACACATCAGTCTATATATACCTGTCTATCATAAGGTTCAACATATGCAGGTACAATACTTGTGCAAGGATTTGATCCAGCAAAGCTTACTGGTGGCATAACTAGCTACTTAAGACAAGAATTTTGAGACTTGAAACTGTTAGATGAAATAACTAGGCTGCAGTACAGTAAGAAGTTGCCTGCATCTATTGATGGTCCTACTCATGGTGTAGTTATACATGCATATTGCACATGGAAAGGCCAAGATTATATTCCCAAGACAGTACATCCAGCCATTAGATGGACAAAAGAGGTACCATATATAATTGAAAAGCCACTGGAAATTGCACCTTTTAAACTTTTGGAGAAACCAAAGAAAGCATCCACTACAGAAGCTGCAGAAACTAAGACACCAACTTGAGCAGAACATCAAGCTCTAGAGTTAGCCCGCTATGTAGCAGCTGCAGGAACAAAAAGCCTTGTTACTCTGAGTAATGATCCTGGTGCAGCACGTGGTGCTAAGTGTAAGCATAGTGAAGATGCAGCAGACTCTAAGTCTAAGAAACAGAAGGTTACAAGTGCTACAATACCAGAAAACCTGGCTTCACCCCAAGGCTTTGTTTGGAATGCAGAAACATATAGTTGTGCCTATAACAGTCTCTTTTCAATCTTACATGCTGTGTATACAACTTCACCTGAATGGTGGATGTCCAATGTTCAGCAGCAGAATATTCACCTGCAGCTTTTTACACAAGTGTTTGATGATGTTAAACTTGGCAAATTGACAATGAAGAATGCACGAGACAGAATCAGACTCAGTTTGCACCAAGTTAACTCTGAGGCATTTTCAGTAATAGGTACAGAAGGAACTGATATCTATGCATTATGCCAGGAGATGTTGAATCACTCTGAAGATATTATGAGTTACAAACTTATATGTGATCATTGTGATACAGAATTTGAGAGTAATACAGATGGACAAGTGATTTGGGACTGTAGCAAAGCAGTATGAAAAGATAGTCCATTCAAACTTGGGTCCTACAAGAATAAATCCAGTACAGACTGGCTGGATGCAATTTTTGCCAGATGCTCTGAGCATGTTTGTCCTAAGTGTAATAGTGCATTGCTTTATAATCTGGAATATGAGTCATTGCCAAATTTTCAGTGTTTCATCTCCAACAGTCTGCAGATTAACTGGGAATCTGAGTTAGAATTGCAAGATCAGAAGTATAGACTTTGTGGTATAGTTTATTATGGTGGGTTCCAATTTACTGCACGTATCATTACAAAAACTGGAAGTGTCTGATTTAATGATGGGGTTACAACTGGGCAAATTTGTATACTAGAGGGACAAATAGAGAGTATGAATTCAACAGCACTGACAAAGTGTAGATCAAAAATTAGTTCTGTTGTAGTATATGTTAAAGCATGACTGTATTAGATTGTAATATAGCAAAATGTATATAAAATTATAAAAAAATGTACATTTGTAATACTTTTGAATGATGAGTGCAAAACAAAGACTAAACACATATATTAGAAGTATAGGTCTGATTAAAATCAGGAATTGTCCTTGCTGTGCGTTTCCATCGGCCCACTCCAAGCAAGTTTTATATACTACTAGTATATGCTGAGTAAGACGTGCCAGTAATAGCTGAGTAAACAAGTACCCTCACAGTGAGGGATGAGTCAGTACAAGTCTAGACTATAATTTTATAGTCTAGTATCATCCAGATAGAGTTGAGAGACATCCAGACTGGAGGTCTTAGAGTAGTACACGTAAAAGTACATCATAATCAAAGAAAAAGATAGGTACAACTGCATACCATTATAACACATGCCAGGCAGAACTTCCTCATCTGCTGTATTTCTCAAGGAACATTCTGGAGTTTCGGTTAGTTCGGAGTACTCCAGCATAGTACCATGATTCTGCTGTCCTGAACTTTGTGCTGCATACATGCTACATATGACAAGATGCAGGGCATAGTACTGTTTTCAACAAAGTTCCACTGCGGCCGATGCAGTGGTGCACCATAGAATTCTGGGCCACTATTTGATGGCTGAAAAACAGCAAGGCTTGCTGAAATGGCTTAATACTATCAGTGACCTGGATATGCCACCATTGGATGTCAGGAATCTTTTCAAGTGTCTAAAAGTTTTATAAATGTTTTCGAACCTAAAACATTGTAAAAGTTTCAAGATTAAATGGGGCCAAGTTAACTCCTAGTAAAGTAGGGATTGCAGGATGGTGGCATTATTTCATCAGCAGCCAGATCAGTACAAGGTCAGGGTTACTGGCTGTGGCATTCCCAGCTACAGCCCTCATGATAAGCCAGGCTAATTAGTCTGACAATCAGTTCATTTCACCCAGGTCGCACTTCAGCACATCTCTAAATTGTTAGACACATCTCAGAAAAATCTGAAAGAATAGTCTGCAGGTGTGTTATGTCCGAGATAAAAATCTACTAAGATGCCACACACAACATTCAGTAACCACAGCATGCAATAGGAACAGAATATTATGGCACCTCAGGTCTCAGGCCTGCAATTCATGACACACTACCAGTTCACATGAACAGTCTGGTGATGTCCGGTACTTCAGGTGTAGCATTGTGCATGTACACCATGATACTCACCTGCATAGTCTGAATGACATGGCTAAAGTCCCAAAGGCTCACCATGTGTTGTGGGACTGCATGTGTTGCATCCACTATCTTACACCCAGTTAATGATATCAGCCACAGCATTGACCATCCATCATGCCAGAGCATGAGGCTGTACCAAATTCTTTCATGTCAGCCCAACTGTGGCTGTATGCTCAGCCCACCATCAAGGTGTCGGCATATTGCAACCTCGGCCACCCATGAATGAAAGACCAAATTGTGTCGACTAGCACAATCTCTCAAGTTATCCTGTATTACCAGCTTTATTTGTCACTCAAACCTAGCACCTCAATTTGAACAGCATAAATCTGGGTCTCAAGAATTCTTTACAGGCTTTTTGTTCATATTTCATGCCCTCAGCCTCGATCGCTCTACTGACAGTGAAGTTGCTCATCCAGGGGCACTCTGAATAGACTCCACCCTGTAAAGATATCTAACACAGTGTTTATAAAGAATGAGATACTTTGCTGAACAAGCACAGTTGTGTCACTTTTCGCACAGTAAAACTGATATGGGAGAGCCAACATCTCCCAATTATTGTGTAAATTATGAAAACTGCTCACCAACAAGTTATAAATTCCATCCACAACACCCGTGTTGCAGCCTGGAGCCAAGCCCTACAGTTATGAGCCCAGTTAACAATCTAGAGCACAGCAAATAACTTAGCTATGCTCGGGCTAGTCAGATATTTCAGGCAACCCATGCCTATGGGCTCAGTCAAAGACCACTGCAGATTGCTATGCCTGTGGGCCCAGTCAAAGAACTCAGCAATGGTGTGCAATGGGCCTATGAGAAAAACCTCTAGGAGGCTATTGGCCTATTCCAGAATCTGCAGTATGAAATCTCGATTGGCCAAAATAGGCTTGTCCAGAATCTGGGCATGCATCACCAATCTGTTGGTCCAGATTCTGGTGGGTTCTTAGCTGTTCTTTGCTGAATGGTGTGCACCAATCTGACCCAGCAGACGTGCCCTGGTGGCTGATTGGACAGCATCATGCTGTGACTGATCTCAAAAGAGATTTAGACTCATTTTTAAATTGCCTGGTCTGAGCCACCTTGGATCAGCCAATCAACAGGTCACTCTTGTCCTGGAATAGGGTTGTATGCTCGAGACCTTATTGCGAGTACGCAGCGAGGGGGGAAGGCGTCCAGGGGATGTCTGATGGATCTAGAGCGGGACCAAGCACAGCTCAGTCTCATGCGATAGCAAACGAGTGACTGAGGTGCATCGTCCGAACGTCCACCAGTACTACCTACGTGATTATGTAAGTAACGTGGTGGCATAAATACCGTACTACTCTGCCCGTGTCGCAATGTATGTACTTCAACATGCCCACTCAGGGTGACAGGGAATAGAGTATATAAATGAAAATACTTAAGCCAAGCCCATCCCCGCTGAAAACTTCTCATGCTTCTCACGAGGAAGCCCCTTCGTCAAGACATCAGCAACCTGATTTCCGGTAGGAACGTACTCAGGTTTGATCTCGCCGGAGTCATACTTCTCACAGATGAAGTGGTAGCGGACGGCAATGTGCTTGGTGTGTTCATGGAAAGCAGCATTTTTGGATAGCGCGATGGTGGACTGATTGTCGATGAGCAATGGAGTAGGGCCCTTCTGAACCTGTCCAATCTCCGAGAGGAAAGCACGAAGCCAGACTGCTTCCTTTGTACCATGAGCTCCAGCCATATACTCAGCTTCAGTGCTGGACTGCGCTGTCGAGTGCTGCCTCTTTGAAGACCAGCTGACAGCACCTTCCGATATGAGGAAAACAAAACCTGTGACCAATCGACAGTCGTTGATGTTCACTGCCCAATCTGCATCCACGTATCCGAGAAGGGGTTCCTTCTCCTTGGTAGTGCCACAATAGACGAGCTTCTTGTCTGCTGTCCCACGCAGGTAGCGATAGACTCGCATAAGAGCAATCCAGTGCTCCTTGCCTGGTGTTGCAGCATGCTGGCTCAACGCGCCCATTGTGAATGCAAGGTCAGGGCGAGTCCCGATCATTGCATACATGAGAGAGCCAAGCACGCTCTGGTAAGGCTTCGGGTCGATCTCCGCCTCCGAGAGCTTGACGAGCTTCTGGTTCTGTGCCATAGGTGTGCTGACCGGGCAGCAATCGGCCATACCATGTTGTGCAAGACACTTCTCGACATACTGGTGTTGCGAGAGCTCGAGGACACGGCGAGGACGATCACGAGCGATTTCCATGCCAAGGAGCCACCGTGCTTCACCAAGGTCGGTCATCTCGAAGCGAGACTTGAGATCTTCCTTGAGGGTGGTGACAGCAGTGAGGTTGTCAGAAAGAATGAGCATGTCATCGACATAAATGGCGATAATGAGGAGAATACCGTCATCGTTCTTGTAGAACACGCTGTGGTCCGAGTGGCAGCGGGTGAACCCAAGCGCCTCGAACTCAGCACGGATCTTCTTGTACCACTCACGTCCAGCCTGCTTAAGACCATAGAGGGCCTTGTTCAGCTTCCAGACGAGGCTGTTGGACCTGCGGAAGCCAGAGGGAACCTTCATGTAGATCTCCTCATCAAGATCACCATTCAGGAATGCCGATTTGACATCCATCTGGTGGATCTCGAGGTCGAGCTTGGCAGCAAGAGCAAGTAGTGTTCGGACAGAAGCGAACTTTGCGACGGGTGCAAAGGTTTCATTGAAGTCGAGGCCCTCAACCTGTGTAAAGCCCTTGGCAACAAGTCAAGCCTTGTACTTCTCGATTTCACCGTCCAGTCCACGCTTGATCTTGAAGACCCACTTGCAGTCTATGACCTTGCGATTCCACGGGCGCTCCACTTCGTCGTAGAGCTCCGCTTTGACAAATGCGTGTAGCTCCTCTGCGCACGCAGCCTTTCAGCGTGCAGCATCGGGGCGTGACATCGCCTCCTCATAGGTCTGTGGTTCATCCCAGCTTGTGGCTTTGTGAGCATTCTCTGCATCGCCCACTTCCTCTGCGTTCTCTGAGTCTGCCGCTGCGGCATCAGCGCCCACTCCACCCACATCATCCTGGCCCTTCGGTTTCCGTGTGTAGGAGGACATGAAATAGCGGTCATCATCGGCCGCTACCGGTGCCGTGCGCATTCGACCTGAACGGCACAGTTCCGGAGCTGGGGGAGGAGGTGGTGGTGGCTGCGCGGCACGCGCGGCGTGACGCCGGCGCCTAATTTCGGGCAGTGGAACGTCGTCGTTGCTGTTCTCATCCGCGCTGTCATCGTCATCCTCGTCGTCGCTGTCATTTACATCCAGGAGTGCAGGTGCGTCCTCATCTTCATCTGGGACATCTTCGACAGTGGGCCTTGGTGGGCGCGGAGATGGCGGCAGCTGCGGCCGCACGTCGGGCGCCTCCTGCATAGGTGTGACATCAATTGTGATGTGACTGGGTGCAACTTCGGTGCCTTCATCGAAATACACGTCGCGGGATTTGACGATGCAGCCGGTCGCTCTGTGAACCAGACGGTAGGCCTTGCGATTTGCAGCAAACCCCAGGTGCGTGCACTCGAACATTTTCGAGTCGAGTTTCTGACGTTTTTCCTTCGGAACGTGGACATAGGCTTTGCAGCCGAAAACGCGGAGGTGCGCCATGCTCGGCTTGTTTCCGGTGTGGGCCTCGTGTGGTGTGAGGTTGTCAGGGAGAGTGCAGGTTGGAACAGAGTTAAGGATGTGTACTGCATGTAACACAGCATCACCCCAGTATGTGTTCGGCAGTCCAGCGTCATTGAGCATGCTCCTGGCCATCTCCTCGATGGTGCGGTTCATCCGCTCGGAAACGCCATTCTCCTGTGGAGTGTAGGCATTCGTCTTTTCGTGGTGGATGCCCTTCTCCTTTAGGTACGCTTCGAATTCCTTCGACTCGTACTCACCGCCGCCATCAGTCCGCAGGATATTGGCACGCTGCCCGGTCTCGACCTCAGCTCGTTCAACAAAAGCTTTGAAGTGTGAAAGCGCTTCATCCTTCATCTTCATGAGGTTGGCGACAAGGTGGTGCGTGTGTCCGTCGATGAACGTGATGAAATAGCGGTGGCCGGACCGCGTCTGAGTCTGCATGGGACCACAGACATCGGAGTAGGTGCGATGGAGAACGCAGGGATTCTCGACATCCGACTCCTTCGGGATTGGCTGGCGTGTCTGCTTGCCATGGAGACAGGGCTTGCAGGTGACGTTACTCACCTTTTCTCCGACGATCGACATGCCCTTGACCATTCCCTTTCGCACCATCTTCAGCACAGAGTCTACGGAGATGTGACCAAGGCAGCGATGCCAGACCTGAGCACTCGCACTGGATGTTGTCTCCTTAGCAACAAAAGCGTGGAGTGGGGGATCATCCATGGAGTCATCGTAAGAGGGAGGGAGATCTTCTGCCTGCAGGATGTAGGTACGCTCGGGGAGCTGCGTGGTCACGTCGAGAACATAGAGATTTCTCTGCATGTACCCAATGGCGCTAAGTCGGCCCTGGGCATTGCTGATGCGACACGTACCATCAGCGAACCTAACATCGTAGCTGTTGCGGTCAAACTGCGAGACAGAGAGCAGGTTGCCATTGAGATCTGGGACATGGAGAACTTCCTGCACAATGCCAGTGTTCGTTGAGCCATGGTCGACTGCTGCACGGAGTGTGACCTGACTGATACCAATGGCAAGGATAAAGCGCTCATCTCCGAGGTAAACACGCTTGGACGTAGCGAGGGCACGGTAGTTTACGAACCACTCGCGGTGAGATGTCATGTGGGAGGAAGCTCCTGAATCAACAATCCAGCGGTGGAGGTCATCACCACGTGCCAACTCCTCAGCAACGAAGAGGCGGAGCGTCTCGGAGTCAGCCTCACCGACACTGGCGATCTTCGCAGATTCCTTTGCATCAGCAGCCTTCTCAGCTTTCTTGTCGCCCTTCGCTGTGGCGCCCTCCACCTGGCTCGCCTTGAACTTCTGACACTCGTCCTTCGTGTGACCAGTGTAGCCACAGAAAGTGCACTTGCCCTTCTTCTTCTTGTCCTTGTCCTTCCCCTTCGACTTCGACTTGGTATCAGCATGCTTCGCAATGAGCGCAGATGCTGCGGTCGTCTCGCCACGTCGCTTCTCCTTGCTAAGGACCTCGTTGACGACCTTCTCGACTGTGAGTTTCGAGTCAGAGGCCATGAGGATAGTGCGAAGGGTTGAATAGGATGGAGGAAGGGAGATAGCCATAGCGATGGCGATGAGCGTGTCGTCTAGCGTTAGCCCAAGCGTCTCGAGGATGTGGGCCTTCTGCCGCATCGTGTTGAGCTGCGGCTCTAGCGGCGACTCGTCACTAAGTGTGCTGCGGAAAAGGTCGCTGATGAGATAGGCTAAGGTTTGCTTGCCTCTGCCCTCGTAACACCTGTTCAACTTCTCCCAAGCATCCTGTGCTGTCATCGAGTACATCACACCGTTGAGCGGCTCGTCCTTGAGCGTCAACGTGATCTGCGCGAGCGCCTCATTGTTCCAGACATCTCACTCCGCCTTCTTCATAGTATCTGCTGTTCCGGGGTCGGCTTCAGTGCCGTCGATGAGCGAATAGAGACCACGCAACCAGAGGATACTAGTCGTGCGGTACTTCCACATCTGGAAGTTTCTGCCATTGCTTTCGAGGAACGGGACATCGTAGAGGCACTTCGACTCAGCTTTGAAGCTGGCCTGAGATATCGGCGGGTATAGAGACATGGTTCGACAGGGGTGTGAATGAGAGAAGCAGGTTGTGGGAAAGGAAGGTGATGATGAGCGATTGAGTTCTCGATATTTCCGATGCTGTCAGATTCAGTTGGAGCCGGGGCTCATAACCTATTGCGAGTACGCGGCGAGGGGGGAAGGCGTCCAGGAGATGTCTGACGGATCTAGAGCGGGACCAAGCACAGCTCAGTCTCGTGCGATAGCAAACGAGTGACTGTATTAATACTAACCTAGAGCGGGACCAAGCACAGCTACTACAGGTCAGTAAGGAGATAAAAGGTAGGTAAAGAAAGTATTCACCTCAGTCTCGTGCGATAGCAAACGAGTGACTGAGGTGCATCGTCCGAACGTCCGCCAGTACTACCTACGTGATTACGTAAGTAATGTGGTGGCATAAATACCGTACTACTCTGCCCATGTCGCAATGTATGTACTTCAACAGACCTAGTGGCTTTGTGTCACGTGTACTTTTCCATTATTGTGACTTCGAAGTACTATGGCTCACAAGATCATCAGCATGCCCCCCAAGTCGGCAGTAATGCAAAAGTAACGCATATGTCACAGACAGTAATGTGTGCCATTTTGTTATTTCGCTCGGCAGCCTAATGCGCAAAGGTCATGACCGTGTCATGGTGAATGCCACCACCTGAAACCCTGCTGCCGACGCTCATGACAGACTTCAGCCAGTGACTAGCCAGTGTGAGTCTGCATTACATTGGAGGTCAAGAAGGGACTCCTCCAATACTGATCCATTTGAGCTCGTTCAACCTCAAGAATGATGTAGTACTATAAAACCATACATATGAGAGATAACTAAGTGGTAGAGGCAGGGGAAAGGGCTAATTGAGCAAGGTGCTGACTTGGGGGGCATGCCGACAATCTTGTGAGCCATAGTAACACATAAATGACAACTACATTAAGAGGCCACTTCCGTCCTATTCCAATTGATCCGACCCAGCCCAAACTGGGCCCGGTTCGCCCACACCGGGCACCCGAACAGGGCCTAATTTATCGAGGTAGCGGGCTTTGCCATGCTTATAAATTTATTATTATTTTTCGGCTGTACAGACTTATGAAGGGAAATCTATATTTGGAGCAATATCCACTGCCGCATTTTCTTCCTGATCTGTTACATCGCGTTCAGTCCGATTCTCTCAGATTAAATTCCGCGTTTCCCAACAGGGCTACGAGCCCCCGCATTTTCTAACAGGGCGAGTGTTTTCCAGGCTTAAGAAGATTGGGTGTCTCAAGGACGGGTAGATGACTGTACAGTATTAGTCGCATGTTGGACACATGAGATCGGCGATCAGAGTCGATCTGAGACGGTTTACGAGCATATATTACTGGATTCCTGGAATTGGACAGTATCTACGTCGCGATTCGCGAGTCAATTGGGTCTTATCAAGCTTAAGCTTGAATCCTGGACACTGCAAGTTCAGGCAGCGGCGCCTTGTAAGCGCGCTTAATTTCGTGGTACTCCCGGGCATCGTCTACCGCATCACGGGAGGCAGCCTGCCAGCAGGTCATTGTCATCGGACCCTGGTTACCCGCTGACACCGTATACAGCTGAGTCAAAAACAATAGACGCATTTCGACGAAACTTACTTCCGGTACGTTGCTTATGAATATGAATCATTTCGAAACAGCAAATTTGTGTGGTCATGCGTGAAATTCAAAGGGGGTAGGCCAATCAGCAGCTAGAATTTCCGTCCAGAGCAGTCTACTTAATGCACTCCGAACAGAAAATGATGAAACGAGTTTCGTCGAAATGCGTCTATCGTTTTCGACTTAGCTGAAAAGCGGGCACCCAACTCCGTAGTGTCGGTGGCTCCTCTTCCACTGCTAACCATGTCGCAATACAGCTACCTCTCCACGCCGGATCCCGAGTTCGCGGATGTCCTCGCGAAGCTTCCTCCACAACCTGCTCTGTCCGAGTCTGGCGATATATCGCTCATACGGGCTGGCTTCAAGGAAGCAGTGGGCGAACACGATAAGCATCTCCAGTCGCGCCTTCCTCTAGGTGAGTCTTACCGAAACGGCCTTGCTATAGGTTGTCATAGAACGACGTACTTTGATGGCAGCTTCCGCATACACTATGAAAGACCACAAGATCCCCGTCGAGGGTGGAGAGATTGTCGCGCGATGCGTGGTGCCGGCGCCTTCTGCAGACAAGTCTTTCCCTGTCCTTGTTTGGTTTCATGGTGGAGGTGCGCCGATCATCTTGCCGTAGGCTTTTCGCAGACTCAACATGGCGTTTCCGTACTCGTTAGGGTGGACGCTCGGCGACGTCCACACCGATGACTACCGCTTGAGGATGCTGTGCGTCGCGCTGCAGATATCTATCGTGAACGTCGACTACAGGTAGGTGTTGCGACCACGCCAAGTTCGCAATGAGTTACCCATTGCTAGGCTCGCTCCGGAACACGTCTACCCGACCGCCTGGGATGATTCGTACGCTGCGACCAAATGGGTGAGCACGATCCGCCCTCGTCCTCTTGTGATTTAACGCCAGTGCGCTTCATGCGCAGGTCGTGGAGCACACGTCCTTGCTCTCCGCAGCCCTCAATAAAGGCTTCATCGTCGCCGGGTGTTCCGCCGGAACGAACCTTGCAGCTCATATCGCCAACCGCGCTCGCGACGACCCGTTCTTTGCAAAGACACCTATTACTGGCCAGTACCTCCAGGTTCCGTGCTTGCTGGACCCCGAAGCGGATGCGGGGAAGTGCGTCCAGCCTGCTCTCGTTCCCTTACTTCTCATCGCCAAACTATTGCTTGTGGTAGATATAAATCTGAGCTCCTGTCCATGGAGCAGAACAAGGACGCGCCTTCCCTCACGCGCGCAGATATAGTTTACTTTGCTCGTGAGTTATGCATCTTCGTCGTTCTGCCCGGGGTAGGTGATTCATGAACCTGTCCCTCGTCAGACCAGCTGAAGATCCCACCGTCTGACCTTGGACTCTCCTTGCTCCTTCAGCCTTCTCACGCGGGCCTGCCTCCTCTGTACGCCCAGATCGCCGGCTTGGACCCTCTACGCGACGAGGGCCTCCTCTACGCTAAAGTGTTAGGCGAAGCCGGCGTGAAGACCAAGGTCGACGTGTGAGTGGGCACTCAAACTCAAACGTGGGCACTCCTGAGTGCTGACGTGGTGGCGCGGGCTCACACAGATACCCTGGGGTGCCGCACGGCTTCAACTTCTTTTATTCGCAGCTGCGGTTGTCTGCCAAGTTGGAGAGCGACGTCGATGCTGGGGTCGGGTGGTTGTTGAGCCTGGTTGCTTGAACGCAGAAGCTTCTCGACGCTCGGTGTCTGTAATGATGTGATCTGCACGGATCAAATTGTTTGCGAATGTATGTGTACTGAATATCATCGGAGAAGGTCTCGGGTTCGTATTGAGTGCAGGCCACGCGTTGGTTGATGAGTTGGCTGTCATGAGAGTATTCAGGGTGCATTCGAGATGAGTCTCTCGATGCTCCCCGCGCCGAGGATGCCCCTGCATGTGTACGCATCCGTGGAGAAGGGGCATTCTCAGATAAGGCGAATGTCAGCGCTGGCTTCTCAGTATATGAGAAGTGCATGGTGTCCAGCCTAGTCCAGCCCAGCTTCAAAAAGAACCAGCCTGAGACGAACTCAGGAAGTCTGCTTGACAGATCGGAGATCAATTGCCAACGGTAACGTGCAATCGATCGGCTAGGTTAGTAGAAAGATTGAGGATGGATAGAAACGTCTCAAACCTATGACTTAGGAAGTGCAGACTCAATTATAGCAGACACGTTTCCAACTCGTCCCGGAGGACTCTCCACCCTGTTGCATATTGAGTCTCTAGCGCAAGGACGAAACCAGTGGCCGTGAGATGTTTAACAAGGCCCCGTTGTTCTACAAAATAAATTAATATAAATTACAGAACATCCCATCCACCGATAGCATGAGAAAACACAGAAAACAGAGCACAGATCGTCCATTCAACACGACTTATGCGACATTGTTCCTCCTCCTTCGGTGCATCGGCTCAAGACTTGCCCAAGCCGATACACCCTCATCCCATTTCTCCTGCCAGCTCTGGAAGATAAACATCGAGAGCTGGCCCATTCCACAGTCATATAAATCCCGGATTGTGGACCTGTCGATCAACGGGAACCTTAATGACGTATGCCGGATAACACTAGCCTTGTCCTGAATTGTCGACCAGGAGCACTCAGCATCTCGTACATGGCAAATGAGGAGACACACGTACCTTTTCCGGCAAGTCATGCCACCCCCTGAGGCTTAACTGTACCCCAAAGTCCAGGACAGAACACACCCCCATGTACCGGATCTCCGGTTCCCCGTTGTATCGCTTGCAGGGGGATTCCACGAAAAGCTGGAACATGTCAGTGTCGAGCAGCCTGTACATTTTGGTCGACACAGTGTACAAGCACGCACGCTCCCCAGGGGACATGCTGCTGACGTTCACTGCGTTCTTGGACGATATGATAACAACTGGGAGCCTCATTGACGAAGACTCCACAGCGTCCTGACAAAGAGTCAGCGTGCACCGTAGCAGTGAGAGTTAACACGTACCACTTTGTAGATGAGAATATCTTCGTCGAAAGTTGCACAATGCTGGACATACCCCTTGTCCTGGACCTCTGCGAAGAACTCTTTTGCTTCACTTGTACATATCACTCTCCGAGGACTCCATGGGACCCTATTGAGGTAGAAGCTCCTCATCCTGGAATCGTACTCTGGATTACGAGGGTCGGCTGAGAGGGCATTGGTTCTGGACCGCGTGGTATACGGCGACCGCAGGGTGGTATGCCTTCGAGCAGTTGACTGCGATTTTGTTGTAGGCTGCAGTCCACATTCCAGTGAACACCGGGGGAGATAAGTCAGAAACCATAAGATGCGTACCTCTCTAGCCATGTCTTGAGAGTTTGTGGATAAGGTGTTGTAGAGAGCTAGGGTTACCGAAGAAGTGGAAGGTAGCGTCGGTGAAGATATAGAGAGCTAACGGCGGTGAAGCTGTAGAGAGCTGGTGGCGGTGAAGCTGTGGAGAGGTGGGTGTCGGTGAAAAGAGGTATATAGAGGAGTAGGGGATTCGCGTTTATATGCTCAGGCCACAGGGTGTGGCGGAAGAGATTCCGAAGTTTGTGCGGATGCACATCAGCGAGCGCACAATGGTTCCTTCGTTCGGAATCAGCATTAAGGCCAGACAATGGTAATTTCGGCCCAGGAACGGCGGTTTGACATTCACCCGGACCTTCAGATGAACCTCTTCCGTCAAGACAATGGAAAACCCAAGTTCCCTCAAGCAAATTCACGCAGGGGCGACAAAGTAAGACACAAGCTCGTAAGTATGGGCAACGTCGCTGCGTACTCATTAGACGGGATGCAGTCAAGTGCTATGAAGAGAGCATATTCCATTGTAAATTCTTCCGCAAAGAGAGCCATTGTCAGATTGCCTCCTAAGCTCGGTCAGCCAGTAGGCCTGTAACTGAAGGAAAACGATGATGGACGACCGGCAGAAATGCAACTCAGAATCAAGTACACAGCTTCCGGCACGCACAGAAGAGCCTTCCCTTCAGCAAGTTCACACCAGATATAGCCACGCAGAAGACACCCATGGACATTGGAGACAGAAGGGTCCTAACCAGAACACGTCCGAGTCTATCAAAGAGTCCGTTTCACCGGGAGAGATGATGCCTGTCTAGTCTGTCGTCCAACGCTTTAGAGTCGGACAACTCGCAGTTAACTATGGGCCAATCCATGCGCCAACAACGCTTTCTGTTTCAAACGAGGACACTGGCTCGCATGACGGGCTGATGAATCACTCTTTGACAATACATTACATTAGTACACTCCGGTGTTGCTTGTGATAGATTTACCTTGGACTGGAGATGCCCGTTCCACCTCTAGCTAACTCCTTCCGTCTCCCGGACCTCCTGTACGACTCGCGCCAGCGCCTCCTTCCTCATTGGGATCCACAGCGCCTCTCCCCCGCTCGCATCACCAGCGACGGACACGACAAGACCATGGTCACGGAACTCCGCAAGGAGAGCGCGCAATGCCGCGTCGCTCGTCGCGACAAATGCATCACGAGCTGCACCGAAAAGTCGCGCATAATCATATGCCGCCATCCCCTCCTCTGCGGCCGCCCCACCCGCATTCGCAGCCGCACTGGTGCTGGGCGTCGGAGGACCTGCAGTGTCAGCGCCGGCGGTCATGACTTCGAGTTGGCACATGCCAAGCAGCACAAAGAGCTTCCGCGCCTTCTGCGTCACGCTCGCAAGTACATGGCGAGCGGCACTTTCTGAGACGACCGCTCCCTTGCGTGTATTGCCACTTCCGGCTCCGGATAGCGCAGACGGTGCACCAACTGGGGCGGACGAGAGCGCGGCTGGGTCGCTATGCGCGAGTTCGGCATCGTACGGTGCGAGTGTCGTGAGGTCATGCCAGAGTACCGGACGCGGTGCAAAAAGCGATGAGAGTGTGTGTCGTGTCGGGAACGCGATGTGATCGAAAGACGCGGCGAAATGCACGCGGGATGCACGGGCGAGCTGCGTAAGGAGCGTGCGGGCGCGTGAGGAACGCAGTGCAGGCGCATCATGGGAGTGGAGGATTAGGTAGAGGTGTGGCGAAGGCGAGCCTGACTCGCTATGTGCTTCTTCCTCTTCTTCGACGTCGTCGTCGGTATCTCCCTCGGTATCTTCTCTGCCGGAGAATGCCTTGCATACCCTTCGCACGATGCCATCCGTCTTGCTTTCTGCTGAAGCAGCACCGCTGTCTTCTCCTTCCAGTTCTGTAGCATCCAGGACGCCTTCCAATGCGCCTACCAGATCCTTCAGCTGGAACCCCGGCGAGAACCCATTTACCACCACGACATGTGCGCCCTTGCCTGCTAGAAACTTAGCGAACGCGTTCATCACGCCGCGCTTTGAGCCAAGTCCATAGAATAACAAATCAAAGCCCTGACGCATCTCCCAGTAATATTGCTCGAACGTCCTAGGCGAAGGAGAAAATGATCTGAGTGCGTGCCATAGCCCGAGGTTCGGGTTCAGTTGTGCAGGGAGGAACTTCTTCGCGTGTACCTCTGGAAGCGCACGCAACCTTCGAGTAGCAGATTCGAGTCCTGCAGCATACTCTTCCGGCGAGAGTGGGGACAGCAGTGTAGAGAAGACTGAGGAGGACGTGCGTGCGGGAGCAGAGGCATGTTGGAAGTACGCGTCAAACGCGGTGTTCGAAGTCAGACCCGGCGTAGGCCACTGATCCTCTTCATTTGGGAGAGAAGAAGTAAAGAGCTGCGACGTGGAAGCAGAGGGGGCGAGGTCGTCCTCTTCCTCGTCGGGAGAGGAGTAAGTCGACATTGTGGTTGGGACTCGATGCTGGCAGTGAGCGCTGAGCGAAAAATCTTGATAAGATAAGATCGAGACCACTTAGGCCAATTGTCGGCGTAACCAGGATCATCATTATCATGGCATCATCAGAGTGCTACGTTGCGGCTACTCTCCAACTCATTCATTCAACTCGCACACATATTCAAGGAGCTTCCATTCGACGGCGCACTTCCGAAAGGTCCAAATATTGTTGCGCAAAAGTCATACTCTGTATGTGGACCACCATCAAATCGTACACAAGTCATACACTCATATAAAGTTGCGCTATGTACCTCCTCGACGGCCCGACGTTCGGTGTAAGCCAGATAGTTTCAGATGTTAACGCCAATGGTCCTCTGCTCCAGGTGTCCACACACACACGCGCGCGCGCACACACACACACACAGAGAGAGAGAGAGAGAGATTGTATTTATACTGCGAGCAGGCGAAATGCAGATGTTCAGAATACAATGTGGCTACGAGCCTCCGTGGTGGTATGTTAATCCCGCTGGTGCCCGTCTTACGCTGATTAGATGCGCTACCTCTCCCTGGAGTATTTTTTGGCTGCCTCCACGAATCCCATTAAGCTCAATGACATAAAAATCTGGGTCAGTCCGCGGTGTGATCTTCAGCCACATCTAACTCATGTTTCAAGAACCGGATTGTGACCGCGGCACAGCCTGATGCGGCCGCTTTCAAGAGGGCCGAAAGGAGGCCGCTAGTCACCATGATAGGAGAAGAGTTTCACAATCCAAGGTTTTCACCCTGTGGTATATAGGGCATAAGAAGCTCGTCAACTGCGAGCTTCTGCTGTATCCCTCGAAGCAGAACGCCCACCATGCCCTCTCTTGTGGTGAACAGCGAAGGTATTGAATTATTCTACTATGACACTGGCGTACCCGCCGTCTCTGAGCCTGGCAAGCCTTACAAGACGCTCTTCGTCGTGCACGGCATGGGATACAATGGCCGTACGTCTGATTCTCGTTTCCTATGACCCTTCCCTCAATCTCATCCTGACAGTGATCTACAAGAAGGTGCAAGCCCTCGGCCTCGCCTCGGGCATGCGCATCGTAGCCATAAATCGCCGCGGCTACTCAGGCTCGACTCCCCTCTCTCCTGCCGAGCTCGCCGTATCGGCCACGGGCGGCACGGAAGATGCGAAAGAAGCATTCATCACCGCGCGTGGTTTGGAGATGGCGAACTTCATCGACAGATTTGTCCAGCAGCAAAATATTCCCCCGATTACTGAGGATGGTAAGGGCGGCGGGGTGGGGCTGCTGGGGTGGTCTTCCGCTGTGCCCGTCGTTCTCTCTGCTGTCGCAAATTTAGACAAGCTGCCGACTGACGTTCAAGAGCGTTTGGCCCGTTATCTTCGTGCTCTGATCCTAGAAGGTCAGCCGGATGTCTCGTGCACATCAGAAGGGCTCACGAATACCGCAATAACCAGAGCCGCCGTCAATGGCTGTCGGCCAGCCGCCCGCCGAAGGCAGCTGGAGCGTCTACGTCGACCCGACGATCCCAGAGAAGGACAAGAACCAACTCCACACCCTCTGGGTCTCCGCGTACTTCACACACGGCGACCTTGCGGCGCGAGATCCCGCGCTCCTTTCGCACTGCGCGCCGTCGCTGCACCGCCGGCCGAGCATCTTCGGCTTCAGTGCTGACGACAAAGCGCAGATCGTTGAGGCAACCTTCATGGAAGGCCCACTGCTTTATCATGCACTGCCGCAGCAGCGCAATGTCTACCGAAAGGCGTGCTTTGACCGCGCTGTGCGCGCGAGACTGCCGCGTATGAAGGTGTGGGCGATGGTGGGTGATAGTACCGGATCGTTTGCTATCGGTGCGTGGTGGTCGATGCAAGACGATGACAAGGACAACGGGGGCGGTTTGATCCAATTCAAGGTAACACCAGGCGCAAATCATATGGTGAGCACACAGTGGGTCTGATACCAAGGATTGGATGACGATATTGGGGACGCGGTAGATCCAGTGGGACGACCCTGACAAGGCGGTGGCGAACTATCTGGAAGCTATGGCTTAGCTTGGAAGGTTTTTGGTCCAGTACTCTTGACTATTTGCAGTGTATAAAACTCGTCAGCGGGCTCTGGCCGGAGCTTGGATGTAAATTAGCGTCCAGTCTCAAAGTTTTATTGCCACTAAGACAGCGTCGTCCCTGCCAGTTTCGCTGAGACCGTCGTCCTGTTCAACGGTGCCGCTCGACTCAGTTCTCTCGGGGTTGTATTTACCTAGACATGCGCATCACCAAGGTCCAGTACGAGCATTTCTGATCTGTGCGTTCAGTCACGCAATTCGAGGTGAGCATTTACTGTCTCAGGGTCCATTAATCATCATACCCAATATTGCTAGCCATTCTGCGCACTGTCAGTGGCTCCGCACACCAATTGAATTTGAATCCAAACATTCCTGTTCATCTGTCAGTGTTGGAGCATACATGTTTCCCACACCTTGAAAGTTCGTACCCCAGATATATCCCGACAACATCAGCGCTGATCTTCCTGACCAATGTGTACCGGTAAACTGGCTTTCAACACTGCATAGTCTCAGTCAAAGACAGAGTGAACTGAAGTTAGAGTACCCTGCGCTTGTAGCTGCCCAGTTTCTCTCAGCGGGCGGCAGGCGGACCGCGGGGCGGGACACTGCGCGTGAAGCTCCGGAGAAAGACCGACGCCACCGACGCGTCTCGACGCGTTACGTCAGGCAGCGAAAGCGGTTGTCATGAGGCCACGAACCAGCGACAGGTCATGCCCCTTTTCCCTACCCGCCTTAAATAGCCCCTCCCGCCCATTATCTCGGTTTTTCTTCCACCACCACCTGTCTGCGCTCACTTGAATATCTGATCTATCTGCGCGCTGTCCCCTCGATATTATCATGACTGGTGGGTATGGGACGTCGAATAAGACAGTCGGTGTGGGCTGATACTGTGGTGCAGGCAAGAAACGCGCTGCGGAGGAAGAGTCTGCGGGCCCGACGACGCGGTCCGCTAAGGCGCCCAAGACCGAGAAGGCAGAGACCGCAACACCGGCGCGGGGACGGCGAGGGAGCAAGAAGGGGCCAAAGGTGCGTCCTACCGAACCAAATTGCATTGGCATTGGATGCTCACAGTGGACACAGGCGACCATGGCTGCGTCGCAGTTTAAGGCGCGCGCGCTGCCCCTACACGTCAACCTCACACATACGCCCCCGGTACTCGACCCGACCGCGGAGGGGAAGGAGGGCGCTGTATCTGTGTCGCATATGGACGCGGGCTTCATCGGGACGACCACACTCGTGCCGAGTACGTTCGCTACGGGGAGCTATGGATGGAAGGGGAACAAGCGCATCACGATTGAGCTCCCGAGCGCGGAGGGCGAGGAGGGCGAGAAGGAGAAGGTCCATGTCATGTTGACGTGAGTGTCACCCGCTCCCGTTTGCTGTATTTCTTGGGCTTACTATCGGCTGGTTCCTGTTGCAGAATCAACGCGACCGTCATGGGCAGCAAGGGCGCGAAGGAGGAAGGTGGCGAAGGGGGAGAAGAGCATGCTGAGGAACACACAGAAGAGCACCCCGCTGAGAATGCAGAGGAGAAGAAGGAGGGCGAAGCGAAGGAAGACGAAGCTGAGGAGACAGGTGTAGCAGACGCTGAAGCGAAGGAGTAAAATGGGGATTCATGCATGACGACGTCCTCACTAGTACTCTACGCGGTCGGACGTGCGTATCTTATATATGTACTATTATATGCTATGCCATGTCAATTGCTCGAGGTCTTAATGCGTCGAATTGTTGAGTAAGTCGTTGCTAGTAAGCCAATGGGGAAGACGACTTGCCGCAATTGTCAATTCTTTTCGTTCACACTGGGAGGCGTACCACTGGAGGCAAAAGTGGATATTCTGCCTTGGAACAGTGTCTGAACATCCAAGGAACAGATTACATTTTTGGACATGTCACATGTTCTGAACATGGTAAGGAACATCTAATATGTCTCGCACAATGTTCCATTGGAGAGCATGCTGGAGACATGTTGCATATACCATTCTGGAACATATAATATGTCTCACACAATGTCTCATTGGAGAATGTCCTGCAGACTTGCTGCATGTTTCATTCTGGAACATTTATCATTTTGCTACTATATTCTGGGCTTGTCTCTTGGTGCAATATGCTCTGTATAATAAGGATTTCCCATGGCCAAACACATTACATTTCTGGCCACCGTTAATCTTCAGAACATTGTGAGAAGATGTTAAGTGCTTCTACTCCAAACATACAAGATGTCCTGGGCACCAAAAACATCTGCAGTACATGTATGATACATACTAAAATCATACTAAAATTTTACATGTACTGCAAATGTTCTTGGTGCCCAGGACATCTTGTATGTTTGGAGTAGGAGCACTTAACATCTTCTCACAATGTTCTGAAGATTAACGGCGGCCAGAAATGTAATGTGTTTGGCCATGGGAAATCCTTATTATACAGAGCATATTGCACCAAGAGACAAGCTGTTGGAGGTGCGGATTAGCAATCCGGCATCTACGGAAAGGTCCGGGAAAGGTCCGTAGGGTTAGGATTAGTAAGGACAATGTCTCGAGAACAGTCTGGTAGTTTCTAGTCTTTTAGTTTACAGTATATAAGGAGCTCAACAGGCTTCTATGTAGTTAAGCCAATTTCTATCCTCTTCCACTCGTAGCCCGAGGCGCAGTTGCTTACACAAGCCCAGAATATAGTAGCAAAATGATAAATGTTCCAGAATGAAACATGCAGCAAGTCTGCAGAACATTCTCCAATGAGACATTGTGTGAGACATATTATATGTTCCAGAATGGTACATGCAACATGTCTCCAGCATGCTCTCCAATGGAACATTGTGCGAGACATATTAGATGTTCCTTACCATGTTCAGAACATGTGACATGTCCAAAAACGTAATCTGTTCCTTGGATGTTCAGACACTGTTCCAAGGCAGAACATCCACTTTTGCCCCCAGTGTACAAAATCTTGATGGGTATGACATGAACAAACTAACACATTATATATGCATTATATATTAGGCATCCAAACAATTGACCAACGATCCTGCGAATGATCACCGTGACAGTGTCGAGACGCTTGCCGCCGATCTACTGATACTGGCTGCGCTGCTGGGCAAGCGAACACGTTTGTTATTGAACTATGCGCGGACCTGCATTCAGGGCTAGCTATGGAGCTTGGGATTCCTAGCATCGTATAAAAATTGCCTTCACAGATTCTGCTTCCGCCATAGCAGATCTGTGGTTTGCACTGTCCCGATAAGCAGATTTACACCGCGCTCAAGTCACTACGATCGGGAGCTAGGGCAAAGGGACAACGGTGCCGGAGGAGAATAACAAATACTCAATAATGCTGTGAGAAATATCCACCCATCTAAAACCAAAGTTGTCAACGGAGTAAGAACCACGGTAGTTATCACCCTATGAACTCCCATTCCGTATCCTTACCCACCCCGCTCAAATACTCGACCCTTCCCTCGGACTCCAGCTTGCGCAGATGCAGATCCACGCTGTGCGCCGCCGGCTCCCACAGTGACCGCGGATAGGCGGAATAGATGCTGGATACGAGCTTCCACGTAGTCCACGGGTTGTCAGACAGAGACGATTGCTGCAGGGCAGCCAGTATCTCCTCCTCCCGTTTCACCCTGTGCTGCAAATACACAGAAACGTGTTTCAGGCCGTCAGAGGCAGCGGGGCCATGGCCTGGGTAGACAGTGCCGTATCTCGGTCCCGTGCTCGAGTCGCCCTGCCCGAAGTCGATCATCTTTCGCAGACTGGCCATGTACATCCCGAGGTCCTCGAAGACGGCACTCCCGTATCCGAGCACGGTGTCTGCGGTGAAGAGCGCGCGGTCTGCGGGGAAGTAGAGGCAGAGCGAATCGAGTGTGTGTCCTGGGGTGTGCAACACCTGCAGGACGGACAGCTCCGGGTTCACCGAGGCAGTGGTGACTTGGAACGTTTGCGAATCGTGAATGTCGTGGATCGGACCACCCGAAGGAGCAGGGGTGTATGAGCCTGCGGGTATAGAATCGAGGATGCCCTGCAGTCTCGTATCGGGGGACGGGAGGGGGAGCTTGTGGATGCGCGGTGGGTGAAAGGGGGAGGAGCTGGCGGCATGCTTGTCGCCCCACAAGCGTCGGAGTAAAGGCAGTACTAAAGGGAGGCCACCAGCATGATCGTGGTGCTTGTGTGTTACGATAATGTCTGAGACGTCCGGTAGATCGACGGACTCCGGCTCGACTTCTCGGAGTGCACTCTCGAGCACAGGTATGTACTCTTCTCGGCCGTCGCCAGTGTCAATGAGAATGTAGGGGTTATGCTCTCCGACGAGGTATGTATTCGTTCCTGCATACCCCAGATCAGATTGCAATTAGGCGTGATGAGCTATAGACCATGCCTTGCAAAGTAAACTCCCCCGGATTCTAAACAGTTATTAGAATACATGATTCGAGGCATCCGGTAGCAAGAATAGTAGTGCACACCTGCCCAAGAATTCTGACCACGCTCTTGCTCAACTGTCCTCGGAGCACTGGGTTAGCGTAGATCTCCCCAAAAGCGATAATTTCAGTACCCTTGTAACAGAAGGCAATGCATGTAATCCCTCCATGCCTGACGGTCAGCGAGACGATGTATACTCGTCCGACGATTGACAGTCTCAAAGATGAATACAAAGGTTTGTAGATAGTAGATATATCTCAACACCACAGTCTGATCGCGGTGGGGGGGTTGCTTACTTCACGAAGGATGTGCCAGCGTCGAAATCGATTGGGTCGCTGTCGGCACGTCTAACCAGCTCTTGCATCTGCACGACAAAAGCATCAACTTATGCCCCCCCCCCTGCTATGCACCGGCGTATGACTAGCCGTCTCTGGTTAACAAGACTCGGATGAGCTCACTCCACCTCACACAACGACGCCACCTCCCAAAAAGGAAGGGATACAAATACAGTCAAATAATCTTGCTGGGTGTGAGTCGTGCTCATCGTCTAGAACAGCGACCACGATGGCAACTGCAGCGACCCTGACCCCTACGACACCTTCGGAAGGTCCGTACCAGAGAAGAAAGAGGTATGTCTCCTCATGCGTCTCTGTTGCGTACACTGACTGATTGAATGTCACGAAGGTCTCGATCGCGTTCACCCGAAAATGCTGAACAGCCTCCCACTTCCCGGCGCAGGTCTCTGTCGCCTCCACCAAAAGCGCGCCTGGTCGAGCTTCCAAAAGTTAACGACGCTGACCCCGTGCGGCGGGCGGAGCGGGAGCGGGAGGTGGCAGCGCGAATGGCCGCGAGCGAGCTGGAGAGGATGGAGAAGGATAAAAGCAAGGACAAGGACAAGGAATCCGATGCGAGGGCCGAGTTCGCAAAGCTTACGGGTACGCGCTCCGGCGGGGTGTACATGCCCCCTGCTCGCCTGCGTGCGTTGCAGGAGGCCGCGTCCAAGGACAAGACCAGCGCGGAGTATCAGCGACTCTCGTGGGACGCCCTGCGCAAGTCCATCACCGGTATCGTCAATCGTGTCAACATTGCTAACATCAAAAATGTCGTCCCCGAGCTGTTCGCGGAGAACCTCATCAGGGGACGTGGCTTGTTTGCACGGAGCGTCATGAAAGCGCAGTCGGCCAGTTTACCATTCACGCCTGTCTTCGCGGCACTCGTGGCAATCATCAATACCAAGTTACCTCAGGTTGGAGAGTTGGTGCTGACTCGGCTGATCAGCCAGTTCAGGCGGTCATTTAAGCGGAATGATAAGGTACGCCTTCTTCCTCATTTCTCTAGCATCCCATACTCGCTCTTCATGTTCGGCATCCTGGTCTCTGGAGGTGTGTGGTATGTTTTGGAATGCTCTTCCACTTTTCGAGGCGTTGTTGCTGGCGAATGTGACTTCTCGGCATGCCAGGCTTTCAGACTTGTCTACGAACCACGGCGGTGTCCCGTAGCTCGCAGTCTCTGCAGTCTGTGTGTGAGGACTGCATCGTCTGAATTCTGAAGCACGTCTACCCAACTTGAGTCTACGTTCTATTCATCGCACAGATGTGGCTTAGGCATGATCAACTAGGGTACAGCCAGCTAGAGATATCCAGTTCTCGGCTCACTGTGTCAGTGATTTGCTCCGAACATACTACACATCTCCACGCTGTCTAGCTGACTGCAAGATACCACTTTTCCTCTCTGACTCAATGCCGATTCTTACTGACTCATGGTGCTGCAGATTGTGTGCCACTCTACAACAACTTTCATCGGCCATCTGGTCAATCAAGGCGTCGCACACGAAATCATCGCTCTTCAAATTCTCGTATTGCTGCTAGAACGTCCCACGGATGACTCTATCGAGATTGCTGTGGGTTTCACACGCGAGGTTGGTGCGTTCCTGGCGGAGAACTCGCCCAAGGCCAACGCTACGGTGTTCGAGCGCTTCCGTGCGGTCCTGAACGAGGGCTCCATCAGCCAACGTGTGCAGTACATGATCGAGGTGCTCATGCAGGTGCGGAAGGATAAGTACAAGGACAACCCTATCGTTCCGGAAGGCTTAGACTTGGTCGAAGAGGATGACCAGATTACGCACCAAATTCAGCTCGAGGAGGAGCTGCAGGTGCAGGAGGGGCTGAGTAAGTTGTTGCCTTTGTCGTTGTGTCCCTTGTATCCTAACTTTCTGATAGATATCTTCAAGTTCGATCCAAATTACCTGGAGAACGAGGAGAAATACAAGGCGATTAAGGTTGAGATCCTGGGCGGCTCGTCGGAAGAGGAGTCTGGTTCGGAGGAGTCATCTGATGAAGACGATGAGGAGGCTGTGGAGGAACAGGCTGGGATCGAGGACCGCACTGAGACGAACCTGCTCAATCTTCGCAGAGTGATCTATCTCACGATCATGAACGCATTAAATTACGAAGAAGCGGTGCATAAACTGCTCAAGGTCCAGATCAAGGAGGGCCAGGAGGTAAGTCGACCGCATGGATGTCGCATGACTCTCTGTTGACCCTTCTGATAGCTTGAGATGTGCAACATGATCATCGAGTGTTGCTCGCAGGAGCGATCGTACTCGACGTTCTATGGCCTGATCGGCGAGCGCTTTTGCAAGCTGAACAGGGTGTGGAACGAATGCTTCGAGCAGGCGTTCGAAAACTATTACACGACGATCCACCGGTACGAGACGAACCGACTGCGGAACATTGCGCGGTTCTTCGGGCATCTGTTCGCGACGGACTCGATCTCGTGGGTGGCGATGTCGTGCATCCTACTCACGGAGGACGACACGACGTCGTCATCGCGCATATTCATCAAGATCATGCTGACCGAGATGACCGAATCGATGGGCGTCAAGACTCTTGTGGAAAGGTTCAAGGATGACGAGGTCAAGCGTGCCTGCCAGGGCATGTTTCCCATGGAGAACCCGAAGAACACGCGGTTCGCCATCAACTATTTCACGAGTATCGCGCTCGGAGCTGTCACAGAGGAGATGCGCGAGCACCTTAAGGTGCGTTGGTCGTCATTTTATCTCATTACAACCTTACTCACCGCTGCCTGTTGACAGAATGCCCCGCGACTCATCATGGAGCAACGTCGCGCGATGTTGGAAGCAGAGTCTTCGTCTTCCGATTCTTCATCCGACGAGGACTCGGACCCAGATGACGACAGCGATTCAGACACAGAAAATGACTCCGAGTCCGATTCAGAAGACTCCAGGCGCGGCGAGCGACGACGCCGCTCGGAGACTCCTCCGAAGAAGCAAGTGCGCGGCCGCGGAGACTCATACTCTCCCCCGCCGCGAGGTAGCCGCCGGTTTCGCGACGATTCGCTCTCGCCGCCCCGACGTGACCGTCGCTCCCCGACGCCGCCCGTGCGTTATCGCAACGGTGACAGAGAACAGGAGAGAGACAGGGACGAGCGGGACGACCGCTATCGCTCGCGCCGCGAGACTCCGCCGCACCGCAGGGATTACTCCCCGGATAGGCGCGATAGGGACAGAGATCGTGATCGCGACCGGCGCGACCATGCGCGTTATCCCCCGCCTTCGCCGTCACCCCCGCGCCGTTCGCGGTATGACCGTCGTTCGCGCTCGCGGTCGCTTCCTCGCCGGGATTATGATAAGCGCGACGACTATAGGCGAAGAAGGAACGATTCGAGGGATGACTCAAGAGAGAGGGAGCGAAGGAGATCAATCTCAAGGGAGCGATATGGGCGGGATTCTCGGCGGTGAACGTACCATCTGCGGCTGCTTGCGACCATTTCCCTAGCGCGAACACGGTGATGGGTGGTCTGCTTTGTGATACGTGTGTACTGTTTTACTCTGTAGGGTTTTTTTCTGTACAGCATGTCGTCTGCTTATGCGTTGCTGAACTGAGGACGCCTGACGAACGAATAAACGACAATTGACAACGCTGCATTAGCCTCGCTCGTCGTGACATAGCGCAATGCTAGCAGGCTCGGCACAAGCTTTTCCAAGGAGTCGTCTGTGTGCCTTCGACCATCTTCTACGTAGCATCTTGACTCGGCTGGACAACCAACGTGCTGTTGGCTGGGCGGCGCCACGGGTATCCACTCCACGAAATATGCTATAGAATGTACGTGAACTTTCATTACAATGCGTCAAAATTGATATGATGCGAGGCTCGTCTCCTCTCGAGTTCGTCTTCCCGCTGAGAAGTCGAAGTGAGCGAGGCATGACAACATAAACGCCCCCTTCGCTACGCACCTTCTCATTGAGGTGGAGAACGAACACTATCACCGCAAGCACCGTCATGGCACCGATCACCGTGACTGTCACCCAGGGAATCCACTCGCCCGGCCGCAGATAGAGCTCTTTCCTCCACGTGTCGCCCTCGATCGGCGGGATGATCACGACCTTGGAGTTCGGGATCACCCCCTCCATGTTGATATAATGCTTGTCCGAATGTTTGGTAGAGCCAACGAACAAGTTCTCAATGTAGTTGTTCGTGCGGCCGAGGCCGAAGTAGACGTAGGGTGTGAGCAGCGATTGATACGAGGTCTGTGGGAGCTGGGCGACTGTCGAAGAGGTGAGCTTGTCTATCTACAGAGTTTTGTGGGGTAGAGCGCACCTTCTGCTGCAGATCGACGACCAGAAGTATCGAGTACGGTGTATTTGTATGTCGCACCAGAGTAGCTCACGCCGAAAGGCTGCAATTGACTCAGCGCACTGAGACTCAACAGTCATCAGAAGGGAACATACATGATAAGAACCGTTGGGTGACTTGCACAGTCCGCTTCCACATGCGCCATTCAGCGCTGCAGGACATGGGTTAGTATAAGTTATTTGTGGGATAGACATGAGTTTGCACTGACTTATGGCCTTGAGGAAGAACGCATCGTAGTAGAAGTTGTTCTGCACGAAGAGAATGTTGCCCTCTCCCTGCTGGCCGGTCCGTTGCACCATGATATCCAGCGTTCCCTAACAAAGTATTAACAATTGATCAACCGCTCAGACAGAGCAACACTTACATCTTCATCCATGTCCAGGAACGCGACAGACCGTGCGTCTTTCACATTCTGCAGCGGCTGGACGCCCTTGTGCACTGGACTCCATCCCCTGCGGGCCCCCTTCGTGCTACATCCCGCGATTCCTGTTCCACATGGAACAGACATTATTAGGTGAGGGGTGCTGGCTTTCTCCGAGCTGGTGGTCGAGGAGGTGATTGCGAGGATGTCAGGGAAGCCATCCTGGTTGATATCACCAAGTTTCAGAGGCACTGGGACTGCAGGCCTTTGCGTTGTGTCTAAAACGAGCAGAGAAGGTGGAATCGAGCCGCGTGTTGGGGGGAAGATGTCAGAGATAGGAATGCGAGCAAAGGCCTGTATTATGGTATTGGTCTACTGTATGACTTATAAGGGGATGTGCGTACGTTGTTGTCACTGCTTTGGCTCAGGTTGAAGCGGAAGTCCGGGTCGGCAGTGCAGAGTTGCTCTGGGGGACGACACACGCGCTTGCCCTTCTGAATAGAAGGAGTGGTAGCAGATCTGCAGAGAGGTAGCTGGATGTTGTATGCAATATTAATGGCGCAGTTCGAGCCCATTCCCGTAGTGGATGATACAGAGGAGCAAGTAGTGAAGACCATGTCCATGGTTCCATCTCTGTCTGTAAATAAGGTGAGTCCCGACAAACCGGCGGATCAACTAAACGATATACATACCAATGTCACCGAAGACTACCGACTGCACGCCTGGGGGAAGACGGCCAAGCTGCGCAAGCGTGAATCCGTCATCCTTGTTGTTTACCCAGATCTGGAAGTACTTCGATCCGTGGCCCTCATCACATACGAGAAATATGTCTGATGAGCGCGTGAGTTGTGTGTATGCAACGTAAAGGTGGTTAGACGAACCGGCAAGACAATCCCCATTGAGGTCCACCGCAGCATTGCTATGAGGGTTTGCTAATGTACATTGCGCGCCATTGAACTTAGGATCGACTCTAATGAAATATATTCGCATGAGATCGACATGTACACACAGCGCACGTAATACTTCACGCACATCTCGAATATCGGTGAGTTAGTTTGTGATGAATTCCACACGTTCTGCCACACTTTAAATGGAGAGTTCGACGACTGCGGCGCAGGTATGCCGAACAGGTCAATGTTCAGGTCACCGTTAAAGTCCATTGGCATCGGTTGTGCTTGTATCGAAGGTAGTGCAGACACCGGAGTCAAATCTTGTCAACGATTTAATAAGCCGGCCGCGAACAATGAATTGAAGAAGCTCACTGAATCCACCTCCCGACGATGCAACATACAGATTGATGGCAAGCTGACTCGTAGCTGCGGCTTGGCTCATGACGAGTAAATCCAACTTGCCATCATGAGTGAAATCACCGGGAATGACGTTGTAGACTTTCTGTGGGTGTCGGAATACTGCTGCCTTTCTGAAAACGAAATCCTCTTCAAGACATTATGAAAGTGTCAGCGCATTAGGTAGTGAACGTCCACTTACCGTGATTCCACAGATATACTGACAGCGTACGCTCGTCTGATCCCAGTGCGAGCAGATCCAAGCTTTGTTTTGTCGTGATTATCATCTCTACCAGCCGTGAAATTACACTCACAATTGATCGCCGTTGAAATCTCCAAACGCGATAATTTTGTCGACACTATCCACCCCCATAGAACCTGCAGCTATGAGTGCATTACCGCTGAACCTCTTTGGAGAAAACGGCCAAATGGCACCAGACGGAAGAGACAGAAAGATGAGAGTGGCAATTCCGGCACGCAGTATCGAAGCTATTTGTTTCATGGAAGATATCGTTCTGGTACCGGTAAGACAAGATCAATGGCGAGCGACTAGCGCCTCATATGCAGAGAAGAATTATTTGCGGTAGACAAAACGCTGTAGGTGACACAATTTATGTTGCTATCCGAGCGACGATTCAAGTCGCTGCGGCCAGTGGCAGCGGGTGAGGATGAGAATGCTGACCACGTGTCTACCCGACGCTCAGCGCTTATAGTCAAATTTCGGCTGTCTCCGACCCGTGTGGCTTGCCGAACAATCCCAAATTTGAACACAGACAAAGGCAAGTGTATGGCACCGAATGTTCTGCCGTAGCAACACGTGTGAGGACAAGACTTTCACACGCTCGTTCTTGCATAAATACGAAGAACTTTGTTCACTGGCAAACGCCCTTCGTTGTTCTTCCCATATCTGTGACGCTATGCCATCTCATCCGGAAGACAGTAATTCTCCCAAGCCTATGAGACGTTTACGTGTCAGTTATATTTCCTTGCCTCCGTGATGTACATTATTTGACACTATACAGGGTTATGAGACGATAACTCAGGAATCCTCTCCAGATGAGCCGCGTGATAGCCACTCTCTAAGAACCAGTGAAACACTGGGGTCGCAAGAGGCCAATTCTCGGTCTTCGATTCCGGCTGTTGTCAATGATCAGCAATCCATCCAAGACTCCGTCGAAGGCCACACTCAAGCTGCGAAACTTGATTCTGATAGTGGAGGTATGGATATCATGTCAACTTCTCAACGTCGATCTCATTGAAATGCTAATATCTTTGCTGTTATTGTCGTTCTGCTAGGCGAGGTCTCCTCTGAATTTCCGCGGCTTTCGGAATTGCTCCAAGTTCTCCCGCTCGAGCAGAGCGAGACTGTCACCGGTTCGCTGGGCGATTGTTTCGAGTCGGAAACTTCAGCTAAACGGGCATCGTCGCTGCCGGATGCCTCAAGCACATCTTTGGGAGTGCTCGACGGAGTGCTCAAGGCTTTTGAAGATTCTCCGCCTCTTCCAGTGCCACTTTTGGATTTACCGCCGGAACCAGAACTCTCACCGAAATCACAGCAGCTACTGGAGATGCCACTTGACGAACCAGTCTTTCCTGCTTCAGCTGCTAACCTCTCGCGGCTGCGAGTCCCTTCAATTTCACGCCCGCAGCGATTGTCTGTTCCCCAGCGTGGGGGAGATCGTGAGAAGACTCCACGAGCGCAATGGCTGTCGCCTCTACAAGACGAGTCCGACTGTTCGACACCTATGCAAGGACCGTCCGAACGCACACCTATCGGGCCTCTTCGGCTGCCACCTTGGTCGCCTCCTCGTGCTTACGGAGGAACTTCGTCGGAGAAGAAGGCCACTCCTTAGACTGTTTAAAGCATAATTTTCACCATGTATATTTACACCAGTATGTAGTGGACGTCAATGTGCCCCTGTTATATGCAGTCAATGACTTATACTTCTTTGGTATTACGCGCTCCTCACGTCCACGCCGTAGTCCATTGAATTACCAACGGAAGCTTGCAGATATGTGCAGGCCTTGGGTAATAACATAACAATTGATGGTAACATTCAACTATGCAAGATATCTAACAGCAAGTGACTAGGTATACAACAACTCTAACACAGCTCTAGATACAATATACATACAGCATAAGAGCGCTGAGGTAACAAATCAAGACATACGTCCCCGTAAATATGTCGACGTCCGGGAATGCGCCCGCCTTCGCTCCCATCTAACGCTCGCACCATACATCCGCGTGCTCGTCCAGCCCATCTTCGCCCAACGCGACCGGATAATCCTGGCGTGTAGGATAGTGCACGAAGCCATTCATTTACCTGAACGGACGATCGGCCCTCCACTTTCCCTTCGCCCTTCTCCCTTTAGTCCTGGGGTCTTCACCCTCTCCCTGCGCGACTTCCGCGTCATTAACCATAGCACGTTGCGGGGATGGGTTGCGTTCCGAGCTGCTGGTACCAGGGGTAGCGACCGACGCGGCGGATGAGCCAGACGCGAACTGCGGGTTGACGTACCCTATCCGACGGGAGGAACTGTCCTCGTGTTCGTTCGTGGGCGAGCTGGAGGACGGGGCCGGACCATGAGAGGCAGGGGAATCGGATGGAGACGCAGTGGCCGTGGGTGGAAGTGGGTATCTGAAGTCGAATGTGGATGCCGCGAACCCTTCACGTTGTGGTATGTTGGCCTTGGGAGTTGCAGGGGAGGAGCGGAGGGGCCTCTGCGGGACGGGTCGCATGGGTCGTGTACTGCCGGTGTCCGGGATTTCGACAGGAGGCTTGGATGGTGGCGTAGTGGCCGTCTGCGGAGATGGGTATCTGAAGTCGAACGTAGTTGAATTGAAGCCTCCGCCCTGGGGTATATCAGCTTCGGGTGCAGCAGGAGGAATGCCAACGGAACCTGGTGAGGTTGGCCGTTCGCTAGGCAATACGAATGGTCCCGGGGAAGATGCAGCAGCCGCACTCCTAACAGATGAGGAGGGTGGATGGTATGAACATTCCGCGAGTGGCGAGGAACATGGCGATGGAGGTGCAGCATCAGTATCGTCGACAAAAGTGCTCGGATGCAAAGAGGAAGGTAAGAAATCGTCCGCAGTATCCATCGGGGAGTAGCGACCACCAGCACTTTCGCTGACCTCGGAAGGCGTTCCGCATATGGCCTCATCGCTATTTTCCGAGGACATGTCGTCGTCTTCAGAAAGTGTTCCCCAGATGGCCTCATTGCTATCTTCATTATAAATATCCCGCATAGAAACACCTGCATGGGCAGCACTACCGCCCTGCAAGGAGGGGCCATCTTCAGGCTGCAATGGTTCGAATGTGTGGCTGTGGCTCTGCGAGAACGCGCCGTGCAACGACTGCGGGTTGCTGTCGCATCGTGGGACTGGCCAAGTAGTGCGAAGTCGACGGGGCGACGGTGGCGGTGGTGGCGGTGGCGGCGGCGGTGGCGGTGGCGGTGGCGGTGGCGGTGGCGCTGGTGGTGTGGTGGGATTGGACATGGTCGGGTAGGGACGGCATGTTATTACGCGGAACTGGCAATTCAGCTCGCCCGACTTGATCGCGCCATGAGGCTCCAGCCATCCATGCCTTGACTTGAAAAATATCACTTGAAGTCGGAACCACTTCAGCGTACCTCCCACTTCGGCGGAGACGACCAAGATATAGTTGAGATATGAAAGCCCGAATGCGGGAATGACGTCACTCTCTATTGTTTTGATGCGGTCGCAACTGTGCACGTTGTGGGATTTTCTAAGACTTTCCCGCATCTTGTTCAAGTCCGTCTCTCGGTAGACAAACTCCAGGCCCTCATCTGTCGAACATGATGATAATAATTCATCCGATTGAGTCTCGTCGATATCATGGGAGTCCGCGTTCGGATCTGCTGGTATAGGGTATTCGGAGGCGATAGAGGGTATATGAGCCTCCTGGGTATCGATCTGCGGTACTGACAGGTGCGGAACACTAAGAACTGCGAGGGAATTAGATGAGGATGCATGAGGCACAGATGTAGAAGGGAGCTCTGCTGGGGACGTGGTGTGGGGTATCGACTGCGAAGAGACGGCATAAAATGGTTCAGACGATGGAACTCTTCTAGGCAGAGTTGATTCCGACTGCGCGCGACGCCTCGTATGACGGGACACAGACACAGGGCGTGGCGACTGAGAAATTCCGGATGGTGAAGCATCAGCGATGGTGGTCAAAGAAGATGCATTGATATTCAGGAGGAAGCACACTTCCTGCACGACAACAAGTCAATAAAAGAACGATTCCAATAAAAAAATCCTTCTACCAACCTTACTGAGTCCGCCAAATGTTCCTGTACTCGGGTCAAAGTCCTCGATCAACGACGAGCTGGATGAAGTAGTCGTCTTGTTCTTGAACAAGTCCCAGATAATGAGACATATGATTATGTACACCATGGCCGTGGAGAAGACAGCCCAGAAACACTGTTCGTGCTGCTCGTGTGAAGGACGCCGTTGGTGATGTGGGGCAACCCAATCTTGCAAGAACGCCCATCCGCGCACGACATGACTGAGCCATCTTCGCAATACGTACTCCGCTAAAGGTGTGGCGTCGTCGAAAATGGTGGCAGTCGGTGTGAAGCCATCATGGAAAGGACGTGTAGGGAAGGGGCGGGATGGGTCAATAGTCCAATACTTCTCAGTGGGGGAGCCGAAAGGTACCGAAGAGAGGAGTGGTCTAGGGAATTTGAACCAGTCGCTGGAGCCAAGAGTCAGAAAGCGATGGAAGACTTCGTGTGTGAAAGCGTCATGGAGTACGCGTTTGATAGCGATGGCGAACATACGAAGCACCGTCATGAGGCCTATCACCTCGAGGGCGTTCGACATGGTGGTAGTAGTGGTGGTGGTGGTAGTGGGTAGAGCGAGTTGGTTCCGGATGAGGCGTAATAAGGGTTCCAGAAAAACAAGGCGCCCGTCGTGTTATTGGGGTAGTTGAAATATGCGGTGCATACCTCGAGGCTCGAGGTGCAACCTAACGCTTTAACGGAGAAGCTCCCTCCCATCGTCATGCTGACATCGTAAAGGGATCGGGCTATGTCGATTCCTGTTCTATTCAGAATGTCAGCGGACTTCTGTCAGAGGTCCTCCACAAAGAGATACTCACGTTTGATTATGCTCATCTCTTAAGGTGGTCCTACGCTTTGGTGTGGCGTAAAGCGCACCACAATTGTGGTTCACCAATGATGGAACGCGGAAACACAATTAGCCATTTCTAAGATAAATGGATTGGAACGCAAATCCGAGGTCGCACTGCATCCTAGCACTTCTCGAACGCGAATCCACTTGCAGTGGTTGACGGCTACATGGGCGCGTCACGGAACACAATGACCATGTCTCAAATTGGCAAGTGGAAACGTTGCCGCTGGCGCGTGGCAGTCGCGTGGCCCAGTGAATACATGCCAGTGTCACGGTATGATACTGCGGCTGGAATTCTTCATCTTGCTGCCCATCGACGCGTGTCCGTTACAGTCGTTGACGTGACATTGCTCTGCTTATCCGGTTACCATGCTACGTCGTTTGTGATGTTGCGGCGTGGCTTGAGCGAGGCGCTTTCTCTTGTCCTGTCTATCTGAAATCTGGAGCTGATGCTTACGAGCAAGTTAAACCTTGTCGCTAGGACCGCACTTCAGCACTGATCGGGAAGCTGGTCGCTAAGCGGAGCGGGTCAATAAGGCACAATGAACATCCTCAGAGTAAGTTCTCCGTAAGCTGCTCCCCCAGCTTATATATTCCAGCATCACCAGTACTTATGTCCCTCATCAACTCGACCAAAGACGACGCGACATCTACCCTTTTCAGACTCCAGAAGCTATGAAGGACGCAGTCCTACCAGGCAGGATTCGGCGGCAGCGTTCGTCTTCGCTTCCAGTGAGTCTTTTGTATTATATATCTGGCGATCATTAACCGTGGCACGTATGTGGAGCAGTGTGACTCCAATTCCATCAATCCCTTTAGGACTGAGGAGCGTGTGCAACAGCTAGAACATAAACGTAGAGTTGTCAACGTGAATACGGTGCTCCGTGAACTCCCTGAGTTCCAGGCTTTGAAGGTCCTCCTTCTGAGCTCCCTCCTTCAGCATATCGAGAGAAAGGGATGGAGTGAAATCAACGGGACTTGTGAGACGGATATACGAATCTACAGCCCTGTGCGTGTCTTATTTTCTGTTTCTTTTACCAGAGCTGAGCAGGCGAGATCTCACAGGTACTCAAGATATATCCACACGTTGTGATTGTGGCCTCCGAGAATACGGTAAACATTAGCCTTCTTCGAAAATGTGGCGACTCTCCTGTCTACTCTCCATCACCCAAGCTGCTCATTCTGTCGGAGATACGTCCATTTCACTTGGTCGTGGTGGTTGATGGCGAGCAATCAGACAGCCACCGGAAGGTAGAGTATTTAGGGATTTATTCCGCACACAATCCCGACAAGTCCCTCAGTGTCTTGTGTTGGTATCGGTTCCTGTCGAAATCTGTGCGTATCTTTATGTTCCTAACTATCAGAAAGTCTGACTGTGCGCCATAACGACATAGGAACAGTCCAATATGGGTAAGCTCTCGATGGCTCTCGAAAAGACGAACCAAGAAGACGAACCAAGCCAAGACCCTGAGTCAGACAAGCAACAGGCTCTGGAGACGTATCTTCCATTACACATGCTCTACCTGGAGAACATCGGCTTAGGCTTGGAGCCGGCTTTTTGGCTTGCGATTCAAGATGAAGACTCCGAATATGAGATTGTTCAGAACGAGGAAGCACCTGGTGATTTGTGAGAGGTTTCTACTCCTTTTCTGATAATTTTCTTTAGATGCTTTGTCAGGGTAGAGAGACCCTGTTATGTATTTATATGTCATCCTGACGTCGAAGCGCGATTAGTATCTGATTCGTCTTGCTGTAGGTTGCTTGAACGGCTCCTCGATTCTGATGCCAGCCAAGTTAGTTGACCATTGAAAGCTCAAGGACCGGAAAGTTGCTGCGCGTTCTTCATGCACTCCACCGGTGAGGTTATTGATGAGACATTCCTGTGCGCTCATCAATAGACGGATACATAACAAGCTCTTTTTCACAGTGCGCCTGCCTCGTAGCTGTGCCGTGCACAGATAAATTCTAAGCGTAGACATGACGCCCCACATGGTGCCTGTTGGGCTTCGTTCTAACAACGACCTCGACGGTAACGCATCTATCGTCGCTGCCATGGAGCCGTACGCTCGTCCATGGCGGATTGCTCTGGACTGGGCGACAGGATACGGCGAACTTTTATCGTCCCCTGAAAATGAACACCATTGGCTCATTCCTCTTGCGTGGATCTGAAAGAGTAAGGAACCGTGACGACCTCGTGGCGTTGAGAAACGTTACCTAGATCTCCGCAGCATTGCTTTGGGCTGCTTTGGATTGCTTTGCCAAAACGTGTGCACAGCATTTTGTCGATGCTCCGCCCGCTGGGTATCCAAGCGAACAAAATGTTATTGTTCCTCATCACGCATTCAGAACGTGATTCGCAGACAAGGCAACAGCACTCATTCTTGTGACCACATTGCTTGTGCCACCTATACTTATAGTCTCTCTTACCTGATCTTGCTCAGTCAAACTCCAACCCAACCCCTCGCTTCCTCTATTCACAAGATCGAACTATGCCAGCAGACAGGTCGTCAGCAAAGAAACCGGTTTCGCTCTCGCGCATGTGTATCACACGAGTGCGGCCATCTTTATCTCTGGCCGCGACTCAGGTTCTCGATTCCGCCTTAATGAAAGACAAGTCGAGGGGATGGGCCGCAGTGCGCCAATTGCCTCCCCCCACAGCTGTGAGTACGAATTGCCGGGCGAAAACCATAGGCCTTGCTGCACTTGAAGCGCACATGGAGAGGCAGCACTTCAGATTACAGGACCAACCCTGCACGGCGGACATCAAGGTTTATTCGGTACGAGTTTCTTCCTGCTAGTATGCCTGTCGTACAGGCTCTGATGGCTGTACAGGGCTTCTCCAAGTTACCCCCCGTTGTCGTCATATCACGTACGAATGCCCTGTTCACCCACTGCATGAGCGTTGGTCAGCATGCTTATGTGTTCTCCCCATCACGCAAGCTACTTGAGTTGTCCGAAACCGAAGGGAACGAGTTCCACCTCTTCGTTGCGGCCCAGACAGGCGTTAGCTCCGCCACATACCATGGTGTGTACGCAGCAGTCAATACTCATACACAGCTCAGTGTGAAAGGGTGGCGCGAGTTATATGAGGTGGTGCGTACATTTTCACTGATCGAATGCAACATTACTTACAAGTAGTCCTCAATATTCTATAGCCCCAAGCCGAAATGGTAGATCTCAAATGTGCTCAAGTTAAGGCTGGCAATGACTCTACGGCTGGACGCAACGGTTCCGCCCAAGTGCTATGCGAAATGGTCCGGGCCAAATACAACAAAGGATCACTTCGACTCGATATGATCGTCTTCGAAAACAAGGGCTTTGATTGGAAGTTTGTCGAAGCTTTCGGTAAGGATGCTGCCAAGGAGCTGATCCCTGTCAAGGCGGCCGCAGGTACTACCACGCCTCCGAAGGCCCACGTACTCTGCGAATTCCCCAAGGCGATGAGGACACCAGAGAAGAACCGCAGGAAGCGAGAATTTTATTGATGTGCGTTTTCTTCCTCGCTGTAAGTCGCGTTTGACACGCGGCGACTATGACTATGCCTTGACTCATGTATGATGTATGTTCATCGAATGATAATAAATATAAGCCTATGATGTGTTTTCTGTGCTGTGTCGGACAGACACTTAGGTGAACGTGTCATATCGATGCGGTGCGAATATCAACCAGATCTCGCGGAGATCTCTCATAACATATGTTATATTCCGAAGTCCATGCGACACCTCCCAGTACAAACTACATGTCAATCGCAGCGCAAGTTGATAAATTTGTCTGGACACACATGGGCACGGTCATCCGTGTGTCCCTGCACTTGGCGAGCCCGGATTGAACGAGTAACTTGAATTGTTCCTACCAGTACCCGCTTACTATCCTTGAATGCCTGTTTTCTGGACTCAGACTGCGACAGCCGCTACGTAACTATGCCAGACCTGTCTCTCGCTGCTAGGAGATTGCTCACTGAAGGGACGCTTCTGCGACCCGGTGACCGGCCGGGAGACTCTGGCAGCCGCTACTATTCTCGAAAGTGTTTTCTCTCGCCACGTCCGGCACCTCAGTAGCTTCAGTAGCTCCATTTGTTTCTCGGAGAGTCGGCGAAATGAGCCAACCGGCGAACTGAGGGAACTCGGCCCGTACTACTACTGGCTATGACGAGTCGCTTTTTTTACAGCTGAAATGATGCAAGCTCAGCCAAAGGTTGTTCCCGTCTAGCCTCAGCTAGTAGTCGATCTGGAGGCCTTGTGTCTCCTCGTACATACGCTCGTCGTCCTTCACATTCTAGTGGCGCAGGTAAGCACAGCCTTTTATGGGCAAACGCCCATGCGGCTCAGTAAAGCGGCAGGGCCAAGCAACGCCTGCACAACAATAAACAAAGCAAGGGCTTCCGAACAGAGCGGAACTCAGGCTATCCTCCCGGCTCTCCCAGTATATAACTCCTGTCTTTCACTACTAACGCCCACGCTCTTGCTACTGTCTTCGTCGCATTGAACTGTGTATCATGTCCGCCATTCCAAATGCTCAACTTGCCTCCGTATGTCTGTTTGTTTCGAACATGACTACCAGTACTAACAAAGATGCTGGTTGTGGCATTATTTTGATCCTTGTCGACTCCCTGACTAAGGAATACGACGAGGACGCGTGTATTCGGGGCCGGATTTCCATAATCAGAGGTCGTTGGGAGTCAGCCTACTCGACCCCTCTTACGAAGCTTCTCAAACAGCTTAGCGATAAGGGATATAACAGTCAGAAGAATGAGACCTGCACCCAGGATATCCAATTCTTCGAACCGGTATGTGCCGCTCCTCGCCGCCTTCACACCTCGAACTGAATCTGAAGCAGACGGATCCAGGACCCCTGAATATACCCTAGGACGTCGTTTCCGCATCCGGACAAAAAACTCCCAAAACCTGCTGAAAAAAGTCCGGACAAAAAATTGGAAAATCGATGATTTTGGATACGACGTCTTAGGGTATATTCAGGGGTCCTACGGATCCTGCCTTCCATTCCGTTGTGATTGTGTCATCCGAGAACGTGGCGTGTCTTGGCATGTTTGGGTTCCACCCCGGCCTGTCCACGCTCATATATTATATATACGGTATCACACAAGTTGCCGGAATCGACTGTCGATTCTCCGAAGATTTTCTGGCTGTTTTTCGTGGAAGAAACAGACACTCCAGTCGAGGATCCGAGCGTTGTTTGCATGGGCGAGTACATAATGAGAGATATGAAGGACAAACTGACCGTAGGAGGGTGGAAAAGGTTACCGGAGAAGGTACGTGTGGTTATGTCTCACTGTGATATAGAGTGCGTAACCGTACACCATGGCGTTACAGATCCAGAATGCCTTCATCGAACTTCAGCTGCAATTATCAACATTGCGCGAACACTCTGGTGGCGATGATGTGGCACCGATGAACAAAGTCACAACGCGCGAGAACTACGATAAGGGCGTATCCCAGCTCCCTTTGCTCCTCTTCGACAGGGAAGGTCACCATCCGAGTCGCCAGTGGCCGGAGTTCTGGACCGTCCTTCAGAAGAGTCAAAATCCTCGATATCAACAGAATCGGCAGATGGATAGGGCCTCAAGGGCCTGGATGCCTGATAGCTGTTGAAATACATAGATCGTGACTTGAATAGATACTATGCTATTAACCCCCGAGTCGTAGGTATCTCATACCTTCACTTACCGGCCTGCAGTAGCCTACTACATTTTACTCGTCCGTGCCCTAGGTTGATTTTAATATGACATACATTCACAGAGTCTGAGTCGGCATTGTGATTTTGGTATGCACGGCCATGCAGGAGTATGAGGGATCGCTCCCCACTCAAGGTATACGGTAGAGAGGTCAAAGAAACAGTAAATTATAAGTGCTCAGAGATGCGCCGAGCTAGTCAGCTAGGAGGTACGATGTGAAATATGGAGCCAACGCTGTATAACTATGACCGCAAAGATCATATCGATAGGCCCATGGTCAAAAAAGCGTGCGGAGGCGGCCTTTGGGCGGTCTGCGAAAAGAAAGCTCCCGATAGGTGGGACCTTAACTGCCTACACCCGGGCGCGAGCGGCCCAGGCGGCGTGACTTGGTGGCACCACAGTGCATGGTGGCGCCACCACCCACCGGAATTTCCGGAGCGTTTGATTTCGCAGTCCGCTCTGTGAACGGATTTTTTTGGAAGGGCCTATCGATATGATCTTTGCTGGAATAGTTTACGGAGCCAGGTGCCTCCGTCGGAAACCCAGTCAGAGAGAAGGGTTGGCAGCAGTTTATGAGCGAAAGCGAACAGGACGCGAATGCACGGTACTTTTTCAGTATCTTTTTGCGCCATTCCATGTGAATGAGCCAAACGTCCAGCAATATGGGCCGTAAACAACACTGCACCGCAAGACTCACCTCCAACAGATCTGGAATCTCCGCACCGCGCACCACCACCAGTTTCCATTAAGTACGTATTAAGGAGATTCACGACATACCTCGTCGTACTATGTCAATGAAGAATGTGGCCTGCCGGTCTCAAGCGAGAACTGTGAAATACTTAAACGACAAAATGGCATATATAGGCACCATGCGCATGATCCCCATGACTACGCTGCAATACCACTGGTAACAGGCATAGTACGAACGATCGCCTGCAACCCGTCATATGAACAGCCAAGAAGCGAACAGGGCATGCATAAATACGATTAACTTGAAGAACAGTAGAGCGATGCACCGTTGCAGTCGCCCAGAAGCCACGCCCAACATGAAGAAAACGCTAGAGGCGGGGCTTGCTGACATGACAGGCGAGCGACATATTCAGTTTATCGTGCAGATGGTACTACACGCCACTTCGGTTTCCAAGCCCGGTCATAACTATTTCTCTCTTCTCTCGGTCGAACTGCTCTCAAATCTTGTGCCGCAAGTTAGGAACATTACGGGGTCCCGTAATATATAGCCGGAATAAAATGTCAATTATAATTATAGGGATTGTCTGTTTACTTACATCGTTCAACTTGGCTTGTTGCGTGTTTGTTTCTAGACGATTGCAACGTACTTACCTTATAAGGCGAATCGCCTTCTTTTTATGAACATCACGTGTTGAACGCCGAAAAATCTTTTTCCCCCAGTCCATCTTGGCTGGATTAATCCTCCTGGTTTTCTGGGTTGAAACGGGCCGTAACCGTCGCGCAACAATTAATGCTGCGATACAAGTCATGCCGCTAATGGTGACGTATGCGCGCAGAAAAACACAGCATCTTGTAGGCGCAAGCGCAAGCGCAAGCACGCACAGCTTTGGCCTGGCCGCAATGCCAAGTGGCTGTGCGTTTGCACGCTTTTGCACATGTACAATCAGCCTGACTCACAACAATACAAGCGATTGTTTCGCCACACACCTATATAAAAGGGAGCTCATTTCCCCCTCGACCTCAACACCCACTTCACTCTCTCTTATCACTATACTTACATTGCGAATCATCTTTGGAACATGCAAGACACGGATTCGAACACTGCCGTACGTCTGCCATGTCTTCTCTTGAGTGGCGTCACCGTGCTAACACCGCTGTTGACTCCATCGGCATCTTGAACAGCATGATACGAATCCCATTGGTGAAGATGAAGACGATGAAATATCCGACGTCAGTCAGAGCGACTCGGGCATGGTCCTTCTCGACGATGAGCACAAGGAGATTGTGGAGGAGCACTATTGCAACGCTGATTATTTAAATCCGGCCACCAAGATAACCGTTGTCACCATGGGCGATCTTGTTGCGACGCTCGGGGAGAAGGGTTACTCCAAGCAAGGCGACACCAAGGGGAACGACCTGATCGTCTACGAGTCGGTATGTGTCGCCTCCCTACTGCTGCGGCATGACGTTGAACCCTGCCTAGGAACGTGAACCCCACTGCGGCGTTCTTATCACGTCTGTCAAGAACGCGCTCAACGCTTATGGTGCTGGTGCGGGGGAAAACTTTTTTATCTACACCGCGTCGCGCAAGCTGCGCACGGTATCGAAGAATTTCCAGGTGTTCGTTCAGGTGCCGAAAGAAGATGCGCCAGGTGACGAAAATCTATACTTGGGCGAGTATCGAGTCACAGATCCGGGCGTCCCCACTCATGGGTGGAATAAACTGGCGGAGAAAGTACGTATCTTCTTCATTGATTGTCCTCCATGCTTCTCATCACCATACAGCACAAGGCAGATGTGATCGAACTCGAGGTGGCGCTAACCGAACAAACTGGTTCGGCAGAGGTGGTGGACGCCATGTCGATCCGAAGCAAGTATGATCAGGGATTGCTCCAGCTCTCCCTTCACATCTTTACCTGCGACGGATGGGATCCAGATTCCTGGAAATGTGTTCCGGTGCCGCCGGAGAATTTACGCCGAGAATCCCAAGCGGTAGATGAGTATGGTATACCCGCTTGAGTAGACTATCCGAGAATCCATGTCATGAGCTGTGCGTTACGAATGTACTGGGGGTTTACTAGAATATCCGAGCTCATGTCTCAGAATTTCCTGCCGCGCGACACTCTTGGATTCGTTTGCTGTCTCTCGCAGTACTGTACTGTATCCCCCATCGTGCACACGCTCATGGATGTGTCACCACCGTGGCCGTCTACGAATGCCTTGAGGTAGTATTATGAGGTCAGGGGTTGAAGGAGTACTCTGTCAGTCAATATGAAGTGGCGCAGCAAAATTCGGAACGCATGTTATACCCTAGGTGCGTAAATATCTAACAAGTAGTGCATGACCACGACAAATGGTACGCGCTCATTCTATGTAGTATGCATCCAGGTATCCACATCTACTGAACCTTCGTCTTCTCCCCCGTCGGCTTCACACCGACCTGGGCAGGGGGTACACCATATGTCCGATACGTGCGCGCCGCGAACATCGTCGCAAGGACCGCGGCGCAGAGCGCGCGCGCCACCTTGCTGGCTGTAATGGTTTTTTCGATGTCCGACAGCCTCCAGGCGGAGCCGAGGAGCGGCACAGTACGATCGTCTGGCTTGCGACACTACAACTTGGCGCGTTGGCGGAACGATCATTGATATTGATATCTCATTCTATGCGAGTCACTACGTATACTTACATGACGTGAATTGCGTGTTTGTTTCTAGATGAACCGTGTACTTACTTTATAAGGCGATTCACCTTCTCTTTATGGACATCACGTGTTGCCAAAATGTTCACCCCAGTGGCAGTCGGCTAATTTCATCCGTTTCTCTCCCAGTCATTGTGATTGCACCCTGCCTTCCATTGTCAACTTGCCGGATCAATACGGATGCACCTGCATAGGGAATGCCCTTCCTGTAAGGAAAGATATCGACTCTCGAGAATGAAGTTCCGCGACGCGACGTAACTCGACCTGCATAACGAGTCACTGCTGGATGCGCAAGATCTGCCATAAGATGACACCGTCTAGTCAATTCGGAGGCCTTGTACAAAACAAGTGCTCTCCGTCCTTCATTCTAGTGGTTCTGTGAACACAAGCGCAGATCCATACGCCTCATGTGTAACGGCGACACCGTTACATGTCCGAACACGGCCATTTCTCGATGACGCATGGTCTGATCTTAGTTCCTTTATTTAGTGTACTAGCTACCTAGACAGTCCTACCTACGATCGCGCACGGACACTCTTAGTCAGCGTAGGATATAGCTTCGCGCGCGCCCTCGTTTGTACCCCGTCGAATCAAGTGCGCACGAGCGTCCGCTCTCATTGTTCGTGATTCCTCCGTCTGACCTTCTGAAGCATCTCCGAGCGTAACAGCTCGTCTTTGCTTACTTCTGTGACTTCCGTCGGCGCGGCCGTTACATCATGGCAACGCACGTACGGCCAATAAGGCGGCAACGCCAAGCAATTCCTGCACAATAAACAAAGCAAGAACTTCCGAAGTTCCTATTTTCAGTTCGACTTCCGCTAGATAACCCACATCTTTTTACTACTCTCCCACTTCTAACCTCATCACATTGCTCCGTGTATCATGTCCACCTTTAAGTTTCCGAGCTCTGAAGAGATCATCGTGCGTCTGTTTGTTTCTAATATGACCATTATAAATACTAACAAGGATGCTCACCATTGCCTCATGTTGACCTGGTCTATTCGTTGACTTAGGACGAGGACTGGTGTATTCGGGACCGGTTGCCCCGGCACTGCGGTGGCTGGGAGCGACCGTACTCGGCCCCATTCGGAAAGCTTCTCGAACACTGGCAGGCCCGTGATAAGGGATACATCGGGAAGAAAGAGACTTATCCCCGGGCCCAGGATGTCCGATTCTTCGAACCGGTACGTGCCACATCTCTTCGCCCCCTCCACACCTCGAGCTGAATCTGAAGCAGACGGATCCTTCTTTCTGGCCTATCGTGATTGTGTCGTCCGAGAACGTGGTGTGTCTTGACAGGTATGGATTTTATCCGGCCTTGCCAGGTACATATATACCGTGTCACACAAGCTGCCGGAGTCGATCGACGACACGTTGAAGAAGTTCTCGCTATTCGTAGTGGAAGAAATAGAAACTCCACTCCCAGACCAGAATATTACATGCATGGGTGTGTACGTAATGAAAGACATGGAGAAGAATTTGACCGTGAAAGGGTGGAATAAATTACCGGAAAAAGTACGTGTCATAATCTCTGATGGCATATAGGGTGCACTAACCGTACGTCAGACCAAGAATGCCTGCATCGAACTCGAATTGCAACTGTCGTGGTTGCGCGAACACTCCAGTAGCGAAGATGTAGCGCCGATGATATTCAGCAAGGACACAATACGCAAGAACTACGATGGAGGGGTATCCCAGCTTTCCTTGCTTGTCCTTGAGAGGAAAGATTTCCGAGTCAAGCCGTGGGAGTCCTGGACTGTCCTTCAAAAGAGTCAAAATCCCCATTAATATGAACAAGTTCGGTTGGCGCGTGATTCCGAAATGGCACTCCTACCTGATAGCTGTTGACATGGATAATTTGCTTATAATACATAAATTCGTGGTGCATCGGGCCACAGTCACTCGTCTTATATCCACAGCAAGACTGAGGTGAAATTTCATTCCTTTTATCTCAGTGACAGCCTACCACATTGTGCCTTTTCGTCCATGCTCTAGGTTGGTTTATATGGTTTGTATTCATGTCGGGATCGAGTATTCTGCTCTGTTGTCCGATCAAGGTTAGACATCCGTGGTCATATTCGCGATAACCATTTGATCAAATGGAGAACTCGACAAGGCTGGAACAACTAATGATTTTTCGCCTCTACTAGCTCTGAAATCGACTCCAACTGAAGGGACGACTGCGGCTGCTAGGGTCTCGAACGTAGGTTCCCCTGCTTAGCGACTCAATGGAGCTTATACTATCTGTCTTTCGGCGTCTCGCTGCTGGTGAAGTGATGGTTCCTCCTACTTGAATTCATTGATCTTCGGTGCATGTTCGAAACTGTTTGTCTCTCGCTATGACTGATAAAACATCTCTCGCTGGCGTGGTCAACGTTCTGGACGTCTTTTGATTTTGGGATTTCAGCGGCGCCTTAACGTGGCTAGCATCGTTGCTGCTGAGCGCTGATTCACAGGTTCTGCGAAGCTCGCTAGACGATCTGAGACGATGCAGATCTCTGCTGGTCAGCTGATAAACCTCGCAGCTGGAACTCCGAGTCATAAATTTCTCCGTTCGGAGCCTCTGTACGATCTCACTCGACAATACAATCTCCAGAAGGATACTTTCCGCTGTGGTCACTACCAGCTGGAAGTCCGCTGTTTATTTGTTGTACAGACGATGTGGCGTAACGTCATCTACTACATCTGCTTTGCTGTTAATCCTCCTGGATCTGCCCAGCCAATTTATTCTCTCGCTATGCGGCGTGCGCATCGTGGTGCATTAAAGCAAAGCATCTTGTGGGCGCAAGCGCACACAGCTTTGGCTCGTTGCTAGGGCTGCGTGGCCCACTAAAGCGGCAATGCCAAGCGGCTGTGCATTACACGCTTTTGCACAATCAGGTTGAACAACAATGCAAGCGGAATTTTCCTGCTTTTCTTGGCCCGGCCCCAGTCTATATAAACTCAGTCCCACTGCTCACCCTGGATCTCAACGCCCACTTTCCCTCAACAGACAAACCTTCACACAGACGCGCTGAAGAATTTTTGAAGAGATGGATCCACGCACAACTGTGAGTCTGTCATAGTCTTCTTGTGTGGCCCTACATGGCGCTAACACGTCTGTTGGCGCTGTCGACAACCCTGAACAGCATTCTGTCCTTTCCAATGCCGTCTCGATTAATGCGGAAGACGAGGAACTCTTAGAGGAGACTTATCCAACCAATTATAGCGAGCAGCATGTCCACAAGGCCATCGTAACTATGAGCGCCCTTCAGGCAAATGGCAGCACGAGGGATTTCCTCGAAGAGAACTTCACCAACTGGGACGACATCATCATTTACAAGTCGCCTGTTCGTGTCATCTTTGCGTTCCTACGGAATGAAGCTGACGCATAGGTATCGCAGACCCTGAATCGGGACCAAGTACTGAAATGGCCACGAGTGCTGATACTGTCGTCTAAGAACGCGTTTACTTATCCTGACTGCGCTAACGGCCCAGGGCTCCACTTCCAGTTTTACACCGCGTCGCGCAAGCTGCGCGACTTACGATATAAGATGTTCGACGTGTTCGTCGTAAGCGACGAATTAGCACCCAATGGTAAACCCCAGCTGCTGTACATGGGCACATACAATGAGATCATGGTGGGCAGGAAGCTCACATTAAAGGGGTGGCGCGAGTCATCGGATATAGTGCGTTTTGTTTATTGGTTATCCTTGATGCCTCTTATCATTGTCCCACAGGTCAAGGCTTATGCTGTCGAGCTTGAGTTAGCCCTGTCTCTACAGGAAAATCCTACGGAGCCGGTGGATGCAGCGTTGATTCGGGAGAAATTTGACAATGGAGAACTCCAGCTCTCACTGCATTCGCTCGAATTCAGATACGATGGGTGCGGCGAATGGCCGTGCGTTAAGAAAGCCACGGGGATACAGGATCGTTATGATATCTATAATTAGCGGACGCATTGGTTGGGGGGTGTAATGTATGTATGGCGTCCTTATACAACTTATATAACATCTGCAGTGGATGTTTCACTACGTCTCTCTGGAATGTCTCAAGTGGATGTTCTTCTTAGATTTTCTGCCGCTTCGTCACTCCATCATCAACACCCGACTTTCATGTATGGACAAGGCCTCAGTTACCGGCTTTGGCTGGTACATATGTAGGTGGACACGCACGGCACGGATATTTGAGTTAGCAAGGTGAAACTTCAGCCACACTCACAGTGTGTCAAGTAGTCTATCTCAGTACACGGAGAGTGCAGAGAGAGCAGGAATTCATCATAAGCCTCTACGTAACTGACAATATACATGCACACCATGGCACTACGAACGGTGCCAATGGCCAACCAATGGCTATTCTATGCGTCGTGGCCATCATGTCTATTGCACCTTCGTCTTCTCCCCCGTCAGCTTCACACCGACCTTCGCCGGCGGCACACCATATGTCCGATATGTGCGCGCCGCGAACACCGTCGCAAGGACCGCGGCGCAGAGCGCGCGCGCCACCTCTGGGTCGACGGGGTCGGCGCTCGGGCCGGGGGCGCCGAGCGCGCCGGCGGCGGCGGCATGCACGTTCGCCCAGAAGGGTTGCGCGTGCGTGAGGAGCGCGTAGAGGCCCGTGATGAGCGGCGCGCACCAGAGGTCCGCCGTTGTCCACCCGTATGGGAGCAGCTCCGCGGGGGTCGTGAGCGTCAGTGCGTACGGGTGCAGGAAGGAGAAGAGGTTGATGAAGAAGAAGCCGCCGTTCGCGGTCGCCTGCGACGCGTTCGTGCGTGGGTGAGCATGTCAGCAGGGATCTAGGTGGGCGGGCGTACCAGAGAGGTGAGGAGGAGGCTCCAGGGTGATGTGGAGACCGACTTCCATGAGTGCTGGAGCACCATCGGCGGGATGAACGTGCAGAGGAGAAATGCACGCGAGAAGCCGTCAAGAATCGATACCGGGAGCTCAGTGTAGAGCGTCGGATACAGGATGCTGGGTATGCTGTCCACTAGGGCCTGAATTACGGCGTAGAATGCGGGGACCGCGCCGGAGATCATGAACGAGGGCGGGATGCCCAGCGCAGGAGCTTGACGCGGACACAACGGCGTCAGCGCATCGCACACTGAATTCCTCGGACCTCGACATACCTGTCACTGCCTCACCACCATACACGACCATCAGGGTCGCGGAGACATCGCGCAACCAAGACCTGCGCTCGATCTGCGGGTGTGAGTTCTTGTCCGCGTCTGAGACCTTCTGGACATGATCCTGGTAGTGCTTCTCTCGCAGCTGGCGCAGCGCGACGCAGAGGCGTACCGCGGCAGCGACGTCGAGGGTGCTGAATGACAGGCCGAACCAAGTGAATGGCGCGATGGGGGTGAGGGCGAACCTGTAGACCTCGACGATAGGCGCGAGCAGTAGCGAGATCATCTTTCACCGGGGTGTTTCTGCAGATAGAGGTGCAGATGGAGGTGAGAATATTTATATGAACAACGAGAGGGACACGTTGCAGGAAGGCTCAGGCCTTCTGCCTACGTGCTGTAGCAGCCTGAAGAGTGTCAAACGGGGATTGCGAGATCTTGAATCATCCCGGCCCGGTGTTCGTAACAATAGCAGGTGTGGTAAATAATAATAATAATTTATTGCTACATGCAAGTGTCCATGGTACAATAGCGAAGCGGCTGTAGTGGCCCTTATCCGGGAATGTGAGGTGGTCTAACGCCCCAACGGACTCACTCGTCTGTGCGCTGGTTCAAGACCATCCCCTCCAAAAAACTTGGTAACCATGTCTGTTCGCACCGGAAGGCGCGGCACGGACTGGTGTAATCTGTCCTTGACTGGCCAGGGAAGCAATTCCGCAACCTGCAGGATGGGCCGAGTTAGTCTCAGGAGAACAGGATGTGTCGTCTGTTCGCGCAGATGGGCCGTGTCCCTCGCAAACCCTTTTGTCTTCGCGATTTCCATCGCTTGGAATTTTTAAACCTGAAAGTCACTGTAGGATAGGCACATACACCAGTCGACTTTGTGTTATGCATGTTCCATAAATAAGTGGCGGAGGAGCATACACACTCCAGGCATATAGACAAGCGAATGAAATTACAGTAAGAACACAAGTAAAATGTAGAGTTATGCACAAGAACCCCCAGTCCGACATTCCGTCGACTCAAACCCTCCTGCGTCCTCTAACCCTCCTGCGTCCTCTAACCCTCCGAGCGGCGGCGCACACTTAACAGCACTTGCTACCCTGGTGGGCGTGGTTGTCCACGCTCGGGCTCACGGTGATGGAGTCGCCCGTCGGTGGCTTGATTGGGTCGGCGGACTGCTCGAGTGATTTGCTGGAGACGATGCGGTAGATCTCTGCATGGAATAACAAGAGCGCAGGAGTGAGCGGTCTGTGAAAATTAGGGAGTAGAGAGCGTCACTCACCGGTGAGGATGGTTTGGAAGGCGGACTCGACGTTCGAAGCGTCCAGCGCTGACGTCTCAATGAATGATAAACCATTCTCCGCTATGTTGTATTGTGCTTAGTGCCCCGCCTGCAGCGAATGAAAACAAGGTGTAACGCACTTGCAAATGCCTTCGCCTCGTCTGTGGGGACCGCTCGCAGATGTTTCAAATCGCTCTTGTTCCCGACAAGCATGATGACAATGTTCGAGTCTGCGTGATCACGCAGCTCCTTGAGCCACCGCGTTACGTTGACGTATGTCGCGTGCTTTGCGATGTCGTACACGAGCAGCGCACCGACCGCACCGCGGTAGTACCTGCACAGCGAGATCGGCCCACAATAAGCCACGAATGAGTGGATGGGTACGAGGACTTACGCAGCTGTGATTGCACGGTAACGTTCTTGGCCGGCTATAGGTCTTTATTAGCCTTCCTGTGTTTTCAAATCCCAACATTGCACGCATATAACAGCGAACAATGGCGACCAAGTACAAGGGCGACGCCACAAAAACAGGGACGTCGCAATGGAGTCAAACACACAGTATGACGCACCTGTATCCCATATCTGCGCTTTCAGCGTCTTACCGTCGACGTTGATCGACCGCGTGGCGAACTCAACACCAATGGTTGACTTCGTCTCGAGATTGAATTCATTGCGCGTGAACCGCGAGAGCACTGTTGCCGCAGCAACGAAGGAACAGGCACACGTCAGTATCTTCCCCGCATTCATTTCAAAAATCACCCACAATTACTGCATCAAAGGGATGCGGGGCAGAACGGGTAGGGTCAGCTAGCATTAGAGGGAATCAGGGCAGGTCAAGACGCACGACTTCCCGACGCCGGAGTCTCCAATAAGGACGACCTGCAAACAAATGCAATACCAACGTCGTCAGTTGGACGCTCCTGAGCATGACCGTGAACACGCACCTTGAACAGGTAATCGAAGTTGCTGCCCTCAGTCATATGTGCAGAGTGGTATGTACGAAGAGAAAATGAAAAGACGAGTACGCTGTTAAGAGGGCGGTGGTTGGTGGTGGTGCACGACGGAGGCGGTGAGTGGCGGAGTTTGAATCGTCTTGTGTCGCGACATGAGACAGGTCACAGATTTTTTTCTTGACATCTTCTCCGTTCTCAGAAAATGCAGAGCTCTTATGCTGACAGTGCTACTGTGTATGGGATTTCCCCCTCAAGGATCATTGATTTTTTTACTCGAAGTCAGAAGGTTTGGCTAGCCAGGTCACGGAACACGCCCAAGTTCGCGGATTCATCGGTCCGCCAGCTCGTTGATGGATAGAGCGACCTGTCTATTATGCTCTTCTGTGTCTGCTTTGCGTAACTTCTACACCGAAAGAAACAACAGCGGTGCTGCAATCTCGATATATCAATACAGTCCGAACATGTCTACGGTCGAAAGCAAACGAATCTGCCAAATCATCAAGGTTCTGCACTTCCCGCAACTGAACGCAAAACGCTGACCGCGCCATCCCCTTTCTCCCATCTCATCGCAGCTGAAACCTGGCGCTGAGCAGGAATACAAGGCCCTACATGCCGCTGCATGGCCGGGAGTCCTCGCCGCCCTCGCGCGATACCACATCGCCGACTACTCGATACACTACTACGCGCCGCTGCGCCTGCTCGTCGCGCACTTCAAGTACACCGGCACGGACTATGCCGCTGACATGCGCGACATGGCAGAGGACGCGGAGACGCGGAGATGGTGGGCGTTGACGGACCGGCTACAGGAGAGCTTCGTCGAGGGCGCGACCGGGAGCGGGGGTGATGCGCCGTGGTGGCTGGTGAGTGGTTCGTTTGATCTTAGCTTGATGTAAGCGATTGAGCGGTGGTGTGCGGGTAGGATCTGGAGGAGGTTTTCAGATTTGAGGGATACGCGGCTGGGACGACGTCGATGAGTTCGTGAGTTGATCGCCGCTTGTTCTCTCCGTGTAGTCTAGGCTGTACGATAGCGTCTAATGGAAGGCATGATTCTGTGTCTCGCCTTGTCCTTCTGAGTATTGCCCTATAGTCTCTGGGATCCAGCCAGCACCTTGCAGTGGGGTACGGGGCACGGAACACGGGAATATTCAAGTGAGTCTGCTGCACTGTCATTCCGGTGTATCCTCCATCTCTTCCTTTGCATCGACTGCAATCTTCTGTGGAACTCACGCAACTAACCATGTCTACGCATCCCGAGCTCGAAGCATCAGTTCTTCTCGCTCTTCCGCTTGTGACACTAGAGACGCCAACCGCATCTACTTCCGGCACCCTCACGGTCTCAGTCCTGACTCATGCGCCGTTCTCACTGTCCTCGTCTGCCAGTGACCCTACCGATGCTACTCCTCCGACAGGTCTGTCGTATCTCATCCTCCACCTCAATGCGTTTGAGCTGCCCATCGATCCCTCGCGGCCCATAATTTGCACCTTGTCTTCCACTGGTTCACGCGCATATACCCTGTACTGTCTTACGCCACCCAGCGACCATGCCGATCTCAGTTCCTCGGACGCGATCCGCCTGCATGTCCCAGCCCCGTCTGCCGACGACCCCCGCGTCCTGGAAGATCTCAACATGCTAGACGCCATATTTGCGGAATACACCCAATTCCACACGGAGCCGCGAGCACAGCAACAAGTGGGGCACGATGCATCCGCCTTCGGGACTCTGGAGGGGGCGGGCAGCAAGGGAACAGAGCGGGATGATCTGCGCGGTCGATTGGTTTTGATGGATGAGACGAGCGGGGAAGTGGTGGGCGAGCTACTACAGGATCTACGGATGACGGAAGACGCTGCGCTTGCTCGGGATGGAGACTCTACAGGAGGATCTGGCGAGAAGCCAACGGCGGGCCCGGTCGTACTGGAGCTCCCGCCCGAAGTGTATGATGCGTATGTTGGGAGCACTGGAGCGCAGCGTGGGGTCGCGGGGGAGGCTGTCGATATCGGTGCGCTTGCTGCAGCGCGGGAGATCTTTGTGCGGGCGGTCCTGCCTGAGGATCAGGATTGGATTACCAGGTCTGCATCATTCATCAGGTATGTATGCTTTTTCTTTTGTAGGGCGGGCCCACCGTACTGACCTGTCTCGCGCCGTCGTGGTACAGCTGGGCTATAGACTCCTCTACTTCCGTGCTGCTAAGCGGCATCACAACGGCGTCGACATTTTATATCAATCATTCCACACCCTCTCCGTACGCCTCTTCCTCATCTGCCTCATCTGCCCCACGTACCCCCGACTCGCGAGAAGACTCATCCGCCCTGCTGTCCGCGGCTCAACCCACCCCATCTTCGTCTCCCGCACCGGTACCCCTTCCCCTCCCGCTCCAGATCCTCTCCTCTCCCCGCACACACGCAGCACTCTCCAGTGCGCAAGTATTCAGCAGGCAGGCTATGCGCCTAAGCCATCGCACGGCCGGCTTTATCGATGACCTCTTATCGCGCGTAGTCAGCGGGGTTTCGACCCAGCAAACTAGCACTTCCACCTCAAATGCGGCCACGAGACCGGACGGGGAGAAGGCCGACGCACCTCCGCCACCGTACGATGCGGGCGCTAGCCAAGTAGGAAGCCAGAGGGGGGAGAAGCCGCTCCTGCCGCCCTCGCGCACCCATACTCCTCAACCCGAGAAGCTGGAACCTCGTACACAGGCAAACCAGATGCCCGCGGCTGAGCAGCAGCTGCCCACGCGAGACCGCCTCGCGCTCTCCGCGAACCTCGTACTCGCGTCGGTGGACGACTCTGCGCGGCGCGTGTGGGAAGTCGGGAGCGAGCGCCTGGCAGCCGTGGTTGAGCACAAGTGCGTCTCCTGTAGTTTTTACGGTCGGCGCGCTGATGGCTTGTTTGATTCGTTGCAGATATGGCCCTGCTGCGGCTCACTCGACGACGCTCGCGGCGCACACCGCGCGCAACGTTGCGCTGGTGTATATTGATATGAGCGATTCGCGCGCCGCGCGCTGGTGCGCAAAGCGGGGACTGCGTGGATCAAGACGCATGCGGGTGCTGCCCGGAAGTGCGAGGCTGTTGTGCAGTCGGCGACCAAGAGTGTATGAAGGCCATTGACTGCAGGTGACAAACCACTCGGGTGCGGTCGAATGACTAGAAACGATCTACTGGATTTTCGCATTCGTATTTACGCCGTCGAGATCTCATATAATGCGCCCAATCTCTCTAGGTTGATCATGACGTAGGATAAGCGAGATCCACGAGGACCACACCAACGCGTTCTCCTCATTATTAGTTGACCCATTGCGAACGTCAGGTTATTGGACTCGGGTGAGCTAGTGAAATATGTTAGTAGAGGTGGACACACTGCACTGACGTACTTTGTCTGTGTCGCCGTTCGGAATGGACATTCACACCACACCAAAGTGCCACGACTCCGTAGACCTTCTCAGGTATCTCAGGAAAGCTGGACAGGGCCATCGAGCTATGCATCTGCCGCACCCGTCGGGGAACATGGTCAGTAATTTGAAACTGGAATTTGATCTTGAAGGGTGTTGCGGTATGGCGCCTCTGATTCACCTTCCAGCAGCGTCCGCCGTCAGCTATTCAGGACGTGCTCCCCCGTAACAAGGGTAACGGTAGGCCAGTGTCGACGGCGAATGATGCTTTCCAAGATGGAGGCGATCAATATATGGCGAGTACGTGTAAATTCCGAATGGCGGAGTCAATATCCTCGTTTTCTATGACCTTGAGAGGATGTAGTTCCCGGGCTCAGCACAGTGCGGCATACTGTACGAAGGACGGATATTAATTATTGGCGACTCCGCATGACAGAGTCGCAGCGGATCTTGTGTTTCCGCCAAAAGCCGATCCGAGATCGGTGAACGACTCTTCCTTCTTAATATGGAAATCCTCCGATTCTTCGAGGATAAAAAGCGGAGGCTGACTGCAAGTGCGGCTCACATTTGCCAGCCCCATTAACTGACAAATAGTACTTAGACATGAAGCCTCTCTCTGCCGTTCCATCGCATCTTCGTCGTGCCCCTCACCATCGCCCTTTACCCATTTTGACATCAGCAATAATGGACTTGTATGTCACACGACCTATCTCTAATCCTCCCCGCACTCACTCAGCTCACAGGCCCACTCCTTCTGCCGGGTCGTCCGATGTTTCGATGTTGACGCCAGGTACCATTTCTCGAGGTACTCATATCCATACCTGTACTTATCTGTTTCCGGATGCACGCAAGTTTGATGATATGAAGAAATCTATTATCAAGCTAGAGGATGGGATGGTAGAGGTGCAGGCAAAGATCGTAGCGGTAGAGGTGAAGTTGGGGGCGAAGATCACAGAGACGCAGGCGCAGATTGCAGAGATGCAGGCGCAGATCCTAGAGATGCAGTCGAAGATCGTAGAGATGCATGCGGATGTAATGGCGGTGTTTGCCGCCGTTCAGCAACGGGGTAACCAACGGTATGTTATTATCCTTCTTACCAACACGATATCGCTTACGCTCCCACAGGACCTTCCAGCTGAACTTCTCGTGATTGTTCCCCACCTTCCCTGTATCTGCCACGATGGCCCCTATATTTATTTTATGCATCTAAGCTCTGAAAAACATATCTCCACGCATGAACAGTTGCACTCACCTCCCAGTTTCGTGCAGGCAAAGTTGTATATTACGCGGGCCTCCCTAGATGACACACGCACGCAACTGGTAGATACTCAGGCAGACCGGAGAGAAGCTCGACTCGTACCAGCAGAATCGGCTCCTACCTAGCAGGAGCTACATACCAAGCAAGGTTGATTGGACAAGGTGCAGAGGGAGCTGCGCAACGCAAGGTTCACCGTAGGGAGCGACAGGGCTGGTCAATGCCCCGATACCTCAGTCAGCGTAGGCTTCCCACAAAATCAATTAATTTCATCTACCATGTTTTTACTGCAAACGCCTCGTTCCTCGTCAACCACAGATCTCTTCGGCCCAGGGATGTGTGCTCAGAGTCTTTACGACCAGCCTGGACCTCCGCACGATCGCCCAAGTGAGGACCTATTCGTAGTAGACTATCCGAATGTGTTGACACGAGTCAACCAGCGGATGCGCTCCACAGAAAACTGACTCGCAACGACATTTGTGGAGCAGGGAGCAAGCTGTTGATCTTCGCGTGTAACTCCAATGTTAATGGGATGAACACAAGAACAAGAACATATGCATCCAGCGAGTCACTGCGTCGGCGAGCTCGAGAAACAGCGCGAGCAGTGCACACTTCACGATCCGAATGGTCATTTGCAGGATACGATTCGGGATTGTAGATACAGCGTCACCTTTATAGAGAGGCACCGGATGCATGCATTGGCGTACAGTCTTGGGTTCCAGAGTAAGAAATGCAATAAGTTATGACAGATAACAACAACACAATAGCGTAACTGAGGACAACCAAGCTACAGCGCCGCCGAGCAATGGAGTTGTCCGGAGAACCCTTTCAAACAAGCAGGATCTCCGGAGGCTGAAATACGCATTATGAATACTAAATCGACCCACAGACAGAGAAACAAAACACGCGCCTGCCCACGCGTCTCGAACGCCAGCCAGTCTCCCGTCCCTGTCGGCAGGAGGCCCATTGAGCGGCACTTCCACAGACCCAACGCGAGTGTGAGGAGGTTGCAGAGGAGATACGCGATCTTCTGCACGGGCAATGTCGTCGAAGCCTTCGGTGACGCGTTGCTCGGCGCAAATTGCGCAAATGCTGAGTGAAATGCGCGGACATGGATTTGGGATGAACTGAGCGAAACGCGCGACGAACATACCGGTGTTAATGGCAAGGAGGTTCGAGAACGGGCTGCTGAGGAGCATGAACACGATACCCATGCTGAATATTTGCACGCCCCCGCCGGACATGTAGAGCATGAACGCCTGCATTGGTAAGGACTTTGCCGGTGAAATAGCGAACTCCCATGCGCGCTTTGCCTTCAGGCTTTCATATGATGCAGCTGTAGTCGCAGAGGCTTTGCTAGGGGCCTTGGACTACCGTGAAGAGGCGGTGGAAAGGTGGTTAGCCAGGAAAAAACAAAGGGATGTAGAGGTATACCGCTGTAGACGCAGAGAACCCCGGGGGTGGTGGGAGATGCTTCCATCTGGTACATTGGTGTCATGGCCATTGTTATGTTGGGCAATTCAAATCTGACTTACTTTGCAGGATCTACCGCTATGCTTACTGACATTTCCGTGAATTAAACGGTGACTGTCAGTGAGACGATGAAGCCCGTGGGAAGAAGCGTCGGTCAGGCGCACGGAAACATCATGACTTCGGAACTTTCACAATATATCCCAATGATCCTGAAGCTTTCAAACGTTGAACGTTGAGGTATCAATTTGAAGCAAAGTGTCAGGCCCACTGCAGCTGGAGACTATTCTCATACTCATATATCCTCCTGCTGCACCACTCACACAACCGCCTTATTCATTTTTCCCAGATTTTTGCCTGAAGAGATTCAGAATGCCTATAGGGCTCCCTTGTCTTGCGATCCGGGCCGCAGCACGACTGGACAGCTGGAATGCTCATGCTAGTATTTCCGGGCCTAGGTTCTCCAGATTTTTACATGGCTGTGGCATATCCTAGACGCTCTACTTTCGTCAACTTTATGGCGTGCCATCCTGTTTCTGCTGCGGGACGATACCATCCACCTCCAATTGTAGCGGGGCGTCCTCGGTACTTGCGGGTGAGGGTAGAAGATGAGTCTAACAACGAACAAAGCGTCCTGTTGACTTGTGCTATAACTCTATAAATCATTCAATATCTATGTTCGCCCTTCCCGAACCCCAAGGGGCTGGCTCAAGCTTGGCACCGCTAATTAGCTCCGACCAATTGATCACCAAATACTCAATCTGCACCTTGCAACCGAAGGACAACCACGGATCAGGCCACGTAGCAAAGCTTTTTTTCTCACAGGCCTGACGGAAGTCCATGAAACCCGTGTAGGCCAACATCACCCGCAGACTTTGCTATGTCCCAGAAAGTTTTCTTTAAAGCGACAAAACCTCTCCGTTCCAAGCTGTGCGAGGGTTGTAGAAAGGAGCCCTCAGCGGGTGAACACTTCAAAGTGTGCAGTGGCTGCAAGGGTTCTGCGTATTGCAGCAGAGTGTGTCAACAGCGAAATTGGAAGACTCACAAGTGCGCTTTTCCTCTCTGTCATTCACGTTTCTGGCTCAGTATAGCTTCAACAGACCTCTCTGCGAGCTCACTCAGCGAGAACTCTTAAAGATACAGTTCAAAGATCGCTTTGGGCTATGGTCTGAACCACACATCGACTCAACCCAGGAGGAACGCGTAAATCTCCTTCATGACTTTACGGAGGTGTATGCATGGTCCATAGAGAAGGCCATCTTTTCCGCATTGCACCTTGGGGGAGGAGAGGAATCATTCGACTACTCCAAGGGATGCATCGTGTTCGATTTGCGCTATCGTCCCGATTGCAATGGGAATCCCAGCCTCGCATTCGAACTTTTGGATGCGCGCATCGAGCCGATTGCTAGGCACCTCGAAGGTGGTTCCATCACGGATGCGTTCTACGCTGGCCAACCTTTGCGCGTAGCAAAGGAGAGAGAACTCAGAGCAGCTCACGATGATTTCCTTGGGGTATTGATGACGTTATGGACGATGGAAGCCTACGGAAACTGGCATCCGCATTACTAACGTAGGATGTCCGCTGGGTTGAAACCCATAGCCCAAGCCTTGGAACACCGTAATTGGCTACCAACATTGCAGAAGACAATGTGTTGCGGTTATGTCTTCAGACAATTGGAGGATAATGACACTAACGATTGGTATGTCGGACGTCTCAAGAAGTCAGGTAATCGGTGGAAATGGGAGCAGGTGAACGCGCAGGAATTAGTGGAAATGGGCCTACCCGCCAATTTCTCGATGATTTTGTGAAGATTCCGAATATTCACGAGGTGCGTTCAACGTTTGTACTGGGGTTCCATGGGATACCAACTACTACACGCTCCAGCTTGCGAACGTCCGACATTGACAAATCTTGCAAGCTTCAAGCTTCAAACTCAAGCCTCAGGATGAAAGTTTGACGGGTACCAGTTTTGGTTGCCCAGTATCAGCTATGTAGAGTGTCGCTTGAATAACTAGTGACTATAGAAGCATTCCTAATCTGCCTAGAATGGTGTGAACTCGATTGCCTGCGCTTGACCTTGTGCTTTTATTGGTGTCTGATACCTGATAATCGACGAGTGCAGGTGCAGTTGTCGCCATTTTTTCAGTAAAGCTGTAAGGTTGTTACCTAAATTGTAATCCGCATGGTAGTGGTTAGAAGGGACAGTTACAAAACGATAACAAAATGATAACAAAGTTTTGTATCGTTGTGGCATCTCATTTAGGGCAGGGCCGCCGGAGATGGCAGTGAACGGGCGTTGTTAGGACTCCTCAAGGCAGCCTGGCACTTCGTCGTTGCTTGTCCTCCGGCCGCCGTCGTCGACACCTGAGTTCTGCGTCGTGTGCTATACGTTGCTCGTGCCTCCATAAGGTTCGTCTCCCCCTTCTCAATGTTTGCTTGGCGTCGGGAATTATGCAGTGATCTCCTGCTCAGGTGGTTTGGCTCGGTGTTTCAGATCGTCTAAAGATACATACATTGTGTTTGCAAGATTATCATCGTCTACAGCTCGTCTTCTGCACTATCAAGGTGAGCCTTTTGTTTTGAACATATTGTGCGGAAGGTGAGCGGCTGGTTGTCTCGTTGGCTGCGTCAAGGTTCGACACGCGACCGTGGTTCGCACTGTCCCCGACTAGTTTATAACAGTCTCAACCCAAATCGCGCGCTCACACGTCTTCCAGCTCCTCTAGCTTTACTGCTCAGATATACTAGACCTTTCGCAGAGCCATGCAGACAATCAAGTGCGTAGTAGTAGGAGACGGTGCGGTCGGCAAGGTTCGTGTACTTATGCTTCTCCCGTGACGTATACTGTCCCTCTAACGCGTTTGGTCTTGTAGACTTGTCTGTTGATCTCATATACTACGAACAAGTTCCCCAGTGAATATGTTCCTACCGTGCGTACAGTTCACGTATTTTGTTACACCTCGAGAGACCCATGCGACCGCGCGGGCAGGTCTTCGATAATTATGCGGTAACGGTTATGATCGGTGACGACCCGTACACTCTGGGACTGTTCGATACTGCTGGTACGCTTCGAACTCCTATCGTTCACATTCTTCGCGCTAATCTATCGTCATATTTCGTATTTGCATTTACTTAATTAGGTCAGGAGGATTACGATCGCCTGCGCCCACTATCATACCCACAGACGGACGTGTTCCTCGTCTGCTTCAGTGTCACCTCACCAGCTTCCTTCGAGAACGTAAAGGAAAAGTGGTTCCCAGAGGTGCACCACCACTGCCCGGGTGTGCCGTGTCTTATCGTGGGGACACAGATCGATCTGCGGGAGGATCCTCAGGTACTGGAGAAGCTGCAAAGACAGAAGCAGAGGCCGGTGACGAGCGAGCAGGGCGAGCGGCTTGCTCGGGAGCTCGGCGCCGTCAAGTACGTGGAGTGTTCGGCGTTGACGCAGAAGGGGCTGAAGAACGTCTTCGACGAGGTGAGCATGCTCGCCTCATTGTTCCGCGCCAGTGGTGACCGCTTCCCAGGCGATTGTCGCAGCCCTGGAGCCCCCTGTCGTCAAGAGGAGACCAAAATGCGTCATCCTCTAATTGAGACCCGACAGCCATTTTACGCACTCTCGCCATCGCTCACGACGCTTCGCCTTTGCCATGCCACGATCCACCTATATCTTCTCTTCCCCTACCTGCTCGTCAACTCCATAAAGCCATTCCTCTCCCTGCCTCAGGATGTGCTGGGCACGTTTCGCCTTGCCCCCGGAGTCGCCTGTTTTTTTTTGTTATACTTCACCTTCCTGTAGTTCATATAGTCTGCCTTTGGGTACGGGGGATCTAATACCCATGAGCTGGAGCGATGGCGCTGTACAGACTAAGAGGTTCACTGTACATATTGGTAAGGATTAGTTAGAAGGACGATGTTGAAGTTTCTACCACAGCACTAAGTGGTGCTCGCGTGCATACACACCGCATCCAATATAGTGTTCGCATTGCAAGCGCAAACTGTATTCGTGAAACCTCGGACCATACATGATGCATGACCGGTTGACCATTGGAGCGTACCAAGTGAACTGAACGCTACAAGCGGTGCCCTTGAAGTTCATACTCGACCACAACAATTTCACAACGAGTCCGAGGAAAATAGGCAAACGGTGTTCCGGACATATGGTGGCTGCAAACGGAAGGCGGTTCCCTCGAATCGTAACTGGTAGAAACAACCATCATAAAAATATTCTACGCAGAAGCTAGTCTGTTCGTAATGGTACGAAAGGATATCACTGAAGTGCTACTGGGAATATCCATGAAGTGCGGCAGGTCTGAAGGTAGTATATCTATCTATTCTAGCGATGTGTTTCAGCAACACATTTAAAAGGGTTATGTTGACTCACCGTCAAAACATACATAGGACCTTCAAGCGGGAGTCGGAACAGCGACATCCTCGTGCCATTTCCTGAAGATGATCATGACCATGGGTTAGGCACGATACTGCACCGATGTCGACCACTTACTTGGAGGGTTTGGGCTTCCAGCCATCATCCCGGATCGCGGCGGGATTCGCACGACGTCTCATCTTGTACTGCTTGAGCTCTCTCTTGATGGCAGCCTCGTCGTAGAGAGGGACGGCGTTAGCGACCGCAAGACATGCGAGCACAACGAGTGTGATGAACAAGAGGACGACTCGGCTCTGCATGACGTTGAGCGTATGGCTAGGAGAGTAGCTGGAGTCCGCGTCTATCAGACGGGGGGGCCTTTTATCTGACGCTCTCTTGCCCCGAACGGTGTGGTGCATCAAGAAGTCTCCCTTCTGAGCCAGCCACGTACCTAGACGCAAGCGGATCAATCTGTCCCTGATGACATGAACATTCAGATATCGAGAATTCCAGTTGAATAGGCTCACCGACGCACCCACACGTGGGGGGTAATGAGGGGAAGAGCCTGCATACACGCGCAGAACGCACCGATGAGTCTGATCCCTTCCTCCGGTTGTATTCCCTGGAGCAGCGAGGCTCCATAGAGAGCAGAGATCCATTCTGTGGGCTCGGCGTACTTAGAGCCGAAATGACAGTAAGTGCACTGTCGACGCCCGCGTTCTGGGTGTTACGTGTTACGTGCACTTAAGATGGCTTTTCTCCGACAGCACTCTATCATCCGGCTTCTCGAAGGCGTGTTATGCCCGTCCCACGAAAGGCCACCCTTCCGCGAGATATCGCAAACGCGTGTGCCTCAGTTCATTCAGCGAACCTAGTACGCAGGTCAGGCGGAGTTCTTCACTTGCAGGCCTAGCAACTTGGCTGGCAGTAAACATGCGTCGGCGCCAGAGAAGTCCTGGCCAGTCAAAGCATCCGAAAAGTTGCTAGGACATATTCAGAATGTACAGCAAAGATCATATCGATAGGCCCCTCCAAAAAAATCCGTTCACAGCGCGGACTGCGAAATCAAACGCTCCGGTAATTCAGGTGGGTGGTGGCGCCACCGTGCACGGTGGCGTGCACGGTGGTGCCGCTCGCGCCCAGGTGTAAGCGGCTAAGGTCCCACCTACCGGGAGCTTTGTTTTGCAGACCGCCCGCCTGCGCACGATTTTTTGACCATGGGCCTAACGATATGATCTTTGCTGTAATGCAGTCTTAGGGCCAAGATGAACAGACTGGGAACGAAGCAGTGATGCAGCATTGGCCCGTGCCCGGCCCGCATGAAAGAAGTGTATGCCACTGGATACAAACATTGCCAAACAGGCTGATCCTCCGCTACCACCATGTCTCGACCTCAAGACGACAGAAATCAAGAAGCGACCGTGTATTTGGTCAGCATGCGTTTTGTTTTGCGCAAGAAATTCTGTTTGAACAACATCATACAGGGAAATCTCGACGAGCGATGTTCGGACGCGCTCGTTTGGGAGCTAATGCTGCAAGCTGGTCCCGTCGGTGCGTCAGTGACTTTGTGAGGTTGCACACAGTCACTCAGTATGTCGTTGGCTTACAGTCAATGTCCATTTGCCCAAGGACCGTATATCTATGGCACATCAAGGCTATGGCTTTTGTGAGTTCTTGACCGAGGAAGATGCGGAATACGCTTGTAAGATTATGAATCAAATCAAGCTGTGGGGAAAGCCAATAAGGGTTAATAAGGTGCGTCGCGAGGCCTTAAACTACTGTGGTGCGATTGACGTGATGTTCCTCTCCATTTCCGCACTGCTGTTCCCCGTCTTCCGATAGGCATCTTCGGATAAGAAACAACTCGACGTAGGCGCGAACCTCTTCATCGGAAACCTTGATGAGAACGTGGATGAACGATTATTGTACGACACCTTCAGTGCGTTCGGAGTGATGGCAACGACAGCGAAGGTGCGCCACTCCATCTAGCCTGTTCTGCAACACTTCATCTGGCTGCTATGTCTTGCTGACGATGATGTTTGGGGTGCTGCCCAGATTGCTCGCGACCCTGGAACTGGAAAATCAAAAGGCTATGGCTTCGTCTCATATACAGACTTCGAATCCTCGGACGCCGCTATCGAGTCTATGAACGGCCAGTTCCTCATGAACAAAGCGATCACCGTTCAATACGCGTTCAAGAAGGACGGCAAGGGCGAGCGGCACGGTACGCCAGCAGAACGCCTTCTCGCTGCACAAGCCCGGAAAAACAACGCACTCCCCGTCTCCGCGCGTCCCCCGCCCGCGCCCGTGGCCTTCGGCTCCCGGCCGCCAATGCCCGGTTTCCAAGGGCCATACCAGGGTCAGTTCGCGGGCGCACTCGCACAGCCCCCTCCCCCGCCTGGATTCACTCCACAGCAGACGATCATGCCCCAGGCAATGCCCATGCAGATGTCAGGGATGCCGATGGGCATGCAGCCGCCTCCAAATATGTCAATGTATGCCCCGCAAACGGGCTTTATGCCGCCACCTCCTCCTGGGGGCTTCGTACCGCAGGGCATGCCCGGCATGATGCCCGGTATGATGCCGCCCCCTCCCTCTGGTGGTCCCCAGCAGTACATGCCTCCGCCGGTGCCGATGTGACAGGTCATTTCTCTCGTGTAATCTTGGTAACGTTGTAGTCTTACTAGTAGTCCTTTGTCAATCACGAGACTTCTTGGTGCTCTGTGCAGGCTATCTGAACGTGGTGCAGCAAACTCAAGAGGTCGTTTTGGCATGAGCTTGGCGTGCGCGACTTCCTATGGACGAAGTCAAGTGCGTTTGTGAACAGCCGCGGTTGATATCCAATGTATGTCTCTCGCAGCCCTGTCTCAAGGTCGGTCAGCAGGCACAGTTGAGTCCAGTGGTTGGCTTCCTATCGCAGGTTTGTTCCTCGGTCCCGTTCGGCGGTGTTCTCGAATGCTACGCAGAAGCTGGGTCGCCGTTTGATCAGTCACATTCGGAAATTATCACTGTGTGCGTCACGGCATCTGTGAGTGGCGCTGCTTCTCTTCTAGGTCAAAGCTATTTAATACTCCCAAGAAACATGGCAACTCATCACATCAGCGTCAGTGGAAGTTGAGAAGCTCTGAATTCCGTCGGAAATGAGCTGATGCTGTTGAGTGCTTCTCTCGCTGCCGAGGATCCGGTCCTTCGACGCCCACACAAACCGCAGGGAGGCCGTTAACGCATTTGCCGCCATGTACGCGATGAATATCGTTCTAGATGTTAATAGTCTCGAGGCTGGCTCTCGTATCGGTTCAGACGGAGCGCACTTCGGAGTCCGGACGAGCGTTCCTAAGTAAAGCTACGGTACGTCTTATCATGCCGACTTGCAATCTTTGGTTGTCTCCAGTGTGAATTGAGTCATTGCTGCAGCAGGGCCGCAGTCAACTTTATATGACACGTCCAGCGTTCAGACGCGTTGGCTGTTAGGTGGCTATCATCGGGTGTCCATACAGGAATCTCATGGTTCCCTGCATTGTCATTATGCGAGAACGCCTATTAAAGATACCTCCGTCCACTGGGCGTGACCATGATGTCAGTACAACACGCCGGGTGGGCCAGATGAATACGGTACCGTGCGTTCTTTGCACCCGTACAACTTTCGGACAGTCTTCTTGCTCTGATGGTTCTGTTTAAACGCTGAATCACAGCGCCCTCTTCATCATGAGGTCCGCAGGAATTTTTCATCGCGCTCTCTCCATAACGGCGTTCGTATGATAGGATACGCGACCTGCAGACGCCACTCTCGCAGGCGCCTCTGAAGTATATTGCCAGGTATCGCTGCTGCCCACGATGCATGCGCGCTCCGGGATCGGTCTGTTAATGCCAATTGCATCGACCTCGGGCCATGTGCTTCTCTGCAGTGTGACGATTATTTGCGTCGGTCAAAGTTCTGTTGTGGAATGGACTGTTCGTCATGACAAGCCTCCGGCCTTGTCTGTCTTGAACGTTTGAACCCTCCCCAGGCTGGTGTGTTCCTTCAGTTCCTTGTCTTCCTGAGGCCTGGTTATTGTCCTTGAGGGTGGGACTCCACTTTTGTTGTCGCACAATTGCAGTTTGATCGGCATCCGACGATTGGCTTCGCAGGTGTGGAGTGCAGAACGGTGAGTTGGCGCAATACTTTCCTCGATCAAGATTCAGCCGTTGGAAATGCTCGGTGATTTCTCCGCTGAATTAATATGGTAAGAGGTGTGCTCAGGCCCGCACACGCGAACGCAACAAGAGGTTGACGAGGGGAAAATATATTATCACGGCTTGTGTACTCATTCTGCGGACTACCATCATCTGCATATGAATCGCACAGAAGTATTTAGCATGCCCACTTCCTCATTGCAGTCACCTACTGTAGGCTTGCTTCTGGCGGTGGAGTATGCGAAATGTCGACTCCTAGGGTACACATTCGCTCCGACGCGGTGGATGTCTCGACGGCAGGTAGTAGGTTAGCGATACTATGCCATTTACCGTATCGTTCTTCACCAAATTTTTCCTCTAAACTGAGTTCAACGTTAACCGATGTGCTATTAAATGTAGCATTCCACGCACGATGCAAAGTAGAAACTGGAGACGACTCCAGCGGGTACAACCAACTGTCAGTATCTTGCAATAGTGCGGCAAGGACCACCCAACCGTTGTTTACAATTCCCGGCTGTTCCTCACACAGTCTCCATCTCGTCTTCTCTCACCACGATCGGCGCGGGCCCACTGCCTCCAACGGTATTCTGCCTGCCTGCCTTCCCATTCTTTTTCCCCCTTCTCCCAGCGCCAGGATTCCCACCAGCAGCACCGACAGTGTCTGCGGCCTGGTACCCTCCTCCCTTCCCCTTCCTCTTATTCTTCCCCTTTAACACCTCGTCTACCCCGTCGCCGATCTTGATGACTACACTCACCGTCGACTTCCCGCGTGTTCGGTACGAGATATCTTCGTCCTCGTCTTCGGGAATCAGCTCGTCCTGTACCTCGACGGTGCCCGTCAGGATCTCTGTGTGCACTTCGTCTGGGGGGAAGGGCAGGATAGAGGGGAGCGAGACCGTGAGCAGCATTAGGTGGGGTATTGCCGCACCCATCGCGCTCAGGTGAAGATTTTTGTACCTACGTACACGATCAGCTGCGGTAGCACAAGCGTTTAGGTCTCGAACACACACCCGTCTTTCAGGATCACGTCCTTACACCGCCGTAAATACCCTCCCAGTGGTGTATGACGCGTGATGCATATATAGTTCTTTCCCTCTGTGTGCGCAGAGCGTGGCCCCGTCGCAGATACGGACGTTGGGACCGTCGGGAATGGTCGCGGTGGTACAAGCTTCCTGATTTTGTGCGTCGACGGGTCCGCGCCACCTTTCCCAGTATCCTTGCGTGTAGTAGTGTCGGTGTCCTTGGCCTTTCCCTTCCCTTTGTCTGCAGCATCTGTCCGAGACGCTTCCCCGTTCGCGCCTTGCACAGGCCTGGCTGCGGCTAATGTTCCGCTGTCAGCTTCAAGTCTGTCGGTTTCGAGTTCCACTGTTTGTCCCGAGGTGCTCGGACCGCCCGTACGTGGCGCAGGATTAGTGGCCTCTGTTCTGAGTCGTTTGGAAGGTCCGGCTTCGTCGTCCGCCGGTTCGAGTCTACGTTTCTGAGCGGCTGGCCTGCGTGACGGCTCCGACGAACTCATACTTGAGTCAATTGTCCAGAGGTGTAGTTTTCAAAAGGGAATAAGCATGGTAAGATGGGCGCTATTGTCCTGATTTGGAGTTATCTAATGCAAGATAACCAGTTATCGGTGGCAGATACATACATAGATAATCTGCATGATCGCCTAGAGACCAGAGAAATTTTGAGAGCTGTGTCTGTCTCTCCACCACCATCTTCATCCCCTTCCTGTTTTTGTTTCTCCCGGTCCATATCCTCTAGAGAGAACACGAAAATTTAGCGAAAATGAGTCAGGACCAGGCTGAGCAGAACATTCAGATGTGGAAGGTCAAGAAGCTCATCAAGAGCCTTGACGCCGCCAGGGGGTGCGCCGTCGTCGTCCGCTCACTCGTCCCGCAGGTGCTCATCGCGCACGCAGTGCCGGCACGTCCATGATCAGCCTGATTATGCCCCCAAAGGCGCGCTCGATTCCGCCTGATCTCGCCTGATCTGCTCACCCCATGTCTCACAGGACCAAATTTCCCGTATTTCCGCGATGCTGACGCAGGAGTACGGCACCGCGTCTAACATCAAGTCTCGCGTGAACAGGCTGTCCGTGCTTGCAGCGATCACAAGCACCCAGCAGCGCCTGAAGTTGTACAATCGCGTACCACCCAACGGGCTCGTCCTCTTCGTCGGCACCATCCTCACAGACGAAGGCAAGGAAAAGAAGGTCTCCTTCGACTTCGAACCACACAAGCCTATCAATACGTATGTAACCCTGTGTATCTGCTGTCTGCGCGCCGCCGACCGCATGTTCAGATCTCTGTACCTTTGCGACAATAAGTTCCACACGGAGGCGCTCCAAGAGCTGCTCGAGTCCGACTCCAAGTTCGGTTTCATAGTCATGGACGGCAATGGCACGCTCTTCGGCACCGTCGCGGGCAACACGCGCGAGGTCATTCACAAATTCACCGTCGACCTCCCAAAGAAGCACGGCCGCGGTGGACAGTCAGCCCTCCGTTTTGCGCGTCTGCGCGACGAGAAGCGTCACAACTACGTCCGCAAAGTCGCGGAGCTCGCCGTCCAGCATTTTATCACGAACGATAAGGTCAACGTGACCGGGCTGGTGCTCGCGGGAAGCGCGGATTTCAAGACGGAGCTTAGCCAGAGTGACATGTTCGATCTGCGGTTGGTGGCCAAGATCATCAAGGTGGTTGATGTAAGCTACGGCGGAGAAAACGGTTTCAATCAGGTGCGAAACATGTGCATTGATACTACAAGTAGAGGCCGCTCATTCACATTGCAGGCAATCGAACTCGCAGCCGAGTCACTCGCAAACGTCAAGTTCGTGCAAGAGAAGAAACTGATCCAAAAGTACTTCGATGAGATCAGTCAAGACACTGGCAAGTACTGCTTCGGTATTGACGATACCTTGAGGGCTCTAGAGATGGGTGCCGTCGAGACGCTGATCGTGTGGGAGAATTTGGACGTTACTCGTTATGTCCTCCGCAACGCTGCAGGTGGTACGTGCTTCGGCCCTCGTTTGCTCTGGATCGATGTCTTACAACCACCTCAGAGGATATCGTTATTTTCGCAAACAAAGAACAAGAGAAGGACCGCGAAATATTCCTGGATAAGTCGACCGGGGTGGAGATGGAGCAATCGTTGGAGCCGCAGTCGCTGCTCGAGTGGTTCGCGGAGAAGTACAAGGAGTTCGGTGCGAACCTCGAATTCGTGACGAACCGGTCGCAGGAGGGTGCACAGTTCGTCAAGGGCTTTGGCGGCATCGGCGGGCTACTCCGGTACAAACTCGACTTCACAAACCTCTCAAGCGTCGACGATGACGACGAGGACGAGTTCTACAACGACGACGAAGCTATCTGACTTACGTGGAGGCTCCGTGTTGGAGCCCTATCCGGCTTGGGCACGCCGGGTGGGGCGGAGGGGCGCGGCGGGCCGGGCGTTGTGTGCTTGGGACGTCCGGTGGGGGTTCGGGAGGTATTTGACTCGAGGCAAGGCGACGAGGGTGGCGACAAGAAAGGAATACCAGCAGGTCATGAGAAATCGGTGCTTACTGGTGATGGAAGTACTTCTTGCAATATGGAGATGAGCGGGTGTGGACGCGTATGGAGGGCTAAGTGTGGGTTCAGCGGGGATATTGTGATTCACGACCGAGTGACCCCCGATGGTACGTCTCCCCAGTACAGTGGTTTTGCCGCACGATAATTGACATGTGGTTGGGTTCGCCAGGTGTCACTGTTATTGCAGCCCAAGTTCTGTATTAGTCTTTGTCCGTGTAACACTGTTGTCGCTGTAATCACAATTCTGTTGTATGTGCCAAGGTGTCATTGTGTGTGTGCTGTGCGAACGCAATGCAATTGCCTTTCGCAACGACAACTGCTTGCGTACGAGGCATGGTGACCTTGTTCCATCTAACGGACAATCCTGAGCTTGCTAACGTGTTAACTGCAAAGCGTACAATGTGACGCCCAGAAATTAGTGATACATCAACTAGAATACAGTCCCATAGGCCTCCACTTCTACATTCGTCTTCGTCAAAGGTCAAACTCAAATTCCGAGTCCGAATCTTCCTCCCGCTGAGTCCGCCTAATGTTCTTGCCCGAATGCACGTTCGTCATGGTTGCCGCCGAACGCATCCTGTCTGAAAGCGAGTCGCCCGAATCCTCATCGTCTGGCTCGTCGTCGTCCGAGTTGCTGTCACGGCTACGCTCGCTGCGTAGACCCTGCTGCTGCTCCGGGGTTATCGCACCACCAAGGATCAGGACGGCTTCCAGCTCTGCGATACGTATAGAATACTGTCAGGTTATAATTATGAACGTCATACCTTCAATTTTCCGCTCGCGATCCCCGCCCCATGCGACGATTTGGTTCAGTACGTCGCCATTGCGGTAGATGATGAACATCGGGATCCGTGCGTCGGGGAGGTTGGCGATGCACTTGTCTCCAACGATGGATACGAACTTCGTGTGTGGATGACGCTGGGCTAGTATCCTGACGTGCTGTACCGCACTGTCGCTACGAAGGATCCTGAGATACCATCGTATGAGTACCAAAACGCACGCACACGCGTGCACGAGAATCGAAGTAACGGGATGACATACCCGTCCTTGTACAGGAAACACACCACGCCGGTGCCATTTCCCTCGCCCTCCGGACTTCCATCATCGTTCACCTTGCTCGCCTCTGTCACCTCCCTGGTATAATCATCGCGCCCGATGGGGTACACCCGTCCATACGGCGCCTTTTGGTACCGGCGCAGCTCGGAAAGGCGCTGCCTCCTCAGGGTCTCGACCATCCGCTCCGTTTCATCGTCTCCAGCATTTTCACCAAACTGCTTGAGCTCTTTCGCGGTCAGCCCTTCTATCTTCTCTCGCGTGGTTGGGGGGGGAGGCGGTGAGGGCGCTCGCTTCTCAGGCTCGCGCGGGGGAAGGATGCCATGCTTCCGGAGGATGTCGTTGCTGAGCAGAGAAGTATCGGCGACGACCAATGGATAATCTGGACTTGCTTACAATTCGGTGTCTTCGTTTGGGTTCACCGACATAGTGTTGAGAGTAAGATGGAAAAGGTATCGGGAGAAAAGCGTGCGCAGTGCGGGCGTACTGTCAAGTCGACGTGCCACAGATAACAAACAACAGCAAAGTTAAGAACCTAGATCGAGCTCGATGATGATAACGCTGCCTGGTTGATTCTCGCCACAGTCAGGAACGGCGAGCAAGCTCCTGAGCAGGCCAGATAGTACCCCTGCAATGGGCAGATTCCTGCAACAGAATTAAGGGGAACGTTCGTTGAGTGCTTGATGTTCAACAACTACACCTTCTATATCCGGCTGTAAGTGTGGTGCGGAGTTTAAAAACTCCAGTCAGTACGCTTGTGTACGAGAGCAAGCCTGAATTTAGTTAAAAAAACAAACATGCCTTTTTTCAGCGGTTAGGAATGCCAGGTGGAGAAAGAGCTCCTCGCTGTAATAGCGTGTATGTCGAGAGAAGATTTATGCCAGAAATTTGGAATGGTGGCTTGTGCCACCCCGACGTTATTTGCACCTTTCGTACATCCCACAAACAAGAGGTAATGTTTGGATTTCTACCTATGACGCAAGGGCGAGGCGTATGTATGCTACTACACTCATACTGTGTTATCTTGTTTAAACCACTCATCCTGAATGTGATGTGCTCATATCACAATTCCGATCGCAGTTTCAATTTTCCACTGGTGTACACAACGCATGCAGTGATTAGGTGCTATGAAACGTGAGTAGAACTACAGAAGTGGGGTGATCGATACATATGGTTGGTATACTGAACAAACATTGTTTTGGATTGAAGGTCGAAAAGCACCTTACAGAGTCTGTTCTCTCGCCCAGGAAACGTGTCAGAGAACGAAGAGCACAGGCCAATTAATCTTCGACTTGCATCAAGTCCTCCACCTCCCGCTCGTCGCTCAGCACGATGAGGTCGTCCTCGTCTTCGCTTGTAGAATCATCATCTTCCAGGTCTTCCCGCGGAATGCCCGAAACGCCGCTGAGCTCATCCTGGATAATGTGTGCAAGAGTAGCGAAACCCTCTTCCGTCTCGTCGTCCAGTGTCGTCTTCTCGGTGATTTCTACAGGCGCAACTGCAGGCTTGACCTCCGTCTCAGCCTTGCCACAATCGCAAATAGTCCGCAAGTATTGCGGCGAAGCGGTATCGTCAAGAATAATACGGGCGCGTTCGGCGGCAAGTCCCTTCGACAAAGATAGATTGGGCGCCGTTATGGGACCCACGACAACAATGTCGTGCACGATGACAGAGATGCTGTCGTTGCGCTTGGCCTCAAGGCGACTTTGGGATTTTCTAGCAATAGCACAAGATGATCAGAGTGTATTCTTATCGTGAGTCCTTCGATGCTCACCGGAAGCTTATCTTCCTACATCCCGACTGCGCCACCCAGACCATAAGTTCTGAGACAGGATCCCTGGGGAGGTCTGGCGACAACACGACGAGCAGTTCTTCAAGCACTGTTTCAGTGATAGCGGCCGCTTTCTCAAAATTCCAGTCTGTATCCACCAGGACCGCACCGAGGACGCTCTCGAGAACATCGCTGATGGCCTTCGGTGGATCCTGTTTCCACGCATTGTTGATCATGTCCGCGCCCGAGATCTCCTCCAATACGGGCACATACTTGCTGATGGCGATGCTGAGCTCAACGTTGTTGACGAGCAGGAGTTTGTGCAGTCCCAGACGCTTGACGGCGACAGACGCGAGCGATGGAGCGCAGACGGCGCGGGAGCGTGCCCATGAAAGTTGGCCAGAAGTAGCCTGAGGGAACTTGTCGAATAGATATTGCATAACGACTAGGTCAATGAGCGCTGTAACCAGGTCAGTTAGACATTGGCCGGTCAGACGGAAATCGCGCACCATCTCCGAGGAATTCTAACCGTTGGTACGAACAGCAGTCCGTGGATCCAAATGAAGGATGTGTCACCGCTTCAAGCAGCAGGTGCCCATGCCGGAAACTGTAGCCCAGTACCTCTTGCAAGTCCGCAAACAGTGCAGACACCGCAGTGTGAGGCATACGGCCACCATATCGCTCATTCCAAGGCGACGTACCACCAAAGCTCAGCCCGAGAGCCGTACCTGCGCGGAGCGCCATGGGTATACCGCCTGTCGCGAAGCTCGCTCCAAGGGTAGCTTCCATGCAGTCCTGTAAACTGCGCCGAGGGATGTGCCTGGGGGAATATCGGTGCGGCTCGGCGGAGGATGGGTCGACAGAGGGCGGAAGCGTGTGTCTCCAAAAGCGCATACTTTGCGTCTCTCCAGAGAGATACCGCTCTAGCCCGTGCTCCTTTGCGCGCGCGAGTAGCGTTCGGTTTGCCACAGACTTCCGCCGCAACATGTCCAGCTGGCCTTCATGTCGATGTGGGAACTTGTTGTACAGATGGACAACGGAGCTAAGCTTCAGGACCGAGTCACCCAGTGTCTCCAGCCGCTGGTTACTGAATCCCGCGTTGGCGCTGGGAAGGGTGAGTGCTTGCACCATGAGGTCGTCCATAATAGGCGGGAGACCTAGCTCTGCACGAGCTGCACGAGCACGGTACAGATCGGAAACACGGTGACACAGCTCTGGCAGAACATGAAATGTGCGATACACATCCTCCGATATCTCTGCCCACTGTGCCAACGCCATGGGATAGAAGATACTAGACTGCTGTTTCTTCGTTGGGGCATCCACTGTAACAGGCCCATTATCCAACGAATAGATGCAAGATGTATGCCTAAAGTAGGGGGTTCCCTCGACAACAGGGCCGTCGGCCGGGATGTCCGGGACAACCTCCTTTCTCGTATATTTGTGCTGCCAAAATTCTCGGTAAGTGGGGAACGCGGCCTCCCGTGAGCCCTGCGGGGGTGTAGACTTGGGAGACATGTCAGTTCGGATGCCCTTCAAGAGCAGTGCTCGGCCAGGCTCCTTCGTGCACATAACGAGCACATGCCTGTAGTCCTGCTCGGTGATACCGGACCAGTCGTACGCACCGTACGGATGTGCAACCGCACGGTCGATCGCATCGAAGTCCGGCTTCATCGCATGAGTAATAGGGACTAGGTAGCACGTCATTGGAAGAGTGATCCCTCTTCCAGTGACGCACCACCAAAGGCCCATTCTCATGAAGTCCTCCATGGCACGCCTCTGTCTCCACTCATCCTGCGTATCGAACTCGAGCAGCTGCCCTTCGCCGGTGCTCACAAAGGTACCGCTGCAGACGAGTTCCACCGGCGGAAGTAGAGTGCCGGTGATTAGACCAGCTGTAGGACGACCATCGAGGTAGACGACGTGCAAGTACTGCACGGCGCCTCGCGTCCACGGATCGCGGACTTGAACCTCCATCATCTCCGGCACTCTGCTGACGTCTTGGATAGGCCGACCATCTGGATCCTCGTTGTCACTACCAGTGACGCTCTGAGCAGGCAGGAGGTAGTCATCGAAGACGTTGAGCGCATGTAGTTCCTTGACAGCGAGGAAAGCGACAGCTCGCTTCGCCTCCTTCTTAGAACGCTTCTCTGGCCCTGTGTAGACCAGATGTTTATGCGGCAACGGTAGGGTAGAAGGAAGGTGGAGAGTAGACGTGAAGTCGCCAGAATACCGAGGCAGGAACGTCGGTGTGAACCTGTCATGTGGAACGAGCGAACAAAGGTGGTTGAGAAGACCGATTGCGCCGTTGTATGTGAGCACGGCGCCCGTAGTGGGAACAACGTATCTCTCCCTTTCAGCGAGATCATCAGGGTCATCGCGCTCCTCCTCTTCACCTTCTTCCATCGTAATCTGTGCTTTGCTGTCGCGTGACTGATACACAAGACGCAGTTGCGGCTCGCTCTCATGAAAGGCCTTGTAACGAGCTTTGTGAGTGACTTGTCCTTGCTGTACCATGACCACAAATGTCGAGGTTCTGTGCCTCGCACGCCCTCGAGACTGAAGGTATCCAACCATATGCTGCAGCGGATCAAAACGGATGACAAGGTCGCATGCCTGGATGTTTAGAGGTCTAGCTCAGTTGTGAAAGAACGGAAATTCAATTGGACGGACCGGAAAATCAAGGCCTTCTTCAGCAACTGAAGTTGCAATAACTGAACAGAGACTGTCAATCACAGAGATGACATTCATGGCTGTCTTTTACTCACGTAGATTGATCTCTCTGTCCCGAAACAGTTTCACGACATCTTGCTGGGTTTTCAGAGCCATGCCTCTCCCTGGCGCCCTAGCTACGGCGCTTGTTCCGTGTCCAATGAGCTGTCCACACTTGATAAGATGACTGAGCTGTGGAACGCAAGGCAGTATCTGGGAGAGGCATGCCGCGACGTGCCGCTGCTCAACAAACACGATGCCTTGGAACGAGGAGCTATAGTGAGCAAAGAGAAGATCAATCAATTCGCGGACTTTCGGCGAGCACCACTTAAGGTGGACCGTGAGCGGTAACGTTTCAGGGTCGTTTTCGTCCTCAAACAAATAGCGGAACTCGGAGAGGATAGATTCCAATTGCCTGACTTCCGGAGGGAGCTGGACATCTGAAGGACTCGGCATCATTGGCATGTCACCATTCACTTCGGCATAGTTGATAGCTAGATAGTCCAGATCAATGTCGCTGGCCTGGTTAATCATCTGCGTGATGCGTTGCTTGATATCCGTGTACAAGAACAGCTCCGCGCCGTACGGTCCCAGGCTAGCAAATGTCACTTCGTACCTTGTCCGTATCTTTTCTACAGGTATATCAATGTCTGGAGGGAGACTGGCTAAGTCCAGGCGATCCCAAAGAGAATGACTTAGGTATGCAGGATACGCGTCAGGAGGCGCGGGGTATTCGTGTATGATCTACCGGATGTTCAGTAGGTTCGTAGCAAGGAAGACCGACGACCCACCTCCTCGGGTTTGGGAGAATGCGTCATAAGTTCATCGACATGATGCCGGACCGCGATCACCTTCGCGTCCAGATTTCTCTCCAGAGTCATAAGAGACTCCACGGCATCTCTAGGGTTCCATATAGGTGATGCGGTCATCCCAAAAATCTTGGGTCGCGTCTCCACAGGCTGCTGAAAATATTCGCGCATTATACCATTGTAGGCGTGGTTCTTCCGCGTATGATGGCATTCATCGAATACGATCAATGACACCCTGTCAAGACTCCACAATGAATGCGTGAGCACGTTGAGGAAGATTTGCGCTGGGAACAGACATTGAGACAAAGCGCCACGAGAACAAAGGAAGATCGCACCGGTCATGACAAAAACGTCCGCGCTCGCAAACTCCTTCCTCCAACCGAATCGATCTGACAAGTCAATCGCAGTGGCACCATAGGACTTGCTGACGCGTAGAGGTGTCTGTTTCATGATGAAATCACCTTGCTGATCCACCAGAGCAACCTTGGGCACAAGGAAGATGATAATCTTCCGCAGTCCTGCATCCCGCGCCGAGATCCATTTGATCAGTAGCGTGCTAATGTAGGTCTTCCCACTACCCGTATCCAAAGCAGCGATAACATTGCCTCCGCGAGCGCGCGAAAATATCTCTTCCTGGTACCGACGCGGTAACAGCGATTCGTTGACGTCGTCCAGATTTACGGTCATAGTTTCGAGCAAGTACTAGATGTAGCGCGTACTGCAGCGATGCAAGGGCATGGCTAGGGCACCAGAATGTAGGCCTCAGCCTTAGAACCACGCGCAAAGCAAGGCGAATGAAGTAAAGCAGAGAGCCTTTTGTGGCGGAAAGTCGATCCTGACCTAAGTTACGTAATCCAGAGTCGTAGCGCTCGGGTAATTTGAACCGCCACAGAAGTTTCAACAAAGTTTCAACAAAAGCTTCAACGATCCAGACAAGAGTTTGCTGAATGCAGAGGAACAAGGTGATGGCTGATGGAGATGGAAGATAGAAATTCAGATCGGCGCCCGTGTACTGGGCGCTGCTGCAGCAGACTCATAAAATTTTACATCTGCTCAGATTTCACATTAATATTCACCGGTCTCAGAAGCAGTATCGCTCTTACTTCAGGTACACCTTGCGAATTTTTAAAACAAAACTTTGTTTGGCTGTTGTGCTCCACCACGCCGTACTCAGGCTGGGTGAAACGTCTCCATCTGGTACTGTCAGCAATGACCGAGCCTGACCTAGAAGAACAAGGGACACTAGGCCTGTAATAGGCTCACGATACTAATCAGTGGTATATCACTGCACTATGCCTGACCCGTACTTCTTGTAAGAGAGTTCTTTGCTACTGCTACAGTACCACGTCTGTCTTCGCTTGCTACCCATCCATATGGCGCACCTCGCAACCACTGACTTCTTGCAGCAGCTGAAGGCGATCTACCCATCGAAAGGCGCACTCACTCCTGAGACTGTCTTATCGAATCCATGGTACCTCGTTGCAGCGGTTGCCTTCAGCGCGAGCAACAAGGCCGAGGCGGTTCCCCTGGTCTTCGCTTTCGTGCTCAGCGAGCTCAAGCTGGCTCAGGGCCGGGAGAGCGAGACGGAGAAGGCGCGCGAGCAGCAGCTAAGGCTCGCACGCAGGATTCGAGAGGCGCTGCTGCAATCGGGTGTGCTCACTGGGATACCGCGAGTAAGCCCTTGGCAGAATGAATTCTACATTCCCGGTCTGATCGCTAGGTTCAGGTGATCGACAGCTGCATCGCGCTGAACACGGTCATGCCTGAGGATTTGCGAGACTCGAAGCCACAGAGGTTCACAGTCTGCATGCCCATCTATGACTCGGATATCTTACATCTTGTGCATGCATAGGAACACAAAGAGGAGCATGGAGGATCTGGAAGAAAGCGGCCGGAAGCTCTTCCACTCCATGTACCGTGACACTGCAGACGGCGTGCAGAGTCTGCTCGACTCTGCCTACCAGGATCTTGGTCGGAATTTGCTTCTTTGCAATAGAAGAATTATGACATTCACCTAGATTTTATCCGCAGGTTGGTGGTGTAACACAATCGGCTACGGCGTAACCTACGGTGGTACAACCCTGCTTACACAGGTCGAGACGTCCTTCACGATCGTCGCGGCCCTTATCGCCGTAGACGCGCCTCGCCAAATTGTATGGCACCTCGCGAATGCCCAACATGGCGGCGCGACACTGGAGGAGGCAAAGGCCGTGCGGCAGATTGCGATGACCGTTGCGGAGAAGTCTGGCGTTGTGTGGAAGGCAGGTGTGCCAGAGGCCATCTAGACGGGCTGCCAGTGCACGGGTGTATTGGATGTAAATCGAAGTAATTTGGGCAAATTGTAAATTAGATGTTCCTATGTTCTGCTATAGAGCGATTGGTACATAGAGCGCCTCTGGCACGCCTCCGTGCCAGCCGGCGGAGAGATCACCGAACCACTCTAATGATCTCGATCGAGAAAGGAAGACCAATATTAACCTTCGCGTTTCGATCACTTGTTATATCTGCTTCGAGGTAATATTCAAACGCACGTAAAGAAAGCTGGAAAAACACACTAGTTAATTGTTCAAGATACAGGCGACTTGACACTGACTCGGAGGAACAGCCTCAGTCATGTGCACATTTCTGCAAAGCCTCCACCAACCATGCACACAGTCCTCGCACTTCAAGATCGGCGCGCAGCAGAAAGAACATGGTCTGACATGAAGCCGACCATTCAGTTGTTAGCGTGATGCCGGAGCGGCTATGCATCGCGGCAGTAGCGAGATACCTGGATGAATTTAAACGCCGTGCCTCAGAGGCACGAAGCTTTGCTACATTTCCGAGAGTCATGCACAAACTGTGGGTGTGTGAGGTTCCCTCATTAATATTATGAAGATAATGCGATCTGTGTGTCACAATTAGCACGGCATGACGGTCAGAATGCAAGTCGACATATGAATCCCTGGCATGCACCTTGTGTACAAGGTTGCATCGTGTCAATTTTGGGGGCAAAAGAAAAGTTGTTTGCCGTTAGAGAGTTCGGCTGCCCTCACAGAATTCCTGAGCGAACCAAATACTGGCCAGCTGAGCAGCGGGAGGAATTGCGTGCGTGGTAGACATCTCACCCTTGGAACCGCTCTACTCCGGAAGATCCAGAATTACCGAACGCATAGCCACCGCACGCAAATAATTCGGGAGGCCAATGAACAGTGTGCAAACAACGCAAGCGTGCGATTCCGACCAGCTCGATTCAACCTTTGGATCATACATGCATTCGATTGTTATGTAGAGAAATTTTCATCCGGAAACAGCAAGGAGCGTACACTGAAGAAGACTTATGAGAGAGGGAATGCGAGGATTATGTATCAAAACACTTCAGCCTCTGACTGTATCTTGTCTGAAAAATTGGAGCTGAATCCTACTCCACACCAGCTCTGCGAGTCAGACCCAGCCGGAGACAACTGTGGGTCAATCCAGCTCGTATCCGAGTTCGTATCACTGAAATCACCGTGAAGAGTCTCGAAGGGGATACCCGAATTGATGGCACTTGACGACGGCGGTAATGGCGTGCGGCCCAGCGTCGCAGACGACCATGCATTGTGGAACTCCAGATCCGCCAATGGCGATGACAACCCGGACGAGAGCGACAGGACGTCCGGCAACGGCGGAGAGGCGGACCACGTATCCGACGCGACAGGGAACGACGCGGAGAAATCGAGTGTAGGGAGGACGAACGAGTGCGCGGGGTCGATCCCGCCCACGCTCTGGTGCCATACCTCCGGCTGTGCGCTATTCTCCACTTCTGCCTCTGCGCCGGCGTCGCTCTCGCTCCCCACACTCATTTCCTCCAAGATCGCGTCCATGCTCGCGGACTCGGCATGCTCCTCACCGCTCCGCACCTCCTCCAATACGCACCATCCGCTGCCGGCCTCGCCGAGCACACCTCGAACACGCGCGGCGTCCCAGCCTACGAATCGCACTTCGAGTAGCGTGCACAAACCACGAGGATCGCCCCGCGCAGTGCAGCAGACATCAGAGGAAGTGAAGACTTTGGCTGCATCAAGTCGCGCGAAGAGCGAGGACACACGTAAGGCGTGCGTGTTATGCGAATTGTGCAGTCCGGCGATTATTGGGAGCGGGAGTAACGGATGTGCGGAAGTGGTTGAAGGGTACGGCGAAGGCGACAAAGGCATGCGTGCGGTCGGAGTGGGTGCGAGGGGGATGAGGAGGTGCGTCGTCACATCGGGGGTAGTAGGCGCCGGGAAGTAGTGCTCCAGGTCGTCCTTAGACTTGTCCTCCTCGGCAGCGGCCACCTGCTCAACGGGCTTCTCCGCTGGGACGACACGCGTCTGCCGCATCTCCTTCCTAGCCTTCCTAGCCTTCTTCTCCTGCGCCTTCTTGTATTTCTTCATCCGCAATTTCTCCCGCTCGTCATGCATCTTCATGTCCCAGTCGGCCTCCCAGAAGGCGCGGCCGCTCACCGGCACATTGTCGGCCAGGCTCTGGAACACGGGACGCGCAGTCGAGAAGTTGCGCGCGAGGCCCAAGCCGACCTGCGTCGTGTTACGCGGAACAGCGGGAGCACGCGGGAGGTGCGGGGCACGGAACGGATGGGCGAGGGCATATCTAACGGGCAAGGACAGACCTTGCTGGATCGTGCGAGTGTGCGCCGGCCCGGAATACAACGTACGTGCAGCGTGTGCAGTCGAGCCTATGCCGGGAGTGGTGAGGTGCGTCGCGAACCGCGACAGGAGCGTTCGAGCATGTCTGAAGAGCGTCTGTGCGGTTGTCCGCGTCTGCGCAGGTGTGGACGGGATGTGTATCGAACGAGCGATCCGTGCGAGACCGCCGCCGGTGGGTGTGAAGCGGAACGTTTGGCAGCCTATCAAGGCGCGCGTCCCGGACGATGCGAGCTGCATCGTCGAACGTCGTTAGAGGGCGTCGAGGATGCGGAGGTGGTAGTGGTAGCGGTCGAAGCAGGGGCTGGCATGGAGTGCACCGGATAGGCTTTTCGAGGTGCCGCCCGCACGCGTCAGCGATCGTGCCGCGTCCACGGCCGTTCCGGCAACGTCTAGATATGGTAAGTCACCATAAAACATACCAAGCTTAATAGTCATCTGGTATCGAGCTTTGCATCGTTGAGAGGCGCGTCTCAGAATATTCACAGTAGCTCATGTGTCTCACCTCAACGAGCAGTTATCCCTTGACGAACTTTTTGGTTATTCACAAACCGTAACAGTACATGGAGTATGTCTGCTGCTTCCTATTACTTCAAAGCTTCGCTTCTTCATCCTTGTAAAGCCCCTAACGGAAAAGGGCACTGAACGTAGTGGCCTTGTGTCTGCAACAAAACAATATAAGCCAACTTCCAGAGATTCTGAGCCAGATTTTACCCCAAGTACGCCAGTCCGGGATCGTAGAAGGTGCTGCGACGGAGATATCAGATACGGAGAAAGAGCTTCAACCATAGGAGAGATCTAACTAACATGTAACCGCGGTTGTCCGGGACACCTAACTTCTTCTTGAAAAAATCGAAGAAGGCCTTGCTGTAGCCTTCATTCAGCTCCGGGCTGATATTCCCAAGGCTCGTCTGCAAGGTGTCTCTTAGTGCAGCTACCCACTTCGAGAAAACGAGTTCGGCTTACGATAGTGAGCAACAACGCAGGATCGAACGTCCCATTGAAGGTTAGGTTCTCATTGTACGTGTAGCTGGTCGAGATGTATACCAGCGGCTTGTTCAGCGTCTTCGCCGCGAACTAGAAATCAAATCGGATCTGATGAATACGTAGATCATTAGTATAAGAACAATACGTACTTCGGAGAACTCGAGCAAGAACGGCTTGGGATCAGCAAGGTGGACGTTGGTCTTCAGTTCGAGAGACGGCATGGTTGATCAAGGTAAGAAACAGAGATGAGGCGTGCTCCCCTGTCAAAAAAATTGCTTGCTCATCGGAGTCATCAGGGGACCGTGGATAATTGCTGAGTGGGCGTATGAAGAGGAGCGGATGAGATCAGTCTCGGTGGCTGAGCACATGCCAAGTGGTTCAACTGATATCCAGCGGACCGACTTCCTTGCGCAACATCCTATGGCTCGACGAACTGGTTTCTCTGCATTCACAATGATTGTAGTTGCCAGAATTGCACGAAAAGTGAAGCCTATCCTAGTGTCAATTTACAGATAGTCGGCAACGACTCGGAAGATCCTCGAGAAGAGGCGTGACCGTATGGTGCAAATGTCGTCAACGTTCTCACAAGCGTTCAACGTTCAACTTCTACCCCAGCTTGTTGCAGACTTCAGGAGTGTTGTTGCCTGCAGCATTGATGATGGAGTCTCTGAAGTTTGGTATCGGTGCTGAGAAAGACAGCCGAGAAGTCCTTTTGCGAAAGAAAAGATCTCCAAGGTTCAAGGTTGGTGGTATCTTCCAGGGTGCGTTGTACCAGCCCACATAGCTGGCTATGAGCGGGGCTGACTTTCTCTGACAACAGGTGTACTGCTAGTTATTGCGGCTGGAGTCCTCTCGACGCTCCTGCGTGTATCGCTAGTCTCTCTTCATCGTGGCACGCAGTCCCAACCCGCCAGCGCGTCTTCTGATGCTCTGGAAGATCCCAGCAGCGGATGGAAGGACGACATCTGGCCCATCCGCGAACAGACACCTTGGGACATCTCGACCGACTACAACTTCCCGCGCAAGCTCGAGTACGACGTGACGGAGGGCACATGGCTGAGGCTCGATGTGCACCCCCAGACGGGCGAGATCGTCTTCGACATGCTCGGCGACCTCTACTGCCTGCCCGTCTACGCGTACTCTCCCTCGCAGCTCGCGTCCGGCGGCATCTCGGTCGCGCGGCGTGTCCTCCTCGGTGTACCGCATGATTCTGACCCTCACTTCTCCCCGGACGGACAAAAGCTCGTGTTCAGGAGTGACGCGGAACTCGGGGTCGAGAATATCTGGGTCATACCGTGGACGGGATGCGAGATCATGGACGTCAGGCGCGATGACGCGAGCGGTCAGCTAGCGGCGGCGTTGCAGGTGCAGCACCACGAGGAAGAGCTCCTCGCGAGCGGTGTGAAGGAGAGCGCGCAGCGAAAGCACAACAGGCTCCTTAGCGAAGGCCGTCTCGCAGGTATGTTCGTGACTGCACGCACAGCGCTGCTGATTCTAGTCCATATGTAGCTCAGCGCGTGACGAACGAAACGTACCGCTGGGTGTCCGATGCGCGCTTCCACCCGTCCGGTTCGAGTGTCATCGCGACGAAATGGTACACTTCCTCGCGCAGCCTCGGCGCTGGTGAAGGCTGGCAGTACTCCATTCCCAACCCCGGCACACCAGTCGAAGTTGGAAGTGGTAAGCGTGTGATTGGTCGGACGCTCCCTCAAGGCTGGGGACCCGACCGCTATGGAGACCAGCAAATCGGTCCAGAACAGTTCATCTGGAGGGGCAATGACACACTGATCTATTCGAAGAATGTGAGGGACACCAACGGCGCGTTTTCATACAGCAAGGGTACGTTTTCTGCGGTCGGGAAGAAATTCATCTACTGAAGGACGTCCAGACGTCCATTCTGGTATCTACGCCATCTTCTCCACCAACGTGACGTCGAAGCGCACTACCACCCTTGTTGAAGCGTTCCCTGGAGGTGCCACCAGGCCTGAGCTTTCCAGAGACGGTCGCACCCTCGCCTTCGTCCGCCGTGCACGCGATAAGGAAGTTCTCGTTCTGAAGTACGTGTGCTTCGCATCGCCAGTGACTTGTTCTGATTATCCCTCAGGGACCTTGAAACAGGAACCCTACAGTACGTATGGGACGGCCTGACATATGACCTTGGTGCAATCTCTGCACCGATGGGTACATACCCTTCATTCGCATTCACACCTGACGACAGTGCTGTCGTGATCTGGGCAGCAGGACGAATATACCATGTCCCGCTGTCGACGAATGCCCGCGGGGAGCGGATAGCAGCCAGCACGCCCTTGCCAGTGCGTTTCATTGCGCACGTTGAGAAGCGGCTCGCGGAGACAGCGACGGCGCGCACGGATATCTCAGCGGTGGAGACGGCCGACTCGCAGCGGGTGTATGCGTTCCAGGAATTGCGCATTGACGACGCGGGCACGCGAGCGTTGTTCCAGGGAGCTGGCGCGACGTACGTGCAGCGCGTTGGTGAGGGCGCCCCGCGCGCAGAGAAGGTTCCGACTCTCCATCTTGGCTCGCCGTATTACTCGCCTTCGTTCATCGTTGGCGCTGATGACCTCGTTCTCCATGCTCGGTGGTCCGACGTCAACTTTACGACGTTTGAGCTCGCGAATCTCACGTCTGGCGTGGCGTATGAGCTCACGGGGCTGCCCTTCGGTCGATACTACTCTCCCATCTTGTGTGAGTGTGCAGGTTCGTCTAGGCGCATTGCGTTCGTGAAGACGGGGGGAGACTACCTTACTGGGGACATCGTTGCGACGGCCGGGTCCGGGTTGTACATCGGGGAAATTACATTGCCATCGCCGGCGAACAAAGGGAGCTCGATCCCCGTGCGCAACGTGCACCTCGTGCCCTCCGAGATCGACGTGGAAGATCTGCTGAAGTCACAGATCCGCTTCTTGCGGAGGAACGCGAAGCTGCTCGTGCAAACGCCACGCCGCTCGTTTGTCATTGACCTGGCTAAGGGGCCAAACGAGTTTGGTGACTACACGCATGAGACTCTCGCTACCGGGAGAATGTCCACCGAGCTCGCGGTGGTTCCCAATGCAGAGGGGACTGTGAAAGCAGGGAAGGTCGCCTTCGTGGAATTTTCCTATGTGAACGTCGTCCCCCATGTCGAGGCCGACGAGCCCGTCTGGAGCAAGCCTGGTAATGCGACGGCTGGCCTTGTGCGACTGGGTATTGACGGTGGACATAGTATCGCGTGGAGTCGGGATGGGACTAAGCTATTCTGGTTCCTGGGTGAGCCGCATCTAATTTACTTCTGCCGCGAATCGGTTAGTAAACACGAGTGCACGTCTTGTCACGATCAGGCCCCTTCCTGCACTACGTCGATGTCTCCGAAATCAGCGCATGCTCTTCAGCTGCGGCTCAGGACCCCCTGTCGTTTAGCATTTCCTGCATAAAGAACCTTCCTCAATTCCAGGAAGTAATCGTAGAATATCCCTCAGGCATCCAGCGTCTCAAGAGAGAAGCGGTAGCCTCACATGGTGTGGGTGCGGACCCAGCTTCTCTCGCGAATGCCGATTTCCTCGTCATTTTCAACGCGACGCTGCTGACTATGGAGACGGGAGAGCTCCGTTCAGACTTGCTGACGGACGCCGTTTTGGTGACACGGGGTGGTGAGATCGAGGCCATAGTGGGTGTACAGGAACTGGTGCTTCCTTACGGCGCTACAGTGTTGGATGCGGAAGGAGGTATGCTCCTTTTGTCGTGCTCTTTGTCCATTGATCGTGATATGGTAATAGGCTTCGTTATACCCGGTTTCATCGATGTTCACGCCCACTGGAATGGGTTTGCCACTCAGCTGCCATCGCGGTCTTGGGAGCTTGAGACTTTCCTTGCGTACGGCGTGACGACCCTGCACAAGTACGTGCGTCTTCAACCAGATAGCATGTCGTACAACAGCTGATTGTGCACGCTTAGCCCTAGCGCAGACAATGTGCTTGGATTTGCTGAGCGCTTTAGGGTCGAGCGTGGCCAAGTCGTGGGACCGCGGATCTTCCAGGTCGGGGACGTCATTTACGGTGCAGCTTCGCCAGGTATCCATCAGGACATCGTCGATATGGCCGAAGCTCGTTCTGCACTCATCCGGATCAAGGTTGAGGGCGGTCCCTCCAGCTTCTCGTACAAGAACTATAATTTGCCCTCACGGTATGTTCCTGCTGTCTTCTATATTCGTGTGGGAGTCTTACGAGGGCATTCTAAGTGCATCGCGTCAGAGGTTGCTGTTGGCTGCACGGGAGCTGAAGATGCTCTGCGTTCCTGAGGGGGTAAGTGAGAATTGACGTGGCTGCTGCTTCCACTGAAGAAGCTGCTTTAGGGTATGAACAATGATTGGGACCAAACGTACATCGTGGACGGTATGCTTTCGCGTAGTTTTGTCACTGTCAGTGTAGCTGACGAAGTGGTGGCGAAGGAATGACAACTATCGAACATGCGTTGCCGATACCTGCATTGTACGATGATATCCTCACGTTGTACGCTCTGAGTGGCACAGGCTCTACCCCAACCCACGTAGTAAACTACGGCGGTGTCATGGGTGAGCAATACATCTGGGCAAAAGAAGACATCGCGAACGATCAGAAGTTGGTGCACTTCTCACTGCCCACGCGTGTGCAAGTACTGATAGTGTTCAGATTAAGACGCTTCACGCGGCATGACATTCTGGAAGGTCTGTCGGAGACGACCTCGAGACCTCGAAATTGTAATCATCTTTCGTTCATTTCTCCCGCGATACTGAATTGCTTGCTTCTTCCGTAGCTTACGCTCTGTTCAACACTTCCATCTCGACGGCGAAGATGGTTCGCAAGGGCTTGCGTGCCCATATCGGCGCTCACGGTGAACCTCCACTCGGCTTCAACTTCCATGCCGAGATGTACTTCACGAAAGAAGGTGGACTTTCCAACTACGAAGTTATCCGTGCTGCCACGTCAGATGCTGCAATCACTCTGGGAATCGACGAGTCACTGGGCTCTCTCACCCCAGGCAAGCTTGCGGACTTCATCATATATCAGCCTGGAGTCGATCTCCTGGACGATGACATCAGCGCGACGAGGAAAATACGGTATGTTGCGAGAGGTGGTAGGTTGTGGGACGCCACGACGATGGTGGAAGAATGGCCTGTCAAAGGGAGGCGGGAAGCCATGCCTCCATTGAATCCGGATCCATGAAACAGCGGCAATGTATCTCAAGCAATCTGTCTTTTGTATTCGACGTGTACGGTAAAATCTTGACATGCGTTTGCAATTGCGCTCAGATGGTTTCGAGTGTCCCCTGGGATCCGAAGACTAACAGTAGTTGTAATCCACGCTCGCTATGACGTTTATCTTCGCGCAGCCTATGCAGTCTAAAACCGTGTACCAGGTTTGAGTCACGGCCTTCTATTATTTCGGGTTGGCTGTCATGTTTTCTTCATGTGTTTTTCTCTGAGGCGAGGCATGGAAGTCCTGAGGCCTGAAGGCCTGACAGCCCACATACCCGAGAATATTGGTCCTTCCCGATGCCTTGCTTTTTTCGTCCCCGTAACTGTCATTTCCGCATTGCAGACCTTAGGCGCCACGAACACCGCTGGCGACCCTTTCACGCTGGACATCTCTTCCCACATGGTCCCAGCTGCCACGACGGTGCTATTATGGGTGCCACCCGCTTCTCCTCGGCCGAGCCGAGGTCAAAGCACCACAGCGAGCCAAACTTATGATGACTACTGACCTTGCGCTTTGGATATTATAATAGGTTTCACGGCATTAACATTGCCCGTGTATGCCAGGTGCGACTCCATCGCTATATCCATTGCTTGCAGCACACATATCTGATCGCGCCGTTACCGTCCTAACTTAGTTCTGAGACAAGTACGCGTTTTTCGGACTTACTGTTCTAATGGACGTGCCGACGAGATCTCTCCGCAGGCATCGCTCCAGTATAAATATAGGAGATGACGCTGCTGTCGTCCTCTCGTATCTGTTCTCTACGTAGCAACAGGAAGCACGATGTATCACTCTTTGGCCTCTGCTCTCCTCATCTTGTACTTGGTTGCCACCTTCTTTGTCTTGATCAAGTTCGCTCTTCACCGTCGTCTACGTCGTCCCCTACCTCCTGGCCCTTTGGGGCTTCCCATCATCGGCAATGTATTACAGATTCCACAAAATGTATCTATGTGGCTGACCTTCGCTTACTGGGGAAGACGATATGGTAAGTGACTGAAAGCCAATGTTTGCATGTTCGGGCCGTCAATATGGTTTACTTAGGCGACATCGTACATCTTTCGATGTTGGGTCGGTCGACCATTCTGCTCAGCTCGCCGACCGCTATACACGAGCTACTTAAGAACCGGAGCGCCATATACTCTGATCGACCACATACTATCATGGCCTGCGAGTTGTACGTTTAGTCCCCCTTGATATCCGCTTGTCTCTCACCTATCCGGCAGGGTGGGCTGGCAAGAATTCCTCCCCTTGAGTCCATATGGCGAGCGCTCTCGCCAGTTCCGCAAAGTTATGTCGAGCGTCATGGGCCCACGAAACGCGGAGAAGCTGCATAGTATGCAGGAGCAGAACGCACACCGCTTCGCCTCTAGGCTGCAAGAATCTCCCGCGAAAGTCCGGTCACATATACGATGGTACGTTCTACAAGTGCCTGGTGCCGGATACTCTCTGACTGACAGGTTGGTCAGGCTGATAGCGAACACCGCTATCAAAGTCATCACTGGGTTCGACGTTGAGACCCTCGACGACCCCCTCGTGCAGTTGGCTGACAAGGCCGTTTTTGAGTTCGGGCTGGCCACAACGCCCGGCGCCCATCTCGTCGACATGATACCCATCTGTAAGTCGCGCCGGCTGTCTGTTGTTCCCGTTTTGAAATTAACCCATTCTACCAGTGAAATATATGCCCTCCTGGTTTCCCGGGGCCGGTTTTAAGGCTCAAGCCAAAGCGTGGCGTGAAACCGTGAACCACGTACGGGACGATGCGTACGGACTTGTTAAGGAACATGTGGTGCGTTTCTCCACCGTCTACGTCCGCGCCAGATCTTCTTACTACGATGAGGCAGGCTCAAGATTCCGCTGCACCATCGCTGCTCACAAGTCTGTTGCAGAATAACGTCCATCCGGACCCGCAACTCGAAAGCATCTACAGACATATATCAGGGACAGCATATACAGGTGAGAAATTCACCGTTTCTCTCCAACGTAGTATCTGAGACTGTTGTCGCACAGCCGCCGTTGATACAGTAGGAAATTTATCTGACACGATCGCAATTGATGTTCTGACCGCGATCGAATGTGTAGACTGTCGCCGGGATCGAATGGTTTTTCCTCGCCATGACGTTGCATCCCGATGTGCAGCGGAAAGCACAAGCAGAGGTCGACGGCGTCATAGAAACAGGGCGCTTACCAAGCTTTTCCGACCGTCCCAAGCTGCCCTACGTGGAGGCGCTGATCAAGGAGGTATACCGATGGAACCCAGTAGCTCCTCTTGGTAAGACTTATACGGGGAAGTTTGGATATAGCAACTCATTACATCTCTCTAAGGACTGCCGCATCGTCTGACGAGAGACGATGTTTACGAGGGATATCACATTCCGGCAGGCTCCACCGTCATTGCAAATATCTGGTACGCGCGCCTGGTCGAGCTCGTTCTATTTCTGCTCACTCCTCTTGCCAGGGCGGTCTTCCACGACCCAGTATTGTATTCTGAGCCCTCCGACTTCAATCCTGACCGGTTCTTCAACAGGAAGAGCAACTTTCTGAATCCGGATCCTCGGTCATTCGCATTCGGTTTCGGCAGGCGGTGAGGCGTTCGCACCTTCCATCTCGGCCGTCCAAGCTGATGCGTGCACTGTTTTGAATGCAGGCTATGCCCCGGTATGCACCTCGCCGACGACATGTTATTCATCACGGTCGTCACGACGCTCGCGGCGTTCAACATCGAGAAAGCCGTCGACAGAGATGGCAGGCCCATCACTCCTGTCGTCCACTGCGAGAATGGAGTCGTTAGGTCCGTGCCTTTCTCCGTTACAGTTGTGTTCTCGACTGAGGCATAAGTCATGACTCTGTCGTACAGCGCTCCGGGTCCTTTCGAGTGCCGTGTTACCCCTCGCTCGGCGGAAATGATGAACCTTCGCGAAGATGCATGAATGCTAACCGCCTCCACCGACCCCAGGTAGACGCCTGGCTTGCCTGCCAGAATTGCAAGCGTCCGCTTTGCGAGTTCGGACCTAGAGCAAGTTGTCGGCCAAGTTCAATTCGGCTTACACGGATTACTCGCCGCGACGCTGTCGCTGCCGGCCGAGGCAATGAGCGACACGTCGGCGTTGTTGTCAAGGGCACTGAGCCTTTGTTCGTAGTTCCCCCACAGGCATTGTTGTTGTTATCACATCTTTGTACTTCTATTGGGCTACTCTACCCCAATCTATAGAATAATTGTATGTCTCAAGAACTCGAGACCATCATCGGGAGCGACAGCGAGAGCCCAATGGACCTACTGTGAGCATGATTTCGACGCTGATTCACTGAACATACCGGTGCAGCAATGCCGATGTAACGGCTGGAGCAAGACCGCCAACTCGAAGGTCCAAAGCAGGCCCCAGCGGGCAGCCGCGCTCAGTGCACGCCCTGTGAAGAATCCTCGAACGAACTTCAAACAAAGACTCATGAAGCAGACAACTCCATAATTTACTGCCTATCTTCTGAAATAGCATCATGAAAACCTCTCCATAGTTTACAAGATCAAGCTGAACAAAACACAAATGACAAGGCCCCAAACTACTGTACACATACACTGCCACTACTGGAGACAAAAATCCAAAACCCACCAAAACCGGCTGAATGGGAATCTTCCAATCATCTATTTGCTGCACAGCTTCCACAGTCCAAGTGGACAGTAAAACAGATACAACAAAAAGAAAAAAGGAGATCCCCCGACGACACAAGCCGATACTGCAGTAGCAAGGTCATCACGTCCCAATGTTGCAAGCAGAGCATCGGGAACAAGGGCGGCAAAAATTAGATAACCAATAATGGAGGCGGTGCCTCCATAATAGTGGTTAAACTATTAAGAACAGATACTACACTTGATCTAAGCCAAAAGGCCAGAGTGGTAAGGAAACGGAATGTCCGGGAGGGGTTCTTATAGCAGACGGACGTGCGCACGGACCATGAGCATTGTTTGGCGCGCGGCCTCGCCAAACGCGCGCGCGCGCCGTAGGCACAGGAGATCAGTCCGTCGCAGAGTGCACAAGACATGTCCATTCAAAAGGTATCGAGAGGTATAATACATCAAGCGACAGGGTAACTCGACTTCGAATACAACGGCATCATACTAGTAGTCTCTCCGCTAACAGTTTCCTGTAATTTACTCCGCAAGAACCTACACATATTTCTCATTCTTCATACTCTTCCATCACCCAATGCAGAAGCTACCACAGAATAATCAAGAAGGCAGATGCCACAGACAAGAACAGTGTCCAGAATGATGTGCAGGAGGCACTTGGGGCAGCACCGGATGACCCTGGGACGGGCAGGAAGTGTTTCGCGTCCGATGCTTGCTGCGCGGCAGACTCCTGCGGTAACGGCGATAGAAGTATTAGTGCATCTTGGCCTCGAACTCAAATATTCATGAGGATTACCTTAAACACGACTATACCTACGATGATACCCGCTGCGAAGAAACAGCCCGCAATGATCAGCCAGACGACGCCCCAAACTGCGGCCGCTGTCAGCAAACGGGAGACGGGGATGTACAGCATGCACTACCTTGTGATGGACAACATCCGCAAATGTCCGCGAACGCGGAAGCGTCGGAGCTATTCACTTTCCGTGCGATTGTATCATCTGCAGGACATGTGTGAGAAGAGATCGGTATGGGCAGGAAGAGACCGTACCTATGACGTCCCACAGGACATACATGCACGACATGACACCTATGAACAGGATCTGAACGCAGAGATATCAACTAGATGCACTTGGACCTTACAGTGCGGATCAACTCACGAAGTACCGGAGCGCAACCCCACCCTTGACGAACCAGAACAAAACAATCAGGCCAGACATGCCAAGGATCAATATCCACGTCCTGTGCATCGCGCATCGCATGAAACGAAGCATGCACCGAGAACAACAGGGCACTCACAGCCACTCCCTGCGCGCCCACCATAGGGTAAAGAGGAAGAACCCCGCAAGGACGAGCGATGCGATTTTGCTCGCGTTCGTGTCGAAGCCGCAGGTTATGAGCGCCGCGCCAATGAGCGACGAGCCAAGGTAGCCTGCAGGGAGGGTGATCCAGGGTATCCCGCCGGACATGCGCGTCGCGCCGCCCTCGTCCGCTGCGGCGCATGAGACACGGGAGACGGGGCGTGTAAAGGGCACTTACGGTCTAGTTCGATCGAGTGTATATGCGCGCAGGTAAGGACTTCGCGCAATTAGATATGTGTTCCCTTTCGAAGGGGCCGGTACTCACCGCCCATGATCGCATGGCTCATCTACACCGTCCCGTCAGGGAGTCGGGTACGCGGATACGAATGAGCACGCACCTCATGGAATCCTACAGTCAGTAACCTGCCAAAGACTCGTCGTAAGCCACAACAACATCGTTGCAGTCAGTCATCCAACAACCACACGCACTTAAACGGATAAACTGCAATTCAGCTCAAGTTAGTATCACAGTCCGTCCATCACACGAGCCGCACTGACTTATCAACGACAAGTACGGGACATGCCTGCAGCACCCAACCGCGCTCAGCTTCCACGCAACGACTGCTCGTTAACAGTACATACCATAGGATGCCAATCGCAACAATGTAGCAAGCTGCTACGATGAGCGTCACCTGCTGGGTGTGATTCGGTGTGAGGGTACCGCGTGCATCTCGAACGGTCAGGTAAACGGAGTGTTCTGCGAATCTCGGTACTTCTGCGGACATCATGAAAGGTCGTCAAGTAAACGAGAAAGAAGGTATCAGCGGGTGGAGGACAAAAGTTAACGTAGAGGGAGTGCCGCGCAGCGGGTAGAGAACTCGCCACAGCTTTTGGGCGGCTGCGGACGTGACGCACCGCATTGAACATGAGGCGACCACAGCAACTCGCAGTCAGACAAAACATTTGGGTCATAAAAACATAAAAATGATAGATTAGTGCTAGGGTACAGAGTATAGAACACGATAGAAATATAGCCCGAACACATCCGGATAGAAGAACACACACAGCAATGATAAAAGACTAAGGAGACAACGACTCGGACAACTGCACCATGGACTGCGTTCACAGCTCGTCGTCGGTGATCTCCTCGCCTCGCTTTTTCCGCGCCATGCGCTCCTTCTTGAGCTTCCGTGCATCCGCCGCAGTAATCTTCTTCGCCTTCTTGTTGTCGATCTTGTTACCCATCGCGTCGTACTGATCGTCATCTTCACCATCCTTCTTGTCGATCCGAGCACCGGAGCCTTGGCCCTCAACCCAGTTGTGGCCGGACGCCTCGAGGTGGCCGTCGCGCATCGCCCACACCTCCTTGCACAGGGACTCGGAGAAGTCGCGGTTGTGCGTGATGACGAGCACACCACCCTCAAACTCCTTGAGGGCTTTGATGAGCGCGGCAAGCGACTCACGGTCGAGGTAGTCTGCAAACATCGTTAGTAAACCTGAGCGAGAGTGCATGCGAAAAGAGGTACACACTTGTCGGCTCATCCAGACACATGATATGCGGGCGACGCCATGTCGCAGCGCCGAGAACGACCTTGACCTTCTGACCACCGGAAAGACCTCTCATCGAGTTGTGCGAGACGAACTCGGGCTCAAGACCGAAGTCAGCAAAGTGCTTCTCAATCTCCCGACGAACGAGGGGACGGAGAAGACCGAGACGCTGGGCCTCACGGGTGTCAACCTCGAGCACTTTCTGTATGAGAGAAGTTAATCAGCACCACACGAAGAAACATCAGAAAGGAAACAAACCTTCTCGAAGCCACGCTTGATGAGGTCATCACGAGGGAGCCAGATGTTCTCCGACGAGCTGAGATTCTTGAACGACACCTCGTACTCGTACGACTGCTTGAGCTTCTTGCGGCCGACGATCTCCTCGATGAGACGCTTCTGGCCCTCGACGACCACGACACCTCCATCCTTCATCTTCTTTTCCTCCTCTTCGGAAATCTGGCGGTTCGCCTTCATCATCTCCTCGAGATCCTCACCGGTCTGGTAGCGCCACAACATGTACTCGAGCGGGGTCTTGTCGAGGTGGTTATCGATATGGTGGAACGCGTGCTGAGCAACGTAACCGATGACCAAGTTAGGGTGCTTCCAGATCTCACCACCCTTGTTGGGCTCCATGTCGCCAATAAGAAGCTTGACGAGCGTCGACTTTCCAGATCCGTTGGGGCCGAGGACAGCGACGCGAGAAGACAGGGAGACTTGGAGTGTGATATCGTAGAGCTGCTGGACAGGTTGCGAAGGGTACTGGAAGCCGACCTTGCGCATCTTCAGCAAACTCTTTTCCTTCGTCTTGACACCTTCCAACAGCGGGGGATCGGGGAGCTTGAACTGGTAGTCCTCGGCGGCCTCGAGGGTGTAGTAAGAGCGAGCCTCCGGCACCTGCTTCATGAACGACTCCAAGTTGCCCTTGTACCTGCGAAGCTTGAAGCGGTTCAGGTGGAGGACGTCGGTGATGGTGTTGTTCAAGAAGCCGGAGTCGTGCGAGACAATGATCGACGTGCAAGTCTTGAGGTTGGTCAGGTAGTTCTCGAGCCACGCAACATTGACGACGTCAAGGTGGTTAGTGGGCTCATCGAGCAGAAGGATATCAGCCTTGAAGAGCATCGCGCGGGCCAATGCAAGCTTCATCTTCCATCCACCAGACAGACTGCCGATAGATTGCTTCTGCCGCTCATCGCTGAAACCGACAGACGCCAAGGTCTCGATAATCTCCTCCTTGGAAGCCTGGATACGCGTATCCGAGACGATGAACTCGAGGATCGCAGTCTCGGCCTCGCTACCATCGATATCGTGCTCCACGTAGAAGGTACGGACCTCATCTGGCGAGGGGAAACCTTCGACCTGACTGTGGTCACAGTGTCAGCTATAATTTCAACACCATCCCAGTAGACAAAACGAACATACCCGTTGGTGATCGCACGCATAAGGGTCGACTTTCCGGTACCGTTCCTACCGCACAAACCGTAGCGGTGACCACGCTTGAGACGGAGAGTAGCAGTGTTCAACAAAATCTTGGCACCGTAGGCAAGAGAGAATTGGCAGTTACACAAGTCCTCACCCTCCTCCTCGTCCTCGAGAGCGTCACCTTCCTCGTCCTCCTGTGAAGCAGACTTGACAACCCACTCGTTAACAATCGCTATGGGATCAGGCGACGGTGTAAGGAAAGCGAGGAACGGAGCAAGAGTCTGCCACTCCGACACGTCAAAGTTCTTCGCGGTGACAAGGTTGCACGCGAGGTTCGCGGCGTACATGGTATCGATGCTCGCTACGGAAGGTGCGGGGTCAGCACCAGCCTTCTTATAGATGGCAATGAGACTGTGCGCGAGTTGTTTCTCATCAACGTGCTTGATGGGCGGGAGTTCGGAACCATCACCGTGTGGAACGTCACCAACTTCACGAAGGGTCGCAATGGCGCGGGCAACGACGCCACGGGCCTCTGGGTCACCCATAGTCGATTCAACCTTGATAAGACCAGGAAGCAACTTCGGAATGAAAGGTCGGACGGTGACGGCAGAGTCTACGAGCTTGGACATGTTGTCAACGATACTGCAGATAAGTCTTATGAGTAAGCCGATTGAAGCGACGTGTCGAAAAACACTTACACCGCGACCTTCCGCTTGGTTGCGGTCAGCTTCTCGTTGAGACCACGGGACAAAAGAGGGACCATTAGAGAAAGGGTCGGAGAGTCAACCTCTGAAACGAATGTGGTGGCTGAGAGGAGGTTGATCGTGTTGGGAACCTCCTCTACGGGATTAATCAGAGACTTGATTAAAGCGGGAATAAAGCGCTCTATATCCTTGTTGGAAACCAATGCGGTGGCCTTTTCAAGCGATTCACGTGCAGCCTTCTTCACGTCGGCCTTCGTGTCCCAGATAGCCTCGGAGAGGACGGGGACGATATCGGGAGTCAGACGCGCGGTCTGAGCAGGGCAGCTGACCACGAGCTGGTTGAGAATGGTGAGTGCACCAGTCTTCAGTTGCCACTTCCCGGCCGTCTTGATCTCGTGGAGTAGGGCAGGGAGCACAAGTGCGGTAGCCCAGGGGTTCATAGCTGCGACATAGGCCTTCACAGCCTCAACGGCCGCCGTCCGCGCAGCAGGCAGCTTGTCAGCGAAGCCTTCGAGGAGAGCAGCATACATGCCAGAGTCGATGAAGGTAGGCTCCAAAGCCTTGATGGCACCGGCCTTGGCGAGGCCGGCGACAGCGCTCGCTGCACCCTCACGGGCGGCGGGGGACTTCTTGTCGTTGAGCGCCTTGATGGCGGAATCCGTGAAGCCAACGGACTGGAGGGCCGAGGGGCCGTCCTTTTGAGCGAGGGCTGCGAGCTGCGCTACGGCAGACTCGCGCGCGGCCTTGTCGGCGACGAAAAGGCGGGAAACATCAAACTGGCCTTCGGCGGGAGCAACAGCAGCCTTGAGCGGGGCCGGGGCGGGCGTTGCGGAAGCAGTAGCGGTTACAGCTGGCATGTCGTTGATCTGGGTCATCAATGGGACCATGAGACCTGAGTGGATGGCGCGACAAGTTTTTCGACGCTCACCTTTAACGGTGATATGATTTGTACTTGTAAAATGCGATGAAACGCGAAAAGGCCGTCAAGGAGCTAGATGCGCTCTATTCTACGTTGGCCGGAGCCTGAAACGAGATGTGAGTAGGAGAGACGGAGGAGCACGACGAGGAACAGCACCTTTCTATGAGGAGAGAAAAGAAAGATAGATGAGAGGAAAGGATAAAGTTCCGAAAGCGAAGGCGGGCTTATATATCACCTGACAAAAGGGGCGGACTTTCAAAAAAAATGTGCACCGACACCACGTGCGCTCACGGGCAGCGCCGTCTCATCGCGCTGCGTAGCGTCCGACTGCATTAATATTGCCCAGATCCGACACCATCGAGGATCCGGGGAAGCCTCTTCACCTTACCCCGCACCGGCCTGACCATTGCCCTGTCAGGTAAAGAATCCAGCGAAGACCACAATCAGCATTTAATTCCGTGTCTCCGATACCGGATCTACATCAACCGCTACGAGAACGAGTCTCCTGCATGTCTTCGGAGCAGTGGCGAAGCCCCCTCCGAAGTTCTCACCCTCGTCTTCTCCCCTGCTTCCTAGTTCTCATCAGCGAAGCTAAGCGGCGCGAATGTCTGTAAGGAAAGAGCGAATACCACGCGTGAGCAAGCATGTTTGCATCGCGGCGCGGATAGCGACAAAACGGAGATCGATGATCACGTACATAGCCTCCTGCTTCGTAGTGCTTGCTGTTCGCCTCCACCCAATGCAGACGCAGCGCGTGCAGAAACGCGGACAACCCCTGCATCAACGGTCCCCGTCAGAATCAGTCACTGTCCACTCCACCAAAACTGATCAACCCGATCGGAAACGCACCTCCATGATACACAAGATAAAGATCGTCAAAGTCAACCACACACTGCCCATGATCGCGATGGCGATATACCCCAGGATCCCTGACATGCCGAGGACACCTCCCAGGGTCATCGTCCACAGCACCTCGGACAGCTGAGCATGCGCAAGCGAGAGCGCCCACAGACGAAGATACGAAGCCGTGTGGGAGACGCATCCCAGACAGAACTCGATGGTGTGGATGACCTGGTGAATTATCACCTCGCCGAAATCATGCTGCTCCTGTGATAATCACATTAGAACGTAATTCTTCTACTGAGGGAGAACGGAGCTTACATGTTCCATCTCCATCGATTCAGCGATGGCCCTGCCATTGCCTTCCTCCTCGCCTTCCAGGGCTGTATCAGTCGCTTGCCGAGGCATGTCGTCGGTTCCAAGACCGATATATCCCTGTCCTTGAGTCTTCTTCATCTCCTTGTACTGGAGGTATGGCTTCCCGATAAGCAGCCATGGGACACAGATGCCCGCCAGCATCAGCAATATCACCTGCACCGTGCTCTGTCCTCGGTACAGCTGAGTCCTAGGGTCGACAGAGCCCGGTGACAGGACCATCCCGATCAGCATGTTCAGCAGAGAAGGAGGACCTGTAGGCGAAATAGACCAGTCTACCGTCCATTTGTAGATAATACAGACAACAAGGTAACCGAAGATAGATTGCAAAAAGAGCATTTGGGGTACGAAGTTGGTCCAGATGTCAGAAACACGTTTGAAACGGAGGTGATTCGGAATTTGAAGACAGAGGGCGAATGTCATCTGCGCAGGCGATTAAGAGTGCAGAAAATTCATGCCACGTAGCATACGCACATGGATAACACCGAGGACAATAGACATCTTCATCTTGTAGGAGTTCAAGAAAAGAAGGGCGTTATCCGCTCCATGCCAGGCCGGGTCAAGTCCAAAGAGATAAGTATGCCCGTTGGACACCGCGACAACGCTCTCGTTCCCATGTTGCTCAGGCCAGCTCCAGCCAGAAGAAAATAAGTGGAGAGACTTGGAGAAGATATCGTTGTATATGAGACCAGTATACATCGAGAAAAGGCCCATCATGAGAATGATGTAACGCCCGCTACAGAGTGCGTCAGCAACGAGCCATGTGGAGATGAACAACCTGCTCACAAGAAGAACATGCTGGTGATCTGTGGGAAACAACAAATTAATAGGAGTATTCAATGCAAAGAGGAGTGCAACGATACCTCTCCAAGATTACCTTTCGCAAGCCTTCGCTCGAATAAAATCATGAAGAGCCCAGCCACAAACGTGATGAATCCGTGACCAATGTCTCCAAACATGACCGCGAAGAGGAAGGGGAAGGTGATCACCGCAAAGAGGCCCGGGTTGACTTCCTGGTAAGTGGCGATACCATAGGCGTCCATGATGGTCTGGAATCCTTCCGTGAACTTGTTCGTATGTACGTACGTGGGGGGTGTCTTGTTCGTCCGCAGCTCGTGCAAGATTGGCGGCACATTGGTACCGGATTCCTCCTATGAACTAATTCAGAGCTCGAGAGACAATGATTTTGCAGTTCACCTACAGTAGCATGCCTCAACGCAAGCTGTATCTTCGGTATATCCCTTGTCGGGCACCAACCCTCCGCAATCAAAGTCTTCCTCCGAACGTCATAGTTCAGCAAATTGAGTGTCTCATAGATCATCTTCTCTTTCCGCACAACATCCTGCCAACTGGCGAGGCTCTCGCCAATCTTCACCAACTCCGCATGGCGGCTCGCTCCGGTGTTGTAGAGCACAACCTGGAGGTCCTCCAGCCGCGCCATGACTTCACGCATCGACTCAGACCGCTTGTCGGTGTTGGCGTCGATCGGGTAGAGCGAGGCACCCATGGACTCCGCTACCTTGCGGATCTTCGCGAGCAGCACCTCACCATGGGCGAAGATAATAAATACGTTCTTACGCGTTTCCTCGCCCGTAGCGGGGTCGACGAAGGGCTCTTGAATGTCAGTATGGTTCATATAGAGGTTGCCGCGGAGGACGCGCCAGAGAACTCGTTCGAAGATGGGTAGGCGCGAACGCTCAATGACGCCAGCAACAAATCTGCGCTAGGCTTAGTTCAACCGCACAGGATATGTAGACCTGACATACTCTAGGTCGAATTGAACACTAGTACCGGAGTATTGCTGCTCCCGGTCGTCATGTTGCAAGAGGGGTGCAGAACTGTCATCAAAGGACGCCCTGACGTCCGACTGGTAGCTCAACGCCTATGCCAGCTTCAGAGACGAAATGAATGGTCTAAAGCTATCGCAGCTCACCTTCTCAAAGAATACCGCTGTCTCCCGCAGCGTCTCCCGTGCTTCTATGAGCTCTTTAGTGCGATCACACAGTATCTGGTAGCTTTCGTTCATCTGGATCAGGCGTGCTTCGTGCTCCGCGAGCTTGTTGTCCAGCTCGTCCATGGTCTGAGCAGCACGGGGCCCCACGGTGAGTAAAGGCGCGGAGTCATACAACGGCCGTATAGGAATCGTCTCTTTCTCCTTTTCAATCTGAGACGCAAAGAAGCGCACTCGACGAGCCATCTCGTCCACACGCCGAATCTCGCCAACGAAAGAGCGCTGGAACGGGTTGACGTCTGCATTTAACTGCAAGAAGTGTGAGACTGGGCATGGAAGTAGATACGGGCCTTACGCACGTCTTTAAACTGCAGGTTCCCGAGCTCACCGAGCTCTGCGATCGTGTCATGAGCGACCTCCGTTGGTACAATAAGCTGTACCAAGCTCATTGGCTCTGAGCCTATGAAGATAGTTCAGAGAAGGGCATCGTCAAAGTTTCTGGAAACTCACGGAACAGGGATGGGTATTCGTCCCCCATCCTGAACACTTACAAAACCTCTGAATCTTGAGTGATGAGGCGAATGGAATAAACTGTTGTGTGATGGCTGCTCGACTCGCGCGCTGCCTGCGCGCCGACGAAAGCTTTGTTTGCTCTGGCCAAATACAATAACCGAATTTGGCAGGTCACGTCGTTGGCGGTCCTTTCGCCGTTACCCTAATACTGCATTCTTCATGCGGATGTTCGTTACTTTGTCATCGCAAATAAAATACTCTCAACTATCATCTCATGTATTCCACATGTATAAAACAAGAGGCATAAGGCGGCTAATGTGCCAGTGAACAGTTCCGCCGGTTAATACGGTGTCCCCGGTGTATTTACCTGGCTAGTGCAACGAATCCCGACCACAACTATCAGCATAAGCTCCAGGCTCCACAATGAATTATACGCCGGGTAATCAAAGCATGTATCACAGCCCGAAGTCAAGCCACTCGGCAAAATTGACCGCTGCACTGGCAGGTGGATATGACGATGTCACCGCAGCTTCACGAGCAAGCTGAATCTCCTGCTCTGTTTTCGATGCATGAATACCTGTAAGAAATATATCAGACAATGTGTCAACCATCTCTCAGCAGAAGATGAGCCCCACCTGCCACAGGAAAAAGTAAACTGAGGCGCTTCATAGCATCAACCAACACATCCAACTCTTGATCCACAATGTCAAGAGTATACTGGGTTCGCTGGACACGCGGAGACGTCAACTCGCGGACAAACACGTCAGTGGCACAGCGCCAACATGTCTAAGCCTTTGAAATTCAGACAGGACATCAGAAAAGGAGAGGTGGACGACCGACACTGCTGATGGGGTCTAAGTAATCGTAATCATCGCCCTGCAGCTGGCGGATGATAGACGTGATAGCATTGGCGGCAATGATGCACTTGTCGTGAGACGACGGCTGCGTCTCCCAGGAGGCAAGATTGAGCTGGATCATCGCGGCACATATCAGTGTATGAATATTAACGAGTTCGATATTGGAGGCCATGAAAACGCTGTGCTGGTCCTCTGCGCCTATACTTGGGAGGTTCATAGAGAACTGTGCGACAGCTGCCTCGAGCGACAGATAATATGAGGAGTCTATATCGCTGTGTTCTGAACATTGAATTTAAGTGTCTAGATGTCAGCTAATGTGTACCGGGGGCAGAAAAAATGCTTACGACCAGATAATCGAGCAGTGCGCTCGAATAGCATGATCGCCTTAGCACGTAGCGTCACTGTAGACCAACCGGGACCACAGGCGTTCTCTGTGGGGTTTGGGTCGCTGCCGATAAAACTCTTTACAGATTGAGGTTACACGTGCAACAACTGCGAGGGAACGTACGAATGCAAACTCAGGTATGGGCATCGGCCACACAGTCTCAATCTGTGTCTGGGGGTGGTCATCGTCTGGCAGCGCCGGTGGCAGACCCGTCGCGACCGACCAGGCGCGGTCGACTGCGAATATCTGCCAAAAAGCAGCAACGCGCTCTGCGTACTCCACGTTATCTTGCGGCGGTGAAAGAGGAGAGGAGCCCTTCGACGGTACGAAGTGTGGCGTCAGTGATATCTGTATTTGCATGAAATCGATCGGATGTACTTGATGCAGTCCCACATCCATCGCTAGACGGGCCGCTGTCGAGGAATGGTAATACCCTTCCAGGACACGGCCATGACAAAAGAAGTAGACTGCGAGGAGACATGATGCCTGCAGCACGTTGAGGATGTGATCAGAAAGCTGGAGTGCATCCCGAATCCCCTGCACGGCGCGCTCTAAGAAATACGACTGGAGTTCGCATAGGTGCGGCAACCGTGAGAACAGGCACCCTAGGAGAAAAATGGCGTCCGTTAGGACTGGGTGTGGCTTCTTGATTGATCCCGGACATAGGGACGCATGGAATCTACTCATATGGACATCGAAGCCCAACTGGTGTCTATGGGAGAAAAATATGTTCAGACTATTGGCGTAACGCGTCAGATCATTGGAGCACAATTCTCTAAGTCGACCTACAGCATCTGCTTGTTTTCGCAGAACGTATCATGATCCTCCCACCAGTTCGAGGATAACAAAGGTATCTGTGGAAATGCTCCGCAGTCGTGGTAATTGAACGGCGACGGTGACCCCGATAGATTGGGGTGGTCGAAGGATGAGGATCCTTTACTGGAAGAGGGTCCAGCGAATGGTTCAAGAGGAGCGGTGGAAGAGGATTGAGGGGGTGACAGGCCCATTTCCCGACTGCAGCTCGACGATGACGATGACGAATATTCATCGGTCTCTGTAACAACTTTCAGCAAAATAAATATGCAACCAGTACCAGTCACATACGAGAACAATTTTGTGAATTCACAGGGGAAAGAGACGCGTGTGTTGGGGTGGTGGGCTGACTTCCAAGTCGGGGATCTTGTTCGGATTCGAGTTCTCGGAGCCGTACCTCGAGCTTGGCGATTTTCTGCTGCAACGTCTCTGCGCGACTCGTCTGCTTCTTCTCGTGGAACTGGCACTCGGAAGGCTTTTTCGACCGTGAACATGGAGTGCAGATCGGATGGATACCATCGCATTTCTTCCCGTTCGATGTTAGTGGAGATAATAGGAGCTCAGACGATTGCTATTACCATCTTCTTCCTGCGGCAGTTCAAGCACGCCATCCCGCGTTGCAGGGAAGACTGGCTCTTCATTTGTAGTCGACGTCGAGGCAGATACACGGGGAGTTCAGATGCCAAGGGAAGAAACAACGGATGATATAAATGCGGGGCGCTGCCTAAGTTTGTTTGAAGAGTAAATTTGGCCCCTCGTGCACAACGTGATAGGAGCCCAGCTCTAGTGCGTACGAAGTTCGCGAACCAACCGTCGTTAGCGCCAAATAATTTGAATAACGATAGATGCTCGATATGTTATTTGCTGATGATGTAAGTGCCGCACTGCATTGATGCCTACGCCGTGCAACTGCCCGGCAACTTCGGAAATACATAGAGACAACTTATCTTGACAAGCGTCGGGAGGGGATGCATGTACCTCGAGCAACCTGTGCAGCAACGTTCGCTACTTAGTTGAACAAATCGTGATGGACTAGCGGAAGCCGCTATTGAACTGAACTTTGTTCAGAGCGCTGTTACAACAAGCGCCCACATCGCTACTTAAAGAAAATCCTACTTAGTCAGCACCGGCTGTCAAGTTTACGGCATTCGCCGGTCCAGAAACCCTGGTCCCCAGAATTTCTGGAGACGCGTGTCGTACCCACCACCATGGCTGTCTCGGACGAACTCGAATACCTGAAGTCGCTCGTTTCTCAACTGAACGAGAAGATTGAGGCATTGGAAGCGAGGGCAAAGGATGCGGTCACCGGTCCCAAAACGCCAGCGCAGCAGTTGCGGACAATCCTCATCGGCCCTCCCGGCGCAGGTATGTTTAGGTGATCTAGCAAAATGTGGAAGACACTCTGACGTGTAATTGACCCGTCAAGGCAAGGGGACACAGGCTCCCCGCATTCGGGACCAATTCTGCGTCTGCCATCTCGCGACCGGTGACATGTTGCGCGAGCAGGTCGCTAAGAAGACTAAACTCGGCGCCGAGGCGAAGAAAATCATGGATGCAGGTGGTCTTGTCAGCGACGATATCATGGTCGGCATGATCAAGGACCAGCTGGAACACAATAAGGCTTGCAAGAATGGGTGCGTAGGTCATGATGTATCTTTCACTCCTCCCTCTCGCAGACCTCGTCGATCGATGTGGTTGCGCTCGGACGATGTCCCGTAAGAGATGAGCTTAATTTTAATTTCTCTTTCTCGTGAAGCCGGTGCTCATTCCGTCACTCATTTTTCTACGCCTTTTCTAGCTTCGTGCTCGACGGCTTCCCGCGGACAGTCCCCCAAGCTGAGAAGCTGGACTCCATGCTCGAGACTCGTAAGGAGAAGCTTGACTCGGTTATCCAGCTCGTCATCAACGACCAACTGCTCATCTCTCGGATTACCGGCCGGCTCATTCACCCTTCCAGCGGACGGACATACCACAAGGAGTTCAGGTACGCGCGATTCTCAACATTAGCCGTTCGTTTCTAACGGTGCGCTGCCAAATAGCCCTCCTAAGAAGTCTGGCGTGGACGACGTGACTGGCGAGCCCCTGGTGCAGCGTTCGGATGATAACGTCGAGGCGCTCACCAAGCGGCTAGGTGTCTTCCACTCGCAGACGGGACCTGTCGTCGAATACTACAAGAAGAAGGGGCTCTGGCATCCAATCGACGCCGCTCAATCACCGAGCGTGGTGTGGGATAACTTGAGCAAGGTCTTCAAGGCCTCATAGTCCCTAAGTTGTACATAGTCACCACATGAACCGTCTGTCATTGCTGCGTAGACTTCTTGTGGGCAATGGTATCGTCTAGAAGCCCAACCACAGTCGGGAGAGTGTGAACACGCATCTCCAAAGCGTATGTCTCCGCCCTGGCACCGCGTCTGAATACTTCACCTTGACCGCCAGGTGCTTTTTTGAGACCGCGAAGATCCATCGACTCCATGAGCGGCAATCCGTCAGAATAAGGCACGGCAGTCTAGAATAAGATACATTTCATCTACTCCCCCTTCGTGGTCTTTTTCTTCAGCTCCTGATTGTCGCCCGCCAGCCACAATACAGAGAAAATGAAAAATCCAATGCTGGTGCTCATCGCGCCCGCGTAGTACGGCCACGCGGAGCTAAGGAAGCGCGGGTACCCGTCGTGGCGGGGCGGCACTACGGGGACGACCGTCGCGCTGTGCAGGTGCGTCCACCTAGAAAATAGTATCATTAGTGGGTTTCTGCGGATAGAGGAAGGTTGCGCACCCTTTGCGCTTGTAGTCGACGACGAACTTGAACACGCCGTGTCTGTCTGGTACGCGGAACGTCACGGAATATTTACCTGGCTTGCCAGGTACCGGAAGTAAAGCGGTACGGATGTGCGGATCGAGCATCGTAAACTCAAGCTGCAGGTCCTTGATGCCGGAGAACGGCTCCCACGTCGACGTTCTCGGGTCGAACCTGGAGATATGAGCAGAAAAGACCTACGGTAGTGTGCGGTAAGCGTGACAAATCCGGCAGTAATGTCCGTATGATATACATACGACGTTGTCATTAGTAGTGTATGTCTCCCCTGGAACGGTCTCATTGACACGGTGGTGAGCGACGCTGTCAATCCTCAGGACGAGCGACTCCTGGAATGTCCACGCAGCCACATCTGCGGCGAACGGTTCATTTCCTGATTTACCTCCACTGCAGGACCGTCAACTCAGAGTGCCAGAAACGCAAGCAAATTCCCGACCTTACCTCGGTAGTTCCTTCTTCGCGAACTCGTCGCTGAAGAGATCGACACCTCCGGCCCAAGTAGCGCGAGCGCCGTGGAGCGCTTGGAAGCCCACCACAAGTGCGAGTTGGCTACCCGCCCAAAGACCCTCTCCGCCCTTCTCAGCGGCGTCAAGGACCGCGTCAGCGCCCGCGTTGCTGTCCGAGTCCGCCGCAAAACTTTCTGCGGGCGCATTCAGTATCGGCACGAGCAGCGGATTGTTGCTGAGAGCGAAGGGCACTCCTGAGAACCAGACCGGCGGCAGGCTCGGGGTGAGGAGTGGGCTCGTGGACGTGACGGGCACCGGGATCACAGTTGCAGGCGTGTCACGGGCGGGAAAGTGGGAGAGAAGTGGTGTGCCTGGTGGAGGGGGGATGAGAGAGAATTCCGGCGCGAGAGATGTGAGCATTGTTTGTTTCGGGGAGAGGGCGAGGAGGAGGTTCGTATTCAGTGAAAGCAGTGATACCAGCGACTGGGGCGTGATGTCCTGGGAGAAGGCTGTGAAACTTTATGTCAAGACCATGCGTGAACGAAGTCCCGTCCATCGGGAGGTCCGTACTAGGAACGTGTACTCGGAGAGTCCGGAGTATGGACAGGGTTCATACTGAAGTAAGTGCATACCCCAGTACATTTATAGTTGTGCCTGTAGTATTCCTGTAGTGCGCTCTGCACTGGCGAACAGGCACTGACTATGGCGCGGGGGCTCGGCTGTAGTGGCGGGGTGACTGCACGTTGTATACGCGTCACAGAAGGAATCCCTCGTCGCCTTCAGAAACTCCATTGTGGCCATCGTACTTTGTCTTGGATGCACTCGGTACGCGTTCCATGTACACATATCCCGATGGATAGGACGTTCTCGAAAAACATATGAAGGAGGCTTACTTTTTGTCTCTGGGGCAAAGAGAATGACATGTGAGAACTGCGCACGGTCGTCTTCAATTACCTCTGGCTTGACATCCTTTGGCGCTCGGAAAGTAAGGTCGTATCCTCTGTCTGCATACGAATGATCAGATACCAACTCCTCCGTTACGTTTTGGGGAAGTATTCGCCTTCCAGTCCATTGAAGAATATCGAGAAGTTGTCTCTTTTCAAAGACGGTTCGAGCACTACGAGAATCGAATCTCCGGTGCTAGACTTTCCTTGAGCAAGAGCAGCGATGCCGATGATAGATACAAGCAGAGTCCATAACGAAAGCATAGCAAGCGAAATGCGACCGACGCAAGTCCAAGATGAAGTTGTGAGCAACGACCACGTAGCTTATGGGCGTCTGCCACTCGCAGTTGCTAAAAATACCACGCTACGATGGGCGCTTGTAACTCTCGACTCTTTGAGTTTCTGTGAACTCCGTGAGATCATCTACCGTTCAACGCTATTGTACGCATGCGCACGAGACTTGCAGATAAAGTGCACGAGGCCACCGTGGCACTCCAACTCAACCACCGCCACACTGCCTGTCGGACGCGCCGATGTCTACGGTCATTCGGACTCTCAACGTGTCTTATCCAGGGGAGGTGTTAGTCTTTTGGTTTGAAAAGTACAGGGAAGTAAAGAAAGAGCTGGGCAGACTCAAGGTATCTTTACGCATTCATGGTGCATCCTCTTGTCTTACACTGGTCTTCGCGCAGGATGCGCATTCGCACGAAACAGATGTATGCGCTGAAGTCCATAATACGACACAGCAAGAACTTACCAATATTCTGAAGGACGATACAGAATACTCTCACGAGAATCCTGAGTCTACAGCGCTCTCACGTTCTGAAGAACACAACGAAGGTCTCGGTCAGAAAATCGCACAGCTAGAGAAAGCCAACGAGCAACTCACGACGCGTCTTCAGCAATGCCAAGGTACTTACGATATCCTGTCACAACAAGTGAGTCTCCGAATTTGCTGGATCTCAGTGTAGGAATTATAGAGTATTCCGACCCCAGATGACCGCCTTCAAGGAACAGTCGGCTACTCTGGCCACCGAAGTGCATCACTGGAGAATGAGAAAACTCTCAGAGATGTTCGGCGAGGATCCGCGCCTCGAAATTAACGCCTCGTTGTCCACGTTGTCGTTCCTGGATGTCGAGATGCTTGCGAGCGCCCTCCCCGGGGTGAGTCGTGTTTCAAAGCGCGAAGCGGATACCTTGCTCATACGCGTTCGAGAACAGGATTGGTGCCACTGCCTGTGCGCTCTTCCATTTATCTGATTGCTCTTGTCACGCTGACGCATTGTTTTGCCAGGCTGTATTTCCACTCCCGGCGATCCAACGACTTGCCCCTGCGGATACCAGCCACTGCTAAGTCTGGGTATTGGTTTCACATCTCAACCCTGATGCCTGATCACAGAGAGTTTGAACTAATCATGGAAGGTCAACTCGGAGAGGTATGCGTCAGATACTTAGGCTAGCTAATGGCGTACTGGACTGATCCATTTCAGTGGACATACCTCGGTAGATACACCAGCGTGCCATTCGTGGGATGTGGGATGACGCTATTCGAATGGATGAACCTCGACGAACCGGTGTGTACTCTCGCTCTCTGAAGGGGAGTGCATCCAACTCACGCCAAATCCGTCTGAAGACCAAGTCGACGCACTGTTCGCGCGTAGTGACAAGCATGCCGCAACCACAGCAACTGCAGGTGAATTATACACTCCAGGAGGTGAGGCGCCGATACGACACCGGCGAATGGAGAGTCCCATGCAAGAGTCTTCGCTGCACGGGCTTCGACAGACAGACGTACGAAATGCTGTATGCTGCCGCAGACAAGATGCGCGAACAGTCCGGATCAGCGCAAGCTGCGTTGGTGCTGGAGTCTGCCAGTAATGGCCCTTGAACGATATCGGAGTTTGGTCTCTCCTGTCGACTTTGAGGTGCTTGCCCTTTCAGATGATGCCAACATTCGTAGTTTGGAGGCTTGCGCGATGTCTCGCACACCATCTAACGTGTACTAATTGTTTTGTATGCACTCAGTGAGGCCCAGGGAGGTATTGTGTCCCGTATGTAGCTGATGTTTTCACATATGCTATCGATGCTTTCTGTCGCCTTCACAAATAAATGTTCTCTGAAAGACACTCACATCTTCGACTCGAGTCTCGACCGTCGTGCACGGTCATCGCAACATCGTTTTCGTTTTGTCACAGCCGAATAGTACTGTATTGCTGATTCACGTCCCGGACAGAACAGGATCAAACCCTAACCCAGAATCGAGTCTCGGTTCACTGTAGTCCTCTTACCCAGAGACCGCCACCACCGTTGGACCAGCGAATTGAGTACGCAACCGAAGATGTTTGATTTCGTGAGTGTTTTATTGTGAATGTTCTACATTTTCTGACACTGATATCTCATGGAACAGCTTGGCTCATGGTGGGGAACTTCGGCACCGGCCGTCGAGACGAAGGCATACGACCCGACGGATCCCAAGATGAACCCACTCAACCCTGAGGGTCTGAAGCCGTACGTGAACAAAGAGTCATGATTTCTACCGCAGGCGAATGACGCTTGTATGCTCGACTCCTCTCCAGATGCTGCGCATGCCCACAGACAAAGTCTGCCCGCGACGCCTGTTTCCTCAAGTTCGACTCGTCGGACGCAGACGATAATTGCAAGGACCTCGTGCAACAGCACCTTGCTTGCATGCGGGGGTATGGCTTTAAGGTGTAGCCTACCGGGTGGCTCCGTCGCGTCTCTATAGTCGTGACCTACTCGTAATTATTCCTGTTCTTCGTTTATCCTACAATCACATACTCAACACTCCTGTATGCACATGCATCGCCGTCTGATTTTAATTAGACCCCCACTCCCACGAAACCAGTGCAACGATAATATTATATGGGATGACAGTCAGATTTGCCTCGCAGTTGGGCAGCAGCATGAATACAAGTCTACTGTAGTTTGGATTGATGTTCGAATTTTCGTTATTGCCCATCCAGATCGATGTTCCTACTCCAAGGGGGTATTCCACTCCCAGCGCCCCTCCGTGAGACCTTCCGCAGAGTCCCGCATTAGGATTTCATGCCTCTTTTGCACATAGACCTAGGATTCAGGATCGTCAGACGGGAGTGCACCACCCGAAGGAAATCGGGAGCCAACCGTCTTGTCCAGCATCCGCTGGCGCAAGCTCTTCACGGTGTCCGCTTCCACAGGCTCTTCGAGCATTTGCGAGAGGTCCTCAACCGCCTTCTCGAGGTCACTGGATCAAAAGTAGAAGCTTCATCAGGTCTGGTTCTAATCACAAGCGTAAGTACCGACGCCTGAAGGTCCTCGAAGATCTGCTTCTTGTTGCCCTGTGCGAGGAAGTATGCCATGGCATATGACCACTTCAAGCTGACTCTGCACTTCGTCAGCTCATTCACGGCGTTTTGCATGAACTTGGCCTAGGAAATGGACATCAACAAATCCAGGTTAGCAATTACTCAAACACTGGCAGAAAGCCGCATCACACCTCGATCCATGATAAAGTACTGGTCTCCTGCACCTCCACCATCTTCTCTTCCGTGCGCTCGCATAGCTCCTGGTCAAGCCGCGCGGACAGCTCGTGATTGTTGAAGCGATCGAAATAGAACAGCCATTTATCGAGGTTCTGCTTCGCCGTGGTCTTCGCCTCGTCCGGCTCGGGCTCCTTCCAGGTGCTGCAGACTTCGTTGTTGTACCCGTGGACGTCCCAATTCTGCATGCAGAGCCAACAGAACTGGAACTTGCACTGTCGGCAGAGGATGCGGCTGGAGGAACCCCATTAGAGCGATCACGGAGGACGAAGGCGAGACCTACTTGCATCCGCCGGCCTTCTCGATGTTGTTTTGGCACTTTGGGCACGTCCGCGTATTCGCCTTGATCCACTGCGAGGTTCCCGAGTCCTCACGAGCGTTCTTCAGCCAGATGGAGACGAACTTGCAGATCAGCGGGCGGTGGTCCGAGTCCAAGCCGCATCCGAAGCAGAACCAGTGCGAGGCGCCGCACTGCACAGTAGGAACTTCCGTGAAGAGGTCAGACCCCACTCCGCCCGTGCACGAGACTGTCTCGGTGCAAGAAGGATGTGGACAGAAACGCAGGTGTGGGTACGCGGAGACATACGACTGCAAGACCAGCTCCTTGTAGCTGGAGGGGATGTTAGTACTGCTGATCGACACCGGACTTTGGAGTAGCGCACCGCTTGAATGTGCGTTCGTCGACGAGCTTGGCAACTGATGGCTCGTCCACAAACGTTTGGCACCCGTCTTGCATGCAGTTGAAGAAACACTGGCCTTCCTCCTTGATCTTTGCTGAGGTGTACATCTGCCAGCATCCCTCGCAGAACGCGTGGGTACACCTAAGCTTGAAGACGTCGTCTGGGTTTGTCTCGCAGCAGATACTGCACACAAATTCGGTGGGCGTATCAAGGCGTGCTCGCTTGCTCGGGCGAGGCTCCAACGAAGCAGGGACGTTCTGTGGTTCGCCGGCGTCTCGGAGGACAAGCGCGGAGCTGTCCATGAACTTCTCGATGAGGTGGTCCCGGTTCCATCGGAAATGCTGGAGCAGAATGCAGGCTATGCTTGACTATTTCCACACACATATGCAACACAGAGCGTCACATGAGGTCAAAACAAGCGCAACAGAGCAAAGTACGGAATCCTGCACCTCTAATCCGATGATGCTAGCTACGTGGTGTATGTCTTCGTCCACAAGTTCCTGGAGACGCAAAGCCGACAGGCTGGTATATTCTATGTTTGTGCTCTTCTGCTTGCCCTTGCTCTTGATGGCGGGTATCTCGTCGTCCGAGTCGTTCCCCTAGAATTGTGGCGGGTGAGCTGGATAGGCCTGTTTGATGGACAGGTAACGCCGCACATCTAGAAACGAACCATCTGAGTCGTATGTATCGCTTGGAGCGTCATCAGAGTAGTCAGACATTGTAAGCAGATCGTCTCAAACAACAGAATGCGGTGAGCGACCGTAACGCCTGGACAGCCGGTCAGCCGCAGGCCTGCAAGCAATGGTCTAGGTGAGAGGTAAGAACCAAGGAAACGGCCTGTATTTGCTTTGTTATCGGAGTTTCATTTTCCCTAAGATCCCCTATTGCAAAGTATCACTACGTTTACAACGGGAGGAAATTGCCAAGTGCAACATATTCCAGTGCCACGTGCAGCATCCTTGTTCCTTACCGTCTCTGCTGTCTACTGATCGAGTTCTCCGTGGATCACAATCATGATACGATGAAAAGTAACGTTTTGCCAGCCTGGATTTCTTAGTTTTTCATATTGGTGCTGCGCCCAAAAAGTTGGGTGATTCCTCTCGTAAAAGCGGCGCACGTGGCGGCGGATGGTGAGCCAACTGCTCAGTTTAAGTTATTTTTAAGAGCCCCCTATAGCTCCTCTTCTTCTCTCTTGATGTTCACGACGAGGAGATGGCCAGCACTTGCGAGAACTATGGTCATCTGAACGGCAGCAGCTGTGACTGCCCCCCCGGCTTCGGCGGCTCGTCTTGCTCGCAGCCGGGCTGTGGCGGAAACTTGTTTCAGGGCTCTGGGCGGTCAGTAGCATCCTTATCTGGCGGCTCCTCGTCTTTTGCGAATATTACAGGATGCTCGTGCCAGAGTGGTTGGACTGGGACAGGCTGCAACGTATGCCAGAGCGCGAGCGCATGCGAAGCCGGATTTACAAGCTCGGGATCCTCGCAGAGCCCTGCGAGCGGGCTGACGGGATCGCAGTCCGGTCAGAACAGCACTCTGACTTGCAATATCGCGCCCCGAGTATACGCTGCGAGTGAGATGAGCTGCCAGGTTGTGGTAGGTCTCCCACATTAACTCCGAAAACTTGGGTTCACAAGCTTCTCCCGGCGGTATAGAACCCTACACTGCAAAGCATTTATCCCCTATCATCGACACTCAACATCCTCCGCACGCTTAACCCCACCCTCACTCCGCTCCCCAATGTCACCGGCTTCGGCTCTGCCGGATCAATCTACGCGCAGCTTTTCTACGACGGTGTCGAGCAGTTCTACTGCAACGCCGACTCGTGCTCTCAGGATCTGGGAAATTCAACGTCCACAGACGGCAGCTCTGACTGGACATGCCAAAATCTGCAGTGCACCTGCATTGCAAACACGAGCTTCTGCGGGGGAGTCCCGCATTCGGACCTCACGCAGACGATCGACGGGCTGACCGGCACGCTCGCCATCTCCTGCGACGCGCTCTCCACCGAGAACAACACCGCGAGTTGCGCCTTCAAGCAGTCTATCATAGACGCCGTGTTCGGGGCCTCCGGCCTCACCCTCACTGGTTGTGCGTTCGGCGAGTGTGTCAGTCAGAACGTCATCGACACCATCAACTCGAACATCACGGGCTCCTCCGGAAACACTGGCAGCAAGGGCAAGCAGCTGAGTGGTGGCGTTATTGCTGGCCTTGCAGTCGTAGGTGGTCTCATCGGGCTCGCACTGCTGTTCTTGGTGTACGGTTGGATCAATCAGCGGCGCGCCAGAAAGTCCGGAGCGAGTGCGGCCGGGCACACCGGTGGTGTCGCAGTAGACTGGGCGGAAGTCAGTTACTTCGTGCCTGCCACAGGTAACGCGCGCTGGCTAGGCGGTTCCTTGAGGAGACGGCGTGCGCGCGACCTGAACAACCATAAAGTCGTGTTGGATGCTGTCGGTGGTCATGTCCCGGCTGGACAGATGATGGCGATTATGGGGCCTAGTGGTGAGCATCGAAACATGAGGGTACTCACAATTTCGTCTCACAAGGATGGCAGGTGCCGGCAAGACGACCTTGATAGAAATCCTCGCCGGGAAAAGAAAGTCGGGTCACACCACAGGCGTCGTGACATACCCTGTGTCAAGTACCGTGGTCAAACGTGCTCCGCAGATTGGCTTTGTTCCGCAGCAAGACATCCTCCCACCGACGCTCACGGTGCACGAGGCCCTCTTCTTCGCCGCCCGCCTGCGCCTGTCCGAGTGCATCCCCGACTCAGACAAGCGTGCGCGCGTGGACGACGTGCTCGAGAAGTTGGGCATCTCGCACATTCGCGACGTTCGGATCGGCGATGGCGAGAAGAGGGGCATCAGCGGTGGTGAGATGCGGCGGGTCAGCATTGGCCTCGAGCTTGTCGCGAAGCCGGACGTGTTGATTCTCGACGAGCCTACTTCCGGACTCGACTCTGTATCCGCTGCGAAGGTAGCCACCGTGTTGCATGGGCTCGCGCATGATGTGGAGAACCCGACCGCTGTGATTGCGTCGATACACCAGCCCAGGTACGTTGGACTAGCAGTTAGGAATAATGTTGCTGACCACCTGTAACTCATTATAGCTCGCGACTATACCAAACCTTTGATCAGATCCTCGTGCTCGCGCAAGGGCGCGCGATCTATTCCGGCGAAGGTGGTGCCGCGCCTGCAGAGCACTTTACCGCTCAGGGCATCCCTTACAAGGCAGGCTACAACGTGGCGGACTACCTGTTAGAAGTTGCTAGCGACCCTCCCGTCGGTCTCTTCCAGTGCATCAAAAGCGTGAACACCAGAAGTCGCGATGACGCGGAGAAGGCGTCGAGTAGCGAAGTACTGGCATCAGGCGACGACGCGGAGAAAGGTAATGCCAGCAGGTCGTTGCCTCCGCTGCCCGCCATCGCAGCGCCGAAACACAAGCGGACACACCGCCTTGGGCCAAAGTATGCGACCACCTTCTTGACACAGCTGGAAGTTCTCTCGGGTAGGGAGTGGAAGATTTTGAGAAGGTGAGGATCCGCGTTTGTCTATACTTTGTGCCTGTTCCTAATTTTATCGTCTCTTCTAGAGATTACACCTTGTTCTTTGCGCACATCGCCGTTGCCTGTGTCTTGGGTGTGATCTGCGGTACGTTCTATCACGCGTCGATTTTTTTGTTAGCTCAGTGCTGATCTCGTTGATAGGTGGCTTATACTACCAGACAGGCGTTAGTATTGCCGGATTCCAGTCACGCATTGGATGCCTATTTTTCTTAGTCAGTCGCTCCTTGGTCGACTTTTATGACCTGATCAATAATATCCTACAGGGCGCCCTCATAGCTTTCTCCTCACTCAGTGCGCTATACAACATCGTAGACATCCGACCGTTGTTTTTGAGAGAGCGGTCTGCTTCATACTACAGGTCAGCTCATGTCGTCAATCTCGCGACGAACAGTCTATTTACGTTTGAGTGTGCAGCCCGACTGCATGGTTGCTATCACGGGTCATCTTCGACGTACTCCCGCTGCGAGTGATTCCGACGATCATCGTCGGGACGATGTCAGTTTACCTTGGTTTTAAAGTGCCTATTGCTTGTCACTGAACAAATGCTTCTAGTACCTACTGGATGGTGGGCTTGGCACATGATGCCGCGCATTTCTTCAAGTTCCTCTTGATCTTAGTGTTGTACACCCTCGGAATGACACTCTTCGTGAGGGCGACGTTTCACAGACTACTACGTTCGTTTTACTGATACCGCTTGACTGACAGAACTTCCTGCTCGCCTGCGTATTCCGCAATGGCGGAATCGCCATCCTCTTGAGTGCTCTCCTCGCCCTGTACCAGATGACGTATGCCGGCTTCTTCTTGCACCTCACGAGCATCCCGCCGGTGCTCCGCTGGCTGCAATGGCTGTGCCCGCTCAAGTACACGCTCGAGGCGCTCTCCGTCAATGAGGTCGGCTCCGGCCTGCAGATCCAGGACACGCTCGCAGGTGTTCCCGTGGAAGTGTCCGCTAGCCTGATCATGCAGATGGTCAGTGTTCGTTCTGCATCCTCGCCGGTCGATGCGCTGACTTTTTCTGCTACTAGCTGTTTGGCTTCGGCGAAAATAATTACTACAGAGACGTGCTGGTGCTGTTTGCGTTCATCGCCGGGTTCGGGTTGGGCGTGATCGGGGTCGTCTGGTTCAAGGTGCGGGAGAGACGCTGAGGTACATCGTTCCGAGTTATAGATTGGCATGGCAGGGATTAGGGATTTTCTTGGACTTCGTTTCCGATGTATTGTATGTATCATGTTCGATTAGTACGGAATACAGGATAGACGGGCTCTGTTATTTAAAAGTTATCGACTTCCCTACGCGGGTCGCAGGAGCCCGAAGACAACTGACCGAGACGTCAAAACGCCAGCCCCCATCTGTTAGATTAGATAATCCATCAGTCTCTTAAGTGTCTAGACTCAAAGCAATGCAAGATGCTGTACACCTAGATACCTATTGATCAGGCTGTGCTATGCACTGCTATGTAGAAGCTATGCATAGCTATGCCTGCCTATGTTCATAGCCACAATCCTGTGTTACTCACAGGTTTGTATAGCCACACTCTAGGTAGATATAAACCCCCTAGAGTCCACTCTGAGTCCTCAGTGACTCACTTCTGGACTCTAGGTGAGTAGAGTACTTTGTCCTCAATATTACTCAGTGACTCACTTCTGGACTCTAGCTGTATTGCCCAGCTCTTCTGTCCTGTTATTTGAGTCCCCTACAAGGTCTGCATATTGCGACTTTATTAGGTTATGAGCCCCGCGCTCTAGCCCCTTTGCTGTTGCTTTGTCTTGGTCACTTTTCTGTGCCTTTCTTGTCCTTATAGTGTGCTGCATATCCTTTATTTACAAAGACACCAACTGTTGGGTCTGTGCACTTCAGTGGGCCAGCCTTTGACCTTCTTGGGAACATCCTGGTAATCATCCCAGTGACCTGAGTGGTTGTACAACTGGGTGTTTAGTAAATACTTACTGGTTACAATTACTATACCTCCTTTCCTGCACACACTCCTGAGGACTATCCTGCACTTTTTCAAGCACCAGACATAATCACACACAACCCTTTACCCCTTTCCACATCATGTCTTCCACCTCTACCCACACTCCCAACTTTGCCAAACTCAATGACTCCAATTACCCTACTTGGAGTGGTGAAATGGCCGCCTGGTTGCGCTCTGCAAACCTTTGGAGACTTGTCAATGGCAAGCTTCCACAGCCAAAGCTCTCTGGATCACCTACAGCAGCTGAGCAAACTAAGCTAGACACTTGGGAGGCCAATGCAGAGAAAGCAGCTGGTCAAATCTATTTGATGGTGGAACCAGATCAGCGCACTCACTTTGCTGGTGTGGTGGATGACCCTATCAAAATGTGGGAACAGCTTGCAGCTGTTCATCTGCAGAAGAAACCTGGAGCGCGTTTCAATGCTTATGATGATGTCTTCTCCATCAGAAAGCAACCAGAGGAATCACTTCAAGGGCTTGTCAATAAGGTCAATGCTGCCATGCAGCGTGTTAAAGACCTTCACCCTAATGACTTTAATCTGACAAAGCTGGATGAAGAGTTAACCTCCATGGCTATGATTCGTGCTCTTCCTGTGGAGGAATATGGCGCTTTTACCTCTGCGCTACTTCAGCGTGATATCCTGAGCAAAGATGTTGTCACCCAGGCTTTTGTCACAGAGGAAATCAATCGTCGTCATCGCACCACTTCCCCTCCCAAAGCAGATCAAGCACTCACCACTGCTTCCTCCTCACAGCTCACCTGCGATTTTTGTGAGGGCAAAGGACACACACAGTCCAATTGCTATGCTTTCCAGAATGCTTCAAAGAAAGCCAAGGAAAATCGCAAAGAGCGCCGCTCTAAGCGTGGAAACAAGGCAAATGCTACTGCTGCTGCTGCTGCCACCCAGAATACCACTCAGGTTGACCCTACCACTGTCACAGAGTCTGCTGGCAAAGCAAGTCTCTCTGACCCACTTCAGCTTGATGCTGACTTTGACTGGAATGCAGACACAGGCGCCACTTCTCATATGACACCTCATCACCACTGGCTTAGAAATTACAAACCTTTGGTCATTCCAATCAAACTCGCTGATAACACCATTGTCATGTCTGCTGGGGTGGGAACAGTTGTATTTAATTCAGTGATTGCAGGGAAAGCAGTCAGGCCTGTGGAATTCACTAGGGTGCTACATGTCCCAAGGCTCAGGAACAATCTCCTCTCTTGTCTGTATTTAGTTCGTCAGAAAGGCTTCAGAATTCACATAGAGTCCAAGTTCATGACCTTCCTTCACTCTCGTCAGACTCTATTTGTTGCCTCTATCACAGAGAACTACACTGCCTTTCTTGATGGAACTGTACAACCAGCTCCAGAGTCTGCACAGGCTATAACCACAGTCCCTCTTGATTTAAATCTCTGGCATCGTCGCTTTGCTCATCACAACTATGCCGATGTCCAAAAGATGATTAGAGAGGAGCTAGTGACTGGTCTTATGCTGAATTCAAAGCAGCAGCCTGACCCCATTTGCGAACCATGTCTGGCCGGTAAAATGCATGCCAATCCCTTCCCTACATCGGACAGTCATGCCTCCAAACCCCTAGAATTAATTCACACAGATGTCCATGGACCTCTGCCTGTGTGTACACACTCAGGATATCGGTACTGGATCACCTTCATAGATGATTACAGCCGATTCAGGGTTGTGCTATTGCTAAAGGCTAAGAGTGAAGCCTTTGATGCTTTCAAGCAGTATAAAGCTTATGCTGAAAATCTGCTTGAAGCAAAAATCAAGGCTGTCCAGGATGACAAGGGTGGGGAGTACATGTCCAATGCCTTTATACAGTTTACTCAGGAGGCAGGGATTGAGCGCAGACATACCACGCACAATAGACCACAGCAGAATGGAGTTGCAGAGCGAGCTAATCGCACAATGGACAATGACATCACTGCTATGCTAGCAGAGTCTAAACTGCCTCCTTCCTTCTGGGGAGAATGCATTGGATCTATGGTGCATGTCTGGAACCGTCTGCCTACAGCAGTGGTGAAGGGTGCAACTCCCTATGAGCTGTGGTACAAGCGGAAGCCAGATGTCAGCCATCTTTGTGTTTGGGGCTGTACTGCCTATGTCCATGTGCAGAAGGATCAGCGTACAGGTCTGGGACCACACATGCAGAAATGCGTGTTCATTGGTTATCCTGCAGGATACAAGGGGTGGAAGTTCTACAATCCTGACACCAAAAAGACTATAATCTCAGAACGTGCTGATTTTGATGAGCGCTACTTTCCTGGCCTCAAATGCACTTCTGATATTCCTCCTCCACCCCCTATGTCATTTCCACCTGCAGACATTATTCCTCTACCTGTAGCACCTGTACCTGGACAGGATTTAGGGGGAGATGGTGCACATGTGCCAAATCCTATACCTGGTCCAGTTGCTTCAGAAGCTGATCCACCTGCACCACCTGCACCTGAGCATCCAGTAACTCCACCACCACCAGATCCTTCAGAGCATCATAGAGTTCCAACTCCTCCTCCATTTGAACCTATAGATCATCGTCCAATTGCTCAGCGCCGGGTACCTCGCAACATTAGGCCCACCTGGAAAATGCGAACTTCACCACCACCTATGCAGGATGCAGAGTCTGAGGACGAGTTGGATGTGATAAATGCAGATGCTGACTTTGTTGAAGTCCAGTTTGCTGGTCTATCTGCTGGAGCAGACCCTCGGACCTATAAACAGGCTATGGGCAGTCCTGATGCTGATAAGTGGCAGCAAGCAGCCAATGAAGAGATTGTGTCTCTAATGGCCAATAACACATGGGACATTGTTCCACTGCCACCAGGCAAAAGGGCAATAGGCTCAGGCTGGGTGTTCAAGGTGAAGCACAATGCAGATGGTTCTGTAGAGCGCTATAAAGGCAGATTAGTCGCCAAGGGTTACAGTCAACGCCCTGGCTTTGACTACACAGAAGTCTTTGCTCCCACATTCCGTCAACCTGCATTGCGCCTTATTCTAGCTCTTGCTGCAGCAGAGGATCTAGAACTTCACTCTGTGGATATCTCATCTGCCTTCCTAAATGGAGACTTGGAGGAAGAGATCTACATGCAACAACCTGAGGGGTTTCACCAGGGTGGTCCAGAAATGGTCTGCAGGCTAAATAAGTCACTCTATGGCTTGAAGCAAGGTGCACGCCAGTGGAACAAGAAGCTTCATGAGGTGCTCACCAAAATGGGCTTCACTCGTCTTCAGTCTGACAGAAGCATCTATGTGTACATTAGGGAAGATGTGCGCATTATTGTCCCAGTCTTTATAGACGATATGACACTTGCTTCAAAGTCCAAGAAGGCACTTGATGACACTGTCAAGGAGTTAAAGTCATATTTTAAACTCCGAGACCTTGGATCTACCCAGTTTCTGCTGGGCATAGACATCAAAAGAGACCGTGCAAAGCATACCATTTCACTCTCACAGCGCCAGTATATAGTGGATATGCTGGAGCGTTATGGTCTCTCTGACTGCAAGTCTGTCAGCACTCCTATGGATCCTGGAGCAGAGCTTTCAAAGGCCCTTGCACCTCAGACACAGGAAGAGGCAGAATATATGCACAAAGTGCCTTATCTCAGTGCTGTAGGGACACTGATGTATTTGGCCATCACCACTCGTCCAGACATCATGTTTGCCATTGGATGTCTTGCGCGTTTTAATGCCAATCCTGGTCCTGCACATTGGATTGCTGTGAAGCATGTCTTCCGCTATCTGAAGGGCACAATGGACTTAAGGCTGCACTATGGTCCCAGTGATGTAAAGGAGTTCTTCCTAACCTACACGGACTCAGACTTTGGCGGTGAGAGGAATAACTGTCGCTCCACTGGTGGTTACCTTGTAAAAGTGGGCACAGGTGCTATTAGCTGGAGTAGCAAGCTTCAGTCCCTTATTGCCCAATCCACCACAGAAGCCGAGTACATTGCTGCAGTTGAAGCAGGAAAGGAAATCCTCTGGATGCGTAATCTTCTCACAGAACTGGGGTATACAGTGTCCAAAGCCTCTACACTTTACATGGACAATCAGTCTGCAATCAGTGTCTCTAAAAATCCAGAACATCATGGCAGAATGAAGCACTTGGATCTGCGCTTCTTCTGGCTTCGAGACACCGTGGAGGCAGGTCGAATTGCACCAGTATATATTCCTACTGCAGAGATGATAGCGGACATTTTGACAAAGCCCTTGCCGGCGACAAAGATTATCTACTGCCGCGAGATGATGGGCTTGAGGATCTAATCGTCAAAAACCCGGATCTTGTCGGATAGAGCATATAACTCGGACATTGTCGGGTCGGTGTTTTCTCGGATCATCTGTCTGCCACATATACCACTCTCACTGCTGCGGTTCAAATCATCTCTTTGCCCCTTCCACCACTATGAAAACCTTCGCCATTGCCCTTCTTATTACTGCAGGGGCGCTCTTCCCTGCCATTCTCCTTCTTTCTTTTTATTATGCCATCACCCGTATCTGGCCAGCACCACCCCCGCTCGACATCGAATTGGAACGCATTACCATTCCGGCATCCAATCAACCGACTCATCACATGCTTGTTCACCCGGCTATGCCACCTCGTGCTCACATTCGGCGACACTCACTGCACTTCACCACTCAGCAGTTCGATGAGTTGGACGACCTTGCATCTATGATGCTGCGTGAGAGCGAGATGGAAGCCGAACATCCATTCAAGTCTAAATCGTGCGACGAGGAACATTGGGATGTAGTGGAATGAGTGGGTTCAGGGGGAGGTATGTGGAGCTCTTGCATTCTGTTGAAGAGGGAAGACTTGTTGGATTAAGGGGGAGTGTTAGATTAGATAATCCATCAGTCTCTTAAGTGTCTAGACTCAAAGCAATGCAAGATGCTGTACACCTAGATACCTATTGATCAGGCTGTGCTATGCACTGCTATGTAGAAGCTATGCATAGCTATGCCTGCCTATGTTCATAGCCACAATCCTGTGTTACTCACAGGTTTGTATAGCCACACTCTAGGTAGATATAAACCCCCTAGAGTCCACTCTGAGTCCTCAGTGACTCACTTCTGGACTCTAGGTGAGTAGAGTACTTTGTCCTCAATATTACTCAGTGACTCACTTCTGGACTCTAGCTGTATTGCCCAGCTCTTCTGTCCTGTTATTTGAGTCCCCTACAAGGTCTGCATATTGCGACTTTATTACCATCCGCTCATGAGCTCGACGGAAGAGCACCAGAAGACCAAGTGCTGGATACAAGAATATCTAGACGAGCAAGTCCGCCGGAACCAAGGGAGGAACTGACTGATCGGCAAGGCGTTCATTATCCATTATCACGACAAGAGTCCCCGAAGGCACCACAACTTCAAAGTTCAAAGTCCAACGATGCAAACGCCCTACGGCCACTCGACAGCCACTTGTAAGCTATAGCTATGATATAGCTATGATGCGGGCTAAAGTCTGATCCCTGAAAAGCCCATTGTCTCACTGGCTAGACCGACAGTCAGAGTTCGGCCTTACAGCAACGGAAGGTAAAAACGCACAGCGGGCCCTTCCTGCTTTACAGCCCGCATTGAGACGCATCCACCTGCACCGCGGTCGCGTTCACCCGGCCCAAGAACACAGCCTGGTTATTCGTCAACGCGTTCATTGCCTCCTCCGAGAGGTTGAAGCCCTCGGTGGCGACATCGATCGCGAGGACGGTGATGGTCGTCGTGCTGTACGTCAGCTCGTAGCACGTCCCGCACGCGGCCGAGTTCCACCCAGTGATGGTGTACGCGCCTCCGATGTATGGGAAGTCAGGAAGGGAGCCGAAAGTGGTGTAGCCCTTGGTCTCGAGCCCATTCGCGCCGTCCGAGCATGCGACGTAGCTGAGCAACTCCGAAGCGTTGTCATAGGTCGTATCGTACGAGACGGACACCGTCTGCGCGAGGACAGCGGGAGTAAAGACGATGGAGAGAGCGGCAACGATGGCAGAGAACTTCATAATGGTAGACGTTTATCACGGGAGAAAGAGGCTGGTGCAGTACTGAACAGCTGGAGAGGAGCTGATGGGGTGGAGAGCCTCTCTTCGGGAATTTATATCTCTGCAGCACGAGAGTCTTGGCGAGTCCGCGAACGCGGAATCACAGGAGCAAGAGAATACGGCATACTATCCTAGGCACAGTTCTGCAAAGTGCGCATCAATATGCAAAATGCGAATATCTCGTCCAATTCTCAAAAATATTTTAATGGGTTTGGTTAGTAGTTGTATGGACACTATCTAAACATGTTTCAACCCTGTGTATGATAATTTGTTGATGTGGAAACAAATGGGAGAGCGATTGCATGGTTTTGCACCCCAATGTAAGTGCCGGAAATACAGCTGATGTGGAGATCCTTCTTGCAGTACTCATCCTAAAATTTTGCCACCCATAATATAAGCCTTTTTAACATGGAGCTACCTTCAGAGTGACCCCGATTGACGCCATGCGAAGTTGTTCTTGCTCTATGCTATGTTGCGAGAAAGACGCGTTACATCCATCCGCCACAGCGTGATGAAATTCAGACTCCGTCGCCCAAAGCGGCTTTGCAGAACTGTGCACACCGCTTGCGTTGACCGAGCCATCAAATTTGCCGGGCATGCCGAAGGGCGCTCACCGTGACAGGCTTGTGACGATTTTGCATTACCCTGCGCACTTGCACTCTCGTCACCGGAAGGTCTCCGAGAACATAAGTTCTGGGAATTTTAACATGCTACTTTGATAACCTTGTAGAGGGGACATTATTGTACATAGACTGCAAGTTTCAAGGGATTTCATGAAGTTGTCAGGGAGCTATGAGCAGCACACTGAAAGAGTTTGCAGAACTGTGCCTAGGATAGTACGCGTACAATCACCGCGTGCGATGCAGCTCGGCTGCACTTCACACGCAGTAAAACCGGTAGAAATCGTCCCGTCAGGTAAACGAGGGTCGAAAATCGTCTCACCACGGACAGAGAAGCCGAGCCAGCGTGGTGAATGTGAGATTTGGCGCTATACCCGTCCCGCCAAGAGCTTCGATTCCCAAGACAGGGTAGCTCCGGTGCTGAATTCCAAAATGCAGAGAGACATGATATTTCCAGTTGGCAATCCTCGGGATGGTGGGCATGGCAGGCCCATGTGTGTGCTAGAGGCCATCGCGGGGTTCATGGCCGCGTACAAGAGCGGGTAGTGAGCACATGGTAGCAGCAGACGGGCGGGACTAATGATGATGATACTTTGACATGGTCGGCCATGATGTAGACCATCAGGTGATGATTCGTCGAAGCCTGAACTCGAAGCCTCGAAGACGCAGAGCGGCCAGCTGAGATAAGTAAACTCCCAACTGATTTACAGACAGTACCCGCCAAGTTCGATACGAGTTCAAGACGCTTTTACCGCTGCAGGACATACTTATTCAAGATTGTTTAAAAGACTCCCTAGTAATTACGCGACGCGAAAAAAAGGCAAGAAAAATACAACACCTTCGTGGCTGAGATTCAAAGGTAGTTACATAATATGGCATCTATCCCCAGAAAGGAAGTCTGACTACTATATATGTAAGGGAAGAAAGAAAGTCAACGAAAACGCCGCGGAAAATGGTGCGAATGATTCAAAGGTGATGTACCACATATAACTCTTCAAAAAACGCACCGAGCATAACGAAGCCCCCTAGCAAAGTCTTCCGCGGCTGAGAGGGAGCGTCAGAATAATTATCATCGAACGACTACATTCACATAAAAGTGAATGAGACTTACTCAAAATTCAGACGTTCCCGGAAGCCCACACCGAGACTGGCTAACTTGTAAAGCAGTAGCAGTCACCGTCCCAGCAGCCACAGCCTCTCCATCCGTCAACGTATCCATGCCCTCCTCCGAAATGTTGAATCCTCCAGAAGCATAGTTGACTACGAGGACCGTGACCGTCCCACCCTCATAGGTCAGGTTCCAGCACGTCCAACAATTAGGCGAATCAAATCCCTGCGCAAGGGCAGATCCTCCGAGGAACGGGAAATTGGGGAGTTGGCCGATGGTGATGAGGTCGCCGGAGTGCAAGCCGCTCGCGTTCCAGCAGGATAAACTGGCAACGGGATCGGACGCGTCGTCGTAGGTTGTGTCGTAAGACACGGACACGGAGGTCTGAGAGAGGACGGCTGGTGCAGAGAGCAAGGAGACGGCTGCGACGGAGTAAACCTTCATGCCAGTAGACGGAAGTGGTCCGGAGTAGACTGAGATGAGTGCGGGCGATTGTTCGAGATTGACACAGATTATGTTCTTATACCATACATGAATGAACGACGCGGACTTCCCAAGCTATGCTGTTAAGACCGAGAGCACGAACCTGAGAACGCACAGCGGGCTTGATCTCCCGCTTCGTGGCTGCGTAGCCGCCGTCCATTATTTCCTGCGCTTTACAAAGTGGACCAAGTTTCATCTCCTGATTCAGTGATTGAGAAGATGGTAAACGGTATCACGATACCATACACGGTCAGCGGAAAATACAACAAAGTAGACAATTTACTTCTCAGGAATACCGACTTTGACCTCAAGGCGAGCTAATCTTCCCTGGCCAGAACGCCTGCCCACCCTTGTTCTCCTCATACCAAGGCGTGTCATGGGCCAAAATGACCCTTACCCGCCGATTCTCCTGCAGTTCCTTGATCCGTCCAAAATGCACCTTCGCCTGCTGCACGTCCACATGCGCACAACCCCACCTGTCTGTGCGCGCAATTTGCGCCTCTCCGTGAATCAGCCGCCAGTCGTGGGCGCTGTCGCCGGCAAGGTAAACCCAACCTCCGTCAGGCGACGTGCGCACCAGCGCGTTGAGGTGCCCCGGGAGATGTCCAGGCGCGTCAACGAGATACAAGCTCCCATCGCCGTAGAAATCGAGTGCGCGGGGAAAAGGACCGATCGGCTTCCACGCGTCGTCGATCTCGAGGAACTCTGTCCGATCCGGCGGGAGGAGGTCGGATGCGGACACAGAATTGGGGTCTGCGGGATATCCAGGCTCGAAGAGAGAGCGCGAGGCGCCGCCGACGATAAATTTGGCGCCGGTGAAGGGCGTGGTGTCGCCGTAGTGATCTAGGTGGATGTGGGAGATGCAGACCGTTTGGATCTGCGCAGGATCCGCCCCACCCGCTCGCAGCGACTCCGCGACATCTTGAGGCACATTAATGTGGAACGGCATCGTGCGAATGCGATGAACAATGGCTGGGGGAAGCCGTTCCCAGTCACGGCGCACGCCGAGGTCAAAGAGGAGAGTCGCACCGGTGACAGAGTGCGTGAAGAGGAAGGAGAGTGCTGGAAGAACAGAGGTGTCCTCCGCAGACGCTGTGTCGAGAATCCATGGAAGCGGTATTTCGACATGGCCCGCCTCTAGAGCGGAGACGTCGCACCACGCCTGATTGCGAGAAGGAGGAGGAAGACTCATCGGCCGCTCTCGAGTTTCTGAGTCACTGTAAGTCTGTTGCTTGAAGCCAATAATTCAGCGCATTGGCAGAACAACGCTCATATATGTTGAAACCTACAAAGCAAAGGACTTTATATGTTTTCTATGGATGTGATCATGATCATCGATCAGGAGAGTTATGCCACTCCGAGATACTTACTACTGTCTTACCCGGGTCCCCGATTCTATCGCCGTCAGCTTAGTTAAAAGGTGATGTCAAAGTACGAGGTTTGAGATCTGAGATCTGAGAAGTGATGCTGAAGTTTGGCTTGAAGCGTGAAGCTGAAGCTTGAGCTGGAAGATTGAAGCGGAGTGTCTGTTAGTATACGTCAGAGACTCTAGTTCGTTCTCCAGCGCCGAGAAGTCGAAAAACGTACCTAACATTTATCAACTTCTTAAGGCCCCAGTTAGTCCTGACGACTTGCACATCGGGGCGACTGAGCGCGTTGAAATAGACCATAGCATAGTCAAGCTCAATTGCAAGTATGGCTTTACGACCATTGTTATACAACAAACGCCAACGTCCAACGTCCGGTCATCATATGTGCAACTGTACAATGGGTTACAGAAAGTGCAGTTGTGTGGAAAGTCCATCCAATCCAATATCCAATCCTAAAATTACTGCAGGAGTCCGACAACTTCATCGATTGCAACCGCGCGCACCGACTCGCGCACTGGCCAGAAAACCCATTAAAACGGTTCAAAACCAAAAAAAAGGACCGCAACACTCACTCAAAGTCGTTTGAGCAATACTCAGAGCCCACACTGGGACGCATCGACCTGCACTGCGGTGGCAGTTACCCTCCCGAGGAACTCCGCCTGCCCGTTCGTCAGCGCATTCATCGCCTCCTCCGAGAGGTTGAACCCTTCGGACGCGGTATCGACCGCAAGGACCGTGATGGTCGTTCCGTCGTACGTTATCTCCCAGCACGTCCCACACCCAGTCGAGTCCCAGCCCGTCACGGCAAAGGACCCTCCGACGTAGGGGAAATCGGGGAGCTCGCCAAGGTAATTGTAACCGAGGTGCTCCAAGCCGTTCGGGCCATTGGAGCACGCTAGGTCGTTAAGAGACTCTGCGGAGTTGTCGTAGGTGTTATCATATGAGACAGACACGCTCGTCTGTGCGAGGGCGATGGGAACGAAGAGCAGTGAAAGGCTGGCGAGAGCGGCGGTGAACTTCATGACGATCGTAATGGCGGATACGAAATATCAGAGCTGTGGAGAGGTATGAAGAGACGATTCGGGAAATCCGATGAGAGGGTGTCCTGTCCTGCTTGGAGCCTTTATACCTTCCGACGAGAGTGGTCATCGCAGGTTCCAGAGCCAAGCCAGACATAACAGTCATAACGCACGATGGGCACTGAGGTCCGTGTCCGATGCAACTCGGCCGTAAGAAGGGTCCACTACAAAGACAGGACAACCCGACATCAACCCACCGCGAATAGAGATTTCGCTCCGCGGAATCAAAGTCTTGCCTGCCGCAAGCACCGCATGCCGTGCTGAAGCGTCCAGAGCGCAGTATGTCGCGGTCGATGACCGCCGCGAAGCTCTCGGCGGCACGTATGCGAGACATCCCTGTAGCACGAGACATGGCCGTGGTCGAGGCATGTGCGATGACCCATTGAAGAGCGCGGCCACAGAACACCGTCCTGCGGGCCCGCCGTTGACCGGACGCTACAAGCAGGCGTGACGCACATTCCCTGTTGAATGATATAGCCGTCAGCTGCTGATCCCTCTACCATAGAATGATGGGCTGAGACATTCGGATCTCAGACATCTGACTCGAGAAACTAACGTGGGCCAGCAGAGAAAGACGGAATAAGTGGCATGTCAGACAGGTGTTTCCTCCATGGCCAGCAAGATAGGTCAAGCTCAAGTGTCATAGCTAACTAGTTACAGATGAGTACCTGAAAGACAGCGCCACAACGTGAACTCAGAGGAGCGGATATGGAAAGTCTTTTCAAATTAGGCAAGTGAGTACAATCCTCTCGACCTTGCAATTGAGGAAAACGCTAGGTAACTAAGCATATCTAGCTACATGTCGACTTATATATACTCGACCTTGCATACACGCACACAGATATTGGCCTGACTGATGACTTGAAAGGTAGACGCCCTCAATTGCGCACTGTGACCGTGACGATCATGCATCATGATATTTGAGTGGCTTACGTAATTCTTGCTGAAAATCAGGTTCTCCCTTCGCACATTCCTTTCTGTCCTGAAGCAATAATGTCAAGCAGCTCGTTACCTGTGTTATTACCTCAAAATGTTCTTCCATCGTTAGATCGGCCACAGTTTGAGTGGAAACCCAAGCGAGATGTTTCTGCCATCAACCTTCCGCCGCCAGAAGATTCGCGGACGCAGGACCAAGAGATGGCCATGGCACGGCAAATGATGGACGGCAAGACAGTGAAGAAAGTTCGTCCAAGGAGGACTGTTGACTATGGCGGTCCAATGGGCAGATGGGCTTTGGTACGTGAAAATCATCTCTGAGGCCTAGAACATCCTGACACTCATGTCGTGTTTAGTTACGAAAGCTACGGCCAAGTTCTACATATGTACCATATTTGCGACCTGCGCCGCCATATATCATTGATGTGCGAATACAATACTTCGTGAATGAATTGCGTGAATTGACTGAACGCACACTGGACTCAGCTGCTACCCCCGAAGGCCTACCCAGACAACGCGTCAACTTCGCTATGCACAAAATTTGTACACACGTCAACTAACAAGATCAGATGTCCTGTAAACTGTGTCACAGTCAGTGGCTTGTCTCCTCCATGTTCACCTCGGTCTTGAGTTACGGGTTTCACAGTGGACACCAGAAGGCAGACGTGTTCTGACAGGTTCGACGAGCGGCGAATTCACCCTTTGGAACGGGCTTACATTCAACTTCGAAACGATCCTACAGGCACATGATACGGCTGTGCGCACAATGCAATTCACACATTCCGGCGCGTATCTCGCGTCCGCAGACCAGACTGGAATCATCAAATACTTCCAGCCAAACATGAACAATTTGACCGCATGGACGGGTCATCGAGAAGCTATTCGTGGACTGAGCTTTAGTCCAGACGATGGGCGATTTGCAACCGCTAGTGACGATTCCACTGTCAGAATCTGGTCGTTTGAGGAAAGCCGTGAAGAGCAGGTTTTGACAGGTCAATTCAGCTTTATACCTTTACGAATCCCCCTTTGATGGACTGAACCTTGCAGGTCATGGATGGGATGTAAAGTGTGTTGAGTGGCATGCTACCAAGGGCCTCCTTGTCTCCGGAAGTAAAGACAACATGATTAAATTTTGGGATCCTCGGACAGGAACAGTGCTCTCTACCCTGTAAGAGCGCATCCTGCCCGTTTATTACCCCTTGAATTCACGAATTTGTACAGACACTACCACAAAAACACCGTTCAGGCCCTATCGTGGTCACCAAACGGAAACCTCGTCGCCAGTGCGTCACGGGATCAGACCGTGCGCGTATTCGACATCCGCGCGATGAAAGAATACTGTGTCCTGAAGGGACACAAAAAAGAAGTGTGCTGTGAGTGACAATTTGTGCGAACTGCGACGCACCATTAACACGTCCACATAGCCGTCACATGGCACCCCGTCCATCCACTGCTCGTCTCCGGCGGCTCAGAAGGCGCGATCCTGCACTGGGACCTCTCCTCCGTCTCGGAACCGCCCCAAGCGCAGATGCTCGCCCCGCAGCCCGGCCCCCGCGCGACGCTCTCGCAGGCACACGACTCGAACGTGTGGGCGCTGACGTTCCATCCGCTGGGGCACGTCCTCGTGAGCGCGTCGAACGACCACACGACGCGGTTTTGGTGCCGCGAACGCCCGGGCGACGCGACGTCCGTGTTCTCCGGCGGGGGCGAGAAGCCGCCAGACGTCACGGATACCGCGGGGCAGGACGAGGACGAAGAGCCGATGGTGCCCGGCTTCGCGTTTGGCGCAGACGCGGGGCCCGGCTGGTGGGGGAAGGAGGAGAACGCTGATGGCGCCGGGGGTACATTTGAAGGCGGCACCTCCCAGAGGGGGCATGGGAATGCGAATGAGGACGATTTCATCCCGGGCTTTAGTGCCGTGGAGCACGGAAGCTCGAGTGTTGTGGTGGGACGCCAGAGTGGGCCGCTACCGTCGCAGGAGGACGTGTATGGGGCGGGAGATGGAGACGAGCCGTCGTGGAATAGAGGAGGATGGGGAGGTGGGGGAGGTGGAGGAGGAGGAGGAGGGGGAGGGCGAAGCAGTCGATGGGGTCCTCCACGACGCGGGCGACATTGACGAGTTGATCGCACGTACGCTCATTCCTGTATCGACGCGCAGACGGGTGTCCTTCGCATTCATTCAGATTGTTTGCATTCTCAATTCATGAACTACAGCTAAACGATGCACGTCGTGACAAATCAAATCAAAATAATTGAACCAGACAAAGGTATAACTCAGTAAACCAAGCAGCAGAAGACAATGTCTACAGAACGCGACGGGCCTGTGCCCTGAAGCGCTGCAGTCCGTGTAGTAGAATACCAATATGTAGAATGTAGTGAATATGGAGGCTCGTATGCACGTGGTAGGGAAATGTCCACCGGTCGTTAAGGAAAACCTTGTAAGGAACCCTCTTTTGTGTAATGGTACAGTAGCATCGCGGTCATTATCATGCGGAACGTAGGGCATCGGGCCCTTGTAGACTGATGAATATGGAACTTTGTGTTTCTGATGACAAGGTGTCGGGACGGGGTCGCATGGGGGATACGCACTCGATGGTGCTGCATGTAGTATGAAGACGGATGGCGCTTTAATGCGCGAAAGGGACGGGTGTAGGGCACTCGGACTCGACTTTGCTCCGTGCAGTAGGTGTCGCAGTGCCGCTCATGGAGACGACGTCGTCGAAGCTCGATGAGCGGGTGGGGGTCTGCCCGGGCGAGAGGTAATATCCGAGCACGGGGGATGATGACAGGAACTCTTCTACGCTCGACGCGGAGTGCGAACGCTGTATTTCATCGGGCTGTACATCTAGAAGCGAATCTGATCCTGTGTAGAAGCAGAACCTGACGAGCATGAATCAGCCACCACTCATCTTACACACACCCGACATGACTCACTTATTTAAGAAGACGTTGTAGTCGGTAACATCAGAGGGGCTGGGGGAACTTCGACTACCAGGTCCAGTGAAATTGAACATAACAGGGTCAATAGGAGATCCAGACGGCGATGAGGAGCGCGAGGACTCGGATGTTGATGTGACTGACGGTGTCGACTCCTCGCTTCCTCCACGCTCGATGTGCCAGGAAGGACTGAGCATCTCCCCACGCGGACCGGGCGGCGTAGGCAGGTGGTATGAGTCGAGGGAGTTGTAACGCAGAGACGACTCGATAAACGGTGCTCCAGGAGGTGTCTTCTTGATGGCTGGGCTCTGCGGGGAACCTAGATCGAAACAGCCACGCTGGTGATTCCGGCCCCGGCGTCGACTCAGTGCCGGAAGTGGAGTGTCCTCGAGAGTGTCATCTAGGTCAGAGCCAGAGTAGAACGTTGAAGGGCGGATATCGTCCCCGTCGAAGACATGAGGGGACCCGCGAGACACCACTGCATCCTCTGCGAAAGATGTCTTGGTAGCGGGGCTGGAAAATGGCCGCTGCGGCACTTGCGGTGATACGTTCGGGTAGGTGCTGACGCGCGAATGCGACACGGGCAGGCTGCTCTTCCACGGCGTCTTCAAAGACGCTGAGAAGTCGTATCTTGCTGAGAGCGGGGTTTTGGACCGAAGGTCGAAATCATCGCGGGTCTTGTCCGATTGCTTGTTTATGTATCCGCCTACCGTCGACCGACCGACCGCGACTTTCTCCAGCCTGCTTTTCAGGTCGGCTATACCAGCATCAGCCTTCTCGACGGTTGGAAGTGGCTGCGGCCTCGCCCTAGAGAACTTGACCTGATAGTTGTTCCCGCCATTGTTATCCCACATCTCCTGCCCGACGACCCTGTATCGCAGGGCGAGGAACAGTGTCTTCTCCTCAATACGCGCGAGCATGTCGTTCAGTCGGATCGTGAAGGTGAACCGGTCGAACTCGCCGCCTTCCAGAGACTCGAAATACTTGGCGGTCACCTCGCTCGTCGTTTGCCACCAGTCGAATGTGAACCGGACCGCGACCCACTTCTCGAACGCGATATTGCGCACCCGCACCCGCCCATGCGCAGCCGTGCCGTCCTGCGAGAGGGTGAGCTCCTCCAACACGACGTCTCCATCCTTGCGCACGCGCACAGGCATGTTCACGACTCGCATAGACAGTCTCCCCCTCGTCTGCAACTCGTCGGGTCCGTAGATGAACGCGGGGAAGTCGCTCTCTGTCCCGCTCGTGTCCTCGGTCGGGCTCCCGTCGCGCGAAACTGCGAGCGGCTTCTGCTCCGCGAGAAACAGCTTCACGTGCTCCAGCTTCGCGTCGAAGTGCACCGACTTGATGTGCGTCGGTGTGTTCGGCTCGCTCTTGCTTCCCGCAGGAGCCGCACCTGTCACCACCGACAGATCCCCGCGCACCACCTCCCGCCGCCCCTTCAGCGACGACTTCAGCGGCTCCCCCGTCTTCTTCCGCACCAGCTGCGCCGACACCGTCCGCGGCAACGACACCGCCCGGCTCGTCGACGCCCGCGGCGTCGACTCCCCCTCGTCCTCCTCCGTCCGCGGCCACGGCACCCGCTCCTCGCTCTGTGCCTTGAACACCGACGGCGTCGGCGTCGACTCCTCCGGCGGGCGCAGCGTCGCGTGCCTCGCCTGATGCCGACGCGCGCGGGGCACCACGAACTGCACCGGAGAGTCCGACGAGGAGGAAGAGCCAGAGGCGGACCCGACTGGGGTCCCCTCGGCGCTCGATCGCGGCGGGGTCGGTGGCTGCACCACCAGCGGGGGTGGCGAAACGAACATGTTCTGCAGCGTCGCGACCGCGTCCGCTGACGCGCGCGAGCTCGACCGACGGGGTATGCGCGGCAGAGCCAGACCCGCGCTGTTCGAGTGCCGCGAGAAGGAGCGCTCCATCGTCATCGAGTATACGGTGGTGCTCATAGGTGTGATGGGTCGTCTCTGCAAACCCGAGTGAGCACGGCGACGCGTACAGGACACGGACTACTCACGGTCGTAGCTCCAGCAAATGAAAGGTTGAAGGATGGGAATAAATATAAGTCAAGTATGGCACAAAACGGGCTGGGGTGCGGCCTGCGTCGTCTCTGTCAGCACGATCGATGCGGCTGACAATACGCGTCGGCGTTGCTCACTGGACAATGGGCCAGAAGACGAAAGTGAGAGATGGTATCGCGTGGCAGAGATTGCTGCTGGTGCGGCAGAAGGAGCAGATATGAACGCCAAGAGTAAAGATATGAACCTGGTTGGAATTCGAAAGAGTCAGCTGCAGTCAATTTCGTACGAGTTGGACTCGAAGACGGACCGTAAATACAGAGACTGCCAGCGAAGAGACTCGACTGCTGGCCCGTCGAGAGGAAGGGCGCTGAGCGAGGTGGAAGCGGAAGATGGAAAATAAAAAGGAGAGAGCGAATTTCTCGGCGCCCACGTGCGCTTCAGTCTGGCCCGACGATTAGGGGTCCCTCGGCGTCAAAACTCTCTTTGCTGCACTCCAGTCAGAATACAGCTGACCAGCTTTCCGGATCACAGGTGATGCTTCATTTTACAGAACATGCAAGCAGTGGTCCGCGCGCAAATGGACGGCACAATTTACATTCCAACTTTCTCGAAGAAAAATGGTCAGATCTTGTTAGATTTTGTTATCAAGCTTCAAATTCAAACCAAGCTTACAAAACAAACTATGGCCAGCCAGGAACCACTAGATCTCGAGTCTCGCCAGCCCTCGAACGCCATCCATCATCACAATGTTAGTCCATCCAATCGCATAACTTTGGAACCATCAGCATTGTCGTAAACCAACTGCAGCGGGAGCAAGAGACAAACTTCGACCAGGTCTTTCGGTGAGGTAGATGGCCAACTGCGGAACATCCAACGCTATCGTGAAATTCAGCTTACCGTCACGAGTTTTTGCTGCTGCTCGTTCACTTGTGGGCCCTACGTCGTGATCAGCTTCACTAGCAAGTCCGACATACTCGGACGCGCCATCTCGCGGGATAATCATTGCACAGGCAACTCTCGCGGCACCTGCGATGACTATTAATTCCTGCCAAATTGTGGTGCCGCAGCAGATCCAGAAGAGGTGATGTCATACTTTTGTCATTTGCCACGGAAAACGGTGCAACGTACGATATATCGTAGGGCAAATGCGGGAGGAAGTCAACCGCCCGGTGTACAGGCGCGAAGTGTTGTATTACTGTACCACCAGCGCTCGGACCATGTCGACACCCTGCTGGGGGTCGAGACACGCTGAAGCCTCGACGCATGCCCCGAACAGATAGACAAATAACCTTCGTGACCTGGCCCAACGCTTTGCGAACGTGTCTGCGCTGTCTCGCCATTCCCATTTCCTGTCGTATCTTGCTAATGGACATTATCTGGACTGCCTCGCCGTCGATCCTTATCGCGATGATGTACTGAATCATCTTGCGGCTGTGGGACCATTCCCGGGCGATCAATTGCCTCGAGCGGTCAAGGTTAGTCGACAGTTGTGTGGTTTGGGCTGGAGCAATGAGCAGCAGATCTCAAATATTTGATCTTCACATGTGTTGTGCTCGTCCAGTCTTGATGATCATCGTGCACGCTTATTCACCCTGACTTCTCGTGCAGATCCTTACGGAGCGCTCAGACAGCCTTCACAGTCATCTCATGTTAACTCTCATCGCCCTTTTGTTCCGATTCACAGTCTCACAGACTTGAAATTATCTCACTACTGTCCGTACGTTTCCCATAAACTTGAACCTGGTATATTCCGCTTCCCCTCGTGCGCACATATTCGACCTCTTCGGCCGTTTTCGCCACATCCAGGACCAACTGGGGAGTTCTCTCCGTCTGATTCACCGTAGGCAGCTCGAGCTTCTCCAGATCCCAAACTGCCTGGGACTCGGCGTTCCTAACAGGGTGCGATCCGATCACAGAAGTGAGCTTTGTCTTCAGCTCCGCGAATTGATCTCCCGTGGTGAGTACCTTCACGGACGCTACCCCACGCACGCCGTTCGCGTGTTCCGTGTTCGGTGGGTCAAGCGGAATCTGCCGCCACATATGTCACTCAGATCCACGACATCTTCGAACGCAAATCGATCTGCACTCACCCTCCATTCGCGCGGAGTGACATCCCCGCAAAAGAACGGTAACGCGCCCCGCAGCACCTTCCCCTCTCCATCCGCCTCTGGTGCGCTGATCACCCACTCCAGCACCCGTCCGTTTGGTTTTGCGCGCCCGCCGCGCGTCTCCTTTGAATACCGCACGCCGCTCCCGTCAGCTTCTGCCCGCGCATTGATCACGTCCGCGACCGACGCAGTACCGCTGCCCAGGAACGCGTAGTCGATCCACCCTGGCTGCTTCGTTGCCCACGAGTGCGTGTCGCGCGCGTGCCGTTCGGGCGTACCCGCGGGGTAGTGCTCTGGCGTGTGCGTGAAGCTGAGCAGCTCGAAGTACACCCCGTCTGCGAGAGCCTGCGGCTCGTTCAGGATCTGCTGGAACACTGGAACTGTGTCCGAGACCTACCACGAGCACGTTCTGCGTCAGCCCGTCTGCGTGCGTCCCACCTGGGAGGACACTGTTGGAGGTTACAAATCATGTCAAGGCCAATGTCAGCGGGACCACCTGTTTTGCAGGAGATAGTGCGTACGTGAAGCCTTTCGCGCGGAACTGCGCGGCCTTCTCACTGAGTGTACCCGGCGGTGTAAGGTGGATAATGTGGTCGAGCGTGCGAGTGGACAGCGTCGAGGAAGACATGATAGTGGGAAGGTTACCAGTACAATCGATGTCGTCGAGATACAGTCAGACCGATATGACTCGAATTGCACATTTGGCCTTATCAGCAGTGCGCGGGAGTGCACACAGAGGTGCAATCTCACGCCATTGGATTCGGGTAGCACGGAGCTACGTAACATATACTTTTGTTGTAAATTTTTGCCCTGCGACTGCGAGAACGTTTGAAGCCTGCCTGCTTGTGCTCTGTCCAGTTGTTTTCCAAGTGCTGGTGAAGGGGATAAAACGCTTGTCATTCTCGTTCAGTCACAAAGCACGTGATTAGACACGATCGACATGACGCGTCGCGTACATGCGGCATTCTGCGAACATATTGTGGCGCCGACAAAATCACAATCCTCGCGGAAAGTGGGACATGGTATTTCTTGAACTCGTACCCCCATCTGTCTCTATCTCACCGTAATACATCTGTAGCCATGGTATTCTCCTCTCCAAGTTGGAGACAATTCTCTCCGTCAATTACTTCCGCCAATCCTGTGCAATGTGCAGTTTCCGCAGCACCCTTGCGCCTAGTATGCATGCCAAATGTTCCGATTGACGAGTCTTTCAAGTTGCGCTCGAAAGCTTTCCCGAAAGGCGAAGTTCCACGCGCATAGACCCCATGAATCGGTGATGCACTGGCCTTTCTACCAGTACGTGCGCTCTTGTTTTTCTCACCTTTCGGCAAGACTTTACCACCAGACCTACTCCTTATGCTATGTTTCCCTAATGCGGGGTTTTTGCTACCAGGTCGGAACTTCTTCGCTATTGATTATAGGCAGTTTGGGCACGACCACCTTTCGTCGACGTAATTTTTGACAGTGGCACTTCACCAAAACCGGGAATTTGGAGCCACTTTTTGACGGCTTGCCCAAACTGCCTTATCTCTCTCAACGAACGTTCCTTCAGTTTCCTGCAGCTCTCACTGTCAGGATACAGATGACAGTCTGGGCCACCCATGCATATGGCTATCCTGAGTCAACATGTTCCGTTGCTTCTTTGCTGCGCTGTCGAATTCCGGAAATGATTAGGTGGGTGAGGTGTCCGTGTCACATGTCTGTGACACTTGACCCGGTTTGTCACGTTTTATCAGGCTTGGCAGGAAGGTCACGTTTTGTGACTAGGTCCGCTCGCCAGTTAGTTTATCGAGGTCGCCGCCGCAGACCGTTGTTTCTTTTCGTCGCTCTACTCTGCTGACTCCGCCGGCTCCACAACCTCACACAAGCCACATCACCTAGGCCGATATGTCGTGGCACTAGCATCGTCACAGCAAGGCTTTCATACATACACCCACCATAAGAGTAGCTCTGCGTACTGCTGTCTCTCTTGGTTTGCATAGCTGCAGCAGAAACTTCTGCTCGTTTGTCTACGCTTGTGGTTGCTTTAGGTGACAAAGAGCAGTTACCGACTATCCGAGGTGGATTCACGGATAGAAAGTGAGTATCCCCTATTACGTCTCGGACCCGCACCCGCTTACCTCCTTGTGAAAGCCGTCCATCCTTCGCGATTGTTTTCCTTGTGCATTCTTGGTCCTGCCATTCGTCAATCATTTCTCCTTTTTTCTCTCCTAAGCGCAATTTCGCCATGATTGACAGCTGGAGCGTCTATATGAGCCCCTCATCGTCTTCGACGCCCTCATCCACTCGGTCCTCGCACCTGAGTGTCCTTTCTTCGTCATCATCGATCTCTTCACCAACATCACTTCCTTCTCCTCTACCCTCGCCATCCGTCTCGACTTCCTCCATCGGAAGCAAGACTCATGCATTCTTTGGCTCTCCCTTTGGCGGCGGCGACTCGCCTACGCCTCACCCACCGCCTAATCCACCGACCCGATCCATATCCATCAGGTCGCACGCGTCGACTTCCACGAATTCAGACGATGGTTATGACGAGACGCCGAAGGCGGAGCCTAACGGACCCCTGCGCTCCCTGAACGCCGATTTCTTCGGCCCTTCACTCCTACCCACACCCCCACCCGGCACGCCGGCATTTCCGAGGAGCGCCTTCGCGTCACGCGAAAACTCACCTAGGAAGCCTATATTGCCACCGCTTTCCCGATTTTTCCCGTCGCGCAGACGCTACAATGAGCATGACCGCGACGAGGCGCAGTCACCACCATCGCGCGGGTTTTTTCAGCTGGATGCAACCCCGCCGCCCCACGCCTACAAGGATGCACCATGGCTCGCCGAGCCATACACAGCATCTCCCGTCGGTGATAAGTATCAGCATGCAGACTCACATATGACGGCAGACCATGCTGAGACTCTATCAGATTCCTCAGTACTCACCACACCCATCCCCAAGCCCGAGCAGTCATCGTACGTCACGGCGAAGGTGAATCCGGCACCGGAGCCGGAGCCGGTTTTACAGGCTGCTGCATTACCCCTAGCGCCCCTAGCGCCTGGCGTACTCATAGGTGCGCCATCGCTCGAACTTGAGCTCGTGCGCAGGCTCGGGCAGGGTGCATTTAGCAGTGTATGGCTCGCGTGCGATGTCAAGGGTCAGCTGGGTGCATTTGAGCTATCGCGGAAGACGAGCTTGCTCCGGAGTAAGAGCGAGAGGAGGGGTCGTGCGCGGAAGGTGGATGGGTTGCGACCCAAGACGAAGCTTGACGAACAGAATGATGGTATGAAACGTGTGCGAAAGGAGTGGAACGGTGACGCAAGTGCTGTGGTGGTGAAAGAGTCGACCGCGGGGCGGCTCGTTGCAGTTAAGATGACGGAGCGGTCGATGTGCGAGAAGAACTCGCGGACGCGGGTGAGCTTCGTGCGTGAGGTGGAAGTCCTGCGGGTGAGCATTCCGTAGTCTTTTATATTTAGAGATGGCTGACTTTTACCCCCAGCACATTTCGCACCCATCAATTGTGTCTTATCTCCATTCGTTCAGTACCCCGTCGCATCACTGCCTCGTTCTCGAGTATGTAGGCGGCGGCGAGCTTTTTGACCTTATCGATAACGCGGAGACTCACGCGCGACTTGACGAGCCGTTGCTTCGCCGCATGTTCGGGGAGCTGTGCAGGGCCGTGGGCTGGATGCACGGCGTTGGCTTGGTGCATCGTGACATCAAGCTTGAGAGTATGCGTGTTTCGCCAAGTCTGTTCGAGGACAATTGTTGTGCTGACGCTGTTGACTTGCAGACATCCTCCTGACCACCTCACCCTTCACGAGCCCCTTACCTGCGGCGCCGTTAATCAAGCTGAGCGACTTCGGCCTCTCCCGGTTCATCGATCCTGCCCAGCCGATGCTGACAACCTTGTGTGGATCTGAGTCGTACGCTGCGCCGGAGCTCGTGACTGGACGACCGTACGACGGGCGCGAAACCGATGCCTGGGCGTGCGGAGTTGTGCTATATGCGCTCGCAACGCGGCGGTTGCCGTTCGATCTCCCGATGGCAAATGTGGCTCACCGCGAGGTGGTCGTGGGTGAGGCACGCATGCGGGAAGTAGAGCGCAGAGAACGACGTGCTCTACTCATGCGCATCGCCAAGGGCGAATACTCTTGGCCTGACGATCGCGCATCGGATTGTGCCGATGAGCAATCTCGGGAAACACGCCTTGGCTGGGCGACCGGCCCTGCCCTTGCGCACAGCGCAGGGATCCGCCGTGTTGTCGGGCGACTGCTTGTCCGGGATCCCCACAAGCGTTCGAAAATCATCGATCTGTGGGAAGATGAGTGGATGCATGGCGAGGGCGCCCCACCTCCGCCGTTGTCTCCAGTATCTCCTGATTTGGATCACAAACCAGATGAAACCCCGGATATTGCACAAACCGAATCACCTCTTGATCCGGACGGAGACGACCAGTTTCTGGAGGCGGATGACGATGGTGTACTCGTGGACAGCCACGACATCGTTCCTGGTAGCGTCGCTCACCAGGAGCACTAGCGCCGGCCTGGGGCCGTGCGCATCGACGTATGAATCTGCATTCGCTACAACACAAAGCTATACCCTGTACGACTAGGAAGGGTGGTAAGGTATTCTGTTTATTGTCTCCCTGTTGTTGTCACAGTACTACACTATTGGCCGGATGTCTCCCAGTCCACTGAGCTAGCACGTTCACTATATTGAGTATCTCCGATCCTGTTTGGTTGCAATTGTCCTGTGTTCCGTAGATGCATGCATACTCTACATCACGTAGCCAATAATTAGGGCTTTCCGCGCTGTCCATGTCTGCCATTTGCCGTTCTTGTTGTCGTATACTCTCTTCTTTTGATTTGTGCTCTGTGTAGCTAGAAATACGATAGATGTTTGCAATATGCTCGTTGACTCGGTGTAGTCCAGAAACCAAATGCTCTGTGCGATTGGTGCGGGCAACGTTCCACGACCCTTGCCTAATATGTCCTGTAACTTCCATTTTCGGTGAATATCGATTTTCTCCACAGTTGAGTATGTGAGACTCAGATTTGAGACTTTCTCTTGCTTTTACTTCCCCTGACAAAGAGCCCGAAACTATGCACCTTCGGCGCTGCCACGCCGGCCCACCCCTTCTGAGGCCTGAGGGATCCATTCTGGTGATAGTTGCGAAAGGCACACTTGGTCGCAAGGAAAACATAAATTGTTGGTTTGCTGCATGATATGATCTACAAGACGTTATAATATAACTCGGTGCTCTGTCTCCGATGTCTACTGGCCAATTAATTAATCAGGATGGTGTTCTACTATGGCGTGTCTTGTGGTGCTATACCACTGTAACTTTCATGCCCGACGGTGATAGTACAGGAATTTTACCTTTTGGCGAGAGCATCATGCATGGTCTAGTGTTGAGCCTATGTAGCACTCGAGGCGCTCATCTCACGGGGAATGAAACTGTCGCCAGTCCCGCACGGCTATTCGCATTTTCATAGGTCAGACAATGTCACATTCCTGCTGGTTTTGCTGATCCCGCACAGCTCGAGTGCACTTATGTCGTGGCCTCGATATTACACGTGGAGTTCCTTGGAGCGGCACGTCCCTTTGCATGCGATCCGCAGAATATAACACTCATCATTATCCTCATGAAGTTCACCGCAGCTCTTGCTTCTTTCATTCCGTTTTTCGTAGGGCTCGTCGTCTCCTAGACCACGGCGCCTGTGGCATACGAGACAACTATTGACTACGCATCGCTGTCCTCCGATGATGTGGCCTGCTCCAATATCATGGAGAATCGCGGGTGCGCCACCCTCAGCTCGCTGCCCGACCTGCCCTACGTCGGAGGGTCTTTCGACGTGCCAGAGTGGAATTTTCCTGGCAGTGGTTCATGTTAGGGGCTGGCGTACGACGGAACCACCATCGCGGTTCTTGCGGTCGACAGAGCTCTCGAAGGATTCAATCTCTTTTAGCAGGCGATGAATGCATGATGGTGAATGCCACAGCCGTGCAAGTAGACTAAAGCTCAGTGTGGCCTCTGAGTGGGTACGGCCTTTGCAATTTCATCCATTGATGTACAACCAAGCTGATGCTTCGTATTGCACGTGCATGTCGACAACAGCTTTGCAAATGCATCTACAGCGAAATAACATGTACTGTCTTGAATTGGACAAAATATTTACTGGTGCTATTGCTTTTATCTGTACCCCGAACCTTCTGATCGTTGTCCCTCAGCAACGTGGCTTGCTCCAATACGTTGGAGAGTCGCGGTTACACTACCTTCGGCTCTCTTCCCGACTTCCCCTGCAGCGGAGGTTCTTTCGCTGTGACGGGATAGGATTCGCCTGCCTGCGGGTCGTGCTGAGAGTTGACATTCAAAGATAACAGTATCAGAATTCTCGCAGTCGATGCTGCTACGGACGGATTTTCAGTCTCTGAGAAGGAGGCTACGCATGCGTTGTTCGGTAACCAGGACATCCGGAGAGTGGTTGCAACAGCGGTACAAGTCAACTAAACTCAACACAGACTATAGGGATAACTTGTGAGTAAAGTGATTATGTGTCTGCATAAGTTGACGTTGACGTTGGAATATGCTTGGTGCTGTGACTTCTCTTTTCAGGGTGCATGTGCAGGCAGAGCTGTTGGATATGTCTGCGATGGACTTTGCATTTCACAGTTGGTAATACAGTAGTACAGCATGTACAGTTTTCACCTGGTGTTCGGAGAAAATATTGTAAATATTGTCGTTTCCAGTGCCATGCCTACTATCTCATAAGTTTGAACACAACACGCAGTGGCCCGGGAAGGATAACTCCCTGCGCTCGCTATCTGGCAAGCATTAATGTCTTTCTCCACAAGACGATGGAATGAGTCGTCGGAAATGTTCAGTCATGATGCATGAGGTTCATGGTGTCCTGCCGCTTTTGTAGACTCCCATTCCAAATTTGACCATCGGAGTTATTTTTTCTCACGTAAGCATGAGGCTGACAACAACTACTCGTGACGCTTGCAGAATTTATACTGTCGCTTTACTATCGAGTTTTGTTCCTCTAAGGTGTATACGCAGCTCTGCTTGGCTACTTAATGTCCTGCTCTGCGGTGGGATCTCACTCGGGCTGAACATCCCTACTACTTCGACGTCCCAGGGATCATATCCGACATGTTTCGGCGGGCATCAGCTGGTGGCCTACAGCGTGATACATTATGCATTATGTCGAAGCTAATAGTGGTGACTTGGCGGTGACCGTCATGTGTTAATGTTGGTCTTCCTCGTCAGAACTTACTCCACTTGTACTCTACCGTCACAGCAAACCCGCAGGGTGGTGTGTTATGACCATGTCCACCCGTGGTCCACTTCAACAACCTGGTGTATATGTTGTGTGCATTGGCATATGCCCATACATGTTGGCCATCACGGTTTGCGATTGAAAGCGGCAGAGCACAGCATTGACTGCCCACAGCGCTGCATAACGGCTTCTTTGCCCGTTCTCTGTTGATTTCTACTCTGTTACGTCTTCTGCTTCGTGGTGTTCAAGTGGTAACCGAGGTGTGCGATGCATGCGGAAATGAGTGCCCGCTGTACGTCAGGGTCGTTTCTGGCCGGTCTGAAGTCGAACGACTTGGGAAACGATCAGGCCTGCCGAAGGTATAAAAGCTCGTCAAGATAGGTCTTCAGCTTCAGACCACTAGCCTCATCTTCTCCTTACATTTCCAAGCATCAGGTCTATCCAGCCTCACTATCATCATGAAGTTCGCCGCCGTCATTGCCTCCCTCTCGCTCCTCTTTGCCCCAACCATCCTCGCGCAGACGTCTGTGTCTGTCTCATACGATACGACCTACGATAATTCGGCGGAGCCTCTTAGCAACCTGGCCTGCTCTGACGGAGCGAACGGCTTGGAACACTACGGTTACACCACCCTTGGCTCGCTCCCCGACTTCCCCTACGTCGGCGGATCACACGTCGTGACGGGATGGGACTCGACCGGATGCGGGACGTGTTGGGAGCTGACGTACGATGGGACGACTATCACAGTTCTCGCGGTCGATACCGCGCCCGAAGGGTTCAACCTGTCGGAGGAGGCCATGAATGCGCTGACAAACGGCCAGGCGGTGGCAATCGGTAGGTTGACTGCTACGGCAGTGCAGGTCAACTCGTCCCAGTGTGGGCTCTCGGGCTAGAATGGCAAGACGGCAGAGTACGTCCTCTCATTTTTGTATTCAAACTGCTAGGAGTCCTGATCGATACTCAGTGTCGGTGGGGTCCTTAGTCTTACCTGTGAACTATGGTGTTCGGTCACATTAGACTTCTTGCTACCGCTGCGTTGTCATGGTTTCGTTCAATGCATTGGACAATCTTGTGGACTTGCGATGTAGAGGATTGGCATACCAGTACTGTATGTTTGAGTACTTCGAACTCGAATGATATCTACGCGTCGTGATTATGCCTCAGTGCTCAGTAAGTGCTCAGCAACTCGCTGCGGTACAAAAATAAGCACGTCCGTGTTTTGCTGTAGGCTATGTAGTACTGTTTGTCAAGCGCTGCGGCGCGCGGCGAGCATCAGACTATTATTCGCTGGCGATGGATCCATGATTTGCGTACGAACTGTGCTAGTCATGCATCTCTCCTTGTCTTGCTTTATGGCTGATATTCTGGCTATCACAATATTGGAAGTAGTTGTTCGCCGTTACAGGATGTTCAAAGCGGCGTTTCGGGGCCACTCACTGGCCGCCCACGCCCAACTATAAAACGCTTCTCGTCCAGAATGACCGCAGTCACCCCACCGGACTTACCTTTCGTCCTCTTGGCGAGTAATCGGACTATTCAGGCGCTATTTAGCAGGTCAGCAATGCTCGTGTACTAGGCGCGAAGCCTTCCCTGTCAAGCATCATGTCGAGGCCTACGTACCACTCTCAGGCTCTGTCTCAAAGTTCGCGAAGCAGTCTTGGTCCTATCATGTGTTTCCAGTCATGTCTGCTACGACCTTGTCATGAGTGGTTTCGCCGACCAACCGAAAGGTCAGAATCAGTGGAGGGCAGGAGATGTGCTTACAGAGGTTCTCGCATACATCACCACAGTGAGCGCTGTCACTATCATCTGACAGGCTACCTTACCTCAAACGCACAGGTGTCCGCAAGGATTCCCGAGCGGCCATCAGGTTCCCGTTTCTTGTGTGCACTTGTGACCTTGCGCTCGACTTCGGATAGTCATCTCGACACCTAGAATGGAGCGCTCGACCAGTATAAAGCGTCGAAACGAAAATTTTTCATCCACTCACCTCGAAGTGTGCCCGAAGCGATCCGACCACTGCCAGCTCTCCGGAACACTTCAACGATGCTGTTTGCCAATGTTTTCCACGTCATATCCCTTCTCCTTGTACCCACAGTCATAGGCCAGACAGCCGTGTCAGTGACATATGACACCACATACGACCTTGGAACCAATTCTCTCAATATCGTTGCCTGTTCTAACGGCGTGAACGGACTCGAGAGCAAGGGTTACACGACCTTTGGCTCCCTTCCCAATTTCCCAAACATTGGCGGGTCGTTCGCTGTTCCAGGGTGGAATTCAACTGGGTGCGGGACGTGCTGGAACGTGACGTACGATGATACTACCGTCACGGTTCTGGCAATCGACACAGCCGAAGATGGGTTCAACCTCTCGGAGGAGGCGATGAACACGCTGACGGACAACCAGGCGGTTGCTCTGGGAAGCGTGACTGCCACAGCAGTGCAGGTCGACGCTTCGTTGTGCGGATTACCGTGATTAACAAGGTGAAGAACTCCAGAGCCTCCACGCAAGTTATAATCTCAATCACTGTCTTTCGTTCACCAGAGGTGCTCAGTGATCGGACTCAGAGAAGGACGGTGCTTATGACATCATGGACGCAGTGATTCTGAAGATCAGGGGTGTTTCGCCAGCCCGGCAATATAATATTTTTGGTAAACTGTTTGCGCCGGTCCGTTCTGTTTTTTTTTAATTTCATCGGTGATAAACGTAGGCTTGGGCTAGGCAGCAATAAAGGGATGATGATGAAATCTGTGTATTTATAAGCAATAAAGGGAAGCAGGAGCGTCCAGTGATCCTGCTTACTTTTCTTGCCTGATTTCGGTGAACTTTGTCGTGGAGTTAGCAGTTCACAGGCTGTCGGAACCGTGAAAGTGCTGCACAAGTTCCGCCACGGGACGAAGGCGATCATTGTACCGTATACAATGATCGCCTTCGTCCGAGTCCCGCTATGCGCGATCGCCGTGCTGTAGGTGATCGCTTTCATCCCTCCGCGTTTGTCCGCGGACAATACCGGGCGGCGCCCGGGCCTGCGGCTTGGTTTCCGCCCACTTGGCACGAGCGGCCCCCTATTATCATTCTCATCAGTAGCGTCCTGCTTTGCATTTCCACCTGGAACATGGACGGCCGCCCCTGCACCAAGCGAATCGGCCCACCCACGGGCGTAGCTCGGGTGCTCGAGTTCCAGATGAAATCGAAACAACGTGGACCACCTCGAAATCACACGCTGAATAGGGCACAAATGGCCGATTACGCCGTTGAACTCATCGCGAGTCGAGCGCAAACCCAACGCAAACCAGGAGAAACACGAGTTTCATTAAGCGCTCCCACTTCGGACGTGCTCGTTGCTCCTGACTGACCGACTGCTATCGTGGGCTACGAACTTCCTTCCTGGTCTGGAACGATTACCAGGGCACCATCTGGTTCTTGCGATCCTGGTGCCCAATCCGGGTGTAGGCATTGTAGCCATGAAAGACGCCCAATCGTTGTACGTCGGTGAAGGTTGTACGTAGGTGGGTATTCATATTTCAGATTGTAAGCATATGTCTCATGCATGCGGTGCTTCCGATTTTCGAGAGGGCTAGCCGTGTCTGGCTGCTTTGGGCAACCGAGGCGGCTTAGCGGATTCCGTCAGATCCTATGCAGCTCTAAGCGACTGTTGCGAGATGCCATCAATCTACCATCAACCAGCCATCTGCTTACTTGGTTATCCTTGTACTCTAGTGTGCCTCAGGACAGTGTCGATCCAGTCAAAGTTATGGTTCTTATAGTTACACCACCTACCACAACGCATTCCATTCTGGACTAGCTTGTTCTTATTTCCCCCGCACGAGTGTTCTCTGTAGCGCTTCGTTGATGTCACCTGTAGATTCCTGATCATGATGCGCCCGGGGTTCACCGCCGCGCCACTCCCGCTATCTTGCCTCGGAGGGACACAAGTCACATACTATCATGTGCCCTCCGTTGCTTCTATTCCTCTCGATTTAGTCGTCTGCTCATATGGTCGACTTTAGGGCCGACACTACCTGGGGATCACTCCCCGATTTCCAGTTCATTGGCGATTGTGCCCTGTTAGGCGATAAATTCGGGCAGGCCTAGGACTCCTGCCGGAATCTGGAACAAGAAACTACTTGCGAGATCTTCGCGCCTACTGGCTGCCCTCTTTGAACACTTCCAGAGCGGCTAAGTTGTACTTTCGAAAGTATGTGCTGTTCAATGTCGTATCAGCTTCGAACGACTACGTAGTGTGGTCGATGTTCGTGACATTGTAACCGTCAGCATTGAATCACATGTCGGCCTGGCGAGTATACGCGTATTATTCGGTTGGCCTCCATGAAGGAATGAAACTTCCTTCAGAAATCGTTGTCTGCAGGGCACACATCTAAACCCCCATAAACTGCGATACCAGGACCACTCACAGCACATTCCACCAACTATTCGTTGACTTCGTTGTGGTATCTCTGACACTCTTCGAATACCAGCCTTCGGCGCATGACCTTGAGTAAGCCTCCCCGTCGATGATTGACCTCTTGGGCTGAGACCCTAAGATCATTATCTGGAGCATCTCAGATGCGCACCTCACGGACTGAGTTCGGACCCGTCTGCGCCACTGATGGGTTCGTCAAACTCCTCTTATCTCGAGTTCCAAAATCCGAAGAACCCACGGCAAGCTCTCTCTACCGCTCTTGGCCACTTACTATCGCCGAGTCGAAGCTATTATGGACTTCTTGGCAGACTGTTCTGTGTGACGAGGACGTGGCGCGTCGGATAACTGGCATAATTACAAGCACTGATTTCCGGAGCTACCGGAGAGTGAATCGCCCACGCACAGGTACCCGTCCTGGCTCTGCACATGGATCATGCATGCATTTGGACCCTCTTGCGCACTTACCATTTATCCGTCTCGAAGTCGACAGAACTAGATATCTAGCACTCTCAAGGTCACACAATGAAACACTAGCTTCCAGCCTTTCCTCTTCACATATCTCTCGACCAAGTTTTCAGTCAGTTGATACACCCGGTGGAATCTCTTCCGGTTTCGGCAAAACGGAAGCTGTTTTTAGCCACTCAAGGCGACCTCGATACGGGCCATAATCGGATATCTCAGCTACCACTTTGCCGACACTTTCTGGACATGTGGGGAACATCACCATAAATGCAGCAGCATAACAGTTTTAAAGGCTTTAACCGGAACAGTGTTCTGACCGTCGATTAAGAGAGTTCTCTGAATTCGCTCTGACATCCGCTACCTCCGATTCTTGGGCGACGCACAATCGACGTTTTTCTGTTAAAACTCACACGCAAGGCATAGGACTCCTACTTTCGAGCTGCGGCAAACTCACTCTCAACGTGAAGTTAATGGTCACTCCCGCGAGCGTTGTAACATGTGGCCTTCCTCCCTGCAAGAGCGAAAGAGGTCTCCGCCGACAGCGGCCCGCCAACTACATCTAGATGGATCCTTGCTGATCAGCCTTAGTAAGCGAACAAGAACGTGTCTTCATTGAGGGCCCAATAGGCAGGCACCACCCTACTGCAAGCGTACCGCCGGGGGTGTCAGAGGACACCATTCGCGGCAGGCCAGGCGAGACCAGGGAGTAGCACTTGTACGAAAACTCGCGATCAGATGTGTAAACGAGAGATCATGATACGTCGTCGGTCAAATCCATTGCAGCATAAAAATAATAAACGGTGCACACAATCTCCAAGTTTTCTGTCCTGTCTAGTCCGAGACATTCAACTCCTGCCATTGCATACAGTGTATGTGCTCCTAGGGAAGAGACAACAAAGTCGCCAGCACTGTGATGAAGGGCAACAAGGGAGTTCGCATAGCATAACAATTACCCGTGATAGCTCAGGGCATAGCTAAACAATGGCAAGGAAGTTTGGCGAGCATGCCGTGTTGCCGCAGAGCGGACTTATCGTCGGGGTGCCCAGAGCGTTTAATAGCCTCGTGTGGCCGATTCGTAAAGATCAGATCTCATCCGCGGAGGGGACTGATCTCAATCGGGGCTTGCGAACACGTGGCATTTGAATCCCGAATGAAATGCAGCTGCCGCTAGACCGTTCACCAGACAATTACTGTCGGAGTGACTCAATGGGTGAAGGCATTCCCCTTTCAGATTATGCTTTCTGATCGTTTGTTAACTGATGTAAAGCTTCGACTTATTTGTGTGGTCTTGTGCGGGCCCCTTCCTACCTCATCCTCATTCTTTACCTGACGGCCACTGGCGTCCAGCGGTCGGCCATGTCGTCTCTACAGTCTAAAACAGAACCAATCGACTGCTTGCCACATTCTAACGGTAACCGGCGTGGCACAACGCCAGCATACCATCGGAGTGACCCTACAGGCGAAACGCGCCACTCGTTTGTCGCTTTACCCCAATACTCGGTGCCACACAGCAGAAATATGCAGCTTCACCTCGCCATTCCTCAGCGCAGACCTCATTCCAGCGACGCGCCACGACGGCCGACTGTGTACACCAGTGCTTCTTCCGAGCGACGCGCTTTGCGTAATCTCGAGCGAGATCCTTCTTGGGTACCGCGGCCACCAAACGCCTTCATCATATTCCGTGCGGAGTACTCGAAAAATTACGCACAGACGCATGAAGATGGCGAGTCACCGCCTACTTCCGAGAAATCGCTTTCGAAACGTGCGGCGGAGGCCTGGGGTGAACTCACTACAGAGGAGAAGGCACCGTACAAGTGGCGCGCTGAGCAGGAGCGTCTAGAGCATGGGAAGAAGTACCCGGATTACAAGTACAGACCACGAAGACGCCAGAAGGGTGCATCCGATGGTGGGACGATCTCCCGACGAGAGGTGGTGGAGTCGTTCATGCGTCGCGCAGCCAGCGGCTCCCAAAGAGACTCTGAGTCCGACTTATCTGGAGATTGTCCCAGTCCTCCCAGCATGAACTCCTCTTCTCCAGAGCCGGTAGATACCCCGCTCGGTTCCGACAGCCCATCGGATACAAAATCGTTTGATTTTTCCTCCATCCTGCCGCCTGCAGAAGATATGACTCTGTACCCGTTCTTCCTGCTGCCATCATCCAGCGCGTCTGCGCCATGTCTTACTTTGTCAAGCAGCATGGACAGCTCGCCGTGGTCCTCTGCGGACCTGGGTTTTTCGCCATATGCAGGGGTGGGCGCCACTGGGTCCAGAGATCGTTACTCGGACACTGGAGGGAACGGCATGACTCCCGCCATGTGCGAATCGGTACCTGGGCTGACGCCATCGGAAACTGCGCTATTAGACCAGCTCAGCTTAGACATGTCTACGAGCTTGGTGAGTGGCCCGGTGCTAAAGCCCGTCGAAACTTACTCACGACATTAACAACAATGTCTGTAGTCACCGGAGTATGCTGCGACAAGCATGTTTGCGGGCCCATCTTCCTATCCGCTCAAACCGACTCAGCTTCCGCAGGAGTCGGACCCTCTGTATCACCGCCGTCAGCGCTCCGCCACAGTGAGCAGTCTTCCTTCACCACTTACTGTCGTCACATCCACACTCGCCGATTGGGATGGCCCGACCGTTCCGACCATAACGGTCGAGCAGAATTCAACTCCATTTTTCCCATCTCCACAAACGTCGATGTCTACCTCTTCACTTCTTGCAGCGGAGAATGCAGCGCCTTGGGACTTGAAACAGGACCAAGAGCAGATACCTACGGCGTCTTTAAGTGACCTCAGGATATCCGTGCCGGATATTGACCTCGACCGTACACCGCGCGGCGCAGATTTCCCCCAGCATGTGCAGGGCGAGTACGTTCCTCCTTCTTACGGTTCCTCCAACGCGTCTGCATATCCCGCGACGCAGACCCAGGAGACGCTGTTCGTGGAAGGCAGCAGTACCGCGAGTAATGGCGTCTACAGCGGGGTCAACACCAACCCGCAGCTTGCTGCGTATACCATGGGGCTCACCGACCACGGCATTGAGCCAATGACCTATTGCACGTCTCCTTTCGCAGATCTTGAATTCCCTTATGTCACGCCTGGACTGTTCCCATAGCTAGGTCACGTACTTATGCAGAGTTTCTTTGATGACGCACGACGACCGCATTCCTCTATGATTTGTCTTCTGTAGCATTAGAATACTAGGAAGTTCATGGCGGTGATAGAACACTCGTGATGTAGTATAGTTGAGCCACGAACGTATCCATACCTTACTCACTTCCATGTACGTATTTTCACTTCGCGTTCTCGATAGAAAATTGCATTGCACCGGGTATTTCGCTGAACGGGGCCAATAACGTCTGCGACGATGGTTCACTTGAAAAGGAGCCTGCAGAATATACGTCGACTCACGTTTGAGGCGGCATCATCCATGTCTCCTGCGTCTGCTTCTCCGACTGCTTTCGACGAGCGTTTTGCGGGGAAGAAGTTGATGTGCACAATCGACGATTGACATGATACGTCAAACTCTGAAACACGAGTCGGACAACGCAGCTGGCGACCGTCAAACTAGAGCCCTTTCCGAATTCGGATAAATAGACCCAAATAAGTAGGACCGGAAGCACCACTTTTGAAAGTTCCCGACGTCCGCAGTGATGGTCTAGACGCGCGTGGGGCGACCGCAGTCTGGACATACCTTGCCCTTGTATACATTGCACTGTCCCAAGTCACTACTCCACACGAATCTCATACTCTAATTCATCTGCTTAATGCTACCATCAATCTCTGCATCCACAATGCTGCCTGCGGCCGGCTCACCCCCACGAATCAATTTCAACCTGCACCGAGTACTGCAGGGAACGTTTGCGAAGCGAGACTTACCCTCCACTGCACCGGGACCTGTTGTAGTGAGTTGTCTATACTTTGTTTCGTCAGGGAGCTATGGCTTTCTCATCGGCGGTGTTATGTGTTTAGACAGCCCAGCCCAACACTGAGTTGCAAATACCCGAGATCGGGGGCTCCTCTGCAGGTTTCATCGCGCTTGTGGTCGTTCTAGCCGCCGTATTCCTCATCTGCTGTATCGGTGTCTTTTTCCTTCTGCGTAACCACAGTCCCACCTCTCATGAACGCCGGTTGCGGCAGGCGGAAGCGCGCCAACGTGGATCGAGCCTGTACAAGGCTCCCCTAGGTCCACCTGGCATGCGAGCCCGGTTTGCGAGGTGGTTTGGTAGCAAGAAGGGTGCGGGATGGGTGAGAGCGGCCGATGACGAGGAGTGGGATGCGGCGGACGAGCGCTTCGCGTCAGGTCGCAGACAAGACCTGAGAGAAAGGAAGGACACCGTGTTTGAAGCCCCTTACATCGCGGAAGACATGAGCGCAGAGTCCGTTGAGCTCTCTGCTGCTCCTCAGGCCTTCCGCGACGAACATTTTACGCCCTCGGCTCCTTCGATCTCCATGCCGGAGCCGACTTATGTCGATCCTTTCTCCTCGCCGCCGACAACCGTGGAGGATGCCAAATTGGAGGTAAGGGCGACACCTCAGGTTGATGCGCAGTTTTCCGTACCATCTAGCTCATTGCCTGCGAGCGTCGGGTCGGTGCGCAAGTTCGGAAGTGGGACGAAATTCAAGGAGAGCTTGGATTGACCTTAACATGTACTGTTTTATTCTTTGATTGTTTTCGTGATTAGCTCTCGGTGGTTGGAACTTCGGACTAAGGATCTTTGTATCGTATGCCCTTCGATTGTTGTACACAGACATGCCATCGTTGTAGCACGTCATCACTGTAGGCTATCAGCTATGTCAAGTTTCGTCACATCCTCGCTGATCTTTTGTGATGGAATATCTGCGTGCAAGTCAATCAAAATCGCTACTGCAAATAATATTGTGTTTTTCAATGCATATGTATGGCGTGAGATATATCCCGGCAAAACTCCGGAAGTACCATCTTCTGCCACTAGGTTCATCACGAAGAAGCCTGCCTGCGCACGAAGATGTCAATTCTCTCTACAATTCTGGGTGGACTGCCTTTGAAGATACTGACGAACAACTGTCGGGCCGGCTAATCCGAAAGCTCCTACTTACCTGCCCATGGTTTCCGACACCGACGTTCTCGAAGTCGGACGGTTCAGTGGCCAACCCTTCGGAGGCTTTATCGGTCAGTGATTGCACTTCCAGGTTTGCCGCGCCGTTGACTCATCCACAGCTTCTATTGTGGGGTGGGCACTTCTACTCTGGCATGCGGCGACGTTCGCACCTCTTCTCAGGACACCCAGCCGTCGCCATGCGCGGGAGAGGAAATGGCCGAAAAATGGCCGGGAAAAGCCGAAAACAGCTGAAAATAGGGCCAAATTACCTAAAATCAAAGGCACCTATCGCCCACTTTTCGACTCCCCGGATCCTTCGGTGTGTCTGAAACCTGCACGACAAGTCCCGACTCTGCTTGCAAAGTCTCAAGATCTCAAGTTTGACTCTGTGCGGTGGCAAATTTCGTAAGCAAGGTCTCTGCCGCGAGGAAGAGGCGTTTCCCACGTTTTGGATAGTCCGGACAGAAAACTCCAAAATCCGGGGGTTTTGGCGACGATCTTTTGGGTATTATCGAGGGTCCTCTCTTCTCGCAGTATTCGCTGGGACATTCGTCCGAGATAACTAAGCACTGATGGATAAGGTCCTGGTGCTCAAGTGTCACAATCTTCACGCACGCATTGGCGAGAAGGTAGGATTGGCACATGCTTGAGGAAGGCCGCCAATTGTGAGCAGCGGCCCAGGCGCAAAAAGACTGTTCCCAACTTACGTGCAGAGCATTGCCGACTGGCCACGGCCACCTTGCTCAGTGCATTACCAAAATGCACCGACTTCCTGCGGAACGACCCATCCGAAAGGCGGCTCCGTTAGATGGCGCGCCGACAGACTCGGACTGCTGCTGTTATCAGATCGTAGTAAGCACCGTATTATTTATAGTGGCGGACAAAGGATGGAAAAATCGTCCAAAGACCCTTCCAACCTTTCCCATCCGCTACAATGTCTGCCGTCGAGTTCAAGGGCTATGGGTTGACCGGTGAGCGAGCCAAACCTCCTGTGCAACAAACTTTAAAATCTCATCGCTCTTCTCGCTCACATCGGCAGACCCGAAGAAATGGAGCGATCTCAAAGTCGTTGAGTTCAAGCCCAAAACCTTCCTAGAGGACGACGTCGAGCTCCGGATTACCCACTGCGGCGTCTGCGGTTCAGACGTCCACACACTGTCGCAGGGTTGGGGTGAGACCACCAACCTGCCTTTGATCGTCGGCCACGAGATCACTGGCATTGTTACCCGGGTGGGCTCCAACGTCACTGAGTTCAAGCCTGGTGATCGCGTTGGTGTTGGTGCTCAAATCGGCAGCTGCATGAAATGCAATCGGTGCAAGCATGACCAGGAGAACTACTGTCGTGATCTCATTGACACTTACGTGCGTCCATGAGCTGCTTTTTTGTGACATTTTGTTGATGTTCCTCTTAGAACGCTGTCTACCCCGATGGAGTTGCTGCGCAGGGTGGCTACTCGACAGCAATCCGTGCCCACCAGCAGTTCGTCTTCGCGATCCCTGACGCCCTCGAGTCTCGCCATGCTGCGTCAATGTTGTGCGCAGGCCTTACCGTGTTTGCGCCGCTGAAGCTAAACGGTGCTGGCCCTGGCAAAAAGGTCGGTATCGTCGGTATTGGTGGCCTCGGACATTACGGCATTCTATTCGCGAAGGCACTGGGTGCGGAAGTTTATGCGTTCACTCACAGCCCGAGCAAAATAGAAGATGCGAAAAAGATGGGCGCTGACCATGTCATCGATACTGGAGCCAGCGTATGTTTTCTGGTCTCTTATGCATGAGGCATATCTCACGCCGTCGCTGTGACTACAGGACTTTCACGAGCCCCTTTATGGCGAACTCGACCTCATCGTCACCACACTCGACAACTTCAGCCCTGACAGGCCGCTACAAACGTACACATCCATGCTTCGCGTATTTGGCAAGCTTGTCAACGTCGGCGTTCCGGACGCAGACAACTTGCTTCCCCCCATGCACGCCATGAGCCTCTGCTTCAACGGCGCGTTCTTCAGCGGCTCGCACCTCGGCTCGAAAGTCGACTGCAATGACATGCTCAAGCTCGCGGCGGAGAAAGGGGTGAAGCCCTGGATTCAGGAGCTACCTATGAGTCAGGCGAAGACGGCAGTCGAGAACGTCAAGAAGGGCAATGTGCGCTACCGGTATGTGCTGTCGCAGGATATCAATCCTGTCATTTGAGGGGATGGGTCGTTCAATTTGTGGAGCTCCTGCTTCGTGGGGGACAGTCTTAGGCCGCACTTAGACGCAGAATTGTGTATAAATATATCTCGTAGACTGCGGTGTAGAATGTTGAGATGGATATCATCAAACGTCGTACCTTGTACCCAGTCACTACGTGTCGTGACAGTGTTTCGGCCCAGGTCGCCGAGAGCACCTTGGGCGCCTGACCTCGTCCGTAGGCCAGCCGTCCTATAGTGTTCTCCTCCTCTTGTTCGGCTATTTTCTCGCTCAATCGGGTAAGTCTCATAAAATATATATATCACATGATCTCTCAAAACATATGATAAAGGAGCGAGAACGCTATAGCGACGGCTGGTTCTAGGAGCCTGGTTTGCGAGGAGACTTCAGTAGTTCCGAACCTCACTCAGGCTGTAACCACGAATCTTTCAGTCCAGAGCCTGCTCTTGGACTGCTACTCATTACGTGCTAAAGGCATCACAGATGGAGCCAAAGTACCTGCAGGACGTTCGGAATTGGGACGAAATTCAAGGAGAGTTTGGATTGACCCTCACGTCCTATGTAATCTTTGATTGTTTTCGCGATTAACTCTGGGTTGTCGGAACTTCGGACCACGGATTTTCGTTTGTATCGCATGCCTTCGATTGTTGTACACATACATGCCGTCGTGTAGCTCATCAATGCATCATCACTGTCAGCTATGTCAAGTTCGTAACATCATCGCCGATCCTGTATCTCGACGACAATATCTGCGTCAATCAAGATCACCAGTGGCAGTACTGCATGGTATGACGTATGCATTCCGGCAAAAGTCTGGAATAATTCCATCTGCTTCAAGTTTCCTCCACTGTTCAAGTTAACGTTGATCACGAAGAAACTCACTTCTCCGCCTGCGCAAGAAGATGCCAACTGTCTTTCCGGGTGGATTGCGGTCGACCCTCAGGGACACCCCAAAAGGGAGCCCATCCAGGTCTGAGACTAGCTGCTCATGGTTTCTGACACTCTCGCTCAACTTCTCGCTCTCCGGTCTACTCAGTGGCCGCTCTTCGGAGGCTTTATCAGTCAGTGATTGCACTTCCAGGTTTGCGACAGGCCGTTGATTCGTTATCGAAGTTCAACAGCCATCCATCGCTGTTTCTAGGGAAGCATATTCTGATGCGCCAGCAAGTAACGGTTCGTCCCTTTTCTCGCGGTATCCGTTGGGGCATGGCCCGATATATGTCAGCACAGGTGGACAGAGTCGTCACTGGTGCAGTGTGTCTTATCTTCACACACGGATTGGTAAGAAGGACGGATGAGAGGATTCGGCACATGCTAATTGACGAATGCCGGTTGTAAGCAGCAGTCCAGGCGCAAGAATCAAAGAAGAGTGTTCCCCAACTTACGTGCAATGTATAACTACGGCCGCCTTACTCAGCAGGTGCAGTTGTAAAATGCTCCAAGGAGTCCATGCGGAATGACCCATCCGAAGAATGACGTTAATTGGCACGCCGACGGACTCGAGCCGCTGCTGTTCAGTTATCAGATCGTCGTAAGCACTGTATTATCTAGTGTCGGACAAAGGATCAGAAAATCACTCAAAGCCCTTCCGACCCTTCCCAACTGCTACAATGTCTGCCGTCGAGTTCAAGGGTTACGCATTGACCGGTGAGCGTGCCAAACTTCCTGGGTAACAGACTTGGAGCGCTCAACACCCTTCTCGCCGACACCGGCAGATACGAAGAAATGGAGCGATCTCAAAGTCGTTGAGTTCAAGCCCAAAACCTTCCTGGAGGACGACGTCGAGCTCCGGATTACCCACTGCGGCGTCTGCGATTCAGACGTCCACACACTGTCGCAGGGTTGGGGTGAGACTACCAACCTGCCGTTGATTGTTGGCCACGAAATCGTTGGTGTTGTCATCCGGGTGGGCTCCAACGTCACCGAGTTCAAGCCTGGCGAGCGTGTCGGTATCGGTGCTCAGATCGGCAGCTGCATGAAATGCCAGCGATGCAAGCATGACCAGGAGAACTACTGTCGCGAGATCATTTACACATATGTGCGTCCATTAGCTGCCTGTTCCGCGACGTTTCTGTTAACGTTCCTCGCAGAATGCGTCCTATCCCGACGGAGTTGCTACGCAAGGTGGCTACTCGACAGCAATCCGTGCCCACCAGCAATTTGTCTTCGCGATCCCTGACGCTCTTGAGTCTCGCTATGCTGCGTCAATGCTGTGCGCTGGTCTTACCATGTTTGCGCCGCTGAAGCTAAACGGTGCCGGCCCTGGCAAAAAGGTCGGTATCGTCGGTATTGGTGGCCTCGGACATTACGGCATCCTATTCGCGAAAGCACTGGGTGCGGGAGTTTATGCGTTCACGCACAGCCCGAGCAAAATAGAAGATGCGAAAAAGATGGGCGCTGACCATGTCATCGATACTGGGGCTAGTGTATGTTTCTCGTCTCTTATGCATGAGGCATATCTCACGCCGTCGCGGTGAACACAGGACTTCCACGAGCCCCTTTATGGTGAACTCGACCTCATCGTCACCACACTCGACAACTTCAGCCCTGACAGGCCGCTACAAACGTACACATCCATGCTTCGCGTATTTGGCAAGCTTGTCAACGTCGGAGTTCCGGACGCAGACAACTTGCTTCCCCCCATGCACGCCATGAGCCTCTGCTTCAACGGCGCGTTCTTCAGCGGCTCGCACCTCGGCTCGAAGGTTGACTGCAATGACATGCTCAAGCTCGCGGCGGAGAAAGGGGTGAAGCCCTGGATTCAGGAGCTACCTATGAGTTAGGCGAAGACGGCAGTCGAGAACGTCAAGAAGGGCAATGTGCGCTACCGGTATGTGCTGTCGCAGGATATCAATCCTGTCGTTTGAAGGGATGGGTCGTTCAATTTGTGGAGCTCCTGCTTCGTGGGGGACAGTCTTAGGCCGCACTTAGACGCAGAATTTGTGTATAGATATACCTCGTAGACTGCGGTGTAGAGATAGATATTATCAAACATACTTTGAAGTTTGTACCCACTGGTCTGTAACAGACTCTACTACGTGTCGTGACTCGGAAGTCGGTCCGGGTGACCGAGAGTACCTTGGGCGCCTGATCACGTCCCGCCATAACAAGCTCACGTTGCGAGGAGATTCCGAACTTCACTCAGGCTGTAACCAAGAATCATTCAGATCATGAGTAACTCAGAGTCTTCTCTAGAGCCCGAGGTTGTCGTCAAAAGCACCAAGAAATCATCCAAGGACAAGGCTAAAAAAACGAGCAAACACTCCAAGGTCGACGCCGGAAAGAACGAGGGAACCGACCCAGACTGGGCATTCAAGCCTCCCAAGGGTGCAGTCCTCATGAATCACGGTGTGGATTCTGGAGAGTTTGACTGGGATGCGATTAATGATGATGATAATGTCGAATTGTGGCTGATTCGGGTGCCGGACGGGGTATGCGTGCTCTTGGACTGCTACTCATTACGTGCTAAAGGCATCACAGATGAAGCCGAAGTACCTGCAGGACATTAAGCTTGATGTGCCGTCATCCTCAAAGACTACGCGGATAGGCAGTATCGACAGGAAACACACATCATACGACGTATGGTCCCTTGGGGACGACGAGATTGAGGGCATTGGTGGGGAGGAACTGAAAGAATTTTCATGCCTCTTGCCCAGGCCAAGGAAAGGTGGGAAGCTCTATCAAGGTGAACATCACTTAGTTGCCTCCTCGTTCACCTTCCTGAAGTAGAGTTAACAGCCCCGAAGCCCGTTACACGCCGTCTCATCGTTTCCGCAAAGCCAGCTCTACCAACGCCCGATCCTTCTTCAGACTCGAATACATCTTCGTCTGTGTACAAAAACCCTCCACGACCGCGCTATCCCAAAGCGATATTAAAGCATCGTTTCATGCCGCTCGGTTCGCTCGCTCGGAATGCAGATTCTCCGGAGGCCATGGATGTTGACCAGGTGGAGCAGATACTAGGAGAAGAACCGGCGGACGAGGATATTCCTGTCAAGCCGAGCAAGCCCAAAAAGGCTGCTCACACAGAGAAGGTGGAAGGGACGACGAAGAAACGAAAAGGCAACGGAGACAGTCCCAAAAAATCCAAGAAGACAAAGACAGCTGTGGAGTAGGTACTATTCGTAGTGCTCTGTCGCTGTTGCTGCAGTCCAGAGATGATCATATAGTTCTGCCTAGTTTGTGCAGTAGATCTCTTCATGAGTATATCAATCAACTTGAATTTCACCTGTGTGGTCTACACGTTGAGTTTGAGCCGCACGCGCGCGCTAAATGCGCAACATACGTCGATATATATGATATGCGAGGCACTGGTAAGTACTCGTGGTATATAACACTTGATTGTTCTAATGTCGGCCTATACGGTATCAAACTGGCACGCTTCTGAGCCTCTGACTCTGCACAGTTTAGAAATTCGGGAATCGACCAAAACAGATTGATCGTGTGCCAAGCGCCTCAAACCGAGGTCCTGTGCCTCCAGTATGTGTACCAAGTGGCGTTGCAAACTCGCTGAATAGCCAACGTCAAGCTGCTGCATCGAGGACTGAGTGTTTCTTTGAATATTCAATCTGGTGGCTCGGGCCGGAAAGCCTGGAACGTGACAAACACTTGTGACACAATGTAACAATATCTGGACAAAGAATTCGTGGGAAAAACCAGGAATCGGCGTTGCGGCCAATAAGCGCCCATCTGTACATCGTTCGCGACGTTCTCCACACTCCGAATCTCGTCCAGCGCACCGAGTAGGCCGCCACTGGCTTCGTCTGGCTCGCTGCGACTGGTGATACCGCTTGCGCTCGTGGTCCGCGGCAGACTTTGTCCGGATTCGCCCGTGTTTGGACCATGTCGTCCATCGTGTCTCCGTACGACCCTCCACCGACCATCCACTCGGTCCTCTTCAAGTCACCTCCAGAAACGGTTCCACCCACCGATGAACTCGAGGCACTGCATACTGAGCTTACTCTCCTCAAGCAGAGGACACTTGAGAGGGCGAGGAAGGCTGGGGAGGACCTGAAGACCATTGAAGAGTCTATGAGGCGCCTGAAAGAGAGAGAGAAGGGAAAGGCGAAAGCAGTCGAGAAAGTGAAGCGAGAGCGAGGCTGTGCGTATCTGCTATACTTAACGAAATATTATTGTGCTGAATGTTTCGGGTTTGAACCGTTCATTCTACCTTTGCGCCATTCCGCCGATTCTTGGTATCCTGCACGCTGTTCGCGGGTTTGCGCGTGGTGCTCTGGTCCCACACCTACCTATACATTGATTGGACATTCTTTTCCATGTTTGCCACCCGGCTTGCTATGCCATTTGGACGTTCCGTGGCCACTTGGACCTTTGAACGACCTGTCCCTTGAACCTGTCTGCAGTCACACCTCTTCCTAATGGCGACGAGGCGAGACTCTCCGCACAACCCCAAGCTCCTCCGTCACGATCTAGGCTGCCTTCTGTACCCGTTACCCCGATATCACAGAGCACCACTCCCTCGCTCGATTCCCGGAAGTTGTGAGTATCATCCTCCATCTACACGCTCCCCTAGAAGTGCTCATGCATTATCTAGAATGCCAGATGACCTAAAGAAGCAGAAGAAGAAGAAGCGCAAACGCGATGAGCTTAGCGATGCAGAACTAGGTCAGCATGTTATCGCCAAACCTATAGTTCTACTGCTCACAGCCATATCGCCACACAGAACCGCAGAAAATGCGAAAACCGTCACCATTGCCTCCACACACGCACCCACATCCTCCACCATATCCACACCCACCACCACCGAAAACATCGAAGGCCCAAAATCCACCCCCACATCAGTCAAGCAAAGTAGGTGTATTATGCGTGGCGTGCAGATTGAGTCTGAACATCCTGTCTGGCAGCCCCCCGCTGGACCAGATTTTGCCGTGCCTGCTCCAATGTCACTTCTCCCCCCCCGTCCGCCGGTGGCACCTCCACCAATACCGGGGCCCAGCAAGCCCACAGATGTCATGGAAGACTTCAGCAAGTCCAAACAGCCCTCGCAAGTGCTCGTGAGCACGTTCTACACCAGCATCGAGCCCTGGATTCGCGGGATCAAGGAGGAAGATATCGGCTTCCTCGAGTTCAATGGCGACGAGATGGAGCCGTTCGTGATGCCGAAGCTCGGTCGACATTATTCGGAAGTATGGGAGGAAGAAGATATTAAACAGTATGGTGGCCCTCTTCCTGGCACAGCTGCGACACGCCCTGTATCTAACGCTGCCTCGTCATCGACGCTGCCACGGTGGGAACCATCAACGCTGATGGAGACAGATCTGCTCACGGAGGAGAGGTCACACGGGCCTTTGACGGAGCGGGTCGTCAGCGCCCTTATACCGATGCAGAATGCGACCGAGTGGAAGGGCGTCAAGGCAGCAGAGGAGGCCATGGAAGGTCGGCCAGGGACAAACGGCGCCGCTGCTGCCGCCGCCCGAGACAAACTCAACGTAGCGGACTTGGAGGACCGTGTCAAGAACGTATTGCGATTTCACGGCTTAATCAACGAAGTCGTAAGTCTCTTTTGACCGCTAGTTGCACCGGTATTTCTCACTTAGTTATTATTCGCGTACAGCCCGATTTCGCCGAAGCGGTGGATGATCCCATTGCCACGGCTCTTAGACATGCTCAACGCGAATTGCGGACAGTTTTTGCCACTAACAAGGCGCGGAAGGCTCGTTTAGTAGACATTGGGCGAGATCGCCTGGGCTACCAGGAATACCTCGAGCTTCGCGATTCTCTCGACAAGAATATAACGACTTTCTATACCAAACTGCAGAGGAAAGACGGCCCCAAAGCGAACAAGAAGAAGAAGAAGCCTGGCGAGCCCAATGGCGCGGTCAATGGCGCCACCGGTGGCGTTGCCTCGTTGCCTCCGTGTCCTGCTGCGATCGGCTTGGGGCCGGACGAAGAGAACCACTTGGTCGTACCAGAACAGCTGAAGCGACTGGTGCAGACGCGGCGGCAGTGGGTCGATACTATCGGCGGGGTGTTCGATGAGAAGCAACGGGACAGTCCTGGGCGCATCTGGAGTCTGCCGAAGACCAGCATCTACGAGGGGATCGAGGAAGAGATCGGGGAGCTGTTGGAGCGCCCACCTGCCTCTGCGTCTTCTTCCGGCTCGGGTTTAACCCTGCGATTGGGCCCAACCCTCCCGGTGAGCGACCCAGATTCACGGCTTAACAAGGGGAAAGCGAGAGCACGGGGGGACGACATGGAGCTCGGCTGACGGTGGCTCGACGTGTTCGCCTTGTCCGGATACTTATGGTCAACATTTATTCCCTAGTGTTATTAGTTATATTAGTGGAGACCGCTGATCGATGTTGGGTTGTGCTTTTGCGCAACTCAAGCCTGAGGCCTGAGGCTCGGAATTGACTCGTGCATTGCTGGAGGGAGCGCTAGTGTAGCAGCATTTCACGAACTGACGCGTCAAATCGGCATACTTGCGCACTCATAACATATCACTACCCTGCCTTACGTTGTGATATGTCGAAATGCTGTGGTTTGGCGTTGCTTCCAAGGGCGAGCTGACGAGGATACTCGGCAACTAGCTTGCGCTCGAGACCAATGGTCCTATATCAAACCTTCACAGCAATGAGACGCCGAGTCATCGACGTCGACCCAAAGCAACCCCCCAGCTCCAGCAAGTCTGACTAGAAATTGGCAGCAGGTGGGTCGTCGCTTCTACGCCTATTGTTCCTTTGTCCCGACGGACCTGACCTTTTGAAAGCTTAACGATTCAGCAATGTCAGAAGCAGCTCCCAAAGACTCCATATTCACGTTACCGGGCCTGCGACGGTTCTCGCAACCCATTCTGACTAGATTGTCGCACGGATCTGCCCCATTCATCAGTACATTCGTTCTCATCCACCTGTCCGCACCTGTGTTGGCCAACCTAGGAGGTTCGTCTCTCTCTTCCCAGGTCATGGTTCGTTCTTCCGTTCCGACTGCAATCTGTCTCTATCTAACGTAGCATGGGTTACGATAGATACTTGGCAGAGAATACTACCAGACTTCGTTCGGCGAGAAGTTTTTGCTCATCCTCCCCTTGCTCGTCCATCCACTTGCTAGCGCAGCTAAGCGCCTCCTTGCGCCTCGACCCGCCCGGCGGCTCACCAGCATCCTAAGCCTCACGGGCTACACAGCGCTTATGGTCTTGCCCATCCACTACTTCGTGCACCGCAGCTATCCCGCAAACCCTGCCCCGCCCATCTACGCGCTTAGCCCCGCGGAACTCGACTATGAGTACGTGAAGTACGCGCTGAGCGAATGGCCGGTGCGCGCCTGGCTCGGCTACGTTACTCTTACCGCCTGTGTCGCATGGCATGCCGCCGAGGGTGCAAATGTGCTCTGGAATACGTACGTGAGGGGTGCATTGGGTGCATTCAAGGCACGCACTCCGACGGCTCGCGCAGTCATTGCCGCAACGCTGGTGCTGCCGGTGGTGTCTGGGTTGGCGGTGATGGCGAAGGAACCGGTCATGGCGTTCACATCACAGCTGGCGCGCTTCCACGCTAGCTTTACTCAGTGTTTCGTTTATCGCTACTGAACAACGTCGCAGACCGCTGTAGAATGGAGCCAGTGGTCGATGAATCTGGACGGTTTTTTTGTTTGACGCTTCGGGACGATCACACGTCACGATCGAGTTTCCTCAGAAGAACCTGGAGATCTTGAGATTTTGCTGAGAGCAGTACCTGACATGCGACCGCCGATTGGTCACAGTGTTAATCTGACCAAAGATTTCTGAAGAGGTGCTGAACGGCCTGGTCACCAGAAAAACACCTCTAATCGACGTAAGACGAGCGGGACGGTCCACGACTGAAGTTACATTGTTACAGCTCTCGGCGAACCCTGTCAGTCCCAGCAAACTGTATGTCCCCAGGCATTGAGGGTAGCCTACATGTACTACAGTCACATCTACCTGGTCCTTTAGACACCCGAATGCTCTTAAGCCCAGTGAATACTCTCACTTTGTTCCGCTTTAGACCGGAGTTATAATCCTGGATGCTATGCACTTGTTCTAACACGATCACACACTTTAAGCTTTATCGACCGTGTTCACCTGGAGGAGCCATCAGCGGCGAAGTTTATTATCAGTGGTTTTACCTTGAAACAGTGTGCCATCCCATCAATTCTTCCTTAATAGTTCAAACTGGCTGAAAATTCCCTTTTTAGGTATGTGATGTGACACCCGGCACCGCGAGCTGTCTCAACATTTAACTTCACCGCTGCATGAGTCGCGTGTATTGTACTTAGACATCAAGAGGCACGTTATTCAGTGTACTTGGGTAGGTTTCTGAAATTTTTTCGAACCGAAGAGCTCAAGATCTTGTGTCTCAAGGACCGGTAGATGGTGGTAGTGGTAGCAGCCAGGAAATTTAGCAAAAAGAACAGAATCAGCTTTGAGAGAGAGCACTTGAAGGAACATGTGTGGACAATCCACAGTGACCAGTGTCCACTGCACTCTGTTTTCTGTTCACGAAGTACATAGTCATGATAGTTCATCGAACCCCACTGAGACAGTGCCTTGTTACGTAATTCTGGCAGAATTCTGTCTGGTCGTGGAAGGGACAAGCGAACACATTTCACCATGACTCACCGCGTGTTTCGATACCAGTTCTGTCCACATAAAAGACCCATTACCGACACGGCTTACGTCTGAAACTATAGAAAATTAACTTAGACCGACTAAAGATGGCTCGTCCTCGCCACTTTACGGTGGTGATCAAGTTGGGTGCGTTTAAAGTTCGCTACTTCCACGTTCAATGTGTTCAATTCTGAAACGCAGGAACGTCTTCGATTGTTCACGAGACCACATATCAGCCCCTGCTATCTACTCTATCCGCGGTGGTAGAGACTGTTGTTCATCTTCGCGCACAAGGGCACAAGGTAGTACTTGTGAGCTCTGGCGCCATTGGTGTCGGGTTGAAGCGCATGGAGCTCGCCCATAGACCAAAGAGCTTGTCCGGAAAGCAGGTATGTATCTCTAATTGAATCTCAATGCAGGTTGGAGAGGAGTGCGCTGCTGCGAGTAATTTTATGTCGCGGTATCTATCTGCGTATGATGAATACTGAAATACTGTGCAGGCACTTGCTGCAATCGGTCAAGGCCGATTGATTGCCCTATGGGATGATCTTTTTGGACATCTGGGTCAACCCATCGCCCAAGTTCTGCTAACACGGGGTGACATATCAGATGTGCGTTATGGGTGCTATGATCAATCGTCTCGAAATGCTCATATTCAATGGTTGCTAGCGCACTCGCTACTTGAATGCAGTGAACACCTTTAAGGAGCTGTTGTCCATGGGTGTCGTTCCGATCGTCAATGAGAATGACACGGTGTCCGTCAGTGTAAGTGAAGGCTGTCGTACATGTTATCCGCATTCGCTCATCCCTGCTACCTTGGTGCAGGAAATAAAATTCGGCGACAATGACACATTGTCTGCTATCACCTCAACAATGGTTCATGCAGATTACCTCTTCCTGCTCACCGACGTAGACGGTCTGTATACGTCCAATCCCCGTAAAGATCCCGATGCAAAGCAAATCTATGTCGTCTCTTCCATCGCTGCAATCCGGTCTCAAGGTACTGTCGATTAAATCAGCCGTTCGTCCATTCTCTGAGATCTCGCGCAAGTTAGCACCAATACGTTAGGCTCTAATCTGGGTACCGGTGGGATGGAGACGAAACTCATTGCCGCAGAGATTGCGACAGCAGCTGGAGTTACAACCATCATCACATCCAGCAACGACCCAAAAAATATCTTCAAGATCATCCAATATAACAATGCCCTTAAATCAGGATCTTCCACGCCGATCGAGCCATGTTCAGGACAGGCGAGTCCAGTACCTGCGCAATCTCTATCTCCTGGTGATTCAGACACCACCTCCACTGGGTCTGTACCGGTTACGGACCGTCCAACCATCAGTGGCCTAGTCAGACCGCCACATACGATGTTCCTCCCGTCATCGGCGCCTATGCGAGACCTTAAGGCGTGGACGAGCCACACGCTGTATCCATCGGGGACCGTAATTATCGATAGCGGTGCTCATCACGTTCTCTCGCGGAGGGAATCCGGGGGGCGCCTGCTCCCCGCTGGTGTTCTGGGTGTCCGCGGGGCATTCGCGTCAGGCCAGGCGGTTCGCATCGTCGTTCGAAAACGGGCTGCGGTGAGCAAAGAAGAGCACGAGGCTTCGCAGCGGTCATATTCCGATGGACTCTCGACGACGGCGCCGAATACCCCGGTTCTACTCCCCAGGGCATCCGTGTCCTCATCGATATCAACTCTGCATGACATTGATTTGGAGCCATGTCTCCCTCCAATTGACGAGGAGATGACGCCGTCGACGTCGCTCAAGGTGTTACGGGAGGATGGTCAGGCGCTGGTTGAGCACCCCGCTGACCATAGCGTGGAATGGGAGGTGGAGGAAGTTGGGCGCGGTCTTGCAAACTACAATTCTGTGCAAATAGAGAAGGTGAAAGGCCTCAGAAGGTGCGCACCGCATGTGTGTTCCGCGTGGACCCACTCTCATGCTCTTCTTCAATCTAGCTCTTACATCCCGGAGTTACTGGGCTACGCGGATTCGGAGTACGTTGTAGAAAACATCACCATCCGTGTTCCGCCTCAGTCTTAGAGGTACCGTTTTGTTGTGCAGAATCGTACCTTGTCTTTGGATTTCTGCTGCTTGCTTAGCCTTTGTAAACCTTTTCAGCTGCTGTGCACATTGAACGCGTTAAACTCAAGCATCGATCGGTTCGATTGCAGTTCGGTTCCGTCTGATTGAGGCCGGACTCCAGAAACCATTACATAATTTTCCAAGCTTTTGGTGCATCTACCAATTTTGGTCAATTTTTATTTTCCGATCCGTGGTGTATGGAGTTGCACCGGCGGAAGGTTTGGTTTATTCTCCACACTTCACTCTATTCTCCTCTTGCTCCCTAACGCTTATTCTACTATACATTCTCCTGCATTGAATGCTGTAATCATCTTGGTTGAACATGCTCCACGGAAACTCTGTCAGGATCCTCACGGGTATGTTCTCTGCGCAGGACATACGCTGCACCGCCCTCTCTAACCCGACGGACGACCTGCAGGGAATAGCCATCCTGAGCTAGCCCAAGCGGTGGTCGAGCGGTGAGCTGCAGCTTTGCCTGCGGCGGTATCGCACGCAGGGGCAGGTGATTCATCGCAGTGTTCTTTAGGCTCAACGTGCCCATGACGCCGTGCACGGTGAAGAAATTTTCGAACGGCGAGATTAACGTGAAGATCTCCGAGTCAGTGCGCGACGAGGACGTCTTCATCATTCAGTCTGGGTGCGGCAACGTGAACGACAACCTCATGGAGCTTCTCATCCTCATCTCGGCGTGCAAGGGCGCGTCCGCGCGCCGCATCACCGCTGTCATTCCGTGCTTCCCGTACGCGCGGGTGGACAAGAAGGATAAGTCTCGCGCACCCATCACCGCGAAGCTCGTCGCCAACATGCTAGGCGTGGCTGGCTGCGACCATGTCATCACGATGGATCTGCATGCTAGCCAGATCCAGGGGTTCTTCGACTTCCCTGTAGATAATTTGTACTCGGAACCCCTCATGGTCGCGTATATCAAGACGCACATCGAGGATTGGAAAAACAGTGTCGTCGTCAGCCCAGATGCCGGAGGAGCGAAAAGGTGAACTGTGACGATGACTGGCGTGGATCGTGTGAGATTGACGCGTAAGGAAGAGTTACAGCTCTCGCAGACAAGCTAGGAGTGGAGTTTGCCCTCATTCACAGGGGGCGAACCAAAAACTCCGATGAGCTCCCGGAAGTAGTTGAGGTCCTTGTAGGAGACGTGCGAGGCAAGGTACTGTATCCGTCGAGTCGCGATCGTCTCATGTACTCATTCCTCATTCAGGTGGCTATTCTTGTGGATGATCTTATAGATACTGGGGTTACGCTTGCACTGGCTACTCGCGCACTCAGAGACAATGGCGCAAGCAAGGTGTATGCTCTTATCTCACACGGTGCGTTCTCCCATCCGCGAGCTTCTTTGTCAATTCCGATCCGCGATTCATTTTGATGGGACAGGGCTCCTGTCCGAAACCAAAATGAGCATGATCCAAGATCTGCCGATGGAGAAGCTCGTGGTACTTCGTACTCAATCTGCTACCTCTGCACCGAAGGCTTACGTACTGTTCCAGGTCACAAACACTATACCCCAGCACCAGCACGCTCTCGCATGCGACAAGCTGGTGACACTGGACGTGAGTCCGATCATCGCCGAAAGCGTCCGCAGGACGCACAACGGGGAGAGTATCAGCTTCCTCTTCGGAGACTGGACCGGAGACGGTGTGGCCTTCTAGTACTTCAAGAACAACGGGGGAAACGAACAGCGGAAGAAACTAATAGGAAATGTAACACCCTATATATGTGTAAAATCTCAGGCTTCTACAGATATCCCATAGGAACTGCAATTACTACAAGCGTCGACGTGTATGTACATTATCGATCCACGCTTATGACGAGGTACAATCTCAAGTATTGTACAACAAGTTGCCAATACAGACTCTTCGGGAAAAAAATGTCAATGACGGAAGACGACGAAGAAATATAGCACTCACAATACAGTCACTTGCCTTAGCACGGGACTTAAACACGGAGCAAGGCGGAGTAATCTGACAGTACATGAGGCGGTCACTACGGGGTGACCAGATTCAATGCATGGTCCCACCTGTGATATGGAGATCTGGCAGCTTGTGCACTAGAACACAAATCAAAATTTTTGCACCCTCCAACCATCATCCTGCGCATCCTGGACGAGGAATTCATACCAGAATACTGTGATAGGAACAGTCGACAGATGCCACAACGAATGCGCGTCGATGATCCTCTCCCAAGGCGGGAAATCGAACACCTCCAATGCTGTAGCCAGCATTGTACATGCCACAAAGATGGCTGCCTTGCTAGCATATTTCGGGCGATAGGATTCGGGACCGAAGGGGAAGCGTCGAATGAAAGATATCGAGGATGGAAGGGAGTAAAATACCCAAAGCAAGTTGTGCAGCATACCTATGGCAAGGTTAAAAGCGATGTTGTACGCGTAGTCGAAGCGTGGCAGCAAAGCGAGGTAGGAGACGTGGGCGAGATACGCGACTATACAGATACACGTCCATGCGTTTGACGCAAAGGTTCTGGGCGATAGGAATGTCGACGGAGGGCCGTTACGCTCTGGGGGATATAGGTGGAATAGGCGGATCACGGTGTAATACAGGGCAATCATAATAGCCAGGGCAGCAGAGAAATAATCCAGCTTTTCGGTCAATGGCAGGTCTACAAGAGCATCCAGGATGATCAGACTTCACGGCCATTCTTAATAGCAAGGGGCCAACCTCGCGTGTGGAAGACAGATGACCAGAACCACGCATTCATATTGATGAATGCACCCCAGAGATAATACTGTTTCATGGGATGCCCATCGTGGATGCTTTCTTGCACATGTCGGGCTCCTCTGGCGTGAGCCAGGAGGTTCAAGACCGAGAACGCGACGGAAGCCGGTTCCTGCATTCCAGCGAATCGCCAGAACGGCCACTTCCCATGGTATTGCTGCACGGGATTTCCATTCTCTACCGCATTGTCTGTGATCTGGTGCATACATCCGTATTTGCAGTCGTCCGTGCATGTCCATCGTGTCAATCGCAACGCAAGAGGTAAGGGCGAGCTCGAATCTCCGCATGTATGGGACTCGCATATTGATACGCAGCGCTGATAAGTAACATCGCGGTCTCCAGAAGACGCCAAAGTAATTGTCGCCAATGCCAGCATAACGGAGACATGAGTATGCATTTTGACGACAGCAGGCTGCCAAGAGGTTAACACGGTCACGGTGGTAGGCGCCCACTGGCCTCCTATGGCAGTGTTTATGTAAGCGGTGGCAGATCCTCCTGCAACTCCAGTCACTGCGTGGCATTGTGTTTTTCTGTACTCTATTGCTCACAATCGACACATATAGTCATAAAGACATTTCTGACGATTATAGTATGTTTGACCTTTGTTTCATCCGGCTTGACACCGCAGAAAGTGAATTTTCTTTGTCATTTTCAGGATCGTTGAGAGTCAACATACTTACCTGAATTCCGTCAATTCCACCGTTCGTCGCTATAATACAGCCCAGTTTTGTTGTCAGTAAGTTTGAATGCTATCTATGAATGATTGTTCCTGATGATCATATGCAGAGACAAGCTCTATTTTTGGAGTGACCAGGATGGTCCGCTCTTCGCAGGCGTTCACTTTCTCCTCCTCCCCTTATTTTGACGACCGCGGCCCACATGGATATGCCGAACCTATCACCGAAAGAGTGAATGTAAGATAGAACCAAATAGATACTCGGAGCTGTTAGTCTGATGGCGTTTACATAGCCACATTCGCGACCAATAGTCTCTTACTATTTTCCGAAAGGCGTCGGAGCGCAACATTATGGAGTACGCCTGATTTTATACATGACTCTAATTCGTATCTTGTGCTCATTGTGCAACTCAAGCAGGAACGACATCCAATGAAGCCACACAGACTCACATTAACGAATGCTCTTGTCACGGGTTACGGGCTTGACAAACAAATCCACAACATCTACAACCCACGTCCCGCTACTCAAGCGGAGCTTGAGGCATATCACGATCACGATTACATTGAGTTTCTCTCTAGGTCATTGTACTCCCATGTCGCTCTTGTGCTGTGATTGACTTCAACCTCCTAGAGTTACTCCCCAAAATCAGGGAGCAATGAGACAACAAATAGAGGCCTTCAATTGCGTGGAGGATAACCCGATATTTGCAGATATCTATGAGTTCTGCAAGATGTATGCAGGTGGCTCCCTCGCTGCGGCCAGAAAGCTCTGTGCAGGTACCACAGACATTGCTATCAATTGGTCGGGAGGTCTCCATCATGCAAAGAAGGCTGAGGCGAGCGGATTCTGCTATGTGAACGACATCGTCCTTGCTATTCTTGAGCTTCTGAGGTGAATCCACTGTGCATGTTCACTGCGCGTTTGACTTGTCTGACAAAATGAAAGGTATCATCCTCGCGTTCTATATATCGACATTGATATCCACCACGGTGACGGCGTGGAGTTCGCATTCTACCACACGAACCGCGTCATGACCGTTTCGTTCCACAAATACACCGGAGACTTCTTCCCCGGCACAGGAAAGCTCGACGACAACGGCGCCGGGCTCGGCAAGCATTTCTGCTTAAACGTTCCCCTGCAGGACGGGATCGACGACGACATGTACCTCACGATATTCAAGACCGTCATCGAGGACACCGTCACCGCCTTCCGGCCGTCCGCCATCGTCCTGCAATGTGGCGCGGACTCCCTGGGCTGCGACCGGCTCGGCGCTTTCAACCTGTCGATCGCAGCCCACGGAGAGTGCGTCAACTTCGTGCGCAAGTTCAACGTGCCCCTCCTCGTCGTCGGCGGCGGCGGGTACACGATCAAGAACGTGAGCCGCTGCTGGACGTACGAGACCTCCGTCCTCGTCGGCGCCGCAGTACCCGACGAGCTGCCTATCACCATCTACGACTCGTTCTTCCGCGACTCGAAGTGGAAGTTGCACCCGCCACTCACCGGGAAGGTGGACAATCAGAATTCGCCGGCGTCGCTGCAGCGCGTCACCATCAGCATCCGCAACAAGCTACGATATCTCCAAGGCGCGCCTAGCGTGGCGTTGCAGGAGATCCCGCCAGATCTCGGGGGCTGGCTCGAGGACGAGACGCGCACACGACAGGAGAAGGAAGAAGAGAAGGGCACCGCGCAAGCTGGGGAATCCAGAGAAGACCGGTCCATGAAGCGGAACGAGTACTTCGACGGAGACAGGGATAACGACGGCGATGAAGAAGAGGAGGCACCGCCGGCTCCAACGCCACGGACGAAGGCGACTGCCCGGAAAACAAGAGGGGGAAAGCGAGGCCGTGGCAGGGGTAGGGGCAAGGCCACGGCCAACAGCGCGCCGAGGGAAGGTGAAGATGAGGCAGAGGAGGCAGCCGCACCACCTACACGATCTAGGACGACAAAGGGAAAGACGAAGGGGCGCGGGCGAGCACGCACGAAGGCACAAGGGAAGAACACCGAGCCGGATACCCCAAATGCAGAGCCTGACTCGAATGCGAGTACAGAACAGGCTCCAACGCCAATGGAGGTGGATGTCGTATGAAGTCAACATTCTGGAAATCGCGGTGCTGTACGTCCATCCCATTCTCCAATTCGCGGGTTTTTGTAGCTGACATTAATCATATATTTCGCTGTTGTTGAAGGCCGTATATCCCGCTCGGCATAACGGAGCCCTTCGATGCAATCTAAGCTACTGAATATGCTGCAGAAGACGATGAAACTAGAGACACGCACGGACATCTGAACGCACTTGTAGGGCCTGCGAGTCAGCCATACGTAGGCTGGCATCCTCCGTATTCCCACCACGAGTCTACTCGCCATATGAAGGTTGAACGGACGTACCGTCGCCTCGAGATTAGTCTAGATACACTACTACATACATCGACTTGCGAACTAATGGATTACGATAAGGCTGCGAGCCTGCCGTGCGCGATAATAGTTATGCAGCAGCTCGTGGCAGCAACAGGTGTTAGCTCTCTGCGTGGCTGCGCACATGCGAGCCAAGGAGAGCAGCGATCTCGTAGCAGCAAACCAGCAGGAGCTGGCCAACGAGGTCTACCAGCGCGGAGTTCAATGGCAGCGCATACATGTCAGGATCGAGGTCGCGTTTCCACAGGAGGTTCGTCGTTACCTGCGCAAGGAAAAGTGATATTACGGTCTACACGAAAAGCCACGGTCAGCTCTGACGATGTCTAAGAAATGAGGGTAATTGGACATACTGTAATGCAGAAGAAGATGACTTGGAGTACTATGAAGAGGAAGGAAAGGCGGAGCCAGCCGAACGCGAAGACTGTCGCGAGGAATGCGATGTTGACTGGGAGGCTTACGAGCAGGAGGGTAATCATGACCATACGTTGGCTGGGGTGAGGGCTCTTCTCGTCCGCTTGATCTAGGGTTGGCAGGTCGGACAAGACTGTCGGCAGCGTGAACGTCGCTGCGTGCAGTGCCGTTGAGAGGCGTGAGATAAACACAGAACCGACGTTTCCAGAAAGGCCTATAATAACGACGAAAGTGAGATTGACGTATATCTACACTCACGACGAAGGAACGTTTACCTGTGACAACAACTGCAACAAGGGCGTAGCCAGTGTATTGGCCGACGAACGTGTCCAGGACTAGGCCTGTCCCACTGCTGATGATCATGGCGATGAACAAGGGCATCCAACCTTCTGTGAGCAGATGCTGGACGTGTTCATTGCGGCGCGTTAGGACCGTCCAGCCGACAGCCGCCGCAACGAGGAATATTATGATGATAAGCGGGATAACCGTGTCAATAATTAAAAGGTGTAACGCAGAAACGACACCCAAGATCGTCAACGTGACAAGATCACCGAGACAGGCAGCAACGGGCGGTGCGATATTATCTGCACACAGAATAGCTGTAGATATACAAGAATGACTGGGAAGAGCATGGCTTACCTGGGTCGAGCCCGAATCGCCGACACAACACAACTAGGGTGCACATGAACGACCCAAGCACACAGCCGGACAAGCAAGTAGATGTCATGGCAGCAGACGCGACCATCGCGAATCTGTGGAAATGCTCAACTCTGTGTCGGCACTTCGAACTATATAGCATACTCTGAAAGGCCGGACGTTGGCGAGCCACCTGGAAAGATTGGCCGTGGTGTTCTCGCACCCACAGTCCTAGCCACTATCGAGCTAGTAATGTTGCCAGAAAGGACCGCCGAAACTGCTTCCTCCCCAGCTGGTCGGGGTATGATACGACCTAGAAGGAAGGCGACACACGCTGCGACGAAGGATACGACGGTCGCCTGCACCTGTAGCAGCGTCAAGTTTCCAAGAATGATTGATTTACGTCTTGATGGCTCGTCGAGCTCTCCCATGTTCGCAGCGGTACCCAGACGGGCTGAAAGGTTCATCTCAAGGTTTCCCTTCAGGTTGAGTACAACCGGGATGATCATGATCAGCTCATCCACGCGGGACATGGCTTTCCAATGCTAATGAGTATCTGAGCGCACAGTCATCGAGACGAGGTAGTCAATACGCACAGAGACATTGGTCAATATTTCACCCGTAAATAACAGTCCCAGAGTAGTTATAAGAAGGGTGGGTGAGGTCTATGGCACGTTCAGACTGCTACGCAGCCGCATGCACATCAACAAATATTCACCTCTATGACAAGGCTCTTCACCTGAGCCCATCTACTCGTGTGCCCTACAAACACCCGTTCCTCCCTGAGAGAACCTAACAGAGCACGATTGCCTTCCCCCTCATCGTCAGAGTCACCGTCCGAGTCATCGGCGAGCTCGTAGACAAGTGGTTTGGCGCTCTTCTGGTCATCGGTTTCCGTCGTTCCGTCCAGAGTCGTAAGTTCGATTGTCTCAGAGCTGATTTCTGAAGCTGGGTCAGACGACACGGCGCCCTCCATGCGTCGTTAAAAGAGCTGGTAAAGTCCAAGTCCGAAGGGAGGTTCAGATCTCAGAGCTTGTCGTCTTTCGCCGTCATGTGTATGATCAAGCTCGAGGTGTGGGACGTACGCCATGGTTCCGCAGCATGCATTCAATCGTCTCACTTGGCAAACCTCTTGCAATCATCTGACTCATGATACGCGGATGTTAATGTTCTTTGACGTTGACAGTCTCTGCATACTTAGTTCCCCCGTTCTATGTGGACATAAGGCCTGAAGCTCAAGGAGTTCAACGGGACACTGCTGAAAATCTGGCTGCATTCTACATATTTCTCTGCGCTGCTTCGCCTTCTGAACGGTCCTTCCGAGCGAAGTTGTCAATGTTCGTGGTCTTGCTGTTGGCAAGAATCGAAGCGAAGATAGCCTGGTGGTCGCAGCCTCGAGCGATGACATGGTGGTACAGTACACTATCTCATAATACATAACATGGTAATGCATAATACCTCATAGTGCATAGGCCTTGGGCGGTACGAAACTGCCCTTCGCAGCCAAAATCCAATGCCATAATGCATAAAATCTCACAATGCATAGCAAAATCCGGGCACCGACGCTATGCATTATGAGATAGTGTACTGTATTTCCCAGCGTTCTCGCTGCTGCGCACTCCTGGAGGCATCATTTATTGGTGGCCCGGGCAGGCTGCCGAATTGACAGATTCAACTTCGCCAGAGTGGAGAGCATGGGGAGGACCGAAACTCAAATGTGGTAAGTCGTTTCCGCCAGAGCACGACCGTATGCATAGTCCATGGCCACCTTGGCACGGGACCTCGCTTCGGGAAGCTGGCCTACCGCTGTGTCCCTCTTTCCTGAGGTCTGTGTTGTCGATTGTCAGTGGCTAAAGGCACTGCTTTTCAGTCTGGTCTGGCACGAGACCATGCTGCAGACGCGGGGGACGCGGAAGGCCAGACGCTGGAGCCATCCAAGACGCTTGGATCACCTTTACGTGTAAGGCGAAATTCTTACGAGGCTCTATTATTGGGGTGACGGAGCCGTCTATCGATTACGCAGGGCTGAGTCGCTTCGCAAAGATGGAGCCAGTGTGCGAAGAGAACCGGGGCGTGAGTTATACGTATCCGTAATTTGACAATTTCTGGGAATTTTCCCTCTTCAGGCACCTTGAAGGGGCGTGTCGGTGGAAGCCAGCTGACCAAGGTGAGCTGTTCTAATTTATTTCTTGTTCATCTTTCAGGAGGCAACACTCATGAGTTCGCCAAACATGATCAATGAAGTGTTGGAGGAACCTCTTGTACTACTCTTGTACCTCATCCTCCATCATGCGAATAAGCACGGTTCCACAGACAGGCCTGTTATCGTGAATATTTACGCTTTCCTCCTCTGGCACCGTCTCATCTCGGAGCAGCCTCAGTTGCGTTCAGATCTATAAAAATCATTCCGTACATGTGTTGATACAAAAGGTCCAAACTCGTCTGCCATCCAGTCATAAAAACGTGGGTATCGTCAACAGTCAGTATACAGGTCATCAGCCCGTACATGGCTGCCATGACATCGTCGTAGGATGCTAGTGCTTCGAACGCATACTCATCGTCCGCATGGTCGGGACTAGCACCATCATCAGCAAAACCTGAGGCATAGAGATGAATCCAAAACTTACACATCATCAACCCCTTGATGTCCTTGACACGCGATTGCTCGATGCTCTTCCGCAATATTAGCACGCGTATACTGGCCCAAGCCAATAGTAGCACGCCGAACGCGACCGGAATGAGCCAGTACAACGGTGATAGGTGGTACGACCCGCCGAAGACCACGTGCAGAGGTGGTGTGTAGATAATGAACATGCCAAGACATGCGCCGCCGAGAATACCAACAAAGTTGTAGTAGTTTCCGACGATAGACTTGCCGAAGGGGAACGAGAACTTAGCTTTGACGGCGAAGACCTATTGAGAGCAAGGTAATCAGTATGCCAGGACGGAAAAACACGTCGAGCAAACATACGTTGAAACACTGCATAATGAATATCGACAGGTATGCTGACAGAGTTGGCGTCAGAGTACAATTACGCATGCAACGCAAGTGTTACTCACTGATGCCCTGTGCCTCACCATAACCTTGGACCTGTTGTGCGGCATCAAGTACTTGGCCGCGGGAGTTCGTGAAGTCGGGGCTTGACTTCAAGAAGTATGCTAAAATAGAAGCGTGCATTTAGCAATGGCACGTATCAACAGGTGTACAACGTACTGTGGGTGGTGGAGGACTGGGCATTGCGCAGATCTGTGGGAGTAAAGCCGTTCTTGTAGAACACGACGAAGTATGCGACCAGACTGCGCAGTCGTAAGGTCAATACTCGTGTGTATTCAAGCATCCAGGGCACCATTAACGTACGCGCCAAGCATCTCGATAACACCGGCCTCGAGATACGAGTAACTGAGCAGCTTGTTGTCCACAAGCTGCTCGTCATCCGTTTTCTCGAAGACCTCCTCCCAGAATCCGCGCGTGAAAGGTGCGGTCAACTTTGAGTGAAGTACAGATAACCGGCTTGGGCGGATGACGTCCTGCGTCTCAGTATCACGGTGCAGCGTCTTGGTCCGACGGAGCGCGCGTTTCTTGAGCGTGATGATAGAATTCTCGTTGACTGTGGAAAAGATGGAGTGAGCAGATCTTGGATCTTGAACATACGCGGAGTGAACGCGGACCTGGTTTCCGTGGGTTCATGCGCATCAACCCATCCTTCGTTTCAGGCTTATCCCAAGCGAATGAAAGCTAGCAAAAAAGGACTTCAGCGTGTCTCCTCGGACGAAGCACAGGCTGGTAACTCACAGCGACAAACAACTCGAAACCAAGATCTACAGCGATCTATCGTCAGAACTCATACTAGGCCCATGAAAATGACGCTGACCGATAACCAAAATCAAGATAGCCGAAAGTGGAAGGGGGATCGGTACAACGACATCTATACAACAGTTGATTAGTGGGGAAAGTACCACGGACAGAGATACCTACAAAGTAACTGCGGAATGACCTCTGGAGTACTGTGAGAGATCGTGTACCTGTGTGTGCAGGGTGTGAGGCCCGGCTATTCCAAATCAAACCCTCGTTACTCACTGGATTGAGCGCTTCAGGTTGACGAAGATCTGGCGACCTTCTGCAACACCCTCTATATTCATTATCACTACGTGCACAAGAAGTGTACATCACAGAAGTACTCACTGACGGTCGAGGCGAAGTTGTCGTCCAGGAGAATCATATTTGCGGCTTCCTTGGACACGTCAGAGCCAGAAACGTTCATCGCAATACCGAGATCGGCCTGGTCAATGTTTTCAATAAGTGCTTCGCAAATGTCAATACATCACTGTCGTACCTTCTTGAGTGCAGGCGAATCGTTGACACCGTCCCCAGTACTGATAGCGAGAGAATCTGGTGAGCCAATGAAGAGCGGTCAGAAACGCAGGGCACTTACACTCCAACAATATGGCCGAGGGCCTGAGCATGCTTGACTGTAGAACGGTGTCGTCAGTAGTTGCAGAAGGCAACTGATTTTATTCTGCTGACCGATTTCGAGCTTATGCTGCGGTGAAGTACGAGCAAACACGATTTCCTTCTTGGCGAAGACTGGAAATGGGGAGTTGAAGAGGAAGTACATATGAACAAGCAGAGGCACATACTCTGATCCCATTGCCATCCCTGAAGGCCATCGATATCATCTCCATGGACCACGACAGCGTCGACCTCATCTTCGTATATTGCTTCAACCGGACGGCCAGTTTTCGCGCTGAGGGTTTCCTTGGTGTCCCCAATGATGAGGTTGATCTTGCGTGCGATGGCTTCCGCAGTCTTGGGATGATCACCTGGTGGTTGAAATCAGCATTTCTTCTGTCGGATGGGTCTTAGATTAACATACCAGTTACCATCATGACCTTGATACCAGCGAGACGAAGGGTGCCGATGGCCTCGCGGACACCGTGCTTGGGCGGATCCTCGAGAGAAATCAGGCCGCAGAAGGAGTATTCCGTACTGGGGTAGTTGCCGTCGTTCTTGCTGAAGGCATAAGACGCGTCGTATTGATCCGAGGGCAGCAGCTTCTGGGCGCAGGCGATGACACGATGGCCTCTTGATGCCATGTACTGATTGATCGTGCAAGTCAGTAAACAGTTTCTCTGTGGTAATCGAGCGACTTACGTTGTAGGCCTCGTCATAGGCATCCTTGAACGCGTCCGTGATGGGTTCAATATTTCCGTCTTTCATGTAGGTGGAGCACTTTGCAAGTACACGCTCAGGGGCGCCCTTGATGTAGAGCGTAAGGTTTCCAGTCGAATGCGGCTTGTCGAGCTGATTGGAGCCGTTAGCATTGGACCACGACGAAAAACAACCAGACTTACGATAACCAATGCCCACTTGTTGGACGAGTTGAACGGAATCTCGAAGACCTTGGGGTGAGCCTTTTGCAGCGCATCATAATCAACTTGACGGCCAGCGAAACGAGTGAGACCGGTCTCGGTGGCGTCACCGAGAATTTCGCGCTTGTCGAAGGGTATGTCTGTTTTGTCGAACTTGACGCGAGAGTTCAAAGCAGCGATGTGGACCATCTCCGTCATACCCGGAGCTTTCATCGAAAATACTTCCGTCGATTCGGAGTCATTGTTCGACTGGGCTCTCTTGTCAGGAAATATGTACAAAGAGACGACCGTGGCGACAAACCTGGAAGGCAGTGTACATGCGTTCTCCGCTCCACAAGTTCGTGACCTTGCAACGGGTGAGTTGGAAATTGAGAATGGCCACGTCGAAGTCATACCGTCATTTGATTCCTCGTCAAAGTACCAGTCTTGTCCGTGGCAAGCAGAGTGAGCTACAAGACAAGATATGAGACTATGCGTTGAAATGTCACAGTCAGAAACATTTACAGAGCCTGCGTACAACGTCGATCAGGATATCATTAATCAATTGAATAAATGGAAACGTACCAAGTGTTTCGACACCTTGCAGGTCCTTAACGAGGACGTTCTGCGCGGCCATTCGCTTGGCAGCGATTGACAACCTGAGCTTCAGGTCAGTAGCATCCTTTTCGTCATGATATTCATAGCTCACAAAAGAGTGACGGTAGAAGGCAGACCTTCGGGCACGAAGGCAACAAGGATGGAGACAGCGAACGTGACGGTTTGCGCGCCCTTGCCTTTGTAAGCGGTCGTGATACCGACGACGAAAAATATCACGGCGAATACGACGGCGATGGACGAGACCATGATGACGAAGCGGCCGCTGAATATCATGATTGTGTTGTCAATGTATGCTCAAGTAAATACGAACAGAATGGCCTACATTTCGACGGAAAGCGGGCTCTTGTTTCCGGACTCTCCGCCGGTAAGAGCTGCGATTTGACCTGAAAAGCCGATAAATACGTTGCCCAAGTCAACCGAACAATGTACCTTACCGATGAACGTGTGGTCACCAGTTCGGACAACAACTGACGAGAACGAGATCAGGTGAAAATTCACATCTCTACTAAGGGAAGTACGTACCTCCCCAGCCTTCGCCGTTGACGACCAGACAGGAGTTGAAAACCTTTGTGGATCTTAGTGGCCGTGAAGGCAGAAAGAGTAAAGTACCAACCAGATTCTCCGCCTCTACAGGTCTCGCTTTGCTGCCCTCAGGTAGTGCAAAACGTTCTTGGGCTTCAGATTCTCCTGTCAAGCTACTGTTGTCGACCTTCATGTCAGTAGACGCAAAGATGATAAGATCGGCAGGCGTCTTGTCGCCAGTGCGCTGCGGAGATATGATGCAAAAAAAGCCAAACCTAATCAATATGCGAACTTAAGCTCGCACTACGACTCACAATTAAAACGATGTCCCCCTTCACCAAGTCTGCGGCGGGAACGTTTTGGATGCTTCCATCACGGACTACGCGGCAACTGGGAGGGATCATGGCCAAGAACGATGCGAGAATGGCCTCGGACTTCTGGATTTGGAAGAACTCGATGAAGGCGTTGAGGAAAGCTACGGCAATGAGGATACCACCCAAGTAAGTGTTGGCGAAGTTGTCCTACAATGATTTCAAACAAGCGTCAAACCCTCGTCTGCTATGATCGGAGAAGACGGCAGACCGACCTTGAAATCTATACCCAGCAAAATGTACTCGAGGATGCCTGCAATGATCAACAGAATGTTGAACATTGTCATGAGTAATTCAATGTACTTCAAATTAAATTGAGCGATGATCGACATCAGATGAAATTATGGGACGATACCTTTCTCAACGCAGATTTCTTCTTGGGAGGGGAGAGGACGTTAGGACCATCGCGGGCAAGCCTTGATTTTGCCTCGTCCGCGGTCAAACCTAATGAAAGGCCGGGATCCTTGGCGTCGAACGACGTCGCCAGCTCAGGGCCGAGTTCCTTGACTGTCAACTTGTGCTCGTGGATGTCGACCTTGTCCGTCTCCCCGGCCTCTGCGCCCTTTTTGCCCTTGGCCTTCTCCTCGTCGAGATGCTCGTAGCCGGCCGCAGCGAGCTCCTTATCTTCTTTGGTCATCTCGCGATGCATCTCCACTCCTCTCGGACGGCCATGTCCGTAGATAACCTTTTCCTCGTAGACAGCGCCCGCCTCCTCGTCGGGAAAGGCGACAGCTCGTGTGCCAACGGCCTCCTGGTCGTGTGGCTTCACTTCGCGTTTCTCATCGAACACAGCATCGGGGTCATTGCCAGCGACAGCCATCACGAAGAGCCTCAAGCGACAAAGTCAAAGGAAACGCAGTCGAGTCGTCTGAAGAACAAAGGCGACGACGAGGTTTTTAACCAGGACGGTCCAAAATTTTCTTTCACAAGCGATGAGAATGGGGTAAGTTACCAGCGGAAGGACCTTATCAGGGCCGATGGCATCTTAATGCACATGGGTCGCATGATTAGAGCAAGCTGGATCATCGCACAAGCAATCGGGCACTGGTGCAAAAGATTCGGACGAACGGCCAAAAGCCCTCACCTCAAATAAAATTGAGTGTCGTCGCCGTGAAAGGGAACACACGTGATCGTGTCCGGGCGCATCTCCTCAACGCGAAGTCTCGATACAGACTGGATGCGGCACTCTTTCCGAGCTTCCAAGCTCCAGAAGGTACGGAGCCAGTCCTCGAGGCACCACACAGCAGATGAGAAGGGTAGGTTACAACGCACCATGAGACCCAATGTCCGGCAGGACACCGGACATGTCAGACTTCAGGCGGTATGAAGGCAGTAGAACCCGCTCACACAGCGCTCACAGCTGACGCCTCGTTATCTTGTTACGTATAACAAGAATGGGGAGCAACTTCACGAGGCAGTTCAGACTGATTGAGAATCGACAGAGAAGGCCGAACAGAGCCTCAAATATGATCGGAAGACCGATGCAAGCTCAATGGCTATGCATCCACGCGTCCACTGGGTACTAGGCAGTGGCGTCTTCTAACAGTGGCAGACCAGGTCAAGTTTTGTTATAAGCTCCTAGGATGTTAGTTGGAAATTCATTCGACAATTCGAAGTGAAAACAAAAACACAGATATGTCGTAGCCCGGTGAAGTACCCAATGTCCGCGCTTGATCACAGATGTCGATGCAGAAGCATCTCAACCGGTCCGTGGCACAGAAACTTTGCTATTATTGCCCAAATTCTTGTTCAGAGGTTGGCGGTAAACAAGATGGTGGTCGTCGAAGACAAGATCGAACTTGAATATTTGAATGCTGACTCAAGTGCACTGTCGGCGCAGCATCGGCTCGTTGGTCGGCATGTCGGTCACCAATTTTTGTCTAAGATTCTTGGTAATATTTAACGTTGTACATATACAATTGACGAAAAGACGTTGTCAAGCCCGAGAGCTCTGTCGAACGGGCAACTCCAGTATATATCGACACCCAGACGGAGTAGGAGCGAGATGGGATACTAGAAGTCACTGCAACGGCGACTTCAAGATCATCTCATAAGATCTCTACAATCCCCGCCGTTGACAAACTGGCCGCTGGCGGCGGTTGGCACCCCCTTCGTAGCGTTTGGCAACTCCCCAGAAGCTTAAGGCTGCAACCAGGTGAAGTAGGATCCGACCACATGAACAGAAGCAGCGGCACTATCACGGATCGAAATGAGGAGAATACCAAACCACTGTGGATCTCCAGATAGCACTCGGATCAGCTGAACGATCGACAATGAACAATTCAGATTGCCAGAGATGAGGTCACTTGAGTACCATACCGCGTCGTGTGCACGACCGCAATCCTCTGCCGAAGAATATCCTACGAACCACCTTTCACGTAAAAGAGACCCAATGCACAACAGCAAACACACTCGAACGGTTGTGCCTACATCGATCGGACGACCTAGTTGCTGGGGGCCTTCGCGGCCTCCTTCTCGCCTTTGAGGATGTGCTCGATGTTCGCGCCGATCTTGCGGCGGTCCTCGAGCGACAGCGCGGGCGCGGTCGAGGAGTAGCCCACCTCTGGACAGAAAGATCGACGTGAGATGCTTTGCGGACGAGAACAAGGTGGACACATGGCCGGGAGCGGCGATCGCATGAAACGGGGAGTACGCACTGAGGCTGGGATACTGCAGGGGGATCTCTGCGCTCTTAATCGGGAGCGTGGACAGATCAAGGGGGAAAGAAGGGCCGATCCACGCATTGCGGACTTCGTGGTCTCTGTTAGCGCACTCAGTGGCGAACGTGCGGGAGGGATGACATGACGCACTTGCGCTGCTCCGGCGATACACGCACACGTCATCAGCACGGAAGGTTTTGAATATCATCATCCTGGAAGACGTACCTGCTCGCGAGTGAGCGGGTGAACGAGGATACTGAGGGCTTAGTTAGCACGCGGGCTTCTGTTACATGCCAGTGTTGAGCTGATTTTTGATATGTTACGTACCTGAGATTACCCCGGTTCAGGGAGAGGTACGAAAACACGGATGCAAATGACTCTGAGGGACACCATATTTCATACGAGCCTAGACGCGGGATGGAATCAAGGATCGACGTGGCTGAGGCGATAATAACGCACCAACAGGGTGAGGGCCGATGGGGTCTGTGTTCACTCGAAACAGAGGAACGGCGATGAATGCACCATCCCGTCTGAGACGCAGTACGGCGTCACGGAGATCAAGGGCCTCCTGATGTTCGTCTGCGTTCCGCTGGTGGAAATAGATGTCTGTTTGTCATGAACCACTGGAACAATCACTGCATCTGTCATTGAAGACTGACGAAAATGCCATTCCCTATGGTACCACGTCAGCCGAGAATACTTACAAGACAAATCACGAGCGCACTTGATTTCGGAATCGACAATTTCCTTCAAATCAGTCGGAGGGCTCATGTTGTCACCGATTCTGCGAACCTGAAATGTCGAGTACTGTATGTCTATTTGGTGCAGGGATAGAGTTGAGTTCACCCTTCAAAGTATGTCAACGAACAGAGACTGAGAGGACACCGGACATGGGAACAGTACGTAAATAAATAGAGGCCTTGTGATGAGATCGATGATTGTCGATGAATGACGAACTGGTGCTACCACAATCAAGCGCCCATAACTACTACCAGAGAGCTCTCCGACTCTGAGTCGATTGTAGGCTCGTTAACCAGCCTCTAGTAGACAGGAAGAAGGAGTCGTTCCTCTCTATAGAAGTCGATTGGCACTCGCCGGATTCCGGCATGCCCTGAAAAGGTCTGATAACATGATTGTACCGTCCTGGAAACCTATCGCAAGTACAGTAAATAAAAATTGTGGAGGTCTACTCTGGCACGCCTATTCAGTCTGTAACGCGTAACGCAAGGTCAGAGCGAGCAAGTGCTTCTTCCTTCATTCATGTACATAAACGGGCCGCAGCTTGATGAGAGTATATACAAAAAAGACAAAACCACAGCACCCAGGATTCCCGCGTGGTCCCCCACCGTGGTACTAACTGGGCGGCACTCCGGTTAACTGCGCAGATCAAACGGGATGCGGTGCTTTCGAAATCCTATGGCCGTGGATACACATCACTGCATCAATAACTTTATATAAGGTCAACCAGCGACCCTTAAGACTCAAGGAACCAAGGTGTGAACTCCTTGAATTCTTCCTACCTATCTACCTTCTTGAACCTTTCCACTCAACCAGATCTAGAGTTCAACGTTCCTCCCTAATCTATAAGTCGTAGCACCGCTGACAAGCGGTAAAGCACTCTACCTTGCGCTCGTATCCTGGGGCCCGCGGTTTCATGATATAATCGTACGCTTCACGAAGGCAGACCAATAATGACCTTGCCGAGGCGAGGTGGGGAGGACGGTCTACTGTACGAAGTACTAAAGCAATGATCGAGTCACCGTGGTCGCGCAATAACTTATGCATGTAGCAATTCAGGGAGTCACGTCTACCGCTTGCACTCAGCTCGCGCGCTTCAACTCGGATCGCTACTTGAATCACTTATCGTTGTAGCTTGGAAACCTCACCACCTCGATCAAATTCAAGCTTCAAGACCCATTACCCAAGGTAGTGCTTCGCCAAGCGATCGTTCCAGACGGTTCAAAGTCCAATCTGTGCGTGAGCGGTGTCTCATTACTTACCCACCTTTGCATCTTTCGTTTCAGTCTGGTCTTGATCCCTATCGGTGGTATCCTCACAGTCCACACAACTTATTTCGCTCAGGATGCTACTTTCTTCCTATCTTCAAGGATGTCCTTGACGGCCGTTGCATTCTCGCTCACGTTTCTCGCGCATACGCTGGCTGTGCCGCTCGATTCTGGCAACACATCCTCAGTCGAGATCGTCTGGGTAACCGACGTCGTGACCTCCTCTGTCGACGTGCTGGATATTGCCACTAGTGTTCTGATTGTCCCACCGACGCCTTCTGCTACCCCCTTCTTGCTTTCTATCGGCTCTTTCGTTCCCTCACCGCCGTCTTCGGTGTTTTCATCTGTTCAACCCGTGACCGTTACGGACACTTTTACTGATGTCGTCACTGCGATGTTCACGGAACCACCTACGACGACGACTGTGTTCCCGCCCCCGTCAACCGTGACCGACACCGTTACGGTATCTTCTTCTACGCCTCCGTCATCCTCTCCTAGCGGTGCCCCCGCACAAATCGCCTGGGTAGCCCCCGCACAGATGACAAACCTCGCTTCGTTCAATGTGACAAACTTCGCCGACGGCAAGCAAAACATGCGCATCGTCAGCGGGCTCCCCACGAACGTGAGCACGAACGCGCTCGCAGCAGACTTTGAGGCGTCCGCGGGCAACAATTCCGGCACGCCAGCGACGTGGGACAGCAGCAACTCGAGCGCGGTGATGCAGCTCTTCTACCCCGCTGGCTCCGTCAACCCGAGCGCGGAACCGCAGGGAGGCGCGGATTTCTACGCGGTCCCGCTGGATCTGACGGTGGCGCAGAACGTATCCCTGGAGTATAGCGTGTTCTTTCCTGTGGACTTTGACTGGGTGCGGGGCGGGAAGCTGCCTGGGCTCTATGGCGGTCATTCGGGGTGCTCCGGCGGGGATGATGCGACGACGTGCTTCAGCACCCGCTTGATGTGGCGACCGGGCGGTGCGGGCGAGCTCTATCTTGTGAGTACTTCGGCTTTTAATTGTTCCAATTTATCATCCACCCTGTCCGCAGTACGCCCCGAAAGACAAACAGACCGCAGCGCTATGCTCGACGCCGCCGCTCTCGGTTTGCGATTCTGAGTATGGTCTGTCCGTTGGTCGAGGTTCGTTCACGTTTACGCCGGGTGCATGGACGACAGTGCGGCAGACTGTTGCTCTCAACACTCCGGGACAGCAGGATGGAGGATTCATCCTTGAAGTGAACGGTCAAGAGGTGATCAATCGCTCCGACGTATTTTATCGAGATGTCCCTGGCGCATCAGACTCTGGGGGAGACGATTCAGATGGCGACTCGGGTGGGTCTGGAGACTCGAGCGACTCTGGCGACTCCAATGGGTCTGGAGACTCTGATTCGGGCGATGGTTCTGGTGACTCTGGCTCTGGCGATGATTCGTCTGATTCCGACTCCAGTGATAATGGGTCTTACAATGACTCAGGGGGCAGAGACAGTGGTAGCAGCGGAGGTGGGCTTCTTGGACTCGGTCTGGGATTGGGACTATATGGCGACTCGCTCTTCCATGTCAATCTTTGGCCCGGCGGCATTGTCCTCTCCGTTCCCAATGATGGGACAAATGATCCAAGTCTAGCCTTTTTTGCCTCTCCAACAGTAGTCTCAACTCCTGCGCTCATTGCTCGACAAACGGCGAACCCACAACCATCAGGAACTGTTGTACAACAGACGCAAACTAGCACCGTCACGAGCACGAGCACGAGCACGAGCACGAGCACAATCCAGCCGGCGCCCTCGACGCAGACCGTCACGTCTCAGACCACGAGCATCACGACCGTGTATTCTTCCTCGTTTCCCACAGCTCTTCCTGCCACGGTCGAACAAGCGGCTGCGCCTCGATCCATTGGCTTCACAGGGCTCTTCTTCAGGTACTTCCCACATTTGCAATGGTCCGGTCCCATTTACTCACAGCATTACTAGCACGTTCTTCGGCGGGCACGGCGAAGACTGGGCTACCCCGAAGGACCAATACGTGTGGTTCTCAGGTTTCTCCATTGCGGTTAACAATTGAGCTATGCACACTGATGGGATGGGAAGAACTTCGGGCTTACTCTTGTTGGATCTGTCTTTCAGCTTGTTTTCGGTTTTCGGCTTGGTCTACATGATTTGTACGTTCGTCGCTGTGTTTTCGGTTACAGCGGGGATGCTCCCTATGTTATTGGATCCTGTGTTTTTTTTGCAAACAATCACAGTCGGGATTATTCCAGTGTGCACGCTCAAGCGCTCAAGTCTGTGGCTCTGGAAGTCTCGGACAATGTGGGTACCTCTCCATAGAGCGTCCACGAGTCATAGGAACGTTACGCTATCATTTCCTTGTGCATTTTGCACAATACTGTGCATGTTCTTGGACATAGGCGGTAACAAAAAATTTCCACGTTACCATGAGGAAGGTTCGGGACTCTGTCCCGGAACTCCAAAGTTGTGTGAAAACCCTAGTAGGGCTCTGCGAGCCTATGTACTTATTGAACTCGCCGTTCCAGTGGTCTGAGCACCATTCAAGTCAAATGGTTACATGCACAATGATCCTCAAGCTAAAAACCGTCTGCACTAGGCCAAAGCGCACAATACACAACAATCTATAGTAGTAAACCTATAAATACAATGAGGGGTAGAGGATGACGGAGTTCGGACAATGTCACCGATAAGTTTCGCCGCTTGACTCATTTGTCAGACGGGTGTTCGGGCGCATCGTGCAATGCCGAACAGGACACGCCTTTATAGGCGAGTACTACTCACAATTCGTTCCATCTGAACACGTTGACTGCACATGCGGAACTTTATTCCAGACCAGACGACACATACTACAAGACTGCGAACGATACAAGGACTACCGACACCTACTACAAAAAGTGAGCGACACCATCGACCTCCCGAAGCACTGGGAGAGTTCCTGCAGGCGAGCGGAGCATTCACGAAGACGGGGGAAAAGAGAGCGGGGAGGAGAACAGCGAGGTGGGAAGACGAACCAGAACCAGAGCCAGAAGGAGAGGAGACCGACGACGAGACGTCAAACGGAGATGACGCAGACGACAACGAGGAGGAGGAGGAGGACACGAACAACAAGCTCCCACGTGGCGGAGCGGAGGACCATAGCGACACATGGTACTAGGTGCACGCTGACATACCGTCCCCCTCCCCTCATCACCAGACGACTCGCATGCAACAAAGCGGCAATCCCGACTTGCTACTTTGCTAGAAGACCCGATACGGTTCCCAGGCCCCTTTTATTATGTGAACGAAGACATGCAGCCCTAGCGGCATGCGACCGATTATTACGCAGACACCTTACAACCGACTCCATTTATCTACTCCACACGCCGCAGATCCCCGCCTGATACTTTTCAGATTCTCAATATGGTTGCCCAGTCGTACTTAGGTGGAGTGGCGCATTTTAATGCCCACTTACTGTATGGACCGGCGATCACCGCGTCTTAGCACAGCTGTTTGCTTGTTGCGGTATATAAATACGGAATTCATCATCATCATCATTTGTCAGACGGGTTCTTGCAAACGTCAGAATACGCGGATGACGTTTCCCTCGAACAGGCCCCCGAGCTTATGATGAGAATAATTCAGGACAACTGTTTGCGTATTTGCGAAGTGACGCACCTCGCGTATCTCGGAACAAGACATTCCTCGACACCACTGCACCACGGTATACATGAGTTCCACCTTGAACGCCTGGACATATTCCTCCTCCACGATCGGAAGATCGATTCTATGGAGATTTTTGCGATACGCCTCGCGAAGTCCTGCAGCATCTGTGGAGGAGCCGCAAACTCTTCCTCAAGTTTTGTGGTATGTTCGTTCTGATCATGTATAGCAGTCAGTCGATTGAAATGGTGCGATTTGCAACTCACTCCACCTTCACTGTAAACACAGAGCAGGTCAAAGAGGCCAGCACAATGCTCCGGTGATAATGGATTGAAGACACCGTTAAGAATAAGCTCCGTCAGGAGCAACTCATCTCCGGTGCTGATCTCGCAAGCCACGCGACTCTTCATGTGAACGATATTAGCGAAGGTAGTAAATCCAAGTCGACGCAGAACAGGTGCCTGACTTTTGAGCTCTTCCAACTGTACCACACCATTTGTAGCCTGGATCCTTTTCTTCAGATCTCGAAGCGCTTTTGACACTCCACTTTGCGAACATGTTGGGTACAAAACTCTGGAAGACGAGGATCGCTGTGCTAAAGGCTTAAGAACACTTTACTATCCATCAATTCAATTTTGTAACGCCATTTGACGTTAGGCAGTGACGCTAAGCATTCACGACTCTACGCGTACCTTTACAGGGACCCTTGAATTTGTCGTCCGTGATGTTCATGTTCTCAACTGTATCGAGGAGAGCGATGCCGTCCGAAAACGCCGCTGAGCCCCGAAGACACTCTTACAACCAGTACCTCGAGCTTGCTGTGGTCGCAGATCGATATGTGCTGAGCTGACTGATAGCGACGATTGTTACCGGTACCACCAGCGGTTCACCAGTCTGTCCTGGACGACATGACCGAACATCGCTAGGCGTAGTAGATAAGGACCGGTCTTTCGGCACGGTCGACGAAGTATCGCAACTCAGAACGACATCGACGACGTATTGCTTGTGAGCAGGTAAGTCTTTGACATTGGAGGGAGGTTGATGCTGCAAGCAAGGTAATGAGTCATCGTAGCCAACGTTTACGCGATGGATCAACTTGTTCGTTTCTGATAATTTATAACGACACCCGACCGCAGGATCTGTGTGGTGCATTACTTCTCAACCTATCGGAATGATAATGCAAGCAAACATATCTCGGTCGTCATGACCATGCACGGAAGGATCTGCGGTGATGTCACCCGTCATCAATACTACGTCTCCGAATTCAGCAAATCGCGATATCTTTGGTTGCTGAGTGCTTGAAGAATATATTTCAGTGAAAGGATGTATGGAGTTGACCATGACTGACCTTTATTGGACTGGTATAGACAACTCGCTGCTTGTTTTGAAGAAACTGTGCTCTAGCATACTCGCAACAACTAGCTGTCTTACCTGCAGTAGTGTGCGCAAACACTAGCACCAGCACGCTCTCGTTACGCTGAATAGCATACAACTTTGATATTTGTTGAAAGGGATCCAACGTGAAGTCGTATTCACTTACATCTGCCTCAGCGTTCTTGTCACTGGTTGACCTCGCTGACCGTCGATTCGGAGAGAGATCCGTCCAGGAATGAGAAACAAGTCGTTCGCATTTATAGACGAGTAGCACACCAGGGTCGCCGAATGCAGTATTGGTACAGTATCGCCAACAAGTTCTTCAAGGACACGCGAACGCGACGGGCGCTTAAATTGTTCACGGATCATGGGCGTCTATTCACCCATGCAATGCAGGGGCGAACAAGCGCTCGTCACGATCGAATCTGAGTTTGAGTCTGGTCAGGCATTTTGCAGCTGCTCGCGTCTAAGCGCCCGCAACATCGCTTGGAAGAGCATGACAACACCGCAGAAATTGCGGATTGCGTTCATCCACCCCGACCTGGGAATTGGTGAGGTTCACTGCACACGTCTTGCCAGTCTTACACCGTCTGACCAACGACTTGTCTTCAATATGTGTCCAGGCGGTGCAGAGCGTCTCGTCGTCGATGCAGCACTCGGTCTACAAAAGCTGGGACATTCAGTAGACATATACACGTCGCATCACGACCCGACGCATTGCTTCGACGAGACACGGGACGGTGCGAGATATGCACGACTCTGACCACGGAATACTGACGGAGACGTCGCGCAGGTACTTTGCGCGTGCATAACGTCGTCCCACCATTTCCCCGGTCGTACAAGGGCAAGTTTCATATCCTTTTCTCTCATGCACGCCAGCTGCACCTCACCGCGCACCTCCTTCGCCCGTCCGCCCCGGCATTCGACGTGTATTTCGTTGATCAGCTGTCAACGTGCGTCCCACTACTGCGTGCCTTCGCAGGCACGCGTATTGTGTTCTACTGCCACTTCCCCGACAAGTTACTCGCGGATGGGGAATACGTGGAGGGCAAGGTGCAAAGGAAGGGAGGTGGTGCGCTGAAGAGAATATATCGCCTTCCGATGGACCTTCTGGAGGAGCTGACTACAAGTGAGTATACGTACCTGAATGAGATTGCTGTGGTATGAACATCACTGTAGGACAGGCGGACATCATCCTCGCGAATTCGAACTTCACGTCGCGAGTCTTCAAGGCTCATTTCCGATCTATTCAGACTACACCGAAGGTGGTATACCCAGGCATCAACCTGTCTGCATATGAGGCGACATCTGTGGACAGCCAAGATCCTGACATGGTTGCCGTTGCATCGTACGTCATTATATCCGCTCCATCATGGCGTCGCTGACGAAGAGCAGAGTAGAGAGCGCCCCACTTTACTCTCGCTGAATCGCTTCGAGAAGAAGAAGAATGCTGCGCTTGCTATAGACGCTTTCGCTATACTGCGTAAAAAGCTCTCCGAGAATAGCACGCCAACATTTGAGAACACGCGTCTGGTGATCGCAGGTGAGAGCGGTTGACTGCAGTCCTCATTACTTTTCTCGCTAAAAAAACTCGAAGGCGGGTACGACCCACGGGTTGAGGACAACATGATGACCCTCGTCGGCCTTATAGATCACGCCAAAGCTAACTCTCTAACCTACAACATCATCACGCCCTCGGACTCCCGCATCACCGTGCCCCCATTCAACTGCACGCCATTAGGCCCGGACGTCCTTTTCCTCCTTAATTTCACCACCTCACAGCGTTCTGCCCTGCTTTCCGCACCGTCGACGCTCGTGCTGCTCTACACGCCCACGAACGAGCACTTCGGGATCGGCCCTGTCGAGGGCATGGTGTGCGGGCTGCCCATCCTCGCGTGCAACACGGGCGGACCGACCGAGAGCGTCGTCGACCAGCCACCCGAGGAGCGTACAGGCTGGCTGCGCCCGCCTGTGCCTGAGACGTGGGCGGAAGCCTTGGTGGAGATCGTCGGGATGAAGCGGGCAGAGCGGGAGGCACTCTCGACGCGTGCGACGCGTCGGGCAAGAGAACACTTCGGGATGGAAGCGATGGCGAAGGGGATTGAGGGTACGCTGCAGGAGGCGGTGGCGATGGGCCCTGTGTCTTCGTCGTTTCCGCACCTCGCACTGCTCGCTGTCCTTCTCGTGTTCGTCGCGTATGTTCTACGGACCCTGGATTTCCCTTGAGCTGCTATGTGCTCTTTATTACTGTTTCCTTTGTGCGAGTCTGGATTCTGTGGATTGGCACTGATACACAGGTTGAACTTTCATGTTCTCTGTGCACGCAGAAGTCAAGAAGGTACGATCTGCCAGCTGAGAGCTCGTTGTGTAAGGTTGCAACACTACAGTAATCTATAATCATTACACCTGCTTGCAAGCAATATCGGGCCGAAATATGGCGGTACAGGTATACAAAAACAGTTAGGATATAAATCCGACGAAGGGACTGGGATAACATGGACACCAACGAACATTCCGAGGGGTATGCAGCACAGCACTGGATAGATTGAGAGTAGGCATGCAGGATGGAAGGGCCAGCAGGTTAAGGCGAAGGTGGAGACAACAAATTCTACTCACACGATGCACTGGAGAAAAGTCTTGAAAGGAGAAGGATCAATCACTCGTCCTCATCCGTTACATCTTCAACCGTCGTAGCTCGGCTGCGCGACGTTGCTCGTGATGTTGCCCGCGAGGGTGCCTGTGAAGTCGTTCTCGAGGTGGCCGCTCGCGACGTAGCCCGAGAACGCCCTCTGCGTCTCAGGCGCTCGTCAGCCTCGAGCTCTCTCGCCTCCATCTCGCGTTGCTCTTCCTCGGATACAGGCCACGACTCGACGCACCTGAGCTCAAACACAGCAGGGAGCGCCGCGCCACACAGCTCGTGCACGAGCTGCTCGTCGTGCACAATGCCTCCGAATGTCGTATTCTTCCCGAGCCAGTCACAATGGAGCAGCATGTGCGGAAGACGCCCGCCAGGCACGCCGTCCGCGGTTGAGCGGTTGTAGTAGAACGCCTCCCCGAGCATGCGCTTCCGCGTGCCAGACACCGTCCTGTAGTATGCCTCAGAAACTTTCTCGTACATATACTGCTGGATCGTCTCGATGACCTCGCCGCAAGTGACGCCGAGGAACGGGTTCGAGGCGGTCACTTCGATGGGCCACGGGAGCGAGCGGGAGATGAGCCGCAGGGAGGTAAGCCGCGGCCAGGTGGCGGGCGCATGGCGACCGACATGCCATGAGCGACTCGGTGGGTCTGTGGAGCGCTGGCACTGCCCCGTCGGGAACAGCATATTCCACTTCAGATACGCGCGATCCAAGTTCTCCGGCGGTGGCTGGAGCAGGGGATTTACTTCCACCCTGGCGTGGACCCTCTTGAGCACGAAGGGATCGAGCACCGCTCCGTCTGAAAACGGCACCATCAGCACTGTATAAATAGGTGCAGGGGATGACGGGACGCACAGTGATCACCCTCAGCAAATTTATCGACCTTGTCATACACGCTCATATCCTGTGGACGGAAGATGCGTCCTCGAGTATGAGCAGCGGGAGCAGATGTTGCTGCAGCTGGCATGTGCATTCCTTGTGGTGGAATTGCTCCCTGCGGTGGAAGTCCTCCAGCGGCTGCAGGGAATGGTGTACCCCATGCCCCAGGCATCGCGTATGGCGTTGCATAGGGCGTTGCCATACCCGGCATAGCGTACATGGGAGGTGCAGGAGTCGGGTAGCCCGCCTGAAACTGCGGTGGGAGCTGCTGGGCGTACATATATGCAGTCTGCGGATGAATAGGTCCCCCCGCCGCCGCTGCATATTGAGGAGGAGGGTATCCCTGCTGCTGCTGTTGCTGCAGGGGTGGCGGTGGCTGCTGCTGCTGCTGCTGCTGAGGAGGCGGAGGCTGCATCATTCCTGGGTGCATCATTCCTGGGTGCATCATTCCCGGCTGCATCATCCCTTGGTACGGCGAGAGATTCGCGGCAGGGTTGTACGGAAACCCGACCCAATCAGGCGAGAACCCGCTGGGCCCCACCGGAGCTACAGGAGTGTGCGATGATTGCGGCAGCGCGACTGGTGGGACCAAGTACGATCCTGGCGCTGACATTGGCATCGACCCACTGTATGGGGAGCTACCAGCAAAACTCGACTGCTGCGCCCATGCTGGAGCAGGTGAAGGTTGTGTCTGTGAGAAAGCAGGCATTGACCTTGGGGGCTCGGGGGAAGCACCGCCACTCGGAGAGGGATATGGGGGAATGACGGGAGTGAACGACATTGCCACTGAGTGGAAACTTCTTTCTAACGCGGAGCCGCCAGAGTCAGCCTAACAGCAAAGCGGGGGGAGAGGGTTTCGTATCGCACGTACTTGTTCTATACAAATGACTTGGACAGGCCCGTCGAAATGGGTATTAGACCTGTTGTGCCTTTGACTCGGCGGCGCCTGGCGATCTGCACTGATTAGATCTAATCGTTGCGCGTGGCGAACAGCTTTTATCATCAGCGTGCACAGCAATACCACAGCAAGCAGGGTCATACCAGGCTGTTCTACGCGCTCCAGGAGAAAGAAGAGGTTAGGACGATAGTGCTATGTTATCTGAGAAGCTCTATGTATCCACGTGATGAGACGATGTTGATGGGTGCTGATTCTGAAGTATGAACATCTCAAAAAATCAGTACGGGCTATCACCCGCTTAATTACATGAACTTGTTTGTATACCGCAGTCGGATGAAGTCAGAGAAAGGTGGGAATGTGCCTGGCGGGAGGATTAATTGTGTCGAAAACTTAAATGCGTGGCACGTGACCGTGTTCCCCTTAACCTCGTGTCTTGCTCGTGTCTATTCGTTTTCTCGTTTTCTCAGGCGCCAATGAATTTCCTCCAGGTTCTCCCATCCGATCTCTTACATTGCGACTTCGAGTTGCTTTAACCTCGTCGTAGATAACAGCGTACTTTCTGTTGGGTACGTGATCTCCTAAAATATGGTTTACCAAGATATATATCAAACATACCATGTAGTTACAGTACAGGGATGTCCAGATGTGTTTCTAGACATGATTTTAGCGCCAGCCGGGCCTTGCGCATTCGCATACCCTCCAAGGCAATATCCGTCAGTCTGCAAGATCGAATGGGTTTATTTTTTCTGGATGATCCTTGTCAGGATCACCCCAATGCTCCTCCAACGGCATTGACCGCAGAGATAGAGAACGAAGGCACAGATTCTCGTACAGTTGTATCCCCAACCAAGAAACGACGCCACACAGATGCTGATCTCCCCGCAGCTAAGGTACGAGCAACCCAGTTATTTTGCACACTGAGGGACCTCTTAAGTCTATTACAAAGCGATCAGCCAACCGTAAGGGAAGAGAAAAGACTACGGACCTTGGCAAGTCCTAAAATCGTGCAATGTATCATCGGGTCTCACAAATAATCCTAACTCATTATACAGCAGGGACATCCTCTACGGCGACCCAATCGACAAACTTCGCAGCCCTTTTGCAGCAAATTTCTAGAGCACACGACGACGTGGACAGACAGTGCATGGAGTTGACGGCGAAGGTACAATTTTTGGAGCAGGAGCAAGAGTTGTTGTTCCTGGAGAAAGAACAGATCCAACGCGATAGACAAACAGAAGCTGAGCAGGCTCAACAGAGGGAACAGGAGAAAACAGAGGAAATCAATCTATGGACGACGCGATGTACCAACCTAGAAGAAGAGAACGGAAAGTTGTCATCTGAGCGAGATGAGCTGGCACAGCAGGTAGAGCATTGGACAACTTGGGCCGATGCATGTCCGCGTGAGCTGATGGTATCGGCGATGGCGAGTGCTCCCATCTCATCGTTCAGTAGCGGAGTGATTGATGCACCAATTCTGATATAGGAAGAGCGTAGACGTCAGGTTGAGCAGGTAGGGGAAACTAATATCCAGTGATGTACAACAATAGTGTTTTCTTGAAGCCTCGAGGTAGTCGAACAACCAACAGCGCAGTGAGTACAGTCCGATGATCGCAGCAAACTTGCCAGCGTATGCACACGGTCCAGAAATCATGCTTGAATCCCACATTTTTGGTCCGAATGTCTTTGACCCGGCTTCTTGCTTGGACCATTGAACTTTCCCAAATGTCCCCGCTGGGAGGTTTCATCGTAAATACCCTAACCTAAGGAAGATTACTCGTAAGTGACTCACGTTAGCGCGTGTTCTGTCCCAGCTCGAATTTCGAGTCCGCACTGATATTGCGTACGCCTATTGCTTCGACGGCGCTTTGCTCTTTTCGGATGCAAAGTACTACGCGGTTACCGAGTTTGTAACGTCTTGACAATTACTTCACTCTGCTGATATATCAAAACAATCCCGTTTTTGTCTGAGATTTTACATCAAATCACATCTTGAGAAAACTCCGAGGGGCCATGGTATTATATCTCTCCGAGTTGTGAGTGCGCGTCCTTAAGGAGACCTTGTCAGCGAGTGACGCAAGTACTGCAGGTTTGAAATGCGATGGGGACATATACAGCAATCGGCATACCTTTCATTTCGGTCTCGCTGGAGAGTCTGGCACTGTTTGGACCACAATTTGAGAGCACTAACTCAACGACGTCGCCCAAGGAAATGCAATATTACGCAGTGTAGATTTAACGCCTGACTTTTGACTTTGGAGGTTGGGAATCATATTGTGCACTTCCCAGCCTTTCATAACAAATTCTATCGGCCACCAGTCGAGCGTACCGCCGAGCCGCACCTGATGATTAGTTTTTTCGTTCCCGCCGTAGCTAAGCACGTTTCTTCTGCGCCGGCCCTCAGATCCACTTCTACTCGCAGTCCTAACGCCTGAGAGCAAGTATTCCGACCCTGATTGAAGCCGGAGTGACCTACGAGATTATCTAACACCATCAGATGATTGTCCCCTTGTGGCTTTACCTCTGGTTTGAAGACAGTGCGTCTCCGCCGACAGCATCCCGGGACTCGGAGTCGCGAAACGCGTGTTGCTCCGAACTGCGGATTGGTTAGAGTATTGCCGCTGTGAGCCTGTGACGCGCTGCGAAAATTTGTCTGATGCACCCAGCTGTATCGTAACAATTTAAAGAGCATCTGCTCTGGGGTAGAAATCAATGTCTCAAGCTGCAGACAGAGGGATGTGGTCAGAGCGCGATCGAGAGGTGACCGTCGCGGCAAGTGAAACCGTGACGGCAGTAAAATTAACGCCACCGTCACATCGAGCATTCCGCCCGGCCCATGTTCTCAGGCTCAACCCACCATGATCTACCTCCATGCTTCGGGAAGCTCTCCCGATCTATTTCTCAGCCACATCCTAGCCGTTTCCCAGCTGGTCGTATCGGTCGTGAAGTCGGTCGGTGGTCAGCGTGTGATTTGCATCCTGCACAAATGGATGGAAATCACAACCGAGTTGACGCGTGCTCAACATATTGTAAGCCAGGAAGGATGATGACAAGGAGATTGCGCTGGCCTTGTGTCGTGCATCGGCTGTCCCTGAGTCTGCATGGGAGCGTGCCAGATGGGCAAGGAACCAGCGAAGTTCTTGGCCAGTGTCGGCACGGGTGGCTTCGCAACACTTCCACAGTCTTCCCCATTTTCAGGCTCGTATCACGGAAGAGACGTTCGCAACATCTGTAATATGCGACGCAGCCGGGATCGCTTCAAGTCCGCTCATATCACGCCTGGTGGCAGACGTCAAATTTCGTTCATTGTGTGAATGCCCGATGTCACCAGCTTAAAACCAGCTTTTCTTCGTGGTCTGACTTCAGTGCTATCTAATCCCCCCTCTTCGAGCATGACAGACTCCCGCTCTCACGGCCCAGCAGTTGCGCAGAAAAACCGGGCTTACTCCGAGGATGACCTTCCCGAGTTTACTCCTTTGCCATGGTATGTCGTTATCCTATGTAGCGCACGAAAATACTGAAGGTCACCCAGGACGTTGAACCAGATTCGCGCGGCGATTCCCGAACGCTTGTTCGTTCGCCACAATGGGAAGGCCTTTGTCTACTTGGCAAGGGACTTGGCAATGGCCGCTACGATGTGGTGGTTTGGTACCTTGCTTGACCCATTTTGCAAGAGGCCCCTCGTGATCCGTAATCTGGGCCCTGTGGGTGCTGAGATCCTTCGCTGGTCAGGTTGGCTGTTCTAGTGGGTGTTATCTTCTGCCTCCTTGATGTGAATGCTGATCCGTCTGTAGCTGGTGGTTCCAGGGCCTGATCTTTACTGGTCTCTGGGTCGTGGGTCACGAAGTGAGTAGAGAGGCTTCCATTTTAACGTCATTCGAATTCATCGAGGAAGCTAGTGCGGACATGGTGCTTTCTCTTCGAACAAGCGAATCTCCGACAGTATTGGATTTGTGAGAATTCTATCCCGTCGTGGAACGTCCCGCGTGCTGACTGGCGTGGACAAGTAGATATTGCACACCGCCCTCTTTACCCCGTTCTTCAGCTGGAAAATCTCTCACCATCGTCACCATAGCAATCACGCGTCCATGGAACGGGACGAGGTGTACGTCCCGCTCATCCGAAGTGACCTGGGAATACCTAAAGAAGAAGACGGACATGAGATCGACTACGAAGATTACTTCGGAGACACACCCATTTTCACACTGCTGATGTTGATCCGCCAGCAGCTTTTTGCGTTTCCGGCGTACCTGCGTACGTGATGCTTAATGATGTTCGGAAGCCTATCCTGATAACTCATTGAATCACAGTGTTCAATGTATCTGGCCAGAAGAGCTATCCGAAGTGGACCAACCATTTTGACCGTGCGTTTTGTCAGCAGACTTTGAACCAACGACCCATAACACATACTTCATTTTCTGCACACGTAGCAAATTCGATCCTGTTCAACCCGAGCCAACGCAATGCTGTCATACTTTCCAATATTGGCATTGCCTCCATGATTGCTGCGCTCAAATGGGCTTTGTCAATCTGGGGTTCCGCAGTGGTCATCAAGTTCTACGTTATTCCCTGGTTGTGCGTCAATCACTGGTAAGTGCCATTCACTTTGCCGTTTCCCACAGCATTCATCGAACCTCGGCGGCCTCAGGTTCCTTATGGCGACGTACCTCCACCACACCGACCCCCAGCTCCCGCACTATCGTAACACACAGTGGAACTTCCAGCGCGGCGCGGCATCGACCGTGGATCGTCCGTTCCTCGGATGGCAGGGACGCTTCTTCATGCACGATGTTTCGCACTTCCACGTGGTCCATCACTTCTTTCCCATGATGCCCTGGTGTGCGTGTAATGAACATTCGGTTCGGAACGGTCTGATTGATACCTGTTTGTACAGACCATGGAGAGGAGGCGACGACTTATTTGAAAGAATTTCTCGGGAACCAGTATCATTACGATGAAACACCCATCTTCAGGGCTCTGTGGAGATCCTACAACGACTGCCAATTCGTAGAAGACGAAGGTATCCGTGTCTTCTGCTCTCGACAAACATTCGTTATTTATACGTTCGCAGGTGATGTGTTGTTCTACCGCAACAAAAAGGGCCAGGCGGCCGTACGGCCGGCTGCAGCTTATCGCGGTGGCGTATTGAAAAAAACACACGAATGTCGTTGAGCTCAGTGTATTTGACCCGCATCTCGTCTCTTTGTGTCTTTACTAGCATCTTGCAGGGGCGAAACCCGCTGTAGCTTCGGGCGGCCGTGCATTAGTGTACTTGTGATGAATAGAGAACTCATCGGCTCAAAAAAGTGTGCGCTGTGACCTCAGTAGAACCCTTGACAGAAGAACTCCCGGGCCTGGTAGGGGCTCCAAAGATGGACCGCTGTTTGCCCGTTCTGTGTTGAGCGCATTCTATACCCTATTTCCTCCGAAGATGCGCCATGTCCTCAGTTAATATCTAGAAGCTAATTTGACGCCGCTAATTTTGTACTGTGCACTTCTGATACGTCGCGCAATGGAAGATCTGTCCAGCGGTATTCGAACCAACTTCGCGCGGGAGAATGACGCTACTCGTACGGCGAGTGACAAAGCATGTACACAACATTCCGTAACTGGATAGTAGTTGGCAGTGCGGGGAGAAACAAAACTACTGGAAAAAGAAATGATATGGACAATATGGCAAAGACACATAATAGCTTACATAGTATGAAGTGCGGAGACTGGTACTAGGGATGACATCTTTGGAACAATCCGACAATGTAGGGGAAAAAGCACGCGGAGGGATGCAGATAAGGTGGGCTCAGTAGTTGTTGAGAGAGAGGACGAAGATGTTCGGGGCGGAGTACCCGAGACGTCCTCTGACATAATGGTCCTTCCTGGCCAGTTTGTCGAACCACACCTTGCTCTGGAGCCAGTCTATAGCACCGAGATGTCAGTCGATAAACTGCATCTAAAGAGCGCATCAATATACCTCCACGCCGAAGTCGAGAAGATGGTTGCGTCTGCGGCGAGTAGTAACTTGGATAGCTCATCGTGTTCGCGTTCGCGGCAGCTGCGGCGGCCCGTCGCATATAGTCCTGCTGCCGCGGGGGAAGCGATTCTAGCTCCTTGTCCGTCACATAGTTCTCGGTGTATCTGCAGGTCAGGCAGATTTATTATCAGAATAGAACTTGAGGAAGGACTCAAACGAGACTTACTCCTTGTGGAGAGCCGTGCAGATGTCACCGAGAGTGACACCCTGCGGATTCCTCACGATCGTGCACCATGGGCTGACCTCAGTGATGATGATCAGCTGGTCTACTCTGGGGAGCGTGGCGGGCTCGTCCTTCGGCGTGAAGGGGAGGTCGTGATCGCGCGCTTCCTGGTTATAGCCGGTGGGACGACCTATAAAAGAATAAGTTCATCTACGAACACTACTCGAGATATTCCATACCTAACGTGATATTGAACGTGAGCAGAAAGGGTTCAAATGTAGCCGAAAGAATGGGGTTCAACTCAAGCTCCACGTCTCCGAGTAGGTAGAGATCGGTCTGGCTCAGCATGGGCCCATCTGTCCAATATGTTGCAGCAACTGATCGAGGGAAGACGAAGATCCAACGAAACGTACATGATGGCCCAGGTGCCCACTTCCCTACAGAGTCGATCATAGCGGATCCCGACGTTGCGTTGAACAAGAACGAGGAATATACTGGCTGGATATCAGACCGTTTCTGGTACAACTCCAAGGACAAGACCGCCTTTAAATGGTATCAACGAATACAGAAGGCTCCGGGAACGAGTCAGACGTAGACAGAGAGGAAATCCTGGCTTCTATACCCAGGCTATGCCATGCAGAGCCTCATTGCTCAGCGTCTGTGCGATATCCGATGAGATTAAACCACCCAATTGGAGATCCCCTTGAACATTCGATCTCCTAGCTGCGCACATAGTTGCAGTTCAAGAACAAGCTGAGTGGCTCGATCTCAGAGAAACGGAATATGTTTCGAGATTTAGTAACACCAGTAAACAAGCATGGACTTGGATTTTGCGGCAAGATGATGGGATAGCTGACTCGGAGTGGCGAGCGGAATCTAAGCTGGATCGCAGTAGATAAGATTAGATCACACTCCCACAGTCACAAGCCCGACTCAGTCATCTACTGTACAAGTACTAGTACTGCTTTCTATCTTGGCCAGCGCATCTGTTAAATCTCTTCTGTGACACACCTCCTGTAGACATGCCGCCGAAAGGGGGGAACGCGAAGAAGGAATCTGGGCGAGCGAAGAAAGCCGAGAACGAGGCCAAGAAGAACGCGGCAGCGGAGGCAGAGAAAGTGAGCCACACACTACTTTATCTGTTCGCACTTGCTCAAGCTTTTCCAATGCTGTAAATGTTTTAGGCACGCAAAGAGGTTGATAAGTGGAGCGAAGGGGCGAAGAGCAGTAAGTCTAAGGAAGAGAAAGAAGAGAAACGCAGAGCGGAGCTTGCGCGCAAGGCCGAGGCTGCGCGTCTGCTAGCCGATGAGGAGGCAGCAATACCGCCGAAGGTGAAAACGCCGAAAGCGGGTGCAAAGAAGGCTAAGCCCTCAAAGCCTGCTGGCCCGGGGGCGATCGCAGCCGGCGGAGGTCTTGAAGCTGTTTCCGTCGCCGAGAAAGAGATGGAGAGTGATGGGCATAGGGAAGAGCCAGAGACATTCAGCGCCACTGGCATCGACAATGCCATCGATCTTCTTGAGGTTGTCACCGCTAAGATGGACAAGGCGAGTGTAGGACAGCAGGCGGCCGGTATCGAGAGACATCCAGAGGTAAGGCGATTCTGCGATCTGCACATGGATCAACTGACAGTTGCTGTACTTAGCGGCGGTTCAAGGCAGCATTCGAGGCTTACAAAGAACTTGAAATGCCTAATGTCAGAGCGGATGTGCGCACTTACCCATTGTTCACTTCGTGTGTCGTAACCTCATAGAACTACCGCATTTTCAGCACCCAGGTCTGCGACTGCAACAGTACCAGGTACGCAAACGCTGTTACACGGATTCACTGACACTTACCATCCCCATCCAGGATATCCTGTACAAACAATTCCAGAAATCACCGGAGAATCCGTATGTTGCGATTGGTCTAATAGTCTGTCGTATTGCTTCACCATAACATTAATTTTCAGGTTCAACCAAACCACCATCTCGTACGACGCCACAAAGGAAGAGAAGGTGGATGCGCTGAAGAGCAAGAATGCAGCTATTGCAGATCGACTCAGGGAAAAATCCTGAACTGCACTTTGTCCGGTTCTGTCATTGAAGGGCACGTCGAGGTCATTGCCATAACGGTCAGTTGGTGACTTTAGCTCCTGAAATCGCGGTCAACCAGATGTCCGCTGACAGGCGCACAGCCATGGGCGAGGGATGGACAGTCTGCATTTGCGCGGCATGTATGTTGATCACGTTTGTATCCAGCCTGTACTACTCTTAGGACCTACACAATTCTATGGATGGTTGACTCACCGCCTCTGTCTTCGAGCTGTGGCAATCACCTGCTTGTTTTCTGACATATCGTCGCCCCTAAAAACGCCTACGAGGGCTGTGATTCTGCTGCACTGCATTATACTGTATACAGGACGATTCGGCGCTGGTACCATGCCATGGTGACATTAATGCGTGTTTTCAGACATCTTGCTGACATAATCAGACTACTTCACACATAAACGTCAGATTTTTGCTCTTCCCCCAATATTCTTCCACGCAACTTTCACCCATCCTGGGCAAACCTTCTCAACATGACCCCTAATCAGACCTTCGCGACTCCGCCATCGCCGCCGTCGAGCCATTCGGCGTCGCCGACCGCAGACTCATCGCGCACGAACACACTCATCATCACACAATTACCTGCAGCATTTTTTGCGCCAGCCATTCAAGAGGCATTGCGCGATTATTTTGCTTTATACGGCGCAATCCATGCATGGGCACCTCTGAAGGCATTCTCGAGAGTCCTCTTGGTATATTACTCAGAAGACGATGCGGAGCGCGCGAAGCAAAGTTGCGACCGTCTTATCGTCGGCTCAACGCAGACCAGGTGAATATCTCTGCCGTTCCAGATTGATATCGTCTCATCGGAGTGTGCTCCCACCAGTCCAGAGATGACTTTGCGTGTGTATCGCGCTGACCCGACGCCGATCCGACAAGCACCAAAGGACGGCATGGACGACCACTATCTTCGTCCTCCCCCCATTGAGAAGAACTTCCTGATTTCCCCCCCGGGCTCGCCCCCAGTGGGCTGGGAGCAGATCCGTGAGGAGCCGCCAAACTCTGCGCCACTTGCAGATGACCTCATATCGGCGCTGCGCAAGCTGGAAGTTGAGGCTGTGCACCACCACCATGGCTCCGGGCTTGAGGTACTGCTGGAGCCTCAGGAGGGTGTCGGCATCGGGGTTTATGTCGAGGATTGCGACAGTGGAGAAGAGGAGGGTGAGGTCGAAGAGGACTGGGTGTATGGTGAGACATCGCCTGCTAGGGCGAAGTGGAGACCAATGTCTACCTCGCGCCCGCCGATGTCTCAGGCTGTTGGTGCATGATTTTCTTGCATGTAAGTCTGCGCTCTCAGATTTTATTGACGTTTGCCTGTCGTTTTCGCGATGATAATTTCTCAGACCTGTACCGACCCCTGATGAAGGGGTGTGCGGATAACTCTTTTTGCCTATACATATTCTGACTTTCGTTCTATGTCTTCGTGATTAGTGAGATGCTGATTTTGTGTCATCTCCAGATGCTGCCATGTCGATATTGTATTTCTCTAGGTTTATTAATTGTGAGTGTTTCAATTTCCTCTTCCCTTACATTCTCGTGTACACGATGAGAACCATTCAGACCTGTTCTGACCCTGCTGGAGATAAACTAATTTATTGCCATTTTTCATTCTGATTTTTTTCCATGTCTATATCTCCCGCCGAAGCATCAATGCTCACGATCTGGTTCCTGTCACAGCTTATCACCTCCTGTATCTGCTTTCCGTTCATGCTCTCGGATCGGCTTATGGACTCTTGCACATACGGATTACAGTGTTTCAATAGTGGTATCTATGTGTATGGATAGTCAACATCTTTATCTAATTCATGATATTTATGGTGTGTAGTTGTTCCGAACCCGCTCGGTGTTTGCATCTGTACAGTTTGTGACATGTGCCCGGGCGTTTCAAACGCAAGTCTTCGCATGTGGCCAACGTGCAATGTAATAACTGGTGATGTTCCTCCACTCCCCAGCCCGATATTATGGATACATGATGATTACAGCACACTGTGCGACATACAACGGTTATAGGAAGGGTAAGTAAATACACATCGTCGCGATAACTGTCATGAAGAGATCGTGAATCTATGCGAAGTCCATGCAATGCAAGCGCGAATAATGTAACATGCCAATAGAATCCACCTAAGCACAGTAAATGCTCACCGCCGGAAGGGATTCCTCGAGCCACCTGTGTTGGCGGACTTCAACCAGTACGATCCCCGAGGCTCGTGCTGCGATACTGACATCGCATACTCCTGTGCTGGCGTCGGCGGCTTTGGCCCCGCAAGCAGCTCCCGCACCTGTGTTGCATACGTGCTATCGGAGAAGCGCGAGGGCAGTTCCTCTTCCTTCACGGGGAGGCGAGGCGCGGGCCCCCGGCGCGGCTGGCCTGTCAGCTGCGTGTACAGCGAGCCCGTGGATAACGACTCCGCCGAAAGGCGGTGAGGGCCGTACGTGTCCGCTCTGCGGAGGTCGCGGCGGCGATCATCCGCGTCGTAGTCGCGCAGCGAGGGGAGAGGTGACGGCTGGTGCCGCGAGTACTCGTATGACGAGATGAGTTTCTCGACGTCATGGTCGTGGCGCGCCTCCTCTGCCGCGCGCATCTTCTGCAGCTTGATGTCCTGCGCCTCAGCGTCATCGGGCACTATCCAGCGTTGCTGGCGCTTGTGTCCAAAGAGGCGCTCGCCAAAGCGCACGAGCCGCATGCGCCAACCCTGCGGTTGGAGTTTCTTCGCGGATGCGAACTGGGCCGTCGCTTGTGCGCGTTTCTTCCGCATGCGGCGGCGCCAGCAGAGGAGGACCATCACGAAGATGAACGCACAGCCGAGGGCCATGAGCAGGATCTGCCACCATGCGAGCCGGGTTCTCATGGTTGTATTCGTATTTGAGACGGGTGAAGTCAGACCGGTAATGGAGGGTAACGGAGGCAGAGAGCTTGTGCCAGAAGCCTTCGCAGACGTCTGCACTAGATCAGAGAGACACAAGCCAAGGCCAGAGACGACGCCGGATGATCCGGTGCAGCTGGCGGAAACGCAGGACCCGCCGCGCAATACGTGGCTGGAGTCGGCGCACGCAAGACAATTACTGGCGCCTGCCCCAGAACAGCTCGAGCAGCTAGAGTCACACGACTGGCAAGACGACGACGTAGTGTCGAAGTATTGGGACTGACTGCAAGTCGGGAGACAACGACCGTTCGTGAGGACCGGGAGGTTGGAGCTACAGCTTGAGCACTGGTTGAATGCGCCGCCGCTGCACGTCGCACAGTCGGGGTGGCAGGTAAGGCAAGAACCGGAAGAGCTGAAGGCGTTGGATGGGCAAGACGAGACGCAAGTACCATTCGAGGCCAACATGTTGTTGGCACAAGTCAGGCAGAATGTCGAAGATCCGGCGCAGATGCCGCAAGACGAATCACAAGCTAAATAACGGCCAGTAGTCAAGACGGGAACGGATGAAAGTTGGACCTTCTACTCACCAGTACAAGTGAGATTGTCTTGCGGGCTCAAGAACGTGCCAGTAGGGCAACTCTCCACGCATGCACCATCAGAGAGAACGAACCCAGGGAGACAGCCCGTGCATTTCGCCTGATTGATGGTCGACAGAGTATTGAACGTAGTATACTCGCACGTCGTGCACTTTGAGGGACAGGCTATAATCGAGGTCAGATAATAACATTAGTACCGTAAGCAGAGCGACGTACTGTCACATTCATGCTTGTTATTGTTAGCAATCAAGTTCGAGCCTGCACAGACACCGTTGTTGTTCGTCTGAACGCAGCTGCCGTTGAAACTGTAAGTTCCAGCACCGCAAATAATACAATCATTCGACGTCGGGCCGTTGCATGTTTGACAGAGGGGCGAACATGCCGCACAACCGGTACCATTGTTGAAGCCACTGTCTGGGCAGACAGTCCCACTGGACGTGGCCGATTGGATAGCCACGCACTGTGTGGCATCGTTTGCGTTCTGTGTGAACCCAGACTTGCAGGTGATGCAGTCACCCGATCCACTCGCACATTCCGTGCAGCCGAGCTGGCAAACTGTGCAGAATGTCAATAAGCGTTGTTATAAGGCATGTCTGGAGCATACCTTCACAGTTCCCACTGGAATCTAAGAAGTAACCTGGTGCACACTGCGCGCACGCCGTCCCGTTGCTTGCGGTAGTCCAGCCAGATAGACATGAGCACTGCCCATTAGAGCCACACTCACCGTTCACGCAGTTGCAACTCGATGGAGGATTGCTAACGCTGGGCACAAGGCACTTGCCTGTCCCCGACATGCCCTGGTCGCAATCCGCGCAACCCGCTGGGCACGGCGCACAAGTCGGTCCGAAGAAGCCTGTCGCGCACGACTGGCATGACGAGCCTGTAAAACCAGTAGGACACGCGCACGTCCCGTTCGTAGAACATACACCCGCGCCCGCGCATGGTGGCGAACACGCGGAAGACTGCATATTCAGGAGCGCCAGGGGCGAATTGAATGTATTCGCCGGCAGCTGCGATACGTCTGGCACTGTCTCCCAGAAGATCACCCTGTCGTTTGATGTGCTTGCCGCGACGGCTGCCCAGACGTTTGATGAGAGCGCGAACGAGCCCGACGAGAGCTGCTTCGAGCCATTTGCCGCGGAGCCACTGTTGGGAAGAGATATGAACGAAGCCGCGCCAGAGAAGTTGGCTGCCGGATAAGCAGCAATGCCCGGCTGCAGGGCCAGATTAAAAGGAAGAGAGACCGTGGAGTTGACGGCGAATCCTGGAGATGCCGAGAGGGATGCGCCTGAAGCGGTGAGCGCGTCATGTAGTACCGCGGGGTTGGTTGTGGACGTATACTGTCCGGGAAGAAGAAGAAGGCTGGTTGCAGCACCTGACGCTGACAATGTCGCTCCAACTGCTAGCCCGTCAGACGCGCATGGGTGGCAACGATAGGCTGCTCACGAGTGGTGTTCGTATACCCTTCGAGGCATTGACCTGCAACGCAGACGACAGTCGTAAGGGATTGGGCAGCTGCGGTACCTCCTCGTAAGTAAAATATTTTCGTGACGAGACGAAGTTACTCACCGACAGATGCGCCGAAAATGAGAGGAAGGGTCAAGAGGCTCGAAAACATGGCGAGCTCACCGCGAGGGAGATGAGAGGAGAGGACAGAGAATATGCTGCGCAATCCGAGCAGCTCAAAAACCAACCACTTCCGTAATTACCATGGTTTCTTGTTGTCTTGCCGCACATAAACTTGTTGTTATTGTTCCCCGCCATTGTTCCCAGAATTAGAGTAAGCGCCCAGCGGTTGTACGTCAAACCCGCTGCCAACCCGCAGCTCCGGCGTGTAATTCCGCATTGCTGCTGCTGTCGGCGACAACGTCGGTCGCAGCAGTGAGTACCGCAAAGCTTTGAGCTGTTGAGTCACAGTACGCTGTTGTGCACCGACCCGCTGAGAACTTTGTTATTGTGACATTTGTGTAAGTTGGTGACAACATTGTCACGCATTCAGATCATGTGACCGTGACGCGCCTTCGCATCGCGACAACGTGTTCAAGTGGCGCATGCGCCCTTGACAGCATAGCGTACAAACGACCTTCCGCGTACGCGCCATGCAGCGATATGCACAGGCGAATTGGACGAAGTACAATCCGCAGGAACATTATGAACTGAGGGAAAGCAGAACTTGCTAGTAGACGGATGGGTCAGTGATGAAGTGAAGAGTCAGCGTCCCTGAAGAAGATGATGCTCTGGGGCCGTGGCCGTCCTTCTGCAGGAACCGCACTCCGTGCGATTGGAAGATGTCGATGAACGTTTGAACGCCAATCGCTCTGGCCTCGCGTTGACGCAGATCATCCTTGAGCTACAAGCTCGCGGTAGGCGCATTGCGGCCGATCACTGCAGGAGTTTACTGAGCTGAAGACGAAGCTCACCTAGGCTCGCCGCCTCTCGAAGAAACCACGTGTTGTCTCCCGTAGGCGGACTACAAGATAATCTTTTTTGAGTGGGGAGTAAGGGATTAGCAAGGACCGTGTCAGAGGCGACCTAAAAATTAGCCTACCGCAATGCCCAGTGTGGGCACCTCGCGCCTCGTCCAGGGATCGTTCCAGAACTATCCTATATAGAAAGTAGAGGAAGCGGTGGGCTCAATCCTGTTGGATTTTACTGAGAAGCCTTAACGTGGACGTGTCGCTGGCGACGGCATCGATTCCAAAGGATGTGTGAGATAGCATTACAGTGCATCATAATTAATCCAATATTTACGGAACATTAGAAGATAACCGCATGATACCATACCCAAATCGTTCACGATGCATGGAGGGGGTCCGTTACCAAAGTACGTATGGAGCGCGATGTCGCCGGCGACCACTCAGCAGGCGCAGCCTCCCGATGCTTTCGACTCTTCTAGACTGTGTCCTGGTGTTACCGTGCCCGCTTTCGAGCCGGTCGATGCAGACTGGGGTGATGCGTCCAAGCTATTTGACGAGGCTGGGTCAGGTTCCGAAAGGTGGTATTTGGCCAATAAACGTACCTATCCTTTATTTCCTTGGACATTGTTAGGAATGCCTCCTCCACATTTGCGGAGGTTTTTGCGGATGTCTCGAGGAAGGGAATTTTCAACTCGTCCGCAAAGTCCTAGCAGGTAGGTGGACGTTAAGGGAAGAGATTAAATTTAACGGAACGTGAAACTAACCTTGGCCACGCTGTATTGCACGATCTTCCTCTCCACTAGATCTGACTTGTTACCGAGTAAAAGCTTCTTGACGTTTTCCGACGCATAGCGCTCAATCTCCGTCAGCCAGCCCTTCACATTCTCAAACGAATCTGCCAAGGGGTTGAGAAAGGGCATACAAGCATCGCGTAATTTCGCTACCTTGATCGGTTACGTCGTAGACGACGACGATGCCATGCGCACCACGGTAGTAAGCAGCAGCGATTGTACGGAATCGTTCTTGTCCCGCAGTATCCCACTGTGTCGACAGATAAACCTTCGCATTTATTCTCCCGGAAGACAAACCTGAAACTTACAATTTGTAGCTTCACCGTCCTCCCTTCCAAATCAATGGTCCTAATCTTGAAGTCAACGCCAATCGTGCTGAGGTAACTATCTGTGAATGCATCCTCGGCGAAACGCAGAAGCAGACATGACTATGCAGGGACGTCGTAAGTGCCAGCTCAACGCTTCTCTCCCACGCCACTCACTTTTCCGACGCCCGAGTCGCCAATGAGGAGCAGCTTAAAGAGGTAGTCGTATCCGTCGGGCATGGTGTTGAATAGCTAGAGATCAATGCAGAATTTGCGGAGTGTATGGCGAGGAGTAGCGTTATTGACGTGGTGGGTGTGAAAGTAGAAAATGTGGTAGGCGTCTGCACTGCTTTCTCGTGGGATGTGTATCGCCCACAGCTGATGATATGGACAGGAGGCCCGGAGACACGGCACGCTGTTATGGCTCTGCTGCACGGGCGGTCACATCAATGATGAACGCTGAAACGCTTCGGCGACAGGTGGCGTTCTTAGATAGGAAATTCCACGTGGCTTTGTTTGATTCAGAGGCTCTTGCCAAACATCCGCTTCGCAAGTGACGTCAACAGCGAAGACGCAAAATATTCTGCCCCAAAATTCTCCTCATCAGACATGTGCACATTAGGGAGTGCATTTACGAGAGAGTCTAAATATGTGGCGATCAAATGAATTGAGGTGAATTGCGTCGGTGAGTGAGATTGAAAGGCAGTCTAGCTATAGTGGTAGCACAGTTAGGTCCTAGCGGAGTAGAAACAGGCACTAATACTTATGAAAACACGCAACAGAGCATGAAATTTGAGTTGCAGTAGCATGGTGCCCGAGCCATGGAGAATGCTTATGTCAGAAATGCCATTTGTGGCAGTCATTTACCATATTGGGTAGGCACATGACGCGGGGCCGCCCGCGCCGGTAGGTTAGGTTTTTCAAACTCCGCTAGGACCTAACTGTGCTACCACTATAGCTAGACTGCCTTTTAAGGCAGTCTAGCTATAGTGGTAGCTTCACTAGAAATTAAATAAATTAAATGAAATTAATTCGAGTGTACAAGGAATTTCACTCTACAGGTCTGCACGGAGCTCAGTGTATCCTCGACTCCTGCACACAGCTTCACTGGGGGATAAACATTTGTTTGTATGTCACTTAGGCACAATCTTTAGTGATTTCGTAGAGTCATATTCAAAGTTTGCACTGTGGTTCAAAGTGTGAATAGCACTCCAAAGATAACTCTTCTTGTAGTGCAACCGTAGATGTATAGATCTGGTAGACCTCATACATTGATGGCATGGAAAAGTCCTTCAAATTTTCTTCCTGCCCTTCGGGCGAGACTGCATGTAGCTGTTCCATTAAAATAAAAGTTGCACCTGGTGCAAAGTATGTAGCTGTGCTCCCTGGAAGTGTCTGAATCCAACAACATTCTATGTCAGCCTGAAAAAATTACCATGATGTCACTAGTGTTCTTGGGTATAATTTCCACTAATAGGTAATGTATTGGGTAGAAGAAATGTCTCCATGCATGAACTTAATCACGTACAGTGTTGCTAAGAATGTGCACCTCTGCCTGATAGCAAACTTGTGCAATCTTTGTGTGCAGTCAGAGCTCATGTGTAGTGATCAGAAACAGGCACTAATACTTATGAAAACACGCAACAGAGCATGAAATTTGAGTTGCAGTAGCATGGTGCCCGAGCCATGGAGAATGCTTATGTCAGAAATGCCATTTGTGGCAGTCATTTACCATATTGGGTAGGCACATGACGCGGGGCCGCCCGCGCCGGTAGGTTAGGTTTTTCAAACTCCGCTAGGACCTAACTGTGCTACCACTATAGCTAGACTGCCTTTTAAGGCAGTCTAGCTATAGTGGTAGCTTCACTAGAAATTAAATAAATTAAATGAAATTAATTCGAGTGTACAAGGAATTTCACTCTACAGGTCTGCACGGAGCTCAGTGTATCCTCGACTCCTGCACACAGCTTCACTGGGGGATAAACATTTGTTTGTATGTCACTTAGGCACAATCTTTAAAAGGCAGTCTAGCTATAGTGGTAGCACAGTTAGGTCCTAGCGGAGTTTGAAAAACCTAACCTACCGGCGCGGGCGTCATGTGCCTACCCAATATGGTAAATGACTGCCACAAATGGCATTTCTGACATAAGCATTCTCCATGGCTCGGGCACCATGCTACTGCAACTCAAATTTCATGCTCTGTTGCGTGTTTTCATAAGTATTAGTGCCTGTTTCTGATCACTACACATGAGCTCTGACTGCACACAAAGATTGCACAAGTTTGCTATCAGGCAGAGGTGCACATTCTTAGCAACACTGTACGTGATTAAGTTCATGCATGGAGACATTTCTTCTACCCAATACATTACCTATTAGTGGAAATTATACCCAAGAACACTAGTGACATCATGGTAATTTTTTCAGGCTGACATAGAATGTTGTTGGATTCAGACACTTCCAGGGAGCACAGCTACATACTTTGCACCAGGTGCAACTTTTATTTTAATGGAACAGCTACATGCAGTCTCGCCCGAAGGGCAGGAAGAAAATTTGAAGGACTTTTCCATGCCATCAATGTATGAGGTCTACCAGATCTATACATCTACGGTTGCACTACAAGAAGAGTTATCTTTGGAGTGCTATTCACACTTTGAACCACAGTGCAAACTTTGAATATGACTCTACGAAATCACTAAAGATTGTGCCTAAGTGACATACAAACAAATGTTTATCCCCCAGTGAAGCTGTGTGCAGGAGTCGAGGATACACTGAGCTCCGTGCAGACCTGTAGAGTGAAATTCCTTGTACACTCGAATTAATTTCATTTAATTTATTTAATTTCTAGTGAAGCTACCACTATAGCTAGACTGCCGATTGAAACGCCGACACTTTTCGGACCTCGAATATTTCAGTCTCCGAGTACATCCCTGAATCCCCGAAGTGGCTTACCGTGAAAAGTGAAGTTCTTCTTCCGACATTCTCTGTGCCTCTCTGTCTGCTGTATGGCCAGGAACAGATAATTGAATACCCTGAAGATGAGACCTGGCACTTTCAAGCACACTGATGGCACCTCTCACAGCGTCCGGAGGCAGTGCTTCTTCAGATTATTTCGACGACGACCCCTCCTTCCTCAATGCCCTCAACAATGTGGTCCTTGACGGAGACATAACGCACCAGGATGTCCAAGATGTTGAGGTACACTTGTCAGAGGAGGACGTTGCGAACTCCTCTACGGACATAGACATGCCCCCCTGTACGCAACCCGGTCTGAAGCGCGTACGATCTCCAGACACCGACGAAGACAAGCAGAGCGCCGAGTTTCGCCAGGGATTGAATGATGTTGACCCATCCTATACGTCTTCATACACATACGGGGCCTCGCGGTTCGGGGAGTGGGGCGAGTACATGTCCAGGAAACGAGCGAAACTGCAGATCCAGAATGCCGAGATGGATGTGGATGATGGAGACGGAGCGGGGCAAAGCAGGATTTTCAGAAGCTTGCAGATCTATGTCAGTGGCCTATTCACCTTTATGTGCTACTTTACTTATCCATGTATTATAGATCAACGGTTGGACCGAGCCATCTGTACAGGATCTCCGCAAACTCATTATTCGACACGGTGGCATCTACCACCCATACCTCGATAAGAAAAGCCTGGTGTCAGTCGTTCATGTTTTCTCACCGTTGCAAGATTTCACGTGTGTCTATAGAACGCACATTATAACATGCTCACTCACGCCCGCCAAAATCCGCGAGTTCAAGTATATGAAGGTCGTCACGCCCGAATGGCTTGTAGAAAGCGCAAAGGTCGGTGCATTGCTTCCCTGGCACGATTTCATATTTAGCCCCGGCGAGCGGGTGGAAGACTCTCAAGGCAAGAAGGCAGCACAGAAATCTCTCTTCGATGGTTTCGTATCACAATCTGGCAAGCTGCCTGAACGTCTGCCGAAGCCTAAGAACTCGTCAAAACTGGAGGAACAAACTGCTTCCGACGATTTGCTTGAAGATGATAGCCTGCACCCTGTAGTAACTCCCTTGAAACCACCTACGCTGACCCCCCCTCACACTCCCCCGCAGCCCAGCACCTCGACATCCCCTCATGCGCTGTACATAACCGACCCTGCCTCCCCGGAGCAGGCTGTCCGTGTGCCCGGGTACGCCGCGCACACGTCCAATCCTATCGCGGAGCGCGTGATGGCGGACCCCGCATGGCGCGCAGCACACACGTCCGTAGCACCTGACTTCATCGAGGGCTTTTACCGTAACTCGCGCCTGCATCATCTCTCCACGTGGAAAGCGGAACTCAAGAACCTCGTCGCGGAGGCACAGGAGCGCGTCGAGAGCGGCGGCGCATCTGCATGGGGCCGAATGCCAGGGGGCACCCAAACTGCCGTGAGCAAGATCGTCCAGCAGAATTTCTCTGGAAGCAAGACGGGCGGGAGTGATGTCAGTATGAAAGGAGCACAGTTGGCCTTGAAATCACCGGGAAAAGAGAAGGGGAAAGCGAAGGCGGCTGATTCGGAGGAGAGGGTGATTATGCATTGCGACTTTGACAGTTTCTTTGTCTCTGCGGGATTGATTGATCGTCCGCATCTCCGAGGCAAGCCCGTGGTAGTTTGTCACTCTCAAGGAACACAGGGTGGGGGCGCTAGTACCAGCGAGATCGCAAGCGCAAGCTACGAGGCACGAAAGTTCGGCATCAAGAGTGGTATGAGGTTTGCACTTGATTTCAATACGATGGATTGTGTCCCACTCATCTTTTTCCCAGTCTGCAACAGGCTCGCAAGCTGTGTCCCACTATCATGACCATGCCATACGAATTTCAGCGGTGTGTCAAATTGCATCGAATTTGATGAAGTCTTTCTGAGTTCCCTTGACATAGATACAAGACATTTTCTTTGCAATTCTACACAATCTTGATGGCACACGCCGATGACTTACAGGCCGTCTCTGTTGACGAAGCTCTCATAGATGTGACAACTAGTGTCAGCCGAATCAAAACGGAGATAGCCCAAAGTCAGGATCCCAGTTCTTCTCCGTCTGATCCTGCCAAGGAGTTCGCAGAGGCTATCCGATCCCAGGTGAAGAAGGTCACAGGCTGTGAGAGTATGTAACTTCTTCACAGCATGATTCTAATGAACTGACATTTGGACCAGTCAGTGTTGGAATCTCCCACAACATCATGTTAGCCCGTCTAGCTTCTCGGCGAGCGAAGCCTGCCGGTTCTTTCCACATCTTACAGAAGGACGTTTCGGAACTGCTGGCACCTTTGGATATTGACGATCTTCACGGTTTTGGTTACTCGGCACGCCAGAAGGCGCAGGATAAACTAGGAGTGACGAACCTCGGCGAGCTTGAAAAAAAGAGTAAGGCCGTGCTGTGTGAGGCTCTGGGCAAAGTGAATGGCGAGACACTTTACAACGCCTTGCGTGGTGTGGACGATCGCAAGCTCGAGTCCGACAAGCCCCGCAAGTCTGTATCGTGCGATATCAACGTGAGTCGCTCATCATCACCCTTATGGTAGTTGGACTCCACCCTAATCACTCCTTTTCAGTACGGGATACGATTCGAGAACAATGAGCAGGCAGAGACCTTCATCTATCAGATGGCCGCGGAGGTGGCCCGACGACTGAACAGCATCGACACGCGCGGACGATCCCTGACGTTGAAGATTATGAAGCGGGACCCGAGTGCTCCAGTGGAGGCTCCTAAGGTGTGTTCTCGACATCACTTTTTTGTGATTTGCTCACCAATGTACCTCGCTCAGTTTATGGGGCATGGACTCTGCGAATGCTTCAACAAACAAACACCTCTTATCGCACCGGGTGGGCATGCAACGAGTGATGAAGGGATCATCGGTGAGCACGCTTGGCGGCTGCTGAAGAGCTTCAACTTCGACCCGAAGGAGCTCCGTGGCATTGGTATTCAGATCCAAAAGCTCGAGAAGAGTTCCGCTTCAACTGCCACCGAACCTGGTCAGGCCGTGCTGCCATTCATGCCTGTCGATGGGGCGAAGGTTATACCTCCTACTACGGATATAGCAGCAGTAACAGAGAAGAGTACTGCTAAACCACAGATAAGCGTGCAGCCACCCTCGCAAGATGATGATATTCAGGTCGTCGAGCCTCCACCTAAAGCTGCGGTAGATCCAACGGTCGTCGATCTACCTTCGTTCTCCCAGGTGGATATGTCCGTCTTCCAGGCGTTACCGGACGAAGTTCGGAAAGAGCTTGAGACAGAGTATACCCGCAGGTCCGTCACGCCCGCCCCAGGACTTAACACCAATCGTAGCCGCTCCTCCACACTGCTCCCAGACCGCAAACAGACCACGATCACCGTCAAGGGTACGAACGTTAAACGCATCACGCAGCAGCTCGCCCCGCGTAGCCGACCCAGCATCTCGCCGACAAAGAACAAGCTCTTCGCGAAGCGGACCAACCTCTCTGTAGTCAACATCTCGGAAAGGGAGCTGCGCAAACTGGACATTGATCCCGAGGTCTTTGCGATACTCCCGCCAGATTTGCAGCGCGAGCAGCTGGCTATGGCACGGTCTGCGAAGGCCCCGGGGGCGTCTGTCTATATCGAGCGCAAAATGCTGAAACCGCCCAAGCCGAAAGCCCCCTCTGTCCCGTATCGCCGCGCCCCGCCACCGCAGGCGAAGTATCTCGAACCACTGTTCCTGAAGCAACGAGGCGCCACGAAGGACGAGAAGCTGTATTTCACCGAAACAGACGACGTGCAGCGCGTGATCGAGACATGGGTCTGCGGGTTCACGGAGCACCCGCCGCACCAGCGCGACGTGGATTTCTTTGCGAAGTTCCTCGTACAGTGCGTGGACGGTGCGCGCTCGACGGACACGGGTGTCGAGAAAGCAGTCGCCGTCGCCCGATGGTGGCTACTGCTGTTGCGCAGACACTTTGCGATGTGGGAGCACGCTTCTGAAGCCGACGCCGACACAGCATCTGCGGATGGACGTATCACCTCGGAGGTGGTGGGCCGGGCGTGGTGGAAGGCGTTCAGGGAGGTGAAGACGAAGATGGACGTGGTTGCACGGAGGAAGTTTGGGGGCTGCTTGTCCTTGAGGTGATGTCGACGTTCCCTGGTCCTCTTTTTAAATAACTTTTAAATAACTTATTGCTCGCTGCTCATAAATATTACAAGAGCTCTGCACACATTCATGACACGTGTACATGTATTCTCGACCGCGCGGCCAGCTGATTACTACGCATACCATTTCAGATTTGTTGTGCTTACATACATACGCTTTGCTCGACTGTGGTGACCTTACTACTGTAATGTTGTTAATTACGGGTCAGTATGCAGATGCATCATTTTATACTGATCGACGACGTGCGCGTACACCTGTCGTAAACCTGTCAAACGGATATGCAATCACTACAACATGGACCACCACCACCACCACCACCACCACCATCATGATGACACCCATATTCATGGGGATTCGCATGGACATAACTACGCTGATGCTAACAAACAGTACTTCAACGAAACTGCTCAGAAGTGGCATGCACATCCCGAAGCGCAGGAGATGGCCCGCAGGCTTACGGCCGCGATGAAGAGCACATATCCGACACTATTCGATGAAGAGAGAACTACAGTGCTGGACTTTGCTTGCGGCACGGGTACGTTAGTATGCGGTTTGAAGATTTAGGTTAAACGTTGCATCTGGATCGGACATAGGTTTGATCTCCCGAGAGCTGTGTGCAGACACTACGTCCATCGTCGGTGTTGACATCAGCAGCGGGACGGTGGATCAGTACAATTTGCGCGCGTCGAACCAAGGTCTGGCCCCAGAGGAGATGAGGGCGATCTGCGTTGACCTGAAAGGAACGGAAGGTGAACTTGACGGAGCCAAATTTGACGTGGTCGTGGTTCGTATTGTATTCTCGTGCCAAATATTTGTCTGACTCTTGATATGTGCGACACAGTGTGCATCCTCTTTTCACCACTTCTCTTCCGTTAAAGACGTCATGCGGACGTTGGTCTTCTTCTTGAAGCCAGGCGGATCGCTGCTCGTGACGGATGTCATGAAGGACGCTGACGAGAGCGAACTTTTTCCTCAGAACGTTCACCACATCGTTGCCCATCCTCACGGATTTGACAAGTCGGATATGCGGAAGGTGTTTGAAGGGGCTGGTCTCTCAGACTTCCGCTTTACTTCCGCATTTTCTGCCAAGTTTCACGGTAAAGATGTCAAATGTTTTCTGGCGAAAGGTGTAAAGCAGGAATGAGTTCAAGCCTCAATGTTGAGCTGTCTAATTGATATACAGTGTAGTGCCAGTGACGAATCCGGGGGAGGTGAATGTGATATGTATCTGGAACAGACTTGAGTCCTCAGTGAGGTCTACTGTAATACCGCAGGTCAGATCTGTTGTAATATTCTCTGGCTTTCTTAGCCGTTGATATTTCAGATCCCGTCAACTCCTCCTTGTAACTATGGAGTTGGATGCACGAATCAGGTATATAGTTCGTCCCGCTTCTCCAAGTGCGATGATGACTCCTCCACCGCAGCTGTTTCGTCCGGGAACCCATCGATGCAGCTCTTCGACATCTCTTTGTACATGTGAAGTTGTATCTCGTGACGGTTCATGGAACAGATATGGAAAGCCTTCTGTTGACTTCTCGTAGAGAGATGCACTCAATGGGCGATAATCCTTCTCGTCAGGTGGCCATGGCCGCACTGCCAGTGGTAATGTTCATGTTGTACCACACCATGTCACATTGTGATGCACACCTTGGATGCAGCACAAACAGGTCTTGTCCTATTGAAATCGCGCAACGTTGTCTACAGTCGCTTGCAAAAGTCGTGAGAATCCCGTGATTTTTTTTTAATTTCGCGCGTCGCGAAGTTCGACCAAAGGTATCACTGTATCTCATTCGTTACTCTACTTGTGTATGTAGTATATGTCGCGTGCAAATGATAAAAATTGCCCGCAGACACCTGTGCAGAAATCAGGACTAACCGTGAACTCGGAGCACCGCGGCAGCCCGATTACTGCTCTCGATGCACTAATCTTTCCCTTGTGCGATCAGCATGCCTGGTATGCAATATTCTGCCGACCTTCACGAACGAGTCTTACATCTTGCTCACCTTGGATTTGCTGCTTCAGAGATTGAGTACCTCCTAGCCCTCCCGCGATCGACTGTTTATCACACCCTACAACATGAACCCGGCTCCTTCAATGACACTTCCACTCGCAGCGGACGGCCTCGTGCACTCACCCGAGACGACGTTGAGGTGAGTTGTTTTGCTGTACATTGACATGAACTGATCTCAAAATGATCTGCGTTTGCGAGATTCAGCCAAACATCTATCTTGATGAGTTGAAGGAAGAATTGGAGCTGCAAAATGTAGACATATCATTGGCTGCTCTTTGCCGGTATCTTCATCGGAATGGCATTACACATAAACGAGTGAGTTGGACACTTATTGACATGCGGGATGTATTCATGTGCTATCTAAGCTTGCTCGGATTGCTCGTGAATGCGACCACGCAAGGCGTGCACTTTTTGTTGATACGGTGCAGCAATATGATGCAGCCCAGTTGGTGTCAGTCGATGAGGCTGCAGTGGACACTCGTAACATGACGCGGAACTTCGGCTGGTCCTATAGTGGTGTACGGGCTTCTGAGAGAGTGCCGTTGGAACGTGGTATTCGGTGTGTATGCTGATAAGGACATTTTATGAGCTAATGATTTGTATGTGTAGATATTCTGTTCTGCCCGCATTGAGTCTCGATGGTGTACTACATGTCAACATTGTTGAAGGATCATTCAATGCAATCACATTCCGACACTTCATTCATACATTACTTGACCGAATGAATCCTTTCCCTGCACCAAATAGTGTCATTCTCCTTGACAATGCGAGCATCCATCATTCCGAAGAGACTTTGGACATGATTGTAGAACGGTCAGTTGTTTATAGCTCCCACTATATTATATTCACTTTTGTGTTGGGTTATAGTGGAATGCGCTACATATTTCTACCACCATATTCTCCAGACTTACAGCCCATTGAAGAACTGTTCCATGAACTGAAGGAATGGATACGACGAAACTACATTGAAGGACGTGCAGCCATGAGGTGCACCAACGGCCCTGCACATCCATGGGTATTTCTGATGGAAGGACTTGATCATATTACTCCTGATGATGCATATGGGTTCTTCAAAGATACTGGATATATACAATAAAGTAGAGACTAATTCAAAAGTTGTACTCTAGTCAAATCGGAAACGCTTCTGTGGTATCTGTGCCTGTTGTCGAATCTGCTTGCAAACCAGTTTAGCCTCATGTATCAAGAATCGACCAGCACCAATGGGAATATCACAATGCTTCTTCAGCTTGACGAAGACCTGGCTCATATGCAGGATAGTTCCGACTGTGACGGTCTACAGTTACTGCATGCAGAAGGAAGTCGGTGAGCGATGGCCAAGGAGCATCAGCAGGATTGACAGGATCAGATGATGATGGAGATACTATAAGATGTTTGTGAGAACCAGACATCTCAGGCATGTTGATAATGATTGGAGGAACAGGCATAGATGTGGAAGGGGCCTTCGACACCGATGGGGCATGCTGATGACGAAACGAGGGAGGTACGTCAAACATCCGGTTGTTCAGTGGATGGGTATAGGTCACTGTGCGTTCCATTTCTGGAAGTGACAGTTGCTTGACCTGAATGAAAAGAGATGAGTACAGTGCACTTCCAAGACAGAAGCACTCACAATGTCAGTTGCCCAAGCTGCAAAACGCATCTCCGTGAGCTGGACGTGCTCTCCAGACGGATGCCCTAGCCAACATGACATGGCGTGCTCACTACACTTCGGATTCTGCCTTTTCAACTCCTCCACCACTTCATCAATTTGGCTTTGATGCTCTACAGTGGCGTAAGCATGTGCAACTGCGGCTGCTTTCATCCCGGGTGCCTTCTTGTGCGAACCCTTGGGCTGTGACAACTCCTGCTCTGAATCATTCACCTATCTGGAAGGTGAGAGCTTGGCAAGCATCAGAAGATGATACATACACTGTCATCCAATATAATTACTTGCTGAGGTCGGGTATTCCGGCGATGACTCTGCATGGACTGGACAATGCCCTGATAGTCATTGTCATCTTCGAGGCTCTTGCGGACAGACTTGGCATCCTTGGAGAGGCGATACGAGAGCGCCATGTCGTCGACATTGTCATATCCCATCACAATGCGCAGCCGCTCACGGACAATATCCCAGGTCATGGCCGAAGACAATGGTACGCGCTTCATAGCCTTTCCGTCATGCTTCGGCACCATGTATTCTACTTCTACCGGTTGTGCTGAGTGTGTGGAATGTAGATCAAGGCCTGTACAATACGAATAAATGATGACATACCATGTAGGGGTTGTTATGGGGGCCAGTCGCGCCACCGTACATCCGGTTCGTCGTCGTCAGTGACTGGGCCTTTGCAAGGTCTCAAGTCAATCGAGAGGGGTCCGACCTCCAGTCATAGCGATGACCAGAGGTCGGCCCAGTGGAGCAGTCTTATGAACGCTTGGCCGCTGTCTGCGGACCAAGGTCGATTCATCGCACAGATGTAGATGGTAAAACTGGTTGATGTGTAACCAGGACAAGATGGGGACTCCAGCTTGTCCTGTCGGTCTTATATACAAGTACAGGCGTCTGTCTACCTGTAATACTAGAACTACGATTGGTCCATCGGTATCAATACAAGGGCACAGGGTTTGTATACCTGTCCCACGGTCGTGAGAATGCTGAGTCAGTCATGACTCTGCATGAGAGACAATCAGTCCATATGGAGATAAGGTCGTGCTGCAAAGACAAGGCAGCAGCGAGGTCGTCGTGCGTCTTGCGCATGTATCAGGGTCTAGGGCCATGCCCATGAGGTTCGGTATCTGTATCGTAAAGGTAAGGCAGAGGTGAGGCGCACATGCCTTTGTCATGTGTGTGATAGGAAGTGCGTCCAAGTCTGGATCTCGCACATGAGGTAAACATGCCTTGAGCACAAGGTGCATATCGTCAGATGATCTTGTAGATCTGTGCCGGATAGATAAGGGCGATGACCATGATGACATCATGGTCATGTGGTCAGTGACATCATTGTCACATGGTCAGTCTAGGCTCTGTGACGTCATTGTCACGTGATTGGTAAAGGTAGAGGCGGAAGTCGTCCGCGCGTTCCTCAGAGAGGAGCTTTGTAACATCAGCTCCCATTCAGGTCTTCAATTCCCTGGATTGAAGTCGTCAAGAAAGTCGGTAGAGAAAATGGAATGGAGAAATTCCATGTGTCGTTGTTCATCGTGTCATGTCATCGCATGATTCTGGGTAAATCAGAGGCGGAAAATGAAAAAATTGACCTGGGTGTTAATCCAGCTTCGCAAACTTCGTTTTGCTTGTCGCTCGCATCCCTTTAGGACTGCTCGCTCCAACTGCAAGTCTTCTGTTTGTCTTCTTCTCATAAGCTATTCAGCTATGTTCATCGTCTTCTGTCAGTCTTGTTCTTCTTCATTGTGCTTTCGCACAGTGAATGGTCAACTTGCGTTGCCCATTCTTCTTCGTCTTGTTTCTTTTCAGTGTGCTTTTGCACAGTGAATGGTCAACTCGCATTGCCCATTCTTCCCTACTATACCCCGGCCTAAAAATCACGAGGGCGAAAGGTGTAGCATTGTCTTCAAAATTTGTAGTGTGGAAAGAGAATGCGGTGGAAGGGAGGAGGGGGGGAAAAAATTTGCCCTTGTGGGAGGGTTCCTCGTCCTCAATTACTCTTGTCGTTCCTCGACTCCGCTCGTCACTCCTCGATTCCATTCGTTCCTCGTCACCCGGGCACTCGGGCTCATTCCTTTGGCTCGGATATGCATCCTCGCCTACTATCCTCTATCAGCTCCCATTCAAAAAAACCAAATACCCTGGATTTGAAACCGATCAAAACAGGTAACAAATCGTAAAAAAAAAGTGAAGGAGGTGGGCAGCAAGGGTCTTCTAGTTTCTAGTCGTTGCGGACAAGTATCGTCTTCTAGTTTTAAGTCATTACGGACATGTATTCGTCTTCTAGTTTTAAGTCATTGCGGACAAATATCATCTTCTAGTTTTAAGTCATTACGGACATGTATCGTGATTGGCTGGTCATCGTCAATGCCAGCATGGTTAATCGTCTTCTGGTGAGCGATAGCTCCCATTCAGGTTTCATGTCTTCGATGTTTCTAATCATCGGGATAATTGTGGCCTTATCTTGGGTTGATGCCGCACTTTGTCGGTTATCTCCCTTCACATTCCGTGAATGCCATAATCCTGCCTTTCGGCTTTCATCAAGGTCGTTCGTCCTTCTGATAACCTTTCTGCACCCCGGGTATCTCGCCCTACTAGGTGTTCTCAGCAAAGGTTCAGATCAAATATCCAATGGTAAGCGATAGCTCCCATTTATGTTTCATGTCCGGTTCATGTCTTCATCATTAAAGTACCCTGGCCTAGGTTTGAACTACCCCGGCCTAGCGTGATACTTCATTGAATATTTCATGTCGGGTCTTATCGTGTGTTGGTGTCGAATAGAATCGACTACCTCCATCCATATTCCATGGATGCCCTATTCATCGCGGTGTCGTATGTCGTGTTTGTCTGTTTGTTAAGTTCGTTCGTCCAGATGATGAGACAACAGTCTACATCAAATCCAAGGATCGGCCGTGATCCAGTATCCTTTCTATCCATGGGGAACTACCCCGCACACGTCATCGAAAGTGCCATATCAAAGGCTGTCGTTCGCAGTAAGTTCGTCCATTGAGATCTGTCTGATCGTCAAGGAATGCTAGACCTGTTTAGGCATCTAGCATCGAGTGTTGTTATCATGGTGGTCAACAAAGGACCGTCTGGGACTTCCAGACATCTTCAAATCAGATCGTGAGTCATGTCTGTCTGATCATGCTCAAGTCTTTATCGTGGTGGTCAACAAAGGACCATTAGGAGTTTCCTAATATCGGGTGTCGTTCATCGGGAATTGGAGTGTCATATACTGTTAACTCCAAGTCGTTCTTCGGTGATGTGATCTTTTGTTAAGTTCCATCATCAGGCTAATCGTCGCCTCATCGAACCTTCGGCCTAAGTTCGGTATGGATCATTGGTTTATACGGAGAGCCAGGATCCGTCTTCTGTCAGAACCTTTTACTATGTCATTCAAGGTTCATCCAGGTTCAGTTTCTTTATCGTCGAGAGCTGTGATCGACGGTCGTCGTTCAGATCCTTTTGTTACATCAGGATCTTCTTCGGTTTCTTTAACGTCGAGAGCCTCTTCGACAGGGAATGGTTTGAAGTGCCAACTCGCGGTATCTTCAAACATTCCATGGTCATCAACTCGTAATGGAATCGAGTTGTCAATCTTTCTGCACCCCAGGTAACTCGCCATGCAGGGTGTTCTCAGCCAAGATCTATCGTTTGTTTATAGTGGAGAGCGAGTGTCCACTTGCTCAGTCCGAGCTCCCATTCAGGGATCACAATCATCAGATGGTCATCAGATCGGACTCAATTAAGAGTCTACGGTTTATACGGGTTGCCGTTCCCGGGATCAATCTGCACCGTGGGTATCTCGCCGCACTCGGTGTTATCAGCTATGATCATTAAGTGTGCGACTTAAGTCCTTCGTCAAAGGCTGCGCACTGTCCTCAGTTCATCACGGTCCATAGAATCGGTACTAATTCTACGGTGGCCAAACCTTTCCGATTCGCAGTCACATGCGGCTCGTACATGTCTTTGATTATTACACATGTCGTAGCTTTCCTCGCATGAGGGGATTCGACCCCTGAGAGTCACCCAATGAAGGGTAAACTCTTGAGAGTTCGTCTCGGACAAGGTGCCAATCAATTGTCTTATGAAAATCTGGTCTCACCTAGGAATGACCAGACAAGGGTCTTCTTTGTCGTTCCAAAGTTGGATTTCAGGAGAATGGAGTGTCAATCACGGTATCTCCATCTCTGTCGTCACAGGTGTCCTAATGTCAATGGACAAGGTCGAAGTCAAGAGAATGGAGTGTCAAATCACGGTATCTCCATCTCTGTAGTCATGGGTGTCCTAATGTTACGCTGTCTGCGAACATGGACGAGTCGAGGTCGGGTAGTGTCGTCCTAATGTCAATTCGGACAAGACGAGGAATCAAGTGCAAGGTAACCGTCGCCTTGTTCGGTCGGATGAGCTGTCTGCTCAGGAGGTGCAAGGTATCCGTCGCCTTGTTCGGTCAAGAGGTCAAAGGACACAGTCGCTGTCTGCGAACTGGTCGAAGTCGGGGTCGTCAGGCTCTAAAGCATAGGAGCTTGAGCCAAAGAAATATGATCTTGTCCTAATGTTATGGGGGCCAGTCACGCCACCGTACATCCGGTTCGTCGTCGTCAGTGACTGGGCCTTTGCAAGGTCTCAAGTCAATCGAGAGGGGTCCGACCTCCAGTCATAGCGATGACCAGAGGTCGGCCCAGTGGAGCAGTCTTATGAACGCTTGGCCGCTGTCTGCGGACCAAGGTCGATTCATCGCACAGATGTAGATGGTAAAACTGGTTGATGTGTAACCAGGACAAGATGGGGACTCCAGCTTGTCCTGTCGGTCTTATATACAAGTACAGGCGTCTGTCTACCTGTAATACTAGAACTACGATTGGTCCATCGGTATCAATACAAGGGCACAGGGTTTGTATACCTGTCCCACGGTCGTGAGAATGCTGAGTCAGTCATGACTCTGCATGAGAGACAATCAGTCCATATGGAGATAAGGTCGTGCTGCAAAGACAAGGCAGCAGCGAGGTCGTCGTGCGTCTTGCGCATGTATCAGGGTCTAGGGCCATGCCCATGAGGTTCGGTATCTGTATCGTAAAGGTAAGGCAGAGGTGAGGCGCACATGCCTTTGTCATGTGTGTGATAGGAAGTGCGTCCAAGTCTGGATCTCGCACATGAGGTAAACATGCCTTGAGCACAAGGTGCATATCGTCAGATGATCTTGTAGATCTGTGCCGGATAGATAAGGGCGATGACCATGATGACATCATGGTCATGTGGTCAGTGACGTCATTGTCACATGGTCAGTCTAGGCTCTGTGACGTCATTGTCACATGGTCAGTCTAGGCTCTGTGACGTCATTGTCACGTGATTGGTAAAGGTAGAGGCGGAAGTCGTCCGCGCGTTCCTCAGAGAGGAGCTTTGTAACAGGGGTGTTATAACCTTCCCATGATCTCCCTGAGTTGACTGAGAGGCTGGTTCCATAACAGTGATGTCATCTCCGTCCGTCTCAGAATTATGAACAACGCCATCATCGTTATCATCCTGTGTCACCTGCGCTCCATACAGAACATCCTCGTTACTGCTTGAAGACGATGGACTGATATAGTTCTCGATGAGAGATTGCACTGGCGGATGCGAGGGAGGAAGATGCGGAGGCAATTTGAGAAGCAGATGTGTAAGTTTGGGATCTGGTCCAAGTTCCGCAGGTTGCTCAGGAGGTCGACCAGGTTTTTTCCGTGTAGCAGTTAGATGACCAGACTTTCGTCCGTGCCTGGCCATGAAGTAGGAAGCAGAGAGACAGTGTACCGCACACAAAATTTGCCACCGCGGTGCTCCGAGTTCACCGTTAGTCCCGATTTCTGCACAGGTGTCTGCGGGCTATTTTTATTGTTGGTACACGATACATACTACATACATAGCTAGAGTAATGAATGAGCTACAACGACGCCTTTGGTCGAACTTCGCGACGCGCGAAATTAAAAAAAAATCACGGGATTCTCACGACTTTTGCAAGCGACTGTAAGAGATACTGAGATCTGTATCGCAATAAAGTATAATTTCAATTGCCGGATGGGAGGTCGCGGGTCGACCCAGCGGCTTCGACTCACCACGCTCAACAAATAACCATCTTGTCTAAAAAATATATCACCGAGAACAAACATGCATACACCGAGAGTCGAACTCGGAGCTAGGCCATGGGAAGACCCAATGTTACCGCTACACCATGTATGCAATCCTCGATAGGCACGATTAAATAAATAAGTAAGCTAGAAGCTCTGCACTCTCGTACTATAACCCGCCACCGCCGCTTACGATTCTTAAAGGCACCGTCATTCCCGCTCAAATGGCTTCGCGGACCAGCCAGCAACCGGTGGTGATGACCATCGCTGGTTCAGACCCAAGCGGAGGGGCCGGCATCCAAGTGAGATTTATCGCTGTCATAAGTAAAATGACTTGTTCTACGTTCCGTCCGCACAGGCTGACTTGAAGACGTTCACCGCACTTGGATGCTATGGAACAAGCGTGCTGACCGCGCTGACCGCGCAAAACACCACCGGCGTAATAGATGTGCATGCTCCACCCCACAACTTCATGTACAACCAAGTGCGTACCGGAATTTTTGGGGTATCTATGCGTATTGTCATTCCCGCGACCCACGCCCGAGCCAGGAATATCTATCTCGACTTTGATTCGAGCATTTCGAGCCGTTAAAAAGTCTAGCGATAATATAAAGGATCGCTTGCGAAATGTGCCAGGGGCCCGACAAATATGCTCGCTGAATTGAATACTTTGGTATCCCATCTGACACGTCCGCCTCCTAGCTGGTCTCCGTGCTCGAGGACATCGATATTGATGCCATCAAGACTGGCATGCTCTTCGACGCGGGTATCACGCGCACCGTCGTGCGGACGCTTGCATCTCACTTTCACGAGAAGCAAATGCCGCCGCTCGTCTGTGACCCTGTCTGTGTCTCCACCTCCGGACACAAGCTGCTGCAGCCGGAAGCCATCGAAGTCATCGTCAGTGAGCTTTTCCCGCTCACAGCGCTGGTCACACCGAACAAGACCGAGGCCTCCCTCCTCCTCACGCACTGCGGTCTGCCGTCCAAGGTCGACGACCTAACCGACATGATCACCGCGGCGAAGAACCTCCAGTCCCTCGGACCCAAGGCAGTGCTGATCAAAGGCGGACACATCACCGTGACGCTCGCTGAAGTGGAGCAGTTGTCTATCGCCCAACCCGAGGTCCGTGTCGTGCGCCAGGGCCTGCTCGGCGAGAACATGGAGATCCTCCAGTCTGTCGAGCGTGATCTCACCACCGGGCCTGTGGTAGTGGACGTTCTGCACCATCAGGGGGGCACCGTGCTCTTCGTCCGACCCCACGTCGACTCGACAAGTACACACGGAACAGGGTGCACGCTCTCAGCCGCGCTCGCATGCGCACTGGCGGTCGACGAGGATGGTAGGCCGATGTATGTACTCAGTGTGAGCTTGTTTTGACTGCTTTGAGCTTGCAGTTGTTAAGGCAACCCAAACGGCGACGATGTTCACCCATCTCGGTATTGAGAACGCAATCCCCATCGGACACGGTTTCGGCCCGCTCAACCATCTCCACGGCATCACGCAACGCAGCGTACCCAAGTACGTTAACTTGTACTTTGACTGCCGTCACGAGCTCGACATACGCACAGGCCCACTCCGAGTAACCCACACCCGCTCACCCGCGCGCTGATCGAATCGACAGGGGACATCTGGAAGGCGTACGTCCAGCACGAGTTCGTACAGCAGCTCGCGCGTGGGACGCTCTCTAGGGCATGCTTCCTACACTTCATTAAGTGCGCGTATTCTTGAGCATGGGCTTACGCGAGGCTGACCTGAGTAGACAGGACTACCTCTACCTCAAGTACTACGCCCGGGCTTACGGGTTCGTCTCGCCACCCGTCGACGCCCGTCGCTCTCTGACAGCGCCGTTCTAGCCTCCTTGTCGCCAAGTCGTCGTCGTTCAGCCAAATTGACGACGCGACACGGACGATCACCAATGTCATCAACGAGGTGTCGACGCATCGCTTTTTCTGCGCACAGTGGGGAATCAGCGAGGCGGAGCTGTCCGCCACTCCCGAGTCGCCCGCAACGACTGCGTACGGCGCGTACATCCTCGACGTCGGGTTGCAAGGCACGTTTGATGACTGGCTGCTCACGGATAGTGTATACCGACTCCCTGATGCAGGTGACAGCTCTAGGCTCGTGATGGCGGTTGCGGCGTGCTTGCTCGGATACGGTGAGGTTGGACTATGGATCAAGAGACAAGCTGCGCTGCCAGACACTTGGGTGAAGCTAGAGGGCAATCCCTACCTCAGGTGGATCGAGGACTACTCCGGAGAGCAGTACCAGGGCGCTGTCAAGCTCGGTCTAGGTGAGGGCTCATGAGCTGTTGTACGATATTGAGCTGAAGGTGCTGGGCTTCATGATAGAAACCATCGAAGCTATTGCCGTAGCGGACCCGCCGTCCAAAAGAAGGTTCGAAGAGTGGCAAGCGGTATGGGAGAGATGTACCCGCCTGGAGAAAGGGTTCTGGGACATGTCAATGGGGCTCCTGTAAAATTAATAAGAACTGCGGATCCCAATATACGATAAGTAGAAGCCAAGCAGCCTAGATTTGTATAGAATATGCGAATGCCCAATGTTCCCTTCCGTTAGAACGTATAAATATCCTCAGTCCGACTCGGTTTTCATTTGGATTAGATCGTCCGGTAAATCTCGCAAGATTGTAGCAGACGCAGCTGTCTTCTGGTCCTCCTCGAGCTTGATCTCAATGTGAGGCCTGGCGCTGCCAGATGCAGTTGCAACCGTCTTTTTGCTCTTCGACTTCGTAACAACCCGCGCACTTGGACAAAGCCCATTGCTGAGCTCACATGAGTCGCAGCGAGGTCCGATAGGCAGGCAGATCATCTGCGAGAGTGTAAGCATGGCACCATCCTACTAGCGCGCAGAGACGAGACATGACTGACCTGACCGAAACCAACCAGGAGGCCAGTGAAGGTTGGGCGGAGCTCTGCTGGCAGCCATGACTGCAAATTCAGTCTGAACGAGCGGAATGAGTACAGGAATGCAGGGTGACAACAAGACGGTGTACCGAGTCTCTTCAGGCGTCTTCGTGGGTGACTTATGCCATCCCAGCCTGTTAGTGATTCGATGGACATGTACATCAACACCGATACCCGCGTTTCTAGGAGTTCGACATCAGCTCGGCTTCCCATCGACAGCAAGATGCTTGTCCTCACACTTTCCAGGCTACATGCAATGCTAGGAATGCCATCTTTGGACCTACGCCGGGAAGAGAACACAGCTCATCTACAGTTTTGGGCACGTCCGACTCGAAGTCGTCGTGAAGTCGCTGCGCGGCTTGCTTGATGTATCTATCGCGCATACGTCGGTCTCGTCACACGGAACAGCATCAATCGAACTGACTGGGTTTTCCGCCTCCAAAAGCCAACTTTGCAGATAGCTTCAGATACGGTACTGTCGTCAGCTGCTATGACAGCGTCGACATTGACACTCCCTCCCAGCGCTTCTCGCAGCTTAGACACGGCAGCAGATGTAACTTCGTCCTTCGTTTGAGAGGACAGCATCAATGATACTAATGTCGCAAAGCGCTGATTCTGAAAACTAGTCATAAGCGCAGGAAATTTCAGACGATGCATCATAGCTTACCCTTGGCACTGTCTCCCCCAACTGCGCGCGTCCGCATCCCATTGTATCCACCGGCGCGACGATGCGCGACCGCATGTCCACAATCGCGTCATAAGTCTCACGCCAGCGAGCAGGCGCAGGATGAGGGACTTCCAAAGACTGTGGAACAGGCTTTGGCTTGCGTGGAGAAGCTACCCGCTTTGCTTTGACTGGGCTAGGCCTGCAAGTTCCCACCTCTATATTAGCTTTTGAGCTTGTTGTCTCTGCTTTCACCCGGGTCGACTGCTTTTTTGGACTACTGGTAACGGCAGTGAACTCTACTTCCCTCGTCTCCGATTTTTCTAGAACTTTTAACCGTTTGGACCGCCTCAAAGGAGATTCTGAGCTGGAACCGTCCGCCGCGGGTTCAAATAGTGTTACGGAAGTATGGTATGGACTTGGACGTGCTATTAGACTCGGAGAAGCGCTCCTCTTCATCGCAGGCATTGAGGGAGCACGGTTCGCCGTTCGGCGCAACAGATTTGTTTTGCCGAAGATGGTGGCTGGCTGGTCGCAGAGCAGGCCCGCCACGTCCATCGCTGGCGCGTCTGTCACACACCGCGTCACGCGTTCATATAGTGGCAGCACTGCAGCTGCAAAAAAAGGCGTAGCAGAGTATCTTGTATATTCCATAGCAACGACAAGTTGTGGGTGCCGTCAGGTAGCAGTTAAGAATTCTCCATAAAAAAGAGAATGCACCAGGCTCGCGCATAAGCTTCAGGGGGCTACTAGTAGTCTTACATAGAAGCAGTTAACATGATCCCGCCAATCCCGCCAGACACTATTACAGTGCTCTGAGAAAGAACAAAGGAGTTGAGCCCTCTTCGGTATGTCACTGACTGCATGTTCTTATCATAGCGTGCGTAAGAGGCGCATCATTAAAGCCCGGCGAAGCGGTAAATGAGTAGACAACCTTCTGTCAGTTGCCAGCTCAGATACAACGCCACGCAAGTGGTGTGGACAGTCGACGCGTCTCCTTGACTAGCTAGCGCTCGCACAGTGCAGTGATTCTGCTAAAGCTTCAAGAAACAGAAACACATAAGGAGACCCGGAGACAATGGTTAATGATACGCACCAGCATATATTAAGTCAGTGGCATTTTGACACGCGACACAGCGTGTTATCTCAGTATACAATTATCTGAAATACCATCGAGTAGTTTAGTATGTGTATTCCACGTATGTTCATGTCAAAGTCGTGTCGATTATACAGAAGTGCAGGCCCTTCGCACGCAAACGCAGTGAGAGTTTCTACTAATCACGGGAAAATCAAGATCAACCCAGTGGAGTAAAGGTTATCGCAACGGACATTCTGACCTGAAGTCTTTCCTTCTAGTGATGCTTCTTTACAGACTCCGCGTTCACGCATCCCCCGAGGCCATATCGGGGAACCAAGGATGATACTGCGGGTCCCATCTGAGTACTTTATGATCAAAGGTCGTTAGGTCTTCATTATTCGTCGGTGCCGCTTCCAAACGCTCGGCGACGCCAGCAAGCCGAAGAACGAACTATGGAGCGGATATCAAACTTGGGCGCATAAGATACGACTTAGGCGCTCACGTCACGGCGTTCGTTCGCCCACTTGTCCGCCCAACCTACGACGTAGGTGGCCCGGCATAAACCACGCAGCACATTACCGGCGAGCTTGAAGGATTCTGATGGAGAGTAATATGGGTCCTAGAAGACAGTTCGAATCATGCCCTAAAAACGAAATAGCAATACGTACTTGAGTTAGCTCTGTCACTTCAGGAGAATAGTTGTAGAAGTCCGGTGATGGATCCACAGGTACGAGGTCGTCGAACTCTGATCTGAATAACCACTTGTACCGCTTGACGAAGTTGAGCGACATGCGCCTGAACGATGTGACCACTTGTCTCGATGTGAGCTGTGCTAGCTATGTCAGGCAATGCAGTACCTTCACGGGAAGAGATGAGCATACCGCACACATCGCAATGCTCATTATATGAAGTGCTGAGAGGAAGTCGAACTGGAACAGCATTTCGGGCCAACCCAAAAAGTCTACAGAAGGACGTCAGGTCGTTGCTGAATTACAGCTCGGAATCACTCCACCTTGAGAAATCGTCTGTAGCAAGTCATCTAGGCAGGTCAGATGCACATCTATCGTCTTCGCTAGATACCAATATGCGATGGACCTCTCGTCCGCAGCGTATAGCTCCTGTTGAAAGCCGCTCAATATGATTTCCCGGGAAGCAGCTAGTCTCCGCAACAAGGCAGCCTGTGTGATACGCGAGATGAGTTTGACATCCTCATCGTTCTCGGAGTATGTTAGCGAAGTCTCGCACGTATCATGCGCAAAATTACACTCACAGCCGGCATGATCTGGGACGTCAACTCAACGATCGCCGCGTACAAGTCGTGCCATTCAAGCACGGACTTCATGAGGTGGCGCCGCCTTCGTGGGGGATTCGACCACTGCGACCTGACATGAGGAAGGGTGAGCTGGTGCAGACGGTATCGTCAGCGCGCGCAACAGATCTACCGGGGCGGCATGCCTTGGTTATCTGACGCTCAATCTCGTTTATGGACGGCACCGCAGGTTCACCGTATGTGATGCGCTTCTGATACAGCTGTTGGATCATGGCGTAGGAAATACCCAGCATCTCGGAGAAGAACCGGTCGACGAGCCACGCAGGTGGGTATCTCCCGAGGGCTGATTTGTCGAAGAATGCGGACTACAAATGTCAATCAGCATTGATGTACGATGAATTAGCCAATCTGAATCTTCACTTGTGTCAAGGAGCGAATGTAAGCGCATTGCGGCTGTTCTCTGGGCGACCATATGTGAAGCGTGCCTGCAATCTGGAGAACGTTATGACTGTATCCGGGGTCGCATAGCTGAAGTTGCACTTTACCACCCAAGTAGTTATACATGGAGTATCCAGTAAAAGGCATAGCTCTTCCCAGTCCTCGAAAAGATTTTCTATGGCATTCCACGTCTCCCCTTGCGGAGGCAATTCAAGTACCCGCATAGGCATAAAGTTTGGAAGACGACGGGTGATATATGGGTCGAATGTCAAATATGCCAGGGAATCAGATGAGGGTGGTTCCACCGGATGAGCACGGATGCGATTCAAGGCTTCTCGTGCAGTGCTGATGAGGAGTCGTAGTTCGGACGTGCGGGCAGGATTGAGTTTGAGCAGTTGGAGGATCGCCTACAAGAAAGTTATTCTAAGTACGTTGTGCACAGGGATATTAATACCCACCTTACGCAGGAGCAATCTATCACTCAAGGCGAGGACGTAAGAAATCGGCAGCACTGACTTGCGCAGCCAATTCAGTGCGGTATCCAATTTTTGGATTATAAATTCAGTAGTTATCCCTTCCAATAGCGAAACTTCGCATTTCTCGCCTTGCCAGTCTTCTATCTATGACCAAAATATTCAGACTGCAGCAGGGTGAGAACATAAAGGAAACTGACTTCATATACTTTGTTTTTTGACAGTTCACGCCAAGCCAAGTCGCAAGACTTCAGCAGGCCGAGGACAGAAGCTCTGAGAACTATTGAAATGAGCCCTCGTGGACGAAGAGGATCTGGTGTCACTTCAGGCATTAAGGTGTCGGGGTCGATATCTTTGAGGTGATGAATATAGAGTAACGTATACACTGTTTGCGCAAGAGTACTCCCGGCATGCCATTCCATCTAAAGCGGTGAAGGTACATGAATTGGTGTAACAATAGACCACCGTGACCATTCACCTCGCAGGAGAAGCTTCTATCAATAATCCAACATACTTCTTGTGGTAAGAGTGGTGCTAATGCATCGAAGGGGGGTTTGCGTTGCTCCTGCAGAATCATTCCGCTGTCCATACGAGGCTCTCCGATCTATCAAATCTCAGTATACTCAAGCCAAGGACGCAGTCTGCAAGCTTGCGCCCACCTCAAATGCACCCATCGCGTCCATTAGCGTGTACCCATCTACCAAGAGAACATCTTCGGGTTCCATATCTTCACGGGTAACTCACGTAAAATTTATACGCGCAGACTGATCATGGAGCGACTCACCCCGTCCTGCTTCTGCGAAGAGCTCCGTAACGTCCACGAAATCGTCGCCGCCTGGCATGTCCCGTAGTAGATCTATGGCCATTTCTTCAGGCATCTCTATGTTTTAGGTGAATTCCGAGTAATCATGCACGCAAGAGCAGGTCCTGGTTTGAGTCCAAGATTGGTCCAAGAAAGATTTTGCAAAGACGCGCCAACGTTCCTCCGCGTCAAATGTTGGCTTGCACCAGAACTGCGCGACGCTTGCGACCATGTGCTCTTTGTCCTGCCTCCGCTATCGCCTTAAGATTTGATAATATTCGCAGGTCGCTCAGTAGCGGCAGCGATGCGGTGAACGACACGGCGCGCTCGAAGCCCAGCTCGCGCGTCGTCTTCTCGGGAATACAGCCGACAGGAATTCCCCATGTCAGTCTTCTTGCGTATTTCTCGCTTCTACTCTGACCTAAAGAAATAGTTAGGTAACTTCCTCGGAGCTCTGTTGAACTGGGTACAACTCCAGCGGGATGCTCAACCGGACGACCGTCTTATTTTCTCGATTGTCGGGTGGCATGCTCTGACGCTGCCGCAGGACCCGCGGGCACTCAGCACGGCGCGCAGAGAGATGATGGCCGTGCTACTTGCAATAGGCCTTGACCCTGAGCGTTCGATTGTTTTTCACCAGGATGATGTAGGGCTGTGTGTTACCCTTCGCACATTTCGAAGCTTATTTACCCGTGCAGAATCCCAATCACACAGAGCTGGCTTGGATACTTAATTGCATAACTCCCATGGGAAAACTGCGTAGGATGACTACCTGGAAGGTGAAGCCCGTGTCGTCACACGTAGTGGTTACGTGACAGAAATCCTTCTAGTCACGACTGGCAGCATCGCGAAATGCACGCGACGATGCAGACGTCGACGAGTCTCTGCTAAACGCGGGACTATTTACCTATCCCGTGCTCCAGGCTGCCGACGTCCTGGCTTACAAGTCGGTTCCCCTGTTATGCACAGGAGAACGGCACGCTCATTTCGACTCTAAACTACAGGACTACTCACGTCCCCGTAGGTGAAGACCAGCAACAGCACATTGAACTCGCGAGAGACCTGGCCGACACGTTCAACCGAACGTTCAAGAACCGAGGACCGCTCTTCCCTCTGCCTCAACATGTCGTTAGTGAGTACGACGATGCCAAACAAATGCCCCGCTTTGACATTCCCCAGCTACCTCCCGTCGCGTCCTATCGCTAAAGGACCCATCCTCCAAAATGTCCAAGTCTGCGCCAGACAAGCAGTCGCGCATCTTGCTCACGGACAGCGCGCTGCAGATACAGGCCAAGGTTCGCGCTGCCGTCACCGACTCCATCACCGGCATCACTTACGACCCTCTCGCGCGTCCGGGCGCGTCCAACTTGCTAGCGATCCTGGCAGCATGCTTGGGCGAGGACGTGACGGAGGCCGCGAAGCGCTACAGCGACAAGGGGCACGTCCACCTCAAAGCGGACGTTGCAGAGGCGGTCGAGGAAATGATGAAGAAGCCGCGTGCGGAGTTCGAGAGGCTTAGGGAGGAGCCGGCGTACCTCACCTCGGTCTCCGCGGCTGGCGCAGCCAAGGCAAGGGAGCTCTCGGAGGCGACGATGCGGGAGGTCAGAGAACGCGTCGGTTTGGTATAGAGGGCGGCGAAGGGACCGTTTTACGGTCGTTAACTTATTGACGATACAATTCGGCTTCGTATACAAGCACAACCTCTACTCTGTCTCTACACACAATTAATTCACCCTGGGAATGCAATTGCGTTTCGGTCGCGTAGCAAGACACAAAACGGCAAAGCAGTACTAGTAGTACACGATGCAAACAAGAAATTTGAAGGTATGTAGATGCCGTTGTTGTTGCAGTCACAACACATGTATCTATAAATCCAACAAGCAAAAGCCATATCCTGCTCAAACTGCTTCGCAAACCTTCCAACCAAACCAACCACCGCTGTGACCCAAGTGTGAGCCCTGGATAAGGCGGAACTCACTTTCAGGCCCTATCCTTTCGAGGACCGCCCCAGCGAGAACCGCTGCGGCGTGGGGAGCCCAGTTTCTGGCTACGCAGGAAAGTCTGCCGCGGCCGAACGCGAACATGGACTGCTCCTGCGAAGGCGTGAGCAGGTCAGGGTGGAAGCGTGTCGAATCAAATCCATTTGCAGTGTCTCCCCATATGTCGGCATCCCGCTGTACCGCCTCGATGTCCGCGACGACGGTGACATCGCGAGAGAGGCCGGGAATGGGGAACGGGAAGGGGGAGTCGTCGACACGGACGATGAGGGTGATATATCGTGTCGGTGGATGAAGCCGAAGGACCTCGAGGATGAACATCTCGACACTGAGGTCCTCGACGCCGACGCGGGTGCGAAAATGAGGCGCGTCGGGCAAGGTCATGAACGCCTCGAATGCTTGGCGTGCGGCTGGGTCCCTATTAGCATAAGCGACGGCGATGGCGACGACGCGCCATATCGCCTCATATGCGGGAGTCACGAGCTCAATGGGATTCTCATACATTGGGAGCCAGCGGTGGAGGTGCCCAGTGATGGTGGAAAGGAGGTGCAGCATGACACTGCCGGTATCCGATATGTGCCACAGCACCCCGATCCCATGTGTGACAGCGGCGAGGTCATGCTCGCTCACCAAGTCGGCTGGGTTAGCTCCAAGAAGTTGTATGAGGATAGTACGAAGGGTTAAAATTTGGATGAATGTGTCGAATGCAATTGGCGGGCGGTCGACATGGTAAGGCAAAAAGGCATCAATGGCATAACGTGCAACAGCTGCAAATGTTGGCCATGGGTATGGGGCACCATGCTGGGTGATCAGGGCTGTGGTTGTTGTTGTAAGGGAAGTATGTACTGTGTGGCTGTGCCATGTAGTAAAAGGAGAACAGATCCCGAACACCTGTCTAAAACGGGCATTGGGGATGGCGTGAGTGATGAGTTGGGTGGTGAGGCTTGTTGATGGTGCTAGTAGTGCACGGATGTCGGTAAAATCTGTTAGGTAAATAGTCACTTGTTTGCGAGTAAGGCGATGAATTCGAACGAGTGTGTAAACGAGCGGAGGCAGGGTAATGAGAATGATACAGAATGCATAGAACATGGTAGAAACGGCAATCCAGCATGCACATAGCTTACCTTTATGCTGTACGGAGTGACAGCTTCCTCCATTTGTTGTTCAGATGGACTTGCGTCAAGCGCAGCAAGGCAACACTGATCGACAAACGGGTTCCAATTCTCATACAGATGGAGCGCAAGGCCAGGGCACCGAAACGCAGAGCGAATGGGAAGCATAGGACAGCCCAACGTTCGCATGCAGAGATAGTCCCGGCAGACAGGCCATCAATCAGTAGAGCTGCGTGCTGCTAAGGGCGTGCACGAAGACATAACAGGGAATAGAAGATCAAGCCTCGCGAGGGCATCCAGCTTTCTTGATTTAACGAGGTCCTCCGGAAACCGAGGTGGAGCTTTCCCGAAGTAAAAGAGCATGTGTCACAAGCCTGGTCCTGAGGCCTGAGGACCGAATGAGTCGACGGACGCGCTATATTCAAAGGGCAATCTCCCACGAGAGGGGATCCACGGATACGAATATGGCTAGCTCCTGCGACAGACTCGAATTCGAAAGTTAGAAGGTTCTGGATGATGTACGCGAGCGCGGACTCAAGCGCACAACGAGTACCAGTACGTCCAGTTTCATTCGAATGCTTATGACAGGTAGCGCCCGGAGTTACCGCGGCTGGTCAGGTGCGAAGCAAGTAAGGTTCAAGGATATATGTAGGTCTCAGTTGATAAGGAAATACTGCTGAAGAGGTAAGAGCATTAGCACAACTCACAGGACGCATAACTCCTTTTTTCCCGAGGAAATAACTTGGAAAAATGCGTGGAAATCAACAAAGTTATACTGCGGGAAAAACATGAGGAAAAAACGTGTAAAAGAACAAAGCATTTCCGCAGTTTTTCCACTGGAAATAAGTTGGTCGCCAAATATGGTAGTTTTGTCCGGGTTTTGGCATGTCCTGGCATGTCCAGTTGCCTGATATGGTAGGCAACTTATTTCCAAGGGAAAAACCGTGAGAATGTTTTGTTCTTTTCTCACTTTTTTCTCGAGGTTTTTCCTCTGAAAATATATTATTGATTTCCATGCTTTTTGCCAGGTTATTTCCAATGGATAAAAGTGGTAATGCTTCCTGTGACTCGTCTGATGAGAGAGCGCAGAGCCTGTTATATGAAGTACACGTGGGCACCCTGTTTTGCAGAGTCGCAATCCTGAATCGTGACGTGGAGTGATGTCGGCTCTTGGTCTCGAAAGAGGAATGTCAAAGTTCTGATTCCCAGGTAGGTCATTTCCACAGTGGGCTCCTAAATGGATGGAGAGACCTTCGATGACGAAAGTGAATTCTCTAGATATAGGTAGGAGAAAGCCTTCCCAGGCTTCGCAGAAATTAGAGCCTCCGCGTAGGCCTATGCTCGGTCATACATCGTCCATCGTACTGTGGATGAACAAGCGAGATGCTTCATGAGCAACCTTGCACTCGGTTTCCTAAGACTCGTAATAAAGTCTAGGTAGTATCCAGGAACGGGTAAAAAGGGAATCAGGACCCGCCGATAATTACGAAGGGAAATCTCGAAATGTTTTCATTGCACTCACATTCGTAACGCGAGCCTGAGAGCGAGCAAGCTTACTTACTCTCGAGGACGTCACACAGGATGAAGAATTCGACAGAAGCAGCTGCCCTGTGCCCTTCAGTATTGGGAGGCTCGAAAATCTGTGCGCACTGAAATCACCTATTACATCAATTCGACATGCTTGTCCTGACCTTGTTCCAGGGACACCGGCGAGCAATTCCATGCGGACCGGGACTAGCAATGCGCCACGGTCTTTGTGGCTGAAGGTCAAGTTCGAACCTTCTGGACCTGGTATAATATGTTAGCTCTCAAAGACAGCCGTCAGGTTATCCACATTGGACTAGATCATATGCAGAATGAGTGGGAGTTGCTCTAGATCTCAGATGCTCTGAAGGAAAGGCATGAAGTCGGGCCTGTGGGGTCCGCCGGAATCCGCCGGGCAGCCGGATCCCTCTGCAGTGCGCATATTATTCGATTCCTTCCAGAAAACTTGGTGTTCACCTCGCGCCCGCTCGGAGTAAGATTAGAGTAAACCGACCTCCAAGGGCCATGGAAGCAATTCTGCAATCCCAGAGGATGGCCATGGGCCGAGTTAGTCTTAGCAGAGCAGGACAGTTGTCAGTCAGACGAGCAGAAGGTCTCGCAACCCTTTCGACAAAGTTCACGCCCTTGTTTTGTTTTCCATGCTGCCCTATTCGTCCTCTAGATACTTCAAGTTCGAATTCATATGGTCACACAGCAGGGCACTTTGTCCTACGTTGCATTTATCCAGAAAACAAGTGATGCATCTAACAGAACATGAAGAACGGAGCTACAAAGGATGAAGAGACACAATGCATGAATACAACATGAAAAGCAATACCGCTACAATCCAGTATCCCATCCGTGACTGTCTGTTGTCCTGTCCGTGATCCATCTAATACATACCTTCATACCTTGCTAGCCGTCTCTCCGATAATGTCCTCGATGGTGGAGCCGCCCTCGCTGCAGTACGTGCCCACGAGGACATTCCCCCCCGTGCTCGGAGGTGCCACCCCTGCAGCCATACTCGCAGCGCTGGGCAATAGAGTGCTGGTGGCTGCAGTCCACAGTGCGGGTGGGCTCGCCACAGTGCTACTGTTTCTCCACTTTCCTGTCTGCGCGCACTTAGCCGCGTGCTCGAGGATCGTGCGGTAGAGCGTGTTGTTGAAGCCAATGCACTGCAGCCCGATGCACGCCACCTTCAGCGCACCCACAGCGTACAGCTGCCCCGACTCGTACACGTTCTGTGGGGTGGTGTTCTTGCGCCCGGCCAGTGTTTCCTTGATCAGCGCCTGCGTCGTCTGTAGAGAAATTATCGATGGAAGATGTACAGGTTCCTCGGACCATAAACACACCTCGGCCAACAGAGTCTCCCACTCCTGCGTGGACAAGTCATCCAGCCGGAACGCCTTGTAGGTGCCAGCATAGTACCACTTTCCGTCTCTGTTGTAGAAGCATTCTGCATTCGCAGTCAAACATGTTGCGGCATCATCTTAAGTGGGCACGCACCAGTCGGTTTGTTCAGCTTCGTGGATAAGTCGACGACTGTCCAACGATGTGCGGCGCTCACGCGCGGGTTCGTGCTGCATTTGAAGACGGGAGAGAGAAAATAGCCGTGCTCCTCGCGTTCGGGACACCACGAAGTCGTCGATTGCTGAAACACACGGTAGTTTCCCAGTCTGGGCAATGCATCAGAATGCCTGCATTGTATGTGCATGACTTGGGCTCACTGCGAACGGAGCGACTTGGGGGCAATGAACGTCATGATATCACCATGGCAAGTTCGATATAAACCTCGGTACTCACAGCGGGCGTAGTTCCTAGAAATTCGTGCAGTGTGTAAGGAGCAGGTATCACAATGGGTCTGAGAGCGTCGGCGGGTATGTCGGGAGGAAGGGGAAGAGCAGATAAGATAGCGTTCCTGGAAGCGACCTGTTGTGCGAGATCTGTAGCACTAGAAGCAACCTTGTGGCGCCAAAGGAGCATGTAGAAAACAATGCAAGACTAGGAAAAGAACGCACTTTGAAGTCAGAAGTTTCAGAATCTTGCAGTGTCAATTTTGCCAAGTGGTCGTTCATGAATTGCGAGAAATTCTGAGACTCTACCCATCCTGGACCACTCATATTCGGAGACATGGGTATCTCCATCTTGTTCGCCATATCTCGGAGAAGAGCGACTGACGAAGGATCTGACTCTACCGCAGAGGCCAATAGCCCATGCGAAGTTGCTCCAGACATATGCTGCTCGAGTAAATAGTACTACGAATCGTCTCCGTTAGCTCCATGTAATCAATGTGCTCACCTGTAATTCACCATCCGATGCAGCCGACTCTTCTGATGTACGTCGAGTATCCTCCTGCACAGTACCGATAACCGTACCCATTGTCGTTTCGCCTGCAACCACGTCGAGCTCTCCAGGAGCCCGGACGGAGAATCGCTTCAATAGCTCCCCCCTCTCGGCCAGCAGCTGCTCGATGGTGTTGTTCTTCTGACGAACAAAGGTGCATGCCTCGGCCAGACGCTGTGCGACCGTATCACGCGCGCACAGCGCCTCCTGCAACCGCATTCTCTCGAGCCGCAGTTCCATGGATACCTCTGGGTTCTGAACAGGTACAACAGACATAGAGGAACGGAATAGAGTGATAGAAAGTAGTGTCGCACGTTGAGCATATGCGCATATAGCCACCTGAAACCATCGAATTACCTCCACGTCTGAACGTCCTTGCATCAGAATGTTGACCACTGGCGGTACTTCATGGGGCCCATCTTCCGACATTGGTTGGTGAGGGACTAACGAAGGGCCGTCGCCATCGCGTCCGACGCTCGACATGGCGGGTGTAAAGGAAGAGAGGGTGAAGTCAACTTTGACAGCTTCCTTATTCGGCACAGGCTGTGGCGACAGCTAGTTACATAACGTCGTCGAACTGGTTACTTTTCAAGCCGCAAGATCAAGTGCAACAGAAAATTCAAGGTGAGCGCGAGGACAAGTCATGCCAGTTACGGGTTTGCAAAGATCAAGGCGACGTAAAGCTCAGTCAGTGGCATCATCTGAGGTTGCTGTAGACGGAGAGAAGAATTTTCATCGCAAACACGACCGCAGAAAACTAGTAGTTGCAGTTGTAGGAACAAAAATTGGAGCCACTGTAGGACACCGATAATTGTCATGGATGAGTGTTTGTTCCCGTTCAGCAAGACAAATATGTCTCTGGGGAATAATATCCATACACATCTGGGGGGCTAGTTGCTGGTAAGCGAGAGAGGGAGCAAAAGCCAAGGTGTAGAAGGACAGACCTGGAGGGAAACGACGAATTCTGGAGAACCGGTATTGACCGCGGGTCCGATGTCAGAGAGCACTGTGGACGTTGCTTTGAGTTGTTTTATAGTTTATCATAGCAAAGTAGCAGGTTGGGTCACTCGTACGGAATCACAGCGAAGCAAAGACCTCAGCTTGATCCTTCCAGCGGCTCACAGGGCGCAGCATCGACTGGTAACGGGTAGGGAAAACAAACACAACGGGTGACGGGAAGTTCTACCGCCTTTTCCCTGCCCTGCGACTCTCGGCTTGAAAAGGAAAACATATCAGCTTTGCAACACTGCAAATGGGTTCTCGATACAAACCTGCAGACTTCGCCTTCTTGGGTACACCCTTCCCTCGCTTCTTCTTTGCCGCAACGTCCTGCAACCTCATCTCCTCATCTGGATCCACAATGCTCCATTCCCCGCGACACATTCGGTTGAATTGGGTGACGGTCAACCGCGGCGGGTAATAATTGACCATGGCGGGTCCGCGAAGGCGTGCACGGAGATATTTCGCACCAGTCCGAACTGATGTTGGGTTATATGACGTTTGAAATATCGCGCATCGTAGACGAGTAAGTGCCGCGAGGCGCGAGGGGGCGACGGTGGACATGAGTGCCGTGATCCTGTTTTGGAGATTCACCAAAAGAGGAAGAAGCCAATAGCTTTGTATCCTAACATGTGCAAATACCGCCAAAATAATTGTGTCCTTTCAATCAGCGTGGCGGTGGACCTTCGAGTCTTCGACTTGCGCAACACTTATTCTTAACAACTAGCCTACTCACTTCACCTCAAAGACCTGCTTCGCTCTTTGTCTGAATCCTGCGTATTACGCGTACGTTCAAGGCTGAGGTTCCAACTGCGAGAAGGCTTTACGACCAGTGATTTGTGACGCTCTACGTACAAGTCTTCCAGCTGGTCTAAAGCAGTGGCTTGCTAGTAGTAGCGTGAGCATGAACCGCTTTCCTGCCATCCTCCGCTCTGCTTCTCGTCGCGATGCATCCCCACGTCTCGGACAGACATTATTTTCGCGAGCGCGGTCCTCCAAGGGCGCTGAGAAGTATAAGACTAGGTCGAGACCACCCGCGCGACCGGTACGAAATCCAGTGGCAAGTGCTATGGCAGATGTCCGTTCAGAGCACCCGACCATCTTGATTGCACCAGACGATGTGGCCGCTCACTTCGAGCATATGGTGACGGCCTGGTCCAAAAGCAAAATGTTGGCACAGCGCCTGTACGAGTTTGGGATTCCTCAGCAGCACATTCCTGTCCTCCTCTCCATCTTCGTCAAGGAAATGTCGCTGGGAAACGTGATGAGCACCCTCCTATACACTCACGAAGAGGTCTCCCGGATCGCGTACGATCTCTCCCACCCAGGCACGAGCAATATGGTGGACATCTATCTCACCAAAATCTTGTACGAGTGGGCCACCCGCCGGGTCGGACAGGTGGCTTTGGCGAAGGACCTGCCTCCCGATACTCTGTACAAACTCACCCAGCTCTTCGAGGCCGCCGACCTCTCCCGCCCGTTCACGTGGTTCCGCTATGCTCGTATGTCAGAACGTCGGAAGGTCATCATGCACGTCGGGCCCACGAACAGCGGCAAGACCCACAACGCGCTCCGGGCGCTCGCCGCGGCGCGAACAGGTTTGTATGCGGGCCCGCTCCGGCTGCTCGCGCACGAAATTTGGGAGCGGCTCAATAACGGCCAGATCGTGCCCCTCGGCGCCTCCCCCGAAGCGGATGCGGAGCCTGACCCCGGGACGAATGTGGAACTTGGGGACGCACCCGTCGGAGGCAGTGGTCCGGTCTTACAAAGGGACGGGGACCCGAGGTACGCGCGGTTGTGCAACCTGATCACCGGGGAGGAGCAGAAGATCGTCGATGAGAACGCGCCGCTCACGAGCTGCACTGTGGAGATGGCGTCTACAAGCCGTACGTTCGACGTCGCCGTCATTGATGAGATCCAGATGATCGCAGACCGCGATCGTGGTTCTGCGTGGGCCAGCGCAGTGCTCGGACTCAACGCCAGAGAGTTGCATCTCTGCGGCGAAGAGACAGCTGTCCCTCTCGTGGAGGCAATACTTCGCGATACCGGCGATAAGCTCATCGTCAATCGGTATGAGCGGTTGAGTCCCTTGGAGGTAGCGCCGAGCAGTCTTGAAGGAAACTTGAAGCTCGTGCAGAAGGGTGACTGCATAGTCACATTTTCACGCAAGAACATCTTCGATATCAAAAACAAGATTGAGAAGATGACCAATTTGCGTTGCGCCGTCGCATATGGGCGGCTCCCTCCAGAAATTAGAAGTGAACAGGCATCATTGTTCAATAAACCCGGCAGTGGGTACGATATATTGGTTGCCAGTGATGCTATTGGCATGGGACTCAACTTGTATGTCTTCAGTGCTTCTGATTGGAAGAGACTGAATTCGGCTCTCTTAGAAAGATCAAGCGCGTCATTTTTCAGGCAGTTTCCAAGTTCGACGGCGGCAAGTTGAGACAGTTGTCGACGTCCCAGATTAAGCAAATTGCCGGTCGAGCGGGACGGTATGGGTTGCATGGAACCGATTCATCCGCAGGAGTTGTGACCACGTTGTTCGGGCCCGACCTTCCTGTGGTGCGGAAGGCATTGCTGCGTCCGATGCAGCCGCTCAAATTCGCTCGACTCTCGAATGGCGCGCAGGATTCTTTCCGTCACATCGTTAATGCCCTGCCCAGGGATTCAGCAGCCCGCACTATCATACAGGTGTATCAGTTCGTGGCGAAGATGCATCCCATCTACGAGTTCGTGGACTTCGCCGCCATGCGCGCTAAGCTCGACTTCGTCGATGAAGTAGCCGGCGACCTCACCATTGCCGACCGCAGCCTTCTCCTACAGGCGCCTACACCGTGGAGTGACGAAGTGGCCTTACAGGCTTGCGGTCGCATGATGGTGCTATATCGCACCGAGATGCGGGTGTCGCTGAAGCGGGCGCTCAAGGATTCAGGTCTTTGGGACAGCTTCAACGACATCTTGCGGATGAGCGAGACATCCTCCGAGCCTGAACATTTTGGAAACGCCTTGCAGATGTTGGAGTCGCTGCACAAGACGATTGTGATGTACTTGTGGCTCAGCTACCGCAAGATGGTTGGGTTCCCAGATCAAACGGAGGCGTTTGAAGTGAAGGCACAGGCGGAGCGGGCTATGGAGTGGTGCTTGGAAAGGTTGACCGCTGCACGCTTACAACAGAGCGAAGAGCGACAACAAGGGAAGAAGATCTGGCCCAAAAAGGAGCCACAGGTAGAAAAACCAGGACGCCCACCAAAAGGGCAAAGCGACGTTACTTCAGGTATAGTTTTGTCCCTTTTACGCGGTGTATGTCTATATTCATCGTACTTCTACAATTTCCAGGAGAAGGACGCTCCAGCCGAGGGTGGGTTCAACCTGCTGCGTTGCAGTGAAGGACACTGGTCACGTGCACTTATTTGTGTCGCTTTGGCTTCGAGCCTGAGTCCGAGTTGTTGAACGTTGAATTCAGTCTGCTCTGCATTTCACCCTCACAGGCTCCGTCGTCACCGTTTACTCCCCACATAGGCTGGCTCCTTGTCTGCTCCTCTCCTTAACGACATATAACGAATTCGTATTCATGATGTTCCCTCAACGCCTACTAGTCGCCTTCGTCCTATTCATGGTCTCGTTCGTCCAGTCCCTGCCTACCAGCCATAACTCAGTATCCCCGAGCTCCGCCCCGAGGTCATCCTCTATTGAGCCAGGAACCCTACTCGGTCGGCATTATTCGTACCAGATGCGCAGCCCGGCCATGGGCGCAGACATCGCGCAGGACGCAGAGCCCCTATCCCCAAGCCCGCCGCTGCCTCACCACCACTCCTCACAAAAGAGACATTCGTCGCCGTTCCCCAAGTATCTTGCCGAACGCACCGCATCCCACTTGCGCGCACGCGACGTAACTGAGGACAACTACGTCTCCTACGTCGGCGCCAAACCTGCCGAAGGTGCCTACGGAGAACCCTACCCTTCCCCGCCGGCACAGCCCACGCCGTCTGCAGAGTCGGAAACCAACAGTTCCGTCACTGTCGCGTCCCGCTCCACCGCTTCTACGGAGGCGAAGGCGAAGCATCCCAAGACCACGAGCAAGAAGAAGGCGGCGGCGGCGTAAGGACACCTGGGAGTAGGGTTGTAGATATCTTGCCATTCATCCCGTTCATGTCACAAATCTCCATCATACCACTACCATAGGACTTCGACGGATTTTCATCATGTCGCCGACCATTACAGCATGTAGCTATACTAGCCGGCCTCTCATCGTATAATCTTCTAGAGATACATCAAATAACTGCAATACATACCTAGACATACGACTAGTTACTCAATACATGACACGAACACGAGAACGAGCACTGATGGCACGTCTTAGTACGCAATAATTATGCTAGCAAGTCCCTTCCATACCCTGCGGGTCATTCACTGTCGACCCGGCAAGTGAACCCATCTCGTTCAGTGTCCCAGCGAACAAGTCGTCAAAACCCTGCTGAAGCCCGAGCCGCTCCAGAGTAAGCTGGAAGTCCTCTGCTTCCGTATCCAGCTGCGCGAGCCACTCCTCCATCCTGTCTGTCCCTGCGATGAGCATACTGCGCAGTCGCGCTCGCTCTGTCTGACTGGTTGGCGTTGAGCGCAACACAGTGTCCGCGGGAAGCACGATATCAACGCCCTGACTTGCGTCGGGGTCCCAGGTCTGGCAGCGTAACACGGCGAGCCAGCCATGGTCGAGGTTATCAAGCCATGTTAGCAGTTGCGAGAGCGTCTGCACGTCGGGTGCGTAGCCAGGTATCGCATTCAGGACATCGCCAGTCAGGCGCAGGAGCAAGGATGTGCGCAGCGAAGCGGAGGGATCAAAGGGGGGTATCTGGAGTATGAGCGATAGGAGAGTGTGGGATGCAGTCAGATATGATGCAAGCGTCTGGAGGGTGGATGTGGGCTGTGATCTGCAGACCATGCATGACACAGTTGCACCCAGGATCTCGAGCCGAAGACAACTGACCGCTTCTTGTAATTCCGGGTTACATCCAAGAATTTTTCTTCGAGATAATCCACCAATTTTCGCTCTTGCTTGGCGTTTAATGGACGTACTCTGAGACTGTCCTGGGGTAATGCTTCAGGTTCCTTGCTGTCCATGGAAATCTCGCCGTATTCCATGTCTATTTGTCGGAGTCAGAAATCGCTCAAGTCAGCGCAGTGAGCCAGGTATATACCCTTTACAGTCCACTGGGTTCAATTTCGTCAGCATACATCATTCCCATCATCGTTCCGGAGATACCTTACGGGGGCAAATGCGATCGTGTCTTGTTCAAGGCCGCTCGATCGTAAAGCACTCCAGAACTGCACACAGTTTGAGATGAACACCTGATAAATGTAGATTACAGATTTTCAGACGTTCTCTGTGAGGTTATAGCTGGCAATAGAAAGAGGAGGAAGTAAACGTTGCATTCTAAACCGCTAGCATGGTCACTTGCGGCCGCAGCGCGTCGTTCTAACTTCCCTTTTCTGGCACCGCTCCACCACCAATGCATGGGCGCTTGTGGAAATAGCGGAATGTTGGGACCTGGTCAGGAACATGATAACTCCTCCCGCACAGTTGCGAACGAGACTACATGAATACGTACGTATGCAAGATCGTGGGATAAACTAAAGGCTCCAAGAAACTCCAGAATGAAAATTGAGAATAGGAGAAATTCAGTCGTCCGCGGGCTACCTGCCAGTGCTCCGAGCCAATCTCTCCGCCTCGCGACACTTCCGGCTGGCGTTGTCGACGGCCTGCATCCACAACTGGCAATCTCGAGCAGACGTCGCCTTCAAAGCGATGTTGTCTCCACCGCGAGGGTAGGCAATCGTAACTTGGAAGGCGAGGTCATCTGTATGCTTGTCAGCAGTGCTGCGCGGTCTACCATGGAGTCCACTCACCTCTCGCTCCTGGGACCTCTCTTATCTGAACCTCTGAAAGGGGTATCGGCTGCGAAACACACATATAATCACCGCTCAGCGGAAGAATAATTGAAACATACCATGCGATAGAGAGTCTTCGCCGTCTCTTCCGTAAGCACTAGGATGTCGCTACAGAGGAATGCACGCAGTTTTCGCCCACTCTTCGCCTTTGACAATTGACCCTCTTTGAGCAACTTTCTCGCCCCCATGTGACGTGTAGGAGCGGTCAAATCAAGTCGCCTAAGGTGAGTTAATGAGACGGCAATCGTTCATTGAGAACTCTATTCTTCTCACCCTTGACCGATCCACAGATCCTTCGAGATAGTCTTCAGTCTCTCGCGTCCCTCCTGTTCGCGGATGGTCTCGTTGATTTGCCCGAGGACACCCTCCGCTATTCTTACCGCACGTTCAAGCTGATTGCGATCTCTTGAAGGTTCGGTATAGTGGACGATCTGTACAAAATGATCAGGACGTCAGCGTCCCATCCCAGTGGTATTAATCTTACCTGTTTGATCAATAGTGGATATCGAGTGATTCGTTGCACTTGCAGAAGGGGTGAGGTTATGTGATTTTTGGATACAAAATCACCTACTAGGAGCAAGCAAATAACTGGAGAGGTCCAGATTCCGGGCTGCAGGATCGTCACGAAGGCTCTGAAATTCTGTGAAAAACTGCCTGTGTGAATAGGCCCACATCAGCGCACCTGCAAACGCGCAGCTAGCCCCGCATTTGACTCCCGAAGGGTTTGGAGAACTTTTATTGCTGTTGCTTGGTTCACGCAATACTCCTGCAACCAAATGACATGAGAAAACACTACGCCGTGGGGCAGGGTAACTAGCCATGTATATGCTCATTTGAACCATGCCATCCTTGAGAATGTCACTGATCCTGTCGACGTACAAGCGACATTCCTTCTGCCTTTCCTCCAGGGAACTGAAGAACGTCTGCCCACCAACACACTCAGTGCGGTGTATCCTGGACTTGAATGATTGCTTACTGTATTCGTCAGAAGAATATCCTCGATGTTGGCGAAGATCACTGTGATCGCCTTCTCGTCCAAAAGCGGCAGAAGGTTGGCGTAGAACACCTGCATATTAAGGTTTGATATATTCTGTTTTCTTCAAGGAGAATAGCAATATACCTCGACGATAAGTTGGAGATCCCTGACATAAGCAGCCTCGGTAGTAATTAGCTCGAAGATAGCCTGCAAAAAAAACAATTCTCATTCCTGTAATATTGCATGCCCATTGAGCTGCTTACCTCTTGACGACGACGTTCTTTGGTCGGGATCTCCACAAGTGCTGACTTGTCTACAAGACTAGCCCATGACTGAAAATCGGTCGTGAGCAATGTCAACCAGAGATTGGGCTCATTGTTCACTGACCGAACCGAATGCGACTTCATCTTCCTTGGTAGGGGTGCCAGAATCCTTGATTAGGATAGGAGCCGATATCGTTGGCATCGTCCGGGATTCTCCGTCATTGCCAGGTGCCCTGAGTCCGAAGAAGCTCAAGAAATGAAGACCCCGACTCTCGGGCTCAGCAGACGCACTCCTCGGCACCGGCGTCGTTGGGCTGGGCACTGACATCGACGCGCTCGTACTTGTTTCGACCGAGGCCATCGACAGACGGTTCGTGGACGAGTGCGCCAGCTTGAAGGTCTCATATCGCTCAAACGCGTCGTCTAGACGGAGAGCATTATTGTCAGTTTCCTCATGGTCAGCCAGATGGGGCAGATCCTTCTGCGGGGACTTGGCAGCGACACGCTCCGGAATGGCCGGGGGTGGGCGCCGTCCCCGACGACTCCTTGTTCGCACCGGCCGTGGAGGTGGCTCGACGTCCGATTTGAAGATGAAACCTGCTGCTTCCAATACGCGTTGACGTTCGAGTTCGCGTGCCCCTCGCTCGACCTTACGAGCCTCTTCTGTCACTTTTTCATCATCCTCAGCCGATTCAGAATCTGAGGTCGATACGTAGTCAGTCTCGGACTCGGAACCTGAATCTTCATCCTGGTCGACTTCGTCGGCGTTAGAGCCCTGATGCACGGGAGGTGGGGGAGGTAAGGTCTTAACCTCAGATGAAACGGACAGGAGTTGATATCTTGATGCTACCGCCCGATATGCCTCGGATACTACATAGCCGACGTGCGAATTGATATTGTTCGCATATATTTGAGGAAGATTACATGCAAAGAGAAAAGACGAAATTACTTCAGCCTGCCAACAAGTAAATGAAAGATTCAAGGAAGACGGACTGATCTACTAACCCTCCAGAATCTCCAGGTATCCTGCTGGTACGATAAACACCGCTCCACCCTGTTCTGCTTTCCACCAATCTGGATCGCTGCGATCTACAATAGTTAGTTCGTCTTCCTCAGCGAAAGACATTTCGTCCGGGCTGCTGCCTGCGTAAGCATACAAGGCCTTGGCTTTGGCTGTGAGGTCAATGATATTGGTCAGTCAGCGGCCCATGAAGTGATTGGCGAAAGACGTACTAGCTTCTATCTTCTCGACATAGGTCTTAGGGAAGAAGCCTGACTTGCTATCTCGGACGAGAGTACCGTACCACCAATCGCCTCCAGACTTCGAGGGATGCGCACCGAGAACCACATTTTCTCTGAAAGCTACATCACATGGATTAGTATCCAGCAGATACTAAAGGGATAATTACTCACATAGATCCTCCTGACGTTGTCCTTCATAAGGATAGAGCGATCGAACGCGATACTCTAAAGATGCAGATGCGTGAGTAAGCATCGACAAACCAATCATTAATGAGGACTCACCAATAGACTTGTCCACGTCCGCCATCACGTCATTCTCCTCCACAGCCTGGACCTGTATGTGCGGAACAGTAGCAGGAGGCTCATCCTCTTCTTGCATCGACGGCAAACGCGACATCTCATGTCGCATAGCTCCTCCGTCTGCTGCTAGGCCTGCATACCAATCCACAGACTCTCTATTGCTCGACTTCGAACTCGTCAGCTGCGGCATCTCCAGAGTGAGCTCCGGAGGAGCAGCAATAAACGAAGGAGGCGAAGGGGCTCGGGGAGCATTACTGATGTGGGAAGGAGGAGCAGTGTCACCCAGTACTTGGCCCGCCAGAGCAGACGCGCTGCGATCATTCGTCTGTACCTTCCTCAACCTGGCACCCGCTTGAATCGAACCAAGAAGAGCGCTACGATCACCTGCAGGTGCAGGTGCAGCCACCGCTGGTGCAAGTGGGGCTGGAGGGGCAGCCGGAGCAACCGGAGCAACCGGAGCAACCGGGGGTCGAGGCGGCGCAAATGGGATGTTAGTAGTCATTGGAGGGGCTGACGGTGGGGGTGGCGGAGGGGTCGGAGCAACCGGAGTTGACGGCTCGGACAGGTCCGATGGCCTGGAAGGAGCAGCCGCAGATTGAGGACGCGACGGTGGCAAAATACTACCGAACAGTTGCTGCGCAAGCTTGTTGCGGGTGTCGCGCGAGGAATCTAGTTCATCCTCACTGCTATCGTCGACTTCCTTCTCTTGAATCTCGTCCCATTCGTCTTCGCTTTCTCCAGGAGCGGTGTGATATGTGGTCTTGATTGCAGCCGGAGCCGGACTTTTTGACGGAGGGGGAATGGACGGCGCACGGGGCGTAGGGGGAGGCGCAGGCGTACGAGGAGTAGCTGGAGTAGAAGGCGGCACAGGAGAAGCGGAAACCTGGCTCTTGAAGAAGGGATTAGTATTACCGTTCGCAGCTGGAGCAGAGGGAGTGGACGTGGTAGCTCCAGGACTCTCTTTCAAGAGACGGCTGAATGGGTTATTGACATTTTTCTCTGAAGGTGTCTCCGCAGGTGTACTTGCAATCGGTACAGGCGGTACTGGCGGCGGTGGTGGCGGCGGCGGCGCGATAACTGCAGCTGCTCTGGGACTAGGGGTAATTTCCGGAGGTGGAAGTGGGGGTGGAGCTGGAGCTGATGCAGGAGGTGCAGGCGAAACTGGAGGCGGCGCAGGCGAAATTGCAGGGGGGACTGGTGCAGCTACCAGGGATTGCGCGGCAGCCTTCGCTGCACGACGCCTAGCTTGATATTCCTCCTCTGCGCGCCTCGCCTCTTCCTCCTCTTCTTCGAGTTGTCGAAGGCGCGCCAGACGTTCACGTTGCTTGCGCAGTGCTTCCTGACGGGCGCGGATCTCTTCATCCTCGTCGACATCGGGTACAGCTGGTGCGGGTGGGGGGACAGGCGCTGAAACAGGGGGTGTTGGTGGTGCTGGTGGTGTTGGAGCTGAGGGCGTTCGTGAGACAACAGGCGGACGAGGTGCAGGAGCTTTCCTAGGCGGAGGAGGAGCAGGGGCCCTTGACTTCGCAGGAGGCGGTGTGGGTTTCAGTGGAGGGGCCTGCACAGTGGGCAGAGGTGCAACTGGTGCAGGTGCTGACGGCGTAGGAGGTGCAGGAGATGCTTTCCCTTCCTTCAATGCCTTCTCACCTTCGAGCCTTTCCCTGCGGATCCGTTGCCTCTCTTCAGCCTCTCTCTCCGCAGCCCTTGCCTTTTCTTCGGCCTCCTTTTTCTCTCGTGCCAATCGATCTTCAACGGTGGTGTCCAGCTTCGGTGAAGGGGTTGAAGAATTCACAACACCAAGAGCAGCCATACGCTCTTGCAAGCGCCGTTGACCCTCAGCACGAATAAATGCCTGTCGTTCCTCTGGTGTCATATTCTTCAAAGCAGGAGCAGGTGAAGGGGCCGGTTTAGGAGCAGCGGGAGGTAGCTTGCTCACCGAACTGGGCGGTGCAGGGGGCGGTGGAGGTGGCGGAGAGCGAACAGCGGAGGGACTGCGAGGACGGTCGTAATCCCTATCTCTGTTGCGAGAATATGGCCTGTCTCTGGCGAAGTCGCGATCCTTGTCCCTGTCATAATCGCGATCTCTGTCTCTGTCTCTGTTGTAGTCACGGTCTCTGTCGTCTCTGTCGCGGTCCCTCTCCCTCTCCCGGTCATCTCTGTCATACGTTCCTCGAAGATATCCTCTGTCGTCTTCGCGGTCGCGGTCGCGGTCATACGATGAGTAACGCTCGTCTCTGTCGTCATATCGTCCAAACCTGTCGTTACGCCTGTCCCTGTCCCGAGCCCACTCCCGCTTCTCTCTTTCCTTCCGCTCTTCCCTGTCTTTGATCTTCCTCTCCACTTCGGGCAATCGCTCGTGCATCAACTTCAGGAGCTCTCGCTCGAGCTTCCGCCGTTCTTCGTCTTTTGACGGCGTCCTCGGGCCCCGCGAGACATAGTCCAAGTCTTCCTGCACCCGCTTCACCTTGTACTTCAGGTCCGCCATCTCCCTGTCGAGCTCCTCGTCCTCAGCCGTCCGCGACGCGTTCTCGGTCGCAGCCCGGTCAAGCATTTTCGCCGTGTTTTCGAGCTGCCGCTTCATATCGTCCAGCTCCGCAGACGGGCTGTCGTTCTCGCTCGAAGTCCGAATCGCGCTCCTGTCCACGTGCCGCGACCGGGGCTGATAGAACCCACCCGGCGGGCTCTCGTCGTTGTACTTGTACACCGTCGCATCTTGTCGTCCGCCCGCACCGGGGACAGAGGTACTGTGCAACGAGCGGTCACGTAGCCGCGAGACGGGTACGTCGAACCCTGAGGGCGAGCGTGCCCGAGTGTCGTTCTTGAGGATGTCCTTGAGTAAGTTCACGGACGTGTCGAGGTCTTTATGCGACGGCGGCACGAGCTCGGGCGGAAGCTCCTCAGGAATATTGTTCCCGTTTAATTCTGGTGTGCTTGTCAGTCGTATTCAATGACACAGTAGCGAAATCCGTACTCCGGTAGATGAGACCCATAGCAACGTGGAACTCTGCGAGATTCAGCTTGCCGCGATTATCAGCATCAGCGAGAGCCCTACCCCAGAGTGAGCGACTGAGATACAAGAGATATCCAAGTACACACCATATCTTTGCCAGATCGTTCTTGTCCAGCCCGCTCTGACCAAACACCTCCAAGGCAGTCTGCCCGCTAATGAAGCCAGTGCCCTGCGCGTCCCATGCCCTGAAGATCTGATCATAGCTCTTCTTCTCCGCCTTGGACAGCGCCCACGGGATCTTCGGGGCGAGGTTCCCCCGTTGCGCCTGGTTGTGCTGCTGGAAGGACTGCTGTAGGGACTGCGCAGCCTGCTGTTGCAGCTGCGGAGCACCGCCAGACGTGTACGGCATAGACAGGTTCGCTGGCAGAAAGGAGTTCGACATCATCTGCAGGCGCGGGTCGACGAAGCCCGTCATCTGGGGGATAAGTGGGCGCATGCCGCCGCCCGTGAAACCTGTAGGCTGAGCGGTTAGCGGTGTGGTAAGGCCTGGGGACGCGCTCATGAAGCTGCTCGTCTGCTGCTGCGGCAATCCCAGAAAGCCGCTCCTCTGTATATTCTGCTGCTGCTGGAACTGAGAAGGAATGGGTGGTACAGGTGGTACGGCAGACATTGACGGTACCGGTGGTGGTGGTGGGCGCTGCTGGAAGCTCCCTGGCTGGAATCCTGATTGAAATCCCTGTTGTTGTTGAGGAAATCCAGTCTGCTGAGGCTGCTGGAAACCCTGGGTGCCTTGGAAGCCCGTCGGCTGCGGTTGTTGGAATCCTGGAGTTCGCTGACCGGAAAATCCAGTGGGCTGCGCAGTGATTCCTCCTACGGGGAAACCTTGCTGAAATTGCTGGGGATTGTACCCCGTTTGCATGGGATACTGAAAGCCCTGCCCCCACTGCGCCATCGCGATGGTGGTCGTCGTTGAGGACGTCGACGACGAGGATCCGGTGAAAGTGGTACAATACGGTTGTCACGCAGCAGCGGTGTGACTGTGGGCGAAAGCGTCACACATCACACTCTCAGCAAAAATATTATTCAAGTCCAACTGATGTTTCATTCGAGTTTTCTATCTACACTGTGGAAGCGACATTCATACGAGTAGACAGTACCGACAACAAGAGGATGATGCTTGCAGCGGCAACGACAATTGGGTGTACATGCAGTTATGCATTACATAGTACAAACTAAGAAAAAAACATTTCAGCATGTATATTCCAGAAAACTCGATGGTAAAGCAAGAAACAAAATTCAGAGAACCGCGTCTCGACAAGCGCAACTTCCCTTGCGAGAAGAGCTTTCAGACGGCACTTCCTAATTGCAATCGGTTTGGAATCATCACGTAGAGCGAGCACGCTGCAGGACTGAAGAGCGCAGTCACTCACATTAAATTTGCACAAGTCACGGATATAGTGCTCGGCTTCGATAGTAATAGCAGTGCTTTATCACAAACACCTCAGCACGCCAATACGCACCTTCCTAAGATGACGTAAGCTGGTCATCTCGGTAATTGACCTAGGTTACTTCGCAGAGAAAGAAGTGGGTATGCTTCAAGCACACACTTGTGAGACTGCAGAAGTGAATGATCAGTCCAAACGTCGTAAACACCAAGAAAAGATTGTGCAAGTGTCAGAGGTGCAAATTGTTTGGCTGTTTGCTTGCCTTGTCGTCACAGCCTTCAGCTACGACTGGGGCGGCAGCGATCTCATCACAGAGACACAAAAATGACAAGACTCACCATCATGTTAGGTGGACGTCCTTCCAATGGGCACAAAATTCTGTAAGTTGCGTGTCGTATACCAAACCGATACTCTCGGGCAATATGGCCTTTCAAACATGATAAAAGGGCGAGATGTAGTTGGAGGTGAAGGAAGCAGGACTAGATAACAAGGTTGAGTAGAGTGGAAAGCAGGTGGAAAGAAAATCGAAAATCGAAGTTTTGAAACGGGTGGCACGTGACATGCACTACTGTCCAAATATAGAAGGTGTAGTGTTCCTCCCGCTTGTGAATCAGAAAACCTGTGTGGCACACCAAATATCTAACTGCTACCCGGGACAGCGCAGCTCTCATAAGTAGTGTTTGAGTTGGGATCCTCCGATATGGATGGGATGGCAGGATGCAGAGCGTTATAAATGTTTTTATGATAATATAAAGTCGCAAATTGGAATCTTTGAGGGACCACTCCCTGACAAGAATTCAATACGAACGGTCACTTTTATAGTAACCAGATGAGAGTGTAGGACACGAATTGCTACAACTACCTGCGTACCGCAGAACAGATAGGACGAAAAAGTCTGCCGCATGGCAATCTGATTGCGTATTGGTTGTTCGCCCCAGCTTATCCAAAAGCGCCCCGTTGTTTCTCTGGCCGTTAGAACTTCGCCAAGTAAACTGAGACCTTCCACCTGCAGAACGTACCGTCTTGCACGGCTGATTTGGTACAGGTGAATCCGAGCTCCGTCATAATCTGCATCATTCGTCTCTATTGCGAGTGTAGATCGCGCCAATCTAGTAATCAGCTTTCATGGATCCTTTGAGAAAGCTATAAGCACTCACCTATGGACAACTCCACTCCTTCACAGTTCATCACCCCCTCGTTTTGCCCTCATCCTTGGCGGATCCTGCACATCAACCCTGCGTACACCGTCTAGAGCATTTAGGGCGCTGAGCACCTCCCCCTGAAGCCTCGGCCAGCTCTCTCGCGGAACACTCAACAATTGGACGTCTCGCAACTGGCCTACCATGCCGAGGTGGGTTAGTGAGGGATGCACAACCAGTGCAGCGGGGTTGACAGCGAAAGGAGAGGAAGAGGTGATGGTGACGGTCAGGTAGACGTTTTCGTCGTGGTTCAGAGCGAGTGGGGCCGACATAGTCAATCAGTGGTGTCTCACTTGCTCCTGCTTAGCCGTCGATTCCAGATTCCGGTTTGATATATCCCAGGTTGAGATGAAGATGAACCTGAGCATATTGGGCAAACCAGACAGTGAAACTCTGGTCAAACCGCAGGGCCAAGTTACATGTACATACGATGATGATGGTTAGATGCCAAAGTTCGGAGCGCCCAACGATCGTTCAAACGTTCACTTCTCTCATTACGACGATCTCTAGCAACGTGCCGAAACAACGAAATCTCCACTAACTTTACCGGACATGTTCAGCCCACTCGCCTCGCAGGTCGGCGGCCACCCGGGCGTGCTTAGCAGTGAAGACGGGTCGCTCGTGATCAAGGCTTCGCTCCCCACCGAGCTAGCATTCTACGAATCTGTCTCTTGTGATCCAAACTTCGCGCCGCTGAAGCCGTTTGTGCCTCGATTCTACGGGACGCTGAGGCTCGCAGGGAAAGTCGATGAGACGACGGCTACTCAGGACCCCACATCGTTCACGGTCCTGGAGGCAGTAAAAGAGATCGAGAAAGATGAGTACCGCATGTTGACTCAATGCTGCGTGCTGCGTGTTGCGTGCTTGCACTGACCTCACTTCTGTCGTACACAATCCATAGTCATCGAGAACCTTCAGTACCCTTTCTTGAGGCCTAACATCTTGGATATCAAACTCGGGACCTTGCTGTATGACGAGGACGCAAGTCCGGAGAAGCGCGCACGCATGGAGAAGACGGCGAGGGAGACGACGTCGTTTGAAACAGGAGTACGTCTCACCGGATTCCAGGTGAGTGTTCAGTTCGGCGCTGGAGCCTCGGTACTTTACGCTTCCGTTTCTGCAAGGTCTACGACTTGACGACAGGCATGCCTGTTGTTACCCCCAAGTCGTATGGAAAATCCATCAGACCCTCTGACCTCCAGTATGGCATTGCACGCTTTTTCCCGCTATCGCCATGTTCGTCCCCTCCCACCGCCGTGTCCAGTGAAAGCACGAGCCGCACGTCAAGTCCTTCCGTATCTCGCTCGGCGTCTGACCTCACTGCTACATCATCTACTGGATTATCTTCCGCATCTACGCTTAATCTCAACCCAGAGCCGGAAGAAGTCACAAGCTCAACTGCAAGCACCGCTCGCGGCATCGGCACGCAGGTCGGGACCGGCCTTCCGCCAGACATCCTTCTTCCAGTATTGCAAGCTATTCGCCGTAACGTCGCGGAGATCCGTGCTGCACTTGCGAGAATGGAAGTCCGCATGGTGGGGGGGAGTCTACTTGTGGTATACGAGGCCGACTGGCCGCGCGCACGGGCGGGCTTGCGAATACTGGAAGAAATGGCGGCTCGTCCAGCGCACGGTGAGATGACGGTGGAAGAAGTTGAGATGGAGGATGATTCTGAGGGTGAGGAGGAAGAAGAAGAAGGAGACGAAGATGATGATGATGAAGACGATGACGACGACGACGACGACGACGACAGCCGACCGAAGCCTATCGGTCCACCATATGTCGTCAAGCTGATTGACTTTGCGCATACGCGAATCGTTCCCGGTAGGGGCCCAGATGAGGGCGTCCTTCTTGGCTTGGAAACTGTGCTTAGTCTCTTGGACGGTAGAATAGATGAGATAAGGGCAGTTTCATAGCTACGGCGTGCGTTCATTTATCCTTACTGCTTAGAAATTGTGTGGACAAATATGGGCCCTGTAGTCGTCTTGAGTTTGTGCTCGTGCACTGATTCCCTGCGTACCCGTTCGGAGGAGTAAGCATGATGTTGTGGAATTACTTATGCTACCAAGCTTACATGTGAACGTAATTGCGCGCTTAGTACGCGTCGACGCGTCTCGATCACGTGGGGGCTGTAGTTAACACCGAGTCCCGCATTTCTACCGTCTTGTTCACGCCAAGTTCACGCTGAATCCACAGCTATCTAATTGCATCTGATACCGAGTAAGAGATAATATCGACCCTTATAACAGATGTTTTATTTGTCACTTATCTGTTGAACTTTTTGGATATCGTATTCAGGTACAACCCAGTTAACTTCATCTCTATGGCGGCAACTGAAGGCGAAATGACCAGGAAACGCCCACGCGTCAGCTCCGTGTCTGACTCTCCCTCGGGCCCCACCAACGTGAAGTCCCAATGCGACGTCGACCATCTTAAATGCAACCCAGAGTTCTGGTTCAAAGATGGGAGCGTCGTCCTTGTCGCTGAGGAGGAAACTTTCCGTGTCCATGCTGGGGTTTTGTCGCGCCATTCTGCGGTTTTCCGTGGTATGTTGGATGCCCCGGAGGAAACGGGTGCACGACTGGACGGCTGCCCAATCAGACGACTTTCAGACTGCGCACGACTTAAGAATCCTTCTATCTTCCCTTTACAGTCGTTTGCATATGAAACTGGAAACACGATAATGAAATCTTTTGTTTGTTTGGGCCAAATATTGCCTTAACGAGTATCACTAAGTCCTCACTGTGACTGACCGTCACGTATGCTGTTTACTATGAGTCCCCAATTATGAGCCAGCAATTGTGTGAGCTATTGAAATAAGTGAGTGTTCTGCAGTCTCGAGTATTTCAGGCAGCAGGGAGCCCATTCGCAAAGCGCAGGGAGATTCGACGTGGCACAGCTACGGTATCTACATCAACTAAGTGCCCGTCAGGCGCCCAACAAGCACCCGGAAGCATACAACCTTCAAGACCAAAATAAATCTGCAACATGAGCTTACTGCTCACTGGTACCCTCTTGACAAGTTCCCTGTGTCCAACAGAGTGCAGCTCTCTGGATATTGCAAATCTGCCATCTATAAGGTTGTGCAACTCTACCCGGAGAATCAGGGAGGTATTGCCAGGTCTCCAACCCAATTGCTCAACTGCAAGACCACCCCAAGAACTCTATGCAGGCTGCAGTGATGTTTGATATCTATCCACTCTTTCAAAACAAGTTCCTCAATATATTTGGCTGAGATTCAGGGAGTGAGCATCATAGCGCACGGCGCCAGGGAGCAAGAGAGTGTGACTGGTGTCACTGACTCAGTCATACTCAATAAGGCAATATTTGGCCTGAACAAATAAAAGATTTCATCGCCGTGTTTCCAGTTTCATATGCAAATGACTGTATGATAACCATGGGACCTTGATTGGACATGCACAAGGGTGGGGTATCCAATGTATAGTAGCATACACCATGCTACGTAGAGATGCCTTCGGTTTTGGAACTGACTCACAGAATCTGCAGAAATAGTCTGTGTCCATTGCATTCTCCGCTCCTGTCGTCCGCATGCTTCAGAAGGGGCAAGGCCTCTTGTGTTTATAAGTCGTCTAAGGCGATCTAGTTACTGTAATGCGTTGTCATAGCTATGGCGAGTCGTGAAGACCTCTGGCCCTGTCTCGTGTGCTGGAAAGATGCATCCACATCAGGAAAACCCCACTTTTCCTTAAAAGGGCACTTAAACAACTTAAATGGACTTATAGTCCTTATTTAAGGACATAAGGACAAAAAGGTCTCAAGGCATATTCCCTGAGTGTCTGAAATTCGACTTATTGAGACTTATTTGAACACTTATGGCCTTAAATAAGGGTTGTCAGACCCAAAAGTCTAAATAAGTCCATAAGAGAAAGTTGGGTTTTCCTGATGCAAGCAGTGCTCTCGATGCAAGAAGGCCCACTATTGTAAGCAAGAGCATAGTAATGCCGTGAGTCACGCGGATACTTTACTTTCATGGAGGTCCTGATGCATAGTAGGATTGAAAATAGCACAAGCCCAAATGTGATTACTTGGTGAAAGGAGGGCCGAATACTAAGCGGTGGAGTGTACAAGCCATCCTCTTCCCTGCGGACAGCGACACTCCTCGTCCCATCAAGGTTGATTACAAGTTTCAGCCAGATACTGACATCTTGTATGTGCAGCGCCATAAGTGGGACTGGCATCCATGGTTCAAGGAGACCCCATCCATCAAGACATTCTGCAGGTACGACGATGAAACATCGAGTCTGGCCTAGAGACTCACAGAAGTTAGTTGAGCACACTGCTCGAAGCTTGTGTCGCCATCAAAGTAATCCCTTGCCATCGCTCGATTTCACATTGCAGTGCGAGGATCTCAGCATTCTTTTCTTCCACCTCTGCCTTTGCTCGCATCTTCATCTGCCTCTCTGCCTCTTTGACTGCCTTCACCTTCCTCTGTGCTTCTTCCACCTCCACCTTTGCCTTCCTCCGCGCCTCTTCCGCTTTGGTGTAACGGGTCAGTTCTGACGACCGTTACTCGTTATGGACTGCTTACTACTTACATAAGCAAGTTGCTTTTAATCCTTTACACTCACCATCTAGCTGTACTTACTCAGTCTTAGCTTACTCTGGCTATATATTGAGTCCACTACAGCCCTGGTGAGCCTAAGGATCTAGGCTCTTTACACTTTTTTTGTAGTCTCAGAACTACTGCTGAAGTTCTGCTATGACTGGATACTACTGGCTGGATGGGCAGGAGCACTCACTGTGCCCTGCACGTCATACCTACCTGGCAACACCTCTCAGGACCTCTGAAGTCACGGTCATCATCAGTGACATAGGCCGTGTTGCCAACACACTGCGAGGATGAGTTGAGGTGAACAACCTCACTCATTGGCTCACAATCGCCGACTGGCTGGTCGAGCGACATCTCCACCTCGCCACCCTCCACGAGCGCTACGCTTGCGAAGATGGCCTTACCACCATCAAGCGTGCTCACCGCCGCCTCGACGCCCTCGCAGAACGCCTGGGAGCCGCTGTCACCCGCGCGACTTTCGACGTGGCATGGACGCATCACCACGTGACACGTGACTGCATCAAACGCGACGTCGCCACTCCTACCACAGTACCCGCGCTCCCTGCTTCCCCCTCCCTCGTGTCCGAAAAGCTCGCCAAGCCCGAGCACCCACGCCACATCAAGAACGACGCGCCGCACCTGGACCGAAAAAACCGGCCCCAAAAACCGGTAGGGGAGAGTGTGGGGGTAAAAGAGGCCGAGGAGAGAAGAAGGGAGGAGAGGAGGCCGGAGAAGAAGGTGCAGGAACGGACGCGGCGCGACCAGGAGCAGGAGCGGATGCCGTGCAAGCACGATGACACATGAGGTACGCCCACCCCGTCACCTCCCACAGCGCCACCACCATGCACCCATCTCACCAAGCACCCAACAATGCTGACGGCCCCGACGCGTTCACACACGATGCCACCATGTCGTGGTGCATGCACGCCCACAGCACCCGTGATGCAGGACACGGACGACGTGCCCGCCACGTCACCGGCACCAGGGGCGCGCGACCACGACAGTGCGGCACCAACGCGAGCGAGCACAGTGCCGCAGTGCAGCTGCACGACCGCGCCTGCAGCGGCCGCAGCGCAGGACGCGAATGACGCGCACGCCACATCACCAGCGCGAGGGGTGCAAGCCCGCGACAGCCCGACGCCAACGCGCCTCGCCGTCCGGGCCACCGACCGCCCAACAGCGCAGGTGGTGCCAAGCGCACCGACACACCACGGCTGCACAACAGAGCCCGCAGTGGCCACGGTGCAGGATGCAGACGTCGCAACCGACACACCGCTGGCACCGAGGATGCACCACGCAGGTGCTGATGCACGAGCGCGCCCAGCATCGCTGACACACCACACCGTGCTGACAGCGTCAGGGGCGCATACCCAGGACAACGCGCTCACCACGCTGCCAACACCGAGGGCGCGCCAGGCCAGCGCCACGACCCGGGAGCGCACCACATCGCCGACGCACCCCATTACCACATTGCCGATGCACCACGCCGCATCACCGGTGCGAGGGGCGCGCGTCCACGACAACACGATCCCAGTGCGCCCAGAGGCACACCATGCTGTCCCCGCCGTGAACCACCCAATGGTGCCCATGGACCCGAGTGCGCCGCTGGTGCACCCCCCTTCCCCGCCGACCACACACCCTGCATCCGACGTCCACGACGGACCGCCACCACCCTCATGCACCATCAAGCAGCCGACCTCAACGGCGCCAGCGGACCACGATGCAGCGCCACGGCATCGCACCCAGGACACCCCCGAGGCAGCAGCACCTGTGTATGATGGTGCACAGTTGCTGCCCCACCCACCCTTGTCGACCTTGTCGACTCCCCTACTATCCGTTCCACCTCTGCAAACTCGAGGGCCCAACCCTCGACTTTGCCACATCAACTGGCGCTGGCAGTGGGCCCGCCCACAGGACCCATGCCTCCCAAACCACTGCATGCGGTCTCCTCAGACACCCCCGGTCATTGTCTATGGAACCGTAACCTGAGGTGGATCCGACGGGTTTTTTCTGGAGCAGGAGGGAGTGTGCGCATCGCACATTTATTTTATGGTATACATTCTCTTTATTTCCCTTATACATAGTGCACTTTACTTTACCATCCTCATCTATTCCCCTTCTCTTCCTTTCTTCTCCCCTGGGTTGTTTCTGGTAGGGGAGGGTGTAACGGGTTGGTTCTGACGACCGTTACTCGTTATGGACTGCTTACTACTTACATAAGCAAGTTGCTTTTAATCCTTTACACTCACCATCTAGCTGTACTTACTCAGTCTTAGCTTACTCAGGCTATATATTGAGTCCACTACAGCCCTGGTGAGCCTAAGGATCTAGGCTCTTTACATTTGGCCTTCACCTTCCTCAGTCTGTGCCTCTTCAGCTAACTTCACCTTCTTCTCTGCCTCTTCCACCTGCTTTGCCATCTTCTCATTCTTCATCCCCTCTTTCTCTATGTGTTGTTTTATATGCTCCTTCTCAGCCTTAAAGTCATCCTGTATCTTTCGTGTGAAATTCTGAACATCCTCAATGGGTACAACTGACACTCCCTTCACCCACCCTTGCTCTCGTGTCTTTACCTTTGTGATTTCACATTGAGACTAGTTGTCATCAACTCCCAGACAAGACTGGCAAACCAGAAGCAGTTATACTCAGTCAAGCTATAGTGCCAGTGAGGGTCTGTGCATTGGTTCACACAATGCACAGACCCTCACTGGCACTATAGCTTGACTGAGTATAACTGCTTCTGGTTTGCCAGTCTTGTCTGGGAGTTGATGACAACTAGTCTCAATGTGAAATCACAAAGGTAAAGACACGAGAGCAAGGGTGGGTGAAGGGAGTGTCAGTTGTACCCATTGAGGATGTTCAGAATTTCACACGAAAGATACAGGATGACTTTAAGGCTGAGAAGGAGCATATAAAACAACACATAGAGAAAGAGGGGATGAAGAATGAGAAGATGGCAAAGCAGGTGGAAGAGGCAGAGAAGAAGGTGAAGTTAGCTGAAGAGGCACAGACTGAGGAAGGTGAAGGCCAAAGTGGATGAGGTGCGGAGGAAGGCAAAGGTGGAGGGTGACATGCATCCTTTAAAAACCTGCAAGTCTGCAGGACAGAAGCACATCCACATTTCGCAAGAAGGGTGTCTAGAGTTTGTGACATGAGAAGGTGGTCTGCAGCAGGAAGGGGGGGTGAAGAAAGGAGCTTAGTATCAGTGCTGAAATCTATCATGGACCTGGGCGTTGTGGATCCACTGATGCTGCATGACTGGTGGTCAACACATCATTGGGCAAGGATGTACCCATGCATGCTGTCCTTCTTTGCACTGTTGATGATGGTAGCCACGAGAAATTTATAGCTGACATTGTTTTCCTCCTTGTAAAAAGTGAGTTCGGAGACTTGGAGGGCGTGTCCCTCCCATCCGTGGAAAATGTACTGTTCTTCAATGAACAATATGTTGCAGTCGCGGTGAAATTTACACCATGCACCCTTGCTGTCATATCAACAAAACAAGCCACAGATATTTGGTGTTCAGTATGCCTCGCTAGTGAAATGTTGTGCTGACATGCTTACACTTATGCTGATGTTACCATTTGTCCCTCACTCCTCATAGTCCTAAAGGTTCGAGATCAGTTCTACAAGGGTGCAAAAAAATTCTGGAAGGAAGGGAGCACAGGGGGAACTGCCAGCATGTTTGGCAGTTTTTCACCCAGCTGGTGCACCCAAGGTATGACTTCAACTTCCAATGTTCTCGGACATCTCCCTCTATAGCTTCGAACAAGATAGCTCTGATAGTCAGGCATCACAGCTTTGAAATGTCATCATATCCACAAGCCTATCAGGAAAATCCAACTTTTACTTATGGCACTTATTGTCCTTTTTTGCCTTATTTAAGGCCTATAAGTTTCCAAAAGTCGACTTTTAAGCCTCTAAGGAAACATGACTTATGGACTTTTTGCCTTATTTAAGGCCCATAAGTGCATTTGAGTCACATAAGGACACCTCTAAGTAAAAGTTAGGTTTTCCTGATTTGAAGCAAAACTTCCGGAATCCACGGGAGTGATAGTGGACGACTGGCAGGCAGACTCGAAGTGATATCGTGTGGTGTACATGTATCCTGCAGATCCTTCCATCACGGAACTGTTGACTGAATGATCCTTTACTAATACTAGTACTACCGAAGCAGATAGAAATTGCATTATCAGCCATCGGTGGAGCTAGAGGAACTTTAAACCACGGCGTGCGAGAGATCACCATGGATAGGAACATGCGGGTGGTTGTGAATGCCACCATGGCGAAGATCGAACGAACCTTCTTATAGATTCTCCCTTTCGGCAAGCGGATCGCAGACCTAAACAATATGGGAGAGCAATCCTATCACAGTCACATGAGCAGACACGACATACAAACAGCGGATTCTATGCTGCCATGACATAGACAGGAGCAGATACCCGAGAAGAGAAATCGCAAGTAGGAAGGGTTACGAAGATGCACCAAGAGCTGTAAGCTCTCTCCGGATCTCCGCCTCGCTATCGATCTTCTTCAGCTGCGTCGCCTCCAAACGATCGCCCTTCTCGGCCTTCTCCTTGAGTTCCTCGATGGCCTTCAACTGCAGAGAAGCGTTATCTGAATATTGCAGGGGCGGTAAACGTAACAGATCAACTCACCTTTTTGTTCAAGTTCCTAATCTTCTTCGCGATCGGATCCAGAGTGCTGCCGTCGCCGCTAGGTGTAGGTGGCACAGAGCCGTTTACGGGGCTCGACGGTTCCTCCACAGCACCGTCTATCTGGACTTCAATCGACGGACGTGGCTCCTCCACGCCAGGAGAGGCAGGAGACGACAACCCTTCTTTCTTCCCGCTCTTCTTCTTGCGCCCTCTGCGCTCGACGTCCCCGTTGCGCACGGGAGACGGCGACGTCGGCGCGCCTGGAACGTGTCTCCTACCGTTTGTCTGTACGCGCCCTGGGGCTGGGCTACGGCTGAACCTCCCGTTAGGTGTGGAGGAACCACTCGGAGTACCCTCGTCTCGTGTGTATGCCGCCGATGCCTCTAGCCCTCGCGCGCCAGGTGGGCGATATGCACCTGCCTTTAGTGGTGTGGGCTTTGCCACGGTCGCGTGCTGCTGCGCGCTGGCGGTGGGGGGTGGACATAGAGGCATGACCTGAGGGAAAGCAGGTACAACGTCTACTGGTGTTGGTCGCCATGATGTCTGGTACAGCTCGTCGACTTGCTGCACATGCAGGAGAGGGCCAGTGCAGTGCCAGATCCTAATGCCGTTGTCGACTCGCAACCGCGGTGACAGTGTCGCAGTGAGGAGGAAGCGGCCGTCTGGAGACCACTCGCAGTGTGACGTGTTTGACGCGTCAATGCTGGTGATTTTGATCAGAGATCGTCGGTCGTAGATGTCTACCTTTCCAGCGAGGTTACCAAAACCAGCCATGGCGAACAGACGGCCCTGTGGGTTGAATGAGATGAAGTTGCAGAACGCAGTTCCGAAGTCATGCAGTGAGCGCGCCCTTTGGTCGAATAACATCGCCTTGGCGGGCATATCTATATATTGGTGGATCAGTACTAGCATCACGTAGAGATGAAGAGTCACTGACATCCATAGATCACACCAAACTCTTTCGAGTTCGGACTCCATGCGAAATCATGCACTGGACCCTCCTTGTCTAGTGTCACACGGCAGTCAAAGTTGCCTGCCGCACTAAGCAGGTACAATCCCCCGGTCTCGCCATAATAGCTCTTGTTCGCCTGATCTACTTCCTGATGTGTGAGCACGAGTACTTGAGTTCCGAGCGTGTTCCACTTGATCTGTGCCCGATCAGCCTTAAAGAAAGTCTTCTGGCTTGTGGGTAAACCAGTGATACTGGCAAGGCTGTAGATCTTCACGCTCGCTGGCTGACCCTAGACTTCGATGAGCCCAGCGGCTGCCGATGCGATTGCATACACTCACCTTTTTCTCGGCAACGAACACTGCCACCGACGGGTTTAGACCGGGGCTAAGCGTGACGGTCGTAGCGCCCTCGACCTTCAATTTGTCGACGATGCCCTTTGCCCACTCGGCCGGCCGGTACACCTGGATCTCCTGCCCAACAAGCCGAATCGCGTGCGACTCAGAGATGGTGTATTGAAGGTCCCAGCCTCCTTGCGACTTCTGTGTGAATGAGACAAGCTCCTCCCCAGTGGAGGCTGAGAACACTCGCAGGTTCTTGTGCTGCGAGCCGTCCTCAAGCTTGACTGGCCGTTCCCAAATTGACAAATATGTGCCACGCGGAGAGAAGTTGATCTCGACGATATTGGGCAGCAAAAGCTCTTGCAACAGTTGAGCACTCTCGGCCTGGAAGATCCGCACCCCGCTTGGGATAGCGTATGCAAAAAGACGTCCGTCGGAGCTGTACTGGTAGGTACGTGCGGGGACATCGGGCGATTGGAAATTGTTTAGGGAGTCGTAGTTTGGTGAACCGCCAACGAGGCCGAGTGATTTCTGTGCACGGACTGGGGTGGATTGAGAAGACCGGGAAGGCGGTATGGTCGGCAGGCGACTCACATGCATACTGCTGGGAGGGTTGAGAGGCCATCGGAAGAGACAGAAGGGCTGATCACAGGCAGGAACAGTGTAGAAGCAAGCGAATGCTTCAGCGACGTGGCCGACGACAACGACAACGACAAGAGATGTTCTCCACCAGAAAAAAGGAAACCAGTGAAGGATGCAGTGATTACGTACTCGGGTGCATATCCCGATGTGGTATGTGCTGTCGTTGATCATTTAAGTACTGTAAGTGTAACGGACTGAAAGACTGTTTGAAGTACGATGCACAATCAGGACATAGCTTTATTGTGTATGGTGCATTTCCGTACGATCAGAACACGTATGAACGTCGGAAACAGAAATACAGCGATTTTCCAGGCACAAATATGCAAGCGTAGCTATCTTGAAGTAAACGACTCACATACGAACGAAGAGCAAGGGCAGAAGAACTTCAATACAACAACAACAAAGCCGAAGATGCAGATTAATGTTACATGGGTAGGTAGATTGAGGATTGGGGATAGTAATGAAGGTTCTGGACACGGAACAGACAATAGGGTATAACTTAGAACATGCACGACAGAAGACCCTGCAATTAAAGCTTGATTTCAAGTTCGGCAAGCCATATATTTTTGTGTGCCTTCACGATAGAGATAAGCCATAACCGACTGAGGTGAACTCCGCGATGGCCGATCGCCCACCGTTCGTAACCGTGAGCTACACGGCTTTTCTATAGCCAATATTGTCAATGAGGTGGGGTGACTAGAGCAGTAAGCAAAGCACTCACCGACGCCTTGCCAATAAAGAGGGAAACGGAGGATGAAATACACTCGGCGAGTTGGCCTCGCGTAATAGGTTTGCCTCCGACTTGGAGTTTGATATAAGTACCCGACTGAGTATATCCAGGCCACTGACATATTCCAGTCAAGTTCTGCTAGTGAGCATGACTCAATAGAAGGAGGATGAGATATAGACAACTCACAGCAATGACCAGAGTGATTGATCGATTCCCAATTGTTGCAAACACATGGTCTTCGCTGTTATCGATGACAATGCTTTTGTTGAGAATGTCGCGCACTCGAACACCACGGGCTGCGCCCATTCTGAAGTCAACCTTTTCCAGAGGTCGATCGCTCGAGACCGCCATCGTTTGAGGCACACGCACTCGTACGGATCTAGAAGGAGCCAGGGATAATGTCTGCGTCTGCGATTGCGATTGCGAGATTGCGCCTTCGGATCTGTCCAGTGTAGGCTCAGAAGTGATAGACGCTGATGGACCAGCGCTGTGAGGGTAAGGGTCTTTTGGAAGTTCGGTGAGATTCGAGTCCATTAAGGCAGAGGGGATATGATATCGTAGATTTTGTGATGTCGATGGGTCACTAGGCATGAGCACAGAAGAAGCCAAACGCGGCGATCGTTCTCTGTGAGAATGAGCGTCGCGTCTACGACTGAGAAAACGCGCCACAGGTGCAGAGACGCCGTGACATTGTGGATATCCTGAGGTTGTGGTAGGGTCCGGGATGGGCATCAATGACGAAATTGGGGTGTGTAAGATCGATGATGCGCCGATGGGGTTATTCAAGTGATGGGGGAGATGTGGTTGCCGCACCAACGGAGAAATTCTAGAATAGGGATAAGTGGGAGAACCTACTGAGACACTCGGGAAGGGCATCAAAGGTGATAGCGATGTACGCAAAGCAGTCATGAGCGACTGTATGGAGGAAAGTTGTGAATGACTCGACCGGGCTTGAATCTCCGCGTTAGGTGGGGATAAGCTCTGGAGCGATTGTGTCGGGGAGAGCTCAGGGGGGTATGGGGAGTATATTTCAGGCGGTATTTGATCGAAGGACTGAAGGGGTAGAAATGCCTGTGGGATAATATTGGAGAATATCTGCGGTATCGTTTAGCGCTGATGTCAACGGGTCCTTAATTCACGTACCAATGCGCTTTGGATTGATGATGGAGTAGGAGGGAGCGATGCATCCTAGTCCACAACGTCAGAAACCGCTGCGAACGTTATATGGATGTGCATACCGATTGTGAATTTTCCGGACTGGTGGTCAAAAGGGCATTTGCCAGAGTGTCGAAGTCTGTCAACTCCAGCCCCGCCAGATGATCTAACTGGGACATCTTAAGAGTCGATGATACCCAGCTTGTTCGAAGTACGGAAGCGGGCTGGCGAGGCACTTGGAAGAACTCACAACGGAGTTATATAAGATTCTGGCTACTCAAACTCGAAGACTACGAGTCAGTGGGCCGACTGCTAGTGTGGCTGTGGCACATGAGTCGACCGCCCCCTCGGCCGTTCCGGTAACGCAGGAAATATACGTTTTCGACCAGGTACGATGCCGCCATGACTGCAAGAAGTCTGCGGGGAACCCAGGCGCGCGAAGCGTCAATAAAACACGTTGAAACCTCGAGCGCACAGGCGCAATGCTGTCAAGTACTTGCTATTTAGAAGCACAGCCAGCGACATGATGGGCCTCCCGAGCACGGGGAGGGATTTGGATTTGCTCACTCTGCAAGTTGAAGGGCCACGGTGCGGATCGATTACATGCACTGCCTCGTCGAGGAGGGTAACTATCTTCACCACATAGAATCCAGAAAATTGACCAGAAACTGGATTCAAAGGTTAAGCAGTAGCTGTATACTAGGCGCACGATAAAGTCTCTAGATTTTTCGGGTCTTTTCCTGGCCTTCTCAGATGAGAAATGATAATATCTCGGACTCGGATGCTGTGCGACGTGGCGCTGATGTAAGCTCTCACTCCGATCCATATCTGGTCAAAGTAAGTTTGTAAGTCTGTACCATTGCAGACATTTTCAGTCGTAGAGGGAGTTTGTATTCCACACTCCAGTTGTGGCGACTTCCCAAGATGTCAAAAAGACCGATATGCAGCTTTCGACGGGTGAGTTCCACTACTGGAAGCAAAACCAGCTTCACGAATCATCTTCATTTGCTTGATTTTGATAGTTGTAGCTCAGAACTGCACGCGATTCAACGCACTTGCATGCAACGCATGGCTAGCTCATCAGTAAATGCTGCGCACACCACGAAAACGGTACGACTGCTCGATTTCTCAATGCGATTCGTGACGCACTCTTTCGAGGATTCAGGATCAAGGTCCAGACTGCCCACAAAATCCTGTACAGTCTTCGATGATAGACCAATCGCCTTGGACAATAATCCAGCTGGATTACGTTTGTCAAGGGATGCGTCACAACTTCAACGTGGTTAGTGCTCACTTTCTGTGCACTGCATAGCCCGAGCTGTTAACGTTCGAACTAAGGTACGGCCGTACCACATCGCCCGCCCTGCGCAGCACCGGTGGGATGTCCGACGTCTTTCCATGCGACGTCAACGATTTGTGGAGGGTCTTATGAGGTCCGGTCCAAGATTTGTCCGCTGACCCTGCAACGTTGGACGGGGCAATAACTCTCACCCAGTCACAACGTGCAGCCGGTCTGACTTGTTGAACCCCCCGGGTAAAAAGTAAGGGGCTGGTAGGTTTCAATCCCACGTTTGAAAATATCCGTCTGCTGTGCAGGCTGCATGCCCGGACGGTAAGCGCCGGATAACTGTAGCTTACCATACTCTGCGACGTCGTCTTCACGTCAGGGTGATCGTCTTATCCTCTGGAAGGAGCAGGCAAGTCCGAAGAACGCTGATCGTGCCCTTGTCGCTTTATCCAGTTTATAGTTGAAGCAGCTTATTGTTCTACTCTTTCGCGGGAAAGTAGCCGTGAGTAGCCGCACGTTCTTCCATGCTAGCCTTGTTCTAGGATAATTCGTTCCCCCCGATAAACGCCGTCTATAGACCTAATTGTGCGCCCTCATGGACAAACATCGCGCCAGCGTCAAGTACCCCTGCGTCCCACTTTCCCGCCTAGACGCTCCAGCTGCCGACCCTCCTTTTGAGCGCACATAGCTCGTGTCCGAGAGACGCGCATATGACCTCACGTCGGGGGCTCGGCTAATACAATACTAATCAGGTCTGAGCGGTGCTGCAGACGCCGCAGTCGCGAGTTCGCGAACAGCAGAGCGGAACGTCTAGAGAAGCCTTCGCGATGATGATGCAGACATCTGGCCGTTAGACATGCCGACTCATGACCGTCAGGCAATGCTTGGTGCGTGCTACACATGCGTTTGGAGCCATTCCTGTTTGCCAGACCGTCGCCGCTGTAGGGTCGAAACGTTTCGCCGGAATATTCTGTGCTTCGCGCGGACCACCACCATAAGACGCTGACCATCGACTCCATTCACCCGTAAATGCACCAAGAGAACACTGATCGTACGTTGGCGTTTCCTCCCTAGCTTCACCAAGGGCATTTGCATCATATCGCGTGTTGTGACAGATGGGCCACTGAGTGGTCTGATGTGGGGGGTTTCGAGTATTGGTTTATACGATCCTCACACTAGTCATGTCCGGAAACACCGGAATTAGTCAAATTATTTCGGGCGAGGTGTAGACTCCGATGATAGAGGGGTAGCTCCGGCCTCCTCTGAGCTCGCAGATGATGGGGTTGAGGGTATATCGGAATCAACCGTATTGCTTGACGGGCCGGGAGATCGTTGAATCCGGGAGGTTTGAGGCACCAGCTCGATACGTGGAAGCACAAGCGGCGTGCCCTCAAACTCTGCCCAGCCGCCTCTTAGGCCAATCTCCACGACGCGCTGTAGTATTCGCGTCAATTCATCATTTCTGCAGATAGTTCACCAGCGCGAGAGCCAACGCAGAGTATGTCAGTCATCAATATTAGACGAGTAACTGCTCCCGATGAGGGTGGCCTACCGTTGCTTCTCTTCCGAAAATCGTTCCTCGTAGTCCTTGGCTACTGTATCCATCTTGTCCGTGAGCTGAGACACTGAGGACCTCAGCTCTTCTAATTGCTCATCAACGATGTCCCTGCGTTTCGAAGAAGTTCGCGAAGAGCGCCACGACTCGCCCAGTATCAACAGCGAGGCCACACCAAACAGGAACCCTTCCGCAAGAGCGTTTGCCCCGTTCTCTATTGCTCTGCACATCACATGAACGTGTGATTAGCAGAGGCGGGCCGTGAGGGAGTTACAGGCGCGTACTTCGTCTCAGACAGAGGGCGTACGTGCTTTGCGGGCTCACCGAGGAGGTTTGTCCGTAGATTTATCTCCGCCTTGTACATGTTCTGCGCAAGACTTACACAAATCTTGCGGAACGTCTTATGCCTGCCCGTGGGTCACGAGCTCAGAGCAAGTTCTGAATGCACTACGATCAATAATCACGTACTGTTTCGCTTGCGTCTTAACTTGGCTACTTATAGGCTTCGCTAGAGTCTCGTAAAGACAATAAGCCCCCAGCGTACCCATTTGCTAAGCACATGAGGGGACTTACTCGGATAGCGAGTGTCGCAACCTTAGCAGCCGCGGAGGCCATGGATGATTGTGATACGCCGTAGGGAAACAGAATGAGAGGTGTCGGAAGTATTGTAGCGCTAGATATGCATCTACAGTCGTACTTAGTGTGTCGAGCCGAAACAAGTCGTCAGCACGGCGCCGAACTTTCTGTAACCTTGAATTGCACTAGATGACACGTGCGAGAAAAACTGTCGCTCTTGCTGGTCCTATATCCCCCTCCAGGAGAAACACGAAATTCGCAGAAGACGAGTCACAGCAAAGTTGTACAGACGAGGCTCGGACGCAACGGCAATCGAGGGTGGTCACGGTGGCATCCGAGAGTACACTGGCACGTGATGTAGTCGCGCTTGCGGTGCACTGCCAGTGCTCACTCTTGGATTCAACTTGATTCAACTTGTCTATCTGTTGGATATCCCCTGTCTATCCCTGCGGAAAGACGAAGACAGGTGTGGTTGCAAACCTTGACAAAGTCTTGTTTTTTATTCGTTCCGCTCGACGTACTTCTAGATATACCTGAACTTCGACGTTCACAATGTCTTCCGCGAACGATTCTCTCCTCGCTCTCCGACAAGCTGTCAAGTCCAAGAGCTCGATCACATACTCAAACGGCTCAGAAACCACTAGCTCATTGGCATCTGCCACACACCTAGTCCTGTCGCCCACACTCTCGCTCCCAAAATCTGCACCAACAAGGTTGCGCAAGCCCGGGGCGACATCAACGGATTCCTCTGCAAATGCACAGGATTTCTTCTCAGTCGAGGCAGTGTACCTCGCGTGGCTACTGCGCGATGCGTCTGGCGCAGAGTACATGAAGCAGGCGCGAGAGAATGGGCTTGCAGTGGGGTTCGTGAGCGTCACAGAACGGAAGAGCGTGGTCGACTGGCTGGAAGGTAGGATTGGGGACTTGGCGAGCATCGTCCCACTTGTTTGTGAGTGCTCTCCATACAGGTCTTTCGCGCTATTGAGACGTGGACATGTTCTGCAGCAGAGTCGACGACACCACCGGGTACTCCGCCTCAGCTGAGATTTGCATCAGCTCTTCCATCAACGCTGTCCATCAAAGGTGCTGATACGTCAACGAGTCCTACAAAACGCCGCTATGTTACGGACTCGGCAGATATTGAAGTTGTGAAGAAGATCAAACAGAATGAGGTTGAGCTTAGGGACAGAAACACCGTGCTGCGCGGGATCAAGCCCAACGTCAGTATAATACAACTCTCGTGAACCATCATCTGAGAAATACTATCAGAATTTCTCCAATGTTCGGACTACATACGCAGAGAAGCTCAAGAAGCTAAAAGAAGCGGGGAAGGGCGGAGCCGCTGCGGCTGCCACCGCGGCCACTCCAGGTATACTTCTTCCATATTGCTGTGTGGTTATGACCATCTCATGCCACGTACAGATCCAAAATTACACCCTCGCAAAGCCAGTGCGTTCTGAACCAAAACATCGTACAAATTTCCTTCTAACCTACGGCACTTTTGCAGAAAACCAATATCCCATTATCATGATTTCATCCTCTCCCACCGCGCTCATCACTATGCACAACGTGAAGCGCTTCCTGCAAGAGTCAGTATTTGAGCCTTCACAAGATGCTCGTGCACGCGCGGCTGCAGAGGGGAATGCGCGGCCGGAGGATCTTATCGCCATCTACCGCAAGCGCACGACAATCGATCCCTCTGGGCGCGAGATGGAGAGCAATTCACGGTCCGTCAACTCCCTTTTATTGGAAAAGAATCTGTGATTCTGAGCTTGAGTCATAATAGCTACTTCATCGTGGATAGCACAGAGGCGCTGGCGAAGTTCGGTGCGGACGCGTGGGACCGAGTGGTCTGTGTGATGACCACAGGCCAGGTGTGGCAGTTCCGCCCGTACAAATGGGCGGATCCGAAGACGCTGTTCCATCACGGTCAGTGGTTGTGATACATACTATACCAACCTGGGCTGATGTTCTGGTGTGGTCAGTTAAGGGTTTCTATGTCTCCTGGACGAACGATCCGCCAAATCCGAAAATAAAGGACTGGAATGTCACCGAGCTGAAGGTAATACTACCTTTTCTAGGAAGATTTTTGTGCTAACAGCACCTCTGACAGATTGACCCACACCGACGGCACGTCGACAAGTCTGTTGTCGCACATTTCTGGAAGACCCTGGATACGTGGACAGCGACGAACAAGCCGTGGCTCTACCACGGATGATACATGTTCTGCCCACTCTCGCCTACTCCGCGTTGCTTTGACTTATTAGATCCTGTACATCGTGTATATGCTGACTGAGATGTGTACGCTTTGCAGTGAGATGGACATGTTCGATTCCTTTGACCGTAGCAGCGGAGTTGACCGCCCACGTCTGGGCGCGGTTTTCGGATTTGAAGCTGCGTTCACGTTGAGCTGTGACCTCGGCCTCTGACGGGCAGCAATGCCAATCTACACCTGCAGCCGCGATTCCACAACCCTTATATGATTGCGTCCAGTACGTCAACGCATCTTGTCGTGAGTGAATATTCATACGAGTAACTACCATACGTTCATACTATACTCGTAAACTGCATTGATTGTCTGTTGCACCTTTTTACCCGAGTGTTTCATTGCTCAGTTTCACTTGCGCGGAGAGAACCCCCGCTTTCCTGCACCTTGAACGAGGCTCAACGTTCAACAGCACTTGTCACCTGCTTAGATCAAATTTCTCGGATACCTTGAACTGCGGGAAGTAAAGGTTGAAACCATGCGGGAGTCCACTACCTACATGAGAACCGCGTCATTCATCATCATCGTCGAAAAGCAAGGGAGAAACTATACTGAGTCAGGCGAGTCGCGGATGTAAGACGCGACACGGTCACATGATGGCTAGCCGTGTTCTGCATTACTCTACTTTACTTTACCATACATACTCTAGCCGTAGCTGACGAGGTGCCATGCGGTACCTAAGCCACGTAGTTGACGTAGTCAGCTACTCTCATCCGTTTCACCGTTTCTGTAAATGTAAATACTGACCGACGTGCCCGTATTGCTGGGAGCACCTGCCATTCTGATAGGACTGCAGGGTGACTGAGGATTGAGAAGAATCAAATTATATCTGCTTTTCATGACCCCTACAACACTATGGAATCGTACACTCAACCTCCTATCGACATTGCTCTTCAAACGACGACTTTAAGGTTTGCTAAGCAGCCACTTGATTGCCTCATCCGTATCCTTCTCAAGCTTCTTGGACGCTGTGAGATGCGGGAAGTACCACGCGAAGACATGTGGCAGCCCGGGGTATCTGTTCCGCATATCGTACCATCCGATCAGCAGCAGCTACACCTTGATAGGCGAATAGGTCCACGAACATGTCTACTCTGGTCTTGACGCCTGCCTCCTTCAGCAGCTTCGCATAAAGAAGCCCCTCGTCGCGCAAAACGTCTGTGCCGGCTACCTGAATGTACGCTGGCGCAAGCCCAGTGCGCGATGGGTTGAGTAAAACGGAGTATCCAGGGTAGCCTTCTGGGGCGCCACACCAGTCTATAGTACGTGTGACGTTAAGTAGGGTCCTCGGGCAAGTACGGACCATGACAAGAGCACGACGTACGTGCAAATGCGGTCATCATTTCACGCGTCAAACCTGGCCCATCCTTGTTCTCCTCCATGGACAAGAGTTCCGACCGGTACCTGTGAGATCATGATATTCAGGCCAGAAAATTGGATAGAAGATAGGCGTGGCGCACTCCTCGGGAGACAACTCTGGATGCAGAAGGCAAGGACACTGAAGGTACTGCCCAGTGATTGGTGTCCTAGAGAAGACTGGGTCGTCACGGGCACGTTGCGCGATGTAGGCCGCGAGGTTTCCTCCTGCAGAACCACCAGCAACAATGAAACCCTTGTTGAGGGACGCAGAGAGGAGAGAAGTGTGATCTATGACCTGCATGGGGGACATAGGCGCTGGAAATGCTGCTCGGACTGATGATGCTTACCCATTTGGTCGCAGCATAGCAATCATCCCAGGGAACTGGGTAGGAATAATCTGGAGCAAGTCTTTTAGCAGATCAGTGCGTGTCGCGGGTCGTAGGAGAGGACTCGTACCGATACTCAACAGACACAACAGATATCTGAAGCCGGACGGACATAATCTTCAGCTGATAGTCGTCCATCTCAATATCGCCAATTGCGAAACCTTTTGGCACAAACTGAATATGATTTGAACACTCATGGACAAAAACGTGACATACCTCCGCCATGATACCAGACAAGTACAGGGAAAGTCTTCTGCTCACCAGAGCCAGTAGGTATCGTGCACCGCACCCTGATCTCACCGCCGTCCACAGGCACCATATGGTGTTCGACGCGAAACTCCGTTTCTAAAACTGATGTTAGTGGCGTGTATATCTTGTGCGGTCCAACGAGACTCGCCTGCAGGAAGACGGGAATGATAGAACTTCTTGACGCCGGCGGTGACGACAGGCACTGAGGCCCTCAATGCCTCTATGCTGAGAGGACTCTCATTGGGAGGAATAAGAGGTACAAGTGGTGCGAACTCAGGGTCAAGCACGGAGAGATGGCTGTATTGCGACATGGCAAAAAGACGAGGGTTCGACAACAGGCTTTTGACCTTATATACTTAAGGGGGAGCTCGGACGTAATCATGGTCAGGAGTGCAGGGTAGAGCTAGCGTCAAATTTGGATGGGATCGATGAAACGCTTCGCGGAAAGTTGTAAGGTTCGATTGTGGGCGAGCGCCGACTTCAAGCCAAGCGGCAGCGTACGATTAACGTGCTCAAGTATATCCATAGTCATAGAGCTGCTCACCCGATGGTTCCTTTGTTGATTGTCCAGTGGATGGTGTAGATCTCAGCTTGCAAAAGCCATGGGCCGTGGCACGCAGTTCTGTGGACCCCGCAAAGTCCGTGAATTCCATCAGGATCCCTGTGATGCACCGGATGGTACGACCATTTCCCGTCGAGCTAACCAAGGTCAAGTGCACATTCCGTGATTAAAAGAGCATTATAAAGACCTCGGGTATTGGCACTGCCGGGACCGAAAGGGGACACACGAGACACATCGGATGCAAAGTAGTCTTTCAACGGTGCAGTAGATAACAGCTCATGAACGGCCTCACTTACTGCAGAGCAGCCAAGTCAGCTGCGGGTATCGCTGTGCGAGCAACATATAAGTACGTCAAGAAGGGCAAAGCAACGGGTTGAGGGCCAAATAACAGAGATTAGGACGCACTTACTGCTAATGCTCGACGATCAAAGCCGCCCGGCATGCCATGATCGTGGGAGGGGTTCCGAGGTGACGCGTGACGCGTCATCGAGTACTTTTTTTGTGATCATCTGAGACAGTGGAGGCCAAAGGTATCATATGCGTATCCTGCGTAAAAGCAGCGTTCGATCCGGATGCCTGGTGACAGTCACGACGAGGACAAGGAAGCCCGCGATGAACATATCGCGATAAGGATTATCCGGTTGTGTTCCCACGCCACAGACGCGTCTACCGGTCCAAGTTGAGACGTTCGACTTTTCCTTACTTAATTCTTAATTTTTTGCCTCGGAGTTTTTGGCAGTATATGTAGGCTACTACTGCAAGCTGTGAAGAGAGTGTAGTCAAGCGGATACCTTCTGAGCTTACAAAATATAGGTATTTGGTGACATACCTCCTCGAGCTCGAGCTCGAGCCTGACCTGCTCCTTTCCGACCTTGTCGTCAACATCTTCCCCCACTGTCATTGCCGCCGCCGTTCATTTTCGTCCATCATGGTCTGTAGTGCGTCTCCCCGCATGGTGTAGGCTCTGCGTGGTGTCCGCAAGCGATTTCTGCCTGTACGTCGTCGCATGCATCCTGCTGCCGCACACGGGCGTGCTCCGATTTATTGTCCTCGAGGGTGAAGCCCTATGGTAGACAATATCTACTGTAGCTAGCTGATGTATGTACGAATGGAGTGTCGAATGAAACATTGTGCCTGCGCGAGTGCAGGCCGTGACCAGTACTTGAAGCTGCAGCTCTGGACACTCGTCAAGATTGGTGTGCGCCCGCTCGATTGTGCCGCATCTTCGATGAGCTCTTCTCCCTCCAGTACGTGTTCGCTGTGGTCCCCGACATGTTCCTCGACTCCCGCGTGTTCACGAGCTCTTTCAATGCCGGCGTGCTATTCCTCCACCCGGACTCGGCTGTGTTCGAGGACATGCTCTCCAAGATCACGACTGCGGCGTACCCGTCGAGGACGCGGAACAGTCGTTCCTGAACCGCTGCTTCGGCATGCAGACACTGTGCTTCCCATATGCATACAATGCAATTCTCGCGATCAAGAAGCGGCAGCCCGAGGATGGCGGGACCTGATGGTGGCGGAGGCATGCATCGCACACTACATGCTCGTTGGCGCAGCCCGAGTGGCTGCTACAGTACTCATTGTACCGCTCATTGTATAGTTAGTTAAAAACGCATTCGGCGAATACTACGTAGTGCACTGAGATGAATACCTGTGAGTATATGAAACCCATAGGAACCTGTTTAAAACCCGTACCAATGTGTATAAGCCATACTCTCCTCGCTGAGGCTGCATTGCACTCGCACATGTGCTCGCACAGATGGGCTTGTGTGCATGGTCGCGAGGGCGAGGGCTAGCGGGTGGCACATTCGCACTGGCTCTCCATGGCCAGCTGATCCTTGAGTCTTTGGTGCACTTGCGTGGACAGCAGTGTGGGCGCACAGAGCGTCAGGATGGACGAGGAAGGAAGGAGGATAGGACTCGTCGTGAGCCATCTGCGATGTCTTGTGCATTTCATTGCACTCTCGGTGTTTGGTGCATTGCGCTAGTTCTTCCGGGACTGCTGCATCGTCCGCGTCGTCCTGACCCGTGTGTGTGCACAGCCAGAGAGTGGAGACGACTATGAGGGTGGAGAGAGGGTACGATGTATTCGCGCTGCTCTTGAGTATGCCGGCGGAAGATGGACGACAGTTGTGGATGCGTGGAGCCCTAGCATGTGTCCTCAATATTGTTCTCCCGGAGCAGTCCTTGCCTTGCGCGCTCTGTCCTCATGGTCGGGCACGGTCCTTGCATGGGCACATGTGTTCGCAAGCGCAAAGGAGGGTGTGCTCAGTGAAAGCCAGCGAGTATGATGGTGGGTCGTCCGTTTTCGTTCCCTTCGCTCTTATGCTCGTCACCGCCCTTTCCTCCCTCCACCCGTCTTTGTCACTTTCCTGGTATTTACGGGTTTCGTCCCTTCCGATTTCAGTCTTTCAGTGGCCTGTACATATCCGGATAGGTCCTGTGCGTGAGGTGGAAGGTGGGCGAAGCAGTGGAAAGGTAGGGAGGATGTCGGTAAGGGTTACACGTAGGGTATAACTACTCGAGTGCGGCCGGTGCGGGAGATGGAACTGGGTCAGCGATGCGCAATACTGCACGGTGGCCCGTGCTGCTCTGACGCTCCTGAGGAGTCCGGGAGGGTGAGTAAAGGACCTGTACACCTGTACTACTCAAACTGTTTGCCTGGGATTTTCAGATCTGGGGCACCTTATTGGAAAATGTGAAAATGAGTAACTTAGAAACGTGGAAACGTGTATAATTGACTGACTGCACTAACAGGTAGCTAAGGCGCGACATTTGTAGTCCCCCGATATTCTGCTCGCAAGGTGGATCATCGCCTGCAGTGTGCCAGGTTTGTGTAATCCGCATGGAAAGGCGCTGGAAGACATGAGTGGGAGCAGGATCACCATTAGCATGGATATGAGTACAATGCCGAGAAAGTAACAGGACATGTGTTGAAGCCACGTATCGCCGCCGACCAACCGCCGACACGCGTCGACGCGTTCGCATCACGTGCCACGCGCTTGCACCTTGTCGACGACGCAACATGATTGAATCTGAGATTACGGTATGTACTTGAACCTCATATTGTGGATCCGAGGGTGCTGGCTGCCTGCTGTATTTGACCTCTGGGATTGTCTGCACATCCAGTCAACGACGTTGTGATTTTACCGGACTTCAGGGACGCACGCGTTGTCGACGAACGAGCTATGAATGGCATACTGATGATGGATGGACGAAGATTCATGCTGACGTTCTCGGGCCTTAGGAGCGCCTTACAATACTGCTTGGCCGGTTATCTGTATTCGAGGATAACACAGCTGCTGCCACTTTGCACCGCGACGAGGTTCAGCACGCAGCCTTGATTCGGGCGAACGTTCGCCAACATTAATCTTTTTGCTATGTTTCCCAGACCACATATGGTGTCTTTCGCCCGATTGGCCTAAACTTCTGTCGCGGTGGGCTGCATGGTCACCAATTAACATAGCTGATTTCGAGAAGTATAAAACCGTCATCCACCCCTTACCGATTCGGCAAGCCGTGTCCAAGTACAGCCATCTCTCGACTCTAAATCCTTAGTTCGGTGTATGCCCTTCCCTGCCATAGAGAACGTGAAGCTTTTGCACGAGAAACAAATCTAATGCTCGGGAGTTTCCCAAGCCCCATCTCTCTGCAGGTAAGTAGTTCTGTGACATCAACGAAAACTTCAATATCTCATCCGTATCCTGCATGAGTCGGCAATTCTTGTTGAAGAGCACGTAGTGGCGGTCGAAGGCGGGTATATTACAATACACCGCCTGACCCCCACAGCCGGGCGGTTCCGGGAAGTTTTTCCCTGTGCTCATCTGGTTCCACCCCGGATGCCGGACACATGCCACGCACACCGTTCCATTGTGCGGTCGCTTATCTCTGATTAGGTTTCGCCGTGGGCGATCTCAACATGGATGACTATGTAACGCCTAAAGATTATGTGCGTCGAGCGCCAGCTGTCCATTGTGAACGTCGAATACCGGTGCGGTCACAGTACTCAGTTCATTGACTTCAATACACAATGCTAGAGTAATAGGCTGGCGCGCATGTCTTCCCAGTTCCATGGAATGACGCATACACTGCTGTTAGATGGGTCAGTGGCACTTTCGCAGCACTGATTCGCTAAAGACTGACACATGTTCACACAGGCTACTGAGCACACGTGCCTTCTTTAAGTCCGCCTTGACAAGGGATTCATCGGTGCTGGCACCTCAGCCGGAGCGAATCTTTGTTCATCTATTTCGTACCGCACTCGGTACAATCTGCATTACGGTCCGGTTATTTCAAATCTCACCTATCTTGTATCCAGAGAATCCACAGGGTGCAAAGTAAGTAGCATATATGCTCCGCAGGATTATAGGTCACCTTGACAGTGCGATAGACACCAATCTGACCTACTCTCTATGGAGCAAAATAAGGATGCCACCTTCTTAACCTGTGACGCGATCTTCAGTCTCGCTTGTACGTTAGGATAATTACTGTCTTTGGCACGGAGTTTGGACGAGAGGTTGACTGCCTACAATTTGTAGGCACTGCCGAAATTCCCATCTCTGACTCGAGCTTCTCTGTGCTACCGGTGGATCACGCGGGTGTTCCACCAGTATACACGCACGTAGCGGGTATGAGACGAGGGTCTGCTTTACGCGAAATTGTTGGAACAGGAAGATCAAGGACGAAGGACTTAGCTGTTCGCTTGCTTGGTCATAGTCTGATAGACTGCTTGTGATTGCGACGGCTACAGTCGGTTTGTTGAGTATCTCACACACTTGGTCAAGAAGGGAGCTTCTAACTTCTATTGAGGTATAGTGACCAATGGCGGTTCGACGGCATCATTCGACGGGTTACTCTTGCAGTGCTTCCATGTTGACGAAGTCAGTCATCGCCGTCCTTGGTTTTTTTTTCTCGTGAGATGCTTCCTTCTCTGGCCTTCTGCAGCTGCAGATGCTGAGATGTTACATGATGACATTCGGTCCGCCGTCTTTGACTCGCGTGAATTAGTAAGTCTCTTCATACTTCCTTCCGTCTAACGTGATACCAGTTAGCCAATCGTGCCCGAGCGGCGTGGAATTTCTATAGGCACTGAAGAGGTATAAAGCTATCGCCTGCGACTCACGGATTCAACATCTCATGTCCCAGTACAGCCACCTCTCCATCCCAGACCCGGAGTTCCTGCCGCTTATTGCTCAGGTGCCCACCATCCCCTTGGAAGATGTGAAGGTACTGCGGGATAGCCAGAGAAAGTGGAACGCCCAGCGTCGGGAGAGCCTCAAGGATCGTCTTCCAGCAGGCAAGTAAATCAATTAACAGCGTGTTATTATGATCTGATCCACGTTTTCCCAGAATCTGCATATCGTGTTGAGGATCACAAGATTGCTGTTGAAGATGGAGAAATTACAGTTCGGTGCCTAACTCCGACCACAGGCGACGCTGAGGAGAGGTTTCCCTTGCTCATCTGGTTCCACGCAGGAGGTGTGCAATAATTCTTTCCACGTGCTATCTGAATTCACCCTTCGCATCTCTCAACCTCAGCCTTCATTTTCGGAGATCTGGATATGGACGACTACTATTTGAGAATAATGTGCGTCGAACATCACCTGTCAATTGTGAACGTCGATTACAGGTGAGTTCGTTCAGATTGTTAATTTCATTCCTTTAACTTGCATACGGGCTATACTGAATATGTAAATACTAGACTTGCGCCTGAGCACGTCCACCCAATTCCATGGGAGGATGCGTACACTGCCACGAAATGGGCAAGCGGCAGTTTTATAATGCAAATTTGCAAACGGTTTAATTTTGTATGCAGGTTGTGAGAAACGGATCGCTTCTCTCAGCATCGTTTGAGAAAGGGTTTATTCTCGGTGGCGGCTCAGCTGGAGCAAGTCTTACAGTGACTGTCGCCTGTCGGGCTCGGGATGATCTGTTCTTCAGGGAGACACCCATTACCGGCCAGGTGCTTCAAAGCCCGTCCTTACTTCACCCTGATGGTCCCGTGGAAGAGAAGTAAGCAGCACGTCTGCATTGTGCCATTGCAGTGGTGATGACCATATCATAGATATCGCTCTGAGCTGCTTTCCATGGAACAACACAAGGACGGCCCGCTCTTGACGCGTGACTTAATAATCGCAATGGCTGGTGCGTTTCGACGCCCACATTAGATTCTATGGCTCTAGCATAATAATTGCTCTTCGCAGGTATGACAAAGCTCCCCATTTCCGACCCACGTTACACGGTGCTTCTCCAGCCGTCTCACACAGGCATGCCGCCGATCTATATGCAGGTAGCCGGTATGGATCTCTTGCGCGACGAGGAACTCCTGTACGCCAAGCTGTTAGATCAGGCGGGCGTGGCAACGAGAGTTGATGTGTGAGTATATAATTCTTCACGCACACCGCCAAACGTTTGTTGATTAGTTGCTTTTGATACAGTTATCCGGGTGTTCCGCACTTCTTTCACTATTTTTTACCCCAGCTTACCATATCTGTCAAAGCAGATAAGGATTTGAACAACGGTATTAGGTGGCTCTTGGGATTAACTGATGCGAAGGCTTGAATAGGATGCACTGTTTCGGCGCTGCCCATGTACTAGCTAAGAATCTATTTGTGCAATGCACTGCGAATGGACTGGACTGTAGTCGTTATAGCGAGAGAACATATGACGGCGGTTCAGGCCTGGTATACATGTGGTGCTGAACCTACGTTCGAACCTTGGACCACTGAACCAGACAATACATAGGTTGAAGCCCGATCCCGAAAGTGATTCGAAGAAGATCCTGAAACTCACAATATGTAGCAACTTCGCGAGAGACTTGCAGGGAACAAACAGTGATTTCAGCCTCTGTTGATAAGTCTTTAGTAGCTAATATTGAGTACTTACCTCTTTTTGGCTCGATGATGACTGAGGTGGGTGAAAATAAAATAATAAATAGAAAAGAAAAAGGAAAAGAAAAGGATAGTGCGTGATTTTCCACCGAAAACAGAACTCAGTCAATAGTCCACCGTCCGCCGCAGTTCAAGTTTGCACACGTTTGAGAGAAGGTAAGCAAGGTGGCCGGAGACGGGGGACATACACTGAGGTGCCAAGTGACGATAGGGCATAGTATGTGACAGGATGTCCTCTGCATAGTCTACCTTTCCACACAGTTCTGAGTTGGGTGGAAATAAAAATAAAAATAAAAAATGAAATAAAAAAAGGCAACAACAGACGCACCGACAATATTCCAGACTCTAGTCATATTGTAGTCTGCATAGAATGTACACCATGCTAGCCAGAAAAAAAAAATCTGCAAAAGTAACTCCGGAAACAACGTCAGCTGCTGCGCACGAACACCCCCGAGAGTGAGATTTAGTTTATGTGCAAAGTGTCGGATGTCTTCTCGCCACAGACGCGTCTGAAGATGTGTTAACGAAATTTCTCCACACACAAACTGATTGCAACACGGCCAGACTATCAGTTAACTTTCTGTGACGTCCGTGGGTGCTCTTGATACTCACGAGCAATGCCCCTGTGGTGAATTCGAAGTATGCAGCCAAAGATTATACATAGTATATTCGACCGACAAAAATCGACGCTGGCAAACCTGTATATCCGAACGGGGATCTGAGGCACGGTCTTAGCCCGGTCTTGGCAGAGTCTCAACCAAATCGAGCGAGGTCTTCACTCGGCCCGCATCACGTGACTAAATCGCAGAGTGGCACCACCTGTCATGAAGAAGTGGGAACGTTAACGACGACGACGACGGAACTCGTCGACCACGACTGCAAAGTATGCCACAAGTACCTTCAGTCTCGCCTGTCACTGGCGAACCCGTCCCACCCTATTTCATCCATACTACCGACCGTCATTTTGTCGATAACGCTGGCCGTACGCTCATCCTCCGCGGTGTCAACCTATCTGGATCGGATAAGGCACCGGTGGACAGGCCTTCATACATCCTCGAAGATTTTTGGGAATCAGGAGAGACTGGCGGTGAGAGCTTTGTCGGACGCCCGCTCAATCTTGACGATGGCTCTGCGGACATACATCTCTCCCGGTTGCGAGGGTGGGGCTTCAATATGCTGCGATATGTTGTCACCTGGGAAGCCTTAGAGCACGCGGGGCCGTGAGTCTGCTTCAAAAAATCTCCTATCCTGAGGTTGACATTTTTAAAGAGGGAAATATGATTCTGCCTATATGGACTATACTGTCCGAGTACTTCGGAAATGCAAGGAGTATGGCTTCAAGATATATATGGACCCCCATCAGGATATTGTGCGTCCGATCTATCTCGGTCAGCGATACCTCTAACCTTGATGGCAGTGGTCACGTTTTTCTGGTGGATCCGGGGCACCTTATTGGACGCTTCTCGCATGCGGCTTGGATCCCCGCCACTTTACCGCTACACAGGGTGCTATCGTGCATTGCGAGTATCCCACACCAATAGAGGTAGAGCCTGCAACGCTTCCTCCGATGATTTGGAGCACGAATTATGGGAGGCTAGTCTCACAGACACTCTTTACATTGTTTTTCGCGGGGCGCGACTACGCGCCGAAGTGCATCATCGACGGTGAGAACATCCAGGATTACCTGCAGAAACATTTCATTTCCGCGTTCGGCGCGCTCGCGGACCGTATTCGCGCCGCGGGGGACCTACTAGACGAATGCGTGCTCGGATGGGACAGCATAAACGAGCCGTACGAGGGATTTTGCGGATACCCGGACCTGAACGCGGTGCCAACACAGCAGACGTCAACGCTGAAGAAGGGAACGTTCCCAACGCCAGCGCAGTCGATGCGTCTTGGAATGGGCCAACCGCAGACGGTGCAGAACTGGACGTTCGGTTCGATGGGCCCTAAACGCGATGGGACCGTCACGATTGACCCGAACGGCTGGAAGGTGTGGGTGGACCCTGACAGCGAACCGGGCGGCGTGCACCCGCGCTGGGGCTGGCGGCGCGACCCTGGGTGGAAGCTTGGGATGTGTATATGGGCGCAGCACGGTATCTGGGATGTCGAGTCGGGCTTCGTGATGCTGCCAGACTACTTCAGGTCCTCACCTTGTGACCCAGATCATGACGTCATGTTTATCGAGGACTATTGGCGTCCCCATTGGCAGGCATTTGCTGCGCGAATGCGCCAGTCACACCCAGAGGCCATCTTGTTCGTAGCACCGCCAGTCTTCGCACCCCCTCCTCCCATCACCGACGACGAGCTTCGTGGGCGCTGCTGCTACTCGACTCACTACTACGATGGTCTCACGCTGGTAACGCGGCACTGGAATTGGTTCAATGCCGACGCACTTGGCCTACTCCGGGGCAAATATTCATCGAAATTGCCAGCAGTGAAGATCGGCGAGAGTGCCATCCGCAAGTCTTTGCAGCAGCAACTGGGAATACTGAGGGACGATGCGCTGATCCTTGGCCCTTACCCGACCATCATCGGAGAGATAGGCATACCGTACGATATGGATGACAAGAAGTCGTACGGGTGGACAGATGATGGGAAGTACAAGGGTGACTACTCCTGCCAGCAGAAGGCCCTTGACGCAAGCTTGAATGCCGCAGACGGACCGAATGCGCTTAGCTACTCTATCTGGACTTACTGTCCGGACCACACACACCCGTGGGGCGATAATTGGAACATGGAAGATCTCAGCATCTGGAGTCCGGATGACCTGCGCCCACGGGAGTCAATCAGGATGGGAATGTCGGCTGCCTCATCGTCGAAATCACTCGTGACAAAATCGATCAAGGGAGTCCCGATAATTTTGACAGCTTCGGCGGCGCCGTCGTCATTATCACTCGCGACACTGCCGCTCGAAACCGGTGCTGTCGACGGCGAGACAAATAACGCGGAGATCACCTCCTTCGGGCATTGGGAAAATGCTTACGACTTCCTGACCGATGGTGCAAGAGCTGTCAAGGCTTTTTGTCGTCCCTTTCCCACTGCTATTGTCGGGGTGCCCAAAGACATTCAGTTCAACGTCTCGAAGGCCGAGTTCAAGTTTACTGTTTGCGTACGCCCAGAAGATGCGCCTAGGGCGGAGGGTCTCTCTGCACCGAAGTCATCTTCGTCATCAATGACCTCCACTGCTGTAGATGACGACGAATCCGAGGATGTACTCGCTACCGAGATCTATGTGCCTCTAGTCCACTACGGCAGCGACGCACTCGTCACACGATTTACAGAGCAACAATGTGACGACACCTCTTCGACTCCCGTTCTGGATGGACCGTTGGCGAAAGATTTCGGCCCGTACAGATCGCAGAACGTGTCCGTTTCGAACCTCTCCGACGGCACCCCTTCCTATTTGACGCCGTTCGCCCCCAGCGCTGCACCTCTGGCCCTTTCAGTGCACGTTTCTGACGGTAGATGGGCTGTCGAGGGGCAGACACTGAAGTGGTGGTACGGTGTACCGGCCCCCGGCGCACCCGAGCGAGAATACACGATCACAATCACGCGTGCCGGCGGTGTCATCAAGACTGCAGAGGAGACAGAGCCCACGCAGGGCTTGTGGGCGGAGTGGTGCTCGTGTTTGAACGGATGCACTATTATGTGAGTGGCGAGGCTGCTTTCTAGACCATTTCTTTTTTCGTATTTTATTTCCTGGACAGTCTCGCATGCATCCATGTCTTGTGTATTCTATAGTTTCATGATGGAACCATTGGGTTGTACTCGTAGATTATCATACATGTGAAGTACCCAGTACATCGAATATTGCATTGCTCCATGTCATTTGCACTTCGCCATATGTCTGAGGTAAAATGATAAAAGGTTTGCGAGAGGCACGCCTTTCTGCGCGTCTGACAACTGTCCTGTTCTCCTAAGACTAACTCGGCCCATCCTCTGGATTGCGGAATTGCTTCCCTGGTCCTTAGAGGTCAGTTTACTCTGATCATTACCCGTTCTTCCGAGCGGGCACAATGCAGATACCAAGTTTTCTGGAGGGGGCAGTCTTGAACCAGCGCACTTGAAAGTTGGACCGCTGGAAAGAACCACCTCGCATTCCCGGTTTCGGGCCATCACAGCCGCTTCGCCATTGTACAGATGTCAATTATTCAGTTAAGTATAATAAACATGATTCCAATTGTACAGCAGAAATTCACGCGTGACCGTGGGACCCAGCTGCGTGACCGACTCTCCCTCTCTTCAATCATTCTCTCTTATCTTCGCATCCGCCATCAACTTACGTCGAGCTCATCGACGTCGTCGACGATCCACAGTCTGCATGGTCCTGCTCTGGTGACGACATCTGCTGTCTTCTCTCGTCGTAGTATGGTGACTATTTGGTCGGGACATTTGTTGTAGACATCGACGATGTGGGACGCTGACAGCCGTTTTCTCTAGATATCTGAAGAGAGGCCTTTCGCTACTACCCCTCTTCTTGGGACCTGTATGCGCATACAGACAGTGTCTGCATGAGGTGGGATCAAATTGTAACGTCGGTCAGCATTGTTTGCAGTGCTTTATCTGCTCGTCGTGCTGGGTAGACGACATTGGATGCTCCCCATTCTGAGCCGTAGATACTAGAAGATTTTCTGTATAAGGCTCAGATGCCAGTGTAGAGCAACGACTTCGAAAGCCTTGTATGTGCCTTCGTGGTCGGGTCTTTACATCGTGCAATATTTTACATCTTTGAGGGATTTCTTTCCCGGAGGCCTAGCAACAGATGGGCATTTCATCGTTGTTGACCTATGACATCTGTCGCGCTCGCATGAACTGTCGAGCGCACTGGCACAGTGCGCAGATAGGGCCTGCGACCTTTTGGAATTCGTAGGAGCTGCATATTCCACTTTGGCATTGGATCGATCGTTCTGTCCGTGACGAAGGTGCATGACCATCAGGAATATGGTTTCGCTTATCCAAAAGGGATGCGCCTTCTCATTTGCGGATATCCTGGCAGTCCATGTCATCGTGGTACTGCGGTCAGTGAAGCACGGCTACTGCGTGATATCAGGTCTTCATTTCATCCTTACCCTCGTTTTCCATCAGACGAGGTTTCTCCAGAGTGGGCTGATATTCTTGTCTCCTGCGCAGCAAACGTCGATTAGGACCCACATATCCCGGTTCGATCGCCAGAGTTGTATGGCTTCGCAGCTAATCCGGGCCTTACCTGCCAGCTCGCGCCATCTCCGTCGACATTGCGACTGGACGTGGTCATTCACTGACCGTTACTATGCTCTGTGTTCAGTGCCGACGTACATCATCTGAGTTTGACTGACTAGTTGAGCGCACTGTCAGTCCTACTCTTGGCGACGTTATTGTATGTGGCAGGGTCGTGTGGCGTGTCTTACTCGATTCCTGCTGATGCGAGGTCGTTTCCTTTGGCGGTGTCTCTGTCCTCTGTTGTTGGGCGCATGACTATCCCAATATTTCTATTGCTGTGCTAACCTCGTCCGACTGTCGCATCGAACTTCAAACTTTCCTTGGATAGGCCTTCATTTACCAAAGGCTTCATGGGCTGCGGAGGATCAAATGTCTCGCATTCAGCTCTTCCTGCTAGTGCTCAGTTGGCTATCTATCCATCTTTGGCCTAGGTTTTGTCTGCTTGCTCGGTCTCCGTCGCCGACCAAGGCACGATAACGGGGAACTCCATCCAACTGTGTTTCACCAGTGTGGTTCGTCCAGGATCCGTGCTCTGATTCTGGTACAGAGTCTTCTGGTCTTCCCTTCGGCATTACCTCTGCATGCCTCGTCCCACCGCGCTGGTGCTTTAACGAATCTCTACCGTTGCGATTGGGCGGCGAACTGAGACAGCTGAATTGCCTCCATTCTGTGCTCTCGGGCCCAAGTTCCCACTCTTTGATGTCTACCAGGATGTGATTCCCGTTGTCTGTATTTTACTTTGCTGCGCTCCAGTCACTTGCGAATTGAATTCTTTAAAAACATTTTTCTGTTGCATATAAAAGCGTGCTGCATAGGTGAATCATGAACATCCCTACCGGTATATGCATAGTATGAATCCTTACAGCTGTATTATTGCTTTTTTCCTTCTGTCGATCCTCTATATGCTCATGCGCATGCATCTCTTCTCAGGGCCGACTCCCACTACTGTTCACGTCACAGACGCAGCCGCCGTTCGTGCCGTATTGGCCCCGCAAACTGGCCTCGCCGCCCAGCTCCTTGCCCGGGCCATTCCCAATTCCCGCTTTGAGCGAGGTTTCGGTATCCTTTCCACCTTCACAAGCGCCAGCGAGCACGTACACGCCGACTTCACAAGACGCGCATTGTCTCGCATCAGCCCCCACGGCGCGTCGTACCCGTGGCACGACATTGCGGCGGCGGCAAGGCACAGTGTCGAAGCGCGCCTGCCGGTCGACCGGCGTACCATCGATTTCGACACCTTCACCCAGATTGTCACTTTAAAGGTCGTGCTTGTCCAGCTCCTCGATGCTCCTGATGTGATGAGGGAGGGCGACCTCGCTTCTGTCGCCCACCACATCGGGGAGATATGGCGTGCCTCGAAGAGTGGAGACCCCACCCAGCACCTCCTCGCCGAGGTCAACGGGCACCTGCGTCGGTGGCTCCCGATGGAGGATAACCCGATCGAACTGGTCATCCCCGCGTACGAGACGAGCTGGCGCGCGGTCGCCCACACTGTCGCGCTCGCGAACAGGGACCTCGCGGCGCGCGCCGCGTTCGACGCCTTCATGGCGTTGCCTAGCACCACGTCCTTCCGCGGGCTGGTCGGTGACGTCGAATTCAGCGTCGAGATGTTCGTCGGCGAGATCTTCCGCCTTTACCCCCCTACTCGCCGCATCACCCGCGTCGTCCCGGTCGGCGACTGCCCCTTCCCCATCGCCGTTCCTGGCCAGCCGCGCGACATCACTGTCGTCGCGGACATCGAGGCGGTGCAGCGCGATCCTGCCGTCTGGGGCGCCACCGCCGAGGGTTTCGACCCCACGCGCTTCTGCACATTGACGGCTCTGCAGAAGCGGTCGCTGCTCTCCTTTGGGCATGGCCGTCTCTCATGCATCGCCAAGGACTGGGCCCCCCTCGCCGTGGCAATCCTGGCGGGGGCCGTTCTCGAGAGAGTTGGGCCCGAGAGTGAGTACCGACTGCTGGAAGGCCCGCGCTTGGGTCGGAGAGATGGGTGGCACGGGTGGGAGGTCCGCGAGGCTGAGGTGTAGGGATGGTCTCTTATACGCAGAACGAAGCAAGCGATATGATTCTTGAATATTTGCTACTATGCTAATGTTGTTTTCGTTGTATTCTGTATTTTCGAGAAATGTTACAAATGTTTTCTGAGCAAGCTGGTCTCTATTCCGAGGCATATCTTGGGCTGCGTGGTGTATGTACGTCACGCGTCGCATTTGCGCCACGACGCGCTAGCCGACGCAACGTTCACATGGACGCGCGTCCCAGTAGAGGGATTCATTTTCATAGTCCCACCACCATAGCCTTTGGCAAGAAAAAACCAGTATGAGTCGAAAGCATATTAAGGTATAGGCTGTTCTCGGTATTGACAATGTCATCCTTCCGTTATGTTTACGGTTCCTGCCAGCGCTCGTCTACATTCAGCGATCTCTCGAAAGAATGCTCGGGGGACACAAATCTCGATGCGGTTTTGAACAGGTGGACCCTTGTGGACGAGTGTGAAGACCTGAATCGGCACGAGGAGTTCTGGTTCCAGGATGGCAACATTGTGCTGGTCGCAACAAACACTGCTTTCCGCGTTCATGCCGGTCTGCTGTCTCGTGCGTCGCCTGTCTTCCGGGAGCTGTTCGTCGATTTCGAGGATGTGGTGTCAGAGCAGATGGATGATTGTCCCCTCGTTCGTCTCGATGACTTTGCTGAGGACTTGGCTGCTCTGCTGTCTGTAATTTACGGAGGGAATGGGTCAGTTCATCTGCATCTTGTTCCGAACAAATGGCTCATAAAGCAGTCAAAACAATCCAGCTCATTCGGACCAAATGTCTCGCGCGTCCAGTTCTCCTTCGTTGCATCCTTGATACGGCTGGGCCACAAATACCAGATTATCGGCCTGCGAGATGACGCGGTCGCACGACTCAAAACATGCTTCCCCAGCAAGTTCGAGGAATGGGACAACTTCGAGAAGCTCCGCAGCTCCTCTATGACCATGGAAAAGACAGACGCTATCACCGCCGTCAACCTCGCTCGGCTCACAGAGAACCATTCTATTCTTCCCGTCGCACTCTACGGCTGCTGTCTGCTCGACACTGACACCATCCTGTTTGGGACATGCCGTAAGGACGGGAGCGTGGAGAGGCTCTCGCCAGAGGATACCCGGAATTGCATCGAGGGGCAGCGCCGCCTCCTGCGAGCGAACAGAAACGCGCTGACATGGGTGTTTGATGCGAAGAAGGGTAGCATGGACTGTGAACTGCGGGAGAGTTGCAGCAAAATCTTACGGACGCTGCCCAAGACCGCCCATATCGAAGGGATCCTAGCAGATTGGCAGGCGCTGCATCCTTGGACGGTTCATCTGGACATGAATTTGTGCGGTTCGTGTATAAAAATGCTAGAGACTAAGGACCTGGAAGCGCGGCGCGAGCTATGGGTACAGCTGCCGTCTTACATGGGAGTTTCGGTAGAAGACTGGGCGACGGAATATGTGGATGAGGTATTACACTATGTCATGTCATTCAGTCTTGATTCTGCTGGTTGAATGATCTTCTCTAGGCCTTTCTCTGAGCACGTTAGCTCATTGCTGCTGTTTCTTTCATATTTTGTCAAGGTATGACCCAACTTATCCACGGTAAATATAATGATTGATATATGGACTGATAGGTTACATTCCTTTGATTCACTCATTCGGGGAATTCATTTTTTTTGATGTATCATCCGTTACGATCTCTGGACGTTTGATATGATTGTTTCGTGCTCTTGAAGCATGAGTCTACTAAACTTCAAGAACGCACCAACACACACGACTGACCATGGTTGGACTTCTTCAACGACATTTTTTTGCTGCGATATTTCCACGACGACCTATGTTCTCTAGCTGTCTTTTCAGCTTCCATCTACATGGAAGACTTAAGGTGATGTCCTGGGGCCTTGGGATTGCCTTGCGACACTGCTCGGATGGCCGCATCACTATTCGAAGATCGTGTGATTGCGGACGCGGAGTACTACGCTGTTCAGCACGCCGTCTTGATTCAGGCGGAAATTCGCCACCAACAGTAACCCGTTTACTGCCTAGATTACTCGGTATGAACGCGGTGTCCTCCGCCGCATGAGACAGTTCTGAGAGGTGTAAACTTCACTTCCACCTCTCCTATTCAGCTGCCGTGTTCCAGTATGGCCATCTTTCTGTCCCAAGTTTTTTACCGCTTATTTCTCAGCTGCCCGTCTTCTTCATCACGGAACATGCGAAGGCACTGCGGAATAGGCAGAGACAACTGCAAGACCAGCATCCGGAGAACCTCAAGGCTCATCTTCCACCAGGTAGGTCAGTCAAGTAACAGTCGATGATCTGATGCACAATCTCCCACAATCTGCACACTGTGTTGAGGACCGCGAGGTTGTTGTGCAAAGTGGAGAAATTACAGTTCATAGTGTAACTCCGACCACAGGCGACACGAAGAAGTTTCGTTTGCTCGTCCGATTTCACAGGGGAGTTGTGGAAATAAATATCTCTATGTGACACCTGAATTCACTCTTCGTATCTCTCAACTTCAGGCTTCGTTTTGGAGATCTGCATACGTACAACTCCCATCTGAACATAGTGTGCGTCGAAAATCAACTGTCGATTGTGAGCGTCGATTACAGGTGAGTTCGCTCAGATTGTCGACTTTCCCTCCTGTGACTTGACTCGCATACCGGCTATACTGACTGTCTAGGTCCGAGACATGTCTACCCAATTCCATGGGAATGGTGGGTACGTTGCCATGAAATGGGCAGTGTCAATTCTATATCGCAGAATTTTCGGACGGTTTACTCTTTTGCGTAGGTTGTGAGGAACAGATCAGCTTTCTTACCGTCCTCTGAAAATTTTTTATTGTGCGTAGCGCCTCAACTGGAGCGAATCTCTCCGCCGCCGTCGCATATCGCCCGCGGAATGATCTATCCTTCAAGAAGACACCCATTACTGGGCACGTGCTTCGACCACACCTGAGGATATTGCAGGAGAAGTAAGCAGTATGTCTGCATTGTGCCTCCGAAGTGCTGTTGACCATGTGAGAGATATCGCTCCACACTGCTCTGGAAGAAAACAACGGCGGCCCTGTTTTGACACGTGCTGCAGCTATCATAATGGCTCGTGTGTTTCGGCACTCTCCCGCGTTAGGTCTGATTGCTCTACTGCCATGTGTAGATATGGTGAAGGCTCTCATCCCGGGGGAAGCAAGGCGGTTTGAAGAAACATTGATACTTACAATAATTGCCAGTTACATCAGGGACTTTCTCAGAAAATGAGCATGAATCTTTCCCAGCCACGGACTATCTAGCAGAGAGCACATGTCGCAGAACCGTTGATGACCACGATCGATGCACCGCTCCCTCGAAAAGGCATTCCTCATCCTATCGGGTTTGACACGCCGAAAATCGACCTTCCTAGAAGTTAGCAACCTACGATAGCGTTAGGCATGCCGTTGTAAATCGGGCACCACCAGCTCGAAGGCACGTGAAAGTATCCCGTGTGCACTTTTCTGTCGTCTCGCCGCAGCAACGACGCTAGAAGAAACAGCCGAGAAGGCGTCAAGTCAGCTGGACGGGAGGTATAAAATCACGCTCTTCGTCGACAATATCTCTTCACGGACCCATCTAACTAGCCATGTCTCAGTACCGCCATCTGTCTACTGTTGACCCGGAGTTTGCGGTCATCGCTAATCAGTTCCCGCGTGACGCTCTCGAGCACGACGTGGTAGCTCTCCGGGAGAAGCAGAGACAAAGCAATAGTATTCTGCAGGAATATCTCAAACCTCGTCTCCCTCGAGGTGATATCTCTCTGGTACCATATTATTACTGATTGTATTGACATTCACCAGAGTCAGAACTGCGTGTCATAGACCATAAAGTTCCGGTCGAAAACGGGGAAATCACGGTTCGAAGTCTAGTACCGAGCGCCACTGCTGAAGGGAAGACTTTCCCTCTCCTTGTCTGGTTTCATGGTGGAGGTGCGGTTATTACGTGCGGTTGGTGCACAATTTGCCCCTACACTCAGCGATTGCCTAGGATTCATACTCGGTGATCTCGACATGGACGACTACCGCCTGAGAATCCTGTGTGTCGAACTTCAATTATCTATTGTTAACGTAGAGTACAGGTATGACAACCGATATTTATGAACTTTCCTGCGTCATGCTGACAAAATGGTCAAAGACTTGCACCTGAACACCGCTACCCCGTGTCATGGAATGACTCTTATAGCGCTACCAAATGGGCAAGTCACATGTGCATGGAACATAAATGGAGAACTCATCTGTGATCTGAACAGGCCGTAGATAATGCATTGCTCCTCTCAGCATCCCTTGACAAGGGCTTTATTGTCGCAGGACTTTCGGCTGGGGCTAATATCTCAGGCTACATAGCGCACCGTGCGCGCGACGATCCGTTCTTCTCGAAGACACCCCTAACAGGCCACGTCATGCAAGTTCCACCTGTGCTGAACCCTGAGGCTCCGGAGGTAGAGAAGTAGGCCATAGTGCTGCGAAGCTCAGTCACGTCCAGCACTGACAATGTAGCAGGTATGGAGCTGAGTTACTCTCCATGGAGCAGAATAAAGACGGCCCGGTCTTGACGCGTGAAGGAATATTCAACTTTACACGTGAGTTTCCACTTCGAGAGTCTGTAAGCCTGGATTGTACGCGGACATTTTTGATTGACGATAGGTTCCAGGTATTACCGGAATTCCCAAAGACGACCGTATCTTTTCTGTGCTGCTTCAGCCATCGCACGCTGGTATCCCACCACTCTATGTTCAGATAAATGGCCTAGACCCGTTACGTGACGAGGGACTGCTCTATGCGAAGTTGGTCGAAGAGGCAGGCGTAAAGACGAGAGTCGATATGTGAGTGGGACCCCAGCTCCGCCTTGGAAGAGTTTCCTTATGGTCATCTGCTCCGACAGCTATCCAGGTGTCCCTCATGGTTTCAACTATTTTGTTCCACAGATAAAGGCAGCTATAAAAGCAGACAGGGACCTCGACGAAGGAATCAAATGGTTGTTGAGCTTGGCCAATGACTCGGATAGCTTGGGTTAAATGGATCCAGTATATATTACAATACACCGTCTGATCCCCGCAGCCGGGCGGTTCCGGGAAGTTGTTCTCTGTGCTCATCTGGTTCCACCCCCGATGCCGGATGCACGCCATGCGTACCATTCGCGGCCTTTGCCCGGTCACTGATCTCTGATTGGGTTTCGCCAGGACCCTGGATAATCCCCCCAAAGGTCGTCGCCAAAACCCCCCCAATTTACAAAAATCTGTCCGGCCCATTTTTGGCCGGTTTAGGGAGTTTTTTGTCCGGAAATAGCGACATCCTCGCTCTGGGGATGTCCATTTTAGGCAATTTGTGGCTATTTTTAGCCTTTTCCGGCTTTTTCCGGCAATTTTCCGGCGATTTTTGCCCCAGAACAGTTCCATGTCCGGATAGTACGACGGCTACATGGTCCTTAGGGGGTCCATTTGTCCGGACATGACGACGGCGTGAGGTCGATTTTCGCAAAAATCTGTCCGGATTTGGCGACGACCTTTGTGGGGATTATCCAGGGTCCTGTTTCGCCATGGGCGTCAACATGAATGACTACCGCCTGAAGATCATGTGCGTCGAAGGCCAGCTGTCCATTATGAACGTCGATTACCGGTGCGGTCACAATACTCCGTTCATTGACTTCAATACACAATGGTACAATAATAGACTGACCCGCATGTCTTCCCAATTCCGTGGAATGACGCATATACTGCTGTTAGATGGGTAAGTGACACCTTCGCAGCACTGATTCGCTAAGGACTGACGTATGTTTATACAGGCTATTGACCACACGTGCCTTCTTTCAGCACGCCTTGATGTCACAAAGGATTCATCACTACCGACGCCTCAGCCGGAGCGAATCTTAGGGGATCTGTTTCGTACTGCCGGTACAATCCCTTCTTCTCCACTACGGTCCGGTTATTTCAAATCCCGCCTGTTTTATACCCGGAGAATCCAAAGGGTGCAAAGGAAGTCGCATATATACTCCGCAGGGTTATAAATCACCTTGACAGCTCGATAGATACCAATCTAACCTGCTCTCCATGGAGCAAAATAAGGATGCCACCTCCCTAACCCGTGACACGATCTTTAGTCTCGCTCGTACATTAGGATAGTTACTGTCTTTGGCAGGGAGTTTGGACGACAGGTTGACTCCTACAATTTGTAGGAATTGCCGAAATCCTCATCTCTGACCCGAGCTTCTCTGTGCTACCGGTGGATCTCGCGGGTGTTCCACCGGTTTACACGCAGATAGCAGGTATGGCCCTTCTGTGGGGCGAGGGTCTGCTTTACGCGAAATTGTTGAAACAGAAAGGCATGAAGACCAAGGATGATGTGTAAGGACTTAGCTGTTCGCTTGCTTGGTCCTATTCTGATAAACTGCTTGTGATTGCGACAGCTACCCTGGTGTACCACACAGGTTCCACTATGGTCTCCGACAGATTAAGATAGTTTTCCTGGCTGATAAGGACTTTGACAATGAATTGAAGTGGCTTTTGAGCGGGTCGAGTGCCTGAGGTTGGATATCATCAAGTTGGTGCATGCCACCTAGAAGAAGTGCGGCACGCCTTTGTATTACGTCGGTGGGTCAGTTACTAGTAAGTTCGACTCTTATGATACGACAATAACATGCTAGGGTAGCACACATGGAAGCATTCGAGTTTTACTGGCGTAAAAGCCATGGGCAGTCGCGTCTGCTGAGTACTCTCACACACATGGTCAAGGATGGGGCTTCTAACTTCTATTGAGGTATAGTGACTAATGACGGCTTGACGGTATCATTGGACGCGTACTCTTACCGTGCTTCCATGTTGACGAAGTCAGCCTTCGCCGTCCTCGGTTTTTTTCTCGTGAGACTGTTCTTTATCTGGCCTATGCAGCTGCAGATGTTGAGACGTTACACGATGACATTCGATCCGCCTTCTTGACTCGGATGAATTAGTAAGTCTCTTCATGCTTCCCGCCGTCTAACGTGATACCATTTGGCCGCCTTGGTCAGCCCGAGCAGCCTGGATTTTGATAGGCACTAAAGAGGTATAAAGCTATCGTTTGCGACTCACGGATTCAAGGTGTCATGTCCCAGTACAGCCATCTTTCCATCCCAGACCCCGAGTTCCTGCCGCTTATTCCTCAGCTGTCCACCTTCTTCCCCATGGAAGATGTGAAGGGACTGCGGGATAGGCAGAGACGGTTGCACGCCCAGCTTCGGGAGAGCATCAAGGATCGTCTTCCAGCAGGCAAGTAAGTCAATTAACAGCGTATTATTATGATCTGATCCACGTTCTCCCAGAATCTGCATATCGTGTTGAGGATCACAAAATTGCTGTTGAAGATGGAGAAATTACAGTTCGGTGCCTAACTCCGACCACAGGCGATGCTGAGGAGAGGTTTCCCTTGCTCATCTGGTTTCACGGAGGAGGTGCGCAATAATTCTTTCTATGTGCCATCTGTATTCACCCTTCGTATCTCTCAACCTCAGGCTTCGTTTTCGGAGATCTGGATATGAATGACTACCATTTGAGAATCATGTGTGTCGAACATCGGCTGTCAATTGTGAACGTCGATTACAGGTGAGTTCATTCAGATTGTTAGATTTCACTCCTTTAACTTGCATACCGGCTATACTGAATATGTAAATACTAGACTTGCGCCTGAGCACGTCCACCCAATTCCATGGGAGGATGCGTATGCTGCCACGAAATGGGCAAGCGGCAGTTTTATAATGCAGATTTGCAGACGGTTTACTCTTTTACACAGGTTGTGAGGAACGGATCGCTTCTCTCAGCATCGTTTGAGAAAGGGTTTATTCTCGGTGGCGCCTCAGCTGGAGCAAATCTTACAGTGACCGTCGCACGTCGGGCGCGGGATGATATTTTCTTCAGGGAGACACCCATTACCGGCCAGGTGCTTCAAGCCCCGCCCATACTACACCCTGAGGATCCGGCGGAAGAGAAGTAAGCAGCATGTCTGTATTGTGCCATCACGGTGGTAATGACCATGTTGTAGATATCGCTCTGAGCTGCTCTCCATGGAACAAAATAAGGACGGCCCTCTCTTGACGCGTGAAGTAGCGCTCATAATGGCTGGTGTGTTTCGACCCCCCACAATACTACGGCTCTGGCATGATGACTGCTCTTAGCAGATGTGGCAAAGCTCCCCGTGTCCAGCCCACACCACTCGTTGCTTCTCCAGCCGTCTCACGTAGGCACGCCGCCGGTCTATATGCAGGTAGCCGGTATGGATCCCTTGCGTGATGAGGGTCTTCTGTACGCCAAGCTGCTAGAACAGGCGGACGTGGCAACGAGAGTTGATGTGTGAGTATATAGCCCTTCGCGTACACTGCCGAATCGTACGTTGATTAACTGCTTTTGATACAGTTATCCGGGTGTTCCGCACTTCTTTCACTATTTTTTCCCCCAGCTTACCATGTCTGTCAAAGCAGATAAGGATATGAACAACGGTATTAGGTGGCTCTTGGGATTAACTGATGGGAGGGCTTGAATAGGGTGCACTTTTCGGCGCTGCCCATGTACTGAGAATCTGTTTGTGCAATGCACTGCGAATGGACTGTAGTCGTTATAGCGAGAGAACATCCGATGGCGGTTCAGGCCTGGTATACTTAGTGCCATGTCTTTCTTGAGGTCATTGCCACGCCGGGAGTTAGCGCCACCCAGAGTAGTGTTTCTGAAATTCGGTCCTGAACCTAGGTTCGAACTTGGACTCTGAACCGGACCATACTACGTAAGTTCAGGCAAGTGATTTGAAGAAGATCCTGAAACTCACAATATTCACCAACTCCGCAAGACACTTGCATGGAAAAACAGAGCCCTGAAACGTATATTTTCAATCCAGCAGTATGCATATGTCACGTAGTGACTACCAACCGTATTGGCAAATTTTGGTGCCGCAGTGGAGTCCAACCTACAAAACAGATCGAGATGTGACGATCGACGGACCGCCCCCGCCCCCGAAAAGGCATCTGCCTTCGTAATGGATTTTTGCGGACACCGACCTTCCCGCAAGTGAAAGTTAATCACACGTAACAATTTTAGGCATGCCACCGTGAATCAGGCAACAACCTGCTCGAGGCCATGCGGAAATATTGCGTCTTCGCTGGAGGAGACGGCCCGAGAAGGTCTCAAGCTCAGCCGCGCTGGTAAGCTGGACAGCCGGTATAAAATGACGCTCCACATCGACAGTACTTGTCTACTATCCTCTCCACGCCATCTCATTAGCATCTGTCTATCCTCGACCCTGAGTTTTCGGCGATCGCTGATCAGTTCCCGCGTCCCCCTCCCGAGGACAATGTGGTGGCTCGCCGGGAGAAGCAGAGACGAAGGAATAGTATTCTCCAGGAACCTCGTCTTCCGGAAGGTAACATCTCTCTGATACCGTATTATGACTAGTTGCATTGACATCTCCCAGAGTGAGAACTGCGTGCTGTAGACCATAAACTCCTGGTCAAAGATGGCGAAATCGCAGTTCAAAGTCTAGTGCCGTTCGCCGCTGCTGAAGGGAAGAGTTTATCTTTCCTTGTCTGGTTTCACGGTGGAGGTGCAGTTATTACGTGCAATTGATGTACAATTTTCCCCAACACTCAGTGATCGCCCAGGGTTCATGCTGAGTGATCTCGACATGGACGACTACTGCCTGAGGATCCTGTGCGTCGAACTTCAATTGTCTGTTGTTAATGTAGAGTACAGGTCTGACAACCAGTATTTATCAATTTTCTCTATCGCAAAGTGGATAGTAGACTTGCACCTGAACATCCTTATCTCATGTCATGGAACGACTCTTATACTGCGATCAAATGGGCAAGTGACATGTGCATTGAACAAAATAGAAAACTCAACTGTCCTCAGAACAGGTCGCAGACAATGCATTGCTCGTCTCGGCATCCCTTGACAAAGACCTTATTGTGGCGGGTCTTTCGGCTGGAGCCAATTTCTCAGGCTACATTGCGCGCACCGCCCACGCGACGATCTGTTCTTCTCGAAGACACCCTTAACCGGCCATGTCATGCAAGTTCCACCTGTGCTGAACGCTGAGGCCCCTGAAGAAGTGGGCCATATTGCTAAGAAGCATGGCCATGTGCAGCGCTGACAATGTAGCAAGTATGGAGGCGAGTTGCTCTCCTTGGAGTAGGACCCGGTCTTGATGCGTGAAGGACCCTTTGAGTTCATGCGTGAGTCTCCGCTTCTACAGTCTGTTAGCTTGGATTGTACGCGGATGTTTTGATCGACGCTAGGTTCCAGGTATTATCGGAATCCCCAAAGACGACCGGATCTATTCAAGTTGTGCTACTCCAGCCATCTCATGCTGGTATCCTGCCACTCTGTGTTCAGATAAATGGCCTGGACTCGTTACGTGACGAGGGACTGCTCTATGCGAAGTTGGTAGAAGAGATAGCAGTGAAGACGAAAGTCGATATGTGAGTGAGCCACCAATTCCATCCTCGAAGAGTTTGCTCACCCACATCCGCTGCGATAACCATCTAGGTTTCCCCTCATGGTATCAACTAGTTTATTCCACAGATAAAGGCAGCTACCAAATCAGACAAGCCTGACCTGGACGAAGGGATCAAATGGTTGCTCAGCTTGGCCTACGGTGCGTCGGATTGAATACTTTCAGTATAGAGGTAAGTAGTATGCTGCGTTGGTCTGGACCATCATGACTGAACTGGTTACTTCACTGTTGCTTCAATGATCTATGGACACCTGATGCTATATCAGTCCGTCCCTCTGACCTCTCGTAGGACTGATTTTGTAGTCTGCCTTTGGGAGACTAGATGAGCACCATGCATTCAGAAGATCATGTCGAGCGTGACAACTCAGACCAGTGACTTGTGACAGCGCGTAGTGCGCGCTTCCGGCATCCTCACCGAGACTGCTCTGCGGGCATGCCCACGGCAGCTCGCACCGCGACCGCAACCTTCTAAACGACGTACAGCACATTAGGAGCCTTCTTGCATCGATGTTCTCTAATTTATTGCCGAACGCTCTCTATTATCTTCTCGCATCATTTCTGTTGCCACAGAAGCCACCGCCATTACGATTTGAGCTGCGTCATGAGCACGCTCTCTCAGAATCGTCTCGGGTCGTCTTTTCCGACATCAAGCCATCTAGCTTTGTGCAGCAAGCGTTTGAGGTGACCACAAGGCAGATGAAGACGTTTCGACCGGTCTCGCAGGACGCCTTCTATAGCGCACGCTACCGTGCGCACTACTCGATACCATGGGATGAAATCGAAGTCGAGGGACCGAATATTCAGGATCGCGAGACGCTGTTGATGCTGGCAAAGATGACCAACAACGCATACGCTGAGGAACCGGGCGAGAGGGAGTGGTACGACCTTGGCTCCGATTGGAACAACGTAAGTTCGTTCGCCTTCTCCTCAGGGCCGTGCGCAGACCCCCATTCGGCCAGAGCTACCCGTTTGGCTGGGAGCCCGACGCAGACGGGTTCCGCGGGCAAATCTTCGTGACGCCCAACAATTCGACGGTCGTCATTGCCGTCAAAGGAACTTCTGCAGGGTGGCTTGTCGGTGGCGGTGGACCGACGACGCGGAAGGACAAGCTGAATGACAACCTGTTGTTCTCGTGTTGCTGTGCGCGAGTAGGTCCGACGTGGTCAACGGTGTGCGGCTGTTACGAAGGTGGTTACAAGTGCGACCAGGGCTGTCTCGAAGAGAGCCTCATTGAGGACAGCCTGTTCTACTCGGTTGGCACTGTAGGATGTCTCGTCGCTCCTTTCGTGCGGTCTGGATTACTGATGTGCACATAGAATTTGTATAATAACGTGACATACATGTATCCAAACTCTAACATTTGGGTGGTGGGGCATTCGCTTGGCGGCTCGCTAGCATCACTAATTGGTATCACCTTCGGCATACCCGCCGTCGCGTTCGAAGCACCGGGAGAGAAGCTTGCGGCCGCCCGGCTGCACCTACCATCTCCTGTAAGTCTGCTTTCAATGCGATAGATAACATCCCGCTGATCCTTCCTAGCCATCGACACAGCACGTCACACACGTCTATCATACTGCCGATCCGATAGCCATGGGCACATGTAACGGTGTCAAGTCGAGCTGTGCAATTGGCGGTTACGCTATGGAGTCACGGTAGGCTTCGTAAGTTGTATCAGTTTTCACCCTCATTACGGCTGCGCAGGTGTCACCTAGGCAAAACGCTCCTGTACGACACGGTCTCGAAGCTTAAATGGGCGGTAGACGTCCGTACCCACGGGATTAAGGTTGTCATCGACAGGCTGCTTTCGAGTGATTGGGATTCGGACGACGACAAGCAGCCTAAGGACGGCCGCGGGAAGCGCAGAAACGTACCGGAGTTGGTTGACGAGCATGACTGTGTGGTACGTGCGCCGAGCACCGCGTGGCATAATTCTCATCTTGTCATTACAGGATTGTTTCAACTGGGAATTTGGTGACTACCGGAACATTTCTTTGGCAGATGCTGGGCTGGACGTGGAAGTCGCGGCATCTTGTTCAAAACGTATCTTTAATATTCCTTCTGCATAGACGGTGCATGATAGCTTACAATAATATTCTTTTGTGATCACTTTGGCTGCTATTCCAAATTCGGTTCCTATTTGCGCGACGAGAAACGGATGGTTGTTGCTGCGCAAACTTGAATCGTCTAATACCTTACGGCGAGTAGTCGTCTATTGTATGGCGAGTTGCGCTGTATAGCTATTATCTCACAGATAAAATCTAGGATCCGATTGCGTCTCCCATGCATGTCCATGCTTCTCTTCTTACCTCGCGCGCACAGCGAGAAGGAGAGCTCGTCCACGCTACTCCGAGAGTCTGAATACTGTCTACGACTCCTTCCCCACTAGCAGTGACCGCAAAGAATACGCACGGATATGGCGAGACGCGCAGTCTCTGCGTAGTCGCTCACGGAACATCTACTCCACCTTGTCGCCGCTGTCGCAAGTTTTCGCGCGGCTCAAGACACCGCAACAAGTTGTCCGAGGAGAGAGCTTGTCCACCGTCCCGTCTGTCCTGCTCGAGGGGCGACTGGCTTCCCCGGTGCCAGGGCTTGCACGATGTAGAATCCCATTGCTGAGGAAGCAAGCTCCTGTGAGAGGATCATCGTTCACCGAGCATTTCCCAAAATCAGTGAATTCAAACGCACCTTTGTCCGCAGTGTGGCGAGAAGAATGGTACGAGCCATCGTGGTAAGTACACTGGGAAGCTTAGACCATTCGCAGCACCTGGCGACCTTTTCTACGTTTCTACGAAGAGACAGTCAGGGGCAGGCGCCCCTGCCGAAGCCGCGAGGCTCCTTCGTTGATGTTTCGAAATCGTTCTTTAATCGTACTTGTGCTCTTCCTACTTAGGCTTGTTGCGTTCCCAAACGATGTACGGTATCTCACTGCATTGCAGAGACCAAGCAATAAGAAATCTCTCCCATCAAATCAATCTTGGACAAGCTAAACAAACGTGAGTCCGACATAAATGGAGACGAGAGAACAAAACACAGAGTTCCACACGCATGCAATGGTGATGACGATGGTAAGATAAATAATTCCGCGGAGTGAAGTCAATCCCGACGGAAATGAGATAGAGGTAGTGGATCATCCGCATCTAAATCGTCTTCCGCCGCTGACACTTGAGGCTAACGACAAGCTGGCCGAAGCATGTGGCGAGCACCTCAGCCAAATTTGGAACGCTTACTCTGACCAGAGCACTGCAGATCTGCTTCAAGACGACGCTTCGAGCCAGAAGGTGCAGTAGGCGCCGCAGGAAGCTTGAGTCCCTTCTCTTTGTAGTGCGCGTAGCTGTAGTTCGAGGGGACTCGGTCAGGTACCTTGTCGTGCGTCGGCCATTCATCCGCGTGTTGAGTATAGGCCTCTTCGAGCAACCTGTACATCGGAACCTGAGAGTTCAAGTTATTGGCCAGCGCCTTTTGCTCCTCTAGCGCTTTCTCCTCGACTTGTGGATCTTCTTTAAAGGTTTCGACAGACATGCCGAGCGACCGCACCATCGCCTGTTTGCGCAAGTGGTCTCTAATGGACATCTGCTTGTCAGTAGCAAATTTGTCATTCACCATTCCATCATTCGGTTGCTGCGGTTCGTTGGTAACAGGTCCGTTTTGCGCGGCTCCTGGTGGCCAGTCCTCAGGTGAGAATTCCGCATATCGTGCCTTGAACCATTTCAAGAGCTGGTGGATGACTGCGTTACATGGATGTGTCTTCTTATCGCCGTACTCGAATTTGACGGGTTTGTTGAGGGTTGTCTGCAGTTTGCCAGATTGCATTGCATTCCGCTTGGCGACACCGCAGGTATAATGAGTCGCTCCGTCACTGACGGTGCACTCGTCGAAGTACTGAGACATGAAGTATGCTGGGTTCTTGAGGGAACTGTCCATGAACCTGACGAGATATAATAAGAAGACATTGAAGAATGCCTCAAGCTCATCCGCAACTTCGACGGCTCTAGTGGGCACGTCCAACGAGATGACCGACATAAACTGCCACGTTCCCTGTGAGTATGAGATGAACATTCACTGTCAGTGGAAAGATTAACTGCATGCTCACAGTACGGTCAGGTTGCCTTGCCTTCCGAGTCCCCTCAGTATCGTCACCTTCACCATCTTTATCGTCAATCAATTTGGACAGTTCCCAATCACATAACATCCCGACCCTCCAGGGTATATCACCATTTGAAGGCAGCAGTGTTTCATTGATGAGGATATTCCCGGCGCTGACATCTCCATGCATGATTCTAGCTGTCACCATAGCCTGATGATGAGCTACATGTAATCTATGAGTATATGTGCTGAAGCCCACTCTTAATAGAAAGACTCACCATATATACAATCTGAGACAATCCTCACCAACTCCAAGGCATTATCAAAATCGCTCAGCGGACGACAGACCTCTTCGACTACTAGCCGATAATGTGTGTGGGTCTTGATCGGGTTCATCTGTCCACTATAGAACTCGTGCCAGTAGGTGTCCGTCTTCGTTCGTTGTCGTTCAACATGTACAACGTCTCCGACATCTTCAACATCTAGAACGTCCCCGTGGCAAACCAGAGTCGGCACGTTTGCGACTTCTGCGTCATTCAGAGATTGGAGGATGTATCCCTCCTTCTCGATGTCTGGCAGGTCGACGCGCCACACATCCTTCAGGAAGACGAATTTCTTATCCTGGCAGTTGTACGCAATGTACCCTCGTGTAACCCGGCCTGTCATACCTGACGCCTGAAAATGAGGCTTTCCCACCAAAAAATGTTGCAAACGTGGCTTCTTGCGGACATTCCTCCCTGCAGGTCGAGGGTCTGAGCCGTCGATCGCCTTTCCATTTTCCGGATGTACGGTCAGTTTCCAACACGACCAGTCATTAGGATTCTCCTTCGAGAGATTGGGCATGGACTTGGCGAACGATTCCCTCGCGTACTCGGAGCCAGCACCTTCTGGCGGATTCTTCGCCAGCTGCTCCATGAGCTTGTAGTCTGCCGATCCGCATTTCACAACAACGGCCGTCGTATCGTATCCTTGCTGTTTGTCAGTCATATTACAGAATCGCCACAGGAACTTGCCAAGATACTCGGTGTTCGTGTACTTGAATTTGTTCGTGACAACAGTACCAGCCCGATCCCAGCGAATAATCCGCGCAACATCACGGAGGATGAGAATCGTGAACGCGAAGCAGCGATGTTGGCGCGAGAAGAGCATGTTGGCGTAGGAGACGATCTGCCCTCGAGCCGCAGCTCGTCGGTCAGCGGGCGGCTCATAAGCTGTCTCGAAGGTCTCTCTGGATGAATTTCCATAAGCCATCTGAAGGGGATTCTCTTCGTCGCCGTCCTCATCGTCTTCCATTATCGGGTCACCGTCTCCGTATGTCTCGTCTTCATCCAGGAAGACATTGTGCATATCGCCCACGTCATCGTCGTTCGCGTCGTGCACGTCATCTACTTGGACCTCGTCGCCCTGCTCAGAATCGTGGTGCAGGTTATCTTCATCCTCGGCCTTCGTCTTTGGATCTTCGAAAGGATCATCCTCCGTTCTATGCTTCTTGAACTCAATCGAAAGCCGCTGAAGTGCCCAATGTGGCCTACTATCGTCCAAGGTCTTTCTCTGCTTGGCATTCTCAGGAAGAAACAGCGCAGCATCGACCTTCTGCCTCGAGGGGTCCGCCTTGTCGGGTTTGTTCTGCACCAGCTTGAGGACATACCCCTTGCAAAGCTTGTAATTTTGGACGCATTTGACCTTGAAATAACCGACTCGGTCAGATGCGTGATGTGCAGAAGAAGGTCAAGATCACCAGAGGTTCATACATTTGCTCTTCTCGTACTGTACCTTCGAGTACGTTCTCCATGTCCTTGAACGCCTTCTTGAAATTCGGCTTGAATGGTTTCTCCGCCATCGTTTCAGATTCCGGAGCAAACGTGTCCATGAATTTGTTCACGGGCATCACGATAAATTTCCCGCGCATTTCTTCACGAAGATGCCGTCGTTGCTCGTGCAGAGTTTGGCCGCCGGTAGCGAATCGCGAGTTATCACGCTTGGCCTTGTGGGGAGAGCTTTGACATTTAGCAGAGAGATTGTCAGATTGGAGAGGCTGAGTGAAAGGCATGTTGGCGCGTGCTTACCTCCTCGAAGAGAGATGGAGGACTTTATATACTCGGCTGGAAGACGAGTGGCCAAGCTCTGCGCAATCTCGATCAGTTGGTCGGCCAGAGGTCGACTCACATTTACATTACCGTGTGCGAGATATTTTTATGTCTATTGTGCCCTCCGAAGCACGGCAATGTTGCTGAGGTGCTTGCGGTTCAAGGTTGTATGCGAAGGCCAGCGACCACGTGCACCGCGTCAATGCCCAGCACGTGAGCGTCAGGGCACCCATCCTACTCGTTTCTCAATTTTAATTACGTACCCGTTTTCTCGTCGAGTGAGCTGAGTGCTTAGTCGCTTATTCTAGCCAACATTCGACGGACTTGCTTACCTCCGTAGTCAAAACCTCGCGGAGTTGTGAGGGCAATCACTCGTTGCTAGGATCTCACTGGCACCACTGGGCCCTGATCGAGCTGCTGCCCAGCAGAGTCATAACCAGCACGTTGAAGCGACAACATTGTGGCACAGCCTCTCCTTTGTTTGTTTGTCTTATTTAGGCGAAATAACTGCTGCACACCTGTTCGGACATTCAAGTGAGTGGCCTCGGATAGCCCATGACTCACTTCGCGTGGTTCATTTCGGTCCGTGGCACAAAGGCCTTCCCCCCAACAGAGGAGAATGTCGGACAGGCACCCTGATTTCTCCTCACATCTATCCCACAGTGGCCCTCCTTTACTATTGTGGTTCATGTTCCCACCCTTCCTAGTCATGATAACATCATCCGAGGTGGGACTCGCTCTGAGGCTCCCGCTTCGACAGCCAGCGTCGTTCGTTTGCCCCAACGTCATTTGCCCTGTTTTAGCAATGCAATACCTCGTTTGGAAGAATGAAACTGAGTTGATGAGCAGGCCACCCCGGTTCTCGGACATTTACGCCTGTATGACTCTGCTTGTACTACTTGCATGAAATTGTATTGACGGGTCACACATATCCAGCACGACCAACACCAGCTAGCCTCAAGCCAGCTGCTATATACTGCTATCATACCTATTGAAATTCGCATTTCCTACAGGCCACCGCACCTTGAACGCGACCTAACTCAGATGCAGATGCATATTTCTACCACGGCACAGTTGAGCATTCCTCGGCATCGTTCTCCATCGCCCAAAATTCGCTCTTGTACTTGTCCCTCGCTGCATTCGCCAACTCTACGACCACACCGGCTCCGTCCAATGGATCTCGAAGTCCCTCATAACCATTCAACCCAGTCTTACAGTATCCCGGGTCTATGGTCTGCAGTGGCGGACTCAGTAAAATCCCCCCTAGCCCGACAATGATTACTTGTCTGAAAGAGCACGTTCGGATACAGCTTCTGGTACTCTATGGTGAGTACGTTCAGCGCAGTCTTCGACGCGCTGTACGGGATGCTCCTTGTGGGAGGGAGTTCGCCTGACATGGCAAGTTCGATTGATGCGCGAGCAGACGAGACGTTGATCACGCGCGGATCTGGCGATAGCGCAAGAAGCGGTAGAAACACGGAGGTGACTACGGCGACTCCGGATACATTGGTGTCGTAGACCGCATTGTAAATCGAACGCAGGTTGTCGATTTCTCCAGGAGACGGGACGAGGCCTATACCCGCGTTGTTGATTAAAACTAGATCTCAGTCAGCGTAGTATCCAGGTAACTTGGCGAACAGAGCGTACTGTCAAGCTTTCCATATCGCTCACGAACTGTCTGTTCTGCAGCTTTGATGCTGGCATCGTCCATGACGTCGAGAGCCAAGCTATCGACCTCTGCCGTGATCCCAAGCTTGCGCAACTCCGTTATTGCACCGTTGGCTTTGTCAACGGAATGAGCGGCGAGGATGAGCTGATCGGACGATTTTCGCACCGCTAAACCTTGGACGATGGAGAAACCGATTCCTGACAAGGCGCATATTAATGTGAAATGCTCTACCACCACGAACAGTACAGGCTAGGATCAGTGACACAAACCTCGGTTAGCTCCTGTTATGAGGATCGTGCGCGGCATTGTTGGCAATGTTCAGTGAGATGCAAGAGCGCGACATCATCGCCTTTTATGATTTATGGTATTTGAAGCGCTGACATTGCTTGCCGAAGCCGTGGGCGTACGTACCACCGTTGGCTCACTCAGCGAATGATGAACGCTCACTGACCCTAGTCTCCCAAAGCCAGACTACAAAATCAGTCCTATGAGAGGTTGGAGGAACGGACTGATATAGTCACCTGTGACGAGACGCGTTGCGTGACTGCTGTTTCAGGCCCCTTCAATTGCACAGTATCAAGCAGGCAGGCCGGGCCAGAGATTATTAGCTTCAAATAGTCTACGAGGCCTTCGTGGAATCCGTGTTGAACGATAGTGTGCTGCAGGCAGAGGCGACTTTTTCTCTACCAACTTCTAAGTGCATTGTGTTCTCTTCGTCATCGACTTGAATCAAGCATCTGCACTAATCGTTCACCAGCAGGTACGAGGTACAAGAAGTTGCGCCATGTGTACTTTCGAGCGTCGGCATCTGTCTATCTTGTCGTCATGAGTGTCCTCTGGGTTTTGACAGGGCAAATATCTCTTCTAGCCTCTCGGTTGTAGTTTCCGTGTCGGCATTAGCTCTGTGGCATCGTCGCACGGTTTATACCGTCCAGCTGTCATGGGATACTGCTGCAATGTCGTGTTTACGATGTTTGTGACATGATATCCGCCTTCGCCTTAAAGGCTTAGGGCCTGTTATCATGAAATGCAGCCGGGCAGATCCGTACGTCATAAGTTGTATACGACCATTAACCATAGTACTTTTGAGCCATGTTTGTGCTACCTTTTGGAAATCGAATGTGTAGTTTCATCGTACTTGACGTCCCCGTCCTGCTGTCGCTTCGTGTTGCCGCTCCGCATGATGGGAATAAATTCAAGGTATGGTAAATCGGCGTCTACATAACACGTAGTACGTGACCGTTTCATCCTCACTGTCAATCGGAAAGCCTACAGTGAGACCCAATACCTGGAATATTGGAACAAATGATAAGTGCGTCACAACTCATCGCCATTACTGTCTATTCTTAATAGAGGGACGCCGCAGTCACGATATCGACATCATACATCCGAAACTCCATGAATGGCAGCTCCTGCAAAGACAGACTTACAGGCGAGAAAGCGGATACGTCTCGCTTCTGACTCAGAGGAGAGCAACATCCATGTCGGGGACCTCCAGCCATGGGGCCAGATCGGAAGTAAAGATGAACCTCAGCGGCACGCAAAACTTTGGTTTGATGATGGTAATGTCATCCTCGTCGCTGGACGTGTCGCGGTTCGCGTACACGCTGGGCTAATTTCTTGCGACTCTCTCGTCATCCGTACCATCCTGAAGCCCCACCAGCATTTACTTCAAACATCGGATCCGCCTACAATCCACCTTACAGATTCCGCCAGTGACCTGGAGGCGTTGCTGTGGATGATGTATGATGGCAGAATGTACATTCTTTCTTTTATATGTTTCGAAATTGGTCCTTACATTACCCAGGTACTTCGGCCTTACCTCCGACCCAGTGGAATTCAGCGTGATCTCTTCGCTGATACGACTGGGTCACAAATACAAGATCGCCGACATTCGGGACAACGCATTGCAGCGTCTCCATTCATGCTTCCCGACTAACTTCGAGGACTGGTGCACATTTAATACAGATGGGAGCTCCTACATAACGATGCAGGCTAACGATGCTATCGCTATCGGCGCAGTCAATCTCGCTCGTCTGACTCACTCCGACACTATCCTTCCAAGTGCACTGTATGCCTGTTGCTGCCTGAGCACCCGAGTCATTCTACATTGGGTATGCCGAGCGGATGGATTCCTGGAGAAATTGTCTTCAGAGGATATCGATCGCTGCGTAGAAGGGCGTCTCAAATTGATGGAAGCAAACACCAGGGAGCTTGCATGGGTGCTGGATATGAAAGAAGCTAGTCCGAAATGCAAAGACCAGGAAACTTGTGCCCGTGAGTTGCGAAAACTTCCGGGGAAGGCACTTCTCGAAGCTCAGGGAAGGATCCATGCACTGGCCAAATGGCGTGATCTCCACCAGTTAGGTGTATGCGATCGCTGCCTCGAGATAGTCAAACGCCAAGAACTCAGAGGCCGTCGAAAGGTTTGGCTTAAATTACCGTCGTATATGGGAGTCACCGTGGAGGACTGGCAGGGATGTTCTATAAGAGGTGAGTCGGAGGAAAGACTCTGATATCGATGATCAATTATATCAATGACGATACCCTGTTGTTCAGATACAGTACGCCGTTGAAGGTGCAGAAAATATCTTTCTCAACTTCGGTGCCATAGAGGAATGGGTGAAGTTTCTGGCATCTGCTGACATAGTATGGACGAGCGAGGTATCTTTGATGTTTTGATCAGTTCCTCTATTCGTGACGCCATCCACCGTCTTCGACCTGCGATATCCTGACCATTTCCCCGGTATATCCTCAATCCCATATATATTTGTAGATCGTATATGGATGTTCCAACTATTGTCGCCTTTTTTAAGACTATTGTCTTCATTAATTATGAGTGAACACTCGCAGAATTTCATCCTGGCTCTTCTCGCACAACCCTCCCCGATGCTGAACACCGCCACTGCTACGAGGGCACTGGCTTGAACATTCAATCCTCTCACTTAAGCCATGCGACGCTAGATGTTCAATACTTGCTGGATATGATGCTACTGGATGGAAGTATGTATTTCAGCTTTCCCTCTGTGTTGCAATACATAGTGCGGAAGATATGATGATGTGCTCGCATGGCCACACGAGCACGCGGTGTGACACATGTCATGCGTCCACGCGACGACTGTGACTCGACGCCGACGTCGACATGTTCCCGTCTCTGCATGGCACCTGCCGAGCGGGGCAGCGAAAGTTTGACGGTGACACTGCCGCCCGTACGCGCGTCCGCTCCAAGACTGCCCAACCTGAACCCCGGTCTGCTGAACGTCGAAGCTGAAGGTGAAGTGATCCATCTATAAGAGCAACAGCTTGTGTCTTTAAACCCTCATTTCCTTTCCCTCATTTTACGCACATCAGCAGTACTAGTAGTTCTGGAGACATGGCAGCCATCACGAAGAAGACGATGCCCTACGGTGCGCAAGTGGAACTGGACTATAACGTATATGGCCTACCTGACACGAGCGAAATCCCCTATATATACTCAGTCCGCTTGGGCAATTCTGGCCTTAAAGTGTCCAAGATAATTCTTGGCACCATGCAGTACGGCAGCACCAGTTGGCAAGAATGGGTGATCGAAGACCAGGACAAAGCGATCGAACACATCAAGTTCGCGTACGTGTCGTCCAACGATTCTCTCTGTCCCGCCACGCCCATCGTGTCTGTGGCAGATACGAGAACGGCATTCAGACGTTCGACACTGCCAATGTATACTCCAATGGCCTGTCCGAGCAGATTCTCGGCAAGGCCATCAAGAAGCTGCGTCTACCCCGCGAGGAGATCGTCGTGATGACCAAGGCATGTATCCGCCCACATCGCTTCCAATAATCTAGCTAAATTAAACTATGTTGTGGGTACCAGCTGTACTTCTCTGTAGTCCCCCAGTACGACGGCAATCTTGCTAGAACGAGCCAGAGCCCCCAGGAAATGGTGATCATCAACCAGCGCGGGCTCAGTCGCAAAGTACTGTATATCCATCTCCACCTCCCCCTTTTTTCGTGGATGTTTGGCCTTGGGACTTACGGGTGCGCCGTTAACGTTCCCCGCAGAACATCTTCGATGCCGTGAAGAAGAGCCTCGAGCGGCTGCAGCTCGACTACGTGGATCTCCTTCAATGTGCGTTCCTCAACTCAAGTCTTCTCTGTCCTGTGCGAAATTGTCTGATTTCCCGCTAGGTCATCGGTTCGACTACGAAACGCCAATCGAAGAGACAGTGGGCACTCCGTTCTGACGCTCAGTCGAATAAACTGACAGCATTGGCAGATGCATGCGCTGCACGACGTTGTCAAGGCCGGTCACGCGCGCTACATTGGTATGAGCTCGTGCCACGCTTACCAGTGTGCGTCACAAGCATCCTGTTTTCTGCTGCGCGACTGATACAATTCACAACAATCTACGGCGGTAGTCCACGCGATGCAAAGTCCGTCCACCAAGCCTCTCTACCGTACCCGATTTAACGAACATAAATTACGCAGATTACGCGATCTCGAACAACCTGACACCCTTCGTTGCGATGCAGAACCACCATAGCCTCATATACCGCGAAGAGGAGCGCGAGATGTTCCCCACGCTCAAGGCGCGTCTCGTCCTATCTCTTATTTTTGATTTTTTCCATCGTCTGGTCTTCTCGTCTCTACCGAAATCCCCACATCGTCCTCCCGCCGACACTAGCGCATTGTACCCATCTCCGCAATACCCATCTCGCTTCGTACCCGTCTACCCCATTATTAGCCCTCTCTTACGTATCACGTCCGTGATCATCCTCTCTGCATCAATCTCACTCACTTATATTTCCCCCTCTGCATGTCCCCCTACCATTTCGTCCCGTGCCCATCTCTCCCCTTCTCTAATTCTTTTCCTTCAACCGTGCCGCACGCTGACCACGCTCTCATCGCCCGCAGATGTTCGGCGTTGGCGCGATCCCGTGGTCCCCCCTCGCACGCGGGTTACTCACGCGTCCGGTTGGTGAGCAGACCCGCCGCGCGCAGACTGACCGGCATGTCCCCCTTCTTTTACTTTTCAAGTATCCCGCTTACGACTCCCGCTGCCCCTCCCCCTTACTGGGACCACTGGCCTATCACCGCTTGGCTGTTTTTCTGATGCAGGTACCAGAAGCACTACACTGATAATCCGGGGACGGTCGACATCATCAGCCGGTACGTCCCCTCGAAGCGTAATGGTGTGAAAGTACGGTGCTGACGATGCTATCCTGTAGCGTCGACGAACTCGCGAAGAAGAAAGGTATCAGCATGGCGCAGGTTGCGATCGCGTGGAGCCTCTCCAAGCCGGGCGTCACTGCGCCCATTGTAGGGACGACGAGCCTCGAGAACCTCAAGGATATCATCGGTGCGCCTGACCCCCGCGTTTTCTCCCGATGACGATGTGAACGTTGCACTGTTGAAATGAAATTGCGCTGAACAGGTGCGGTCCATGTCCAGCTCACGGAGGACGAGATTAAGTACCTCGAGGAGCCGTACCGCCCGCTGGCGATTGATGGCCATGCCTAAGGACTCGGTGCATGGCAGTGGGCAGGCACAATGCATAAGCAGACTGTTGTGAGATGTGGATGTAGTTTTTGTAGAGTTCGGCAGGGAAAGTTGTACGACTAGACGGAGGTGAGATAGAATCCGGATGCATAACTGATATACTGTCTGATGTGACATCGGATTCCTGCAGCAATTCGAATGGCTACCAGTAGAAGGGTGATCAAGTAGGTCGACATGGGTAGAGCAGGGCAAAACATGCCAGTCACGTTCAAATCTTTTCAAACGTTCTGATGTTATTCTTGACCAGCACGAAAATTCCATGTAGCTTTTGGTAAGTGGAAAGAGACTGGTCCATTACAGCATGTGAAATCTCTCCATACTCATGACCACTCACGAACAGGTCCATTCGCCCTTCTAAGTTTATCGTCGAGAGATGCGGTGATCTCTAGAGTTTTTCGATCCTATAGACTGAGGCAGCATCAACAGGTGTCAACGTTTCAACACTCTGGATATGATCGTGAACGATCGAATCATCCAGTTGCCGTTGTAGATCGCCGATCGCTACAAAGCAGGCAACAACTTCGAGGGGATCATAGTAGAAAATGTAGAAATCGCTCGGTAATGAACCACGCTCCGCATGCCAGGGTCTGTGGTCGCTAGCTGAGGTGACAGATCCCAACGGAGCTGAGTTGAGTTTCAGGCTACTGTCGGTTGGGATTGGCATTCTGAAGGACCAAGTCACAGTCAATTATCGCTTCCTTTCGAAAGTAGAGATGCACAATTTCCCCCCTCGAAGACTCTTAGTTGACCACCACTCAATTTCCACTGCGAGCCCAGCAGTGCCCAAATGAATACTCCCATTTTACATGACATCGATGAGCTGGATGTTCGGGATCAAGTAGGGAAGCTTCAGATTGCGATACTGACATGATAGATACTAATGATCAGCCATAGGGAGCAGGCGGCGAGGTAGTACGCACATTCGTAGCAGCTTCGAAGGCACACGCATACTGCACCATCATGGCCTCGCTGAAGCGCTTTCCGTAGATCGAGATACCAAATCTACATCGCAAACGCCACCAATCCGGGTCAGTCCCTTGCGAATGAGTCAGTGTGCTGTCAGTACATACGGCACGTTCGGTGCAGACTCGACAAGTGTGTACCGCGAGTTCCAGGTGACGGTCGTGTTGCCAGGGTAGTAGTTCAGCGGCACGGTGACTATTGGGTAACCCGCGATGGCGGCATATCCTTTTGCAGTGAAGACACGTCTGTGAGCTCAGCCATGCAACTGAAGACAAAGACCTGATTCGTACCCGGGGCAAAGGAGCTCGGGATGATTAACGCGTCGAGATCATAGTTGTCGAGTGCGCCGAGGATGGCTGAAACAGTCATAAGGGTATAAAAGCAGTCCATGGGTGAGGTAAGCCTTACTCGCGTTGGAACCATAGTAGTACTGTTCCAAGAGCGCGGTGTAGTATGCGGCGTCGCCCTGTGTGACGTTGAGCGCCAAGTCTTGCTGCCAACTTGGAGTTCGAAACGATTAGGGGCGCGGTAAAGACCGCAATGCACCGAATAGCTCACACATCAATGTTGCGGTCAGGCTGCGGTGGACAGAGGGTGGCTCAATATTTCGATTGCGCGGAGATGGTCCGGAACACTCACATAATCCTCTAGCGGATAGCTCATTGTGAAGGCTGCCAGCTCTGTGAGGTTGTGGATATCCAGCGGGTTATATACAAGTTCGTTGAGGTAGTTCGCGATGCCGACGACGAAGTCCGCGCCTACAACTGGATCAGTAGCGTACTGACGCACATAATACAGCTGAGTGATGGTGCGGAAGTGATAGGGCAAAGTCACTCACACTGGACCCGCTAAAGTTCAGGAACCCCTCCAGATCGGGGAAATCAGCGTTCTCCAGGACAGTCGCACCGAGCGCTTCGAATATGGGGATCGACGCATTGAAAGCCGCTACCTCGGGCCCCTCTGTCGCGTACACGGAGATCGCATTACGCGGTATCCCGATCTTGGCACCCTGGAGGCCGTTGATATTGCAGTTGGCGGCATAGTCAGGGATGGTATCGAATGGAATGGCGGAAGTATAATTGTCGTTTGGGTCAGGGCCTGGAGTCGTTCGATGAACTTGGGTCAGAGAGGTATGAGGAAGGACGCACCAGCGATAACGGAGAGCACATATGCAGCGTCGATCATCGTCCTCGTCATGGGACCAACGGTGTCCTGGGTTTGCGATATTGGGATTACCAAGTAACGACTTGTTAAGCCGACGGACTGGATCGAACACATGTCCAAAGATTGTTACATTTTCCATCAACCAATATCCCAGTGTACTTACAGGCTTGATGCCAGTCAGACTGTTCTGGCTGCTGGGCGAGATGATGGAGCCATCCGTCTCAGTGCCAATACAAACAGCAGCAAGACCTATTGAACACGAGACTCCAGGGCCACTGCTAGAGCCTGACGGATCCAAGTAGGGATAATATGCTGCCGTCGTCTGACCCCCGCGAGAAGTCCAACCTGCAAGCAAAGGCCGTTGAATTATACAGAGCCCTTAGGGTACAGCAGGTGCGGACCGTTTGTAGAGTTCGTGGACCTATAGTTGGCGAACTGCGAAAGGTTGGCCTTCCCGATGAGGATAGCACCCGCTGCTTTCAATTTCGCCGCGATAGTGGAGTCTCTGGGCAATATGGCGCCGACAAAGGCATACGAACCAGCTAAATGGACAGATTGTCACAAGCTTTCCATTGCAAATTATGCGAAAATGTACCAGTCGTGTTCATCTTGTCCAGTGTTCCGATGTTGTCCTTGACCAGCACAGGAATGCCGTGCAATTTTCTGCAAATAATGGGACGGGTTATGAGAATGCTAAAAAGTGATGGTACGTTCTTCCGACAACTCACCCACGCACGATTCCGTCCGCTCTCTCAGCGTCAAGAGAGGCAGCAATCGCAAGAGCATCGGGATTGGTTTCAATGACCGCATGAGTGATATTGTTCACTTCCTCAATACGTGCGAAATATGCCTATTAGGCGCATGATTAATATATTAAAACTATCGCGGACAATTGAATCGTGCACCTTAACGAGATCAACGCTAGTAAATGTTCCTTGTGCCAGTCCGAGTTGAAGATCGTCGATCGTAGCATAGAACAGGTCGGGCAAGGGTTTTCCTATGTGATCAAACGACACCTACACGTCAGGCAGCAGAGAGCCTATCTCTATAACGCACATACAAACCGTTTGCTGGGCTGAATCCGTAAGAGGTCAAAGCCCTGACCGGCGCAGTTAAGTACAACACCGCTGAGAAGAGCTTGACGAGGAACATGGCCAAAATCAAGCACTGCAGTGACAACGAATTCCCGCAACGCGCGACGCACATGCCTTGGCGGGAAGGCGGTACTTATACTGGGAGGGAGGGGAGCACGAGGACTGCAGACATGAGTGGTAAAAATAACGATATTTAAGCACATGCGACGACGTCGAGAAGGTCGGGGAGGTGGGAGGAGATAAGGGAGCACTCTCATATAAACGCAGGACGGACAGGCGCGACCAAGCGTGACTTGCGTCTCGTTATCCAACGGATCAGCTGCGATACGACAATGCCATCATATACGTGCGCATCGCCCACTAGGTTGTGGCACTCGTGTTCACAAAGTTATCTAGGTGGTCTCTGCTAAGTATTCTGAGTCATCGAGTGCTGCCATGCGAAGACCTGAGCCGCACTTCGGAGAATAGTCGGTGCCACCCATCAGAACGCACAGGTTTAGTACCTGCAGTGCCTTAGAGTCATGACGAAAGCCGCAAGAGAACACGACGTTGCAGCAGTATCCCATGACAGCTGGACAGTGTAAGCCGCGCGACGATGCCACAGAGCTAATGCCGACACGGAAACTACCGAGGCTATGAATGGTGCTATTAAAATCAGTGTAAATAATGCCAAAATGTATACAATTAAAAGTGAATGTGCTTTGTAGGAAGCTAAAGGACGGTGCACTGGTGTCGACGGATTTGTCTTCTGCAAGAAGTTTTCCTCCGACAGGATTTGAAGAGCGGTCGACTGGACACGTATACAATAGCACTAAATAAAATAACAACACCGTGAAATATTTCGATCGATTCATTACATGTAATCCTTTTCGTCCATATCGTTCAAGAACCAATTCGCCTCAATCTTAGCTCGGACTTCCTCCTCCGGGATCTCTGCCAACACCCTCAGCTTTAGCAGCTCGGCGAGGGCCATGGCCATTGCGTAGTGTTCGTTGGACACCCAGGTCTCTGTCTCGAAACCAACCATGTCTCGGCACCCCTCAAAATTCTCGTCCGCTACTTGCAGCTTTGCGCTCAGCTCCTTCGTCTTGCGTAGGTCTTCGGGTTCGAACGCGACTGGACACGGCACACCTTCCCCCGTAAGCCTCCCCCATATCTCCGTTGCCTCTATCAGCGTAGTCTTCAGCGCGTGAGTCTCACCCTCCCATGGAGCACCGGCTTGGTCGAAAAGGCGGTAGATGAACATGGACACGGGGTCCGACAACGCATCGTGATGGAGCTTGTTGTACTCCTCCGTGTTCTTGACGTAGTGGAAGTGGACGAGACGGCGGTGGTAGAGTCCCATCGCGTGGCTCTGCTCGGATTGGTCCAGCTCGTCCATGTCCGCCGGCGGTGAGGGTGGGATGAGAGCCTGCGAGACCGGGTCATCGTATTTCTGCAAGTGACCTGGTATACCAGCGAGGAGAAACGCGGGTAGGATCGAGGCGTGTTGCCAGTCGAGCAGGCCCACGATTTTCAACTGGTTAGAGTCTGACGACGTCGACACGATGACGTTGCTCGGCTGGAGATCGGGATGGCGGATACGGAAATGATGGAGGGCTGAGTTCTTGGAGACGAGCGAGGATGCGATGAGAAGGTAGCGTTCGAGATTCTTGATGTGGTCCGACGGTGACTGCTCCTTGTACCCGTAAGCCTCCCTTCTTTCACGCTGGAACGGTAGTAGCGGTCGACCGAACTGTTCCAGATACGCCAGTTCCTTGCGAGCTGCTGCTACGAGCGCTGCCTCGGCGTTTTCGTCTATAGTGTCGATTAGTTCCAGAAAGTTCAACAAAAGAAAAGGCAGAGACTGGCGTACATGGTCCCCTGTCCACGTCGAGCTGCGACCTCCTTCCGTACCACATATGCAGCCTGGCATCCGGACCGACGCAGAAGCGCTCGTCGTTGAGCGGGATACCCGTCCTCCCTGCCGCCTTCTCCAGGTCGTTGGTATAGTAGAGGCTTCCACCAGCCGGAAAAGGAATCGACATCATGCGAGACTCGAGTTGAGCAAGTTGACGCAAGACCGAAACGATATCCGGTTCCTCCAGCTCCAGCCACACGTCGCTGAGCTTCGTACCTCTCACAAACTCCATGAAAATATATTCCGTCTTCGCAGCGTTGTCCGACGAAGGAGAGTAATCGTAAACCTCGGGAACAGGCAACCCAGAGGAACGGAGGAAACGCATTGTGGCCACTTCACTAGCGATAGCGTAGAACTTGGGGACCGTGACGGGGTACGGGATGCGGGCTACCATCTCGAAGCCGCCATGCATGGTGATAAGGAAAGTCCGGTTGAAGCCGCCCTCGGCGAGCTTCACAAATGTGTCGATATCTTGAGAACTCCGACCAACAGACTGCGCCGCAAGTCGACAAAGCTCGTCGACGTCGAACTCACGTCTGCGCTCTGCGAGGCGAAGATCATTGTTGACGCTGAATGTGCGAGATTACGGATTAGACATATACGCCAGAGAACAACATGTATAAGACTTACAGCCAGCGTCCTGATGAATAGTTGAAGAGACCATCAGGAGAGTCTGACATGCTTGAGAATGCACGACGTGGCAGTTGCCGACAGGTCCGAGTGAAGTTAGAGATTGAGGAGGAAAGATATGCTGAACGTAGCGAGGAGGGAGGACGGCGCAGAGGCGGAGAGATTGAGACTGGTAGCAAATTGAACACGAGCCTCGCACGCCCAAGGGAGTAGTGCATGTAAATGTGTGCGGAGGGTTGGAAGAGGGATCAAACTTGAAAGAAGTCAGCCAAGTAACACGGGGTTTTATGAGGACAAGACAACCGAGAGGATAGAAGAGATATTTGCCCTGTCAAAAACCAGAGGAGGGCACTCATGACGACGAGATAGACAGATGCGAACGCTCGGAAGTACACATAGCGCAACTTCTTGTACCTCGTACCTGCTGGCGAACGATTAGTGCAGATGGTTGATTCAAGTTGACGACGAAGAAAACACAATGCACTTAAAACTATTTGAAGCTAATAATCTCTGGCCCGGCTTGCCTGCTTGATCGAGTGATTTTGGTCACCACTATAGCCGAAAGATAAATTGAGAAAAGTGAAGATCGGAATGGAGAACACAAGAATCGTCAAGATGCTTGAGCTCCATGAGCCAGAGATATATTATTAGCTAAGTCTTAGAATTTCATGTAAGGGGCCTGAAACAACAGTCACGCAACGCGTCTCGTCACAGGTGACATTCGCGTAGGAGAAAGGCCTTCACGGTGAGGTCAGTAAGCGTTCATCATTCGCTGAGTGAGCCAACGGTGGTACGTACGCCCACGGCTTCGGCAAGCAACGTCAGCGCTTCAAATACCATAAATCATAAAAGGCGATAATGTCGCGCTCTTGCATCTCACTGAACATTGCCAACAATGCCGCGCACGATCCTCATAACAGGAGCTAACCGAGGTTTGTGTCACTGATCCTAGCCTGTACTGTTCGTGGTGGTAGAGCATTTCACATTAATATGCGCCTTGTCAGGAATCGGTTTCTCCATCGTCCAAGGTTTAGCGGTGCGAAAATCGTCCGATCAGCTCATCCTCGCCGCTCGTTTCGTTGACAAAGCCAACGGTGCAATAGCGGAGTTGCGCAAGCTTGGGATCACGGCAGAGATCGATAGCTTGGCTCTCGACGTCATGGACGATGTCAGCATCAAAGCTGCAGAACAGACAGTTCGTGAGCGATATGGAAAGCTTGACAGTACGCTCTGTTCGCCAAGTTACCTGGATGCTACGCTGACTGTGATCTAGTTTTAATCAACAACGCGGGCATAGGCCTCGTCCCGTCTCCTGGAGAAATCGACAACCTGCGTTCGATTTACAATGCGGTCTACGACACCAACGTATCCGGAGTCGCCGTAGTCACCTCCGTGTTTCTACCGCTTCTTGCGCTATCGCCAGATCCGCGCGTGATCAACGTCTCGTCTGCTCGCGCATCAATCGAACTTGCCATGTCAGGCGAACTCCCTCCCACAAGGAGCATCCCGTACAGCGCGTCGAAGACTGCGCTGAACGTACTCACCATAGAGTACCAGAAGCTGCATCCGAACGTGCTCTTTCATGCAAGTGATCATTGTCGGACCAGGGGGGATTTTACTGAGTCCGCCACTGCAGACCATAGACCCGGGATACTGTAAGACTGGGTTGAATGGTTATGAGGGACTTCGAGATCCATTGGACGGAGCCGGTGTAGTCGTAGAGTTGGCGAATGCAGCGAGGGACAAGTACAAGAGCGGATTTTGGGCGATGGAGAACGATGCCGAGGAATGCTCAACTGTGCCGTGGTAGGAATACACATCTGCATCTGAGTTAGGTCGCGTTCAAGGTGCGGTGGCCTTTAGGAAATGCGAATTTTCAAGGTGCGGTGGCCTTTAGGAAATGCGAATTTCAATAGGTACGATGGCAGCATATAGCAGCTGGCTTGAGGCTAGCTGGTGTTGGTCGTGCTGGATATGTGTGACCCGTCAATACAATTTCATGCAAGTAGTACAAGCAGAGTCATACAGGCGTAAATGTCCGAGAACCGGGGTGACCTGTTCATCAACTCAGTTTCATTCTTCCAAACGAGGTATTGAATTGCTAAAAATGGGCAAAGGAACGACGCTGGCTGTCGAAGCGGGAGCGACAGAACGAGTCCCATCTCGGACGATGTTATATTATGACTGGGAACGACCGGAACATGAACCACACATGGCGGGCCACGGCGGGATACATGTGAGAAAAAACCAGGGTGCCTGTCCGACATTCTCCCCTGTTGAGGGGAAGGCCTTTGTGCCATGGACCGAAATGAACCACGCGAAGTGAGTCATGGGCTGTCCGAGGCCACTCACTTGAATGTCCGAACAGCAGCAGTTATTTCGCCTAAATAAGACAAACAAACAAAGGAGAGGCTGTGCCACAATGTTATCCCTTCAGCGTGCTGGTTATGACTCTGCTGGGCAGCAGCTCGATCAGGGCCCGGTGATGCCAGTGAGATCCTGGCAACGAGTGATTGCCCTCACAACTTTGCGAGGTTTTGACTACTGAGGTAAGCAAGTCCGTCGAATGTTGGCTAGAATAAGCGACTGAGCACTCAGCTCACTCGACGAGAAAACGGGTACGTAATTAAATAAAATTGGGAAACGAGTAGGATGGGTGCCCTGACGCCTCACGTGCTGGGCATTGACGCGGTGCACGTGGTCACTGGCCTTCGCATACCTTTGAAGCGCACGCTCCTCAGCAACATTGCTGTTCTTTGGAGGGCACAATAGACAGTAGAACATCTTGCACACGGTAATGTAAATCTGTAAGTCGATCTCTGGCCGACCAACTGATCGAGATTACCCAGAGCTTGGCCACTCGTCCTCCAGCCGAATATATAAAGTCCTCCATCTTCTCTTCGAGGAGGTAAGCACGCGCCAACATGTCTTCCACTAAGCCTCTCCAATCTGACAATCTCTCTGCTAAATGTCAAAGCTCTCCCCACAAGGCCAAGCGTGATAACTCGCGATTCGCTACCGGCGGCCAAACTCTGCACGAGCAACGACGGCATCTTCGTGAAGAAATGCGCGGGAAATTCATCGTGATGCCCGTGAACAAATTCATGGACACGTTCGCTCCGGAATCTGAGGTGATGGCGAAGAAACCATTCAAGCCGAATTTCAAGAAGGCGTTCAAGGAGATGGAGAACGTACTCGAAGGTACAGTACGAGAAGAGCAAATGTATAAACCTCTGGTGAGCTTGACCTTCTCCTGCACATCACGCATCTGACCGAGTCGGTTATTTCAAGGTCAAATGCGTCCAAAATTACAAGCTTTGCAAGGGGTATGTCCTCAAGCTGGTGCAGAACAAACCCGACAAGGCGGACCCCTCGAGGCAGAAGGTTGATGCAGCGCTGTTTCTTCCTGAGAATGCCAAGCAGAGAAAGACCTTCGACGATAGTAGGCCACATTGGGCACTTCAGCGGCTTTCGATTGAGTTCAAGAAGCATAGAACGGAGGATGATCCTTTCGAAGATCCAAAGACGAAGGGCGAGGATGAAGATAACCTGCACCACGATTCTGAGCAGGGCGACGAGGTCCAAGTAGATGACGTGCACGACGCGAACGACGATGACGTGGGCGATATGGACAATGTCTTCCTGGATGAAGATGAGACATACGGAGACGGTGACCCGACAATGGAAGACGATGAGGACGGCGACGAAGAGAATCCCCTTCAGATGGCTTATGGAAATTCATCCAGAGAGACCTTCGAGACAGCTTATGAGCCGCCCGCTGACCGACGAGCTGCGGTTCGAGGGCAGATTATCTCCTACGCCAAAATACTCTTCTCACGCCAACATCGCTGCTTCGCATTCACGATTCTCATCCTCCGTGATGTTGCGCGGATTATTCGCTGGGATCGGGCCGGTACTGTTGTCACGAACAAATTCAAGTACACGAACACCGAGTATCTTGGCAAGTTCCTGTGGCGATTCTGTAATATGACTGACAAACAGCAAGGATACGATACGACGGCCGTTGCTGTGAAATGCGGATCGGCAGACTACAAGCTCATGGAGCAGCTGGCCAGGAATCCACCAGAAGGTGCTGGCTCCGAGTACGCGAGGGAATCGTTCGCGAAGTCCATGCCCAATCTCTCGAAGGAGAATCCTAATGACTGGTCGTGTTGGAAACTGACCGTACATCCGGAAAATGGAAAGGCGACCGACGGCTCAGACCCTCGACCTGCAGGGAGGAATGCGCGCAAGAAGCCACGTTTGCAACATTTTTTGGTGGGAAAGCCTCATTTTCAGGCGTCAGGTATGACAGGCCGGGTTACACGAGGCTACATTGCGTACGACTGCCAGGATAACAAGTTCGTCTTCCTGAAGGATGTGTGGCGCGTAGACCTGCCAGACATCGAAAAGGAGGGATACATCCTCCAGTCTCTCAATGACGCAGAAGTCGCAAATGTCCCGACTCTGGTTTGCCACGGGGACGTTCTAGATGTTGAAGATGTCGGAAATGTCGTACATGTTGAACGACAACGGACGAAGACGGACACTTACTGGCACGAGTTCTATAGTGGACAGATGAACCCGATCAAGACCCACACACATTATCGGCTAGTAGTCGAAGAAGTCTGTCGTCCGCTGAGCGATTTCAGGAATTCTTTGGAGTTAGTGATGATTATAGCACACTGCATCAAAGGTGAGTTATTATATCTCGAGTCCGCCACACCATATGTTGCTCACGGATCCTGTAGCTCATCGTCAGGCCATGAAAAAGGTTAGAATAACTCACCGAGATATCAGTGCAGGAAATATTCTCATGAATGAGAAAACTGCAACTATTAATGGCCGGCAAGTCCCCATCAGGGTGGGGATTCTAAGTGATTGGGAACTATCCAAACAGGTCGAGGACGAGGACGATGAGACGGAAGCCACAGACAAGGAAACAGGAGGCAACAGTCAGAAGGCAAGACAGCCTGATCGTACTGTGAGTGTCTGGTCAATCTCTTCACCGATCACGGATGCTTAATCTACACGCATAGGGAACATGGCAGTTCATGTCCGCTATTCTTCTGGACAGGCCTACCAGGGCGGTCGAGGTTGCAGATGAACTCGAGGCATTCTTCAATGTCTTGTTGTATTACCTCATCAGGTACACGAACAGTAACATCGACGACCCGGCCACTTTCATGTCGCAGTACTTCGACGAATGCACCATAAACGCGGCTCGGACGTTGTACACCTGCAGCATGGCGAAACGGCTCGTGATGAAGTCAGGTGAGCTCATGGTGGATGTCAACACATCTGTGGAGTTCCAGTACCGCAATGGGAAGAAGCATCCATCCAATGAGCTCATTCGCAAACTTCTGGGATGGTTCAAGGCCCGGTACGCGGAATTCTCACTTGAGGACTGGCCCCAACAAGCCGCACGAAGAGGTCCTCCTGTCGATCACACTCAGCGTATGGATGAGGAATCGGAGAACGACGTCTCCGCAGATGACCAGGACATGCTCGTTGAGGAGTACTTGCGACACCAGATGAAGGCTCAATCTGTGGCAGAAGGCATGTCGGAGGAAGTCTACGAAATGGAACCATATTTTGACGAGAAGGCCCGAGAGATGCAGAAAGGTCTCGCTAACAACTTGAAGACTCACGATCAGATGTACAATTTGTTTCAGAAGATCTTTTGCGAGGAACAGCGCGAATGGCCGAAGCACGACAAGATACCCGACCGAGTCTCCTCGAACTACAACTATGCGCGCTATAAAGAGAAGGGCCTCGAGCTTCCTGCGGCGCCGATTGCACCTTCTGGCTCGAAGCGTCGTCTTGAAGCAGATCTGCAGTGCTCTCGTCAGAGCAAGCGTTCCAGAGTTGGCTGAGGCGTTTGGGACATGCTTCGGCCAGCTTGGTCTCAATGTCAGCGGCGGAAGACGACTTAGAGGCGGGGGATCCACTCGCTCGATCTCATTTCCGTCAGGACTGGACATCACGTTGCGGTATTTATCTTGCCATCATCATCACCATTGCATGTGTGCAACTTTTTATTTTCTTCTCTCATCTCTATTTTTATTGTGCTCACATTTGTTTAGCTTGTCCAAGATTGGTGTGATGGGATAGATTTGTTATTGTTTTGTCTCTGCAATGCAGAGAGAAGCACCGTACATCGTTTGGGATCGCAACAACCCTAAGTAGGAAGAGCGCAAGTACGATATCAAAACATCAACGAAGAACGCGGCTTCGGCAGGGGCGCCTGCACCTGGCTGTCTCTTCGTAGAAACGTATGTAAGGCCGCCAGGATGCTGCGAATGGTCCAAGCTTCCCAATGCACTGACCAAGATGGCTTGTACCATTCTCGCCATAGATGCGAATAGCGGTATGTTCGAATTCACTGATTCTTGGCAATGCGTGGTGAACGACGATCCACTCACAGGGGCTTGTTTCCTCAGGAATTGGGTTCTACATCGACCATGCCCCGGCATCGGGGAAGTCAGACGATAAACTCATCGTCCCCGCGTGCTCACTCGAGAAAGCTGCGTTATCGACGAGCTGCGTAAGCTCTGGGTCGCACCTGATCACGTCGACAGCGTCGCGCTCGACGTCAAGGACGATGCCTGTATCAAGGCCGCAGAGAAGACCGTGCGCGAGCGCTGCGGAAAACTTGACGGTACGCTCATCTGCCTCTTGACCCGGAGACCTCACCGCCCTGACGCACTGTACCACAGTCACTGGGCCAGTCTCGATCAATAACGCGGTGATCGCGATTATGCCATCCCCGAGATCGACGCGCTGCGGTCGATATACATACGGCACGATATATGATACGAATGTCTCCGCGTTGCCCTCATCACATCCATCTTCTTCCGGCTGCTCGTATGTACCAAAAGCCGAACCCGAATGTGCTCTTCCATGGACCAAGCCTAAGAGTGGCTTTTGGGAGAAGTTGGAAGGCGCGACGGAGTGTTCCACTATGGCATGGTAATGTATTCGTATTCTTCCGATCACTTATCGAATGAAAGTAAGTGGATCGCACCTCGACTTAGGACGCATCATCCGGAGAGGAAACAGGCTCTGTAACTCGCTGATGGTCATGTACGCTCTGGTGAGAGTGCCTCCGGCCATGGACTGTGTTCCGAATACGCTGTTTGAGCGACTCTCTGGATCGCTGTCTGCCCAGAAGCGCAGACTGCTCTTGGGATGCTGCAAGAAGCTCTTGTGCTGGCACCCGCTCTATAACTGAATCTGCGGTTGCGTTTTCCCCGCTCAGTGCCTCGGGGGAACTGTCGCTTACTGGCTCCAGGTACAACCTAAATGATCCTGGCCGTACCTCGGCTCGATGTGCACGTTTCGTCTGTCGTCGTGTGCCATTGTGAGCCTGGAAATGGTCAGACGTCGTGATGTTGTGGTTGGATCTTGGGGGAAATACTACGCACGAGATAATCCTGCAAGCTCCTACGACCGCTGTCTGACTCCAAGAACCTGTCAAATTGCTCCAGCGCATACTCGCGCTCCTCTTCCTGCCCTTGCCCGATTCCTTCACTAAGTCCCTCCGCCCTCCCAGCATCCACGCCTTGATCGTACCCGGCTGCCTGCCCAGCCTGAAAACCTTCTGACCTTCCAGCTGCATAACTTTCCTCCCGACTAGCCGTGTAGCCCTCTGTGCGTCCCTCCTCAAACGCCATCGCATCCGCTGAGTCCGCAGAGCCTCTCCCGAGCTCCCGCTGCCTCACCTCCTCACGTCCTTGCTCGAGAGCCTGATACTCTCGCAAGACCTGCTGTGCCTTCCGCGCACAATTCACGGCCTCTGCCGCTCTCCTACGCTCCTCCTCTAGTTGCCGCCGCTCCTCCAGAACTTGCGCTTCTGCACGCCGCAGATCTTGCGCAGCCGTATCCTGCAGCATCTGGACGCGCTGGACCTCCTCTTGAGCGAGTGCAGCGTCCATCTCTGCCTGGCGCCGAGCGGACTGCTCTGCAACACGCACTTCCTCCTCCTTTGCGAGTGCTTGTGCAGCACAAGCACGCGCCTCGACGTCGTCCGCGCGGCGCATCTCATACTCTAGCCGCTCGCCCGCCTCGCGCAGGAGGCGTCGCAGGCGGTGGGCTTCGCGCTCCTCTTCCCCAAGCACGACCGTGAGCGCATTTGCGGTGTCCCTGGCCCCAGCACCGCCGTGCGTTCGATCGGCATGCGCGCGGTTGTCGGTTCTTCGGTCGCCCAGACTCAAGGTAGACTCTTGTCGTACGTGCCTGTGCACCGCTGAGAGCAGGTCGGGGTCGTGCAGGAATTGGGTGACGGGCGTAGGCGAGTATGTTATGTCGTGGATCTCCTGGAGGAGGCTAGGTGTCTCTGTGAGCGATACGCAGCTGTTCTAGCGGTAGTGGTTGCTCACTCGTCATGACTGTGGTGCGAGGGCAGGATATCTGTCTTTGGTGGTTCGTGTGTAGTGCCAGTGTTGCTGTTACGGTTGGAAGAGCTCTCTGACGCAGATGAAGACTGCATGGGCAAGCAGTATCGTGCAGTGTGGTGTGTCTGAGAGCGGAAAGATCGCGATGATACATGGCGATGCCTGGTTCAAGCCTGGTTTCGTGCCTTTGAGCTACATACTTGCTGGTCAATGATGCTGGAGCGATAGCCGGGACCTGGAACTTGACGAGGCAAATCATACGGGGTCTGGGCGCATACTGTGTATCGGCATGTTCTGATGAAGTCGGGTGGTACCTGAGCTTGTAAGGACGCTAACCGTGACAGATGCTAGCTAGGCTCTTGTACTTAGTTTGCCCCAGACTGTGACAGGCGCGGCACGTCACAGTCACGAGGGCGCGTCTTCGAAGTCTCACGCTGAAGTCCGAATCATTTCCGAAGAACGACTCTATCCTCAAACTTCGCTTGAGTTGTTGTACGTGTTCTTCGCTGGATTCGTTGTCCTCAGTCTTTTGCACTTGATTCCCTGAGTATCGCATTTACATCAATAGACGTATTTGGGACATGCCTTTGCCAGTGTGTTGATCCTATCTACTGGAGATTTGGTCGGTCATCAACTGCGATAACACTGAAGAAGCAATTCGTTACTATTGATATCGCCGTTCGTGGACGTGCAACTTCTCTGTCATTTGAATTGACAACTCGCTCGTTCGATATACGAGAAGGCTTCGGACATTGGCGAAACATGAAGGGTGAGTGGTGACTTGGAGTAGAACCTACGTCCCTGGTCCTAATTGGGCAAATACTGCACAGGGCTCGCCTCGAAGTACCACTTGTTCTGCCACATAAAGTGCGATGCAAAGGTGGAGTCTGCCGTGTGAGATGCTGGGAAGCAACTGTACGATGTCGAAGTGAAGAACATGGAGTCTGGTGAAATCAGGCATATAACAGCGAGCATCCTGATATCTACTATTGGATATCCCGCTGAGCCGATATTTCATCGGGTATTGAAGGGATTGGACATCTTTACTCCCTCGCTGTTCCATTCTGCTAGGTTGGACCACTCTGTTCACCTGCGGAACAAAGGAGTCGCCGTTGTCTCGTCATCGTGAGTTCGTCCACTGATATTGATCTCTCTTACTGTTGAGCGTAATGGCCGGGGCGCAGTTCATCCCGCATCTGATGGCAGATCCGACTGTAGAAGTCGTGAACTTCTGTCGCTCGCCATATTGGTTCGTCGATCTCCCTAGTCTTCATGTTTTCATTCAATACGCGTCGCTGCCTTTTACCGACAGAAACGCTGGGAGCATTCGACTTTGAGTATTCGCCCATGTTCCATTTATGATGTAGTCATGGGTTCGGACTACTGGGCTGCGTTTCGCCGATCGGGTATGCGCTGAACTCACAGAGGTGACCGAGTGGCATCCTTACCAAAACAGGTGTGCTGCCGCCAACTGTACTCTGCCAACCGTCCATGGTCGCTATCCACCAGGAGTGAACACATTTTGACGCCTCTCCGCCGCCCAAGAAATTCAAGATCGATATATCGAAGGGAAACCGAAGGGGAATGATTGATCTACCCGCAAATATCCTTTCGAAGCGCATCACCGCGAGATAAGCATTTGATGTAAAGCTTCGACTATTGTACTTCAAGTTGTATCTCCCACCGAGTTTAGTGCATTGTACTGACCTTATTAATTGTATCTCCGAGTCCTACCGCTCGTGCGCAGTACTATGCGTCAAATATATCGTTATCTCCTCGCGTGCTCGACTTAGGCTTCACTAGCTTAACTCCTCTTCGCCTTACCAGGTAGCGGGTCCTGCCGTGGTTGCACGGCGCTACAGCCTCATCGTTCATTCGATTCTTCGAGCGCTGGCAGTTGAACTTATTCCAGTTGACCACATTGGATGGAAACCTTCCGTCTAGCCACTAATCCGCCTCTTCTTTGTTTCACACTCTCAAGAGGCATCCTCCAATGTAAGAGTACAGAAGTCTATCTCTGCCATTTAAGCTGCTGAATATTTGTAGTATCGGACCAATGTCGGAAAGGCACGTAAGGAACCTCAGTCAAGAGCCAGCAAGACACCAGAGATTGTGGTTTCATGACGGGAACATCATCGTTGTTGCTGAAAGTGTCGCATTTTGTGTACATTCCGGGTTGATCTCGCGGGATTCAAGCGTAATGCGCATCCTCTTGGAGTCTGTCACGCCGGTCGTGTTGAAATCAGCGAAGACCCCAAGAATACAGCTCTCCGACTCCGCGCTAGACATCGAACATTTGTTTACAATGCTGTACGACAGCCAACGGTGTGTTTTCTCGCCGCACGTTTTATCGGCTTACGCTGATAGTCCTCTACGTTAGATATTTCAGTCTGAGCTCCGGTCCCGTGGAGTTTTCCATGGTCCTATCCCTGATACGTTTAGGACACAAATACGAGATGACTACGCTCAGAGATGGTGCATTGGAGCGTCTCAAAACATGTTTTCCTGCAGACTTTGAGGAGTGGTGCGAGCTTGACGAAGATGGGAGTGCGTATGTGACGATGAAGCCAGAAGATGCTATAGCTGCGGTCAATCTTGCGCATTTGACACAGACGGACAGTGTTCTCCCGAGCGCGCTGTACGGTTGTTGCTCCTTAGACACTCACACACTCTTGCACGGCATGCTCCGCACAGACGGCTCTTCGGAGAAGCTTTCCCAAGAAGACTTGGAACGATGCGTCGAGGGGAGAGTCAAGCCTATGTGGAGAGTCAAGCTTATGGAGGCCAACACAAGAGAGCTGCGTTGGGTGCTGAAACTGGACCAAGCTAGCCCGGCGTGTTCGCAGAAGTGGCATTGCACCGTCAAGCTGCGAGAATTACCAGCGAAGGCTCACCGAGAAGCGCACGGATCTTTTTATGCGTTGACTCAATGGAATGCTGTTTTCCAACTGGGTGTATGCGATAAATGTGCGGACATGGTCACAGCCGCGGAGCTGGAAGGGCGGCGCAAGGTCTGGTCAAAACTGCCCTCCCTTATGGGAGTCACTGTCGAAGGTTGGGGGAGTGATTCATAGCCTGGGTGAGTTGAGTTGCGACCATGAATACAATACTTCTGATTTCATTAGGAGTTATCTATCTTAATTTTTGTTTTACGTTTTCGAATCTGCGACGGCCAGGAACTAGGGATGCAGCACACAGTGTAACGAGTGTGCAGAGACTATTTTCTTGGACCTATCGATGTCACCATGGTTTTCTAATGGATGACTATGTCGGACCGTTGCTAGCTGCAATTCCGCTCGATTACAGCATTTTGGGGTGACCTTAAGATGTGCCTTTTTCAGGTGGGACATTTTACTTTTGACCAGACTGTCAACTCCATGAGCTTGATTAGACAAGGGGTCCATTCAGCGGAAACATTGCTCCTCTTGTAGCTTGTGCATGAGCCTGCAGTTCACGTCTTGGTGACCCTGGTGCTGCACGTCGACAAACTAGCAGACTTGTTTACTCGCGGGACGTAGCACGAATCCTGGCAGTGACAACGCCATATCAGAGAGGTTGGGGGCTGTCTTGCAGGTTCCGAACCTCGACAAGATATCAAGTCAGGCCAGAAAAAATCGTGATTTCCATCATGGTCAAGCTTTTCCGAATCCGCTGTAATATGCAATCATCTACGGGCGAGGATAGGCGACCAATTGCACGGCTCCCCGTGCTTGTGGAGCGGGAACGTCAATTCGCGTCAATGCTTTCGGAGCAAGACTGCTAGTAGTACTATACTGGCCCTATGTCGGTAAGTACGTCTGCTAGACTCTCGTGAAAAGTCACGTCGATTGCATCACAAAATCAGCACTTTTAACAGATGGCAGCCATTCGCCTAGAACCAGCGGAGTACCACCAGTTGCTACTCATCATCCGTGCGTGGTAGACGTTGTATATCCAATGAAAACACTTCTAGTCAAGTGCATGGTCTCCCGCTACACGACTGCCAGTCTCCGCCCTCATGCAAAGAAACGATACTTCTACACTCAAGACGTTTCGCGTGGACTAGGAGAGAACACCCAGAGCGAGGAACGAGACATCACGCGAGTTTTAAGACGGGCATGTCCGAGTCGTTCTTGTGGCCGAACAAGCCTCTGCGTCTACTCTTGAGTGTGGCACCATTCCCAGGACTAGGAGATCTCATAGTGGTTGGAGACGCGAAGGAGACAATTGATCGTTGTCTCATAACGCTTCTGGATGATCCCTCCGAGGGCGTGTCCCTGTTAACTGTTTTCTATGACGGCGAAGCGTAAATTTCTTACGACTCCCTCATGTATTGCGACGTACTGACTGTTTTTCGGTGTTCACAGGTAGGGTCCACTAATGCCCAACCCTGGATTATAATATGAACAGGACACGTAGCGTACTAGAACGGGAAGGCAAGATACCGGAACAGGAAATAACGCGAGCCTCACCGTGCTCGAATCGATTGCCAAAGCATGTGGTACTCAGGTGCCTGACCAATGCGGATTTTAGCCTTCAAATTATCCAAGATACTGGATTCCAAAATCTCGAGGAAGGTGGCCTGGGGGTAGTAAGTTTCGCCCGGAGATGTGCGTTGGGTGGGTATCTGCCAGTGGGCGTATAAGTATCGCAATCACCACCCAGATTTGTTTACGAGAGTCGGACACCGAGCACTAGAGACAACATGCGAATGGGACGAACAACCAAGTGAACGAATCGGGTTGGTCGCACGCGCAAGCTGGAATAGTAAGCATCCTTTACCGCCCGAAGTGAGTGAAATACATCCCTGTGGATGCGGTTCACGCGATTTAGTAACATCGCAGAGACCTACGTACCACTGGAACGGACGAAATACCGATTTCGGGGTAATTGGCATAGGCATGCGTAACATAACAATACCGGTCGGACCTCACGACCGTGCCAATAGATGAATTAACCCCGGCCCGCACTGGCATGTACTCACAACAGAGCGTATGGAGACAGGCACACAGACGCGCCGTCGGTGCCTCAGTACTATCGTTACTGCGCGAGCACCGTCGCAACGCCAGGGCTAACAGAGAGCGAAGGAACAGCGGTCCAGAAGTGCGTGAAACGCATCCCTGTGGACGCGATTTAGTAAGCATCGCAGAGACGCATCACTGCGGTGGACGGTGTACCGGTCCTGAAAGAGGCGTGCACAACATAACGATACCAATCGGACCTCATCACCGTCTCCGTACGCGAACTGGCCCTGGGCCACCCGCACGTGCTCGCAACAGAGCGTATGGAGACGCGACGCGACAAGCTTGTCCGATCTAGTAGCACATGGCGTTGTCGGTTTGCCAGTACCATCACGCGGCTGTTGCGCGAGCACGGGTACAAGGCTGGTGGCTAATAGTGCTCCGCAATTATGATTAAATATGCCACGAAGGCAAATAATAATATTATGTATTATTACTTGAAGACCTTAGCCAGATATCTAATGGTGGTCTAATATAATCTAAAGTATTCTATTATAATTCATTACGGTCACGCCTTTTCAAAAGGGGTCAGTGCAGTATTATGTGAGCCCAAAATTGCCCTGGGAAGGTCCCCAAGTATGGATCATTGGACAATTTTCCCGAGGTGACCTTCTGACGAGGTAGGCTTACCTGTTATGGAACATCACATTCCCTTCTATGGTATGTTCGGGCTCACATACGCTCCAGTCGGTTACGAGAATTTCCCACAAATAGCTGCAACTCTAAAGATGTTTCGGAGCACAATTTCTTCAGATTCCTCCTAAAACTCCATCACATGTAGTGTATTCCGAGTATGATTAAATAACATGTCCATATTGTAATATAATGTATTTATAATATTATCTGGTCCCAGACTATTTAATTGTCGACACTCTAGCAGTCACCGTCTGGGTCGAACGAGTTAGCAGAGGGGACGACCAATTCTTCTTTGCATTCTACGATGACTACTATGATCTGGAGGTAGGCCAACATAACATCTAATACCGCCATACATTCTCACAATACCATCGAAAGGAAACTGCAATATTTCTAGTCCCGCACAAAGACTGAGCCGCAAAAAAAGGTGGAAGATGTAAGAAGCATCGTACGATGTAGTACTTCACTGTAATATTTGTGATCCCAACTATGTATTCTACCAATAAATCGAGAACATCCACATATTGCAGCCACACTGTCAACAAATCACAACCCAACACACGTGTACACTCAAGGAACAAATCACAACTCTCAGAGGTAGGGGGGTCTCACATACTGCTGCAGAATTCCAGGGGTGGAAGAACCTCTCTGCGCTTGGTAAATCGTATTTTTAATTTAATTATAATTATAATAAATTATAATAATAATCTTGCAGAGCACTAGTGGCTAGAGAAGAGCGAGAGGTGTGCGCGTCGAGCTTGTCAAGCTTGTCGAGCTCGCGACATACCTACTGGACGACTTCGTAGAGGAAGCAGCCGGGGAACTTGGCCTTGACCTGCTCCTCGACCCACCAGTAAGGGGTGAGGTACGTGGTGTCAGTTTCGTCAGCGGGGCCTGAGCCGCCAGTGACGATTCCGACGATGTGACCCCCCCTGTCGAGGACGACCGAACCCGAGTCGCCAGCATCGGAAAACTTGCTGTGCGTCTTGTCGTAGGGTAAGACAGCAATTTCAAGGGACTTGTGACTGATACCGTAGTCCTCGTAAACGTGCAAAAAGGACTTGAGGCCGTTGATGCGACCGACGGTGGTCCCCGTGGCCAACCCATTTTTCACGACAAGCAGGCACTTCTCGCCATGGACGTCAAGTTGTTGAGGGTTGTGCATCTCGGCATCCCGGACAAAGTCATATGCCTGGAGGAGACCATCCTCGGGGTAACTGTAGTTCTTTTGATCCTGGGGCTGAGGGAACATCATGTTTCCATACTCAGAGATCGAGAGGTTACCACCTGCAGAGGAAATAAAAGTAATAGTCAGCTAAAGCTAAAGACAAGAAGACAGTAAAAGGAAAATGCGACGAGAGATGAAAAGGACGGGAGATGGAGACAAAGATATGGAAAAAGACGTACCGACCCAAAGCTTATTGCCTTTGAACGTCGTCCAATCGATCTTATCATTATAAAGCTTGATAAGAGCCCAGTCTTTGGTGAATTTGTAGGGCTCGACGGAGACCTCGATCTTCTCCGAGTGAAGGACGAAGCCAATCGTGCGCTGGTCAAGTGTGGTGTAGTTCTCGATGACCTCACCGTGGATCGCTTTCACCCTCTGGATCTCCCTCGTTGCCTTCGCCACCAAATCCAAGTGCTCATCGCGACTCTCAGTCACGTTCTCACTTTCTCCCTCGATGGGGTCCCCAAGCCTGCAAAGGACATTGTTCCAGGTGTCGATAGACCGGAGGCGGTCGCCGATAGTGGCCATCATAGCCTTGATGGCATTGTCGTAGCCCATGGTACCGAGCGCGATGATTTTCTCACGATGCTGACTATCCTTCTTATGGGTCATGCCTGTGTTGTGGTAGACAGGAGGAGGACGAGCGATGTGAGTGCAGGTTAAGGCCACGACACAGTCGTTATCTTTAGAAAGGCAGAAGTAGAGAGCAGCAGTCCCTTCGTAGTACGGGTACTTGCAAGGCGCGATAGAGAGACCGAGAGTGGGGGTGAACGGCTTGCGCAGGTCGGGGACTCTGTCGATGAGGGGGTTGAACGAGAGGAGCTTTGGGCCAATAAAACGAGTCACTACCGACTTGATAAATGTCACCTCGATGTCGGGGAAGCCGGCGTCGGTGAGGATGTTCTTGACGATGGCTGCAGCAGCAACAGCGGCCTCATAGAGGAGGGAACCGGGATTCACACCGACACATATGATAAGAGGGCAGAACAGCTTGGGCTCCCCAGCATTGGCGTATGTGAGGGGGTTGATGGATGTCCACATTATGCCAATGGATTCGAGCTCGTCGCAGATGCGCGTGCTGGTAGAAACCCAAGTAGGCTGAATAGCATGACTGTGAACCGGGCGAGGCTCATGGACGATGCGCTGGGCCAGAGGTCCCTTGCGTACGGGCCAGTCAGGGCCAGACTTGTAGACGCAGGGAGTACCGGAACCATAGAAGTCGCTATAGGCATTTGGGTACTTCTCAGTGAGGCGGGTCACCTTGGAGACAACGTCGTCCCCAGCCATATTCTCGATATCTCCCAAAAGCGATAGTTTGCCGAAAGGGAAGGGAGAGCAAGAGACGAACATCTCGGTTGTGGAGAGAGGAGACAGATTCTTGTCCAGGCTCCTAAAACCATTCATTGTTGTGGAGTTCTCGCTCCTTTATCCCTAGCAGTATGTTTTAAAAATCATGTGGCTTATGTTTTATGAGACCTACCTTTTTGAGCGAAAAATACTGAATACAGGAGTGAACGCTCCACTGGTGTCTGCGAGCCTGCGAGTACGACGTCGGTTAAGTGCCGGCTTTGTAAGCGTGAGGTCCACCAGAAGGCGGGCAACACGTGTTTCGTTCTTGAGGTCCGTGCGCACTCCCCCTAAGTAGGAATGAAGTGCAGACACGTCTCACCTCCTTTCTCTCTACACACTGCCCACCCCCATTCTGGTCTCACTTTTTTCTACCCACCCACCTCCCATTCTCTATTTTCTAGCCTGGTTAGGTATGATGTCTCCCCGGCTGACCCGCCATGGTCTGGCCGCAGGATCAACTTACCAGGCTCCGAAGGTTCTGCGGGCCGATCTCATCAGCTGTCCCCTTTTGGAAATTCGCACCTCCGAGTTCCGCTCTCTCACGAAGCCCCGCAGAACCTTCTTCCCGCCCGTCGAAATTCGTATGCAACACTGCATGGTGCACACACATTTTGGCATTCTCTCCTGTGGACAATTTTATTTACTCTGAAATAAAATTGCTCATTTCACAGTGCTTCCGTAGTCAGTGCATACATACAAAGCCCCTCCAGGCAGACCTGGCCACAGCTACACCGCCATACCAAGGATGGACCAATGGGACCAATTTTAACCCTAACCCTAAATTGACTAACCTCGAGATCACATGCAATCTCAAAGAAAGTCCTCCAACATTTTCCTCTCATCTTCTGTGGGTCAGACTGACAAAGAAAAATGTATTATAAACCTATAACACACTGAAATACATGTTGTACATAATCTGTTGGAGGTAAAACCACAAAAAGAGAAAATGTGAAAAAGAGAAAGACTCAGATGAAAGAAAAAGTGTTAACTGCAAGAGTGCAGGTAAATATATCACAGATGGCACCATGCATGGATGTGCATGGGGCCCACACCATTGTATCAGCCTTGATTAATGAGGGAAGTGCCATCTCCTTGCAGCACAGACCTCGCTTGTGGCATTTGCCACCATACTACAGTACAGACTTGGATTTGAACTTGAGATGCTTTGGGACTTGTCATGCAAGGTTCAGATGCATGGAAGGAACTGGAGAGTTGAAAAGCACGACAATTAAGAGGGTGGAGTGATCTTGCAAGCAATGTAATTAATCAGTGAGAACATTGCCAGTTACCATGCCCTCTTTAAGTTTTGTATACATGTCACATTCAATTTTTGTTTACTGTCAGGCTCCTAAAACCATCTGTCGCTATAGTGTTCTCGCTCCTACATCCCAACATATGTTTTATGCGACTTACCTGTTTGAGAGACTATTGCCAAAAAAGGATAGCTGAATGAGAGGAGGAGAATGCTATAGGATGATGGGCCAAACTGGTCATCCGAGGATACGCTGAGTGTGCACACCTAGAGTTTCCTGCTGGAAATCTCAAATAAACCCTAGCATGGGTCTTATTGTCTGCAATGCATGCTACCCAAATTTGGTGTTCACATAGTGCTCATCATGCACTTCCCCTCATGCAATGTTGTTAATTTGGGGCATGGGAGCACAGCATGGCTTAAAATTTTCAATTCATAGACCACCAAGTGTCTAATCCTCACTCATCAGAAAAACCCAACTTTTACTTATGGGACTTATTCTGACTTTTTGTTCTTTTTTGCCTTATTTAAAGCTCATAAGTTCCCAAAAGTCGACTTTTAAGTCTCTAAGGAAATATGACTTATGGACTTTTTGTCCTTTTTTTACCTTATTTAAGGTCCATAAGTGCATTTAAGTCACATACGGACACCTTTAAGTAAAAGTTGGGTTTTCCTGATGCTCTGAGGTCACCCTCAACCTGCAAGCCTCTAAGTTGATGTGTTGCACAGTCACTAGTACTTGATTTTTTGCAGCTCGGGACCCTGCACTTACAACCAGAGCATTCCTATTAATTTCTAAGAGAATCACACTGTACTTTGGCTTTGCAACATATCTTTACAATGCTACATGAGGGGGAGCACTACACGAACACCAAATTTGGGTGGTGCACATTGCAGACAACAAGATTTATGCTAGGATTTATTCGAGATTTCCAGCAGGAAACTCTAGGTGTGCACTCAGCATATCCTCGGATGACCAGTTTGGCCAGCCGTCCTATAGTGTTCTCCTCCTCTCGTTCAGCTATCCTTTTCTGGCAATAGTCTCTCAAACAGGTAAGTCTCATAAAACATATATCACATGATCATTTAAAACATATGTTGGAATGTAGGAGTGAGAATGCTATAGCGACAGATGGTTTTAGGAGCCTGGTTTACTGTATGTTCTGGTAGCTGAATGAGTGCACATCAGCAAGAAATTTCTTGGCACTATTTTGGCACATTAAAATCCTTGCATGATCCCTGCCCTAGGGAAAAATCCTTGGAATGGATGATCAATTTGCCAGCTCTTGCCTCATCTAGATATACACGTGATATTAACTGGTCCACCATCACTGATGAGTCACTCTGGCATTTACTGTAAATGGATACTATACTCTCACGGATAAACTGGAATACCACTTTTCAGACCTGTTCCACTTCGTGGCCAGGAATAAGGAAATTCATATGGAGGAGGAGAATTTTACAAGATGGCTGGCCCAACAAGTCATCTGAGGTTACACCAAATGAGCATAACCAATGTTTCTAGCAGGAAAATATATGCAAACCCCAGTGCGAGTCTTATTTCCTGCAGTGTGGGCGACCCAAATCTGTCGTTCGCATAGTGCTTGTCGCACACTCGCCGTCATTGCAGTCACTGCATTTTTGCCATTCTAGTAGGGGCTGCTACAAATAGACCACACCAGATAAAACATGTAGTTTGATGGGTAGCCAAAATCGCAATGTGAAGATAGGCGGAGTAGCACAGATAGCAAATGTAGCTGTGACCCCACTACTATGTCATAAATCTTGAAGTAGAAGATGTAAGCCACCTAATATAGCTTGTACATCACATTCAGTGTACGATCCCACCAATCTCCAAGCATCGGCTACATATACTATGCCACATTACTGCACTCCCTCAACCTAAGCTTCCTGGGGTATCTCACAGCAGCTATAATGGCTACTCCATGTAGCAATTTCGAGCTTGCTATATAACTTGCTGTGCTCAGGCTGCCATGGACGCAACAGCATCATGCCAAAGGTCAAGTCCACCTGGCATAACACAGTCCCTCTATGGCCTCAGAATTTGCAGGTCCCTCGCCCTTTCTTTTGCAAATTCTGCAGGCTTATCGACTGCTGTCTAAACAGAGTTCTGGTGAACACACCATCACTGTCACCTTTAGAGTGGGGACTGGGTGACTTTTATGACCCAGCCAGTCCTTCCATTGAATGTATGACATATATTGTTAAAGATTCGGTATGTTTTGCTCTCTACCCAGCTCATCAAATTCTAATTCCACCAGGGTGCCATTGAAGGCATCTTTATTGATCCCGACACATACACCTTGCACCTGGCTGTAGCAATGTGCAGAAGCAGTGAAGATTGCAGTTTTGACATCATGATTGACACCTTCACATGCCTGGACTGGGATATTCTGTGTGCCCCAGACTGGGTCGCTCTTGACCTCTTGGGTGATGGCTGACAGAAGGTGTGCTCTATGATCTGTGTATTTTGTTCAAAGTTGGACTGCTCTTTTGACAATCCTACTGACAGGTATACGGTAATCAAACAGCATGAAAGAAGAATCCCATCAGATGATCAAGACACATAGTTTATTTTGCAGTATATGTGATTGACTATGTAGGCGGGGATGTGAGCACATCGGGATGGTGCTACTGTATGTATCTACTGTCAGGGTACATGAAATAGACGTGCATAACTGATGGTTATGATGGAGTGTCGCCAATATAACTGAAGTGTGATATTTCTCAGAGCCTAGATAGCTTATGTCATAGCTTCCAGGCTGCTATATCCACTGTGCGTTGTAGCCAATGTATCACTTTATTACCACAAAAGATCGCACAGTGAAAGATATGCTCAAGGCTTAGTAACTCATCTTGGGGGTAGATATACAAGGCTACACAGCCTAGCCTAGATTCCAGTTACACTGCATGTTCTTGAGGATATCTTGCACCCAGATATACTGGCAAAAATGCAGTGAGTATCATCCAGCATCGCAAAATCCAAGGTTCAAGGTTGTAGAGTCTGAAAAGAGAGTTGCTGGAAATTTTAGAAAGATCTAATTCTTGCTATAGCTGAGCCCGAAGTGCAGTGACATGCAGTATGCAAGCCTTGACATTGCTCTTTTTTGTTTGCATTAGGATTCTGTGTTCTGTCAAAGTGCTTCCGGTTTTCTCAATAGCAGCACTTTATAACACTTCTATGTATGTCTCTATTATGCTGTGTGATGGCAAGTGCATGATGAGCACTACGCAAATGACAGATTTGGGTCGTCCATGCTGCAAGAAATAAGACTCGCACTAGAGTTTGCACATATTTTCCTGTGAGAAACATTGGTTATGCTCATTCGGCGTAACCTCAGATGACTTGTTGGGCCAGCCATCTTGTGGAGTTCTCCTCCTCTGTACAAATTTCCTTATTCAGTATTTTTCGCTCAAAAAGATAGGTCTCATAAAACATAAGTCACATGATTTTTAAAACATACTGCTAGGGATAAAGGAGCGAGAACTCCACAACAACAAATGGTTTTAGGAGCCGGGCAGAGGAGTGGGCAAATGCAAAGTCAATGGAGGGAAGAGCTGGATACTATTGTTGACCCGGATATGCCAAACTTTGGCACTTCTGGTCCCATTCCTCACTACTGTCCCCCGTTTCTCTTCAGCTTTGGTAAGCTATTGTATAGTATCTGAACTACTCCTGACAAAAATACCATAATATTTTCGCAAGTGTAGTGTACTGCATGAAGGTGCCAAAGAGGAGACCAACCTCCCCGCCAAACTACGCGCCATGTCACTTATTGTCACATCAAGCCGAGGTCCCATTTCAAACTCCGCATGGCACATCCCGGCGTGCAGGCACACTGAACTGGCATGAGACCACGCAGTCGGAGTTTCAACTCAGATTGAGAGACGTCACACTTGTCTCCTTCCCTCCTCCCAAATGCTTTCCGTGTGGACGCATGGCAAGCTATGGCTCTATGAATATTTTTCGTAGACCAAATATGTAATGGAGTAGCTCAGCTCTTTTTTTTAAAGGAATTGATGTCCAAAATTGAGGGAGCAAGTGCCCTTTGGCTCGAGTCACTCTTGCTAAATTGACACCTTCGGGATTTATTAGAACGAACTACTTATTCCCTGGGTCTTCCTGAAACTTTTCCAGTATGATGATGTAGCCTATGGAATACTTCACCTATTTTTACGGAGGAATCTGGAGCAGGGAGAAAATCGTAGGAAAGATTTGGCACTACTGTACCGTTCGGCATATCCCGGTCGACGATGGTAGGAGTAAAGGGTACTCAGATGCCCGACCAATGTGTATTTCAGCCTTCAAACTATCCAAGATACTGGATTCTCAAGGCTCGAGGATGATGGCGTGAGGGGTAGTGAGTTTCATTCAGAGATGTGCGTTGAGTGGGCATCTGCCGGTGAGCGGCTTGAGTTGCATAAATAATGATCCTCCCTCCACACTTGCTTGCGAGAGCCGGACACCGAGACAGCACGCGAACGGCACCAACAACCAAGTGAACGAACCAGGGTGGGGCGCATGCGCACATTGGAGACAATATTGGCAGGCATCCTTTTACCGCCCAAAGTGAGTGAAACGGATGCGGTTCACGCGATGTAACGTTGCAGAGTACCGACGTCGTGTTGTTAGCATTGGTCGCGCGAGCAGGTATCGTTGTAACGCCAGGGCTGACAGAGAGCGAAGGAAGCGCGGTCCAGAAGTGAGTGAAACACATTCATGCAGACGTCGCAGGGATCGCATCACTGAAGTACCGATTTCGTGTTCGAATAGGCATCGGCATAACACAACAATACCAATCGGACCTCACCACGGTGCCCGCACGCGAACTGGCCCCCATCCGCATGTGCTCGCAACAGAGCGTATGGAGACGCGACGCGACAAGCTTGTCCAATCTAGTGGCGCATGGCATTGTCCGTCTGCCAGTACCATCGCGCGGCTGTTGCACAACGCGGGTACACAGTGGCCAGAGAAGAGCGACGGAACTGTACACCGACATCCGGTGCGAGGTCGAGGCTCTACGGGCTGCAAAACAATTCGACGCAGCCAGCTGCGCGGCTGGCGAAGCGTCATTGCCACTATCGCGGTCCCGCTCGAGGGAGTCGTGAGAAGCACAGGTAACGACGTGCGACAGCACAATGAGGAATATCTTCGACTCATGTCAGGTCGGCTGCGTGCGCAGCTGGTGAGGCATCGCGACGCAATCCTGTAGAGAGAAGACAATGACGTACAACGGCACGATGGGGTATATCCCTAACCCCGTGCGAGCTTCTAGATCGACAGTGCAAATAACACAATTGAATTGGGTGGGAAACAATGGTCTGGAGGAAAAGACTCGTCGGGACACGTCGAATTCGCAACACGAGTTTCGTGTGCAGCTTCGATACTTGGTTGTACAAGTATTGGCAGTGTTACAGACCAGTTTGCAATTCCCAACGGACCTCGAGGTAAATCAGAGAAGGTGACAGACGACAGACAACAGCGCCGATGAGGTATATCCTCGACTGCATGCGAAGCTCTAGGTCATCGAACAAACGTGCAAATAACAGCGATTGAATTGAGTGGAAAACAATGACAGCGAGTATACAAGCTCCTCTAGACGGATTACGGCATTGCACTGCACAACACGAACCTCGTGCGGCAGCTTCGATACTTGTCTTGCGATTACCGGTCGGACGCAGAGAGTAGTTTGCAATTTCGCAACGGACCTCGAGGCAGATCAGAGAAGGTAACGGGCAACGGCGGCCCGTTCGTGGTTCGTGCACTGCAAGCGCATTGGCCGAGGCCGTTCCGACCGGTGCAAGCAGATCATGGCTGCAGTGGAAACTGCGAGCTTTCTGGGTATAGGCTGACAGGTACAGGAGCGGTGGAATGGAAAGGCGGAAATCGAATGGACACAGCTTGGCACTGGTGCGCAGCTGCGGAACTGAGGACTGAGACAGCAGGCCACCGCAGGCCACAGCGTTTAGAAGTCAGTGACTGAATTAGACGAGCGTCTGGGAGGGTGGCCGACGGAGCCCGTGGGTGCTGGAAAACGCGAGGCGTGTTGTTGCGCGACGTGGCGGGCGCTGGAGGACAAAAGGGAGAATGGACGACAACGGCCATTGTTCTTCAGCCGAAACATGAACGTTATCCGTTTTGGCAGATCCGGCGGTGGTCGGGACCGCTGGCACTGCCCAACGGCCATGCCTCGGCCCGCCCATGATACCATATGCGGGCATCCGCCTTCCTAAAGAGGGAGTGTCTGAGGTCGAGGGGCTGTGTGGCTGGGCCACATGTCACTTAAACTCGACCGCCATCGGCCCCTTACGACACGTACGACCCCGATTATATATACCCTCCCTTCCGTCCCGCCCCCTAGCTATCGATTATCCTTTGCTCTTGTGCTCTCATCTCACCTCGCATCTCTCTCCTCAAAAGCAGCACGAATATTGTTATTTGCTTCATCACTCATCCAATAAACCGCATCGACCGAACAATAGTCCAGCACAAGAGCATACAATGGCCAGCATCACCGCCCCGCACTCCATTCACGGCGCGTTTGGCGGTCTCTCCTTCACGCCCTCCTACGCTGTGCCCGCCCCTTCGGTGTCCTCTCCCCGTGCGGCCGCGTTCGCCCAGATACCCAACATATCCCTTCCAAGCGGCCGCGGTACGGCCGGTCATGGGCGCGCCCGCGGCCTCTCCATCCTCGCGTCCCGCACCGCGTCTGCGCCCACAGAGGTTTCCACCCCCGTAGCGCGCCGGGCCCCGCCGCCGCCGCCGTCGCGCATCCCGTACATTCCCCCGCAGGCCGAGGACCCCTTCGCAGACGGGCCGACTATCCTCCCCGACACGGACGTGGAGATGCAGGAGGTGGAGAGCTACGGCCCCATTATTATCAGCCTCCCGCCGCCGCCCCGCCCGCACCCCCGCTCTCTCCCCGCCTCTCCGGACTTCGCGCCGTCCCAACCGGCCGCCCCGGTTCGCTTCGAATCGCAGCCACTGCCAGAGCGCCAGCGCGGCCGCCTCGTCGCGAGCGTGCTCCTCAACAGAGGCTGCGGGTACGGACGCCCGATGATGCGCAGGCACTTTGGCGGTGCGCGCGAATACGTGAAGAGCGGGCTCTCGCGCGTGCTCGTGCCCGTCGAGTGCGCGGCCTAGCGCTGCCGCGGTGCCCTGGTGGCGTCCGCGGAGCCGCCGTTGCTGTCCCCGTTCAAATCGGATTATTTACTTTCCACACGTTGCTTTGACCCGTTATCGATTTATCCCTCGCTCCTCGCTCCTCGCTCACAGCTCCCCTATCATCTGTAGAACCACCCAACATTGCACGTCTACTCACGCATCCTTGTCGCGTTTCACGTCCGCCGTCGTATACCTTAGATTCCTCTCCCTCGGGTTCCCGTTGTATATCTCTCTAGTGTACTCTATAATCGTTCGCGCTAATCGCACAAATGCCGATGTCTATCCGCTGTTGCCTGTCACTTTCTCTGATTCACGTCGAGGTCCGAAGCTGCACACGATGCTCTTGCTGCGAATGCTGTCGACGTCTGTGGATGAATTTGATATTCCAGGACATTGTTTTCCGCTCGATTCAACCGTGTTATAGTTATTTCTCACTACGCTGTTGCACATTATTGTCTGTGCTTCTCACGACTCCTTCTGCGATTGATATTGCGATGTGGCTTCGCCAGCTGCGCAGCTGGCCCGATCAGTGCGTCGACCCCATTGTTTTGCAGCCCGCCTTGACTTCACGAAAAAGGCGCGGAACTTATACCGGATTTTGGTGCGCAGTTGGGACTGCAGTTCCTTCGCTCTCCGTTGGCCGCCTGGCGTCGCGACGGTGCTCAGGCAACCGACTAGGGCCCGGCCTTGTAACCTCGCGCAACAGCTGTGCGACGTTCACCGACAACGTCGCGCTAATGGGCGTGTCGCGTCTTTGTGTCTGTATTCGTACGTTCTGCGGCGAGCGCATGCGGTCTGGGGGTAATTCATGTATTGGCGCGGCCGTGAGGTCCGATTGGTGTTGTTATGTTACGCCTATGCCATTTCAGACACGGAACCGGTGCCTCGTCTGTGGTGCGTCTCTGCAATGTCACTGAATTGAACCGCCTCCACAAGGATGTGTTTCGCTTGGGGCGATGAGGGGTGCTTGTACCTACAATTGTCTCCGGCCGCGCAATCACCCTGATTTGTTCGTTTGGGCGCTGTTCGCGCCATTCGGGTGCGAAGCTGCGCACACGCAGTTCGTGTTGCGAATGCTGTCTCTGGGTGAATTTGATTTCCAGGACATTGCTTTCCACTCGATTCAATTGTGTTATTTTTTCTCATTACGCTGTTGCACGTTGTCTGTGCTTCTCACGACTCTTCTGCGATGTTGCGATGGGCTTTTCACCAGCTGCGCAGCTGGCCCGATGTGTGATAACCCAATTGTTTTGCGGTCCGCGGGTCATCGACTTCGCGCTGGTTTTTGGTGTGCAGTTCGACTGCAGTTTCGTTGCTCTCCGTTGGTCCTGGCGTTGCGACGGTGATAGCGCAACAGCTGCACGATGGTACTGGCACACCGACGACACTGCGCTAATACGCGTGTCTCGTCTGAGCGCCTGTCTCCGTACGCTCTGTTGCGAGTACGTGCGTGCTGGGGGCAGTTCGTGGGCACCGTAGTGAGGCTCGTTTGGTATTGTTATGTTATGCATGCCTATGCCAACTCGAACCCAAAACCTGTCTCTGCAATTTTGCTGAATCGCGTGAACGCATCCACAGGTATGTGTTTCGCTTCGGACGGCAAAGGATGCTTGTCAATTTGCGCGTGCGACCACGCTGATTCGTTCACTTGGACGTTGTTCGTGCCATTCGGGTGCTGTCTCGGTGCCCGGTTCTCGTGAACAAGTCTGATTGGAGATTGTTATACCTGCAAGCCACCCAACCGGACGAAACTCACTTAAATAATTCCCTCATATGATTAGGTCTTCTAATCAAGTTCGCCAATCCTTGGAATCTAGTATTTGGCTCTGTTGAAGACTGAAATATATAGGTATTGTCAGGGCTCGTGCACACTGCTCACACTAGGTCAGTTAAAAATCCCGCAATTCAACGATGCTGAAGTTATTTCCTTTTCCGGCGTTTTGCCTTCCCGTTTTAGTACGCCACCTGCGTCGGCATCCCTCTACGTCATCGACTGACGTCTGACTACCTTGCTGCTCTTCGTGACGCACCAATCAGAACTCGAGGAGAATTCCGGACTGGATGGGCAGTTTGGTACTTAAGGCGCAGGGCTCTCCGACGATGGGCGATGCACCCTTCTCCCGACTCTCATGTTCCTGCGTCTGCGACTTGTCCAGGACGGGACACCTGCATATCCTGCAAGTTAGACGTCCCATCCAAAATGGACAAATTTTGGCCATTTCATCTGCCCATTTTTGACACAAATTGGCTACACGTAGGATCAGGTGGCTGATATGGAGGGCATTTGGACATCAAAACACGAGCACCCTCTGCAGGCTTCGGTGACCGGGACCGGGACCTCCAATCCATGTCAATGTGCCGCTCCGGATTCCTGTTGACGCTCTCCGGTCGCTGTCCAGACTTTGGGGCCTTCCCCCTTCTGTCCGCATTGGGGAACGGACATGATGACTATTTTATGTCCGCATGATTATCACGGACATGTGCAATTTTTCTGACCATTTTGACTGAGCTAGGATCGCAGGTAGGCTGTTTTTATTCGCATACGGATCGGACATATTGGAGGATATGCTGTGGTCCTACAAGTACTGCAGAATGTGCGTTGCGCCAATGCGACTCGGAAGTTCACAGACTTACAGCATTTCTTGTTCTGCAGAGTTCACGTCTGGCGGCCTTTGCCCCCTTCCATTCCCACACTTGTCAATTTTCCACCCGCCGGACGCGTTTATACCCTTTCCCGAACACCTTCCTCCTTACGCAACGCCCGCAGGAAATTAGAATTTGATGCCTAATGTTTCCGAAGTCTTCAAATATCTGAATTCTGCGGTGGCGACTTTTCCGTGCGCCGCCACTGTTTGTGCCTGGGCTAGTGTGAATCGTGCTGCCCAGACTGCTATGCTCTGTGGTCACACATTATTATCTGTGTGGACTGCGCGATCAGGATGGAGGATGCTGTTCGAGATATGTCGGCCCGGAGCGGTAAGTGTTGCCGTTTGCGAGTGGCTCAAGAGAGTGAGGTCGCTGCTATCGTGCGCGCTCGTCTCGCTTCCCTCCAGTCCTTCAGGTGCTTGATCGTGACTGCAATAGTAGTCCGTCGCTGAAGTGCACTGTGACGCTCATATGTCGTCAGTATTCGACTTCATATGTTCGCAGTCGAGGTTAGGAGCGCGATGCTATTGTATCTCTCTAGCCAATCCGTAACTCCACAGTTCACCTCTTGATAGCCACTGTCCTTTTCGCCATGCGTCTAAGGTGCAACCAGCGCGGGGCCCGATTGCGAGGAACGAGGACTGTACACTGCGCGAGAGCGCTCTTCGCGATTAACACAATATTTTCCCTGACCAACCTACGTTCTCTCCGTGGACTGCTATGGTCTTGTCTTCCGGAGGTGAATTATGCCTCTCGAGGCACGCTTTAGCTTTGGGAAGTAACTGTCTGTGCGGTACTAACGTACTCGTCTCTTCCACAAGTGACATCTCAAATTCGGCGCTGGACTGCGCCTGTTGGTACATTGTCAGCCTAAGGTGCGAGCGCCAGGTGCGTCGGGGTGTCCCTGGTGTATCCGCGCTGATGCCACGTGTTTACAGAGACGACGCTCAAGACGATCTGTTCCGGCGCTCACCTCCTCTGCAAATTCCGCTGCGAGCGCCGCATTGACTGTGGCTCATCTCCCGAGGACTGGCGCTCCCCGATGGATGGAAGGCAGCTATTACCCTCCGTCTTCGTCTTGACCGACAGCTCATTCACCGTCGGTTCAAACATTGCTGGTTCTCAGATCTGGTGCTGTCCACGCAGCGTTCACTCCTTGCGGCCTTTGCCCCCTTCCATTCCCACACTTGTCAATTTTCCACCAGTCGGACGCGTTTATCCAGGACCCCCGACAATTGGGGAGGATCCCTGAGCCGATTTCGGACAAATTTTGGACTTTTGAGAGCGCCCTCCCTGATTTTTCACGGACAAATCAGGGGGTCAACCCGTGGGTGGCCTGAGGTTTTTCACTCACAGACGTACCGGACATCATGGATGCCTGATCCCCCTCCGGACAAAGTTCGACCCCGGCCGAACCTATCTACGTATGAGGCCGGCACCGGGGCGGAAGGGGGCTCAGACTTACTACTGCCTTCAAAGGCTCTCTAGGTGCTGTCTGGTCGCACAGACACGCCGCTTCGAAGTTTGTAGTTGACATCTCATCAGCCTCACATAAGTGCCTTCCTGAAGATGGAAACTCGCTAAGAACAGTAGAAGGTGCTTACCTTATGATTTCACTATCGTAGTAGCCTTGAATTCTGTCTCAAGTAATAGACAGAATGTGTTACACAAAGGAGCATGCTCATTCCTTCATTCTCGCAGCTCGGAAAGCGGTTCTGAAATTTGGAGCCTCCCGACTCGGGCCTGATTCGTGAATACGGACAAAATTGGAGCCTCCTGAGGCCTGATCTGGGAGCCCGGACATTTCTGTGATGAACGGATGCCTGGTCCAAAACCCGGACAAATTTGACCTCCGAGGGCCGGAGGCCTGGTTTTTCGCGGACATTTCAGGCCAGAAATCGGCTTCTGCTAACGGACATTTTGGGCTCCTCAGGATCAGGCATTTCCACCAATTGTCGGGGGTCCTTTTTATCCCTTTCCCGAGTTCTTCTTCCTTACGCGACGCCTGCAGGAAATTAGAATTTGATGCCTAATGTTTCCGAAGACTTCAAATATCTGAATTATGCTGTCCGGCCCTTCCGTGTGCCGTCACTGTTTGTACCTGGGCTGGTGTGAATCCTGCCCAGATTGCTATGCTCTGTGGTCACACATTATTATCTGTGTGGACTGCGTGATCAGGATGGAGGACGCTGTTAGAGACATGACGGCCCGGAGCGGTAAGTGTTGCCGTTTGTGAGTGGCTCAAGAGTGAGGTCGCCGCTATCGTACGCGCTCGTCTTGCTTCCCTCCAGTCCTTCAGGTGCTTGATCGCGACTGCAGTATTAGTCCGTCGCTGAAGTGCACTGTGACGCCCATATCTCGTCGAATGTGTCCGGCGTCGTATCGCTGCGAGCGCGGGTGGTATCGTGTATCGTCGTGTTCATGTGCGCATTGCTTCATTTCCCGGTTGTTTATGTGATACTCAGTATTCGCTTTTATATGTTCGCAGTTGCGTTTCGACACAGGTTAGGAGGGCGATGCTATCGCATCTCTCACCCACCCGTAGCCGCACAATTCACCTCTTGGTAGCCATTTTCCTTTTCGCCATGTGTCAAAGGGGCGACCAACGAGGGACTCGATTTCGAGGACTGTACACTGTGCGAGAGCGCTCTTCGCGATTAACACGATATTTCCCTTGACGCACCTTATGTTCTCCCGGTGGATTGCTATGGTCTTGTCTTCCGGAGGTAAATTATGCCTCTGGAGGCACGCTTTAGCTTTGGGAAGTAACTGTCTGTGCGGTACTATCGTACTCGTCTCTTCCACAAGTGACATCTCAAATTCGGTGCTGGGCTGCGCGTGTTGGTACATTGTCAACCTGAGGTGCGGGCGCTAGGTGTGTCGGGGTGTGCCTGGTGTTTCCGCGCTGACGCCATGTGTGTACAGAGACGACGCTCAAGACGATCTGCTTCGGCGCTCACCTCCTCTGGAGACTCCGCTGCGAGCACCCCATTGACCGTGGCTCATCTCCCGAGGACTGGCGCTTCCCGACGGATGGAAGGCAGCTATTAGCCTCCGTCATCATCTTGACCAACAGCTCGCCCACTGTCGGTTCAAACACAAAGCTCTGCCTGTGCACCTTGCCACAAGCACCGGGAACGGCTCCCTCATCGACGAATCTGCACTCCCAGATGACTGGCCCGAACACTCCGAGGTTTTAGTATTGTAGATTCCCTTTGGCGGAGCTGGGTACAGTCTCCCTCTTGTAGTGGGCCGTTGAGACGTGCTGCCCAAGGTAGCCTGCTCAACGACACGTCACCCGTCACCACTCCAAAGAAAAAAGATCTACTTCGGCCCGGTGCACAGGCTTTGTTAAAACACTCACCTTGCACTCTGCTTCACCTGACATCACCCTTGATTTAAGCTGACTATGTCATCATCTGGCCACGCACAAACTCGGTGTCAATTGCAGTCGATACTGGCGACGTCGGGCGAGCACACTCATCTCAGCTTCGCACTTGTGTGCCGCTGAACTCACCGGTCTGCCTCGTTTCCTTGTTACCCTTTCTGGGGATTGGATTGCATGACGTGGAATTACTGCTCGTAGCCAGTGGCCGGCCTAGTCCCCGAATGCAAATGCAGCTTGCTCTGAAAAGATGCTATAATTTGGGGGCGACTGGGGATATCCTTGATGGTAACCAACCCAAGTCGTCAAAGCCACGCTGTGCCAGTGTTGACGTATGTGTGTATTCTTCTATTTGCCTACCCAACCGTAATATTGGAATCCTACTGCAGCTCTTTGAGCACACTGTGCCAAAAATTGGCTGGAGATACCTCTTTACTTTGTTGTTGGGGCATTCTCTCGAACCAACGTGCGTCAATCTGATGTTCAGGCATCATTGTATATTCCCTCTCCCACTCCGGCAACCCTCATGATGTCTCCCTTCCGCTAGAAACACTCCTGGTGGGCCATTCTGATCAAGCGATGCTGCGAAAATCCTATGCAATCCAATCATTTCTGGGAGTTTATTGACCTCGTACATACTTCAAGACGGGTGAATGCTCTTCAGTACAGATAGCGAAAGAGTCCGGCCTCAAACGCTGTGCGTTCTCTTCTGGAGCTCCCCTTCACGGCTCTGACAAAGGCGTCGCGACGCCATGCATATCTGCGTATCTCTATTGCGTGCTTGTTCTGGTAGCCTGGTAGCAAGATTCAGCGTACGGACCGCGGGCGTATCGGGCATGCACTCCCAAGATATGTAGTATGTACTGCATCCGATTCGACAGGTCGTGCAATACCGCAGGTCAAAGTGCTCCAATCCAAGTCTTGCCAGCGAGTCTCCTCCGTCGGCAGAGCCTATACACTATACCCTACTGGAGACTCGGAGTACGTTGGTCCTTCTGCCGGGTGGCTTGCCAGCGTGCCGGGCGTTGGTGTTTCTTCGGAGCGCATGTGACCACCCGCTATATATGCGTCAAAAGATCCGCACGACCCCCTTGCGCCCTATCTGCACAGATTGAATGGTGGATCGCTGGGATCTTCGACTCGGACAGTCTTCGACGTGCTAAGCGGCGGTTCTGACTTCGCGCAAACTCAAAGGCTCTGCGCAGTTATGCAGTGTAAAGCCGCCGAGGCGGTATCGGCTACTCGGTGCCCGTCTGATGTGTGCGTCCCAGGTGCAGCTGTCTCAACAGATGCAGCAGTTGAGCCTTATCTCAGAGCGACTGCCAGGAATCCCTGGGGCTGCCAGTGAACCTCCTGCCTCCCATACCCTCAGGATGCTGGACGAGCTGCATTGGAGTTGCCAAGGCTGGAGATCAATACAATCCAGATATATCGCCTGAGAGTTGACGACCGTGAGTTGTGATGCTCTTCTTCTAGACTTCGTTGAATCGACCCGGAGGGAAGGGACTTACTAGGACAAACGCGTTATTGCTGCCCAATGTACGGACTCGCATCACGGTCAAGTCGCGAATACCGTGTTCATAGGTAGCTGAGCTTCTTGGCCTAATAAATTCGTATGCAACGATGGGGAGTGGTATCGGACTCAGTGTCCGTTGGCGCGGCTTGTAACTCGAGCCAGGATCCGGAGGAGTCCCAGCTGGTTACCCTCAGATTCTGCCTGGATCCACAAGTGGAACTTCTGTTGCAGCAAGTGGACAATCCGATCGTCTCTTCCCAGGTGTCACGTCAATATCGATCAGTCATCCATCCGAAGAAGCCATTATCGCGCTCCCATGGGGAACAAGACAAAGTTATATTATATTATTTGAGGGTACCACAGCGTGCTACGATAATGCCCAAGGGGGCTACGTGCGGTACTGCACACGTACAATCTGTCATACGTGTAGCGACCCGACGCAGCTAGCCCATCGCAGGCAGTCCGAAACCGAGCGCCCACGGCCTAACATCCCTGTAGGCATGTGGTGGCATCCTTGCCCTCGAGGAACAAGTGCTGATCCAGTGCCACCGTTCGGTACCCTGCTCGAGTTTCGTACTCCCGGTCACCGCTGCACCTCGTGCCCATTCGTCGAGTAACGAACCCGGAGTATATACCGATACACCAGGGCCAGCATCAGCTTACGCGTACTGTAGCTACAGAACAGGACAACGTAGCCGTACTGACGTGGCTTCTCCGCGTGAGGCCGAGTCCGTGTCCCAACGAATGGCTGAGGGTAAAGAGCGGTGGGGCGTGAATAAGCGTCAGGAGTGCATCGTCAAGGCGTAGGGGTCACGACGCAGGGCATCGGACACGATTGAACAGGACGAGCGGGTGTCAACTGTTCGGCGTCCCTTCCAGCTTCTCGATGTCGCGCTCGCGCGCAGCGAGCTCACCGAGGCTGCTGCGTTCTACATCGGTCGGGCTGCCATCGCAAGGCGTTAAGGGGGGTACGTCGTGCGACATCTGCCCGGGAAAACACAGATGTGTATGAGTAAGCGCAGAAAAATGGGGGACTCACATCAAGCCGGATATGGTCGCTGGGAGTGAACAATGCAGTCGCATGATAGCGCGACTGTGCGTGGCAGTGACACTGGCAAGTGACAACGGACATGTGGTCCGGAAGCTCGTGCAGACTTGCACGTCCATTCCTGCCAATTGCGAACACACGGCCCACGAGGTTTATGGTCAGGTCAGCCAGTAAGATAGGAAAGGGATGGAGCGTACAGCGTGACGAATAGCGAGACCACGTAGAGCTTTCCGAGGACGGCCTGGAACCCAAGGTCCCAGTAATTATCACTGGCCTAGGTGCGGGAACGCGGACATGAGAATTTTAAGCAGCAGCAGATGGGATTGGGAAACTCGCCTGAGTGGAGTACAGGATAACTGTGACGATAGCACAGACGCATGGGGGAATTGCTGCTTCCCAGACGAGGATCGTGAGTCGTTTCATAACCTACCGCTATTATTAGCCGGCGGACACAGAGAAAATGAAAGCAGGCACACACGCGACGGAATCGTGAAGATATGATGGTGGGCTTGGCGCGTGCCAGGTACGTGAGGACTGTCATGGTCGGTCAGCGGCGTCATTTCAGCGAGAGCAGTGCACACACGGATTCCCGTTACTGCAACATCGAGCACTGCCCGGCTGGTTCGTTAGCATGGGGGATATTATCTGGTGAGAAGTTATCTACACACCAGCGGAAGAGGCGAGCGAGAGGATAACTTGGGCAGGATGTCAGTCGCGAACGCTCGTGTGCTCACTTCAACGAGCTGACTCACAGACGCTGCTGATCTACAAAGTCATAGCCAGTGAGCAGCGCGCGCGCAGCTTAAGAGTCGTACGCACGGGAACCTCCGGTGGGGCAGGTGTGGGGATATACCACCAACTGTCGGGAATCGAAAACGTCTGGACGGTGACGATAATGCTCGTGATGATGCTCGCCAGGAGCATTAACGTGAGTGGTACCTTGGTGAACGTGAGTGCTTGTCGACTTCGAGGAGATGGGCTTCCACTTACGAGGACATACCACCGTCTGCTCAGCAGCTACAGATTGGCATGCATGCAATCAGTCAACTTGTCGCGGAGAGATGAATGCCGGCTTGACGTACCATCCAGCATCGCCAGATGAGAAATGCTTGGACCGGGACAGCCAAGCTGTTCGTCTGCAGCTAGATTTCTCAATCAATTCGCATGACCGCAGGACCGGACGTACGATGAGCGACTGCGATTTCTCGCACCACGTAAATGCGATCGTCGCCACCTAGCAGAAGAAAACGCGGTCAACCGTGCCCGATGCACACCTCAGCACTTTGACATACCCAGTCGCCAAAGTTGGTGACACAGGCCTGCCAGATGGAATAAAACGAGATTCCCGTCTGGAATCTGCAGAGGTAAGAATGTGCACACAATTAATGAGCTCGTCTGCCAATTTGTAGGTCAGCTTACAGCGCGATGATGGTGACTACACCGACGAGCGCCTGCAGGGTGAACCGTCCGCGCTCCGCCTTGTCCCAGAACGTGACCGACTGATTGATCATCATCCCCGTGAGGATTGCCTCGACGAGCACGCCCATAAGCTTTGGCCCAAGGTAATACGCGGCATTCCCCGTGCTGGCCATCTATCTGCGCTGTCCGTCAGGATGCCGCGTAGAGCGCAATAGCCAAAGCGTACCTCGAATGCTTGGACTGCGATACGGTGATTAATGGCGCGTGCCTACACGAAGGGCGCAGGTATAGTGAGAGCGTGCGACGCTGCGAACGACGGGGGCGACGGGGGCGACGTCCTGGACGCGATGGCTCAGGATGGCGGAGGGGAACGGCCGGAAGGGTTACGGGCGCGGGGACCCATAAAACTGAAGAGGAAGATTGTCACGGGAAGACTGCCATAAAAGTTTGAATTGACGGAGAAACTATGTCAGCGACAAGCGTGGAGGGCTCACCCGCGGGTCGTGGCCATCCCCACTCTATTGCAGAAGTCACTGCCGAGGCGCCAGAAGACGAGCGAATGCACACTCCTCCAAGTCGCATATAACCTTTCTAAGCCTCAATCTTCCCACTCCGTCCTCGTGGCTACCCTATCGCCCATCCCCGCCGCATCCTCGACTTATCTCGTTCTGCCACCACTGGTCAGCGAGTGCGCAACCGAGATCGTCGCGGTCAGATGAGCCAGGCGTCGCGCGATACTCGAGCCCAGGTAGGGGCAGCATCTACCAATCCTCCGGGTTCGGATGCCACTCCGTGGTAAACAATCAATTTATCGCTATCCACGTACAGCTCCTCCGGCCACTGCGACGAAGAGATGCAGATCACTGTTCAGCCCCCTACAGGCTGTTTTCTACACAGAGCGCAAGTTGTCATTTTGATATAAAATCAATGTCGTCCTACCTTCACGATTGAGTAATGCGCTGATGGGCACCGTCAGTCTGTCACGTCTCCCCTCGTGCGAAATAGCAGCAATACGATAGGCACAGCAGGAGATTTAGCCTTTACATTGGAGTCCAAGGCTCGGGGCTCGCGTTTCTTTGTACAGCGCAGTAAGCGAGCGGCATTGATGCAACGCCGAGTTGCTGTGCTCAAGATAACGGGCGCGAAGCGCGAATCGTAACCGATTTGGGAAAACCCTGAGATGGGCCAAGATCTTGGACGGTAAGACATAGAAAGCACGTATGTGGTGAAGTTGTCCAGAAAATGACTAGAATCCGACGAAAAGTGATGACTGCAGGAAACAACGGGGATTAACAGCTGTCGTTCATTGTCACAGACAAAAAGCGAGAATGAGCTCCCAACTTGTAAGGCGATAAGCACCGCAGGAAGGTGGGAATAGCCTTTAGACACCAACACCCCATTGGGCACTTCCTGGACAGAGGGTTCTCGTCGCACGTTGGCAGCAGTCACACAGTCTGGAATATGCTGCTCATTCAAAGAACACGACCACAGCAGAAATGTCGTCCCTGCGTTGAAGCGAGCAAATTAAGCACTCTTCCCAACACACAATAGAGGCAGTCAGTCAACGCGCGCGTACCTATATACGCGCGCCCGGGGCGACCGCATGCTCATCAGCGCCGCGGCGAGATCGGAATCAGCGCCCCCAAGTGCGTTCCGCACCAGATGCGTGGCGGGGTTTTGGTCGCAGTTTACAAACCGCTTCTCTGCGCACCACTGCCGGTAGCGCACCGTCTCCTCCTCATCCTCCGGGTGCACCTCTACAGGCAGCTCGCTCGGCGGTACGGGAGCCATCTCACGAGGAGCTTCTCCCTCCTTGGTATGACCGTCTTGCCAGAGCCCGACGAGGCCCACCGCCTCGGCGCTGGTCAGACTCTCCCACAGACCGTCGGTCGCCAAAATCAGGAAATCTCCCGGTTGTGCGCGTATTGAGGTCACCTCAGGCACGGCCGTTAAGTACGGCGGTGTGCGCACGTCCCGGGGAGGGGTGCGGCCGAGAAATGCCTCCTTAAGACGCTCTTGCACGCGCCGGCTCCACTTATGGCGCGCATCTCCGAATGCGCGAGAGGGGCCCATGCCGAGGACGCGTCCATTCGCGACAACAGCCTCACCTGGGTGCTGTGCGTTCAACCGGTACTCTTCGGCGACGTTATGTGCATCCTGCTCGACAGAGAGCACGCAGACTTCATATATGGCTTGACCGCGCTCGTCAAAGGCAGGACGGCCGAGGACGGCGCGCGAGTCGCCCGTGACCGCGATGCGGAGCACGCGCGTGTGGTCATCATAGAAGGCAAGCAGCGCACACGAGCCTGCATACGCCGGCGCGAGTAGGGTAACACCTGCATGCCGAGAGTTTGTCTCGAAGACGCGCTCGACGGCATTGTACACTATGTCGTCATCGAGGCGCTTGAACGTTGCCTGAATGGTATCCTCGATGTCATCCGGTGGGGGGTCCGGCTCCGTTCCAGGCGTGAGCGAAGACGAGAAGTTGTTGAAGAGGTCCGCGAGAGCGCCTGCCACTGCCGGGATCAGGTTATCGCGAAGCCATGCACTCGTTTCCCAGCCGTTGTGCCCGTCAAGAATAGCGAAGAAGGACCAGTGACCCGAGGGCACTGGCAGGATGGCTTCGGCGTGGTCATCCTCTATGGGATCGTTGCTGCGCAATTTGAGAGATTAGGAACAGTCCCGCTATCTACTCGACGCACCTCGCGAGCTGCGCGATATCATATCGCGCAATCCCACTCCCGCGTTCGGGTAAGTGTGTTTGCTCGTGCCTGCGAAGTTCTTCATCGACATCGATGCGGCTGCGTTCCCTGAAGCGGTCGAGTGGTTTCTGCCGCTGGAAAGGCAACGGTTCATACTGTTCATACTGTTCAGGTGCCCCCAATTGATCTGATGTTTTGCGGCCATCCAAATACACCTTCGGTGGTGTCAAGGCATATGTAAATCCCCACAGACTGAGCAGCAGGGCGCCACCAGCATGTAATGCTCCCAGATGAAGCCGCGAGAATAGCACAGATGACCGCGGCCGAATGAATTGAGCGAAGACATTCAATCTGGCTCTGGGCAACATGCGAAGGGCAGAACAATAATATACCGCGACTGTACTCAAACGACCTTAGGTTCAGTCTAAACTGGACAAAAGCGGAGACACGAGCGCCAAAATACCAAATTTGGACACCCAGACATCGGGCGCTTGTTTGAACTGAACTATATGTCCCGGGTCACACAGCCCTGTGCATGTGAAATGTGAACTAAATCAAATCGGTGTGTCACAAGTCACAAGGTGTGAACCTAAGGTTGCTTGAGTACATCTGTGAGGTTAAGTCCTCGATAGTTATCACACTTTTGTCGCTACAGGATATTATTCCGCTAAATTCGAGTCTCATCTTGTTCAGTAGCTTTGAATGTACAAAATCTCTCCCGTACATTATGGCTGAAATATTATCCCTGATGTTGCAGGAACTTGAGTTCCTTCCAGGGGTGTAACCCGAATTAGGGTTTCAGGCCTAAATCACACGGTTATACACCCTTGTTCTGACGATAGTCCCTTCAATTGTTTTTAGATCTCCTTGAAACTTGTTTTGTTTATGATGTGTATGGACCACCATTATGTAATGAACGCAATTAACGGACGTAGTCATTTCCGATAAGAGGACTTCTTCTCCACCGCCGCGCCGTAAAGCCGACTCCAGTGCCGACATATTTATACTTGATGAGTTCTCCATTCTCAGAGAAGTCTTTCTGCTCTCCTCAGTCGTCTTGAAGCTCGAATAAGCTTGAGCTGGTTTGAGGCAACTGGAATTTGACGACTAACGATCGAACATGACCTTTCGCTCCGACTCAGAGCGCGAGCCGCTTCTCCAGGCCTCTGTAGTGCAACCTGGGGCAGCAGAGGAGACGAATGAGGACCTGAAGGAAGCAACGAAGGTGGGACCGCTGGAAATATCGCGTTCGACGCGCTATGGGATTCTGGCGGGAATATGGACAGCGACCTTTCTCTCCGTGTGTAATGTTTCTTAGACCCGCGTGGTCCGTCTACATGAAATGCTCAGATCTTGTGATTTTGCAATGGGGGTTACAATTTGTAGTCCTTGAATAGTGCGTATCGCTCGACTTTCATTCGTGTGCTATTCTGAGAAATGATTGTGTTACAGCCACCCTTGTCGCGACGCGTGAGTTTACGTTCCACTTCTGTGCACAAACTTTACTGAGCGCATACACGCAGTGCTTCCATCTATATCATCAGAATTCAGCAAGTCGCACCAGGCCAGTTGGCTCGGCACCGCGTGCGTCCTCCAAAATTAAGCACTTGTGTTAAAGTTTACCCTGACGTCATACACCAGATACCTCCTCGCGACATGCACCTTCACACCCCTCTATGGCCGCCTGTGTAACGTTCTGGGTCGTCGAGGTGCTAACCAGACAGCAGTGTTCTTCGCTGCCCTCGGTACTGCAGCGTGCGGGATCTCGGGCGATATGGAAGTGCTCATCGCTGCACGATTTGTGCGCCCGAGTCACATATTACTGTCATTTGGGCTGAATGCTGATTTTGATGTACACTTAGCTTGCAGGCTTGGGTGGCGGGGGTATCTTCACCACTGCAACGTATGTGCCAGTTCGATCAGATGGACATGCTGCTCATCTTGCTTCTAGAATAATCACGAGTGACATGTACAGTTTAAGGGTAAATGAAGTTTGATATGTTATCGTGCATCGATTAATCTCCTCCATTCAGGCTCGAGGTCTCACACAGGGCGTCTCCGCGGTATTCAGTAGCGTAGGTGCCGATGCGTTTTCCTTGGTATCTGCATAGGCTGACTTGCTTCAGCTCGGAATGGGTTTTGGAGGCCCGTTCGGTGGATATATCAACGACAAGTAAGCTTCCGGGCAGCAGGTCGTCATTTTCTGCTAACTCGAATTTGGTCTCAGATTCGGGTGGCGATGGGCCTTCCTTTTCCAACTTCCGCTATTCTTCCTATCGTTTGTCCTGACTTCAATCAATCTGAACTATGTCACACCTGTAAGCAGATGCAATTCCTCTGATATTGGCATTTACACTCACTCCTGCCATAGGGCAAGATGAAGAGCGCCAAGGAGGTGTTAAAGCGGATTGATTATGGTGGCAGTTTCACTCTGTTGTTTGCGGTGCGCATGGTTGCAACTTTTTATTCCTCTCGCTCGCTGATAATTTTCGCAGGTACTCTCCGTCCTCGTTTTCCTGAGTACGCGCTATAGCGAGGAGTATCCAGTGGGTCTCTGTTGCCCGTGCCGGCGGCTTTGTGCTCATTGCTTCCATAGTGGTCGTCGCCAGCGGTGTACATTCCGCTGGCCCTTGCTTTTGCCTTCGCCATCGTATTTGTCATCTTCGAGCTGCGGATTGCGCCCGAGCCTGTCCTCGCGCCGTTTCTCCTCCGCCAGAAAGTTCCCATACTCGTCGGGATCAGCAACTTCCTGGTCGCGACATGCAACTTTACGGTCATGTACAACTTCCCGACGTGGTTTCAGACGGTAATGCTCACCAGCGCAAGCGAGGCTGGTGCCCATTTGATCCCAAACGGTGTCTCCATTTCTCTTGGGTCTTTGTTCGCTGGGTAGGTGGAGTTTTGTGCTCCCTGTGTCCTTGATGTGCCAATACTTTATGCCGTCGTCGCAGATGGATGATGCATCGCACCGGCAAGTACAAGCGCCTCAACCTCATATTCGGTCTTTTCCCATTCGTCGCGGCCATTCTTCTCAGTCTCATGCGCGAAGACTCCCCTGCAATCCAGCTTTGGCTGAGTATTGTGCGTTCTCCAGTTATTTGTCGCACTGAATTATTCTGTAATTCTACCGTTGCTAGATACCCCTAGGATTTGGCAATGCTGTAGTACTGCAGACGATGCTTAGTGCGTGTCCCTGCCGTATCAAATTCGGTTCAGATATTGATGACGTGCCGCGTTGTAGTTGCCTTACTTGCCAACATTCCGAGTAAGTAGCTATTCAGCGTCTGGCCTTTGGATGCCCAATCTGAGTACACTCTAGAATCTGCGATGGCCGTAGGGACCGGGTTCGGCCAGCTCTTCCGCGGCATCGGTCTGTTCATTCCTTTGTCCTAAACAGTCCCACTTTCTAATCTCATCATGTAGGCCAAGTCGGTGGCGTCGCGTTCTCGTCTGCCCTTTTCCAGTCTGTGCTTAATGCAGAACTGCGCAAACGCATACGCTGCGACAACGCCGAGGAGGTTTGTCATTCCGCTAGTCCTGATAGCTCCTCTCGTGACGACAGTTTTGCTTGATGCAGATCATCACTAAGATCCGGCACTCCGCTATGCTGGTCGCACGGCTCCCACCAGATCTCCAGCGTGCCGCCCGCGACTCGTACGCGATTAGCTTGCGCGCAGTGTTCATCATGGCGGCGTGTGCGACGTTCCTTGCGTACCTCGCACGCTTGCCGGTTCGTCTACCTTCTTGACATCGATGTCCTCGTTCTGACTGTGCTGTACCGCAGATACCCGACAAGCCTCTGGATGACCCCCGCGCAAAGAGTATGAGTGATGACCAGCCTCCCAGCCATACTGCTATTCACGAGAGGCCGGCGTATCGCAATGAAGACATACAGGAGCTTGGGGACGACGACGAAGAGGAAGATGTCCCTGTCTCTGTACTCAAAACTCAGGGACCGCGGCCACGGCGGCTGTCGACGTATGAGTCGCACGACGGTGGGATGGATTTAGAGAGCGATACTATAGGAGGGTCGGCGAGGGGCAGCCATTAGAAGTGCCTATGCCGGGTGGCTTGCATGTAGGCATGGAGGCTGCTTGCGTGGTTGGCGTTGGCGGTTATACCCGCTTCTTGATACTAGTGTCGGATACCTCTGGAATGACAAAGCCGTTGCAATATTTTCGACGTAGCTATTTTCTTGCCCACTGTGATGGTAATCTCCTACGGCTCACTAGCCCCGTGGCAATGCAAATGTCGGGCATCGTCGAAAAGGGTGGCGACAAATTGAGATAGTTAGTCATTCGAATGAAAGTCTCGCACTCATAGGCAGACTACTCGTACATACAGTGGATGTTCCGCGTGCTCTGACTGGATTGTTATGCAGTAATTGGGAAGTGACTTTAACGAGAAATTAGATGATGGTGCTAGGTTACCATAAGAGGAAGGCGATATGCTAAGAAAGGAGAAAGGAGATCCGCCGGACTTACGATGTTATATGAATTCCTTACAGTCTCCAAATTGATATTTGTATTCAGGATATGCAGGATAGCGCAACAACAAGGCTTTAGCGGTATGAAAGTGTACCGTGCTTAAGCGACGGAGTCCTCAAAGCCGAACAAAAATACATTGAATTTCAGTACTTCTTTCAGCGCTATCCAACATAATTCGCAGTTGATATTTACAAGGATCACCTCTTAAGTTTCATTTAGTCTTCACAGGTATGCCTAAAAATTTATTGAATAAGGTCCTAGAGCATTTAGAAGGAAGGGACTTACAGCAGCATTCGGCGGGCTCGCGACACCTCCGAGCCTTTGACGATCATTAGTTGCTTGATGAGAAAGTGTAGTGAAGTCGACTCACACATTGAGAGGCCAAGACGAAAAGAAGAACGTATATCTCCCTGTCTCGGCACACACCTTCGAGAGAGCTTCTACGTCGAAGAACTCGCCTGACACGAAGAGGGACCAGCATGTTAGCAGTATACCAGGCGCATTCAAATGCAATCTCACCAATGGGCATGCCCCACAGTCTAGGGAAAACAAGCTCGATATGAGTGAGATTATCAGGATGATACAAACGCACCCAAGCAGAGTCTTCGTCATAGCAAACGTAAGCCAAAGTGGGGATGGTTGTAGAAAAGGCTCAGCGTACCTGATGAAGTTGCGGGCTCCCATTCGGGTCGGGCCAGCTCTATATGGCGACCGATAGCCAATCAGTGAGCCTTCAACACAGAAGACCGACGCTGACCTCCAGAGTGGGTTGGTCAGAAGCGGCGGCCGCGAAATGGTTGTTCCTTGAAGCAGTTATTTCACATCACGGGTCCAGCTCCGGCGAGGAAAGAAAAGGCATACCAGAGGAAGCGCTTCATTTCGAGTGATGGCTCAAGCCCAGCGCTATCACACTGCGTTAGACAAAGGCGGAAGCTCAACAAGCGACAAATACACACAAGGTCCAATTCTCCTCTTTAATCAGAGATTCCTTCTGTTCACTCGAAAGTTGGTAGTATCTCTGGATGAATCCGACGCGGAGGATCAAGATATCCCCCCGCTTGAAGGTCACACCCTCCTTCTTGGCACACGCTTCCAGATCTTGGACGGGGATACCATGGGTACTCCAGGGATCGTATGGCAGCGGAGACCCGTCTTCCGTGTAATATTTTACAAGGTCCAGAAAAACACCACGACCGCAAATACCGTGCTGCGCCCAGTCTGGTGGAACGTTTGTGTGAGTCTCGGAGCTTGATGCTAGAATAATGGCTCAACTATGAATGCCCAACTTGATCACCTCGGGATCTACTTTGTTCGGATCGGACATTGTGAAGGAACCGCGGGGGAACGAGTCGGCAGGCGTGCTGAGAAATATGAATTAGACAACTTTTTATACTGTCAAGTGATCGACGTACTTGTTGTAGAACACCTTGTGTTCGAGCACACCGAAGTGTCTCAGACCATCCCACTGAGTCCCCGATTGCGTGTTCTAGAAAGCGAACGAATGAAAGATTCCAGTAGTAAAATTCAGAGGACTTACTATATGGATAGCATCGTCATTGATGGCATGGGTTTCTTCCATCTTGTTCCATAATTCATGGTGAGGAGGCTGACGACCGAACGCGGGCTGGATAGTCTGTGAGAACAGTCACAATACAAAACGATGAAGATATCCTACATTGCTGGGAAAGTTCACAGGCCTTCAAGTCACCGACTTCAGCATTGTGCTTTCATGGAATATGACCATGGTTCGTACCAGTTCAAGCATACTGTCTTCCCTAATCTAACGGGAGATTGCCTCAGCATGTATAATCAGCTCTCGGAAACGCGCGGACACACTTACTTGATCTCTTTCGCGGCCTCCTGGACAACCTCTTCCGTCAAGAGGTTCACTGTACCTAGCTGATCGTCTTTGCCCCAAATACCCCAAGCACAGCCAGGGAAGTTGTGGAAGTTCGGTAGCTCGTCAAAGGTCGGCAGGGGTCTTTCAGACATAATGCCAGAGTGACGAAGAGCAAACACCTTGGTACAGCACGAACGCCGATTTATATATGTCCGACCGAAAGTCCTTGGAGAACCGCGGACTTCGGCATACCAAGCGTACAATAGACTCAGCTGACGGTTATTGTGGTCAAAAGAATGTCTTCGGTCTTCCGCTAGGATCAATATGGATTCAGATATCGGAGGAACGTGAAAACAGTTCCTGCAATGTGGTCACATTGTCCCTTCCATTTTTACACAGGCGCGCAAAACTACAACTTTGTCAATAAAACTCTACAATACAAAGCAGCAGAAAATAATCAGAAGGCCAAACACGCTGAGCGTCCAATTAGTTTTAACCTCTGATGAAAGGATGTAACAGCGCCTCTTTCGGTGTAATCCTTCTCGCAGGGTCCAGAGCCAAGCACTTATCAAGCAAATCTACGAAGGAGGAAAGCAACTTCGCTTCATCGTCTTTGAGCTTGACCGATGTAGGTGGCATTAAACGCTGACGGAGATCCCGCGTAGGCGTTGTAATGTGGACTTTACGGACAACGTTCTAAACTTGCGTTAGGTAAAAAAAAAAGAACGTCACCCAAGGGGTCATGCTCACCGATCCTGTCACGCGGTCCTGTTCGATGTTGCCAAACCCGCCCAACTCATCGAAGTACATCTCTCCGAACTTCGCCTTCTTGATCATCTTGGTATTGAAGCGACCCTTCAATTCCATCATAAGAAGTAACATCTGGTTGTTTGATCGTCCTGGGAAAAGAATCTTGCCAGTGTAGAGCTCGTACAAAGTGCAACCGATGGACCAGATATCCAGAGCAGGGTCATACGGTACTCCAAGAACTAAACGATCGGTCAGCATTTGCACTGAGCTTATTCGGGAACTGTACGCAACTGATCTCTGGGGCACGATAGAATCTGCTGACGAGGTAAGGCGTTATCTCATTCTCGGATGCATCTGATGCCGAACCGAGATCACAGAGTTTGAGCAGAGTCTTGTGTTCATTTACCTGCGTATCAAATCAGATGTTGGTCAAAGACATAAAAGCACGAACAGACGGACCAAGATATTATCAGGCTTAATGTCAGCGTGCATGATGTTGCACTTCCGCAATAGACTCATAGCAAGGAAAAGCTGATGAGCATAAGCGCGTACCGCTTTGATGTTCAGACCGACATCTTTACCAAATCGCTTCACTACATCCCTCAGATTCATGCTACGGGACAGGAAAATGAGGCTCGTTGGTCGCAGAGTCGGTCAAGACATACCTTAAGGACTCAAAGACGAGACAAAGATGGCCACGGTGTTCGAAGGTCCGCTCTAAACGAACGATATGTTTCTTGTCCTCCGGATCTGCCTGCTTCAGTTTGTTCAATATCTGAACTTCTTTCAGACCCGCTCGGTACCTATTGGACCATACGTCAGCTATGTTGAGACTGGGGGTAAAAATGACACGCACATTGACTCTTGACAACGCACTATCTTAATGGCAACTTCCTTACCGGCGTCGCCAACCTCTCCGTGGATTACACGAGCTCTCACCACATTTGCAAACATGCCCTTTCCCAGTGACGAATATACTTGATAACGCCCACCATCAAGCTGCGCGCCCAAGATTATTTGGTAATATCCTTCTGGATCGGCAGCGGAGTCTAGGGTTGTGGTTATTAGAGCCGGAGCAGCTGTCCTCTGAGAAAGTGCATAAGCGCTGCACAACGAACGATTCAACATGTACACTCACCACTATTTTCTTGACTTTCTTGACATTCTTCTCGGATGTCACCGCCGCAAACATGTCGTCAATTTCATCCTCTTCCACCTCAATCTCCTCTACATCCTCGACATTAGACGTTGGCTCCTCTTTGACACGAACACGCTTCTGTTCGTCTTCGCGGCGATCCAAACTTGGATCGTAGTCTGCGGCAGAAATTTGTTCGTGAACGCCATTCTGCGCTTGGGCCTTCGCCTGCACGTCTTCCTCGTCGCCGTCCTTTGCGAGAGAAAAGGAGGCAGGTGTAGGTGACACAGATTCAGATTCCCGCTTACCTGCGAAGATGTCAATACAAAGACATAATATCATCTGAAATACATACTAATTTTACCTTCTGTAGGTGCTTCGGATACGCCAGGAGTACCATCGATGCTATTAATGTGAGACACCGGATTAGAGACAGAGGAAAAGGCGGTTGGCGGTTCAACCGCACTGGTAGGCCCTGGGCTGGGGGATGCCGTTTGACTAACAGAAGTGCTGGCAATTCCAGCATATTTTGCCAAGATCGCCCTTCGCTTGGCGCGACGTGCAGCTAAAGTCGTCTCCGCAGAGGGTGGGGAACCGGACAAGTCCAGCTCCATCTCGTGCTCAGGCTGGGGTTGTGGTTTCTCCTGAGGAAGCGGTGAAGGCGCACGAGTCGGCTGCGAAGGCACTGGGGTAGGCCCACGACTTGGCCTGGGAGAGATCCTGAGGAGACAGTAGTATCAGCAAGGACCATGACAAGTCTACAATCGGTTCATGACACTCACTCGCCTTCTTCTTTCTCTGACTCGTCTCGGGGAGCATGAGGGCGATCGTTCGAGGGTCCTGCCGAGTGATGCTCCCGTGGCGCCGGCGGGGTACGTCTACGATTGTCATCTCTTCGCTGATCATCTCGCCGCACATCTTCTCTTCGTGAATGGTAGTCTCTGTCGCGCTCCCTCTCCTGGTTGTCACGCCTGTCTCTATCTCTCCCGTAGTCGCCCGAATGCCTGGAGTCGTACTCTCTGCTGCGTACGACATAATCGCCTCGGGGGCGTCTGTCAATGCTGTCACGCCTGCCGGAACTCTCCCTCCTGCTATGTGGTGGCTTTCTCCGTGGAGACCTCAGGTGAACGTCCCTCCAATCCCGAGGGTCCATTCGTTCGCGCGGCCTCTTGCGAGACTCCTCTTCGCTGCCTTCCCATGAACGCTTAGATCCTGAGGGCATGTTAGTCATCTTCTATCAAGAGATTGGGGTTTACGGAGCACCGCACGATAGAAAGTAAAGGAACAGATATCGGCGGGTGACGCTGACGTTCAGCAATGTCTGCAACGACAACGACGACGTCCGTGATGAGGTTGATGAGGTTTAAAGAAAGGCTTGTCCAGGCCGCTGATCTCAGACGAAACTCGGAGCGTGAATAAAATTACCGAGTATGGTACTATGCCAGTCCCAGACTCACACACGCCAGTTCCCCCAATGTGCTGCAGAAGATACAAAGTCAACGCAACAGATGGTCCTCAACAACAAGTAACCAAGCGAATGAACTAACAGAATAGCAGAGTCGAAGATAATTAGAATAAAAATATACCGACAGTACTGTACATCCAATTAGAATGACACTGGAGACAAGCAAGGTTGGCATGAAGGGTCACGACAAAAAGAGAATGAACTTACAACAAGGGTATCAGCAATTAGTGTTTTTTGGTCAACTCAGTCTCCCCGCTGTGATGCCTGTGAAAGCTGACTGAGTGTTGCAGCAGCCCTAGTACCAGGAGCGGGCGTATAAGGTGTTTGCTTCTGTGCCTCCAACGTCCTCCTCCTCCTGTCCTTCTCCTCGCTCGCACGCGTGCCAGGAACAGGGACCGTGTCGCTATCGGTGGCCGAGGCATTCGTCGGGTGCCGTCGCACATCACCAGCTCTCAAAGGCGTCAACGGATATGTCGTTCCCACAGTGGCAACACGGCTGGTCGGGACAGCCGATCCAGAAGTGGACTCAGCCTGAGTTTTGGGAGTAACAGGAAAAGTCTGAGGTGGTCCAGCAACAGGGGCCAGTGCAGCTCGACTAACTACAACACCAGGGGGAGGCTCCACAACATTGATCCTCCGTCGGTTCGCTGGCTTTGCGAATAATGGACCTCTTTGAGGAGCCGCAGCTGGGAAGTTTGCACGGCTTCCAAGGGTAACAGCGGACCGTGGTTGTCGCTGAGATGGCTGTGGAGGATGCCGCGCGTGAACATGCTGTTCATTTATTTTTGCTTCAACCTGCGTTGGCCCATCGTACATGTCATCAAGATCGTGCGTTGAAGCTCGTTCGTTTTGGAGGGTCGGAGCAGGGCCAACCAATGTGGCCTGAGAGCTCATCGTCAGTTGCGGTGCTTTGGCGATGGCAGAAACGGGATGAGGTCGAAGTTGTGCCGCAGTATATTGAGATCTTGAACGGATTGACGTAGGTTTTGCCAGTAGTTGGGGAGAAGGACTAGGCAAGGGCGTGTGTTGCGTACCTGATGGTCCTGGATCAACGCGTTCGGATGATAGGATGTTATTCCTAACGGAAACGTTGTGTGTGAGCATACAGAAGGACAGCCAAGGGATGTTCCTACACTTCATAACTAGAACTTCCTGATTCATCCTCTGTGAGGTCCCGCTTGTTGAACGCCCTGACCTGCCTACGGCCAGAGTTGCCGCCTCGACCAGCTTCGACTTGTGATGCCTCCGACCCTCTGAACGACTGGATAAGCATAAACCTTTGAAATAGAGAAATATATTTAACTGACTCTTGGCCAGGCTCCACCTCAAATTCAATATCTAGGTAGTCGCTTAGGCTTGACCTTCGTTTCAACCGAGTGGGGAAAGACTGAGCGCGCGGGCCAACTGCGGGTCCCGGAGCTACTCTTGCGGGGAGAATGTCAGTATGCCTTGCATGTTTCGCACGTTCTCCGGCTTGCCAGGAATCGTCATACTCTTCGTCCACCCGTCTACGCTTCCGGCCGTCGAAGTCGTCCTCATCTTCTGCTGCTTCGTCGTCGTATGGCTGCTGTCGTCTTTCTAGCGAATCATCGTCATCCGACCAGTCCACACGAACTCCCCCTTGTGACTTCCCGTAAAACCTGCTTCTTTCATACAGCCCCTTCCCGTCTGCGCGGGGAGGATTCTCCTCCACATACTGTTCGATTATCGGATCGAGTCGCTGCCAGTTTTTCTTATACCGTTCCAGCCACGACATCGGCGTATGACGCAGTACCCACTCCCGCCCAGGCTGCTCGGAAACCCGCATTCTCAGTGATTGTAAAAAGATGAACGAGTGAGGAAGTATACCTTCTCTGCCCACTGGACTAAGCGCTTGTAAATCTCAAGACCGGTACGGCCACCTTCTTCTTTGTTCGGTATGACAGCGGCAATGTACTTGCAGAGGTTTTCGTCATCCCCAGCTGTGAATGCTGTTCGCCTCAAGAAGTGTCAGCGCGCGCAAACATCGACACCGGATACAACTCACTGATGGCCTGCGGGATGACCCGGCATACCCTTACGCACCGGGCGTTTGTGATTTTCCTGATATCTCCGTGTTCTGATGCATAATTGTACGAACTTTGGCGATTCCACGTAGATGGTTTTGGAGTCAAAATACTTGTGCTCCAGAATCTCGATGGCTTCGGAATTGGCAATAATTGTATCAGCATCCTCTTCGTTGGAGCATATGTGTCCACCGTGAGCCTTCTATGTGTAAGCACGGAGCTCGGGCAATAAATACATGTAAGAGGACTCACTCGAATCTTCGGCCGCAATGCATGTATTTGTCCCTCTGAAAGTCCACCATAACGCCCCTGATAGAAATAGAAATGTGCAGGTCGACCTTCTATCATGAAGAGGTCATCCTGTTCGGCATTAGTGCAGTGATCATGATCAGCATAGAACAACGATGTAATTTTGGCTGGATTTCACACCTCTGGTTCCTCAGGAATCTGGGGTTCATCATCTTCCTCCTCTTCCTCCTCCTCCTGCAGTTGAGAACCTTCGAAGGCGCGCCCAGGTGACCTGGACATTCGCTATTAAATGAATAGAGTGAGCTATATTAGAGAAAGCTTGGCACGAGAACGGTCACACCACCGGTGTTATCGAGCTAACAACCTTAGCTCGACACGAAATAAAGTCGCTCTAGGGGACAAATATAGTGAGTATTTGATCCAACTTTACACGATGGCTGACGAAAGAGCAGGTGGACACTATCCCCAGGTTCGCCATGCAGCAAAGTAAATGCGGTAGCTTGCTCTGCTGTGAACAGCCACGCAGAATGTGGTTGCCACGGGTTTTCGAGAGACGAGATAAGTTCATTGCGCGCCTAGAACTTGTACGTTTTGGAATCCTTGCCAACCAATGCCAACCATGCACCTCGCGTTGTGGAAGTTACGAGACACTTGCCTGGCGTAAAGAGCAGAATAGACTGAAAAGATTGACTTTGTGTCTCATTTGAGCAGTGCTAGATCGCGTATATGTATGCAATGCTCACCGGTACCTGAGGTGTTACTCACTGCAGGTGAACGCGTCTGGTGAATTCAGGATCAACACAACCGCGTATCATGTGATCAAAGTGAGGCGCTAAACTTGGTGGCGTCGACTTATTCGCATCGAATCTCATGTTGCTTCAAGTTCTCGAACTAGTTGACCCACGCTCAACGAACTCCACGCACCACCGTTCGTGAGATTCAGATGACACTACCGAATATCTTTGAAATAAGGGAGGTCCTTCAAGTTTTAACGCGCGGTTGACGCGATGGTAACCAGCTTCAAGCCCGCTATTGTCTTTGAACCAGGTGTTAGCATTAATGAACCTCATTTTCGCCCTGGAGACACCTGGTGCACTTTGGAGTCTTATGTCGTTGACTGATGGTCGTTGTTCCGCCTTCATGATGCGCTTTGGCAACCGATCCTAAGCGCAACCGCCTGCCCTTTCTGGAGGCGATAACCTCCATACCTAGCGCTTGGATCCTGCATAAAAGGTGTACTCTTGTGATTTTGCGTCTTCACTACGGTCTAGTCTGTGTCAAGATGTCCATCTTCCACCGCGTGTTTCACGCACTCTTCCACTCTACTGCTGAGGAGCACCAAAATCCAAAGCACTGCGAAGAACCACCGGACCTACTGCAGGACTTCTCCGGAGTCCAATTAAACAGTGGCGTCGTAGAACGGCTCTCTGCTTGTTCGCTACCCACCTTTAACCGTGACGCCACAATTAACGCCGCTGTCCACACGTCCCTCAGTAGCCCAGCGCACCCTGCAAACCACGGGTGTTCTGGCCGCTCAGCGCCACAGAAATTCCCATTTGGAATTGTTCGCCTTATTGGCTTCATACACCTACGATGCTGGCCTGACCCTTTCCTACACGTACACCAGTTACTACAGCATGGCCACTGCTTTGGGAATCCCATGCGCATGCCGATGTCCATCACCATCCCGCCCTCCAATACGTCTTCGATACTCTCCAGTAAATCCAATTATCCCATCACACCGGCCCTCCTGCCGGCTCAACGCGCCCTAGATTATAATGACACTCACCCTCTGACCAGCCTATGCGAGGTACACCCTATAATCTCGGATATCCAATCAACGAGCACATCTCCTTGTTCTCCACTTGCAGGGGACGTCACCGCTGACCAGTTTATGGCCAGCGATGTCGTGCAAGTAAATCAGTTCTGGGAATGCGAACGGCTGTTGAATGCGGTGCAAGAACTGCATGGCTTTGTACAGTTACTGACTCCTCCCAGACGTCGCAACAAGCAACCTGCCACTGCATGTGATGCCCCGCCCAAATATTCTCGGGTATCTGATCCCCACAGGCAGAGTTCACTAACAAATGAACAATACGAGGGTTTCCGTTACCTGGACTCAACTCTAGATTATAATATAATTGCGTCCGTCCTTGAACTCCCTGTGGATCCCTGTGACAAAAATGTAGTTCCCACGAAGTTCGAAATACTCGACATACTGGGCCGAGGGGGGTTCGGTTGCGTTCTGCTAGCTCGGAGACTCAGGGAGATCGGGGACGAACAAGTATCAGACGAGGTAGCGATCAAGCTCATCCGCAAAACGAAGCAGTATGCGAGGTATCCCGGTCGGAGGGCAGCACATGGCGAATTAGAGATTTTACGAAAAGCATGCGGACAGAGCCCCTTCCTATCACTCCTCCTGTCATCGTGGTCCAATTATAACATGATCTACTTTGTCATGGTGTGTATTCCTTGATTTACCTGTGTGCCGAGCAAACCCATATATTGGCGCACAGAAATTCTATCCACAGACTCTGGGTGAACGTCTTCGGAATTTGCGAAGATATTATGATCGCGTGGATCCGATAGACGCAAAGCTATACTGTGCAGAACTTGTGCGTAATATACCGCCAAAACAGTTCATGCATGTAACTCATGTGATGCACTGTACTTACAGATCCTCGGTCTGGGACATCTTCATAATGAAGTCCAAGCCGCACACCTCGATCTCAAACCTGACAACATATTCATTGCGGATGACGGTAGGTTGGTCATAGCAGACTTTGGCCTCTCCCACGTCCCGGAAATGGGCAGGGACCTTCCCTGGTCTCCCATCTACGAGCGTGGTGGCACTCCTGGATACTATGCACCGGAAGTTTGCGATCCTGCGTGGTACGGACGAGGATATAACTACAAGGCTGATATCTTCACTCTCGGCTTGGTTTTCGCTGAGCTGCTCTCGCAACCAATTCCGTTATACCCGTACCGGGACTGCGACTACGAGGGAAACGCGAAGATATTCGATCAATGGAGCGAGATGCAAGCGAGAGCTCCTCAGAACAAGGTGCGGGATTTGGACCTCGATTCGGAGCTCGCACGCGATCTGTTGCACCAGGTAGCGTGCGTTCACTTTCCGAAGTTGGCGTACCGGTGCTAACATCGATCCCGCGATCCAGATGCTGCATCTCAATCCTGGATGCAGACCGTCGACGCAGGAACTCATGAATCACCGTTACTTCTGCGACATCAATTGGGAACATGTGAAGGCCGGCGAGTGCATCCGTAAGCAACCCCCTCCCTGATTGCGTTCGCGAATCGCTGATCTGACCCCTCGATGATCAAATAGACAGGTACATCCCGAGCGGACGTACCATGTACAATGGGGAGGGCGTGTGGCTCACCCACTCCGCCAATATTTCGATGCCGCTGGACAGCAGGCGCTTCATGATGTACCAGAAACAAATTGACCTCGCCATTGGAAGAGACCCATTCTTGTTCGTAGCATCCCCTAGCGTGCTACGCGGCAACCACAAGAACTTGGACACCGCAGACCGCATTTTAGACGACGCGCCTCCTGAGTTCTGCACTCTCGACATGAGCGCGCTCCCACACTTTTCCTCGCTCCCCAGGGTGGCTTCCAGCGACGAATTCATCAGGGGAGCGGGCATAAACTTCTGAGAATATTGTCATCCTCTGGCGCATATGGCGCCCCTTGGTTTGCCTTTCTCGTCGGATCTAATTTGTCTCTATCTATCGCTATGATGTATTGAATTTTAGCTACCAATTTAGTCTGCTTCCTGTACCGAATATCCCCTAATTCTTGAGGATTGAGATGGTCATTAAGCTGCGTTTCCGCCCAAGTCGTCCGAGGGATTGTTTGTTCAGGTGACTGAGCATATCATCGACTTACACAAAGACTGAGTCAACGTGCGAAAGGCACACGACATAATAAGATTGCTAAAACATGCTAGACTAATTTCAATCATTATCGCTAGCTTTTCGGTGCTGACTGGCGAGGCTGCAGGTACACAGTTGCCCAGTCATCAAGTTAGACAGCATGTGTCCAAAATTCAACGTCCAGCCCGTCGCTGAAAGCAGACACAAAACGCCGCAGTATAGGTCCCAGCATCGTCGCCTAGGACGCGGTTCGTTGCCAAATTCGTCCAGCTTGTCTACTCGCTGCAGGAGCTTCAGCCAGTCATCCTTCTCACCCTCCAAGATGACTGATGGAATTCCACAAGCAGTAGCGCAAGAAGTTATCACCGAATATGCAAAATATCTGCGATACGGGAAGGCGTTGAGCAAAGCTTTTTGTAGGAAAAGGGATACTCACCGCTTCAGCGTCATCATTGTCAAGGCCGAACATACGGTCTTGTCGGCAGTGGTTGTAGTGAAATCGGGAAGGATCCATCCGGTGAGAGTCTTATCGACGACCTGCAAGTCAAAAGGAGATATGAACACTGCATGCATACGAAGAAAATGCCATTGACATCGGCGTGCATTCGTGCAACCATTTCAATTTAGTGAGCCACACATCCGAAATCTACATATCATGTCAATAATCGGTTCATCTGCAACCTTCAACGTCTTTTTACCCTCGTGCGCTAAGAACTGGCCTCGCAATTCTTCGGGGTTTGCATTAACGCTCCATGGCACTGATGAAAAGAACTCAATTAAGGTAAAAAAGGTGACACACTACAAACTGAATTGATTCAATAATGGCGATCCAGACATCACGGCCAGTGGATCATCTTCAGATGTAGCGGCCAATGAACAGATCAGTGAGCAGGCCTTATAACGAGGTCACGATGGTCGCGGTGTGCCTTTACAACGGCGTTGACAAATCCATGCATGCAATATTCCGTCGACGGAAGTGCCTCCTGGGACACAGTGCTTTGAAAGAGCTCGAGGAAAGGGTGCTCAGATGCGCCATCTCGACAGATCCTTCGCATTGGTCTCTGCGGTAGGACCGCAGATGAACTGACTCTGCAGAGCGCTTTGCAACTTCGAATGTGACAGTTATTGTGGAGAGAGCGAGATGGAGGACGTTCACAGAGTTCCGAGTTACTCACCACACACGAAGTACAGCAGTAAGTCCCGGCCATCAGTGAGCACGCAGCACACAGCGCCGTACGCGTATCAACGAGGCTCAAAACTGATTGAACCGCTGTGAGCTTAAGCTTGTGAAAGGTAAGTACATAGGTACTCTACATAGAGGAACGACTCTTTCTTCCTACATACTAGAGGCTGGTTAACGAGCCTACATAGGTACAACTATAATATTTAGTATTGAGTTATACTCTGCGAATGCAATATTGATCGCACAGCCACATAGCGAAACGACTCGGACAGCATAGTGGAACACGACAACGACGACGAATGATTTGTACTATACACTACTCTACGTACTACTGCAGTTGAGGTTACCTATCGTAAAATATGAACAGACACAAGAAGAGCGGATCAGAAGACTCGTCCCTAAGCCAAGATAAATGAAGTCGCGGCCATGTCATGACATATCGGAGCCATACCATACCACTTTAACCAATGCAAGCCCATAGGGATACCGCTAGACAGCCAAGCTGTGCCGCCGCGCGTCGTCGCCCTCGACGCGCCTCAAGCTCCCGGACCCGCTTTGCACGCTGCGCCGCCGCCCTTCCATGTTGACCCAGCCGCTGCCCGCTGCACGCAGGCCGCCGAACTCCGCGTCGGCCTGAGCGCCCTCGCTCTCCTCACCGTCCTCGCTGAGCATACGCGCGCGCGACTTCTTGCGCCTCACGGCGCCCGGATCAGGTGCGGGTGGCGGATCCTGCGCAGGAGCCTCGGGTGACGCACGCAACGCTGATCCCTCGCCCGACGAAGTCGACGCCCGTTTCGACGTCGACGGGCCCGCGTCAGGCTTGCGCATTTTCCTGTGTGGCGCGTCATCGATCGATATCTCCGCGACGCAGACGGATAGTGGGGGAAATGCAACGCACGTGTTGAGCTTGGGCTCAGCATAGTTTATGCTCTTGCGTACCCTCCTTTCACGCCCGCCTACGGGCTCTGCTTCGGATGCTGCTGCTGGAGGGGGGCTGGACGTTCGTGGTGAGGCTAGGTAAGATGTTCGACTCGAGTGGGTGATGGGTGGCGGATCTACTGCTGCCGACAGGAAGTTGCGCGTCGCAACGCTGGATGAGAGCGTGTGTGTGGAAGTCGTGGCTGTGGGTTCTTCATCGTCATTTGAGGTGCGTTGCCGTTCACGATCTGCATCGGACCATTTGAAGATGAGCGACGTCTATATAGAAGGGTGGAGCGCCCACGCGACAAAACGCACCTGGGGCATCGAACAAAGAAAGAACAGACGGAGCAGCTTGCGAATTGGTGACGTCCTTCAGCTTCGACTTGCTTCCTCCGCTGGATTCGATACCTGCTGGCTCTTCGTGTACTCTGGATCTCTTCCTCTCATGATCCCGACTGGTTCCACTATCCGCGATGATATCTCTGTCCCTGTCCTTGTCCCTGTCTCTATCTCTATCCTTCTCTTTAAGTTTTTTCTCCCTCCTCTCCCTCTTCGTCACGGCTTGTAGGATTACCTCTACTTCCTGCTCCTCGTACTGCGGACCTACGACCTCACCGTTGACAGCTGCAAGCTCCTCCTCCTCTTCGGCCAATCCGACTTCACGCCGGAATGGAGACCCAAATGCGGGACTTGGCGGTCGTGGGGGCATGATTTCTGTACTGATACCTCCCGATGTTACGGTTGTGATTGATACGCTGGACAGCAATCCGCTCTGTCGCCTCGTCGGCTTGCGCTTGCCGACCTTGTTCAGTTGCTCCGAGAAGTCAATCTCCGGAACCGGGGGCGGGGAAGCGACCCGTGTCGGCACGGGAAGCCGAGAGTCTGATGTGTGTGGTTTGGTCTTCCGACGCTTCACAGGCGTGGGACTGGCCTCGAGTTCCTCCTCCACATCGGCGTCGGGCTCTCCGGGAGATGACAGGTTCGTCTCGTCGTCCTCGGTGATGCCCGGGAAGGTCGGAGGGCGAGCGAGACGGTTCGGGGCTGGCGATGCGTTTGGGTTCACGACGGGCCGTTTCGCGCGGACGGCTGTGGGCGCAGGTGGTTGGGACTCCTCGCTGGACGACCTGCTATGAGGTATGCTGAACGACTTGCGAATATGACCTAGATGCTTGAGCAGGCTATGTGTCTGTGGGGGAGAGATATGGTGTCGACACGGGATGCGCGTGAAGGAACACGCACTGCAGCTTCCGTGTCTGCGATGATTTTTCTTGACCTCTCCCGTTCGCGTTTCAGCTGTGAGGTGAGCGCGATCTCCGATGCGCGCAAGCGTAGGTTCTCGACATAAAGAGTGGATATCTGTGCGTTCAATTCTTCGATGCGAACGCTGAGCGTGGAGTTGAGTCTGCCCGGGCAACACGTCAGTCTCACACCAACCGAGAGCCATTAGCAACTGACTTCGTTATGTGTTTGTTGGCGAGGAGAAATTTCTTCTTGACTGGAACGCCAGTCAATCATGGAGGTTGGTTGATAGAACAGGAGAAGATACGCACAGTTTTCGAACTCGAGGAGGGTGTCGTTTTGTCTTGCATCAATCGATACACGCGACTGTCGCCTGCTCATTACTACAGGCGGCGAGCACGGCGTCGAGGTCCAGCGGGAGAGGGTGCGACTGCAACGTTGGTGGCCAGTGCCGACTGCTCTTGTTCCAGCATCAACCCGTGGTCGTCACGAGCGCGGATCGAACCGACGTCAATGTCGCGGTTCGATTTCAGCGCGTCTCTTTGCTTACGTCAGAAACACGGTTCGTTCCTGCAGCCGCTCAGAAGGTTTGCTACCGAATGTCTTGACTATACCTTGGAGAACGAAATTGCATTCAGCCCTACTTGTCTTACTCCAGCCACATTCTCTGCGCCGCGAAGTGACCACTTTGACTTGGATACTGCTCTGGATCTCGCTTCAGCCAGATGTCGCACTACTCTAGGTCACCCTCTTCATCATCTTCCTCATCCTCATCATCGGCCACCAGCAAAAAGTTGAGCTACTCGGAGCTTCTCGCTCAGGCGCACGCCAATCTCGCCTCGGTGCCAGAAGAACTATGCCCAGCCGCCACAATGTCCACTCCGCTGTCGGAGTCACGGATATACACACTAAACCAGAATATTGTCGACGCAGTGGATGCAGCGCGCGCCAACCCAGCGCATCCAAAATGGGTCCGCGTCTCGCGGCTACTGAAGCTGCAATGCACGGCCAGGGGATACGTTGGTGTCGCGGACGGGGTGCGGATGGGCGACACGCGCAAAGTCGAGGCGGGGGACTATCAGTGGGTGCTGCCGGATACGGAGGAGGAGTGGGTGGAGTGCGAGATCAGGTGGGCAAATAGGTTCAAAGCACGTTCTAGCCCGAAAGGAAAGGCGTCCAAATACTGGCAGCAGGACTCGGGTGGTGCAGTGGCCAAGCGCGCGAGAGAGGATGTGCCAGCAATTACCGAGGTACACAGCGTCCACCAGAAGGTGGCCAGTTGGCGTGCTGAAGTCGTCCGTGAGAGCGCAAACGCGCCGCATACCCCAACATCAACATCGGTCAAGACGAAGAGAAAGGAGAAGAACATAACGAGTGCCAAGACCCAGCAACAGTTGGGCTTCCCGACGATGAAGCGATCCTCTATATTGCATGATAAATCAGATCATCTCCCGAGTACTTCGTCCAACCCACAGATTACCGCGGTCACCTCGAATGAGCTTACGGCTGCCGCCAACAATCCAGTTGCTGTTGACGTCCAAATTCCTGGGGTGGTGCGGGCAGCTCAGCCGCCTCCTGTCCAAGATCAAAATGCCGTCCAAACTCAGGCTCCCGCCAAATCTCAAACTCCCGTCGACGCTCAGGTTCTCCCAGCTCAGATTCCCGTTGAGTCTCAGGTTCCTGTTGAAGTCCATGTCCCTGTCGAATTTCAGAATTCTGCTGGCATTCAGACTTCCGCTAGTACTCGGACTCCTGCAGTCCCCCAAACGTACGTCGAGGTTCAGGCCTCCGATCTCCAGACTTCCTCTGGTCTTCCACATGCTCAAGCAGAGGCTGAAGAGGCTGCCATCCACGCCGTGGATGACGAGGCCGCTATCCCAGCTGACGCCATGTCCCTGACCTCAGACGGCCCCGCACGGATCGGCGAGCTCTCAGAGATGGTCAGTATTGATACGTTCGCGTCAGCCGCTGAGATTGATGACTCGACGCAGTCGTTCCTCCCTCCCTCTTTCCCATCGCAACTACGTACATCGACGCCTCAGCAACTCGAGAAGGTGAAAGCTCCTTCGAAACAACGGAAACCCGCTCCGATACCGCACGAACCGCATATCTCTCTTTCATCATCCCCACAATCTCAGCCAGGACGTATAGCTGCGCGGGGGCTGCCCCCTGATACCTCCTCTAGTCAGCCCGCGTATTCGCCTTCCAGACGGGCGGTGAAGCGACCTAGGCACAGTACGCCCACCTCGAAGGTCGGTGGGGTGCCGACTACGCTTGGTTTGTCTTATGTTACTCCGCCACCAAAGAGAGTACGCGGGGAACCAGTGCCGCCTTCGAGCGAAGCGCCTCCACCTTCGACACCGCCTACAGCGACCTCTGAATTGAACCCAATCACGCCATCTCGACCTGTGCCATCTAGCAAAGGACTCGGCAACGCGAAGGGCCTGCCTGTCCCGACAACACCTAACCGGCAGGGTTTACCGACATTGACGGAACTATTAGCCTCCTCACGGCGCTCGAAACCGCGTCCCCGACCACCCTCGAGAAAAATTCGATCTGAGACTAAACCCCAACTTCATAATACAAAACCCATGGGTGTTGGCGTGGAAGACGACGTTCTTCCCTTATACGAAGAAGACGAGATTGAAGACCCAGAACCGTCGCCCGCAAAGACGTACCTCTCCTCGCCCGCGTCCGGGTCCTCCGACTCTCCCGGATCGACACGTCACCGCCCACGCTCGCCGATCTCGCCGCTCTTCACGCAGCAGCCGGACGTGTTCGCGCCTGCGCTGGCGTCCACTCAGCGGCTCGACGTGCGCGCGGGCCTCGTGGGCGCCGGCGCCGGTACGCACGGCAGCGGGCGCCCTCTGCTCGCGGGGGGCAGCAGTGGGTTCTTCGGGGGTTACAACTCGCAGTTCGACGTCGAGGGCCAAATCGGGCGCGTGAGCGAGCTGCTGGAGCGTGACGTCGATTTTGAGGGTTGGCTCCGGGATGTACCTGATGTGGAAGAGGAGGAAAAAGCCTGCCCTGCGCAGGGGATGAGCCAGAGCCAAAGCCAGAGCCAGAGCCAGGGTCAGGGCGAACTGATGGTGTGAAGTTCATGATTTCGACGACACAGCCTATTGTCGCGCACACCTTATGGAGTTGTTTACATATTGTGTAGGTCGCCGTGTTGCATTGCTATCTTGTACGGCGGCCCATTTTTGTCTGACGAAAGAAGCGTTCAGCGTTGGTTCCTGGAAACAATACGCAGTAATATCGAGGTTGTCGTCGTTGTCCTTCACATAGCGTTTTACGAAGCCAAAGTCTCTTTTCTGACTGACCCCGAGTGGTCTATGCAAACGATACTCGTTTCCGCGCTGTAGGACGTGAAGCTGCATCGTCCGCAGACCTTACATGTGGCTTGCTGGCACCATCTTTTGCACTGTGCAACCCGTCCACCCTCGTATTCCTGCGCAGCTTGGCCTTCTCCCTCTTGGCATGGATTGCCTCCGCAGTAAGAGCAGCCTTCACTTGCTTCTGCAAAATGACGGTCAACCCTTCGCGAGACCTCTGCGGTAGATTACGTGCGGCGTACCAGTCTCGCCTTCGAGCTGCCCTCGTTAGCCGACTTCCTTTCAGACTTTGTCGACGCCTGCACAGAACGTCGGTTATCAACGGGGGTAAGTAGCGAAGCCACTGACCTTTGCCTCGACGTGGCGATGTTGCTTTTCCACTTTCTCGTGAGACTTATCTTCCTGTACTGCCACTACAGACCGCGCCAACTCAAGAGCATCGTCCTTCCAGAAGGGAAAGGCACAGCACAATGCCAGAAATTAGAACGGTGGAGGCCATGATATGCAGAACTTTCAGGGAGCACCTTGTTCTCTAGGAAGTGTTTTGGCTTTTTTGGCTTTTTCTCGTCATTTTGCCTCTTGGATAACAGTGTTTTGTGAGATGCCATGACAGATGGGGACCAGCATGAATCATTGAGACCATGAGTCACTCACTGATAGCGTGGCCTTTGCAGGCCTTGGAGTGGGCGACATATCTAGAGGATGATCGATATAGCGAACACCCCTAGAGGTCTGCTTGGCCTGCTTCATGATAAACTGGACATCGTCATCGAGGTCTATGATGAACCTGCCCTTTGCGCGTCGGCTCATGGTGGTGGACTGGGAGGAGGGGCTCTTGAGAGCGAGCCATCCGAGCGTATTCTTCAATCTTATCTTATCTGATTACCGATCAACTCCGGCGATCCGATCGACAGCCACCGTGACATGGCAGCAACCCTTCTTGTCACTTCAAACACGTCAGGTTAAAATTTTCTCTTCGTTGAAATCAAGGGGCTTTCACGCCGACAGTTTTTGATAGCAGGTTTCAAAAGTTAGACGCCAGACCCCGAATACCAGTACGAGGACTACCTTGAAGATAAGATCCAGTGTTAAGACTATAGGTACATCAGCAAAAGTCAACTTTTGCTTACTGGTGTTATACCCTTGATTAAGGAAAAATAAGGAGATCCCGTTTCTTATTCCTCCATTATTCACCCTTATTGGCGTTAATTGCCCAATTAAGAACGGAGACCTCCTTAATTAAGGAGATAAGGGAGCTAAATGGAGGTAACCAAAAGTTGACTTTTGCTGATGTATGCACTGGCATGACGTCGAATAGTATTGTTGGAAAGTAGCGCCCAAATTTCTGGAGCTCCAGAAATTGGGGAGCGCCCAAGGGCAGACAAGCCGAGGGCATGATTACAAAGAAAGACAAAGAAGGAAATTTGCTTATATAAAGTGGAGCGTCTAGAACTGTATATATACAGAAATCTATTTTAGGACGCATAATCACGCGCCCCAACACATCTTGACCCGCCATCACTACCTTCCTATTTGGGAACTAAGGCGCGATTTCTAACAGGTTATGAGCCCCGGCTCTAGCCAATAAATATTCGGATAACAACAGCCCCTATTGTGGCTACAAAAATTGTTACCCCCTTACTAGTACAAGAACAAATAATGTCGACCAGTGCTGATAATACGAGCAATAGCAATGCTTATCGGATCCCACTCCTGAAGGAAGACAATTGGCTCCCGTGGAAGCGCCGCATCGAGGCCATCCTTAATGACAAGGGTCTCCAGGAGTATGTGACCAGAAAGACACCGAAGCCGCAGCCGAGTAATGACCCGGCCAATAGGGCAGCGAGAGAGGCAGAGATTAGCGCCTGGGGAGAGAAGGACCTCAAGGCCCAGAATGTAATTGTGCTATCACTGGGAGATTCCCAGATGGTGCACATCGCTGGAGCCGAGACAGCACGGGCCATGTGGGAGCAGCTTCGCACAGTCAAGGAACAGCGTGGACAGCATGGAATTCTCGCGCTGTGCCGGCATTTTTACCGGATGCAAGCCAAGGAAGAAGATAATATCTCCAGTCACATTACACAGCTATGACAGATCCAGGAACAACTCCACCTAATGGGGAAGGTTGTTTCTGACGAGGATTTCCAGCTCATTCTGGCTACCTCATTACCGGAGAGCTGGGACTCTTTCCTCAGCTCTTACTTTGGCACCGTGGGCGGCAATGTTGGTGCCGAAGGTGCTGACAACGTGCGCCCTCAGCTTACATCACAAGAATTGATTGCCATCATTCTTAATGAAAATAGGTGAAGGCACGAGCGTGGCGAGCGCGGTCAATCCTCGGACCAAGCCATGGTTGCCAAAGGAAAGAAGCGCCCCTTTGGGGAATACAAAAAATGTTCGATCTGCGGAAAGCCGGGACATCTTGATAACGAGTGTCGGCACTGTGACAAGGTCAAATGTATGAATTGCGAAAAATTCGGGCATAAGGCCACGGATTGTTGGGCTAAAGGCGGCAGCAAAGCCGGACAGGACCCGCCAATGAAACGGCAAAAGACGGAACGTGCTTACGAAGAGCGCGAGGTCGAATTGAAAGAGAATGAGGCAAAAATAGCCTACAATAATGATAGCGACACTATATCTCTCGGATCTGATGGCAAAATTGCTTCTTTCTATGAGTGGTTTGCCAACTCCGGGACAACTTCGCACATTACAAATTGTCGTGAAGTCTTCACGACCTATCAGGCGCTCGAAGATCACGCAATCATGGGCATCGGACCGCAACCAACGCAGGCATTGGGCCGCGGTACGGTCAATGTCGAAAGTGAAGTAGGAGACCGAAAAGTGAAATTCCGTCTCCACGGTGTACTGTATGCGCCGACAGCACCCAATAGTCTCCTCTCCATCACACGTTTGGATGATGCGGGAGGAAGAGTACTTATGGGTAATAGTCGCGCAATACTAATAGATACAAATAAACACACTCTTGCTATAGGCAAGAAAAATGGACGACTATATTCATTGAAATTGCGTCCAATAGTTTCGCAACCTGCGCGAACCTATACTGCTAAGGAATACAGCCCGCATACCTGGAAAGAGTGGCACAAGATCTATGGCCATATCGGGAAACCAGCACTTATGCGATTATATCGCGAAGGGCTTGTTGATGGCCTAGAAATCTCGCCAAGCCCAGATGAAATTAATTGTGAGGCATGCATCCAAGCAAAGGTGACGTGGAAGCCATTTCCCAAAGAGACAGACAAATGCAGCAAGGTACCCGGAGAATTAACACACACGGATGTGTGGGGACCTGCACAGACAGCCGCTCTACAAGGGTGGAAATATTTTATTACATTTACTGATGATTACAGTCGTCGAAGTACAGTACTGTTTATGAGGCATAAAGATGAAGTAACAGAAAAGGTAAAGAATTATATTACCTATATCGAGCGCAAGTTTGAAAATAAACCCTTGCGACTCAGGCTCGACAACGGTCGAGAATATATGAACACCGAATTAATTAACTGGTGTCAAATGAAAGGGATCGAGATGGGTCCGACTGTGCCGTACTCACCATCCCAGAACGGAGTCTCTGAGAGATTGAATCGCACACTGCTTGGACTAGTGCGCGCGATGATCTATGCGAGAGATCTACCTCGTTATCTTTGGGCTGAAGCGATTGCTCACGCAGTCTATATTAAAAATAGATCGCCCACCCAGGCGTTAAATGGGGCAACTCCTGAAGAAAAATGGAATGGGACGAAACCAAATATCTCGTACCTACAAGAATTTGGTTCCCCCATATGGGTCCTCACGGAAGACGCAACACTATCAAAGCTAGCACCCCGTGCCAACAAGTATATTTTTGTTGGATACATGGACGGACCCAAAGCCATCAAATATTATGATGCGCACACGCGCCAGATTAAAATCTCGCGTAATTTCCAATTTTCTTCAAATTTCCCGGACCATTTGCCCGGCAACACGCCTCACGTGCCACAAGAGCAAATAGGATCCGACGTACCTATCCTCACAGCACAGCGTGAGGGGGAGCAAAATATATTTCCGGGCACTTTACCTAGCAATGCATCAGACGTGCCGCATGCGAAAAGGAGACCTGAAGTCCCAAACCTCACAATGACTGCAGACGTGCGGCGCGAGGGGGAGTTAGGAACTTCCGCACCACAGTCACCTGCCAAAAATGTGCGAAAGCACAGACAGGATGATGATCCTGATCAATGCGAGGAAAGCGGGAAGGACGCACCAAGCCAGCTCAGACGAACCAGAAGAAAGACAGTTCGGCATGATTACCATCTAATGCACGACCCAGAGGCAGACGAAGATCTGGATAATGATCCAGATAAATCAAATGCCGAATTAGTCTATATTGCGATGAGCGCCCATGGAAATGCAGACGTGGATGAGCCAAAGACGCTCAGTGATGCCAAGAGATCACTCGAGTGGCCCAAATGGGAACAGGCAGTCCAGACGGAACTCAATCAACTACAGGGTATGGAGACTTGGGAGCTAGTGGAACCTCCCGAAGATCGAAAACCCGTAGGAAATAAATGGGTTCTAGTTAAGAAAACAAAGAGGGTGAAATAATCAAATACAAAGCCCACCTGGTTGCGAAGGGATATTCTCAAATCCCAGGCATGGACTATACCGAGACGTTCGCGCCCGTAGTCCACCTCGAAACCATTCGAGCTATCCTCGGGCTAGCTGCAATCTTAGATTGGGAGATCGGACAGATGGACGTGAAAGGCGCCTATCTTAATGGAACTCTCAAAGAAGAAGTGTATATGCAGCAACCTGAAGGATACAGCGATGGAACATACCGCGTATGTAAATTAAAGAAAACCCTCTATGGGCTAAAGCAGTCTGGCCGAGAATGGAATATCGTGCTGAACTGCAAGGTACTAGACGCAGGATTCAAGCGCCTATTCTCAGATCCATGTGCGTACATTCGGATCAAAGGTGATAAGATAGAAATCGTCACCGTTTGGGTAGACGACCTATTAATATTCACCAATGATTGCGCACTAATGGACCAATTGAAGAGCGAACTCCGAAATATGTTCGAAGTTACCGACCTTGGCGAACCCCGGAAAATTGTGGGGATAGAAATTGAGAGGGACCATTCAAAGCGGACAATCAAAATCTCTCAGACAAAATATATTGAGTCTATCCTACACAAGAATGGACTTACGAACGCCAACACAGTCGGGATGCCTCTTGATCCAAATACAGTGCTCAAAAAAGAAGAACCCGAAACTGATGATAAATGCAACTGAGACAACGGATACGCATCGCTCATCGGATCACTGATGTATGTGGCAATTGCCACGAGGCCAGACATTGCTCACGCCATGCAATGGCTTAGCTCATTTACTGCCAATCCTGGAATGGCTCATTGGACTGCTGCCAAACGCGTCCTCTGCTATCTATCCGGAACGCGACAACTTGGAATAATCTACAGGCCAATTGCAGATGTCAAGCCCGAAGATCAATCCATATTTGTGGGCTACTCAGATGCAGACTATGCGAACGATATCCGAGATCGCAAATCAATCTCGGGATATTTATTCAAATTAGGAAATGGCACGATCACCGATCACGTGGAGCTCAAAGAAGCAAACCACGGTTGTGTCATCCACCACGGAAGCCGAATATATGGCATCCGCTGAAGCGGCAAAAGAAGCCGTGTGGCTCCGAACACTATTCAAAGAAATAGGTTTCGAGCAACAAAATCCTACGATTTTATTCGAGGATAATACGGCGGCGATCTCAATCGCACATGATCCCCAATTCCACATGAAATCAAAACATTTTGATGTAAAGCATCATTATGTGCGCGAGAAATTGAGGGATAAATATATTGATATCCATTACTGTCCCACGGAGGACATGATAGCGGATATCTTAACAAAGTCACTCCCTAAGCCGAGGCACGAGAAGCTCACAAAGAAGCTCAGAATGCCCATCAGCTTGAGGGGGAGTGTTGGAAAGTAGCGCCCAAATTTCTGGAGCTCCAGAAATTGGGGAGCGCCCAAGGGCAGACAAGCCGAGGGCATGATTACAAAGAAAGACAAAGAAGGAAATTTGCTTATATAAAGTGGAGCGTCTAGAACTGTATATATACAGAAATCTATTTTAGGACGCGTAATCACGCGCCCCGACGCATCTTGACCCGCCATCACTACCTTCCTATTTGGGAACTAAGGCGCGATTTCTAACAAGTATCGAGCACTTTTCTTACCAGGATGTGCTGACTGCTGAGTGTCAATGCCCCGTTTCCATGCTTCAGGGTCTTCTGTAACTCTTCAAAGCTTCAAGCTTCAACTTCATCGCTGTGTGGAATTCCATCATCTTCTGCATCAAATCTTCATCATCTGGAAACTGCACAAGGCTATGAGGCCTACATAGGACTATGTAGTAGGGACCTGGCTAGCCGAGTGCTAGCCGAGCCTACATAGTCCTACATAGGCAGCTGTAGACCTCCGAGCAAAGTACCAGTTGCAGATGATCGATTCCCTTCGAATCCTCAGGCTCGCGAGGGTAAGGAAGGCATCAACAACGAGCTGAGAAGGTATACTGGGCATATCACCCTCATTGTGCGTGGCCCAGAGAAACTGCAACAAGACATTATCCTGTTAGTAACGCGCCGAGACGTGACCAGAGAGAACGCAGGATGCGTGATCATGAGATCTACGCATCTCGCTGATAAGATCGTCTTGAGAAGAGCCAGCGAGAGCATCTCTTCCTCAACGACTGCTTCCACGGAAGTAACTCAAATAATAATCACAGAGACAGACGTAGTATATATGCTCAGCTCAGATCCTGCACCGATTGGCAAAACATGCAGAGATACACTCGTAACCAAAGAGTTGAGCCAAACTGCATCTAAAAGTGCTGATCAAGGACCCCGGCTACCAGTTTGGGGTGAACAACCTTATAGCTGCTTCGCCGGTTGCTCGTCTGGGAGCCCCTTGGTTGAAATATTCGTTCTTGTTCACTGGCAGCGCAATTTAGGTGAACGTTGGCGTTCAGACCTATCTCCTGCAGCTCCGACCTCTGCGTCTTCTTTGATGACTCAATGAATTTCTGACGAACCCACCGTGCCAATAATACTTCCCCGTTCCTCTCGCGAAATGATATCACCCTTTAGAATATACACCGTGACTGTGGTATTCAGCTGATCTCATGGTTGGCAAGTAAATAAGAGCGTGGTAGCGACGCGCGCTTCCTCTCAGTTTTTACGGAGTCGCCTCTCTCGATGGCCGAATCCCTCGTTGACTCTCGAGTTTGGTTCAGTAAGTTTCACATCTTATCTTCGCCGCTCAAAACCACGTTCATAGTGCGTAAGTCACTGGCAGCTCGCAAGGCTTCGGAAAAGCCTTGCTCGAAGAGCTTCTCGGCTCAAACGAGAGAGTCGTTGCCACACTGCGCAGGCCAGAGGTGCTTGCCCCGCTCTCGGAGAAATATCCTGCCTCGCAGCTGCTTGTCCTTCCGCTTGATGTGACAGTGCAAGAGCAAGTCAGCGCGGCGTTTGAAGCGACGAAGGCCCACTTCGGCAAGCTCGATGTTGTCGTAAACAACGCGGGCTTCGCTGTGGAGGGCGAAATCGAGTCTATATCGGAGGAGGATGCTCGTAGTCAAATGGAAGTGTTGTTCTGGGCTCCGGTGCATATCACCAAAGAGGTCGGAATGCTGTCTTGGATCATGCTGCAAGGATTCATTGTTGACATACAAGAAATAGGCACTCAAATTTATGAGAGACGTGAACCCCCCAGGTCATGGCGGGCGAATACTGAATATATCGTCAACGTTTGGCTATCTAGGACCTCCGACGCTCTCATATTACGCTGCGGGCAAGTTTGGTAAGTACTGTACTACAAAGCGTTATCGCATTCACAGATTGGGCCGGACTGTGTCGTACAGCTCTCGAGGCGTTCACCCAAGCGTTTACTAAAGAGGTACTGCCATCGTGGAACGTTAAAGCCATCATCGTCGAGCCGGGAGGTTTCCGCACAGAGTGGAACAAAGGTTCGATGGTTCGCGCCCCGGTACATCCCAAGTACGATGCCTCGGACTCGGCATCGGTCCTCTTCAGGAAAGTGATGGCCGCCCAGCCAATCGGTGACCCGAAAAAAGCAGCCAGAGCGTTTATTCAGATTGCAGATCTGCCTGACCCGCCGTTGAGGATCCAGTTGGGCTCTGAGAGCTGGACAATGGTGAGGGAGCAGGCTTTGGGTACACTGCGAGACAACGAGAAATACGCGGACTTGGCATATTCGACGAATGCGGACGATGTCGATCACGAAGCCGTGATAGCACGGGTTAAGGAAGCGTCGGCGTGAGGGGTAATGTGTCGTCCATTATGGGTCATTTCGACGCAGAAATTTGACTTCTCCGAAAAGGAATCGGGCATGTATCTTCTGTAGCGTCCACCACATTGACCAGTCAGGCTGCGTTGAACGGGATCTCGTAGATCTCACGCATGGCGTCTACTGTGGGACTGGTAAAGTTGCCTCCTTGAGAATAGTCAAATAGGAAGTCGCAGTCGTCGTCGTTGCTTTCTTCAGAACCAGAACTAGCGTGTGCATCATCGACGCTGTTAATTTTCAGCTCTTCGTGGGAAGGATAATTTATGCTGCTTATGTCCCTCAGCGAGCTCCCGAATGCTAGATTCGTCTTGAGATAACGGTCAAGTGTCGGCATGACAGGCTTGAACGGGTCTACAAGCAGACCGAGGGTGAACACACAAATTATATACCACCAGTTGATGGAACAAGACATACGTCTGTATTGGCTGTTCAACACTCTTCCCCAGTCAACATCGTGGAAGTATGGGTCCTTCATTAAGTCCTTAGCTGATGCCCGTTGGCTGCAACGTGTTTGAAGCATCTGGGATTATCCATGACTTATGAGAAAGTATCCAACTGGGGGGGATATCTAAGAGCCTACCTTCTCCAAAAGTCCCTTCGCCAGCGGGTCGATTTGTAAGTTTGCGAGTTTGTCGACCACGGGCTCGCGCCTCATCCACTCCCATTGGTCGAATATTACTCCGGTCGCTTTGTTTAACTTGTCCTGCGCAGTCCACGTGGAGCAGTGCTCATATAGTGGTGTGTTCGCTCCAAGCACTTCTGCAAGGACCAAGCCGAGGCTGAACACATCAGCTTTGTGGCCGTAACCGAAAATGTGGACTTTAGGATCGCAGACTTCAGGAGCAGAGTAACCGTCTGTCCCAGCGGCCTTATATACGCTGCTAGCGCATAAATTTCTCTTCTTCGGATCGAAGGCCAAGCCAAAATCGGCATAGAGGTACGTGCCGTCACGATTGATGAGAATGTTTTGCGGCTTTATATCCCTGTGTATTATCTTCACTTCGTGGTGCAGATGTGACAAGCCGAGAATCTGGAGATACAACGAATCAGAATGTTTAAACGAGAAACAGTTGATGATATGGTCAATCACCAGCTCTGCACAACAAAGCTTAGCTTCTCGAACGTCCATGCATCTTCCCGCAGCCCGCAACTCTTGCAAGCGATCATCTAGAGACATCGGACAATACTTCTGTTGACGTCCCAAATGGTAAAAATAAGGACCTGCACGGGACACGGGAGAGCGTACCATTACGAAGTAAACGTTACTCTCATCTACCCACGACGAGAGAAGGTTCATCAAGAACGGACTCGGACATGTCTGTAATGTCACCCGCTGCATTATCTCCTTCTCAGTCAACAGCTTTTGCCTCCAATCTGGTGAATGGAATGGCGCCCTTTTGCGTACGACCTTGATCGCCACGCAGTCTTGCACCGACTCTTCACCAACCTGCTGCAGCCTCTGTGCCAGTACAACGCGCCCGAAACCACCTCTTCCGATCATGCGGAAGTCCGAAAATACTGTTCCTTCTAGTTTGTCGAGTGGAGTTAAGACAGAAGGATATGCTTTGTCACAAATGCTCTCTGAGGTAGATTCGGCGTGCGTCTGCTGGAGGGATGGAAAGTCTTCGGAATCGTGGATGCTATCTTCAGCGCAGTGAGTATTTGTATATTCAAGGAGCTCTGTGGCGTCGTCCAAAAAGGCGGGCGGACATATAAGATCAAGGTCGGCCCCATTGCCATTCAATCGATGGCTACGTTGCGGAGTATACGAGGTAGGCGTCTGGGGAAGTAACAGGGTGCATGATGACTCGACGTTATCCAACAGTTGGCTATCCGTCGCATAGCCAACTGTGTTGGGCCGAGATTCGGCCATGGAATATGGTCGACCGACTTCCGCGCATCGTGACGATAGTGAAGGTAGCGGTGTTGGCCGGAGGATCGCAGAAGGTGGTTGTATGGATGTGCACTCGAACAGGCGTTTACATGTATAGGCTGGACCGTGTATGAGGAAATGGACCAGCGAGAATGTGCACCCAGGGAACTGGAAACAACACATCCAATAACGACGGTGATGGAGACCGAGTATGGACACTACTGAGGCACCATATAGGTGCCTCTGAGGTGTCGGATTCGAGTTAGTCTCGAGATAATGGGTAGTGTTTTGTGTGTACAGCAATCTCTCGACTGAAAGACATACTGTGGCGTTGATGTAAGAGAGGCGAATACGGCGATAAAACCACTGATGGATATTCTCCACCAAGAGAACACTGGCAATATTCGCGATTGAGTGCCGTATCGCCAACGTCGATTGTGCGAGACACGGACAAATAGCCGCAAGGACAGTGTGAGAGAGACCAGAACCCATAGTATGCGGAGAGAGGGACGTAGTATTACGTTTGAAGAGCCGCGCAAGATTCAAGCACCTTATGTTATAATGCACAGGTTGTGGGATAACCGAGACAGATGTGGCGCGGCGAATTCACGATGGATAGTGCAGGTTGTGAGCTGGGCCATGGCCACATACTTATCGCTTTTCCGGCTACGACACTAGGACATACATGGACATACACAGGAATGCCATGAAGGGTAACCAGAACAAAGTAGACATACAACTTGCCAGAACAACAACAGATCACCTTGACTCCGGCACGTTGTTCAGTTAGAATAAGCCCTGGTTACCTACAGCAACACTCCAGAGAGAAAGTAACCAAAGCACCCAGTATAAGGTTTGCAGAAAGCAGCCATTCACCGGTCATTATTGTGTAGCTTAGCAGCCCAGCGCGCAAACGAAGAACGAACGCTGGCATGAGATGATGAGATCACGTCGGTGGGCGCCGGCTACTACGTTACATAAGAGACACACTCCTAATAGGGCAGGTCTTCAAGTTTAGTACTACCCACGATGTTGGTCTGGCTCTACAGATTGGCAACCCAACTTTCCTAGGCCTTGCATGTAAACTCTACCTCCCATTGACGACATCTACTATTACAGCTTGCGGTGAGAAATTGGATGAAGTTCGCCATGTCCCAAAGCTCTATTCCAGTGTTGGAACATCGAGATTAGATAGCGAGCGTCGGGGCTCGAGATCAAGTCGCTACCGGAGATACGTAGCTACATTTTTCGATGCACCTTACGCACTCCAAAGGCCGCCAGGGAGCGGCAGAACTTGCTCGGATAGAGGATGAGAGCGGACAGAATCACCACAGCACAAATAGACACTATCAGACGAGGACTCCCCGCCGAAGGTGCTAATTACCAGCTATGGATTTGATGAGGATCAGTTGACATAGAGTTTTGCGTCGTAAGTCCCTGGTATGTACTAGGTATTTGGGCAGTGGATGAGATTCACATCATATGCTTGAATGAGTATACAGAAACATGTGCAGTGCATATACACACTCGGGACTCGTGGCGTTTCGATCCTATTTGTGTCTGGAGCTGGTGGTGTGACGGGTGTCGACAGTGGTGAGCGGAGTTGCACCACCTTCGTCCCGATGTTTCCATCAACTTGTCCTTTGTAAGTCGACAGTAATGTGTGTGCCTTGCAGGATCACCTCCGTCGGGTCTACCAATGGTATCAACACCGAAACCGCTGCTACTTTCTCATCGTCATCATGCGGGTTTGGTCAACATCCGAGTTTCGCAGTATCTTGGTACCTCTCCGCTCTTTGCGGCACATACTCTGGCCTGTTTAATGTCTCCGGTAGTAGTTATTCGGACGTCTCAACGCAGGGAGCCTTTTTTGTTATTAACAACGGAAACTCATGGCTGCAGGAAAGTCTTCCCTCGGATTTCTGAGCCCCTTCCTGTAATCTACCGGAACATCGGCATTCCCCACATCGCCACGGGTCACAACCCGGGCTGTGGGTCCACGGCGTTATCAGAGCGGGACCAGGTGTGTCGTCGCTGAATTTGCGGAAGGAAAGTGGTGCGGATTGATTCATAGGTTACAGATTTTGGAACACTGATTTCACGAAGCAGAGGGCTCTGGAGCTGTAGTTCGGGGACTCACATTGTACATGACTTTTTATTCTTTCCATTGTCTGGCCCGGGCGTGATCCATGATGTATGACTTGCGCGGCGTCGTTGTATAAACAACAACGTTGTTGTAGCAAAATATTGATATGTGCAATCACTGCGTTTGAAGATACTACGGAGAGTCTATCTCCATGTCATCCCTTTCACCGTCCAGTAACTTCTCAACGTCACGATCATCTTTCTCTCCATTGGTGGAACGTCTGCGGGGGACTCTGAACGCAAAGGACCCCACGGTTGAGTGATTTTCGTTGGCATGCACGTCCTCTCGCCTTGCCGCCCTCGTCAGCCTGACGTATTGACCAGCCCTCGAGTCCGGGTGAGGTTGATATTCGGCCTCATTGGGCAGAGGCGTGATCTGCAAGACTGAGGAGTTCTTCGAATGAGAAGGGCGGGCTCTCCTAGAACTTCTTCGAAGGCGGATCACCGCCGGATGAGCATGAAGCCCGCTCTGCCTTCGCTCAGACGGGTCGTCTTCCTCCAGCACCATGCTGTCCTCCAACGCAACCGAAACCTGTTCCGCGCCCTGTCGCATCTCGGCGAGCCACCGCTCTGCTATACTCAGCGAGCCAGCGGAAGTCCACTTCTCCAACACGACGTCTTCGGTGAATCCGTATGCCTTCGATAAGCTTTGGAGCACCACAGCAGTGATTCCACACATGTCCTCCAAGGAGAACGGAGGGCATGTTCCCTGTTGGTACATGTCCCTGACGAGCGGGTTGCGCGCGAGCCATTCCATGTTGGAGGAGAAAGGTTGGAAAGCCTGTGGCACGCTATCATCGCGGCTATCGCCCGCTTGAAGATGGAGGTTGGAGTGGTTGCCCAGGTTTGCTGGAAGAGTATACCGCCTACGGTGGAGCTGCTTGCGTAGCCGAGCAGCAGGCTGCATTTCCTGTTCCTCTTGCGTTACTTCTGCAACTTCATCGGCCCTGTGTGGACGGACATCCAGAGACGTACTCGGTTCTTGCACGACAGAACCGGCGGGAGACATGCTGCCCGAAGGAGCATTTCCACCAGGAGAACTATCAAGACGCTCCGTAGGACGGGACCCAGCGGATGCCGCAGCCGACGATATACGCGAGCCTCGCTCAGGTACGTACGGCTCCTCGAGCTCTTGTTCAAGGAGCTCTGCGTTGTTATTTAATACTTCGTCAAGATAGCGGAGGTCATCGTCACTGAGAAGCGCTACTGTAGGAGCGACATCTGGTTGATGAGGTGCAGTAGACACCTCAGCATTCAGGAATGCATCCAAGGCAGCGGAGATACTGGCCGCAGAAGCAGTCGAGGTTACAGGGATGTTAACTTGACTGAACGGATGGTGCTTTTGCTGTTCGGCCATTCTGCGCTTGAGCATATATCGACGTGGAGAAATCATTTCCTGCGACGCAGCGGAAACTTGGCTGAACGGATGATGTCCGTCAGAGTCACCAGCGGCACGGAAGCGGCTACCGTTTGGCTGGGCGAAGAGCGGCTGCGAGTTCGGGACCTCCTGCTTGACCGTCATTGTCGTCCGCACTGTCTTCTCCATGAACATGGGTTTCTCCCTCTCCTTTCCTTTACCCTTCCTGTCCCTCTTAGGAGGCCACGAGATGTCCTGTTCCTCCTCTTGAGGCAAATCGTCGAGGTCCTGTTCCTCGACACCATACACTCTCCCATGCAGACTCACACGGCGCCTGCCCACGGAGTCGGTGAACGCCTTGTTGTACGCACCCTCGTCGAGGCGCGGAGGCTCTCTCATCCGCCGGCGCTCCACAGGACTGCGCGCCCTACGGCTAGCCTCACTCGGGGTCGTCGAAAGCGACGTGAAGAAGTCGGGCTGGAGGATCGCAGGTACGCGCACCTTCTTGCGGAGGCGGGGTGTTGACATGGCGAACACGGTCGCAGATGGGCCGGGTTCTCCGCTGGAGCGTGCACGGGATTCTTCACCTGGTGCAGTGGGTGGGCGAGGAGTGGCGCTCTCCTCGAGAACAGATTCCGGAGGTGGTGCCGGACGGGCTTTCGTTGGTCTCTGGATCGTCCGCTGAGATGATGCAGCAGACCGTACTGGGGTTCGTTCAGGGACGCCGTCAGGCGACGAAGGTGCTTGAGCGATCCCATGCGACACTTCGTGAGGCAGAGACGGGCGTGCAGCATCTGGGAGTCCGGAAGCAGCCCTGGACGGTCGCGCTTGCGCAACAGGAGTCGATTCACCTGGAAATGTCCCAGGAATCAAGGGCTCCGCTTGAACGGAATGCGGTGGCGAGGGAACATCGGGATATAACCGCCCGTTAAGCATGGAGTCTTCGATCCGCGGCGCAGAAGGAGCAGGAGCGGACTGATTATGATAGGCAAGACTGTATCAATAGTAGAGTCAGCGATTTACATTTAGCGTGTAAGGAGGTACACACTCCGCGTCGTTGGCCTCGTTAGCCTCGTCGGCCGCACTCGCAAGGGGCTGTTGGTCTTCGACATGATCTACTCCATCGTATGGCTCATTAGGTAGCTCATCGACCTCTTCGTCATTCTCTGCATCGCTGCCAAGTTCGTCCTCCGGGTCGCTCGGGATGGTCTTCCATTGCGGAGCATCCACCCCCACTGCCGCTCCATCATCGGGACGGTCAAAGATCTCTCCGTTGTAGTCGTCTGAAGGAGGCGGGGCAAGCACGCGTCGATGCTCTGCGTCGTTGTCTTCCTCGTCATCCTCACGCTCAGCCTCGGCCCCCGCCTCTGGTGCCACAACCTGCTCCACCAATTCTGCGTCCGCTTCCTCCGCTTCTTCATCGCGGTTATGTTTCCCACGATTGATTTCTTTGCCCGAATCATCTTGAACACGCGGTGCAGCTCCGTTTCCAGCTTCAGCAGGGGCTTCGACCTGAATGTGTTCGTCTGCTTGGCCCGCTTCCTCGTTGTCGACGCGTCTCCGCTTGCCGCCCCTAATAGCGTGCTCACCGCCGTCTTCTCTTCGACGCTTCATCTTTCTCTTGCTATTATCCCTAGCAGATGCTTCTGCGCTCTCATCCTCCACGGGAGCTGGCGCCCGTCCTCTTCTAATTCTAAGCAGGCGATCATCGTCCTCTTCTTCCTCTTCTTTCACAGCATTGCCCCGTTCGGCCTTCGTGGGAGAACTGAACGGCCCGACTCCATACTTCTTGTGGTGCCTGTTGATCAACTGGTCGAACTTATCACGGTGATTTTTGTAGCGCTCGCGCCACGACTCCCAAGGGTGCCGTGGAGCCCAGGGCCACTTGAGCGGCTAGTGCGAGTAAGACAGTGCAGTTGAGCATAAGAAAGGATGTAACGCACGTTCCCCACCAAGTACTTGTACAGGTTGTTTCCCATCCGCCCCCCGCCGCCGGGATCGCCATGTTTGGCGATGTATTTCACCAAGTGTGTGTCATCTTCTTCGGTGAATGCATGTCGATGGCGACCATCCTTGATTGAGTTCTGAGACGCGGAAGGCTGAGAGGAACCGGACAATGACTGCTTCTTCGCGATATAACGGTCGAACCTCTCAGTGTCACGGACATAGTGCTCGCGCCAGGACTGCCATGTATGACGCTCCGACCACCGCCACATTCCCTTCCTCTGCGCCAAGTACGCATCGTGTTATCTCAGGCACACGTCGAAAGGAGATGAAAGTGGCACATACATTTGCCACCAGCTCTTTGTACACGTCGTTACCGTGCCGTCTCTTCCCGTCCGCCGTATATTTCGCTAGGTAGAGAACCAAGTAGGCATCGTCCTGCTTCGTGAAGGATACGCGTCTGCAAATTAGATGAGACAACATTTTCCCGACGTATGCTGAGCTTTCCATAGAAACCGTACGAGATAGAGCCAGGCATGGAGGCAGAAAGACTTCCGACCAGACAGGTATCAGATTAATGAAGATAAACTTCCTGTAACTCAGACTTGAATCAGTCGGTCGAGTACTTGATATTTGCAGCGATTTGTGGGAAAGACAACAGAATAACGGGGACAGAGGCGAATTTTCGAGTAAATGTCGCTCGGCGGTGATGACAGATTGTCGATGAGCGCCAACGCGAATCCCAAGGGTGATTAGCTAATCTGGCACGTGATCATGTGCTTATATGGTCTTCCTCATTCTATCGTCCAGCCACTGAATGCAGAGGGAGGGTAAATAATTTCTGTTTGGCCACGAAGCACAACTGTTGTACTTCGTGACCAAACAGAGATTACATTGTATATTTACACAAATAAGTTATAAATAATGTTAGGAAAGGCGAGTCTCTAGGAGCTCGTAGGTATATCGAAGGGACTCAAGTCCCAACCAAGATCCAGCGCCCTGTCAAGAGCGCGAGGCAGGACCGGAAGCAACCCCAGGTCGAGAGTGCTGTTATCAGAGTCGGCCCATTTCACCTCGCCGTCCTCCTCATCCTCATTCTCGTCTCCCTCTTGTATCTCTGCTTCTTCTTCGTCTTCTACCGTCTCCTTCTCTTCCCAGCCTGTCGTCCGATTGTCCTCCCAGCCTGTAAAACAATTCTCGCCCCAACCCGCGTCCTTATCTTCTCCCCGGTCGGTATCCTGGTCCTCTTCCCAGGCAGGCACTTCCTTCCCATCCCACCACGACGGCCCCATGTTCTCCACCGTCGAAGCTTGGCTGTCGACTTGCGGGGCATATTCCGACAGGACGAAGCGGAACGCATCTCCGGCTGAAAGGTCCATCCCTCTCTGCTGACTTTGGTTGCGCTCGTAGCCCGTCGAAATCATGAGCGGATGGTCGCTGAACTGCAAAGTCTTCTCTGCTTCGTTAACTTCCGGCCGTGGCGGCTTGTAGTAATCTGCGCATCCAGAAATGACATCAACGATCTGCACACCCACGCGCGAAAAAGTAGTGCTGCTTACGGACGTGTTCGCCCCTCCTCACGCTACCCACGTCGACCCGAGTGAAGTACTCCAGGCTCAACAGCTCTCCCGCCGATGGTCGATTGGCGGGATCTCTCTGTAGCATCTGGGGTTCGAAGCATTGAGATCAGCGTTACGGACTGGCGTCGCGAAGGAGTCCACATTACCTTGCCCACGAGATCGCGCGCAACGTCCGAGTCAAGCAATAATTGAGAGACCCTCTTCTCGATGGCATCCCCTGCCATTTCTTCCCACTGGTCCGTGACCATCTTCCCGTCCTTCTCAACCTCATATCCGAACAGCGCGGCTGAAGGACCAAGTATCTCCGCGAAAACGAGGCCCAAACTGAAGACGTCGACCTTGTAGTTGATCCCTTTTTCCTCGCAGTCGGGATCGCAGGCTTCGGGGGCGTAGTACCCGGGGGTTCCAGCGCGGCAGTCCGGACCCATGATGGGTGTCTCTATGTCATACGACATAATCGTGTGCGCCAGGCCAAAGTCACCGAAGACCAATCTTCCGTCATAAGTCATCAAGATGTTGTCCGGCTTGATGTCCCGGTGTATAATTCCCAGCTCGGTGTGCAAATAATCCAAACCGAGCAACTGAATGGACAAGTATGGCAGTGAGTGCCACGTATCAGCAAATGCAGTAGACCAAGAAGCAGCGTACCAGTTCCGTGCAATATAACCGTGCTTCCTCAGTCTCGATATGTTTATACCCACGCCATAAATGCCCGAGGTGTTGTCTCAGGCTCCGCGGGTATACGTCCTATTGTGCCGCCACAAAGCGTCAGCCGAGAGCCACGTACGAAAACGAACAAAATTTAAGATACGCACCATAACGAAGTAGATATTTTCACAATCCTGCCACGCCGACAGGAGCTGTGTGCAATACGGCGTAGTGCCACTTGCGGCCTTCAATACCTTGAACTCATGCAACGCCCAGTCGCGACCGAATTCATCCGCGTATTGCACGTCCTTGCGCAGAACCTTGATCGCGACCTCGGTCTCGAGCACCTTGTCCTCGGTCTTCCGCTGTCTCCGCGCGAGCATGACGCGCCCGAAGCCGCCTTTCCCGATCCTGCCCAACAATGTGTATGTCGTTTGGTTGGGGTCATCTTTCTTGGTGGGGAATGTCAGGACGGTGGGTTCGGTGGTACGGTGCTCCTCGCTTGCCGGTGAACCTTGTGCAGCGACATCGGGCGCTTGGGTGTTACCCTCACGCGCGTCGGTATGTGGCGGTGGCACAACAGGCCGAGGGACGTCGTCTGCCTTGAGCCAAGGCGCACGCAGACCCGGTGGAGCCGGTATATTGAGCTCCGTAGCTACCCACCCCGAATTATTCCGCAGAGAAGCATAGACATCTAAGTCCTGTGCGACGTCCGTGGAAAGTGCCGCATCCTCCGAAGGCCGGGCCTCGGCGGCCCCTGGGGCGATCCCATGACCCTCGCCGACACCATCTTCGATTGTCGTGGCAGAGGTGGTCGGGCATGCAAACACGCCGCGACGAGCCGCGAGAAGACCGCGCTTTGGTGGTGTGGCGCGCGCCGGTTGGGTGACGATTTCTGTGGGGATCCACTCGGGCGGGGGTGCGCGACGCGAGTGGTTTGGAGCGAAAGGGTCATTGGAACGCGAGCGATGAGGTTGGAGTGGCGACAGTGAGACCTTGACGGGTGAGTTGACCGATTTATGCAGAGCGGCGAAGAGTTTCGTGAATGAGGGGACATCTTTGCCTGGAGTGAGGAGCAGGGGCGAGCGATTAATGGCCGTAGTAGCCAGGGAATATGGGGTGAGGATGAGGCTGCCAGGGGTACCGTTGAACTGCCGTATCGCGACCATGTGCGAGAACGGATATTTGTGTGGCGGTGGCCGAAAGTCCAATACGCGGTGGATAGCGTGGGGTTCGCTATCGAGGAAGTTCTCAACAATGGTGCGGCCAGTATCGTAAAGGTCGAGGGTTGTCTGCATATGTCGGATGACGAGCCTGGTGGTGACGGACATGATGGAGATCTTGGCCAGCAACTCGGGGACGCCTGGTGGCGACGGTGGCACCGGTTTGTCGACCCGCCGAAGCTTAGGGCGTTCAGCGGGGGTAGAGCTGAGGAAGAGTGTGTTTACAATGGCCTTGAAGAAAGACATCGCAGAGAGGGTGGATGTCGCAGTCGGGGAGAAAGGTCAAGGGTGAATGGGGGAAAGAAAGAAAGAGGTTGAGCCTGAAAAGTAGCCACCGCAGCACCTGACAAGCGAATTTGTAATCAACAGTAGGCAAAGCGTAGAAACATACCAAGCGTTACTAGGGAGGATCCGTGAGGCGTGGCCACCGCCACACGAGTACGCTTGAACAATGGTCGGTGCCACTACTAGTACCACGCCACGGCTTCAGGGCCCGCCGTCGTTACTCGTACAACAGAAGGCCTCTTGAACGCAGGGGATTATATCGTTGCATCGCAGCTTGAAGATCCTTCCAGCGGGAAGTAGTACTGATCTCCTCGATTAGGACGCAGGAGGCCAAGGGACGCCACCTAGCTTGAGCGCTTGAGCTTGAGAGTAAGTCACATGACACGCGTTTCTACTATAAGGAGACTCCCCACCAAATGTAGCTGCCAACTGGTCAGTTGAGAACACGTTCGACCTTTGTACTCTTGCGATACCTCGAAGTTCCGCCTCGTCCATGTAATGTCAACGTAATGCTGCGTGGCCGACAATATGTTTTACGTCTCAAACTTACAAATATAGCAAGAGTCGGTTGCTGTCTGAATATGTGCTGTGCCGGACGGTTTACGAATGACCGACAATCTCCTGCGGGACATACGGCTCCTCCAGGTACTTCATCTCATCTTCCGTGAGCGTCACGGACACTCCACCTAGAAAGGATCGTTGGCGTTCTGACCGTCACATTCTTTGCAGGTAATTGACGATACTTACCGATGATATCCTTCAGATTGTCGAGGCTCGTAGTGCCGACAATGGGGGCACTTACGCCATCTTTGGCCAGGCACCAGGCAATTGCGACTTGGGCCATGCTGATGCCCCTCTTTTTGGAAATTTCCTCGACACTGCAGGTATCATGAATACAGCCGTCTCGATAGAAATGGATCCACGTACCGCTTCACAATTTCCGGCGTGCCAACGCCGTTGTAATTTTTCTGAAAGCTGCGTACGACATCTCAGATAAGTTATTTGGACAGCAGATATCGTACAAGTCTGTCTCCCCGCGCTTGGAGTTCTCGGTCAACGGCCTGGCAAGCACTCCACGTCCGAGAGGGGACCAAGGGATCGAGCCTACACCGAACATCTGACGGGAAAAAATGTCGGAGTTAAAATTTCTTAGAAAGACTGGAGTGCCCCACTTTCAGAGTAGGGAACATCTCCCGTTCCTCTTCGCGGTACATCAAGCTATAGTGGTTCTGCATGGCGATGAATGGAGTGAGCTTGTTCTGAATCGCGTAGTCTGCAAAATCTCTCTTAGCCTTTCGAGGCCGCAGCGTGACGCTCTCTGACTTACTCTGCATGGCGTGGACTGACAGACAAAGATTAGAAGACATTTAGACAGAAAATATGGACTCCAGACCCACATTGATAGGCGTGGCAAGAACTCATGCCGATGTAGCGCACGTATCCGGCTTTGACGACGTCATGCAATGCTTGCATCTGAGGGGCGGAATAAAGCTTCCTCATCGTCGTTAACATTGTACAACACTCACTGTCTCCTCGATGGGAGTCTCGTAGTCGAACCGATGGCCTGTAGTATCTCAAAGTTCAGCGCAGACGTCTTAGCAGAAGATAAAGAATAACGGTGCTCACATTGATAGAGATCAATATAGTCAAGCTGAAGACGTTCCAGGCTGGCCTTCACCGCATCAAAAATATGCTGCGACAAATCTCACTGTCAAAGTAACTGGTTATAATAACAATCTGCGTACCTTGCGACTGAGTCCGTGTTGGTTGACCAAGCCGACTTCGTCTGCATTCCGTCCGATCCTAGTGGGGTTGGCGTCCCATCTACCGGATGTAATGGGCATGAAGAGCTATTTAGAATGCTGCAGCTTGTAAGCAGCTCGATATCATAGTGATGAGTGACACTGACCTTCGTCATCACAACGATCTCCTCGCGGGGGAGGTTAAGCTGCTTGATCGCCTTGCCTAGGATGACCTCCGACAAGCCGTTGGAGTATATCTATAGAAATTTTCAATCCGATCGACATTACTTCTAAGGTATGTCAGAAATAAGCCTACATCCGCAGTGTCGAAGGTTTGAACACCGTGCTCGTATCTAGCAGTGCATAAGCCTGAATTCCCTTCTACCACGGGTGAAGAACCACTCACGCAAACTTGATCTGCTTGACAGCCTCCTCCTCATCGAGGACCCACTCCTGCCAGTCCGAGCTGCCATAGGACATGCAACCTAGGATGATCTTGGATACTTTCAGCCCGGAGTTACCCAGACGGACTGCAAACGAAGTGTCTCCGTCGTACTAGCCGCGACACAGAATTCCGATCCTCTCACCATACGGCATTTTCTTTATTTCCAAGGTGGTCATCTTGGGCTGCTACTGAGGTGGGAGATCTGAGAGAGCGCTGTGATGACTGCAAACCGGCTAACTTCTCTGGTATAAGTACGTAGGGAGTCGACTAGTTCTGCCAAACGGATGACGCAACTGCCCTAGTGAGACGCACCTTAGCAATCCCCTCTTGATCCACTCTACGCCCGCGACACGATCAGGTGACCAGAAATTCTGAGTCACGGCCCCACTATTGTCTGTGCTTTGTTTCTCCTTGGGCAAAAACTCTCAATCTTGGTGTTAGATGATAGGTGATCTATGTGGTAGTTATTTATCGCAATCCCGTATCTATTTCTCAGCGATGTTCGTTTTTATATACTAGTAGAGGCTTTGTTATCCCAGTAACGATTGATGATTATTATAAGGTAGTTTGTGTGCATAGCCACTTGCACTTCCGCCAATACGTACATACGTCGTACTAATCAGCGTTGAACGTTCAGCCTCAGCTGGGTTGCTTTGTCATGTCTGTTCCGGCCATCCATTGTCCCGATGTGGCTGGCAGTTCTACCGCGACTTAACTTGTGGCCCGCGCTCTTCTTTTCCAACGGAAACGCCACAACTTGCTACTCTTCTCCATCTACTGTGCTTTCCAATTACCAACTGCTCCCCTATATCCCAGAAGTTCGTCAAGAATGGGTGGACATCTTATTCATATGCTCCCTTCGAAGTTCCTTCACAACTTTGTTCCGAGGCCCGACCCTGCAAGGGCTCAGCCAAAACCTGTGAATTTCAACAGCGCCTTCGAAGGAATGCCTGCGAATGACGTCCCTGAGATTCAGCGTTACGATGAAATGGTATGTAGGGATTCAAATCGACGATGTTGTGGAGATTGATGACCATTCCTCTCAGGTAAGTTGCCTCAATCGAGCAAGTCTCTGTCCCGGATATACGCTGGTCCGTGTCGATACTAAGGCAGACCTGAACGACAGAAGCAAGATTAAGGTTGATGCCGCACTCTTCGACGCCCACATACCGGTCCTGGATGGAAGGCCTCACTGGGCACTGCAGCGACTCGCTTTTCAGTTCAAGCAGCATAGCACCCTGGACGATCCCTTCGAGGACGATAATCCCGAGGACGACGAGTCCATAACCCCCCGACGGATGAAAAACCGAAGACAGACCATCTTCTACTCTGCGATGATGTTTGCTCGTCAACAGCGTTGCTTTGTGTTCACCGTTCTCCTACTTGGCGATTGCGCTCGTATCTTTCGCTGTGATCGTGCAGGTACCATTGTGACGCACCGATTCAACTACAAGAATACAGACTATCTCACCGAATTCCTTTGGCGATTCTCCCACTTAAGGGATGAGCAACAAGGTTACGATCTCTCTGCGGAACTCGTCGAGCATGGCTCTACAGACTACGACCTCATGGAAGAAATGGCACATAAGAAACTACCTATCAATGACTATGCGAGGCAATCTTTCGAGAAGTCCATTGCCGATCCTAGTTGGGCCCGATGGAAGCTGCGCATTGTGTCAGGCATGGAACTCACCAACGTCGATGCAAGGAATGAGGACGATGTGCGATATTTTCTGGTAGGACAGCCTCACTTCCGTGCGTTCGGAATGGCAGGTCGCGGTACACGCGGCTACGTTGCGATCGACTGCAAGGAGAAGAGATTTGTATTTCTCAAGGATGCCTGGCGCGTATATCTTCCTGGCATAGAACAGGAGGGTACCGTCCTCGGCCGTCTGAACAAAGTGAAAGTCACGCACATTCCGACCCTAATGTGTGATGGAGACGTTCTGGAGCAAGCCACAGTGACTCAGTCTTACTGGACGCCATCACGAGACGGTGAGATGAATCCAATCAAGGGGCATATCCATTACCGTCTGGTTGTGGAGGAAGTGTGTCGTCCGCTTTCCGAATTTCGAGACGGTCAAGAACTGGTGAAAATTTTCATCGACTGCATCGATGGCGAGTACCTAATTCATAATGCAGTTGGCTTCATCCACTGACTCACTGTCTACACAGCGCATGAAGAAGCTCTGAAATCGGCTGGAATTATCCATCGTGACTTAAGCTTCGGCAACGTGCTCATCTACGAACGCGGAGTTCTACGACATATCAATGGGGTGAAAAAGAAGAAGATTGAACGTTGTGGGATGCTCTGCGATTGGGAGCTTTCAAAGCCGATGCACGATGACAGTGAGAAGAGACAACCTGACCGCACAGTACGTCCCAACAGAGTTTTCTTCATACCAGTAACTTATCCCTCATCATGCCACAGGGCACTTGGCAGTTTAAGTCTCCGCTCACTCTAGACTTTCCGGAGAAGACCGTGGATGTCCCAGATGAGTTGGAATCATTCTTCCACATCTTCCTGTTCACCGCTTTGCGCTATACCCAAAGCAGCCTGGACGAAGCTGTTGGGCACTTCATGACGGAATACTTTGACGCGGTAGGCTCTGAGGATTGTCATCACTACATGTGTGGAGCGAAGAAACGAGAATGCATGAAAGACGGCAAACTCACATACGGCCACGACGTCGTCGTCTTTCTGCGCAATGATGGCTCGCCTGATCACCCATTCAATCTCATTATCGAGACGATCATGCCATGGTTCGCAGCTCACTACCACATCACTCTACACGACCTGAAGCAAATCAGGCCCCCACCTCCCATTCCGCGACTACCTCGGGACAACCTGCCAGGGACAGGAGCGGCGAAGAGGAAGAGTAGTGATTCCTCTGAGGAGGTCGCGAATGTTGAAGATCTGCCAAAAGAATTCTTCACCAAAGTGTCGGAGAAAAAGAAGCGGAAAGAGGAAGCTCGGAAGCTGAAGGTACACAACAAAGGCGTCACCTCTATCACCTTCCAAGCCGACTCCTCGGATCCGAGGATTGAATCCTTCAGGCCAATTGCTGTCAATCTGAGTACCCACGAGGAGATGTCCGCGTACTTGGCGCATTTGTACTACAACAATGCACTGTGGGCACGCACAGAGAGGGCCGAGGATCAAATCACCCGCGACTACAACCACGCCATGTTTCGACAGAAAGGTCCTGTTATCATCGCACCTACACGCCGGCCCACTAGTAAGCGCCCCCATGATGACGAGGAATCAGGCCCGTCTTCAATATCCAGCAAGCGCCCCAGAACATCCGAGTTCGCGATCCCTCCCCTGCCACATTTCTACAGCAAACGAAGCCTCCCTGATACCTGTGACTCCCCGCCAGACCACGACGTCCTTCCTGCCACTCTTCATGGCGTCGCCTTGCCAGATGGCTTCCGATCCCAATACGGTGCCGTCGACGTGGATCCTCGAGGGTGGCAAGCTTCTGGTCGTAGATTTTCGACCACTCCATATTGAAGACTGCGTTGTGGGCACCTCAGCAGCAGAGAGCTCTCTGCTTTATCCTTTCTAGCTTCTGTCCCTGTAGTGATTGTGCGACGGTAGGATCAACTGTCAATGTGTGATGCGTTTATTCTCGTTCTTTGGGCCGCTCTCTGAGTCTTGGTATTGGACTGATCAAGGCACTTCTTTGTTGCTGTGTTGTGACTATTTTTCAAAGGTATGTTTGCTTTTCGTATTTATGTAGAAGTATTTGTTATCGCAGCAATCAATTGAGATGGGCGGTGTGGAAAGCCGTATAGAAGTAGTCCATGAGTCGACACCTAGCGGAGGTGAGTACTTCGTTCTACCGCGATGATACTGCAACAGTCTACCTCATATCCAACGCATTCCTTGCTGCCTGGGCGACAACGGGCCAACGATAGAACTCTTGAAAGATGGTCCCAATGGTTTTGCGCTAGCAGCTCCACAGTCAGAGCTTGTTATCTCGCAATGAGACAACGCTGCTTACGTTGCGCATGAATGGGTAAACGCACCGAGCTTAGCCCATCTTGCGCACACCGGCTCAATCGTGTTGTCGCCCCAACCATCGTGTTTAACGCCAGTATACTGGATCTTCCTGGTCTCTCAAGATTTACCGTAGCTGCAAATATCAGCACCAGCCATGGGCGCATGGAATATATTCGCCATTTTCAAGATCCCTGCAATTGAGTTGGGATTCTTAGTGCGCCAATCCAGGTTATCTCCAAGCCATTTCTGGATTCAGCTGCCCGCGCCCGCGAACGTCTACTGGGCAACTACAAGAGTGCGCAAACCAGGGCGGCGGGACTGCATGGCGTAGTAGGCGACGTTGGACATCACGGTGCCACACATGTTATCTGCTAGTAAGTGAGCACCCATCGTACATAATTAGACGCGGACATCTCAGCTTATGAGGCTATTCGATGGCACCCCGTTTGTCGGCCCGATGGGCTATAGTTAGCTCTTCGAGTCTCTGGTCCTCGGGCGTGTGGCCCACTGTGACGCGATCACGTGACCTGAAATTACACGGCCAACGGCGGGCTACACCGCGATACCAAGGAGCGACCAATATTGGTCCAGGATTGGTGCAAGACCAATCCGACCAATTTGAACCCTAACCCTAAGTGGCCGCGACCAATCTCGGGGAGCAAAGGTCGCGGGCGTCACGTGCTCTCCCCTACGCTCACCGCGAAGTCGAAATTTGCGCCATCGCGCGAGGATGCACGGCGGGAAAACATTAGGACATGTATTTTAGGGTACAGAAAATTAAAATGAACATAAGTGAGCTGAGCCTTAGAGGCCGAAACAGGGAAGAGCAAAAAAATCGGCAGAAAACTTGAATCTCCCAGTGGCTGCTCCCCGCATCAGACATCCCCGCTCCCCTGCGCGGCAGGGACAATGCTGCCGGGGACGTCCTCGGCATCTTTGAGATAGTCGATGCGCAGGTACTTGATGCCGTTGCGCTCGACGACGAAATTGGCCGCGCGCGCGGGGGATGCAATCTCCAAGGAGCTGTACAGCTCGAACAGGGCCATGCCGTCATCGTAGACCTTCAAGCGCTTGGACAGCAGTGTCGCGTACGCGGTGTACTCCATCGACAGCGCGCCACCGGTCCCCTTGCGAACAACCAGCTGTTCGTACATGTGTTCGACCGTCCTCAGGAACACGTCCGGATGGAAGTGCGTGCCGCCCGAGAAGATACCGCGCGGCTGTGGGAACTCGGGTGGGTCTTCTGTGATGGTTTCCGGTGTGCCATTCACAGTCCTTTCGACCTTCTTGGGCTTCTGCCTGACGCCGTCCATGCAGTAAGCTCTGTTGTGGTTCTCGCGCGAGCCCTTCATGCCTGGATACATGATGGCCCGGCAGCGCGTGCAGGTATGCGTCTTTCGCTGTGCGAACGTTGGCGTCAGAGAACGCGCCTCAGCGCAGTGCCGGGGATCACTCACCGTCTTGCCATCACCGTTCTCAACCTTCGTCAGTGTGACCGCGAGGCAGTGCTTCATCCAGAATGCCTCCGTGTTGGTACGCTTCGCTGATGGAGCAAGTAAGTGCCTGGCAGGGGCATCCACCGCGCTGCAAGAGAGAGCACGACTCACAGGTATAGTCTTTCGCAATGATGCGCGCCAGGATCTTCGGCTCAAGCTCGCCGAGTTTTTCCATGAGAGCACGGGGAGTCTTCCTTGCCATTGGGAGCCCCCGGGACTTGGTCAGCTCCTCAAGGCGAGCATTGTAGGCCTCTGCCGCGGCGACCCACTTGGCTGGAGTCATGTTGAACGAGGCCCACTTGCCCTCGGCCCTCATATCCATAAATAAGTAAAACTCCGAGTCGGCAGAAATACTAAGTGAGCTTGGGTTGATCCCAGTCACAACCGAGAAGAGCCGCTGCGAACGCGAGGGCCCGCTGATTTGCACGACCGGGAGCATGTGCGGCTCCTCTGGTACCAGTTCTGACTGCACCGAGGTGTTGACCGTGTGCGACACGAGAGCAGGGCCGGGGACTTTGGTGAGCAGTGTGGCAGACATAGCAGGCCTTTGTGACACAAAGAACGGGTGTATGGACTTGTTTCCGGGCTGCATTCTGGCGGACTTTTTTTTGGTGTGATGCCATATTAGTCTACTTGTGTGCCGCAGAATGACTGGTGACATGAAAACTCACCGGAACATTTTTTGTGATTTTCCTTGATGTCTTCAGTCTCTTGCTCGACCCCGCACTGCTCGGTTGCGGCTGGTCGTACCGTTCCGCCACGTTTGCATCGCTAGCCTTGCGCTTCGATGGTGCATGCAGCGACTGGTCGGGTGAGTATCGGGCGTTCGTAACGGCTGTTGTGGTGTCTTCAAATGTATCCGATGTGAGAGCCTGTGCTTCCCGAGGTCCACTCAGTTGCTGATAGATGCCGGTGAGTCATTGCAGGCTCAATTACATGAGTGAACTGACCTTTTCTTTCCCCTTCCGTGTAACAGAGGGAGCGGCTCCTACAACTTCGATGTCGCTGTCCTCAGTAGGCTGAGTAGTCATCTCCGAGAAAGTGACAGTTATTTCGCTGGACTCGGCATCCAAGTCGATCACAGTCGGCATTACCGTGCGCGAAGCCGGCTCTGTGCACAGGGCTGTAGGCCTCAGGGCTTGATCATCAGGCAAAACAGAAGGAGCAGGAGGGCAGTCGCTTGTGCCCTCGATGAGCCCGATGGCAGGCTTGGTTGGAGGAGAATCGATGGGCAGCGGCTGCAGACGAAGTGCGGGGTCAATAGCAAGCTCTCGAAGGATAAGGTCAGCACTGGCATCGTCGTGCAGAGAGAGGTCCAGCAAGTCTTCATCGAGCTCGTCCTTGACTGTGCAGGTGAGGTGGTGGTACGTCGTCGCATACTCTGCCTTCACAAGCCCGAACTTCTCGCCGCTGTCGACAACCTGCATGGTGGGCAGGCGCGACAGCCCGCGGGACTTCACGATCTCCGCATCCTCGATCATGGAGTTCCACAGCCTCGCGATACCGTCGACAAGATGGATGTGATGTGAACCGTGTGTTGAAGCCAAAAACTTGTCGATCGAGTCATGGCCTGCATTGAAGACCACTCGGATGTTGCGCCGCAAGACGTGATCATGGCCGAGAGCAGTAAGAACTTCTAAACCGCTCGCGTGGGACCGCTGGAGGTTGTTCCAACCTTTGTGAGAGCCTTCGATCCGGCTCCCATCTGACACGACATCTTGATAGGCACGTACAAGGCAGCCCTTCTTCACATGCCCAAGTTGCTCCGCATGGACCTGTCACAAGTCAGCTGCATCTGAAGATAGGCTGGGAACCACCCTCACCTTTGGTGCGGCTGCACTCCAGACATCACCGTGGTTTTGCCACTTCTCGTACACGCACACCACTCATCTCTCTTGCTCTGCCCTGCTCCAGTAGACGGCACGATTGTACTTGTCTGCCGTAGTCTTGAGGATCGCGCCGACCAAATCTCGTGCGACCGCCCCACGGAGCGAATTCTTGGTGCCGCCGATAATGCATGCAAGGTATCTTTCAAAGCAGTCTTAGCAATTTTTCTTGGCAGCACAGGCATAACAGAGGATAGTTACCTTCCGACAAAGTGCCAGACATCAAGCACGACATCTATTTCTGGCAGCGCCTTTTTGATGGACTTGCGCACATGGCAGCAGTTGTCGACCACCGCCAGCACAGGATCAGGGACCTGCAGCAACTCGCCGCGCCGCTTGAGACCTGCTAATACCTCTGCGATCTCAGACGTCGATTGCGACTGGCAGAAACGCTATGGCGGAAGAAGTCATCATCTGTTCATGGTATCAAGATCAAAAAAAAACCTCGGAGCAGGTACGTACCCAGGATATGATCTCATTGACCTCGTTGATGACGCTCAGAATTCCACCCTTCAACACCTTGATGCGGTTCTGCTTCTTCTCGACAACGGTCACCAAGCTCGCCTTTCCTGCCGCACGGAAGGTATTGTCGAGAGAGATGGATGTTGCTGTATAAGCAACAATTCAATCTCTGATGTGCATGGTGCATGGACGGCAACACTTACCGCTCAATGTACGAAGGTATGTCTCTGACTCTGGTTGCCGTGTTTTCTCACTGAATTTATTGAAGATATCAGTGATCAAGTCATCCGTGATCGAGCGATCACAGTAGCCCGCGACGATTTCGCCCGGCTTTGAGAACTTGCGCAGTGGCGGAGGATCGACCAGGCTCATGTTTTTCGTCTCCTGTCGCAACTGAAAGTATCGCAAGTACACGAGTCTCTCTCTGTGGTATTCAAGGAGGTGAAGCTCTGTGCAGTGCACACCGAGAGGTCATCATTGGTGTCGAGCAGTGACACGGTGTGGAAACTTACGTCTGACATTCTCGGCAAGCCCCGCAGACGTCGTTGAAGGACGCAGTTCAACGATGAGGTCAAATAACTCGCGCGTGACCGCGCAGCGCCTGAGGAAGTATGGGATGCTGGCTGGAGACAGTGCAGATCAAAAGGTAAGCCATTACATGCATGCCATGGCATTCCATGATGCTTACATGGTATTTCCCAGTGGTCCCGACGCTGCCAAAACAGGTGGCTTGTCGTCGTGAAGCAGTACGCTCCGTCGGAGTCTTCATTGGTACCGCTTCGTTCCGCGGTGCGTTTCTCGCACTCCTTGCACCGCAACTGATACCCAATTGCAGTCTCCTCTCGAAACAGACCATGCACCTCGCGATGGCCGGTAGCAGCCCATTGGATCCATTTAACATCACCGGAATCACACTGCGGGCATTGTGTGATCTCGGGGAAGTAGAATGGATGGACAATGGTAACTGGCTTAAGGTACGTCGTCTCCGGCATGATTTCGGGTGTTGCGCTGCGCTTTGCTATATCCAGGTACGTCGGCGGTACGAAGCGCGGTCCGTAGAGTGGGAGATCTCTGCGAAGACTGCGCTCTGTTGCGAGCTTTGCATTTCCATGGGCTTTTATGCGCTCGTGAACAAAGTTCACATATTCCACAACGTGAGCCTCCCACTCCAGCTGTTCTGCATACTGTGACTGCGAGACGCGCGCTCTCTTCCAGGCTTCGCACTGGCGTTCAACCTGCATAGGAGAGCAGGAATCCGTGAGCCCTCATCGTTCCTTCGTGTAATATATTTTTCAGACCTTTTTCGCCCATTCAGCTTCAAAGTTTCGCTTCTCAAGAGGTGCGAGCGAGCTCTTCAGCTGCGCGAGCACAGTCTTCGGATCGAATGATGACATGGCAGAGTGAAAGTGCAAGATGCTTGTTCAGGGGTACACCACTTACGTCTTGCTCAGATGTATGTCGGCAACTGCTATTTTAAATCTGCGAGGCTCGGCTAGCATAGATTACTCCTCACTACCTAATGCAACAAATGTATTGTAGTTATGTAGACATAGCAATACAAATGGAACAATATTCTGAGAGAAGTACAGTACAATCAGACCTCGGCAATGCTAATTAAGTGGGCATACAAATATTTCTCGCCGCACTGCTCAACAGAGTAAAGGGTGAACAGCACCTGTACGGGCTTCCCGAATGGCACTTCGGAGATAGAGGTCGGTGCAGTCTGCTTTCCCTTGCGATTGAAGAGTGGAAAGTCTGCTATCATGTCCTGCAAACGGTGTTCAGAAATATAATGCCTACCAGAGTGGACCTGAATGAAAAAATGCTCACCTCTGAAGCCCGAGGGCGCCATCCCACTTGGAGTTGCATGAAATCAATGCTGGGCGGATCCATGCGAACATGCCTGAGAAGATGGAGGAGAGACTCTGGCCCCATCTCCGCGATTTTCGTGATGGCTCGCATAGCCTTCCTCCAATCAGCACACGACAAGATGTCGGGTAAGGGCTCAATCCAGCATGAGACGGCTGGTGAACCATCACCAGGCTCGGGATAATGTTCCGAGTCTCCATGGGTGGTGAGGTAGCAGTCCTGAATGGCAATCTGGCCCATCACTTCAAAGAGTATTCCTGACGGGATCTTTTCAGATGTGCTCGGAGACTGCTCCAGCTGAAGATGGATGCAGCAAAGTGAATGTCCACTTTTCACGGGACTAAATACAATATTCTTGAGGCGGTGGTTGTCGAAGTGGTCAGTGAGGTCGAAATAAACCTTCTCCTCGAGGACGTTGAAAAGTGGATGTGTCATCGTGTTTGTCAAATGAGGGAGAGTGCATGCAGTACGAGTGCAGTCTCACAATAGGGGTGAGCACTTGCGGTGTCGATTACATGCTCCAACGATGGTCGGTGTGTCCACCGACACATCACGCAGTGTTTGCCATTGGTTTCACGGACAGCATCTGCAAATGCGCCGGTGTTCTCGAACTTGGTGAGCATCTTACTTACTGATAGGCGAGGCTTCGCGAAGCACCCGGAAATGGTAATTAAGTTCGAGTCCGCGGTGCTTACTAGGTTCGAAAATTCTATGCTCTCAAGCTGTAGGATCAGTCAGAATGTTGCCCAGTACTTGTTACATAGTCACAGAACCTCTATGTAAGAGAATTGGTGTTCAGACATGGAGCCGAACGCAACAGAGTTGAGTAGGCATGGAAGAATTCCTTGGTACCTTTTCCTCAGCCACTCGGAGAAGTCCTTGGCTTTTCCGGCCCGCCTTCGGCGGGCAAAATCCTTGCAATGACCAATTTGCCACGGCGGGCTACACCGCGATACCAAGGAGCGACCAATATTGGTCCAGGATTGGTGCAAGACCAATCCGACCAATTTGAACCCTAACCCTAAGTGGCCGCGACCAATCTCGGGGAGCAAAGGTCGCGGGCGTCACGTGCTCTCCCCTACGCTCACCGCGAAGTCGAAATTTGCGCCATCGCGCGAGGATGCACGGCGGGAAAACATTAGGACATGTATTTTAGGGTACAGAAAATTAAAATGAACATAAGTGAGCTGAGCCTTAGAGGCCGAAACAGGGAAGAGCAAAAAAATCGGCAGAAAACTTGAATCTCCCAGTGGCTGCTCCCCGCATCAGACATCCCCGCTCCCCTGCGCGGCAGGGACAATGCTGCCGGGGACGTCCTCGGCATCTTTGAGATAGTCGATGCGCAGGTACTTGATGCCGTTGCGCTCGACGACGAAATTGGCCGCGCGCGCGGGGGATGCAATCTCCAAGGAGCTGTACAGCTCGAACAGGGCCATGCCGTCATCGTAGACCTTCAAGCGCTTGGACAGCAGTGTCGCGTACGCGGTGTACTCCATCGACAGCGCGCCACCGGTCCCCTTGCGAACAACCAGCTGTTCGTACATGTGTTCGACCGTCCTCAGGAACACGTCCGGATGGAAGTGCGTGCCGCCCGAGAAGATACCGCGCGGCTGTGGGAACTCGGGTGGGTCTTCTGTGATGGTTTCCGGTGTGCCATTCACAGTCCTTTCGACCTTCTTGGGCTTCTGCCTGACGCCGTCCATGCAGTAAGCTCTGTTGTGGTTCTCGCGCGAGCCCTTCATGCCTGGATACATGATGGCCCGGCAGCGCGTGCAGGTATGCGTCTTTCGCTGTGCGAACGTTGGCGTCAGAGAACGCGCCTCAGCGCAGTGCCGGGGATCACTCACCGTCTTGCCATCACCGTTCTCAACCTTCGTCAGTGTGACCGCGAGGCAGTGCTTCATCCAGAATGCCTCCGTGTTGGTACGCTTCGCTGATGGAGCAAGTAAGTGCCTGGCAGGGGCATCCACCGCGCTGCAAGAGAGAGCACGACTCACAGGTATAGTCTTTCGCAATGATGCGCGCCAGGATCTTCGGCTCAAGCTCGCCGAGTTTTTCCATGAGAGCACGGGGAGTCTTCCTTGCCATTGGGAGCCCCCGGGACTTGGTCAGCTCCTCAAGGCGAGCATTGTAGGCCTCTGCCGCGGCGACCCACTTGGCTGGAGTCATGTTGAACGAGGCCCACTTGCCCTCGGCCCTCATATCCATAAATAAGTAAAACTCCGAGTCGGCAGAAATACTAAGTGAGCTTGGGTTGATCCCAGTCACAACCGAGAAGAGCCGCTGCGAACGCGAGGGCCCGCTGATTTGCACGACCGGGAGCATGTGCGGCTCCTCTGGTACCAGTTCTGACTGCACCGAGGTGTTGACCGTGTGCGACACGAGAGCAGGGCCGGGGACTTTGGTGAGCAGTGTGGCAGACATAGCAGGCCTTTGTGACACAAAGAACGGGTGTATGGACTTGTTTCCGGGCTGCATTCTGGCGGACTTTTTTTTGGTGTGATGCCATATTAGTCTACTTGTGTGCCGCAGAATGACTGGTGACATGAAAACTCACCGGAACATTTTTTGTGATTTTCCTTGATGTCTTCAGTCTCTTGCTCGACCCCGCACTGCTCGGTTGCGGCTGGTCGTACCGTTCCGCCACGTTTGCATCGCTAGCCTTGCGCTTCGATGGTGCATGCAGCGACTGGTCGGGTGAGTATCGGGCGTTCGTAACGGCTGTTGTGGTGTCTTCAAATGTATCCGATGTGAGAGCCTGTGCTTCCCGAGGTCCACTCAGTTGCTGATAGATGCCGGTGAGTCATTGCAGGCTCAATTACATGAGTGAACTGACCTTTTCTTTCCCCTTCCGTGTAACAGAGGGAGCGGCTCCTACAACTTCGATGTCGCTGTCCTCAGTAGGCTGAGTAGTCATCTCCGAGAAAGTGACAGTTATTTCGCTGGACTCGGCATCCAAGTCGATCACAGTCGGCATTACCGTGCGCGAAGCCGGCTCTGTGCACAGGGCTGTAGGCCTCAGGGCTTGATCATCAGGCAAAACAGAAGGAGCAGGAGGGCAGTCGCTTGTGCCCTCGATGAGCCCGATGGCAGGCTTGGTTGGAGGAGAATCGATGGGCAGCGGCTGCAGACGAAGTGCGGGGTCAATAGCAAGCTCTCGAAGGATAAGGTCAGCACTGGCATCGTCGTGCAGAGAGAGGTCCAGCAAGTCTTCATCGAGCTCGTCCTTGACTGTGCAGGTGAGGTGGTGGTACGTCGTCGCATACTCTGCCTTCACAAGCCCGAACTTCTCGCCGCTGTCGACAACCTGCATGGTGGGCAGGCGCGACAGCCCGCGGGACTTCACGATCTCCGCATCCTCGATCATGGAGTTCCACAGCCTCGCGATACCGTCGACAAGATGGATGTGATGTGAACCGTGTGTTGAAGCCAAAAACTTGTCGATCGAGTCATGGCCTGCATTGAAGACCACTCGGATGTTGCGCCGCAAGACGTGATCATGGCCGAGAGCAGTAAGAACTTCTAAACCGCTCGCGTGGGACCGCTGGAGGTTGTTCCAACCTTTGTGAGAGCCTTCGATCCGGCTCCCATCTGACACGACATCTTGATAGGCACGTACAAGGCAGCCCTTCTTCACATGCCCAAGTTGCTCCGCATGGACCTGTCACAAGTCAGCTGCATCTGAAGATAGGCTGGGAACCACCCTCACCTTTGGTGCGGCTGCACTCCAGACATCACCGTGGTTTTGCCACTTCTCGTACACGCACACCACTCATCTCTCTTGCTCTGCCCTGCTCCAGTAGACGGCACGATTGTACTTGTCTGCCGTAGTCTTGAGGATCGCGCCGACCAAATCTCGTGCGACCGCCCCACGGAGCGAATTCTTGGTGCCGCCGATAATGCATGCAAGGTATCTTTCAAAGCAGTCTTAGCAATTTTTCTTGGCAGCACAGGCATAACAGAGGATAGTTACCTTCCGACAAAGTGCCAGACATCAAGCACGACATCTATTTCTGGCAGCGCCTTTTTGATGGACTTGCGCACATGGCAGCAGTTGTCGACCACCGCCAGCACAGGATCAGGGACCTGCAGCAACTCGCCGCGCCGCTTGAGACCTGCTAATACCTCTGCGATCTCAGACGTCGATTGCGACTGGCAGAAACGCTATGGCGGAAGAAGTCATCATCTGTTCATGGTATCAAGATCAAAAAAAAACCTCGGAGCAGGTACGTACCCAGGATATGATCTCATTGACCTCGTTGATGACGCTCAGAATTCCACCCTTCAACACCTTGATGCGGTTCTGCTTCTTCTCGACAACGGTCACCAAGCTCGCCTTTCCTGCCGCACGGAAGGTATTGTCGAGAGAGATGGATGTTGCTGTATAAGCAACAATTCAATCTCTGATGTGCATGGTGCATGGACGGCAACACTTACCGCTCAATGTACGAAGGTATGTCTCTGACTCTGGTTGCCGTGTTTTCTCACTGAATTTATTGAAGATATCAGTGATCAAGTCATCCGTGATCGAGCGATCACAGTAGCCCGCGACGATTTCGCCCGGCTTTGAGAACTTGCGCAGTGGCGGAGGATCGACCAGGCTCATGTTTTTCGTCTCCTGTCGCAACTGAAAGTATCGCAAGTACACGAGTCTCTCTCTGTGGTATTCAAGGAGGTGAAGCTCTGTGCAGTGCACACCGAGAGGTCATCATTGGTGTCGAGCAGTGACACGGTGTGGAAACTTACGTCTGACATTCTCGGCAAGCCCCGCAGACGTCGTTGAAGGACGCAGTTCAACGATGAGGTCAAATAACTCGCGCGTGACCGCGCAGCGCCTGAGGAAGTATGGGATGCTGGCTGGAGACAGTGCAGATCAAAAGGTAAGCCATTACATGCATGCCATGGCATTCCATGATGCTTACATGGTATTTCCCAGTGGTCCCGACGCTGCCAAAACAGGTGGCTTGTCGTCGTGAAGCAGTACGCTCCGTCGGAGTCTTCATTGGTACCGCTTCGTTCCGCGGTGCGTTTCTCGCACTCCTTGCACCGCAACTGATACCCAATTGCAGTCTCCTCTCGAAACAGACCATGCACCTCGCGATGGCCGGTAGCAGCCCATTGGATCCATTTAACATCACCGGAATCACACTGCGGGCATTGTGTGATCTCGGGGAAGTAGAATGGATGGACAATGGTAACTGGCTTAAGGTACGTCGTCTCCGGCATGATTTCGGGTGTTGCGCTGCGCTTTGCTATATCCAGGTACGTCGGCGGTACGAAGCGCGGTCCGTAGAGTGGGAGATCTCTGCGAAGACTGCGCTCTGTTGCGAGCTTTGCATTTCCATGGGCTTTTATGCGCTCGTGAACAAAGTTCACATATTCCACAACGTGAGCCTCCCACTCCAGCTGTTCTGCATACTGTGACTGCGAGACGCGCGCTCTCTTCCAGGCTTCGCACTGGCGTTCAACCTGCATAGGAGAGCAGGAATCCGTGAGCCCTCATCGTTCCTTCGTGTAATATATTTTTCAGACCTTTTTCGCCCATTCAGCTTCAAAGTTTCGCTTCTCAAGAGGTGCGAGCGAGCTCTTCAGCTGCGCGAGCACAGTCTTCGGATCGAATGATGACATGGCAGAGTGAAAGTGCAAGATGCTTGTTCAGGGGTACACCACTTACGTCTTGCTCAGATGTATGTCGGCAACTGCTATTTTAAATCTGCGAGGCTCGGCTAGCATAGATTACTCCTCACTACCTAATGCAACAAATGTATTGTAGTTATGTAGACATAGCAATACAAATGGAACAATATTCTGAGAGAAGTACAGTACAATCAGACCTCGGCAATGCTAATTAAGTGGGCATACAAATATTTCTCGCCGCACTGCTCAACAGAGTAAAGGGTGAACAGCACCTGTACGGGCTTCCCGAATGGCACTTCGGAGATAGAGGTCGGTGCAGTCTGCTTTCCCTTGCGATTGAAGAGTGGAAAGTCTGCTATCATGTCCTGCAAACGGTGTTCAGAAATATAATGCCTACCAGAGTGGACCTGAATGAAAAAATGCTCACCTCTGAAGCCCGAGGGCGCCATCCCACTTGGAGTTGCATGAAATCAATGCTGGGCGGATCCATGCGAACATGCCTGAGAAGATGGAGGAGAGACTCTGGCCCCATCTCCGCGATTTTCGTGATGGCTCGCATAGCCTTCCTCCAATCAGCACACGACAAGATGTCGGGTAAGGGCTCAATCCAGCATGAGACGGCTGGTGAACCATCACCAGGCTCGGGATAATGTTCCGAGTCTCCATGGGTGGTGAGGTAGCAGTCCTGAATGGCAATCTGGCCCATCACTTCAAAGAGTATTCCTGACGGGATCTTTTCAGATGTGCTCGGAGACTGCTCCAGCTGAAGATGGATGCAGCAAAGTGAATGTCCACTTTTCACGGGACTAAATACAATATTCTTGAGGCGGTGGTTGTCGAAGTGGTCAGTGAGGTCGAAATAAACCTTCTCCTCGAGGACGTTGAAAAGTGGATGTGTCATCGTGTTTGTCAAATGAGGGAGAGTGCATGCAGTACGAGTGCAGTCTCACAATAGGGGTGAGCACTTGCGGTGTCGATTACATGCTCCAACGATGGTCGGTGTGTCCACCGACACATCACGCAGTGTTTGCCATTGGTTTCACGGACAGCATCTGCAAATGCGCCGGTGTTCTCGAACTTGGTGAGCATCTTACTTACTGATAGGCGAGGCTTCGCGAAGCACCCGGAAATGGTAATTAAGTTCGAGTCCGCGGTGCTTACTAGGTTCGAAAATTCTATGCTCTCAAGCTGTAGGATCAGTCAGAATGTTGCCCAGTACTTGTTACATAGTCACAGAACCTCTATGTAAGAGAATTGGTGTTCAGACATGGAGCCGAACGCAACAGAGTTGAGTAGGCATGGAAGAATTCCTTGGTACCTTTTCCTCAGCCACTCGGAGAAGTCCTTGGCTTTTCCGGCCCGCCTTCGGCGGGCAAAATCCTTGCAATGACCAATTTGCCCAACGGCGGCACAGTGCAGTAAATAATGGACATCAGCGCTAAGGAGGAAGTCATAGTACTAACCTGATAGTCAATCATGACGGCTGCAGACAGCCTCTGCTCTTCCACACTAATACCAGCACGGAGTGTACAGTATATGTGTACCAAACATGAAGGTCGGAAACGGATTGAGCATTTGCACATGTTAAAAGAGCGATTTGACCAGCGACATTCCAACGACTGTAATTTCGAGGAATTTTGACCAGGGAATGGAGCCTCTTGAGCCCAAGGATATCGATGTGAAGTGACAAATCGAACGAACAACAATGACCCTTGCAATGTCACGCACCCATCAATCCTGTGAGTAGAAGACTTCACCGTGTGTCCATGTGCATCCTGTAGTTCGTGAACAATGGCCTGCAAGCGGAGAGCGCAGTAGAGAGGAAGGGACAAATCCGCCATCACCCAGCTGCGCTCCACATGCTCGGAGTCAACACGAGGACTGACACAGAAAGAAGGGGTCTTATTGACGACAGGCCAGCTCCTGTAAATCGGGCATGTACTCCACTGGAGTATATGCCCAATTTGCAGGAGCTGGCACAGCGTCGTGCATAATTTGATCCACGTCGAGATGACCCTGAAGCTGAGGATCAGACTTTGAAAGGAAGCAAGAAAAAGGGACAGTCTGCGCGCTGGTTCACGAGGTATATACAACTTTAGATCGAACGGCGAGCACGTACACTCCTCCAGCGACACACGAGGCCGAATAGAAATGACGGGCATGCAAGACACACGAGGCCGAATATGTGGCTGACTCGAGTTCAACCCAAATGACGAACGACTCGACAAAGTTACCACAATAGATTGACTGAATCCGGTGTTTCCCTTGGGAGAATATTTACGACCGCAGCCGTTGGCCAGAAGAATTTATACCTGAGCCACAATATTTTTCTCAGTTAAATACTGCGTCACGCAAGCGCTTGTCACGCCCAGTCACCGTTGCACGTGTTCATCCCAACTCGGACAGCCTCTTCAACTTGTACTTGTCCTCTTCAACTCCCCGCCTCAAACTTTCAGTTTGTTCGTGTTTTTCCTGGTTTAATCTACGCAGTAGGCCTTTCCATTATGGCATCTTTCAGCCGAGACCATGCTGACCGCTCGGCCATCCAACAACAGTTCATTGTCCCCGTGTGGCCACGCAGAGTTAAAAGAATCGCGCTCTCACTTCACGAGGTCAGCATCATAACTTGCTACTACTCTCTATAAACTCTTACGTTCTATCTCTCTACAATGTCTTATCGATCTCCAGCGACTGCCCCTTCTTTCACAAGTTCCCCAGCTAAAACCAAGCGCGCTGTTGATTACGTGACAGGATTTCAACCCGTCGACGGAAAACGTGTCCAGCTTCGTCAAGAAATGGGTGGCAAATTTATGCAAATAGCTCCTGCCAAGTTTCTCGACACCTTCGTTCCAAGGCCTGACCCGGCAAGGGCTCAGCCGAAGGCGGTGAATTTCAACAGCGCCTTCGAAGGAATGCCCGCGAACGACGTCCCTGAGATCCAATATTACGATGCAATGGTATGTATTGACTTGAATCTACGATGTTCTGGAGATTGATGACCATTTCTATCAGGTGAATTGCGTCAATCGTGCAAGTCTCTGTCCAGGATATAGGCTGGTGCGTGTCGATACCAAGGCAGACCTGGACGACAACAGCCGGTATAAGGTGGATGCCGCACTCTTTGACGTGCAAGCGCCGGTCCATGACGGAAGGCCCCACTGGGCACTACAGCGGCTCTCTTTTGAGTTCAAACGACATAGCACCCAGGACGATCCCTTCGAGGACGACGGACCCGAGGAGGACGAAGAGGACGTCTGCGGTGCTACTGAGTCCAAAACTGGTCGACGCAGAAAAAACCGAGGTCAGATCGTCTCGTACGCTGCGATGATGTTTGCTCGTCAACAGCGTTGCTTTGTGTTCACCGTTCTTCTACTTGGCGATTGCGCTCGTATCTTTCGCTGGGATCGTGCAGGTGCTATTGTGACGCACCGATTCAACTACAAGAATACAGACTATCTCACTGAATTCCTCTGGCGATTCTCTCACTTAGAGGAACAGCAACAAGGTTACGACCTCTCCGCAGAACTGGTCGAACCTGGCTCGACAGACTACAAGCTCATGAACGACATGGCACATAAGAAGCTACCTGTCAATGACTACGCGAGGCAATCTTTCGAGAAGTCCATTGCCGATCCTAGTTGGGCCCGATGGAAGCTGCGCATTGTGTCAGGCATGGAACTCACCAACGTCAATGCCACGAACGAGGACGATGTGCGATATTTTCTAGTGGGAAAACCTCACTTCAAGGCGTTCGGAATGGCAGGTCGTGGTACACGCGGCTACGTTGCGATCGACTGCAAGGAGAAGAGATTTGTATTTCTCAAAGACGCATGGCGCGTGAATCTTCCTGGCATAGAACAGGAGGGTACTGTCCTCGACCGCCTGAACAATGTGAAAGTCACGAAAATTCCGACCCTAGTGTGTCATGGGGACGTTCCGGAGCAAGCCACAGTGACTCAGTCATACTGGACACCCTCACAAGACGGTGAGATGAATCCAATCAAGGGGCATATCCATTACCGTCTGGTTGTGGTGGAGGTGTGTCGTCCGCTTTCCGATTTTCGAGACGGTCAAGAGCTGGTGAAAGTTTTCCTCGACTGCATCGATGGCGAGTCCTAGTTCATAATGCGGTTGGCTTCATCCACTGACGCACTGTCTACACAGCGCACGAAGAAGCTATGAAATCGGCTGGAATTATCCATCGTGACTTAAGCTTTGGCAACGTGCTCATCTACGAACGCGGAGTTCGACAAGATATCGGTGGAGTGAAAAAGAAAAAGATTGTACATTGCGGGATGCTCTGTGATTGGGAGCTTTCAAAGCCGATGCATGAAGACAGCGAGAGACAGCCTGATCGCACAGTACGTTACCTGGAATATTCTTCACAGCTGTAACTTATCTCTTCTAACCTCGCAGGGCACTTGGCAGTTCATGTCTACGCTCACTCTAGACTATCCGGACAAGACCGTGGATGTCCCAGATGAGTTGGAATCATTCTTCCACGTCTTCCTGTTCACCGCCTTGCGCTATACCAGAAGCAATCTGGACAGAGCTGTTGGGCGCTTCATGACGGAGTACTTTGACGCGGTAGGCTCTGAGGATTGTCATCACTACATGTGTGGAGAGAAGAAACGACAATGCATGGAGCGTGGCAAACTCACATACGGCCACGACGACGTCGTCTTTCAGCGCAATGATGGCTCGCCTGATCACCCATTCAATCTCATTATCGAGACGATCATGCCATGGCTCGCAGCTCACTACCACGTCACTCTACACGACCTGAAGCAAATCAGGCCCCCACCTCCCATTCCGCGACTACCTCTGGACAACCTGCCAGGGACAGAAGCAGCGAAGAGGAAGGGTACTGATTCCTGTGAGGAGGTCGCGAACGTTGAAGATCTGCCAGACGAATTCTTCACCGACGAGTCGGAGAACGAGAAGCGGAAAGAAGAAGTTCGGAAGCTGCAGGTACAGAACAAGGGCGCCACCTCTATCACCCTCCAAGCCGCCTCGTCGGATCCGAGGATTGAATCCTTGAGGCCAATTGCTGTCAACCTGAGTACCCACGAGAAGATGTCCGCGTACTTGGCGGAGTTGTACTACAACAACGAACTGTGGGCGCACACAGAGAGGGCAGAGGACCAAATCCCCCGTAACTACAGCTATGCCAGGTTTCAACGACAAGATCCTGTTTTCATCGCACCTACAAGCCGGCCCACCAGTAAGCGCCCCCATGACGACGAGGATTCAGGACCGTCTTCAATTTCCAGCAAGCGTCCCAGAACATCCGAGTTCGCGATCCCTCCCCCGCCACATTTCTACCGCAAACGAAATCCCCACACCTGCGACTCTCCGCCATACCGCAATGACGTTCCTACCGCCTTTCAGGGCATCGCTTCGCCAGACGGGGTCCAATCCAAAAACGTCGACGTTGACATGGATGCTCGAGGCGGGCAGCCTTCGTGTCCGAGTCTTAGATTTTCAACTACCCCATATTGAAGACGGTGCTAGTCGCGCCTTAGCAGCAGAGAGCTGTATTTTGGCCCCTCCAGCTTGTGCGCCCGTTGTGAGAGTACAGTACGATGGTAGGGTCAGCTGTTTATGTGTGATGTAATTTTTTTTTCCTCGGGCAGAACTCTCAGTTTTGATGTTAGATTGGTATATCTATATGGTATTTATGGTATTTATTTGTCGCAGTCTTGTATCTATTCCTCAGTGATACCTTTGCTTTTCGTATTCATATCACCATCGTCATCTGGTATTGAACATTGTTGTGTGCATGGTCAGTTCCCCTCGCCTCGACTGCGCTAGGACCCGCAGAGGGGAATCTAGGGTCAAACTCTGGTGCTGCGGGCTTCGCATGCTCGACCTTCGTACTGAGATAGCTATATAAGCGTTCAAAACTGCCAGCGTTAAACGTTAACTTTAAGCAGCAGCCTAGCCATCGGCCACTTTTCCGAGGTGGTTGGTAGCGAGATTCCAGCTTAGATCGACGCGATCTCTCGATCTCCACAAAACGGCGGAAGTACTTTCTTGACCCCTCTTCCGGCTACTGGTGCAGCATCTGGTAGTCTCACCGATGCGTTGTATAGCGTGTAGTAGCCTCTGTGTCTTCAAGACAATCCCGAGTCGACTATCAAGCTGCATCTGCGGCGTCAGAACTCGTTCACCTACTTTCGACGTCGACTCCGAATCGTCGGGTTTCGGCACCAAATCCGTCTTGTGGATCCAACATTCCGCCACCACTCCGTCAATCGACGTGCATCCAACGCCCCACGAGTTCACAACAATTAAGATTATTAACTTTAAGTCCGACCTTACAGTACAAAAAACTCAAACTATCTGCAGAGTGAAGTTCTGATCGAACGGAGTGCCGACAGTAACGTCCAAGACCTGGCTGCTCGCATTATACACGACGTCCGACGCATTCACAGCTTTCCCATCGAAGTTCACAGCACTCGGGGCTCGCGAGGTCCCCAAAAAGCGAACGCTCGCGACGTCAACGCCCGTGGGGTACCCAAAGGTTCCGGTGACAGCGAGCGTACCATTCGTATAGGTCATATACACCTCCGTCGCGTTCAGGGGGTTTACCGAGACGCCATCATCCATATATAACGAGCCGGAGGCATTGCCGTCCGTCCCCGGCGCAACTACGAGCTGGAAATCTTGTTCCCTCAGCGCAGCCGTAGTCATCGCACCCTGTGCGCGGAGCGGGAGCACCGCGCCGCCACGGATGTGGACAGGGATGGACGTGAGGTTCACGTCCGAAAGCACAGTCCAGCTGCCGTTGCCATGCACCGGCACACCAGTGAGGAAGTCGTAGAAGGTGTCGTTCGGGAAGTAGGCCTCTACGGACGTGGCATTCTCCTCCGTGACAGGAGAGACGAGGATAGAGCCGCCGAAGAAGAATTGGAGGTCAATCGGGAACGTCGCGGGATCCTCCGGGTAGATGTACCACAGGGCATTGAGGACGGGCGAGCCATCGAGGTGGGCGGTGTGGAAGGCGGTGTAGAAGTAGTCCACGAGTCGGTATCTAGCGAATGTGAGTACTTCGTGCTACTGCAGTGATACTACAAATGCATACCTCATATCCAATGCGTTCCTTGCTGCCTGCGCAACGACGGGCCAACGATAGAACTCTTGACCGATGGTCCCAATGGTATTATGCTAATGATTCTGGAGTCAGACCCTGACACTCTGTGCCCGAACGACACTGCTTACGTTGCGCATGAACGGGTAGAAGGCGCCGAGCATAGCCCATCTTGCGCACAGCGGCTCAGTCGTGTTATCACCTGAACGATCGCGCGAAGAGTCATTACACTAACTCCACCTAGTCTCTCAAGACTCACCGTAGCCGCAAATGTCGGCACCGGCCATAGGAACATGGAATATGCCGGCCATGTTCAAGATCCCTGCGATCGAGTTGCGATAGTACGGCCAATCGCTGAGGTTGTCTCCAAGCCATTTCTGAACTCGGCTACCCGCGCCCGCGAACGTCGACCGCGTAACTACAAGAGTGCGCAACCCCGGGCGGCGAGAGAGCATGGCGTAGTGGGTGACGTTGGACATCATGGTGCCGAACAGGTTATCTGCATCAAGTGAACATTCGTGGTACATAAATTAGACAGGGACCCGTCAAACTTACGAGTGTCGTACTCTATGAGGCCATTGGAATGCACCGCGTTTGTCTGTCAGACGCGCGAGTCAGCTCTTCTCTCAGGTCCATCCAGATTACCCCACTTACGTATGATGTCCGGTTTGATAGCACCCCCGCAGCGTTATCGATGGCGTAGGGCGGGTTGAGGACGTTGTACCCACTTGTGTCGGCCCTCTTCCGTATCGGATAGGTTTCATTGCCGAAGATCGGAGTGTTTGGGTCCGGGGGCACTGTCGTCCGTGCAGGAGGAAGGCCCTGAGCCTCAGCTTGAGCAAAGGGGTCGTCACACGGGTAAACGCAGAACTACGATTAGACAAGAAACGAGCGCTACGTCAGATATCCAACAGTGAAGGAAACAGCGAGCGACGAACACTAGACGGCTCGTTCATGTCGATCCAGGCGCCGTCGATGTCGAGGCCAGTCGTAGCATTGTAGAAGGTGCTAAATTCATATGACCAGAAGCTGAACTACTAAGTGAGCGCGAGTACGGTGATACCGAAGGGGTTGCATACTCTTGTGCAGCGGGGTTGAACCAATCTGATGTGATAGTCAGCTGTCTACCATGTGAGATAAGAGTTCAGACAAGTACCGGGGAAGACAGTAACACCTGAGAGGAGATAAGCGTTCAATTGGCTTTTGCTCTTTGTGAACACACCACGCCATACGTACCAGGCCATACGACTCCCAAGAACTCGCTGCCATTCGCAGCCTTAAGCCAGACGTTGGCCTCTGTTCCACGATCGTACGCATCGTATCCTTCCCCAGGGAGATATGCAACAGCCGGGTCAGTCATCATAACTGAGATGCAGATCAATTAACTGAACAAGGTTCTGAAAGCGATCGGTCGCCCACGCACCGTAATGCTGGTCATGATCGTGGAGATAGTTGATGATTTGCTGCATCCGCGGTAGCGGGAAGTAATCCGGGTCTAGCGTGAAGACCCGACGTTCGTACATATAGTCTGAAGAGCGAAGCTGGTCAAAACTTGACTGGGAACAAAGCTTGGACATGATATACCGATGTCGGTCCACATAGTCTCAAGAGGTATGTTGGCAGCAGAGTAGTTCGAGATGACCCCAGCCACGTCCACGAAGTCTATGGATCGGAATTGAAGACACGATCTCCAGCACATAGCACCACTGCGTACCCGTATAACCGTACCGACATTGGTGCAGACCGAAAGACCAATACGGTACCTCAGCAGGCGTGCCGACGACTTCCGCATACTGCCTCACAACCTCAGTCGGATCGGTCTCGCTGCCCGCAAGGAAGTAAAAGTCGAGGATCCCGCCGATGACGTCATACTCCAGCGTCGTCCCCGCGTCTTCTGTGGTATTGATCTTGATATCCATGCCGTTCGAGTTGACGAGGAAGACGCCGTGGGTGCCCGTTAGGCGGTGCTCAAAGTAAACCGGGTGGTTCCCGTACAGATTCGTTCCGTTGGGCACGCCGTATGCGTCGCGCGACCACAGCGTGCGCGTTAGGTCGACCGTCGGGAGACGGAAGTCTTCGGTGTGTTCACCTAGACCGTAGATGTTCGCGTCCGCCGGTAAGGCTGTCTTCACGCGGAGGTATTGAGGCTCATAGATGATTGGGTGTGAAGCGGTTGAGAAGAGGACTTCTTGCGTGCTTGTGCGGTATACGGAGAAATGGAAGGGCGAAACTGTGTAGTTGAACGCTATTGCGGCTGCTTCGGGAGAGGTGGACGTGTTCGCTTGAGGACGAGGGAGTACCGATTCTGGGACTTCATAACGCGGGTTGGACGGATCAGTGATCCTGACGTGAATGCGTGTCTCTGCAGTACACTTGTTCGCAGACTGATTAAGGACAAATACACCCTCCACCACTCACCGGTCTCGTACGTCACCTGCAGTTGGAGTTTCTCAATGTCTGAGCCGTACACATTACATGGCGGTCCCGCCAAAACCAGATCCGCAGTGAGTGTCGGTCCTTGAGTTTGCACATTCGTAGCATTATATCCCGGACATGCGTCCAACGGATCAGTAGAGTTCCAAGCGTGTGCGACTGCAGCGCACGTAACAAGTAACACAGGCAGCAGCGGAGAAAGAGGCTTCATTGCTTGCAAAGGGTGGTGGATTGGACGAGCTGCCGTGGAATGCCCACGCATCCCTCGCCGCATTTATTTGTGGACGCAGTATGGAACGTTCATCGAGATGCCAGTCAGTTGACCGCTCTCTGCGCCCATGTGACCGCAGTACATACGCTGCATTCTCAATTAAGACCAAGCACCTCTGTCGAGAACCCGAAGGGTGAACGTTGATGAACCCACGCATATTCTCCCGGCCGAGGTGTGCGTCTCGATGAGTCTCCTGGGGCAATGCTGCTAACTCCAGAGTGTGTTCCACTGTGTGTCAGCGTAACAAGCGTTGCATAACGTCATGACCAAGACAGTCCGCGTTGTAAGACACAAAGGCAAAGCAATGCTTCGTCAGTAGAGAGAGTTGGGCGAGAATCGAGGTGTTATATTGAGCGCGTGCTCTGGCCAGGTCCGGAAGACATCGAAGAAGCCGGTCCGAGGTGGTACATCTGACGTCCCCCTCAGTTCTGCAGGTAATGTGAATGACAGACACAGCATTCCGTAGTCCAGGTTCCTTGTGTTGGGGGCCAAAGAGTCAAATTCGGCGAGCAAGACCCAGTAGCCCGTCAACCAAATCCTGGTGAGACGCCGGTAGAGCCGTCAGACATTCCGAAACCCAAATAGTGGCGCAAAAGATACAGCATCCGACATGAATGTCAAGGAACGACAAGACCGAAAATGTTAGAACGAAAAGTCTGCACTGTGTTACAGTGAGGCAGCAAAACAAATTGCGGGAGAGTCGTTGCAAGACCGTGGCGCTGCCCGTGTGACACGTGTGACGACACAAAGGAGCACGTGCCGGATCGCGTTGAAACGTTGAATTCACTTTTCGATTCTCCGTCTCTATCCAAACGCCAGAACCGCAAACTCACTCGTCGTATTCAACGCGAACCACATGCTAGAATGTCTGCAGCGCTCAATGCCAGATCGGACTCATCCGCCCAGTCATTAGGCAGCCACCCCGACCTCTCACTCAACTCATTCGTCTCAGGCTTCTCCACACCCGGGCGCAACCTCAAGATACCCTCCACATCCTCTCAGACCACAGCAACGTCGTCTGCACCAATCTCTACACCATCTCCACCCAGCGGCTTGACGACGTTCGCAAAGAGGCGAGCGGAGGAAGCCTCGCAGCTCGCCAAGAGCTTCGTCCATGAGGACGACGGCGAGGACGTGGAGGGCGACGTGCTCGACACGCCAGGGAGGGAAAAACGGTGGGGAGATGCGGCGGAGACGCCAGGGCGTGCCAAACGGACTCGCAGTAGGGCGAAGAACGGCGTGCTTACGCTACGCGACCAGGAGAAGGTGCGTCTTTCTGGCATGTTCAAAGGGGGAGCGACATGGGCAACAAACTCCTGAATATGGTGTATCTCGGGCACGCAGGACGTGATTCCGCTTCTAACAGGGTAGAACGCGTGTCGGGGGCGTGCCCAGTGACACCAATAGCCGTCCACGCCCCTTCTCCCTAGCCACGTCCCGCACCCTATCTAATCTCGTACTAACGCCCATCAATTTCTCCGTGCAGCACATCGACAGCCTCAAGAAGGAAAACTTCAGCATCAAACTCAAAGTACACTTCCTCGAGGAACGCCTCGCCCAGCTCGCCCCTGACCAGATCGAAGCAGCACTCAAGCAGAACATCCACCTCAAGATCGAGGTGCAGCAGCGCGGGATGGAGATGAAGAAGCTCAAGAAGCTCGTGCTCGAGCTCGAGCGCGAACTCGAGCGCCTGCAGCGCGGCTCGGGCGGCGCGTCTGCGCGCGCGCGCGAGCTCGAGGAGAAGCTCGACGAGCGTGAGCGTGAATTGCGCGAGTTGCGCCGCAGGCGATCGTTTGGCACGCCGGACGGCGCGCTAAGGGACGTCGAGGCGCGCAATGCGGAGCTGGAGGAGGAGCTGGATGTTGTGCGGCGGCTGCTCGAGGAGAATGCGGAGGAGATGGAGCGCTTGCGGGACCTTGTGGAGGGCCGTGAGGACGACGGGGGGAACTCGCGCGTGCGGAGACGAGTGGAGGAGCTCGAGGGGGAGAACGAGGAGCTCCGAGAGAAGATGGACGCGTTGGAGGAGCTGGTGACGCATAGGAACGACGAGAAGGAGGAGTTGGCGGACGAGATCGAGGCGCTGAGGCTGGAGCTGGAGGATACGCAGCGCCGGCGGGAGACGGAGTCCATCGAGCGGAGCCAGAGTCGCGCGCAGGTTTGGGAGGAGAGGGAGGAGCGGGAGGCGGTAGAGGAGGACTTGAACGCCGTGCGGGATAAGCTCGCGGCGGCCCAGATAGAGCTGCAGCAGAAGGAGGACGACGTCGACATGCGGAATCGAGAGATCGAAGAGCTCGTGGCCGAGCACACCCGCATCATCGACCAAGTAGATGAGGACTGGAGAGGCGAAGTCGAAGAAGCGAGAGCCCAGGTAGAGGAGCTGAAAGACGTTCGTGACCGCTTGCTTTCAAGTCTCCTCTTACTGACGCTGTTGTGATTACTTCACAGGTGTTGGAGCAGCGCGATGCCGAGGCGAAGGAGCTCCGTATGCACATCGCCGAATTCGAGGCAGACTCCGCCGACATACACGAAAAGTTCGAAGCGGCGCTCGCCCATCTCGAACGCGAATCGGAGGAGAAGGACGCCGAGATCGAGGCTGCCAACCGGGAGATCGAGAAGCTCGGCGAGCAGGTGTACGTTCTCGAGGAGGAAAACGACCACCTGAGGGAGGAGAGCGAGCGGATACGAGAGGATGAGGCCGCGGAAAAAGAACGCCTCGAGGCGCTGTGCGCGGCACTCAAAGAGGTACTGCGTCCCCGATATCAGGCCATAGTTTACCCACTGACACCGGCAAATTGCAGAAATCTGCGTCTTATAAGGCACAACTCCAGGAGCTCAATGACCTGTACGAATCCCGCAGCCAAGAGATCCAAACCTATCGCTCGCGCTCGGAAGAGCTCGCCCAACACATCGAGAACGTCGTGGCGGAGCTCAAGCGTGAACGCGGTATCCGCGAGAGCCTCGAAGGCGACCTCGACAAGGCAGAGAAGGAGCACGACGCGGCTCTGCGCCGCGAACAACGCGCACTAGAAGCGAAGGAGTCCGCGCTGCAGTCCGCGCTGAACGACCTCGCGCGCGCACAATCGCTGCTCACGCAGCGCGAGAGCGACCTGGCCGCAGTACAAAACGCGCTGCAGACTCTCGAGACGGAATCGAAGAAGCTCGGCGAGACGCACACGACTGCGCGCTTCTCGCTCCAGCTCGAGGTCGACCGGTTGCACCGCGACCTCGAGCGGCTCGAAGACGAGCTCGCACGCGCGCGCAAGGAGCTCGACGAGCGCGAGGGCAAGAGCCGCGACCGCGATGGCGTGCTCGACAAGTTGCACTCGGAGAACCGCGGGCTCGCGTCGCAACTCGCCGCGCAGACCCAGGCGCGCATGAACGTCTCGGAGAAGCTGGACGACGCGCAGGCGAGCGCGCGCGCGGCGGAGGCGGAGCTGGCGAACTTCCGCACAAGGGTGGCCGAGCTTGAGCAGCGGCTTGCCAAGGACCAGCGGTCGCTGTTGTCCGCCGAGGCGCAGTACCGTGATCAGCTCACGGAGAGAAACACCCTCCTGCTCACGATTTACCAGTACATGGATAAAATCCTTGGTGTAGACAAGACTCCGGTAAGGTGTCTTTTCGTCCTTGATATTTGTTTACAGCTGAACGATATGGTTCGCAGAAGAAGAACGGCCAGGCAGAGACGAAGCCATATACGAACTTTGGCGTGTTCCACGACAACCTGATCACCCGACTGAAGGCGCTCAGCCAGATCCAGTTCGACTTCGACAAGCGGTGCAAGGACGCGGAGAGCCGGCACACGGAGAAGCTGAACGATATGCGCAAGCAGCTCGATTTCCGGTGGAAGCAGATCGACAAGTTCGAAGGCAGCGTCAAGGCGCTTGCAGAGGCGAAGGCGGCCTGGAGGAAGAAGCTGAGCGCGAAGGAAGGGGAAGCGGATGCGTTGAAAGTAATGTGTTCTCTAATGGCAATGGATCCGCGTTTGCTGACTTTTGGTTCGGCAGGCAACAAATGCAGAGTTGCAGGCGCAACTCGTGGTTGTTCGGAAGCCGGGCCAAGGCGACTCGATGGAGGTACGCGCGCTCACCGCTCGTGTGACGAACGCGGATCGTCGCGTGAGCAACTTGCAGAACCAGCTGCTGGCGTCTGAGGAAAAAGTCACACTCATGAACCAGAAGACCACAGTGGCTGACAGCAAGTGGGAGGCGCGGGTTAAGGAATACGAGACGCGCTTGAAGGTGGCAGAGGAGAAAGTCAAGAGGGAGCGACAGGGCGGCAAGGAGCACGCTCTGGATCTCGAGAATCGGGCGAAGTTCGTTTCTCGATGTCGTGTTCTCGGAACCGGCTGATAGTAAATTTTCCAGGAGCTATCAAAGACAGTTAGAGATCGCCAACAAGAGGATACAGCAGCTCAACGAGATCATAGGGTCTGTAGGACCCGGCAGCAAGGGATCTTCGCCAAGTCGATGATGCTAGTCGTCCCTTTCTTGCACATCTTGCGGTTTTATAGTTGTTATATCGGCTCGCTTTCCACATGCTTTCGTGTTACCCAGGTCTCTTCTTACGAACTTCAGGGATTATTGTATAGTGCACTATATTGCTACCCGCGTGCGTATGTATTGAGTAATTCTATCCATCGTACACTCGCGTTCTGCTTTGGTTTTGCTATTGTAGCACATTCATACTTCGCATCTTCATAATGAAGTCCATGCGATCAGAAGTTGCCGTGTGTCCAGCCTCCGTCCGCTACGATGATCTACGAAGGCGTAATGAGCCACCCGAGCAGTGCAGAACCAAGCAGGACGTACCTTGTTTGTCATGTACCCGTTAGACGCGAGCAGGAGGACGATCTCAGCCATCTCGTCGGGCTTCCCGAGTCGCCCGATGGGGATCTTGCTCCGCATCTCGGGCGTCGGATTCGCCATCATGGCGGTATCCTCGATGAGTGCGGGCGCGATCGCGTTGGACGTGATTCCGTCTTTGGCGTATCGCAGGGACAGCCAGTGGACCAGGCCGTGCAGGGCCGCTTTGGACGATGCGTAGTGGGGTCCGATCACTCCACCGTTACCTGGTAGACAGTGGAAAGATCAGCGGCGTCGGACGCGTGCTTGATGAAGAGGATTACCTGCGGCGATACTGATTATGATAGACACGAGTTACTATGGATTTCGGGTAAAGGGTCACAGAGCGCACACCTCGACGTGAAAATGACGCGACCGTATTTCTGCGCTTCCATGTGCGGCACGCAGAGCTGCGCGAGCACGTAGCTCGTGCCGGTGTTCGTCCGCCACGTCTCTTCGAACACTTCCACGGGCACGTCCTTGATGTCGCCCAGCGGACCAATCTTGGGCCCCGCGATGCCGTGGTTCGCGAAGAGGATGTCCGGGTGCCCGATCTGCTGCACGACTTCCGCATGGAGGCGGCGCGCCTCGTCGTAGTTCGACAGGTCTGCCTGGAAGGCGGCGAACCGCGCGTCGGAGCTGGCGACAGCCTTGAGGTCGGAGATGAGCGTGTCTGCCTTGGCGCGCGAGGATGCCGCGTGGTAGTGCACTGCTACTGAGCAGCCGGAGCGGGCGAAGGCTCGTGCAGTTGCCTGCCCGATGCCTCCGCTGTGCCAGATGTGGTAAGTGGGCGAGATATGATGTGGTACGCGATGTACTTACGTGCAGCCTGTGATGAGGACCAGCTTGCCCTTCAAAGATGATCCGATTGCCGCCATGTCCTCGGTGTTGGTACTGGAATTTCCGCTCCTGCTGCTAGCCTGCTACTGCTACTGCTATGCGTACTGATGTGAATTTTCCCGCGTATCTTGCCAAACGTCCAATGGTTGAAGGCTGAGCAACGTGTGAGCGCGATATGAGGAGTTACCTGTTGTGGCTGGGCCAGATTGCTTATATAGCGACCTCCACGGGCCTCCGTCCGGCATTGAGACGCATACGGCAGTTCTAAGTTTACGGCTCTAGCGTGAGTGTATATATGACGTCGATGGCAGCGGCGGATGATATGTTCGGAAAAAAGGAATGCGAGGCCGGTGCGCCACCGGTTTCCGGCGTCCGCGAACCTCACTGGTTCACCGTGACCAACTGGACCGACTAACCCTTACAAAGTGGACTTTACTGATCTCGGCAATAAAATGTGTGCCTTTAGGACGACCTTTGGCCAACTATCAAAATGGCTAAGGTTCACCGCCGCCTTCTTGCTTCTGACTGACTTCTGTTGAAGTTACTTCGATAATTGACAGTAAAAGAAAAGATGAGATTCGATCACGGAGAGACTGCGCTCGATGTGGACGTTCAAGGTCGAGTGACAGCTTGAGCGTATTTCCGCGCATATTTTGACTCGCATGCGTTCAGATACACATGCATATTGCAATTGATGAAATCAGTTGCAAAAGGTAGCCAACAATGATTATACTGACTCACCGAGGGTTTTGCACCTGCTGCGACCCATTCTCATATCCTGGAACTGAATTTGGGGGTCACAGTGTCTCCGGATGACTTGCCTGCCATTTACTTGGGACCTGTCCCCGGAGGATGCCTTAAGCCGCATTTCCCCCCGATCTGTCTTCAACTTGTGCGTAGCTCCGTTCTCATCCTGATTTTTTTTGTTCTTGTTTCCTCCTTCGGTCTAGATCTCCGAGAATAACAGCCTAGTTCTGCGCAAGGTAGTTATAACCTGGGTTGTTAACTGGGTGATAACCTGGTGAAGAACCTGAAGCTGAAGTTGGTATGTTAATTACTACCTGTAAGAGAACTGTACCAGTGCCTCCGGACAGGTCTACAATGATTTTCCGGTGGTCGAAAAACATAGGATGCCCCAGCCTCGTGAGGCCGAAAGAGGCTACCGTAACCATTCGCACACCTTAGCGGTTTTGGATCCGTATTTCCAGACCCCACCGCTCACAAACGTTAGCACGCCGGCACTGTTGATTATCGTTAAAAACACAGTTAATTTCCTCCGACGAGATGTGCGTTATTACCTTGTGAAGAACTCAGCGGGACCTTATTCCCGGAGCTCTATTTCGGTCATCCTCTCTTGCATGCACCACCACTCAGCTCAGCATCCTATGCAGCCTCTCGGGCCTGAGTGCAACTGCTAAACGGCCCGGTCTACATAGAGTGGGCCAGTGCCGAGCTCATACACTCAGGCTGGATGCGGGATCGGGCGCAGATGTGCGCCAGGACGGAGGCTAGCAAATGGCAGAAAAATTGTTGTAGGCATATTTCAGCACGAAAGGAGTAGAAAGGCGCGCCTGATTTTGTCGTAGCACATTCGCGTTTTCCGAGCCCACTGCTCTCGTCACCGCTTGCGAGCTTCCAGATCTGGGATACCGCTATAAAAGTGTCTATATTCGTCGTGAGGAGCCGAGAACAAGGGTCCCGCACCATAGCTGGACTGTAGCAGCGGGAAAAAGTAGGCACCCGCGGGCAGCAGTGCTTATTCGAGAAGAGACAACCCAGCAAACAAGGCGTGTAGCAGGCCGAACGCGATGTGTACTTAGGCTCGTGAACCAGCCTCTACGAGATAGGAGGAAAGAATCGTTCCACTCTGCATAATGCGTACTCACCGACAGAAGTCGCACTAGAAGCGAGCCCGTCGAGTCACGGTCATCCTCGAGGGTGGGATGGACGATGCCGTATATCGCGAAACGACTGGCTACATGGCGGTCCTGAAGCACAAGCAGACGCCCTCCAAGTCCCTGCTGGGCCAATATTTGACTTCGAGAACGGAGGCTGAAAATGTAACCGTAACGATTTGCCCGACACGCTCGGCCAATACTTCATCCAGAATGACACGCTTGTGAAGGTCCGGAGTAAGGCCTCGAATAAAGACAAAAAAAGGGGATTCCTTCCTGAAGCTCACACACGGTGTAGCAAGAGGCAAGCAGGAATAATAACTGAGTTTCAATATGGACAAGTAGGCGCCCTTCACTTTTCTGGTGAGGTAAACTCACTCATCATGGGCGTCCCAAGCTCATTATCGACGACGGCGACGAGGACATCAACGAGGACGGCATGCTCACAGATATCCCCCTCATCCCGTTCTTTCTCGCAGCTGGCCTCGGACTCCAAGGCCTTCGCACACGCTCGCTCTCCCCCTCGGGCGCGCTCGCCGCCTTCGTTGTGGGCTTCACCATGATGGCGGTTCCTCTACGCGTGTTCGGTGTCTCGCTGATCGTATTTTATCTAGTCGGCTCGCGCGCAACAAAGATCGGGAAGCAGCTGAAGGCGACGCTCGAAGACGGGCACCAGGAAGCGGGGTACAGGTCCGCAGCGCAGGTGCTATGCAACTCGCTTTCTGCACTTGTCGCGAGTATCCTCTGGAGCGCGTTCTTTGTGCCCAATTCACTTGCATCATCTGTTCTGGCGGGTGCGTTTGAACCTCAGAAGTCGTACGATTTCGCACAGTGGTGTCCATTGACACCTCCTGAGAGTGCTGCATGGAGCCGCCCGCTGCTCTTCGTAACTCTGGGGTGAGTGAGTTGACCGTGTCTGTGTTCGTGTACTTATCTATGTATCTAATTACACAGCCATTTCGCGTGCTGCCTGGGTGACACTCTCGCCTCCGAGCTTGGCATCCTGTCCCGCTCGCCCCCAATACTCATCACGACGTTAAAGCCCGTGCCACCAGGGACGAACGGCGGGATGTCTGTGACAGGCACGCTCGCATCTCTCGGTGGTGGACTTATAATGGGATTGACCGTCGCCGTCTCTCTGCTCGTGGAAAGCAGCGCGTGCAGGGTCCAATGGGTAGACGTTCTGCTGCCCCTACTGGCGTGGGGGACTGCGGCAGGTGGAATGGGATCACTGCTGGACTCGCTCATGGGTGCCACTATCCAACGCACGCGGTATTCTGCCGCAACGAAGCGTATCCTGACAGACGAGTCGCCCGCGCCAGCGGTAGATGCGGAGATCAAGGTCGTGAGTGGGTTTGATATCCTCAGCAACAACCAGGTGCGTGTTGTTTTCTTTCAAGCTTGGGATTAAGAGTGACTTGAATCTTTTGAAGGTGAATTTGTTGTCCTCTATCGTCACCGCAGTCACGCTTGGTGTTCTCACCAAAACTTGAATGGGCATCGACGTCTTTCAGAGAATACATAAAGGAAATGAATGAGTGCTTGCAATAGACCTATGAGCTATACTATGTTACATTACTTTGAAGTATTCTGCTAAGCAAGACCAGTACTAGTGCATTTGTGGAGGACACTAATATATTAACCTCTGCTCAATTATCATTGGTCGAAAGTGTAGGGCGTCTCCGATCCTTCGGCTCGCCGAAAATGAAAGATGACGTCATTGACGCGAGCCCGTGACGTCGATCCGTCGCGTCGCGAATTGCCGCCGGTCAAGTTTCTGACTCTACATAAGGGACGACCTCGTGTTTCATCCCCCGACGCAACTCTTCCTCTTACCCCCATCATCTAGATTTGTGCATGTCCAGCTCTCCCACTCCTAGGTGACCTTGTCGACAGTTTCGTGTCTGAGGCGTCACTTTGGTGCATGAAGCCTCCTCATCGTAAGTGGTCGTAGATTCGCAGATAAATACCTGATCTCGTAGATCTCATGCATTATCCAGCAATTTATGAATGAGATATATCAGAATATACTCTTCAAATTTATTCAGCTTGGTGAACACTGAAAACGGTGGAATCCTCATGGTGCGTCTACCCCGGGAGGCCTCTGTTCCGCCTAGTAAACGAGACGGGAGTGAATGAAAATACATCGGAGCGTCCTACATATTCCGAGTGAATGCCTGATGTCGGTTTTCGGTTGTGCATATAATCTGCCTCGAATCATGCATGGCTGAAGATGACGATTCTATGGCTCACGTGAGTCAATTGTCCTCTGCACCCATCGTCTACGTGTGTTAACGCCGATGATTCTTGTCTCGGTTAGCTTGGTCGTCTCATAGGCCGGTCGACCGGTCCGCCCAGCGACTTATCCTCCACACGAACGCGTTTGCGAGGGTGATTATCGGATGCGTTCGACGGGGCTGTGCATGTAGCTCATTTATAGTCAGTTCTATTCTGTCTCTCCGTATCTGCGTCTGGGTCATATCTATGTGGATTTTAGGCTCCTTTTGCAATCGTCGGTCCGTTCGCCTTCGTTTGAAGCGTCTGCTCAAGGGATTCTCTGATCCGTTTCACCAATAACGGCCGTGATCTGATGACCTGCAACGTCAGACTTGACATGATCTGGACAACCCCACTAGTATTAAATGCAAGGGCTGGGGCCCTTGACGAATTTACCGAGGAGAACATGGCCGAATTCTGGACTCATGGCGGTACTTCACTGTCGCCTGCCCGCATTGTCGGCGTCTCATGTTACGTCTGATCGGCTCTAGAAACCTCCGACCTGGAGGGACAAGGACCTTAGTGCTCGAGATCGTAGCTGCAAGCAGCGCTGTCTCGCATCGAATGTTCGTCTCGCAACTGGTTCGAGAGTAGCATTAACCCCAGGACCAGGGCTGACATCTATACCCCATGGTTCACCAAATCGCTCAGGCTCCAAGCGCTACTCGGATCTTAACATCAGCCTCTCACCATGTCTTCTTTCGATGCTCCCTATGACTATCTGCATACAATGAGGCCGAGATATCGATGATTGTGGCTGGCAGTGCACAGGCCTCAGGCGACCAAGTATATGCAACAAGGGGAATGATGCTCAATTGTTCAAACCTTCTAGCGGGGACACGCCGGCGCCTTTGATACGCATGACATAGAGTCGTGATCGCGGTTACTGCCTGTGGCTGCCTCCGCTGGAAGCACCCTCACAGCCAAAACCATGTGTATCGATGCGAGAAGTCTATATATCGGGATAGCGAGTCGCTTCATCTCGGTCGTTTGCCATGAGTTCGCCGCACCCCCCTGGCCTCTACCTGCCCTGTTTATGGCTCTGGGAGAGCACATTATATCATCCGGGATGATACGGGCTATTTTACGAAGGACACGTCCCTTCGGGGGACTCTAGCTCTCACCTGCAGCGGTGATAGAACCTATAAGTAATAAGCGGCTTAGCGTCTTCTGTCCGAATTAACGGAGCGTGTCCTGATACGCGTGGTGCAGCCATCTCGGACATCGAACCATTGATTATGCTTGGGATGCCTCTGGCAATTGCCAGTCTATAGTTTCCGAAGGGCTTTCATGTGTGTTGGATCGGTTTGCTGCAGTAGAGTACATTAATTCCACGGACCCTGAAAAAGAAGAGCAATTTGCAAAGAGAAGGAGAACTCGAGAATTGATCCGGGGTGTCAGGGGTCGTGAGACCCCCGCGAGATGTGGTACATGCGGAGTGTGCCATGCAGGGAGTCGAGCTGTCAGTCCTTCTTGCTCAGTCTCTCACCTCTCCAGCATCTTCGGGTTTCCTGGCTCACTTGTTTGTTTGCCAGCCTCTCTCTGGCGAGGATATGTCGTGGTGATTTTTTTGCAGCATCCTGAAGAGTCGGTTAATTGTCGTCAGTCATATTTGTCATTGCTGGCGCAGGGTGTTGTCGCAAAGCACTCACAATGGATCCATTCTGCAGCGTCGGTACCGGTCTGCGGCAGTGTCGCGCAGATGCACACCTATATGGCTTCTTTTTTACCTTTTGACGACCGTCTTTGCGTAGCACGGACGTGCCACACTGGCGATATTTCGCCAGCTGTTTTTCACCCCAAGCATCACGCTATCTCCAGGAGTACGCGACGGAGTTCGCCACATTCGCGCCCCATTGTTCGCAAGCCACGTTCCGATCGGGACTCTGAACACGATTTTCTGTCACGCATCGCCGCACCAAAGCGTGCGCCACACCCGCATCGCATCGACCTTGACAACGCATACCCGTCTCCCCCGCTCACCGGTTCCGCGTCACGATCTACTGTACCACTTCCTGAAGTATTCGGAGACGCGTCGCCAGATTTTTCCATTCCCGCACGCCCCGTGGAGAGCGAGGTCCAGGACAAGTCACACGAGGTCATGCCTGCCCACGAGCCGCTCTCTCCACCGCCTACGTTTCTTCTTGGTACGCTTGACCTTCCTCAGACTGACCCTACGGCGTGCTCCAAGCACGCCGATCACATTGACGCGCGACCTGGCTTGCTGGGCCATGACGACCGTGACGAGGAAGATTTTACTCATGGCAAACCCGCGGGGTTCCTTTGGGCTAATGAGCCACAGGATGTGGCGATGGACTCTATGGATCATGGTTCGTCTTCATCGCTTGGTTTGCTGTCTTCGATGTCGTCTGCCAATTCGTGGAGCTTCGAGGGTAGCCTTGACGAGCTGGCCGCGTTGAATGAGGAAAGAGGCTCGGTCGTCACCCACGCCACACCGCTACGTAACGACTCGGGTTTTGAAGAGACAGATCCTCCACAGAAGGGTGGCGATGCTTATTTTACAGGTTGCTCGATGCTCGAGCCTGAAGGATTTTGGACATCGGAATCGCCAGTCAGCTTGGATCATTCCTTGGCCATAGATTACTACACGCCATACGCAAGAGGCGTCCATCGCCGATCGACACTGGATCCCTTGTCGCCGATCGGTTCGTCTGCAGTAGACAGCAGTCCCGGGAGTTGGGATAGCATGGACTGGAGCCCTACCAGTGAGGATATCTCTCCTCCCATCTCTCCACCGCAAGAGTTGGGCCATTTGGAACCTTCCTCCCATTTGCATGCTAATCGTCTTCAGCTGGACATCCAGCACTGGGAACCTAACGGATTGTGGCGCGATCAGCATGAGCATCATGCCGGTAGTTCACACTACGCCCAGGAACCTATGAGTATAGACCAGGGTTCCCCACCGTCGTCACCGCGCCCGATGGCGCTCCTTCTTCCCCACTCGGAAGACTCGGACACCTCATTCGCCGACACGATCATGCCCCCCGACGACGATGACGATGATTATAGCTCTCCTGAAAGCAACGAGTATGAAACTATCCATCCTCCAACGTTACCCTCACACAGCCATTTCTCACCTCTTCCGAACTTCAACGACCCTTTTCAAGATGATTTGTATGCGACACCTATACCCAGTTCGCCCCACAGTCCCTCTACCGCTCTCCCTGAACTCGACGATGACGACGACTATTATGTGCCGTCGTCACCGTCTTCACGGAGTCAAGCTCTCCCGGAGCTACCAGTGGAAGAATATGAGCCCTATGCCAACCCGTATGGCGATTCGGAGACAATATCTCCCTCATTACTTGGTGGCCCCACCAACAGTGAAGGTCTTGGCCTTTGTCTACAGCCAGTTTCCATAGACCCACCGATGGTGCGCTCGCCGTCCCCGGACGACGACGGGATGCAGTTCCTCGAACCCCAGCTCGACCCCGCCACCACGAAACTCGATCCAAGCGAGTTTCGCGCGCTGCGGGACGTGCGTCGGCGAGTGTCCGCCGCGGAGCGCGCCGCGCAGGAAGCAGAACTGACGCTCGGGGAGCGCGTGAGCGAGGCCGCCAGTGGGCTGTTGCCACCACTGCACTCCGATCTCGGGGGCGTGATGCAGGACGAGCTGGACCTGGCGGAGAAGCGCGCGCGGAAGCGCGAGCTGCATTGTGCGATGGAGCTGCGCGCGGAGGCGCGCCAGCGGCGCAAGTGCGAGCGGCAGCGCGGGAAGGAGATTGGCGCGCTCCTTGCGCTCAAGATGCCGGGGGACGTGGTGGTGCCCGGGAGTGGGAGCATGCGGTGCATCGCACAGCTGGTGGCGAACATGGTGCTCCGGCGACGAGACGCGTTCCGGCCGCTGGCGAATAGGAAGGCGCTGCCTAGGACGTACGTGCCTAGTGGGTTGCAGCAGTCTGTTTCCGCGGAGGATTTGTTGGATGGAATGGAGGACGACTAGCTTTCAATCTGAGTATGCTTGGCGAAGCAAAATGGTGAGTCGTTAGGACCTGAGGTGGGCTCGCTTTGACTGAAGATGGGGTTCCGTTGCGATAGACTGAAGAGGCACCCCGAACCTGTACAGTAATATCGTCACCATGCATGCATCTCTGTAGCATTTAGTGTCATCATATTCGTCGCATATTGATGTTTTCTTTCCTGTTTTTAACGCAGCCCTTCCATCGAACTATCTAGGACGGAGCGGCAATACGTCCAGTGAGTTGTTACACCCTTGTACTCGGACTGGAGGCGAGCTAGAGGCGTCACTCCGATACGGCCATTGCATCGGTATCCATCGCACGAGTACTTGGTTCAACAATGCAAGTGATGGTATTGCCAAGATTGGATCGGAGTATATCCGCTGATTTATGGGAGATCCTTCCTGATACATGATCAAGCACTCTAAATACTGTGCTCAGATATCCAAAAACCTCTCGAGGGTATAGGAAGTACGGTATAGATAGCACGACACACTACGCCTCGGAATGCACTTCTAACTCTACCTCCAGGTTCTCCTCTCCATCAAGCGATAACATCGATGTCTGCTGCGACAGCATCTCTCCCTCCCCGTCATGCACGTGGGGCTGCAGCTCGTCGTGCTTCACACCGCGCTTCGACAGTGCATAGGTCCGACACGCCTTCGTGCTCTCCGCAAGCAGCGGGTCGTCGTAAGCCAACGGCACAGCCTTAAAACCAGGAAAATTGAACTCGAACAGCTGCGCGACGACGGGGAGCAAGCTCCCATCGGGAGAGTACGTGCCCGACTTGTTGTCCACGACGAGCTCCCACTGCACGTCCTCGTCGGGCACGTCGTCGCTGAAGTTCTCCCAGCCGCCCGCGGGGCGCGGGTGGAACTCGCCCGAGTAGCGCACGCTCGGCGCGCAGTCCGCGTGCAGCGCGTGCTTGGACGCGTAGTTCACGAAGAACGCCGCACCCGTCTCGGAGAACCGCAGCGAGTCGTCGTCCGCCGCGATCACGTAGTTATATACTGCGGGCTTGATGCGGTGTGCGAACGGCCCGTCCGCGCTGCGCCGTCGCCGCTCCCGCTGCTGCCGCACATGTCCACCGTGCAGGAGACAGTACACGTCGTGCGCATTGTTGAGCACCCCGAACTCGTTTGTCGCCGTGCGCGCGTACAGCACGCGGTGTCCGCTGTGGATCATCGAGCGCACCGCGGCGGACGTCGGGCCTTGGAAGATCTGCCGTGCTGCTCTGTGGTTCCTGTTCCACGGCTGGACTTCGTCGTCTAGGAAGCGCGACACGCCTCGGATGAAGACCTGCCATGTCGAGTACAGCCTTGCCTTGTCGAGCTTCGTGAGCTTGCCGATCGTCGGGGACGAGTGGCGTGAGTAGCAGATGGGGCCGTCGAACATGTACGGATGACTGCCGGCGTCTGGATCCAGGGAGGGTACGGCGTCGATCTAGAGAATGCGCAATTTAGAGTACAGAGCACACATAGCACACGTCTCTCGTACCTGGAGCGAGAACGTCCCGCGATTCCTCTTCAGATGACTCGGGTCCTCGATCGCGAATGCCTGCTCGCTGGACGTCACTGCCGTGCTGAACTGGCCGATGTAATCATCCCTGATGCAGCCGATGTCTCTGTCCAGCACTTCCACGAGCAAGATCGCGGTATCGGGCACGTTCCGGATCGTCCAGCTCTCATTCCACACCGGCTCGAGCGTGTTCGTCTTCACGGACGATCTGCGAATAATCGATCACCACCAAACACGCGAGGAGCTAATGGACGTATGGTGGCGCACACAAAGGACAGCCTGGTGTCGATCCGCGCGACGAAATACGGGTCGGCGGACCCGACGACGTCCATCTTTGGCAGGCCCGACGCGTGCGCGAACTGCACGAAGAGATCGACGAATGTTGCGTCATTCCCCACGGTCGAAAGTCTCTCTGCGACTGCGTCCTTTTTCGACTGCACCGCCTCATGGATATCTTCCTTTGTGCGGCGGTGCGCCGCGGCGTGCAGGCGACCTGCGACGCGAGACACGGCGTTCAGCGAGTTCGGCATAGCGCTGGTAGTACCTCGGGATGGAATTGGGGAAGTGCTTCGGATTATAAAGTATTGCGAGCTGCATGGAGTTGGTCATCAGCTAGGGAGCTGGATAGGTTTGCACCGCAGCACGGGAACTTCGGAGTTACCGCGAGATAAGATAAGATTACGCACCCTGAAAGTCGGTACCACTTCCTCTACAGCGACATTCCGCACAGCCTTCACCATGTCTATGGGGGACAATCACTCGAATACAGAACCAGTGTGTCTAAAATATCCATCGCGAGCTCGTCAAGTAATGGGGGAACCTGGATGCATTGCCTGCAGGTCAGCGCAGCCCGTAAATTGGGATCAGCGAGCACCTAAGTGAATACTCTGGGAAGGTACAAACATGGAAAAGTGACACTTACTGCTTGAACTCGCTGCAATCGGAGAAATAATGCTTTTTCGGTCATGATACTAGTAATCTTACCAGGACGACCAGGAAAGAGCATGTCGAAACAGTCTGCAACAAAATCTAGAATAATATAGGTATGTGCAGATGTGCTTACCACATATAAAGAAGCCATAACACCGTGCAAACCTTGAAGCTTGCAAGAGTTTGAAGGATGGAGATTGGAAGGATAGACGACGAACTTGACTCGAACGGAAAGGGAAGGTGCCTTTCCCAATATAGAAGGTTACCACGTGCCCATTTCCAACAGTTTCATTGTTGATAAGCGCCCATATTATTTAGCTTCTTCCAAGCCGACGTGGATTTTCATCACAGTTATCATGGTCCTCAGGATTGCCGGTTGGGTGTTCACTCACGATCAAGTTCGCAAATGGTTGGAGCGCGGCGGGCGGGAATACAAGACGCTCGAGTATTATGAGCTTACAGGAGCACTCAAGGAGTGGTTCGAGGAGAGGCAAATCAGATATATGGCTCCCATCCCGACTGACTATCCTCACGGAAGCAAGCAGCCAATTATCCTTCTGACTACGCGATTCCACGAGGATCCCGCCTCGACGGTGGCTCACTACACGCGTTTCAGGGAGAGAGATGTTGACCGGAAAGTGAAGCGGCAGGTGTTGGAGGAGACTGGATTGAAGGATGACGACTTGCGCTGGGTGACTGTCGTCGACCCATACTTCCACCACGATGTGGTGTACAAGTACCCCAGGAACTACGTCCTCTGGCCTGAGACGGGCATGCCGCCTGAGGAAGATGAAGCCGAGAATAAGGAGGGTGGAGACAAGGGAGAGGAGAAGGGAGACAAGGACGATAGAGGCAAGAAAGAGGAAGCGGGAGATAAGGCGGGGGAGTAGACGTCGGAGGTCACCCAGAGTGCTTGCTTGTATCACGTTGATCCCGTGCTTACGGCCCGTACTCCTACTCCTTCAAGCTTCATGTCTGAATGCAATAATGACAACAATGTCGAGGAACAAGCAGAAGTTCCTATCGCGCACTGCGGAGTTGTGATGATTCGATGAATAGGGTGTACGATAACACAATTCCAGGACCAGTATGACGATGCTTACCTTGCTCTCTCTCCGTCGACGGACCAACCCCGGCCAGCCAGTCGTGCATCCAACGGCGAACACTAGGGTCAGGAGATGAGGAACGTCGAACTAGACGTGCGTCCGACACGTCTCCGTTCTATACGCGTGTAACGGGTTGCGCAGCCGTACAGCCGTAGTAAAGCTGGGAAAGTTGAACTCGAGCAACTACTTGCCGACGAGCAGCAGGCTCCAGATGCCTTCAGGAGTATATGTCCTAGTAGATACGGAGATCTAGAACACAGTGCGAAGACTAGTGAATCTTTGATAGATCACAGGAACACAGGTTGGCGATGAACTAGACTCGAATGAAAAGGGAAGGTGCCCTTCCCGACATAGAAGGAGTGACACAGTTGAACGACAGCCACGAGTCCACAGCGACCTCGGAAGAGAAGTACCTGCCGTGGCGTACCTCAAATCTTAGAGTTCAGAGTCTACTATTACCAACAGCATACCGGTTCCTGCCTCATTCAGTTACCAGCGTCAGTCGACTAGCATCATCTCTAACTACTCCTTGTTTCCCCGTACAATCTTCCGAAGCTGACGTATATTTCCAACACAGTTATCATGGTCCTTAGAATTGCCGGTTGGGTGTTGACTCACGACCAGGTCCGAACATGGTTGGAGCTGGGCGGGCAGGACTTCAAGACCCTCGAGCTTTATGAGCTTTCCGGAGCACTCAAGGATTGGTTTGAGGAGAGGCAAATTGACGACATGGTTCCTATTCCGACTGACTATCCTCACGGAAGCAAGCAGCCAGTCATCATTCTGACAACGAGATACTACCAGGATCCCACTGCGTCGGTGGCGCACTGGAAGCGCTTCATGGAGCGGGATGTTGACCGCGCAATCAAGCGGCGGGTGTTGGAGGAGACCGGGTTTGAGGATGATGGCTTGCGCTGGGTGACTGTCGTCGACCCGTACTTCCAGTACCCTGTGGTGTACAAGAATCCCAGGAATTATGCGCTCTGGCCTGAGACGGGCAGGCCGCCTGAGAATGATTCAGCCGAGAAGAAGGCAGATGGAGACAAGGAAGTGGAGAAGGGAGACGAGGAGGATAGAGACAAGAAAGAGGAAGCGGGAGACGAGGGGGATGGAGACAAGAAAGAGGAAGCGGGAGACAAGGAAAAACGGTAGACATCACCCAGAATGCTTGAGTGTATCACGTTGACCCCGTACTTCCGGTATTCCTTTGTGTCTGAATGTAAGAATGACAGCAGTGTCGGGAACAAGCAGAAGTTCCTATCAGGCACTGTATAGCTGTGGTGATTCGATGAATCAGGTGGAAAATAACGCAATTTTCTTAGTTCTAGCATTACTAGTATGACGATACTCACCTTGCTTTTTCCATGTCGACAAGCCAACCCTGGCCAGCCATTCGTGGATTCTACAGCTAATACTAGCATCAGCAGATGAAATATGTCAGACCAGATGTACGTTCGACATGCCTCCGTGCGATGCGCGTGTTGCGGGTCGTGTAGCTGTACAGCCGTAAAGCCGGGAAAGTTAAACTCGAACAGCTGTACGACGAGGAGGAGGAGGTTCCGGATCCCTTCATGCACAATTCATTGTGTATTTGTATATTGTGTCGCATGTTTATATCCCGGTAGGAAACCAGAGATCTTGGCTTGGATTGCCCCCGTTCGAGAGCAGCGCCATAGAACACAATGGCGTGAAGCTAGAGAGCCGAGAAAGAGTACGGGAAATTTTGAGGTCGCCTATGGCACCTGACCTACCCAAGTGCAGACGTTCTCTTGAGGTCCTATGTAGCTGCATTAATTTATTGATCTTCGCTTAGCTACTAGCAACTGTAAAACACCTAGAACATAGAATTCATACAGAGACATAAGAACATGCTGTGAAGTACTAGTGAATCTCAAGAAAGCAGGTCGGCCCGGACGGAAAGGGAAGGTCCCCTTCCCGATATAAAAGGATACAGTTGAACTACAACCACGTGTCCACGGCGACAACGACGTACCTGAAGTCATAAACTATTACTGACAGTACACTGGTCCTTACACCTTCAGTTACCGGTCTAAGATCGCCAGCATCATCCCTAACTGCTCGTTGTTTCACTCATCGTTGATGAACGTGAGTACTACCCGTACCATCTTTGGTTCTTCGAGTTCCCAGGCTGATTGGAATTTTCAGCACTGCCGTCATGGTCCTCAGAATTGCTGGCTGGTTGCTGACTTTCGACCAAGTTCGAACGTGGTTGGAGCTGGGCAGGCGCGACTGCAAGAATCTCGAGCCTTACGAGCTTTCCGGGGAACTAGATGATTGGCTCCTGGAGAGGAAAATTCAGGACATGACTCCCATTCCGACTGACTATCCTCACGGAAGCAAGCAGCCAGTTATCATTCTGACAACGAGATACTACCAGGATCCCACTGCGTCGGTGGCGCACTGGAAGCGCTTCATGGAGCGAGACGTTGACCGGGAAATCAAGAGGCGGGTGTTGGAGGAGACCGGGTTTAAGGACGACGACTTGCGCTGGGTCACTGTTGTCGATCCGTTCTTTCAGTACTCTGTGGTGTACAAGAATCCCAGGAACTATGCCCTCTGGCCTGAGACCGGCAGGCCGCCTGAGAGTGATGGAGCCGAAGAGAAGGCGGATGGAGGCAAGGAAGTAGAGAAGGGAGACAATGCGGATGGATACAAGGCAGTGGAGAAGGGAGACAACGAGTACGGAGTTAAGAAGGAGGAAGGCGACAAAGCGGAGTAGTAAAAGTTGAGTGTCACCCAGAATGCTTGATTGCATCGCGTTGATTCAGTACTTCCAGTATTTTTTAAATGTCTGAATAACAGTGAACAAAATCAAGTTTCTATATCTGCGTTGTGGAACTTTGGAAATTTATGAGTAGATCCGACAATAATGTAATTGCCTCTCTTCCCGTTCTATTCCGAGTCTGACCGTACTTTCTCCTGCGTCGACAGGCCAGCCAGTAGCTTCAATAGTTGATACTACAGGCAGATGAGGAAAGTGGCACTGGACATACCTCTGACATGCGTCCCCCTTATGTGCGAGTGGATAGTCATTGTAAGACAGTAGCACGGCCTCACATAAAACCGGGAAAATTAAACTCGAACTGCCGCGCAATGACGGGAGAAGGCTCCCAGTGGGAGAGTGGCGTCTGACTTTTTGTATAATTTTAGATTGCTTAGCATGCTTATGCGCCGCTAGTAAACGGGACGTCTTGATTTGGATCGCCGACATGCATGGCGGGCCCGGAAAGCGTATGGAGGAGATTTGTTTCGCTGTCTACGCAGAACAATATGCTTACTATAGGGTTCCTGAAGTGTCGACAGGCCATGTTCGGGGACGAAATGTGAGACCTATACCCGACCAATCCAAGTATGCCAGACGTTCTACAAGGTATTAGCAGCATTGTTTGTTTCGATTTCCGCTCAGGTGCCACCAACTGTAGAGTCTCTGGAACAGAGAATAGATACAGAAACGTAGACCAAGGCATGAAGCTTGACGAGTAATTATAAGCATTAGTGGACTCTTGAAGGATCACAGGACCGCGGTTGACGATGAACTAGACGTAAGGGGAAGGTGCCCTTCCCGATATAGAACGACACAGTTGAACTTGAACCACGTGTCGTTTCGTTCATCATTGATAAACGTCGGTGCCCGTACCATATTGCTTTTTGAGTTCTTAAGCTAATGAGAGTTTTCATACAGCACATGGTCCTCAGGATTGGCGGTTGGGTGTTGACTTACCGCCAAGTTCGAACGTGGTTGGAGCTGGGCGGGCAGGACACCAAGAACCTCAAACCCTATGAGCTTTCCGGAGCACTAGACGATTGGTTCAAGGAGAGGAAAATTGAGGACATGACTCCCATTCCGACTGACTATCCTCACGGAACCAAAAAGCCAGTTGTCATTCTGGCAACGAGATACTACCAGGATCCCGCTGCGACGGTGACGCACTACACGCTTTTCGTGGAGAAGGGAGACAAGACGGATAGAGACACGGCAGTGGAGAAGGAAGACAAGGGCGGTGGAGTAGAGAAAGAGGACGGCGATAAAGAGGAATAGTAGAAGTTGGATGCCGGCCAGATGCTTGATTGTATCGCATTGACTAGGTAACTTCTGGAGTGCTTGTGTCTGAACACGAGAATAGCAACAGTGCCGGTGAACAAACGGAAGTTTCTTTATACGCGCTGCGGGACTTCGGAAATTTAGGAATAGATTCGACAATAATGTAATTACCTCTCTTCTAGTTCTAGTCCGAGTTGTACTTTCTCCCGCGTCGGCTGCAACAGTTGATACTACAAGCAAATGAGAAACGTTACACTGGACATACCTCTGATATGCTTCCTCGTTATGAGCCAGCAGCGGGTCGTCGTAAGACAGAGGCACTAAGAGGCACGGCCTTACATCATAAAACCGGGATATTTTTATACTGTCTAGCATGTTTATGTACCGTACCGCTAGGAAACAGGAGGTCTTGATTTGGATCGCCGCGGTTCAAGAGCAGTGCGTGGCGGGCCCGGAAAGAGTATGGAGATTTGTTTCGCTGTCTACGCAGAACAATATGCTTACTATAGGGTTCCTGACGTGCCGACAGGCCATTTTAGGCGGCGAGATGTGAGACTCCTATAGCTGACCTATCCGTTCTACAAGGTACTAGCAGCATTGTTTGTTTTGATTTCCGCTCAGGTGCCACCGACTGTAGAGTCTCTGGAACCGAAAATAGATACAGAAACGTTGACCAAGGCATGAAGCTTGACGAGCAATTATAAGCATTAGTGAACTCTTGAAGGATCACAGGAACACGGTTGACGATGAACTAGATTCTAACGTAAGCGGAAGGTGGGCTTCCCGATATAGAAGGACACAGTTGAACTTGAACCACGTGTTGTTTCATTCGTCAATATTGATAAACGTCTGTGCCCGTACCATTTGGCTTTTCGAGTTCTTAAGCTAATGAGAATTTTCAGTACAGCTCATGGTCCTCAGGATTGGCGGTTGGGTGTTGACTTTCGACCAAGTTCGAACGTGGTTGGAGCTGGGCGGGCAGGACACCAAGAATCTCGAACTCTATGAGCTTTCCGGAGCTCTAGAGGATTGGTTCAAGAAGCGGAAAATTGACGACATGCTTCCCATTCCGACTGACTATCCTCACGGAAGCAAGCAGCCAGTTATCATGCTGGTGACGAGATACCACCCGGATCCCGCTGCCACGGTGGCGCGCTACACGCGTTTCGTGGAACGAGACGTTGACCGCGAAGTGAAGCGGCGGGTGTTGGAGGAGACCGGGTTTAAGGATGACGACTTGCGCTGGGTGACTGTCGCCGATCCATACTTCCAGTATCCTGTGGTGTACAAGAGGCCCAGGAACTACGTCCTCTGGCCTGAGACGGGCGTGCCTCCTCAGAAAGACAGAGCCGAGAAGATGGCGGATGCAGACAAGAAGGGGACGGTGGAGGACAAAGAAGATGGAGAAAAGAAAGAGGACGCGGGAGACACGGTGGACGGAGACAAGAAAGAGGAGGGTGACGAGGAGTCGGATGTCACCCAGACGGTTTGATCGTGTCACGTTGAGTCATTACTTTCAGTATTCCTGTGTATCCGAGTGCAAGAATAACAACAGCGTTGGTGAACAAACAGAAGTCTCTATGTCCACTGTGGAGCTTCGGAAATTCGATGAATAGATCCGACAGTGTTGTAATTGCTTCTCTTCCACTCGAAATACTACCGATTCTGACGGGACTCGCCCTGCCAGTGATTTCTCCACGTCGACAGGCCAGCCCTGGCCAGCCAGTCGCGCCTGTGGCTTCAACAGCTAATGCTACTGGCAGACGAGGAACCTGGGACTAGGCGTCCATCCGACACGCCTCCGTGCATTGTTAGAGCAGCAGATGGTGGTCCAAACGGCTGTAAAGCCAGGGAAGTAAAAGCTTGAACAGGTTACAACTGCACGACGATGAGGAGCAGGCTCCCGACTGAGGAGTACGTGCTCCACTTGTGGTGTGGAGAATGTGTGTATACTGCCAGTCTGAGGAAACGCGAGATCTTGCAAGCGATTTGGATTGTCCCCATTGGAAAGCCGTACTTCTTGTCGAACACGGCGGTGGGCCCTAAGGGCTCTGGATAGAGTGTGGAAAAAATTGTTTTTTGCTGTCCGCGTATAATGTGCGCCAACTACAGGTTTACTGAGGCATTGAAAAGGTATTTCGCAAGGCGATATTATAGATGTAAGAATTGGGGTTACTTACTGCGCCTGACCTACCCAAGCACACCAGAGATTCTATTCTGCACTGGTTATTTTGATCTCCGCTCAGGTGCTACCGACAGTAGAACGTCTGAAATAGAGACTAGATACAGAGCTCGAGTACACTGTGTGAAGTACTAGTGAATCTTTGAAGGATACAGGAACGCAGGCTGGCGACGTTCGAACTAGAATCGGACGGAAAGGGAAGGTGCCCTTCCCGATGTAGAAGGATACAGTCCACGTGCCCACCACAACTTGGAAGGCTTGAAGTCGTAAAGTCTATTACTACGGTACACTGGTTTCTACCTCATTCAGTTACCAGTATCACTTCACTAGCATCATCTGTAACTGCTCATTGTTTCGTCAACGTCAGTGCCGTCTGTACAATTTGGTTCTTCTCAAGTTGATGTGAATTTTCAGTTGTCATGGTTCTCAGGATTGGAGGTTGGATGTTCACTTATGACCAAGTTCGCACATGGTTGGAGCGCGGCGGGCGGAAATACGAGATTCTCGAGTATTATGAGCTTTCCGGAGCACTCAAGGAGTGGTTCGAGGAGAGGCAAATCAGATATATGGCTCCCATCCCGACTGATTATCCTCGCGGAAGCAAGCAGCCAGTTATCCTTCTGACTACGAGATACTACGTGGATCCCGCTGCGACAGTGATGCACTACACGCGTTTCGTGGAGAGAGCCGTTGACCGCAAAGTGAAGCGGCAGGTGTTGGAGGAGACCGGGTTCAAGGATGACGACTTGCGCTGGGTGACTGTCATTGACCCGTACTTCCATGACCCTGTGATGTTCAGGTATCCCAGGAACTATGCCCTCTGGCCTGAGACGGGCGCGCCGCCAGAGGAAGAAGAAGCCGAGAATAAGGGGGATGGAGACAACGAAGTGGAGAAGAGAGCCAAAGAGGATGGGGACAAGAAGGAGCAGACGTCGAGTGGTACGCACAACAGTGTCGGTGTACAAACAGAAGTTTCTATAACATCTGGCACTATGGTGCTTTAGAGATTTGATGAATAGGTTTGATAATAACAGATACCTCTTCCAGTACTAAGGGTAATCGCCTTGCTTCCTCTAGGTCGATAGGCTACGGTCCTGGCAAGCCAGTCGTGGATTCAACAGTTAATGGTACCAGCGGACAAGGGACGACGGACTGGATATACTATGTCCGACACGCCTGTGTGCCCTCAGGCTGCGCGAGCAGCGGGTCGTGGTAAGACAGCGGCATGGCATTAAAACTGGGAAATTAAACTCGAACAGCTGCGTGACGATGGGGAGCAGGATCACGACGGCGGGGAGGCAGGGCCAGACCTGTTGTCGACGACGAGCTCCCACTGTATATACGTCGTCGCTGTTCTCCCAGCCGCCCGCCGGACTAGCGGGACGGGGGCCGAGTAGTCCGCGTGCAATGGAGGAACAACGCGCCCGTCGTCGCTGTCCGTCGTCCCTATGTGCTCGCTGTGCTGGAGGCAGTCCTGCGTGCAGTTGAGCACACTGAATTTGTTGGTTTCCTCGCCGCGTGGCATACAGGCCGCTATGGATCATCGAGTGGGTCGCGGCGGACGTCGGGCTAACTGCATGATCGATGCTGCTAGGCTACCATGACAGATCAAGGTCACTATGCTCATATTTGCCGTTAATATGTTTCGCAGACTGATTCTGCCTAGTTGGCAGATGTTAGTATGCTTCGAGTGGGTGTAACAGGAATTGTGTCTGCAGATTTGTTGATAAGCGTGGTGTAGGTCCTCCCTTTTGATTCAGTCCCTCTTCGTTCTCGCTCCCCTTTATCTAATTGCACTGGCACCAATGGCGGTATACTTCTAAGGATGTACTCTCTCGCTATTCTGTGAGTTATTGTATTTTCAGATCAGCGTTTTCCCTAGCTATCGACCCTTCTCTAAGCGCGATTAACGCAACTACCGATTGGATGATTTTTCGGTCGCAATATGAGGTCTCCTGGCTGCTTCTACCGTATCGCAGAACTATAAGTTGCTGAATCGTTACGAACTGTGACAGCAAGGAGCTTTTTTTCCTCTGAGGCTTTCTGGCGTGCGGTACTCTCGTCCTTTATCTTCGGCTCACGATGGGTAAAGCGAAAGCTGATGATATTTTCCTCGAAGGCTTCATCATAGCATGCGCGAAACGCGTTATGTGTTACGCGCACTGTTACTGATGGGTCCAACTTGTGTGGAGAAGAGTACAGTGGGATCGTTTCCTTACTCTGACGCTAGCTGCACTGACTTCGTGCATCTAGCTTACGAGTTCTACAATTCAACAAGGCTCAGAAATCACGGGGCACAATCTTCAACCACTTACCGACGAAAATTCAAACCATTCGCGTCCAACTTGCTGACTCTCGCGAGGTCGTCTTTGGTCGACACACCTGAATTCGACGATACCAACAAGTCAGATACCGAGATACTCAGAACGACCGCGAGATTACTCTCCAAGACGTAAGTTCTGGTGTGGAAGAGCCTTCGCACTTTTTTTGCGATTTTAGGCACACGAGACGCATCACACTTGTGGGTATCTCATCTGCATGCACCGGATTTCTGACAAGCGCATTGCCAGAACCCCGCTCGTGAACGTTCGCATATTCATGAACTTATGCGAGCCCTGTGTTACGTGGAATGTCATCATAGCTATCACTATTCGACGGGGCTGGGTGCCGTCTAATCTTCGTCGGCGCTGGGAGGAAGAATTTCAAGAGAGATGGTGGAACCCTATACTGGATCTCGGGTCGGTAACTGCTAGGTTCCTGGGCACCTTCGAGACGGCTCGGACCATCATCGACAGGATTCTCATGAAGGGCTCTGTGCCAAGCCCTGTTGCGCTTCAGGAATAAATGGTGTGTCTCAAGGGATGGATGAACGGACCCGAGGTGGGGAAAGCGTTACTTGCAGACACAGAAGGAAGATTTTCGCGATTCGAGAGAACGAAAATATGCAGGAGGATTCCGGGATGCTTCGGGTGGTCGTTGACTCAGTATAACGAGTTAGAGGAGAATATCGAAGCCTGCGGCGAGATATGAGAGATGACGATCTGGTCAAGGATCTGAATCCTGACACTTTTCGCCTACATATACAAGCAGTAAGTTCTTGGCCTTCTTCTTTGCGGCATTATCCTAATAGTGTTCTATACAGCGGCATTCAAGTTGCATTTAGTTCACAGTTCGTGTCTTGGAGCCGTATCCACTTTGCGAATGAAGCTGTCACTCTCCACGCATTAATCAGTTGACTTGCATGCGCAAGGCTTGGCGAGGCTGCTGCCAAATACTACTGCGCGGCGCTGGAGCCCATTCTCCGTTGTCATATCTTCGCATTTAACCGCTTCCTAGTACCCGCCAAGAGCGATGCGCTCCTCTTTACTCCTTCCACTTACTAGAAGGGATTTAGTTGTGTACAAGAGAATGAGAATGGTACTTCCTGCCGTCTGGCGGTCATATTCATTACGAGCCGCGTGTAAGACGTCGATTCTCCTGAATGGCATAAGCCCTGTGATGAATACTTAAAACAGTACCGAGACCCTGGCTACTTACCTAGCAACATTAATCTCAGTGGCGTGATCTACGCTTGTTGATGTCCGTCATAGCAAGTCTCGATGTCAGTCTTTGGGCGATTCATCCGATATTCAGCAGGTGCACATTTCTTTGGTACGATAATAGACAGACGAACGCAGCAGACCGATATGTGGAAGTATCATGCATTGAGAACCTAGGCCTCAGCCTCCAGCTTCTCCCTCTTTGCCACATTTTTTACGACAGTCAAAAACGCACCCTCCAGTTTCTCCGCAGTGTCCCACCCCTTGCCCATTGGGGTGGGGTTCCTCCTCGCCGTGACCTGCTTCTGTGCCTCGCCTTCGCTGTCATCCTCCTTTGTGATTTGAAAGCGGAATGTGTAAAACCGCCCGCCCAGTACCAGCATACCCACGAAATCCTCGTGTGGATCCTTGCCACCTATAATCGACATGTATTCGCGCAGCTGGATTATTGAAGATTCCTGTGACTCATCATTCTTCTTGACTTCGATGCACATGACTGGGATGTCTCGGATGCCATCACAGAGAACAACGACGAAGTCGGGAATGTAGACTTTTGTGTCTCGAGACAATGCCTGGACTACCTTTCCCATGGAGTCTGTCGACAATCCTTCCTGCCACAATTCCGCATTGTGTACTTCTTCGTCGGATCCTTCGTCACTGGATTCGTCGTCATCGGTTTCTTCGTCGTCGGGCTCTTCGTCATCGGGTTCTTCATCATTAGGTTCTTCGCCAGCGTATACAGACTCTCTAAGCTTAGTCTGTGGCTTGACCATGTAGTGATCATCTGAAAAAACGAGGTTGGCGAGTCGATCTATAGGACCATACCAGGACGCCTCCAGTGAAGGTGGATAAAGGGACATCTGGCGAAACCGTGCTCTTAACCACGCAGGGATTGCAGGCATAGGGACTGGATGAAAAAGCAGTAGCATTGGTCAGTAATGTAGGAAGCAATATGTGAGAGAACTCACTATCCGTGAGCAACATATGATACTCACTAGAAGAGAATGATGAACAGCGCAACTGTAGGGTAGCGAGCTAGAGGCACCCATATATATATTTGCATGAGCAGTGTCTAAGACGCCCACACACGGCACCAATCCGAAGACACATGTCTGCAACGTGAGGAATGACCAACTGCGAACGAAAGAAAATTTCACGTTTCGAGGTATTGAGAGGCTAGAACCAACAACGAGTACATGAAATCGGTTCTGTATAGAATATTGGGTCAAGCTTACCCACAATTGGAACAAAAAAGATCTCTCCATAATGCAGCGAGGTGAGTCAGGAGCCCAACACAATTGCGTTACAACCAGCACACCACACAATGGGGCACCGCTGCCACATCGTTGTGTCATCTCTGGTGCCTGCGCTAAGCTATCGAATACCACGCGCACCAACGAAGTAGTATTATACCACTTATGGGATAACGACTCACATGTGGTGTTGCGGTGCTAGGTCACATTGGTACTAGGGTAGTACCAACATACTCGGCCGGGACCTGAAGATTCTGATAATAAGACATTTGCCCCGACTTCACACATCGAGATTCTCCACGATAGGAAGGTCGGAAACGGAAACTCAGTGATTGACAACACGTTGGAGGAGACGAAATGCTGACTCTATACCTGCGCGGATACGTCCTAGAAAAGATGGCGGTGCCATCACATCAAAAAACTTCCAGGGACCTGATCATGGAAAACCGTCGTCTCCAGGGCAGTCTGCAAGCCTTTTGGTGACAGTAAGGGCAAACAGGCAATTGTTTCTAAGATGTGACAACAAGGACCCACAAAGCAACACCGAAGCGCTGTGTCAGTATCACGTGATGCATGCGTATATAGACTCAGCGTATCGCGGCTCCGACAGCTAGCATCGTCTTTACTATTCATCGTTGATAATGTCAGTGCTACCCAAATCATCTGGCTCTTCTCAAGCTGACGTGAATTTTCAGTACAGTTGTCATGGTCCTCAGGATTGGCGGTTGGGTGTTGACTTACGACCAAGTTCGAACGTGGTTGGAAGTGGGCGGGCGAGACTCCAAGAATCTCGAGTTCTACGAGCTTTCTGGAGCACTAAAGGATTGGTTCCGGGAGAGGCAAATTGAGGACATGGTTCCTATTCCGACTGACTATCCTCACGGAACCAAGCAGCCAGTTATCATTCTGGCAACGAGATACTACCAGGATCCTGCTGCGACGGTGACGCACTACACGCTTTTCGCGGAGCGAGATTTTGAGCGCGAGGTGAAGCGGCGGGTGCTGGAGGAGACCGGGTTTAAGGATGACGACTTGCGCTGGGTGACCGTCATTGACCCATACTTCCAGTACCCTGTGGTGGTGTACAAGAAGCCCAGGAACTATGCTCTCTGGCCTGAGACGGGCAGGCCGCCTAAGAAAGACAAAACCAAGAAAAAGGCGGATGGAGACGAGAAAGGGGAGGAGGAAGACAAGGAAGGTGGAGACAAGAAAGAGGAGGGCGACAAGGAAGATGGAGACAAGAATGAGCAGGGCGACAAGGAGTCGGAGCTCACCCAAACTGTTTGATTATGTTACGTTGATTTGGTACTTCCAGTATTCTTTTGTGTCCGAATGCAAGAGTAACAACAGTGTTGGGGAACAAACGGAAGTTTCTACATCCACTGAGGAGCTTCGGAAATTCGATGAATAGGCCTAGTACTACCAAGTCTGACGGGACTAACCTTGCCAGTGCTTTCTCCGCATCGACAGGCTAGCCAGCCAGTCGCGGCAGTGGATTTCAACAGCTAATGCTACCGGCAGATGAGGAACTTTTTCCGACTGGGCATACGTCCGACATGCAGCGGGTCGTCGTCGTAGGGGCCGTAAAGCCGAGGAGATAAAAATTGAACAACTTACAGCTGCACGAGGACGAGGAGCAGGCGTCTACTTCTAGTAGGAAACGCGCGATGGAAAGCCGTAATTGTTGTCGAACAGGCGGCGGGCCCTAAAGTCCCCGGAAAGAGTGTTTCTGAAGGCGAGATGTGAGAATTGGGGTCGCCTACGCCTGGCCTATCCAAGTACACGAGACATTCTACTCTGCATTGGTTCCACTCCGGTGCTACTGACAGTAGAACATCTGAAACAGAGACTAGATACAGAGATTGAGCACGCAGTGTGAAGTGCTACTGAATCTTTGAAGGATACAGGAATGCAGGCTGGCGATATTCGAACTAGAATCGGACGGAAAGGGAAGGTGCCCTTCCCGATATAGAAGGACACAGTTGAACACTGGTAACCACGTGTCCACAGCGAGATGTACCTGCGTACTTCAAGTCATAAAGTCTATTACTTACGGTACACTGGTTTCTACCTCATTCAGTTACCAGCATTAGTCCACCAGCATCATCTCTAACTGCTCATTGTTTCGTCAACGTTAGTGGCGCCCGTGCAAAAAGTTGGTCCTTCTCAAGCTGATGTGAAATTTCAGTTGTCATGGTCCTCAGGATTGCCGGTTGGGTGTTGACTCATGACGAAGTTCGAACGTGGTTAGAGCTGGGCGGGCAGGACACCAAGAACCTCGAGCTTTATGAGCTTTCCGGAGCACTAAAGGATTGGTTCGAGGAGCGGGAAATTGACGACATGCTTCCCATTCCGACTGACTATCTTCACGGAAGCAAGCAGCCAGTTATCATTCTGGCAACGAGATACCACCAGGATCCCACTGCCACGGTGGCGCGCTACACACGTTTCGTGGAGCGAAACGTTGACCGCGAAGTGAAGCGGCGGGTGTTGGAGGAGACCGGGTTTAAGGATGACGACTTGCGCTGGGTGACTGTCGCCGATCCATACTTCCAGTATCCTGTGGTGTACAAGAGGCCCAGGAACTACGTCCTCTGGCCTGAGACGGGCGTGCCTCCTCAGAAAGACAGAGCCGAGAAGATGGCGGATGCAGACAAAGAATTGGAGAAGGAAGATGAGGATGGAGACAAGAAGGGAGACAATAAGGAGGAGCAGACATCGGAGGTCACCGAGAGTGCTTGATTGTGTCGTACTGATTCCGTACTTCCGGTACTCCTTTGTGTTCGAACACAAGAATAATAACAGTGGATGTCGGTGAACAAACAAAACATTTTGTCATCCAGTACTGTGGGGCTTTGGAAATTCGATGAATAACTTGAAGGTTGATAAGCTCTTCCAGTACTATTCAGCATCCGACGGTAAACGCCTTGCCTTCTCCACATCGATAGGCCAGCCAGTAATGGATTCACAGGTAATGCTACGTCGTCTCCGGCAAACGAAGGACGTTGGACGGGGAATATGATGTGCACATCGTCGCGGTACCGTCCCAAGGCCAACTCTCAGGCTGGCTTGATAGGGGGCGCGACGACCGCCATAATTCGTTGGCCCGTTTCCAGCCTCGCGCAGTCCTAACATAAGTACTGTCAGCTTACACAGGAACTCGTCAACGCACACTAGGACTGCCTTCACCGACTCAATCTCATATCAGCCGTACTCGAGTCTTCTGCATTGGAATTAATGAGGCGGGCGGATGCAGCGTAGAACGGCATGACACAGCAGAAAGGGAAGGTAGGTTGCCCTATATAGAATGACCCAGATTGCCACATCACCACCTGATGCGTTCGACGAGACGCGGCCGGTGTACTTTGAGAAACATAATATGACTGCGGCCATGTTGCTTTACCTACGGTGCTTTCTATGGCAGACCCTTAGATCTGCGCAGGGCGTGTTCCAGTGCTTATTGACCTTCAGTAGCGGGGAGCTCAGCCGTATCAGATCGGTGCACTGATGCTCTGGAGAGTAGGATAGAGAAACTGCAGGGGCATTAATACTGACGGATCGGGGAGATCCACCAAGACCAATCGTAACAACCGAGAATCATCATACAGCCAGCGTCCCGTAAAATACAATACCAACAGTCTGAAGCCACATGATTGCAACATGAGTATTGACCAACTGAGAACGAAAGAAAAAGACACGTTCCGAAACAGATGGACAGGCTAGAACCGACAACACGTACGTGACAGCAGCCCTATCTTGCATGGCTACACAAAATCTAGAAGATTGAGTAAAGCCTCTCCACATTTGAAAAAGACGACCTCTTCCATACTGCAGTCGCCGACTACCAAAGTGAGTCAGGAGCCCATTGAAGACAATTGCATTGTGACACGCAAATCACAAGACACAATGGCACATTGCTGCCACATTGTAGGACGATCTTGGATGAGCTTCTACGGTAATCTCTTGCATCTCTTACTGCACAATCAGATGACAGGAATACCTCGCGGAATGCGGGATAATGATGCGGCGTCGTGGTACTAGTGCCAGCCGGCACCGCCTCGCCTGAAGATCTGATAATGAGAAATTTGTCCTAGCTTCGTGCCTCTGAAATTATTCCGCGATAGGAAGGATGGAAACGGAAACTCAACTTGACCCCACGTTGGAGGGGACGAAACGCTGACTCTATACCAGCGTGGACGCGCTCCGGAGAAGATGGCGGTGCCATCATATCAAGAACATTCCACGGTCCTTATCATGGGAGAACGTCGCCAGTCTGCATGCACTTTGGTGGCAATAAGGACAAACAGGCAATTGTGTCGAAGATATGACAACAAGGACCCACAAACCAACCTCCGCCGAAAGCGCTGTGGCGTCATATCACGTGCATCAGGAAAACCCCACGCTGCATGCACCACATCAGGAAAACCCAACTTTTCCTTAGGGACTTATTTAGACTTTTGGGTCTGGCAACCCTTATTTAAGGCCATAAGTGTTTAAATAAGTCTCAATAAGTCGAATTTCAGACACTCAGGGAATATGCCTTAGGCCCTTTTTGTCCTTATGTCCTTAAATAAGGACCATAAGTTTATATAAGTTATTTAAGTGTCTTCTTAAGGAAAATCTTACTGGCTAATTAGCATAGGTAAATTACCGGTAAATGATAGAAATTCAGACTGGCCGAAAACGCCTGGTAAAATAAGGTAAATTAGACCCGGATTTCCAACGAGTGCGCGGCGGCAAAGTCGATACCAGCAGGGATATTCTACGCCCCTGGAGAATCAAATAACATTTTCGTAGTGCTGCCTCGTTTATTGAAGGTGAATTTACTACTGAGAACCCTCAGAAGTGACAGGCCCTTCCAGACGCTAAGCCACACTCCACCAATCATCTAGGCTACTCAGCACCTCTTTCCACCTGTATTTATATGTTCAACAGCTGTCCTGCGAGCCATGCACCTGCTGTTAGGCTGCGGCCAACGTGGAAGGCCGTACAAAAGTCACTTCTAGAGAAAGTTCTGCTCCAGTAAATTTACCGTAATTTACATACGTAAAATAGGACCCGCGGTGGCGCCAATGTACATGTTTCCCCGCGCACTAAATTCGTCTTAACTCATCGTTGGTAACGTCAGTGCTGCCCGTATCATTCGGCACTTCTCAACCTGATGTGAATTTCCAACACAGGGATCATGGTCCTCAGAATTGCCGGTTGGGTGTTGACTCACGACCAGGTTCGAACATGGTTGGAGCTGGGCGGGCGCGACTGCAAGAATCTCGAGCTTTATGAGCTTTCCGGAGCACTCAAGGATTGGTTCGAGGAGAGGCACATTGGGAACATGGCTCCCATCCCGACTGACTATCCTCACGGAAGCAAGCAGCCAGTCATCATTCTGACAACGAGATACTACCAGGATCCCGCTGCGACGGTGGCGCACTGGAAGCGCTTCAAGGAGCGAAATGTTGATCGCGCAATCAAGCGACGGGTCATAAAGGAGACCGGGTTTAAGGACGACGACTTGCGCTGGGTGACTGTCGTCGACCCGTACTTCCAGTACCCTGTGGTGTACAAGAATCCCCGAAACTACGCCCTCTGGCCTGAGACGGGCAGGCCGCCTGAGAATGATGGAGCTGAAAAGAAGGCAGGAGGTGATAAGGAAGTGGAGAAGGGAGACGAGGAGGATGGAGGCAAGGAAGAGGAAGCGGAAGGCAACGAGGAGCAGACGTTGGACGTCACCCAGAATGATTGATTGTACAATGTATCACATTGATCCCGTACTTCCCGGAATTGATGAGGCGGGCGTATGCAGCTTAGAACGGCATGACAGAGCAGAAAGGGAAGGTAAGTTGCCCATATAGAATGACCCAGATTGCAACGCCACCACTTTGTGCGTTCGACGAGACGCGGCTCTGATACCGGTGTACTGTGAGAAATACAACATGACTGCGGTTATATTTGTTTTAACTACGGCGCGTAGCTATGGCAGACCCCTAGATCTGCGCAGGGCGTGTTCCAGTCCCCATCGGCCTGCAGTAGCGGGGAGCTCAATCGGTTCACTGATGAGGCTCGGGATTGGCACCACCTTGGAGAGTAGGAGTAGAAGAAACCGCAGGGGCATTAATACCGAAGAATCTGGAGATCCACCAACACCAATCGTAACGACCGAGAATCACGATACAGCCAGTTCCGGCGTCCCGTAAAATACAATACCAAGAAAATACAGTGGTCCACGTCTCGCTCGGGCTTCCTTTACCGCCACCCCTCACGAAGTCAAGATCGCCTCAGACCGTCCTGTGATGTCGATCCCTAGCATCAGTTATCTCTCATCGTCGAGTATCCCACATCGAGCCACGCCCGCATCTTCTCCCCATATCGTATCGTCGCCCACAACAGTCTAAAGCCACACCGCACACTCCGATCAGCACAGGTCATGCCAAAAGCACTAACGAATACGACTCACACGAACCCCGCCCACGCAAGCACCGCTGCGATCCCGTCTGTCGCCGCGACGCCGATAAGGTTGATCAGCGGCAGGACACCCGACGTCACCGCGCCGACTATCAGGTTGCGCGTGCCCCTGGCCGCGCGACTCACGATCAGTCGTGCTCGGGAGAAAGGGGGAGCCAGAGCTTACTTATGCGCCGCAATGAGCTCCGCACTGCGCGAGTGCATCACATCGACCATGTACGCCGCGAGCGGGCTCAGCACGAGGTCGACCTGCGCCCACCACACAAATAAATAAATAAGCACCATCAGAAACAATCGCTTAAGAGAATGGAGGCGCACCCCGATGCCGTTCATAAACAGACACACGAGATTAAGTGCGATCCCAACGCGCCCGGCGACGAACCGCGTCGTGAGCCCCGAGAAGAGGATCGAACACGGGACGAGCACGAGGGCGGGCAAGACCGTCGCGCGCAGCCGGTCCTCGGGCACCCACCTCCCGCCGCGGCGTGTGCGCCATTTCACCACGATCTTGTCGGAGATCCGCCCTGCGATGGGCGCGCCCACTGGTGGTGTTACTGGTCAGCGGTGTGAGAAGGGGAATGGGGGAGAGGTGACTGACTGACGTTGCCACAGCCGGCTGCCATGAAGAACGCGCCGATGAGGGCCTCATTCGTTATGTTGTAGCGTGCAGCCTGGGAAGTGTGAAGAGATCGAAAGAGTGCGGGCGAGATGGGCTTACGATGGTGTAGGGAAGCGGAACGAGGAGAACTACGAGATAAGTGTCAGCAATCCCACCGTGACTCTCAAGCAATGCTCACCAAAATCCGTCAGGAGCACAAACGTCGCTGCGAGCGTCTTACGACCAACGGTTAGCCCTACACCGCACTACCAGTGCAGAGTTCACTCACGATCGCGAAGAGGTTCGGACTGCGGAGCAACGCGATGCTCGCAAACGGGTTCAGCCACACCCACCGCCACCCCTCAGGCTCGTCCTCAGCAGACTTGTCCACGCCCCGCGCGCCAGGGTGGCTCGTCTCGGGGAGGTACACCGCAGTCAGGATAAGCGCAAGCACGCCTGCGAAGAACAGCGCGTACTGCGTGACGCGCCACGACGCATAATGCGTCGCGATGCCACCGACAACGGGCGCGAGCGCAACGCCGAGCTGCGTCGCCTGTAGAGTCAGACCGTCAGTGGCGTAAAGGAAAAAAAGCGCGCCGGAGGAGGCGTACACCGAAGAAGATTCCCATCGCAGTCCCACGCTCCTCGAGCTTGTAGATGTCGCCGATCACGCCCGCACCGACAGAGAGCCCGCTGGACGCACCGAAAGCCTGAACGACGCGCCATACCATGAGCGAACGGATGGACGTGGCTGTCCCGACACCCAGCGAGCCGGCGCAGAGGCAGGGCAAGGAGGCAAGGAAGACGGGTCGGCGGCCGTCTGGGTGAGAGGTCAGAGGGGGGTGGAGAGAGAGTGACAATCAACTTTACAGTGGCCGGAGTATGTCGCCCATATTAGGCTGCTGATGGCCCCGGAGAGCATCGCAAGACTGACAGCCAAACTATGCAGAAGAAGGAGCGAACGTGCAAGGATCAATATTGTGCAACTGGAGAGCAACTCACCTAATCACAGGCCCGGTAGAATGCAGTTCCCTCGCAATCTGGGGTATCGACGGTACGAAAGAGCCAGACACGAATACTGCAGCACCGAAATGCTCTGCGGGGGATTTCCTGGAGTTTCGCGTATGCACGTACGGGGAATGAGACCCGCCCAAGACACCACAGCTACGACTACTCTCTTCTGCCGGGGACTGAAGCGCAGGTATACCTTTTCATGTTCCAGGACGATTACGTCCACTGAGCTCTGGGGGTCCAAAAGGGATGTTTCTTCCGACTCCATAGAAACTAAGCTAGTCGCATAGATCAGGGAAAGATGAAACTAGTCCAGGAGAATATTTGGCCCTTCACGCTCAGTGAACCATAAGCAGAGCAGGCGCACTAAGAGCCGTCACTCAAAGAGGGGGATATGTGTGACCTGGTCACGGCGAGATAATGGTACGCGTCCTATTTTTAGAAGGGCGTGCCACCTATCGGCACGTGCCGACGCGTCTGCAATATCGATCGCGTCAGTCACGCCGGTCAGGTACACAATGCCATTTACCACCGGCATGTCCCAGCTGCACGACGAGGATATTTATCGGAGTCCCGCGCTCTGTCGGACCGTCCGCGACATATTATTATCTGCCTCTTATATAGAACATCCATATACACCTGTGTCTCTTCCTTCTCTTTGGTTCTTTCCCTCCACCCACTTACTGTAATATCGCAGTCACCTGTACACCAGTATCCCAGAACACCACCATGTCTCTCCAGAAGAAAACCATGCCTTACGGTAAGTGCTACTAAGCCCTATGATTAGCCTGAATTCCTAGTAAACCGTGGAATAGTCAGGCTGGGCAACTCCGGCCTCAAAGTCTCCAAAATCATCTTGGGCACAATGCAGTACGGAAGCTCCGGCTGGCAGGAGTGGGTGATCGATGACCAGGAGAAGGCCATTGAGCACATCAAGTTCGCGTGCGTATATACCGATACACTGCTCAGTATGTTGCACTTAAACGCGCTACGCAACAGATATGACAACGGCATTCAGACCTTTGATACTGCAAATGTAACTTTAATGTCTTTGGGATGGCTGGCTTTTTCATGCACTTGTATTAGGTCTATTCCAATGGTTTGTCGGAGATCATCCTCGGGAACGCCATCAAAAAACTGGGCCTTCCTCGTGCCGAGATAGTCGTTATGACAAAGGCATGCGCATTGACATATAGCGTACCCATTCTTTCTGAATTAGATCACTTGCAGGTGTACGGCGTCGTTGCTCCATCGTATGACATCAATCTCCTGAAATCAGCCGTGCCGCCTGAGGAAATGGGGCTCGTAAACCAGCGCGGCCTCAGTCGCAAGCACATCTTCGAGTCGGTCAAGGCGAGCCTCAAACGGCTGCAGCTCGATTACGTTGACCTCCTGCAATGTGAGTCTGTCTGCTGTCATGGTCGACGGCGGATTGATCAGATCAACGAACTCTGACCAGGCCATCGTTTCGACTACGAAACGCCGATCGAAGAGACCGTACGTGTGCCAATGAATTTGTGCCCGAACGAAGCTTACCCTACGTCCTGCTCTCCTAGATGCAAGCCCTGCATGACGTCGTCCAGGCCGGTTACGTGCGCTACATCGGTATGAGCTCATGCTACGCCTACCAATGTGCGCACCTTTTCAAAAATCTGACGTTTAATGGCCGTGCTGACCGCCCGCACCGCAGTCCAAGCGATGCAGAGTGCGTCCCGCCCGCCTTGCGTTGCCAAAATGATGGCTGACTTCACGCCTTGCCGTAGACTACGCGATTAATAACAGGCTTACGCCCTTCATCTCAATGCAGAACCACCACAGCCTGGTGTACCGCGAGGAGGAACGCGAGATGTTCCCCACGCTCAAGGTGCGCCCTCCCTCTTTTCTCCGACTATCGTCTCGTTGCATCGCCTACAGATGTTCGGCGTGGGCGCGATCCCCTGGTCCCCACTCGCGCGCGGCATCCTCACCCGCCCGCTGGGGGAGCAGACGAAACGAGGTGAGACGGACAAGTGAGCTGCTATTTTATGTACGAGAGAACGCGCGCGTCGCTGATGGTGGAACCGCAGGCCGATCGGGCGGTACATGCGCGGGGCGGGCACGCCTGAGATCCTGAAGCGGTGCGTCCCGCGCTGCGTGCAGGTAGCTTGAGGCTGAAATTGCAGCAGAGTCGAGGAGCTCGCGCATAAGAAGACGATCAGCATGGCGCAGATCGCTCTCGCGTGGAGCATGGCAAAGGAAGGTGCGTGGGCCGCCGTCTTCTTACATCAGGCTCTCTGACTGACTGGCTCGCGCGTGCAGGTGTCACGGCGCCGATCATCGGCACGACAAGCCTGCAGAACTTGACTGATATCATCGGTAAACTATTTTTTGCATGCGGGTACAGGGAAATGCTGATTGGGATAACTTGTAGGTGCTGTAAACGTGGAACTCTCGCAGGAGGATATCAAGTATCTCGAGGAGCCGTACCAGCCGATGGCTATCGACGGGCACAAGTGAGTGGGTGTGGACGCGGTGCTGAGGTGAAGTTTTGCTGTGGAAAAACATGTGTAACGTATATTTCGTGGAGTATATTCAAGAATGTAACAGATAGAGTATGTGTTCCCGCGGTTGCACACACACGTTCGTAGTGAACCCGGGCTGCCAGGGATCTGGGCCATCTGACGGAGAGCCTCGCACCGTCTTGAAGAGAGCACCGGAAAGTATTGGGCGTGCCTCCTGTATGCTAGTCTTGGAATGTTTCATTTCGAGATTAATGTATGGTTGCGGCGGAGGCCCTAGCGAGCGCTTACTCGTGATGTCACGGTAACGTGCAACGGGTGACGCGGTGACGCGTGGTGATCGTGACGCATACGCAGATTAATTTTTCATCCTGCAGTTCCGCATATCGCCAGCTTTTGTCAGCTCTCAACGTTCAGCTGCTCTACGCTTGGATATCAGGGATTTAATATTTATGACTTGCAATGACCTTAGACCGAGGTGTGTCTCTTCCTGTCCGGCGAATTTCTTCATCTGAACCGAACATAGCTCCCAGTTCCACATTTTCCACTGCGTTTCACTGGCAGGCGTACTGCGTGCACTCCTTAACGAGGCAAAGTTTAGGATTTACCTGCTTGGCACTGTGCCCCATGCAGTGTTTTACAACATTAGAGTCTTTCGGTTCGGATTACCGCTCATCCTGAAAATCACGCGTCGAACTACAAGCACTGAGGCGCATGCGCTGAAGTTCTTACACAGCACAGGCTTGAATCTACCCATTCCGCGCCTAGTAGACTCGTTTGTTCGTGCAGGATGCACGTATACGATTATGTCACGGCTCCCTGGTGTTCCACTCCTCAACATATACGATAACATGGAGCCTGAGCAGCAGGGCGTAATATGTTCAGAGGTGGAGGCCGTTATGAAGACGCTGTGGGAGATCAAACAGCCGGCGGACATTGCTGGCCAGGTCATGATGAGTGCCTCTGGCGACGGTCTCCCCGATCCTATATTTTTCTTCGAGGAACACTCCGGCCCTTTCCCGTCTGCACTTGCCTGCTATGCCCACGTCTCCCGCCGCACGCCCGAGGAGTTCGATGGGGACGTAGACATCTCCGTGCAGAAGACTCTTGCCGCGGATCCCATTGTATGGGTACACACGGACCTCCGTATGCAGAACATCTTCATCAATGACGGCCATATCAGCGGTGTCATCGACTGGGAAGACTCCGGCTGGTATCCGTTGACATGGCAGATCCATGCTATGCGTTGGTGGCATCGTGGATGTAATGGTTGGTGGCGCGGTTATTGGTCGGATGACTACAGGTTCCCTCCAGTTTCGGAGCACGCTTATGATTGCTCTTGCAAGGTGCTAACGTACTCGGTGGTTTGACCTTCGTTGTTGGATCGCGTACGTATTGCACGCCGTCCCTTCTCCCTTTGTGGTGTGGTTGATGCACTATTATAGTGATATCCATGCAGTCCGAGGGCTGGCACTGAGCAAAAGCCTTCAGTTGCAAATACGCATATTCCTCTGATATTCTGACATTCATTCAAACCCAAACCGCCACAGGAGCGGCTCTTAGGTTATATGACAAAGACTGTCAATAGTTGGCTCTCTTCCCTGTGGACGTATAGTTTACAGATGCATTCAGGGGCAAATTTCAAAGCTAAGGGAGACTAAATTTACCAAGTACATGATGTGATACACATTTCGTACCTGGGTCCACAGAGCCTTCACGACAGTACATGTATCACAATGGGCCAAAACTTGTTCTTGTGTCGCAGTGCTCAGTAAGCTCCTTTTATACCTGCTCTCGCAGCGCAATGATGGATTGCGAAATTTCCCCCATTGTAGCAGCGACGAATAATCCCACCGTTGAAACGTTGACCCTTACGCCCACACCACAGAAACCCTTGCATTTCATCTGATTCCTATATAGGAAATGCAATTCACCCAACGATCTTTCGGACGCGGCAACTTCCGCGATCCAATCTCATCACGTGCACACTTCACGTCGCGTCGCGCGTCGACTGGCGTCTGTCATTCGCGCTCCATTCTTTCTAGCACTCTATTCAGTGGCTGACACTCCATCTTCTTCTATAATTTCTGGTCTTCCTCTCTGTTTATGTTATGGCTTCCCTCAGCCCAGATCTCGGTGGCTCTCACTCCAGAACTTGTGTGGCCTGCAAGCGGCTGCGGCCACTTCATGCATTTTCGCTCGCAAAGAAGGGTGTCAACAAGGGAAATTTGTCAGCAACATGCACAGAATGCTCGGAGCGAAAGTCAAGAACACAGAAGACCAAATACAAGGAACAGAATGAAGAGAAAAAGGGAAGTATGCTGAGTACTGTGGCCTTCACGGACTTTTTGGCCGTTCTAGAATCGGGAAATGGGTGCATCAATATTGAGGCCGAAGTGGACACCAGGAGCTTAGGTGAGGATGTAAAAGATGGCAAGACAATTGCCAATACAGTTGCAAAGTTGGTGTGGGAGGTGACAGGCTATCGGTGGCCGTGAGTTCCAGTGACCACCGAAATATTGCATGGCTGATCTATTCACAGGTATCACAGTAAATGGAATGTTGCAGCTGGGTGCATCAAATTCCGATACTACTGTGCACAAAGTGAAACCCACCAGAAGCAATCGAAGAAGTCGGCACCTACGCCAGATAAACAGCGCGACAAGGAGAGCATGATGTCATTCAATTGCAGGAGCTGGCTGTCCATTACTACAACAGAAGGTTCATCTGTTGTGTCCGTACAGCTTGTGCATGATGATGATCACATACCATATTGTTCGATTGATATCCCCAATGACGTTGAGGCTTTTGTTGCCAAGAATGCCTCAATGACACCCACACAGGTATGCATTCTCCATACATTTGAATGCTATCTAATCACATTGCACCCACATAGCTATGGAAAGAAATAATCGACAAATACCCAGATGCACAGTTTACTAAGAAGGCCATCTACCAGATGTGGTCAGAAGCAGACAGCAAAAACTGGAAACGTGACGGGAATGAGCTTAAGTCAGCAAAAATCCTACTCGAAGAAGGCTGTAAAAATTCTTCGGGACTGTATACAGTTCAACCTGTTCCGATTGCATCACCGCCCGGGCTTACGACAATTGCATTCAGTCTGCCAAATATCTTGCGGCAGTGGGGTGGTCGTATCAGAGAATTGGCCATGGATTCTACATGTGAGTTTTGGATTGTTCTGAATGAACGAGACATACTCACGCCTGGACAGGGAATACTAATGGTTCACGATTTGAATTGTTCGCTATATTAGGAGAGGCCTACAGATCCGGTCTGCCACTCGGGTATCTGCTTGTACAATCTAGCGCTGACGCGGAGCAAGGAGCAAAGCAGGACGTACTGGAACAATTTCTTCATCAGCTGCGATCACAATGGAACCTCCGTATCATTATTACCCTGTCTGACAAAGACTGGAGTGAGATCAATGCCCTCCGCAGAATATTTCCAGATGCAAAGCATCAGCTTTGCTTCTGGCATGCACTGCGGGCCATCAAGACACGGCTCTCAATCCTCCGACGGATGCCGGCACACTACGACATTGAAGAGGCTCACCAGGAATTCACTTTCATTGATGTGGACTTTCTTCCTGTGTCCCAACGCCAACCGTCGAGCACCCAATACCAGCCAAGGAAGACTGCACTCCCCCAGCTCCAGTTCCGCATCAACGGTGTACTTCAGCCGCTGGTTCCTCAGGAGCATCGGTTGATGTTGCGATTACCAAGACGACCAACCATCAGGAGCGAAGATGTAGTGCACGTAGAGATTGCATCTGGATCAGGCACGAGTTCTGAAGAAGAAGACAATTCGGAAAGTGACGCTGCTGCAGAACAGAGTCTGCAGCAGCATCACCACTCGAATGTGATGGAAGACATTGGTGAAGATATTGGTGATGGTGCAGACAGTGGGGATATAAGAGACGATGTCAATGGTAAGTCTGATGAAGATGAGACTGACGCAGAGGATGCACCAGATTGGGTCTTCGACATGGGTGAGAAAAAATCTGCCGACCCGACGTACGTGTTTTGTCCTGCGCCACACCGCAAGGCTCTCCTGCATCTATTCACCAAACACTTCTGTCAGCACCCCTTGTTCATCGAACGTGATGGCAAATCACACACCTCTGAACAAATTCGCCGTGATGCTGTCTACGAGATGTATCTCTTCTGTCAGATTCGTGGTCTCACTGAGGTCTGGGCGTACATGTGGACTTCCTGGTATTCTCACCGGCGGTGGCATCTGTGGGCCCGATCGACGACGCCATGGATTTCTCGGGCTCGCACGACCATGAACACCGAAAACCACTTCAAGCAAGTCAAGCATGACTTTCTTCCACACCTACTTAGACCTCGACTGGATCAGCTAATCTGGATCTTGAGCACAAAGGTTGTCCCTGCATACATGAAGCGAGCTCAAGAACTCGAGGACACTTACCGCATCGGTCGCTCGAAAAAACTCACCTCCTATCAGATCAGATTCAAAAAAGCATGGCGGACTCTCGAAAAGAAACCTATCAGCAACTCAGGCATTGATTACCATGTGAACGTGGCAACATGGACATGTGGTTGTGGGAATCAAAAATACAATGCATACCACCTGTGCAAGCACCTGGTACAAGCCGTCGTGAAACCACCCCCTCGCTTCTTTCGTCAAGTGGTCCGTCGCAGGACCATCCCTATCTACTGTCATCCTGACCTGCGCCCGAAGATGCTTGAGGGACAAGACGTCACCCCAGAACCTGCGGAGGCCAGCGACGGCTCGATCACTGATGGCGATGATCACCTTTGGCTGGGCAACAAGGAGAAGCTGAAAGGAGGTAGCTGGCGCGAGATGACTCAGAGAAGCGTCGCCGAAAGCATCTTGGGCAAACGCTCACGAGAAGAAGCCATGTCCGAAGGGGATGCCAGGGATGCCGCAGAACAAAAACATGAGTCAATCGAGACTTCTGATCTTCAAAGTGGCGCGGAGGATGCGGAAGACGAGCACAGTGAGATTGACAGTGACGAGGTGCGTGCTAAGACAGAAGTAGAACTGATATCATAGTTGCCGGTATTGATGCTGCGCAGGTACAGGGCATCTTGGAGCGGGGACACCATACCCAGGAAGTACTCGCCGAATTAAGCAAGATTGTTGCGTCGCAGGTCGACTACAAGAATATCTTCTGGCTGCGACGCTTTGTCGGCGACAATTTTGCGCAGCATGCGGAGAGGTTGCTTGGCGACATTCGCCATGTCGAGAGTACCGGCAGACGACGAGACGTGACATGGCCGCGCAATCGAAGTGAAGCAAGGCGCTCCCGGAATACCATGGGGTACCAATCTCGCTGCGCGAGTTCTGATGCAGCGCCTTCGGAAGGCTGATCTGTATGGTTTTTTCTCTCTGAGATACTTGGTTTTGGTTACTTATTTCTCGTCTTATTTCTTTCTTATCAGAGACAACTTCTCTGTGTACATTCTGTATTCTAACCCAATGTACTACTACCATACATTAATATTCACGTACTTTGCGCTGTGAGCCTTATGTTCGACGTTTACGTGAAGTGTGCACGTGATGAGATTGGATCGCGGAAGTTGCCGCGTCCGAAAGATCGTTGGGTGAATTGCATTTCCTTTCCTATATCTCCAGCAAGGTTCCATCACGCGTCGGCACGTGCCAACGCGTCTGTATCGATCGCGTCAGTCACGGTCAGTCACGTCACTGCTATCGGCCACCGGCATGTCCTGCATGACGAAGACATTCATCGGAATCCCGCGTTCTGTCGGACCGTCCAACACACATATAAGAACCTCTCGCCTGTATCTCTTCTTCCTTTACCTCCACCCACTTATCCGGCAGTGCCGCAGTTAGGTCGCACCACCGTCGCAGAACATTATCATGCCTCTCCAGAAGAAAACTATGCCTTACGGTGAGCGTTACTAGGCCCTAGGTTTAGCCTAAATTCTCACACAATCTTGGAATACACGACAGTCAGGCTGGGCAACTCCGGTCTCAAAGTCTCCAAGATCATCTTGGGCACAATGCAGTACGGAAGTTCTGGATGGCAGGAGTGGGTGATCGATGACCAGGAGAAGGCCATTGAGCACATCAAGTTTGCGTATGTACCTACTGGCCCACGGCTAGCACCTCTGCTGCACTCATACTTTGTGACACGACAGATACGACAACGGCATCCAGACTTTCGACACTGCAAATGTAACTTATCCTTTTCTGGGATGCGCTGGCTTTCTTATGCGTTTATATCAGGTCTATTCCAACGGCTTGTCAGAGATCATTCTCGGGAACGCTATCCAAAAACTGGGCCTTCCTCGAGCTGAGATAGTCGTTATGACAAAGGTGTGTACGTTGACATATGACACCCTTGCTTGTTGACTTGAACCATTCCAGGTCTACTTCACTGTTGCTCCATCGCATGACACCAACCTCTTTAAATCCGCCGTGCCGCCTGAGGAAATGGGGCTCGTCAACCAGCACGGCCTCAGTCGCAAGCACATCTTCGACTCGGTCAAGGCGAGCCTGAGGCGTCTGCAGCTGGATTACATCGATCTCCTTCAGTGTACGCCGATTTATCTCCCATGCTCATGCTCCATGGCCAAGTGACGAGCTTACAAATGAACTTTGCCCAGGCCATCGTTTCGACTACGAAACGCCCATCGAGGAGACCGTAAGCATTTCAGTGAATTTGAGCGTGCACGAAGCTTACTGGTTCTGGTGCACCTTCAGATGCAAGCCCTGCACGACGTCGTCCAGGCCGGATACGTGCGCTATATCGGGATGAGCTCCTGCTACGCCTACCAATGTGTGTACCCTTCCAAAAACAGTCTAACGGCTTATGACCGTGCTGACCACCCCGCCCGCAGTTCAGGCGATGCAGAGTGCGTCCCCTCTGCTCAACCCTGCGCACATGTGGGCCCACTGACATCACGCCTTACGGTAGACTACGCGATCAACAACCATCTCACTCCCTTCGTCTCGATGCAGAACCACCACAGTCTCGTGTACCGCGAGGAGGAGCGCGAGATGTTCCCAACGCTCAAAGTACGCCCCTCCCTTTCTCCCTTTTTCTGAGTCACCGCAGGTTCGTCACGGGCTGACTGTCTTTTGTCACAGATGTTCGGCGTGGGCGCGATCCCGTGGTCCCCGCTTGCGCGCGGCATCCTCACCCGCCCGCTGGGGGAGCAGACGAAGCGAGGTGAGACAGAGAAGTGAGCTGTTGTTTCCTCCTGTGGGAGAGAATGCGAGTGTCGCTGATGGTGGACTTGCAGTCTGATCGGGCGGTACACGCGCGGGGCAGGCACGCCCGAGATCGTGAAACGGTGCGTCCCGCACTGTGTGCAGGTAGCTTGAGGCTGAAAATCCAGCAGAGTCGAGGAACTGGCGCAGAAGAAGACGGTCAGCATGGCGCAGATCGCTCTCGCGTGGAGCATGGCAAAGGACGGTGCGTGGGTCGTCGTCTTGCTACAGGCTACAGGCTCTCAGTCTGACTGACTCGCGCGTGTAGGCGTCACAGCCCCGATCATTGGCACGACAAGCTTGCAGAACTTGACGGATATCATCGGTAAAATATTTATTGCGTGCGGGTTCGGGGAAACGCTGATTGGGATAACTTGTAGGTGCTGTGAACGTGGAACTCTCGCCAGAGGATATCAAGTATCTCGAGGAGCCGTACCAGCCGATGGCTATTGACGGGCACAAATGAGTGGGTATGCGCACTATAGCGGGGGGAAGCATTTACTTTGTGCGGGTGAAGTTCCTAGACGATGTGTTTAAGTTAGGTTTGGAGGCGCGTATCGTTGCGGGACGTAACACGGCGTGTTTACGGTCACCCGAATGTACGAACGCTATCTGCAGTCCAGCCGGATAAAGTGAATGGTCATAAAGAATTTGGATGAGAGATCATGACATGGCATGCAGCCTGTCCACACAGGTTGTTTGAAAAGACTCAAGTATGTTTGCTCCGTCGGCACTGTAGTAACTGGGCATCCCAATGGTAGTGCTAAGTTGTACACCAAGTTTCCGAGAACAACGGGTGACATTATGGGCCGGTTATGTAGAAGTAGGCCAGGACACCTTCTACCCATACGCACGATCACTAGACCAGGATTCTGACACCTAAGTCAACGTTGCGCTATGCTTGATACTCCCAGAGCCAGGTATATTGCGACAATGCTAGAGTATTATTGTGGAGATGCGACAGAATAGTAACAGATATTCACTACTCACGGCAGATGGACCTTGTGAAGTCATCGTGAAGGGGTATAAGCAGTACATCATCCACGCCACAAAGACAATGCACCATACGTCTATGGACGATCCACCCGGGGGAAGCGCTAGACCACCGAATAGGTCAGAACTTTGCACGAACATTCATATGCATGCTCCGACACTGCAGGGAACCTGTAATTGATTGACCAATATCCGCGCCACCAACCATTACATCCACGGTGCCACCAACGCATAGCGTGGATCTGCCATGTCAACGGATACCAGCCGGAGTCCTCCCAGTCGATGACACCGCTAACATGGCCATCCTTAATGAAGATGTTCTGCATGCGAAGATCCGTGTGCACCCATACAATGGGATCCGCGGCAAGAGTCTTCTGCACGGAGATGTCTACGTCCCCATCGAACTCCTCGGGCGTGCGGCGGGAGACGTGGGCATAGCAGGCAAGTGCAGACGGGAAAGGGCCGGAGTGTTCCTCGAAGAAAAATATAGGATCGGGGAGACCGTCGCCGGAGGCACTCATCATGACCTGGCCAGTAATGTCCACTGGCTGCTTGATCTCCCACAGAATCTTCATAACGGCCTCCACCTCAGAACATATCACAGATTGCCGCTCCTTGTCCATATTCTTATATATCTTGATAAGGGGAATGCCAGGCAGCCGCGACATGATGGTGTACGTGCATTCCGCACGGACATAGGAATCTACCAAGCGCGGAATGGGTAGATTCAGGCCTGTGCTGTGTAGGAAACGTAGCGCATGAGCCTCAGTGCTTGAAGTTCGACGAGTGATTTTCATGATGAGCGGTAATCCAAACCGAAAGACTCTGATGTTGTAGAAAGTTTTATGGGGTATAGTGATAAGCAGGTAAATCCTGAACTTTGCCTCGGTGAGGAGACTCCGGAATACACCCCCAATGTAACGGAAAATGCGGAAGGAAGCTGCATTAGATTCATCTCAGATGGAGTTACGCGTTAAGCAGGATGAGATTGACACCTCCATAGTTTGACATCGTAAGTCATGTATCTTTGATACCCCAAACAGTAGTTGATGGACGAGACAAAGGCCTGTTGACCGACGTTGACAGAACTTGTGCAATGTGCAAAGGTGCGGTATGGCAGGATATGGCACTGTGACTGATCGCTCTTGTCACAATCGTGTTACATGCTCGTCACGATGGCCTATTATTACTGACACATGTACAGCTGGAGGTCCACCTACCTACCTAACAAGAGAGTAAGTACATGCTTTGAAATGACATGCGTGCTATAACTAGATTTCGGACATAATAGGCGCAAAGTCGCCCCCAAGCTCGGCAAGCGCATTCTCTGCCTTCGCTTCCAAAGTAGCGATAGCCCGTCGAACATCCTCCATAGTATCTGCACGAGTGATAAGGCCATTCTGCTGCAGGAGCATCAATGCCTCGATGATCCAGATACGGCAATTGCTGCCGTCGTTCCTGTTAGCTCTAATGCTCGATGAACTCTCCGGGAAAATTGTTTGAAAGAGCCCGACGAAGTCAAAACCGGGAGCGGGGGCGCTGTATCCCACGATCTTGCAGAAAGAAAGATTCAAGTTGTGTCCTCGTGTGTACGTAGATACCGGGTCGATGCATTGGTGACTATATCGCTCCGCTACCGCCCTATCTGCACCAATCGTTGCAGCCCAGTGGTGACGGGTTGTGGATCCATGAGCATCCACGATGAGCAATGCCCAATGAGAGCCAGGAGACAGCATGAGCTGTAAGGATATGTATATAGAGTTGGCGGAAAGATGAACGGGGGGATTATCATCGTCGGTGTCCGTGTCCATGGTAGAAGAGGGTGAACTTGAAGCATAAGAAGATCAGTTGGAAACAAACAGCTGTTCAAGAAGAAGGGTGATACTTACATTTGTTGAGGATGTCTAGACGGGAGGTTAAGCAGGAATCACTACGACGCAACCACACGGGAAGGTTGAGCGAACGACCATACGCAACGGATAGACATCACTCACCAGGAGATAGGCGACTGGTGATGATAGGTTCCCTGCCTGTTACCCTCCTAGCGTATTTATACGAGCATGCCTGGGATCGTGTCACTCATCTCACGGCATCAGTAAGGATGAAAATTGTAATATCACCATATGAAGGCACAAAGGGTGTTCCTGCTTCCTGCGTATGAGGGATATGGTACTGCTGCCCTACTGGCTTTATCAAATCATAACGGCACGAGATTCTGGAAGGTGAAGTGGAGTAAACCGAGTCATTCAGGCCAAAACGGATCGTCGACCTTTCGGCGAGTACGTGGCGTGCAATAAAAAATCGCCACGCCTTCAAGGGAGGAAGGTCGACACCATGGAAGAGCCCCAAAGAATTCAGTCTTCGTAATATCAGGCGCCTGCTGATATCAGTGCCCACGAAGACACGTAGAACCAGATGATACCATCCTTGATTTTGGGCGTCGTTCTAGCATGGGATCCTCAGCAGACTGCCGAAAGTTGTTTAAAGGATGAGACATTACATATGCTGGACATCGTAATGAAATGACCCACAGGGACTCACCTTCTGCGTCTACCGTCACCTCATAGACACGATCAAGCCGAACCTATTTTTTGATAGATACGGAGTCTTCGGATATCCTGCCCCTTCTTTGCGACATTACTCCTTACAGGTTGTCCTTGAATTTTATAACAAATTGCCTGCTTCGCGGCGCTCTCAAGGCGGGAACGTCTTCTGCGCAAAGCTAGGACTGAAGATCAGCCGTAAGAGACAATAGATAATACCTTGATCTGTTTGTCTATCAATCCAGACCACGTACACCATAAGCTAGAGTCTGATGGAAGGCAAAGGCGTGTCCCAACGCGGTTACCTTCCGCTCGACCTCCACACCGCCAGTGCGATGACTCGCTGAGTGAAAATTGCGGAGGCGCTCAGCACGGAAAGGGAACGGAAAATAATGGGAATGTACCCTAAGAATCTTTCTAAGTCTTCATTGGACTAGGAGCTCGAAGCTTGACCGTGATCGTGCAGCTTTCTTGCTCAGGACGTGGAGAGCGTGAACAGGTGCTCAAGCGCTCACGGATCGAGATGTGGCGTGGATCGGAGATGCGGAGATTCTACATTTGGTATACCTTGTGGTTGGGGTAGACTGCTAGAGCAACCGCAAGTCCCAGGGTTTTTTCGGTTCTATGATGTGTTCAAGTCTTGCACGGCAACAAAACTAAGGAGAATCATACCACAAACTCGCCGGCCCACCGGAAAGCCGCAGCTTCTCCCTCATTCGTGCACGGTCTCTACGCGGTCAAGACGAGTGCCGATGGATAATCAGTAGTCGTTTTCTGTGACTCACTGGGTCTTTATCCGGTTAGGCCCAGTGCGGAGCCTTTAGATACAGTCTCCCTTCACTCTGCGCTACGTTCAAGCTTGACGAGTCAGTGGAACCACATTCAGAATGGTGGGTAAATATCAGGACAAGGACGATGCAAATTGCGAGACTTTTTCCGCATACAGAGAGCGCTGGCAAGACCCCTGAGCCGTTAAGATGAACGGCATCTTTCGTCTTATGGCAGAAGTCATTAAATGTATTGATGGTGTTCGTTCTATATTACGGCAGCGACGGAGAACCGAAGGACGACACGAAACGCAGGCACTGTAAAACATCGTCAGCTACGTATGAAATGCAATGACAACTGGAAGCAATCGACGACAGATATGAACATAGCAATGAACAATGACGAACGATACAGTGTAACATGAAAGTAATAAGGGAAAACATACTATCGCGCTTGGGTTAACGAAGAGAAATGTGCTTCCTCTCCTTCCGCTACAGTTCTAGTACGCGAGCATAGTACTCTTCGCCCTCTGCAGCATTTCCCAGTCCTTTCTCCAGCGCTTGGCTCTGCTCCTCAATTGCAGCCTCTATATCCGTTACCTTGTCTGACCGCGTAAGTGCGCCACGGTCGCGCAGCAACGCCAACGCGCGTAACACCCATGTACGGCATGACATCTTATGCTTGCGATTCTCGATCCACGACGGGTAGCTGCCATTCGGGAAGATCCCGCTGAACTCCGCCACCCAGTCAAAGTCGGGCGGGGGTGGGACGTATCCTCTGACCTTGAAGTAGGCAAATATGAGTCTGCCCTCCGGCGTGTATGTGGCTACCGAGTCTATTGAGCGATGGAAGTAGCGTTCAGGTGTCTCGCGCGAGAGATCCTCCGCCCAGTCGTGGCGTGTGGATGCACCATTGGCGTCGGTGACGAATAGAGCGTAGTGAAAGCCGTCTGACATGAGGATTTCTGTGGAGAGATAGAGGGAGTTCGGCTCGAGAACGACAGGCGGGTTTTCTGACATGTTGCAGACGAAAGCTATAAGCTGGTGCAGGCGATGCTGGAGGTTCAACTGAACTAACACGGGCGTTTGAGCACGTATCGCGCACGTGTGAATTGTCCGCTATTGTCCCGCTCGTCCTCTTTGCTAAGAACTCATGATACTCCTAATCGTCCAGTCCGATATGAAGCTTTGAAGAACAACAAACTGTTAGCAAGACAGACCGCAAGCCGAACGAGCGTTGAACCTGGTGGGTGGTTAGCGGGCTCATTGCTGATCACATAGGCTGACGTTGCAGTACCACTGCTATTATTGCCTCCCCTCAGAAGGAGAAATGCCTTACGGTGAGTAACACCATGAGTTCTGCGCCAATTGCATTGACCCTAGTCTCTCTTAGTTCGATTGGGTAACTCGGACTTAAACATGTGGGAACGCTGCAGTACGGCCGTAAAGGTTGGACAGACTGAGTATTTGACCCGATGCAGCAATAGAGCCCATCAAAATAGCGTGGGGCAAGTTTGCCTCAGCTAATGCGACTGATTTACAGTCGATGTGCGACAAATACAGCAACGGTATCCGGAGCTTTGAGGCCGCCTGCATTGGTATTCTCGATTTTCAACCACTAACTTCCTGTCACCTTACAGTCGATCCGTGCCATCAAGACAATACAACTGTCTCTCCGGAGAGGCGGTGAAGACCGCCGTGATGAGCAAGAAGCGTTATGATATCGCTGCACCAGTATCTTTGAAGCAAGTCATAGTTTGGAGAATACTAGGTATTCGGTGGGGTCTCGCCGATGTACGGCTTTGATCTCGGGGTATCTGAAGTTCAGCCAAACTTGGTCGCCCTAGTCAACCAGCATAGACTGAGATAAGTCTATCCTCTGGTGCTGCAATTTCTCCATGACTCAGACATTCACAGGATTTTCTCTGCTGTGTAAGCGGGCTTTAATTATCCTTCTTCAGCTTGATTACATCAACTCCCTACAGGCCCGGGGTGAATGAGACCATCGCCGACTAGTCATGATGATTCATACCACAGGCCGCCGATTTGGTCATGCGTCACCTATCGGGGAGACTGTGAGTTTTTATTTTGCGTATTCATGGCTGAATGATGTCCAATCAGATCCACACCTTGCACGATGTCGTGCAAGCGGGGTACCTAGATTACGTCGCTGTGGGCCGTGCAACGTGCAATGGGCACTTGTGAGCCTACCCCGTGTCATGTCACAGACCATACTCACTAAGCACGATATGTCCATGCCATGTAGAGTGAAATTTCCTTCGCAGACTCCCGGGGTGCTCGGTCTCATTGTTTTATCAGACTCTGCATCAAGGACAAGTTGACTCCATTCATTCGATGCAGAACCACCACAACCTGGTCCACGGCAATCAAGAGAGTGGGTCGACACTCAAGGCGCTCTTGTCGTATGTCCATATCGCCACCATTTCTTACAGTGTATCCTGCAGATTTCGGCGTTGGCGCGATCCCGTGGTTTCCACTTGCTAGCGGTGTCCTCGCACGATCTCTATCTGCACAGGTGAGACGAAGGGAGGCCGATTGGGCTTTCATCCCAGCTCAGTTGTTCGTCCGTGTACGTTCATTACACTCTACACGGATAGCGCTGGATCGTCCGAAGACACAACCGCCTCTCGTTGGCATTCTGTCATTGCTGATCTCATGTGCACTTACGGCGTGGAGGAAATTGTGCAGGAGAGCATCAATACGAGCCCAAGTTGCGATTGCTTCGAGCATTTCCTTGGAATGTAGGCCAAATCCATCGGGCCTTATCCTCGTCTAAACAATCTCGTGCTAAATTTCAGGCGTCATCGTGCCCATCGTCGGCACAACACCCACAGAGGTCTCAACGGTGTCATTGGTAAATGCATTTAGAAGGTTATTTCGGTGCTGCTGCTGGTGAGCTGTTCTATCAGCTGCCGTGATATCCGTCCAGCTCGAGAAGGAAGAAATCATGAATCTCGAGGAGCCTTATCGTTGTATTTCTCATTGACGGGCCTGTGTGTTACTGCCCCTGATATTGTTCATTATCAATATACACTAGCGAACTTGCCATGTCTAGGGTACCATTATGAGCTATTTTCCTATTGATACGCGGAAGTACTTGAGCGCAACTGTTTTACACAACAAATAACAGCATTTCCGGAGTATTACAGCGGTGCAAGGGGAATAGCCAGCACTGACATGATTGATATAATCGTGAAGTAGCTGGAATTCCAGGAGAAAATGTCAAATCAGATGATAGTAGGACTTGCAGTACAGCAATAATACGCAGAGACGAACGGATGAAATCCGTTGTAACACATCTATCGTACAATGCGTCGGACTCATCCAGCTGAAGGACAAAAAGTGGTGAAAGCATCTGTCTAGAAATCTTCTTCTTTAAAATCCTCGTCGAGAATGGTGAGATCGATCACATCCACCTCCACCTCCACCGCACGCTCCTTACCCTTGGAAGATGCGACCTGACTGGTCAAGCCGGTAGATGTGTTCAATGGTTTCTGTCGAGCACCAGGATTCGGAGCAGTGTGCCGACGTTTCGCGCTAACAGCGGAAGGATCTATCCCATGGGGCTGCAAGTCAGCCTTGCGCTTCAGAGGGTTCATCGTTATCTGGTTCTCTGCGGGTTCCACTATGGTAGGATTTGTTGCATTCTTCGCGGCCGCATTCCTCTGATCCCTGCGCTTATACTTCCGCACGAGCCTGTCAATAGCTGTAATGTAAAGAGCAGATGAAATTACAGATGGTTTTGAAAAGAAACGGATATAACAGCACCTGGAGCTTGTCGGCGATAAAACTCGGCCCATGACCTATATCCTCTCCCAGGGTACTATTTATCAACGGAGGACAAAAGTCAACCAAAACTTCAGTGATAATATTTTAAAATGCCCCACCTTGTCCTGAAAAGGTTCCCATTTCTCATGCCGCAACCTCTCATCCCAGTCTGAAGTTAATGCAATAAATTTGGCAACAATACGAAGATCAGCATCAGTGTAGGGTCCACCGGTTTCACCCATGTTGCGAGCATCATCCTCAGTTCTGGGTTCATCACCTGGAATACTGGACAGATTGGAGTCCGAGTCATCATTGTCCTCATTGCTGGATGAGGTAAGTGGACTACTTCCAGCAGGAACATGCTTTGAACCCTGTTCTGCAGTAGGGATAACGTTGACATATTCTTGTGCCTTAGCAAAGATTGTATCCACAAGATTGGCACGACGCTTGTAATATGATTTCCATGAGTCAAGAGAATGGTGAGGTGCCTGTGTAGAAACACAAAGATCAGCCACAATGACTTGGACAAGGCTAATACTCCAAACTTACCTTCTTTGCAATTTTACCTGTTATAACTGACCTGGACAAAGTATGATCTTGCTAAAGGTACCATTGAATTGATCTGATGTAGAAGCTATCATCCTCATCGGTATATGCATTAGCAAAGCGAGGGTTTCCTGTTCGCTTAGGTGGATGAGGTGCTGGAGGAGTTGGAGATCATGATGGTGGTGTGGGAATGTGCAAGGCAGCATGAGTAGCATTATGTCTGGAATTTTTGGAATTGCTATTGGAGAATCGAGGAAGAAGAACTCTGTGATGAGCAGACCGAAGATCATGTCGAGGGAGTGCCAAAGGATGCATTGATGTGGATGCCTCTGTGTGGCTCGCAGGCTGTTAGGAGGTCAACAGATGTGAGTTTTGTTAAAGGCCCTCTTATTCTGTACTCACTAAAATGCCAGCAGGCTGAGAATGGAGTTCTGAAGCCAATGAATTACCAGTTGGTTGAGGGTGAGATTCAAATGCCACTGGATTTCTAAGGCACTGAGAATGAGATTCCATGCTGAGTGGAATGCCAGCAGGTTGGGAGCCAGGATCTGCATTCTGCCCTGTCAGTGGTGCTTGTTCTGGTGCCAGAGGGTCATTGGATCGACTTGTATCAGATATGGTAGAAATTTGATCATGGATTCGCTTGTAGTTATTCATGTAATGATCTTTCCATTGAGTGGCAGTATGGTTGCATACCTGCAGTGTAGTGCTAGTGTCTTAAGGCCAGAGAAAAGAAGCATGAGAATAACATACCCCATGCAGAGTCTCTACAACATCACTGTCTAGTTGTCCAGTTCCAATGCTTGCATGAAGCTTCTGCACAAGAAGATCTTCATCGTCAGGAGATATAGGTGTAACATTAGTCCTTGCAGTCCCATCAGTCGAGGTTTGTGAAGGAACCATCGGAAGATTGGACATATTGAAGGCTGGTAGATTCTGGAATTGAGCAGGGAGACCTGGCATGTACTGAGGAAATGTTTGCATGCCATTGAAACCTGGCAGCATGAGATGGTGACCTGTAGGAGGGATTTGACGAAAATATGATGGAAGTGGCACATTAGGGAAGCCATACTGATCTTGTGCCAGAAAGTGCCCCGGATAGGGGGTATGAACCTGAGGCATGACGGGCCCAAGGTGTGGCTGAACATTCGCTGCAGCTTGAATCAGGTTCCAGAATGCAGTTATGGCATCACCAGAGGTATTGTTGTTTGACCCCGGTGAAGCGTTTGAAGTCCCGCTTGCATCACTTCCGGTGGGTGCAGGATTCATTCTCGGCAAAGGATCAGTCAATGGGACAGCGGATGAGAACCACGAAAACTCACAGTGCTCAGATGTAGACTGAAAATTCGCTCTTGGCAAGAACGATATGTTCCACGTGGCGATCGCGTCTCACTTGACCATACAATCAACTCGCAGAAGGCCGAGCTGGCGGTGCAGGCTGCACCATCAGGCGGAGTACACGTCCACACTCGAGGGCCCGGGTGCGAACTCGCGGATGAACACGGAGCTCGACCCCCTGCGACAGCGTCGACCTAAACATGTCGAAGATCATACTGGGAACGCTGCCGTACAGCCGTACACGTTGGACACACGGAGTATTGAACCTGATGCAGCAATGGAACGCATCAAACTTGCGTGAGTTTTATGCGTAGGCAAGTTTGCCTCGGCTAATACAACTGATTTACAGTCGATGTGCGACAAATACAGCAACGGTATCCGGAGCTTTGAGGCCGCCTGCGTTGGTATTCTCGATTTTCAACCACATAACGCTAACTTCCTGTCACCTTACAGTAGATTCATGCCATCAAGACAATGCAACGGTCTCTCCGGAGCGGCGGCGAAGACCGCCGTGATGAACATGATGCGTTATATCGCTGCACTAGTATCCTTGAAGCAATCTACAGCTTAGGGAATACTAGATATTTGGTGCAGTCTCGCCGATGTACGGCTTTGATCGAGGCCATTGAAACTTCAGCCAAACTTGGTCGCCCTTGTCGACCAGCGTAGACAGAGGTAAGTCTATCCTCTCGTGCTGCAATTTCTCCACGATTCAGACATTAGCAGGATTTTCTCAGCTGTGAAGGTAGGCTTCAATTATCCTTAGCTCGGCTCCATCGACTCCCTCCCTGCGGTACGAGTGAAACTGTCGCAGACTAGCCGAACCATAAACCACCAATTCGATCACGCGTGACGACGTCGTGCAAGTGGGATATGTAAGTTACGTCGCCATTGGCCGTGCAACATGCTATGGCCACTTGTGAGTCTGCCCGTGTACCCAAGGAAATGCAATTCACCCAACGATCTTTCGGACGCGGCAACTTCCGCGATCCAATCTCATCACGTGCACACTTCACGTAAACGTCGAACATAAGGCTCACAGCGCAAAGTACGTGAATATTAATGTATGGTAGTAGTACATTGGGTTAGAATACAGAATGTACATAGAGAAGTTGTCTCTGATAAGAAAGAAATAAGACGAGAAATAAGTAACCAAAACCAAGTATCTCAGAGAGAAAAAACCATACAGATCAGCCTTCCGAAGGCGCTGCATCAGAACTCGCGCAGCGAGATTGGTACCCCATGGTATTCCGGGAGCGCCTTGCTTCACTTCGATTGCGCGGCCATGTCACGTCTCGTCGTCTGCCGGTACTCTCGACATGGCGAATGTCGCCAAGCAACCTCTCCGCATGCTGCGCAAAATTGTCGCCGACAAAGCGTCGCAGCCAGAAGATATTCTTGTAGTCGACCTGCGACGCAACAATCTTGCTTAATTCGGCGAGTACTTCCTGGGTATGGTGTCCCCGCTCCAAGATGCCCTGTACCTGCGCAGCATCAATACCGGCAACTATGATATCAGTTCTACTTCTGTCTTAGCACGCACCTCGTCACTGTCAATCTCACTGTGCTCGTCTTCCGCATCCTCCGCGCCACTTTGAAGATCAGAAGTCTCGATTGACTCATGTTTTTGTTCTGCGGCATCCCTGGCATCCCCTTCGGACATGGCTTCTTCTCGTGAGCGTTTGCCCAAGATGCTTTCGGCGACGCTTCTCTGAGTCATCTCGCGCCAGCTACCTCCTTTCAGCTTCTCCTTGTTGCCCAGCCAAAGGTGATCATCGCCATCAGTGATCGAGCCGTCGCTGGCCTCCGCAGGTTCTGGGGTGACGTCTTGTCCCTCAAGCATCTTCGGGCGCAGGTCAGGATGACAGTAGATAGGGATGGTCCTGCGACGGACCACTTGACGAAAGAAGCGAGGGGGTGGTTTCACGACGGCTTGTACCAGGTGCTTGCACAGGTGGTATGCATTGTATTTTTGATTCCCACAACCACATGTCCATGTTGCCACGTTCACATGGTAATCAATGCCTGAGTTGCTGATAGGTTTCTTTTCGAGAGTCCGCCATGCTTTTTTGAATCTGATCTGATAGGAGGTGAGTTTTTTCGAGCGACCGATGCGGTAAGTGTCCTCGAGTTCTTGAGCTCGCTTCATGTATGCAGGGACAACCTTTGTGCTCAAGATCCAGATTAGCTGATCCAGTCGAGGTCTAAGTAGGTGTGGAAGAAAGTCATGCTTGACTTGCTTGAAGTGGTTTTCGGTGTTCATGGTCGTGCGAGCCCGAGAAATCCATGGCGTCGTCGATCGGGCCCACAGATGCCACCGCCGGTGAGAATACCAGGAAGTCCACATGTACGCCCAGACCTCAGTGAGACCACGAATCTGACAGAAGAGATACATCTCGTAGACAGCATCACGGCGAATTTGTTCAGAGGTGTGTGATTTGCCATCACGTTCGATGAACAAGGGGTGCTGACAGAAGTGTTTGGTGAATAGATGCAGGAGAGCCTTGCGGTGTGGCGCAGGACAAAACACGTACGTCGGGTCGGCAGATTTTTTCTCACCCATGTCGAAGACCCAATCTGGTGCATCCTCTGCGTCAGTCTCATCTTCATCAGACTTACCATTGACATCGTCTCTTATATCCCCACTGTCTGCACCATCACCAATATCTTCACCAATGTCTTCCATCACATTCGAGTGGTGATGCTGCTGCAGACTCTGTTCTGCAGCAGCGTCACTTTCCGAATTGTCTTCTTCTTCAGAACTCGTGCCTGATCCAGATGCAATCTCTACGTGCACTACATCTTCGCTCCTGATGGTTGGTCGTCTTGGTAATCGCAACATCAACCGATGCTCCTGAGGAACCAGCGGCTGAAGTACACCGTTGATGCGGAACTGGAGCTGGGGGAGTGCAGTCTTCCTTGGCTGGTATTGGGTGCTCGACGGTTGGCGTTGGGACACAGGAAGAAAGTCCACATCAATGAAAGTGAATTCCTGGTGAGCCTCTTCAATGTCGTAGTGTGCCGGCATCCGTCGGAGGATTGAGAGCCGTGTCTTGATGGCCCGCAGTGCATGCCAGAAGCAAAGCTGATGCTTTGCATCTGGAAATATTCTGCGGAGGGCATTGATCTCACTCCAGTCTTTGTCAGACAGGGTAATAATGATACGGAGGTTCCATTGTGATCGCAGCTGATGAAGAAATTGTTCCAGTACGTCCTGCTTTGCTCCTTGCTCCGCGTCAGCGCTAGATTGTACAAGCAGATACCCGAGTGGCAGACCGGATCTGTAGGCCTCTCCTAATATAGCGAACAATTCAAATCGTGAACCATTAGTATTCCCTGTCCAGGCGTGAGTATGTCTCGTTCATTCAGAACAATCCAAAACTCACATGTAGAATCCATGGCCAATTCTCTGATACGACCACCCCACTGCCGCAAGATATTTGGCAGACTGAATGCAATTGTCGTAAGCCCGGGCGGTGATGCAATCGGAACAGGTTGAACTGTATACAGTCCCGAAGAATTTTTACAGCCTTCTTCGAGTAGGATTTTTGCTGACTTAAGCTCATTCCCGTCACGTTTCCAGTTTTTGCTGTCTGCTTCTGACCACATCTGGTAGATGGCCTTCTTAGTAAACTGTGCATCTGGGTATTTGTCGATTATTTCTTTCCATAGCTATGTGGGTGCAATGTGATTAGATAGCATTCAAATGTATGGAGAATGCATACCTGTGTGGGTGTCATTGAGGCATTCTTGGCAACAAAAGCCTCAACGTCATTGGGGATATCAATCGAACAATATGGTATGTGATCATCATCATGCACAAGCTGTACGGACACAACAGATGAACCTTCTGTTGTAGTAATGGACAGCCAGCTCCTGCAATTGAATGACATCATGCTCTCCTTGTCGCGCTGTTTATCTGGCGTAGGTGCCGACTTCTTCGATTGCTTCTGGCGGGTTTCACTTTGTGCACAGTAGTATCGGAATTTGATGCACCCAGCTGCAACATTCCATTTACTGTGATACCTGTGAATAGATCAGCCATGCAATATTTCGGTGGTCACTGGAACTCACGGCCACCGATAGCCTGTCACCTCCCACACCAACTTTGCAACTGTATTGGCAATTGTCTTGCCATCTTTTACATCCTCACCTAAGCTCCTGGTGTCCACTTCGGCCTCAATATTGATGCACCCATTTCCCGATTCTAGAACGGCCAAAAAGTCCGTGAAGGCCACAGTACTCAGCATACTTCCCTTTTTCTCTTCATTCTGTTCCTTGTATTTGGTCTTCTGTGTTCTTGACTTTCGCTCCGAGCATTCTGTGCATGTTGCTGACAAATTTCCCTTGTTGACACCCTTCTTTGCGAGCGAAAATGCATGAAGTGGCCGCAGCCGCTTGCAGGCCACACAAGTTCTGGAGTGAGAGCCACCGAGATCTGGGCTGAGGGAAGCCATAACATAAACAGAGAGGAAGACCAGAAATTATAGAAGAAGATGGAGTGTCAGCCACTGAATAGAGTGCTAGAAAGAATGGAGCGCGAATGACAGACGCCAGTCGACGCGCGACGCGACGTGAAGTGTGCACGTGATGAGATTGGATCGCGGAAGTTGCCGCGTCCGAAAGATCGTTGGGTGAATTGCATTTCCTGTGTACCCACTAAGCACGATATGTCCATGCGACGCAGACTGAGATTTCCTTCGCAGACTGCCGAGAGTGCTCGGTCTCATTGCATTATCAGACTCCGCCATCGACTTGAAGGACAGGTTGAGTCCATTCACGTCGATGCAGAATCATCACAACGAGGTCTACGTCAAAGAAGAGTGCGGGATGTTCGGCACGCTCAAGGTACTCTTGTTGTGTATCCGTATCAGCATAACTTACGGTATATCCTGCAGATTTCGGCATCGGCGCGATGCCGTGGTCTCCACTTGCTAGCAGTGTCCTCGCACGATCTCCATCTGCACAGGTGAGGCGAAGGGAGGCCGATTAGGCCGTCATTCCAGCTCACTTGTTCATCGATGTAGGTTCGTTACACTCTACGCGGATAGCCCCGGATTATCCAACGGCGCAATCGCCTCGTTGGCATTCTGTCATTGCTGACCTCATGTGCACATGCAGCATGGAGGAAACCGTGCAGAAGAGCACCAGTACGAGCCCAAGTTGCGATCGCTTGGAGCATTTCCTTGGAAAGTAGGCCAAATCTGTCAGATATTATCGTTGTCCGGGTGCTAAAGAAGCTCGTGCTGAATTTCAGGCGTCATCGTGCCCATCGCCGGCACAACAACTATAGAGGTTTCAATGGTGTCATTGGTAAATGCATTTAGATGGTTATTTCGCTGTTTTATCAGCCGCCGTGATATCTGTCCAGCTCGCGAAGGAAGAAACCATCAGCCTCGAGGAGCCTTATCGTTGTCTTTGACAATTCACTCCGGGACACAGGGATTTGATGGTCGAATAAAATTCATCGCAACGCTGATTTCTGAAACAGGACAGTCGATGAGTATCAAATGTATTCTAGCTTGAGTACGGCAAGAATAACATCTAATCCAGATGCGCGCACGTAAAATGATTCATATATACAACATTGTCAGCGAGAGTAACGAAAGCAGGGATAACCGAAAAAGAAACGACAGTAGCAAATAGAAGTATACCGGTGCTGCAGGACGGAATAGGGACAATAAAGCAATTGAGCAAGCGGCCACATTGGTCGGCCGTTCAACCTGGTCATTGGCATGGATGAGCTGCCTTTTGTGAGCCAGCGCATGGGCGATGGCGAGGGTGGGGGAAAGTCTCTGTTCTGGGACGCTTGCTGGACATAGAGTCCTGCTGATCAGGCAACGCACGGCGCTTCAGCTGCGATGTCGGAATGACTTTACCAGCGTGGACGTCCCCTCGTCTGCGTCTCTCGTAGTTGCAGTCAGTCGGGACACGATCAGCCACCCTTTTTGGCCATTTGATCCCCTTCGCGTTGTACAACTTCATCAACAGTTCATGCATCGCATGATGAGTTTCAAGATTTCGCGCGATTGGTGTGGCCTGCTCAATCTCTGCTGCCGCTCTTGCAGCCAAAGCCGCTGCCACCTGGGCAAAGACATCCACCCCTCCATCTCTGCAATCCAAGTTTACAACTTTCGACATATTTCCATGGCCGGGGTCGTCGCCCAGTATTGCAGCGCTAATACTCTGATCATCCGAGTTGTGATTCCCGGTATTCAGCGGTACTGTGTCTGATCCGAGCTGTCGCATACTGGAGGAAGCCAGAGTGTAGCGAGCTTTCAACCAGAAGAGGATTTGCCCCATGATCACATTGAATGGATGAACTCCAGATGATTCTGGGTTTACGAACAGAAGAAGCTTGTCCGAGCGTTTGATGGATCCGTTCGCCATTGCTGCGCGTTTCATGCGGCCGCACTTGTATTCTTGTGTCTCTGAAAGAGTGTCGATGCCATCGAAGTATTCTCCCATGAATGATGCGACGGAGAGCCAATTGGTGGGCGTGTAGCGTACAGCGACATATAGAAAGACATTGAAAAAGGCCTCAAGCTCATCCGGGATCTCGATGGGCTTGTACGGATTGTCCAACAACATCGCCGACATGAACTGCCAAGTGCCCTACAAGGGAACTCTCAGCGGACGAACAACATTGGCAAGGTGACACTCACGGTTCGGTCAGGCTGTCTCACTTTCTCCCCATCTTTACTGGTCTCATCGCATATGGGTTTACAGAGCTCCCAATCGCTCAAAACTCCGTCGTAGCATACAACATCTTTGTCATCCATGTCCTTCACGAGCTTGGGCAACATCAGCATATTGCCTATGCTTACGTCCCTATGTATCAGACCTGCCAGTTCCATAGCTTGTCGGTGAGCTAGAAAAACATGATTCATAACACGAGTCAACAAATAACGGCAGACGTCTCACCTTCGATACAGTCTGCAATAACCTTCACTAGATCTCGACCATCACCGAATTGGCTCAAAGGAAGGTAGACCTGGTCAAAGACGAGTCTATAATGCGTATGAGTCTTGAAGGGATTCGTCTCGTCCTCGATAGTCCTCAACCAGCATAGTTGAGTGAGCGTTTGTTGCGATTCGACATCTCCGTGACATACAACCTTCGGGATGTGCTCGACTCCATGGAGGTTGAGGTCCTCAAGGATGTAACCCTCCTTCGGCATGTCAGGATGGTCTACTCGCCATACATCTTTGAGGAAGACAAAACTTTCATCCTGACAGTCGACTGCAATATATCCCCGGGTACATCGTCCGACGACACCTTCTGCATTGAAGTGAGGCTTTCCAACTAGGAAAAACCGAGCACTCGCCTCGGGACCTCCTTTGGTCTTAGAACGTGTGTCGCTAGATGCTTGATGCGGCTCGGGGACAATGCGGAGCTTCCACAATGGCCACTCGGACTGCTCGAACGAGGCACGGAATGCCTCGCGGATGTACTCTCTGCTCGGCGGCACGTCCCTGAAGGCCACTCGTTTCATAAGCTCATAGTCAGCCGAGTTATGTGCTACTCGGTGCGCGGTTGGGTCGTGACCCCTCTGTTCGCTAGACATATGAGAGAATCGCCAAAGAAATTCGCCAAGATGTGTGGTTTCGGTGTAGCAAAACTTCCTGGTGACGATAGCACCAGCCCTGTCCCAGCGAACTATACGAGCATGGTCGCCAAGGATGATGACTGTAAAAGCGGTGCAGCGCTGCTGGCGTGAGAATAGCATTGCAGCATAAGAGGTGATCTGTCCTCTATTTGCAGGTCGTCTGCCAGATGCCCCCTCAACGGCCTGTCGCAAGGGAAGATTGTCGAAGTCCGGATCCACGAAGGGGTCGTCGAGATTGCAGTCTTTCTTTACCACATTTCCTGTACCGGCCATTGGGGCCTCCCATCGTCTAGGACATCCGAGTCGCTGAACAATGCCGCATCCACTTTCTGCTTGCTTGGGTCGTCAAGGTCAGGCCTATCATAAACGAGCTTGAGCGTGTAGCCCGGACATAAGTTTCTGCCATTCACACAATTGGCCTGGCATTTGATGTTAGTCAAACAGGGGATACATTAGGGAAATTGCGACATACGAGGGGAGCATAAAATGCGTTCTCCTTAGTGTTGTTGCGGGGCATGCCCGTGAATGCGGCCAACCAGAGGGCAGGATCAGGTCGAGGTATGGCATTGCTCGGCTCGGCGACAAAGTTGCGTATAAAGTCGTCAACAGACGTCAAGATGAACTTGCCGTACATCGATTGGTGTAGCTTTTGTCGGTGTTCAGACGCGTAGTTGCCACCTATGCTGTGCGGATTTTCCTGCGCGAATTTCAACGGTGTGCTTGTGAGTCCTTCGAGACACACGAGTCGAGTAAGGGAACAGTGAACAGAGGCATGATTCCGAAATGCGTACCTCGTCAGAGAGAGACGCAGACGCAAGGGCAATGGGGCCACGGCGCTGTGAATCTCAATCAATAAAGGACCAGCTAGATTTGTCCTCGGATAAATTTCACCGTAATCAGCCTACCGTATGCCTATCGATGCCACGATAAAGCAGGAAAATGTAATCTTGTAGGAGGAGTAGGAGTAGGAGTGAGTGTGGCGAAAGTGAACAATTGGCGAATCCACGTGCGAGCACACTGTGACGTGACACTGACTCTCAAGACTTCCTGCGCATTCCGTTTAAAGTCTCTGCTCCTGCCTCCTCATTTAGCCCACGCTAAAATTTCGACTCCTGCGCCTCTGCCCGCTATAAATCACGCGGAGCCGTATCCTGCGTCATCCGGACACCTGGGCCTCCTCGTGAGCGAGCACCGCCTTCATCTCAACCTGCCACGATGCACACGAATATCACGCAATGCGCAATTCCTCCCCCGCGAACGCCCTTGCGGAGTGCGCACAGAATTGCGCATCGTCCACTTGGCAGATCTCGCGCTGCAGCCTTCCGGCGCCGTTAGGGTTCGTGGTGGCTTTGGCCCGGTTCGGCTATGTCCTCAGCTTGGGTGTGCATGGTCGTCTAGGTTCGAAGCGGAGACGCGCAATGGGTGCTTGTCCGAGAACAGGTTAATGTCATGTGGGAATAGCACGGCGGGTCTGGATGAGTATGTTATCTCCTTGATCTTCTGCCGTAGATTGTGTCTCTTAAACGAGCATTATACAGGTGAGTTCAGAGTGGTGGGTACTCACTTATCATGAGTGTGGTGTGAGGGTATAGTATTTGTCACGGGTAATTCGTGTGCAATACCAGACCCACTGGTGGCAAAGCTTACTGATGCAGGTATAGACTTGTGCAGGAACAGTACGCTATCAGACATATGTCTCTGGCCTACTCCAACAAGACTTCCCTGCTGCGTTGACGGTCCTGCGATTGACCGGATTGGATGTGACACTGACTCTACGTGGCAAGGTCACGTGTCACGTGGGCGCGTCCGTGACTCCGTGACCCAACAGTCTCACGTGCACCTCGGTACTTACTTTACGCCAGTAAAACCATATCTGCGACTCACTCCGTGCACTTTCATTCAGGCTGCCGTACCTCTCATGCATTACGAACGACGACAAATATTCACCATGCCGCTCAACACCCGGCAACGATTCACGTGTTGTGTGCAGTTTGTCCTGCACACACGGTGGCGAACGCGATTCCCTCACCGCCAAGTTCGAACGCGATGAACCTCTCCCTGGTTAGTCCCAGTAAGCTCATCGCTCAGACCAATCTCCACCCATTTCTGCGCACCCAGACCCCTGCTGACGTCGTCAAAGCGCCAACAGCCTCGCAGGCGTCCACGTCGAGGAAGGCGCACGTGTCGCTCGAGCGTCAGCTCCTCGCTGCACAATCCGCCTACACCGAGCTGTGTGAACGTGATAGGATGATGCCGTTTCTCCAGATACAGGAAACGAAAATATTGTACCTTCGTGATTCACTCGAATGGATGCACTGACCTGCCTGACCACCCCATTCCGTGGTTAGCAGCTTCTAGGATGCTGTACGAAAATCAACCTTAAGATGGGGAACTTTGCATCAAGCTGTACACGGCTTCATTGGAGGATTCGCAATAGTACACTAAGACGCTATAAGAACACTTCATTTCAGCTGAGGAATTCAGAAAGTGCAAGTGGCGCCGTGGCTTCAGCGAAAGTTACATTGCAGCTACGTGATCCTAAGTGTACTAGCATACAACGGGAGTCAGAAGGGACGGACGAGAATTGCAGAAGAAGTGGACACGCAACAAGAACCATACGCTGCGCGCCACTTGTCTACTCCTAAGTCACTGCAAGGTACCTACAGATGATGCCTATGCATGGCCGAACTCGACGTAGCGTTCTGTGAACGAGGAAGCACCAATTTGAATCTTTATCCATAATTTTCCCGCGCCAGGAATAAGCTCACGAATGTTAAAAACTGAACGTCAACGTACAAGATTGTACCAACTCTCGTCGGTCGGGAACACAGGCAGGCCATTGGGGGGTCCACCCAGGGGCGCTCTGATGCGCTATCGACGATTATTGAGCAGTAAAATTACTTCACGATTCGTGGAACACGCACATGAGGGACTATCAAGTGTTCATCCCGTAGTTTGAGCTTTGTCTGCAGCAGCAAAGCTGGAACACCCTGACTCTTCAAGAATCTGGAGAACATGGGCCAATCGTCGTAGATTGCCTGCATATCATGCATGGCCAGGAGAATTCCAGTCGTGAAGTTATCTAACCGAAGTAACGAGATATAGTGATTGAATGTTCAAAAATTTGCCAAGCAGATGACATACTGGGGTCGAAATGGCCAGAACGCTTGAGCCACGGGAGCTACATCTCATGTTTGTTAAAATTCTGCAGGGAGAGTAATCCATGCTCACTTTACCCATCTTCTCAAGACGGCACAACAGGTTGATGATGACCCCCTTTTCGGCATGGTTCACGAGGGCATCTTTTTGACTGACGGCCCAGTTCATGAAGTACCCGATAATCGCTGCGGAGTCGCCTTTCTTCAAGAGTGTGCTCCACTTTGTCAGGACAGTCTGGATGCCGACGTAGTTCGCATCCATTATGTTAGATACATCGATGCGATCGAAGCACATCGAAGCGGGGATGCCAGCGGGGGATAGTTTGCCCTCTAGAATTCCCTCTGCAAGAGCACTTGCATCCACGTTGAATGTAAGGAAGGAAACCCGGAATTGGCGGAGCCGGCGCACGAATAATCGTAGCTGATCAGAAAGGAAGAAATACAGACATCCGTAGATGTCTTCTTGCTGTGCTCCATGTGCTTTCCCTTCTTGCATAACTACATCGGTGCTGATTGATTGGCTCGTCAGAATATTAGAAGAACATTGCGACATGCCACGTACTCCCAAGACTCCAAGGGATCCGCATAATCAGTCTGTAGCCAACGACCATCCGGGGAGAACAGAGAAAGGTTCGGGGCATTAAAATGCGCATTAATAGCACCGAAAGGGAGAACGATGCCGAATCTACGAAACTCGAAGAATGCAAGACGATGCGAGGGTTTCAGTTTGCTGTACATGCGATCCCGAAAATCCTCGCGCGACGGAGCTGACCTCACGCGAGTATATTCATCTTGCACTTCTCCGACTGAGATGGATGCCGAGATGATACTCGCAAGCAGTCTAATCACCCCAGGGTGGACAATGCCGGACAAAGTTGACTGTGGGCCGAGAGGTATGCAAAATGGACCCTCAGTCAGCTGTTCTACGCATTGTGTCACCACGGCTGACATGCACTGAAGGTACTCCGAGGGCATGAAGACGGAATACCAGAAATGGAGAGCGATGTCTGCAGCCATGACTTCATCTGAGATATTCCCGAGCAAAAGAAGCAGGACGATATTTCGGAGAACTATGTGGGGATCGCGGTCATTGAGTAAGATCGTGAGATGTCCAGAATAGTCTGAAGGCAATTCATTGACAGTACGCATGACGTGCCTCAGATCACCGGAAGCTGAAATCACATGTTAGTGCAGAAGATAGTCGTGAACGATTCAAACCTATGCATACCGACGAATGCGACAGAGAGATCTTTGCTCGCGTCTTTTTCGTTCTCGTTGAAATTGATGACATCAATCGCTGGCATATTCCCCCACCTGCATATGCAAAGAATCAGATTTGATAACATGATAGCCACATTACAAAGAACACACAGCGCAAGACCTGTGGAAAACTCTTCTCTTTCTGTGCGGTGAAACTCTTCCGCGGGCGATTCATCTGAGTCTTCTGAGATAAACGACGGAGGGCGACCTTCAACAACCCAAGCTGGCTGCCAAGTATCGGAGCGAATCTTACTCTTACAGTCTGCGAAGAGCTTAAACACACAGTGCAGCAACGACGAGAGTACAGACCTCGCTTGTGGATGCGCCAATGAATTTTCTGACAATCCTGCAGGACATTCTGCTGAGAAGACACACTATCAAAAATCAAGACCACTCACTTTCGAACAATACGATACTAATCTACACCCTCCGCAGGCCATTCTACCTTCGTTTGGGCAACATCGATATTTTTCGACCTCAACGTTGGCGCAGGGTAGATTCTCGGGTGGTGGAAACCGAGGTCTTAACTTTTTGAGGGACTCAAGGAAACGGTCGCGAACCTGAGCCTCGGTAGAGGCATCGAGATCGTGAAGTGGTTGGTTGGCCATTGGAGCGTTCATCAGATTCGATAGTTCATTAGGATCATCCCTTGGGGGCAATCTACGAAGACTCGCACTTTGGTTTGTTAAGTCACGGTTATAGGCCTGAAACGCAGCTCTCCTCCCCTCCGGGTTCAGAAGGCGGGAGAGAAGATCAGTGACTTCATCCATGGCTTGAAGGTGAGCTGAGAAGTAAAAGGAATATCAACACCAGCCGCTGGCGTCGAGTGTATTGGAGATCGGCGTGGATAACGAGATTGGGGGAAAGGGTATTTTCGAGTCGGAACTACGGTTTTAAAAGTGTTCGAGCTCGATTCAAACTATCTCAACCTGCGTAAGCATTGTTCAGTTTCGTTGGTGAGTGGCTCACGTTGCCTCGTGGTATTGCTGTAGTGTGGGCGATTGCGTGTCGTGCAGGTGTACCAGGTGAATGAAAGCTTATATACCTGGAAGAGTGAGGGGGACGCACGGACACCGCGAGGCTTCGAAACCTTGAGCTTATTTGACGGCTGTACTGGAGACCGTATTGAGCTATGAGGGGAAACTTGAGGAATGAGGTCTGTCATGCAACGTGAGCCACCAATACATTGACGGAAAACATTTTCTAGGATGCGGGAAACAGACCCTGTAGAGTATCCTGCTGCATTTGTGAAGGGCGAAATTGTTACCCAAGCGCTAACCACAACTGACAGGTTGCAACGGCATTACGTCCCGCGTACCTGCCATTGCGAGCGCTCATCCCCGTCACGTATGTTATTGTTAAGTGTAGATTTGTGAGTATAGGATACTCCTTAATTAATGGCTTTCACATGGCACGAATGAATCTGCTGCATCTCCCTTCCTGGACGTGACAATGTGAGCTGCAGTTGGACGCCACAGAGACACTCGCCAGTGTAAATTTCCGTCGAGAACCTGAATCCTGCTTGTCTCCGATCAGCGCACTTCCAAACGAGCGAGCCATGCAGTGCCACAAACGCGAGACTTCAGTACTTCAGTACGACTTTCGTGTTCAAACTCAAGTTTACATGACCTCGGTGGACCCCCAAACTCCGTCCCAGCCTCTATGCGAACGGCCGATCGTACTCCGTAATACCGGAGCCAGGAATCAAGCCTAGAGACGTTCGCCGGGAACTGATGATAGAGAAGTGAATGAATCGAAAACCAAAGGATAATCGACATACGTCGTGAACGACCGGAACAGCTCTTCTAGCCTGCAGAGCGTCTTTCATCCTGGACAGGAAGAACCAAAAGCAATCAAGCCGAATTGTACGGCTAGCGACTGACAATAGTGCGAATGTAGGTGGAGAGGACGGTGATCTGGGCCTTCTACCTGGCATCGTGCCATGGCGGGCGGCCAAGGGGTCACTGCACCGAGCGTGACGTGCAGGTTGCCTTACACAGAGGCTCCGGTTTCATATTATATGGCCAACGTATGGTGGAGATCTATATAGTGATACTGGGCAACTTATATGGGTTTCTGGATTAGAGAGCAAGAATGCAATTGTGCGCATGTCTGAAGGAAAACGTCGGAGATCCACTGGCAGGACGATGGTCAGTCAGGCAACGTAGCACGCCATGCCTCACTCGACATACACGCGCTCTGGTAGTGTAGCATGACGATTCGACCCATAACTTCTCTGTAGAGTACTTAATGCTGCGCATGAAGTAAAAGAGCACTCACAAGCAAACAGAGACACTGGTACGATCATAACGTCGAGGTTGGAGTGATTCTGTAACGAATGGCTGTAAACGCGCCCCGCATTTCTGAGAGACAGTAACACACAGCGGTCAATTAATCGCCATCCTGGTAGGGGCACGCGAGGAGGAAAGCTCCACGCAGCCGCTGACTTCAAGTCAGATCTTGGTAGCTTGTCTCTCATTTCTGTAAGATGGAGTCATGTGAAACAACGAATACAGAAGATGACGAAGAACTGCGTGCTGGCTGGTGCGTCCTGGTAATCCTGCGGCAGCGTGGGCAAATGTCCTCTGCGAGCACGCACCCGGACCCAAATATGCGACTATGGCGAGTGCCTCCAACGTCCGTTTTGAGTGGCTGTCGTTCGTAAAGGTGCAATTTTCCACATGCTCACGCATGCTCGAGGAAGCGGGGAATGTATGCGACTTGCGGACGGGAAAGTACGAGCGGCTCTGTAGATCCCGCAAGGAGTAACGTAGAGGCTGGGAAGGATCGTTAAAGTGCAGCGTGTCTCGACGGATATGCCCATCTGTTCTGTATCCAGTCCTAACTATAAGGTCAATGTCGCAGATCTACGGGAGCGGTGTTGTGGGGAAAACACAGTCCAAGTAATAACTATCTGTTGAGTCGCATCGTGAGGTCTCGTGTGCCGGGCAATCTTTGAGATAATGGGCGATGATCTGTACCACAACAGGCCTATGGGAGCGAAAAAGGTTCGGGAGAGGGAAACGACTTACCTAGGGCAAAGGAGAAGAGTCGAAGGTCCCGACACGTCCGATTGTGTTGTGCGCAGCGGTCCACCTGGATGATCGTGTTAGGAAACATCATGATACAAATAGTGCTGAAGCACAAAGGAGGATTTGAGGATTGGTAGCGACTGACATGCGGAAGACAGCCCAATGTGCGCTCTTCGCGGCAGTACTAGCTTACGTTGAACTCACCAACATGGCGGCATGAGCGTCCAGAGATCAAGCACGTCACGGTGATTAGCATTAATGTTTTGTTACTAACAGAAAGTTACAAACAGCAGTTCTCACAAGGGGTTGGCGATGTGTACGCGTTGTTTGGTGATATTTGGCGCTAATGAAGCACGGTCGCGTTTTGGCGCGCACGCGTTCTTCACCACCGCCACCAAGTCTTACGTGTACCCACCAAGTTCTTCGTCCAGCATTGTGAGCTGACCCACGACTTCAGATGAGCCGCCGCGCGAACCAAGTCATCGGGCCTACCTCTGCTTTGACAGAGTTCCTTCGGGTAGGTATTTTCTTCTTCGTCTTTTGTTGATCTGTGGTTCTCATTCCTCCTAAGGAGTCTGGTATAACTGCAACGACAGTCGCACGCCGTGTGCGGACCCGAAATACCAACCAGCAGCAGCCTGCAGCTGGCCCGAGCAATACTGCGCAGGATGAGGGTGGAGACGCAGACGAGGGAGCTAGCGCAAAGGAGGTGCGTTTCTCGATTGCTGTCCTTTTATCTCCATTGATGAAGGCAACAGAATGCGGAATATGACTCGGACAACCTAGACGAGCCAAACGAGGCCCCCGCGCCTAAGAAGCGCAAGCTGAGCAAGGCTGCCGAGGCGAAGCTCAAGGCGAAGGAAAAAGCGAAAGAAAAGGCCAAAGCGAAGGCGAAAGGAAAGAAAGGAGGAGATGACGAAGACTACGAAGATGACGAGGACGAAGACGAAGACGCTTACACCGCCCTGTCGAAGATGTGGCGCAGTGACCTTCCGAAGCTGCCTGTTGGGAGCTTCGAGAACTGTGCAAAATGCAAGAAACAGTTCACTGTGGTGCGTGCTCCTTTACACCGCCTTACGATTGTGTTGAGCTCAGTGTTTGGATAGACTAAGTACACGATGGCCGCCAACCCCCCTCCGGGCTACCTATGCCACCTGTGCGCAAAGGCGTCTGGTGCAGACCCTTTCAAGAAGCCCGCAGCACCACGGAAGCGGAAGGCCCCTGCTGAGAAGCGAAATGTAGTGAAGTTCGAGGAGAATCGTATCCCGAGTCTTGCGTTTATGTGCATTCAGGTCCGTATTGAGAATTTGGAACATACTTTCTGCCAGCTCACTTGCCCACAGTTGATCAGTGAGCACATCAACGATGTCGAAGCACTCGGTGATATTGGCAGCATCAATATGGATTTGATTGCCAAAGCGATCTCTCGAAACAGGAGTTTGTACGTCGTGATGGCTTCCCTGGTATTGTTCAGCTCTAATCCTGACGGACATCTAGAACTCCACAGAATGCACCGCTCTTCTACAACATTGAGAATAAGAATCTAGTTCTCTACGATGTCACCAGTACGTGGTTTCTCTTTTCACTCATCGCATCTCGTGCTGACCACAAAGATAGACTTGACGCCTCCGGCATTCTGTACTATGGCCTCTCTCAACCCAAACTTGACTAACCTGCGTCTCGACCTATGCGGCCGCATCGACGATTCGGCTATCGCAGCCTGGACAACCTCTCTGCCGCACTTGAAGCGCCTCGAGCTGCTAGGCCCCTTCCTTGTCCGTGTTCCCGCATGGCAGACCTTCATCAAAGCACACCCAGCGCTCGAAGGCTTTTTGATCACGCAGAGCCCGCGCTTCGACCTCGAATGCATGCAGGCGCTGGTAGAGAGTTGCCCGAGACTTACGGAGTTGCGGCTGAAGGAGATTGGCAAGATGTCGGACAAGTTCCTCGAGCACATCAAGGCCCTCGCGGGTACGCTCGTCTCGCTCGACTTGTCGTACCCGGGCACGCCTGATGCGCTGAGCGAGCCTGCGGTGGTGGACCTGCTGGCTGCGGTCGGACCATCCCTCACGCATCTTGACCTGTCGGGGAACATCGAGCTCGGGGACGCACTGCTCTTCAAGGGTGTCAAGCCGCACGCCCGCCAGCTGACGTCATTCGCCTTTGCGGACGTCCCAGAGTTGACCGACGCCGGTGTTGCGGAGTTCTTTGACGCTTGGGGCACGAAGACGGAAGACGGTACGCGTCCGTGGCTCACTGTCCTTGACCTGGCACACAACCATCAGCTTGCGGGCGACGCACTCAAAGCGGTGCTCAATCACTCGGGGGCGACACTGGTGCAGATGAATATTAACGGGTGGAAGGCAGTGTCCGCGGACGCACTGAATGCCATTGCGAAGCATGCGCGGGACCTACGCAGGCTGGACGTGGGGTTCTGCCGGGAGGTGGACAACTGGGTGGTCAAGGAGCTGATGGACAAGTGTGATCATATTGAGGAGGTCAAGGTATGGGGGTGCCAAAAATTGTCTGAGGATTGTCCGCGGAAAGTGAGTGTCACTCTGATTGCCTGTGATGATAAGCTGATATACGCTTTTGTAGAGGAATGTCAAAATCTATGGAGTAGAGGCACACACTATCTCATAAATGTTTGCAGACTCTGCATCCTCAGACATGCTGAGCAGCAGGTAGTGGATCTTGGAGATATCTTTGACTGTCCAGCCATTGTTGTCTGCTTTCATTGCATTGGAATGCTATGGTATCAGTCTCTTCCCATTGGTCTTGTATCTGTCTATGTTCTAAGTTACATTCACCGCACCATTAAAATCGGTGCGTTGATGGGTCTGACTCCAGAACGTAAATAAGTACAAGACCACTTCTTCATGAGTCTCTCTGCATTTATACCTGACTTTCTGTTCCCATTTTCAAATGACCATTGTATCGTTTCAATGTTCCATTGATTGGCTTAGGCTAGTTTTGCCCAGTCTTGAAGACTTACTTCTATACTCTCGTAGTTGTCTCTGCCTCGTCACCGCTATAGATTTCCAGTCACTGATGGAAAATGAATGAGATGCATCGGAAATGGTTTCAGCGAGGGCAATTCCGCAAAACGCGGAAAAGGGGGTTCCAGAAATAGGCAATTATGCCACCGCTCGTGCGCGCGCGTCTATTGCCCACACCTCCAACTTTTTTTGTTGTACTGATCAGATTTTGTCCTCAATCCTGCGCTCAACAACTTTCCCGGTGTAGGAAAAACACTCGGACACCCTGCAAGCAACAACAGAAACAGAGGATCAGGGGCGAAAGGCGAGTAGGGGGCTTATCTTTGGGTAGCCGCCGTGCTTATCTCTCATCACGACTTCAGGGAGATCGTGCAGAATGTCACACGCAGGTTCATACGACTCTTCTCACTCTCAATCTGTCATGACCGAGGACGAGGAAGACTGGGAGGACTACGTGAAGGGCGGATATCACCCGGTACACATTGGCGATGCATTTTCCGATGGCAGGTACATCGTCGTCCGCAAGCTTGGCTGGGGTCATTTTTCCACCGTCTGGCTCGCCCGAGATACAAAGTATGTTTTTCTCAGTCCAAAATGTGACTGTGAACTGATCCTGGGCAGAATGAACCGTCATGTCGCCCTCAAGGTCGTCAAGTCTGCCCCTCGGTACACCGAGACGGCCCTCGACGAGATCAAGCTTCTGCAGCGGCTAATCACTTCCTCAACACCGCCAGTACAACCCTCCACTACCAATCCGCACCCACCACCATCACCCTCCCAGACCCACCCAGGTCGTTCGCACGTTATCTCCTTCCTCGACCACTTCCGTCACAAGGGTCCCAACGGCACCCACGTCTGCATGGTTTTCGAGGTGCTCGGCGAAAACCTGCTGGGGCTCATCAAACGCCATCAAAACAAGGGCGTGCCCATGCACCTATGCAAACAGATCGCGAAGCAAATTTTACTCGGGCTGGACTACATGCATCGCTGTTGCGGCGTCATTCATACTGGTGAGCAACCGTGCACACCCGCTGCCCACACCCGCTTACCTCGCACAGACCTCAAACCGGAGAACGTGCTGGTCTGCATCGAGGACGTCGAGTCGATTATCCAGGCTGAGCTAGCAGTGCAGTCCACGTCCGCAACGCCTCCGCCAACGCGGCTCGTTGGCGTACCCCCGTCACGCGGGCGGGGCGGTAATCAGACGCCGCGCTCCGAGTCGGTGTTCATCACGGGCTCCCAGCCGCTCCCGTCGCCGTCATCGTCGTTCGGCTCGTCCTCGCACCTCGACCGCTGGGCGTTCGGGATGAGCAAGATCGACGGCGACGGTGGTGATGGCGGCGATGCTCAGCCGGGCTCGCTCGGGAGCGACAAGCGAGAAGATTCGACCGAGGTCGCGACCGAGCGCATATCCAACGTCACCCTCGACGGGTCCCCCTTCGGCGGGAAGGCGCGCACGCGCCCCGATACCAAGCCCGCCGCGGGGCCATCATTGCTTTCGCGGCAGGCCCCGCCGCACGCGGGCCCGTCGAACGCACCCCCACCTTATTCGTCCGAGCCCAGCAGCCTACAAGAAGGCCCCGCACCGGAGCTCGATGCGATGCTTGGCACAAGCGCTATGTCCGTCGACTCCATGCCTCTTCTGGACGGCACGGAGAAGATTACGGTCAAAATCGCCGATTTGGGCAATGGTGAGTCTACCGCTCATGGATGGCTCCATCAGCTGATTGCTGATGGCCCCGGCAAGCGACGTGGGTGGAACACCACTTCACGGATGATATACAGACGCGGCAGTATCGCTGTCCTGAGGTCATCCTCGGAGCAAAGTGGGGTCCCAGCGCAGATATTTGGAGTGTCGCTTGTGTCGTGAGTCTTACCCACGTGGATTGGCTTTCGACGTCATCTGACATGCGATGCAATCCGCAGATTTTCGAGCTTCTTACTGGTGGAGACTACCTCTTCGACCCCGCATCGGGATCCCGGTACAGCAAGGACGATGATCACATCGCACAAATCATGGAGCTCATGGGCGAGATCCCGAAGAGTATCGCATTTTCAGGCAAATATAGCTCGGACTTTTTCAACCGTAAAGGTGCGTCGCCACCGCTACCTGCTCCCACGATTTCTGAAAGCCTCCCAGGTGAGCTCCGGCACATCCAGAAGCTGCGTTTTTGGCCGCTCGAGGCGGTGCTGCACGACAAGTACCTACTCCCGAAGGACGAAGCGGACCTGATCGCGTCGTTCCTGACGCCGATGCTGCGCCTGCACCCGGACAAGCGCGCGCCCGCAAGCGAGCTCGTACATCACAAGTGGCTCGACGGCGTCGTCGTGCAGGGCGAGATCGACGTCATGCGGCGCGCGGAGGACGAGCGCCGGCGGAAGCAGGCCGCGGCGGGAGCGATTGCGGCGGGCGGGGGCCGCGAGATGCACCTCCCTGTCCGCAAGGACTCGAACGCGGACGCGATGAAACCGGTGGACGTGGACGAGCTCGGGGCGATGAGCGGGGAGATGGACGTCGTCGTGCCCGTGCCGAAGTTGTCGACGCCCGTTCCGTCTACAGCGGATGCGAAGGAGAACGTGCATGCACCTGGACATTCGCGGACGGGCAGCGGCGTACCGATATTACATGCGCTCGCTAATGGGAAGCCGCCGCCCGTTGGACATGGTGCGCCGCGTGGGTGAGTGGACTCGGTGCTGAGCGAAATAGGCCGTCTGAGACGTTCATCTCTGTGTATATCTTTTTGTTTTATTGGCGGTGCCAGTTTGTTGTTTTCGTGATGCTTGTTGTCTGTAGCGATGTGATATGCTCGTTTCATAGCTACGTGTACTGTGTTTTGTGCTCCGGACTTGTACCCTACGTACGTAGGTACGTGCTCTGAGTACATAGTATTTTAGATTCGCAAGAGAAGCCTTTTGTTGTTAGAGGGGTTCTGTGGTGGACCTGACGTGTGACTTGGTAGGTTGGTCAGATCTTGATCGATGGCGGACTTCTTGATCTAAACTGCTATCTACGGCTTTGGCCGCTGGACATCCTCCACTTCGGAGCTGAGTGTGACCAAAATGTCCGGCGCTGCGGCGGACGGCTGGGATAGGTGTGACACGCCGCTGGCAAGCGGCCGAGACTCGAGCCGACAGGGTACGCGCGACCGCTGGAGCGGTCCTACACGATCTCAGCCTGTCTCGCTTCAAATAGAACATAACAAAAAGCACGACTACTCTACTTTGGAGTTTCACCGCTCTTTGAACGGTGGGGAAAATCATTTCATCGGGTATCCGATAGCATGGGAAGGAATCGAATCTCTCCCTTTCTAGCATGTGGGTGGCAATGACCACGACGGCAGGAGAACGGCAGACATGATAACGAGTCACCTGTAGCTGCGCTATCATAACAAGGGAATTGGTCATCCGAAGACCCACTCCCATCTCCTCGCCCAAATATATCAGGATCGATTGCTCAGAGTCCTTCGACGAACCTCTGCCCAGAGATACCTGAGCTAGCTAGCGTCGAGTAACTGCCCATCCCAAGGTTGGCTGAAGATGAGTACCCCGGAGAACAAGAAGATCCCATACGGTGAGCGGAATACCAATTACCCTACGTAAATATAAAGAATTCAGGCTTGCTCGTATATTCCAGTCCGCCTGGGCAACTCCGGGTTGAAAGTTTCCAAGATCATCCTGGGCTGCATGCAGTACGGCAGCCCCGACTGGCAGAAGTGGGTCCTTGGCGAAGAGGAGGCTATCAAACATATCAAATATGCGTGAGCAGCGTCTCCTGTCACGCGAACGTGTTCAGTTCATTGACCCGCTTCCAGGTATGAAGCTGGCATCCAGACGTTCGATACCGCCGACGTGGGTAGTTGTAATTTTGGGTGCTACGTGTGTGATGCTAAGTTCAGCACATTTGTGATTGTAGATGTACTCGAACGGACTGTCTGAGATCATCCTCGGCAAGGCGATCAAGCAGCTGAAGCTACCTCGCGCTGAGATTGTCGTCATGACCAAGGTAGACCTTCTCCATCTCTCAGATGAACCAGCTGAATGCGCCCCTCCAGCTTTTCAATCCCATCATCCCGGGACAATGGGGAGCCAATGTCAGGATCTCAGGAAAATCTCCGGAAGACTTCGGTCTTGTAAACCAGCACGGTCTCAGTCGGAAGGTAAACGCTACCGAACCTTCTCGAAATTTTCCCTGAAATCACCCACCTCATTACTAGCACATCTTCGAGTCCGTGAAAGGCAGCTTGGAGCGCCTGCAACTTGACTACGTTGATGTATACCAGTGTCAGCACCGTCTTCCTCGTCCTTTATAAATTTGATGACTTGCTCTTGCCCATAGGTCACCGCTTCGATTACAACACGCCGATTGAGGAGACAGTGAGCAAGATCGTTACGTGTCTTCTGTATAGAACGTCGAATCGAGATCTAGATGCAGGCCCTTCATGATATCGTCAAGGCTGGCTACGTTCGCTACATCGGGATGAGCTCCTGCTACGCCTACCAGCGTACGTGCCACTCTCAGTACGCGACATATGGATAGCATAACAAATGCTTTTAAATACCAGTCCATGCCATGCAGAGTAAGTCGCCGAATAATTGGTGTATTGATTCATGCGAGCCTCTTGTGCAGATTACGCGATCAAGAACAACCTCACGCCCTTCATCTCGATGCAGAACCACTACAGTTTGATGTACCGCGAAGAGGAGCGCGAGATGTTCCCCACCTTGAAGGTGCGCTCGCTTGCTCGCTCTTGCACACAATCTGAGCTATACACAATAAATCTTGCACTCAGATGTTCGGCGTTGGCTCGATTCCATGGTCGCCCCTCGGACGTGGCTTGCTTACTCGCCCACTGGGCGAACAATCGACGCGAGGCAGCACCGACTGGTATATCGATCTCAGATATCCTCTTTCTGGTCGTCTGAATTTGCCTCGCAGGTTCATCCCGAACTACAAAGGCACGGGAACCCCCGAGATTGTGAAACGGTACGCACACTCTGAGATGGACGAGTCTGAACGCACTCACACTCGGATGATCCGCAGAGTCGAGGAGGTCGCAAAACAGAAAGGAGTGAGTATGGCCCAGATCGCGATCGCCTGGGTCATATCCCGACCCGGCGTGAGCGCACCGATCGTCGGTATGACTAGCCTGGACAACCTAAAGGACATCATCGGTGAGCCTAAGTGTTGTTACCCTCCGTCAAGCTAGTGATGACGCCGCCGTTGCTAGGTGGCGTATATGTTTCCCTGACGCCGGAAGAGCTGAAGTATCTCGAGGAGCCGTATCAACCTCAAACCATCCTTGGGCATGTATGAAGTATCTGTTCAGATCAATGTGAGAAAGACCGTGTATATGTCCCGCACCCCTTAGGATGTTGGTTACACAGCGATGCGAGAGTCGACGTACCACTGCTTTCCCGCCAAGTTTTCGCATTGCACGGTACATTTATCAAGAAGTAACATGACACTAAGGCCACGAGTCGTGGCATGCAAGTAGCATGACAATGGTGACATTGAGCTTAACTTGAAACCTGCCGCAGCATATGCCAGTCACGGTGATAAGCCGCGGAGTTGGCCACGTGCCAAGCTAAGCGCGACACGCTGGCGGCGGGGTTGGGGTTGGCTGGCGCTCCCTTGTTGTCACGCCATTGCCCTGTACAGTATATAAGCCGTCCCCTTCTCTTGTTGAATACTCGTGCGACCAACAGCGCCGGCCGTCGTTTGTGGTTCTTGTTCTGGGGGTTGCTCCAGGAGAAGTTGTTCGATTTCGCTGCTGTTTCCGGTAAGTCTCAGCCACCGAATGCATGCATAGACTTCCAGTGCTCACATGTCGCGAAAACACCAGAGGTCGTCGCACTGTAGCCTGCAGGCCGAACCTTTCAGTTCCTTTCTCTCAACGTAGAGTGAGCTATCTTCACTTCTCCCTCTGTGTATACACTCGCCGGGCTCCCAAACTGCGGTTCACCCTTCCTTCCTTCTCCTCTGCAACATCTATGCTCCATACTAACTGGTTTCCTGGGGAAGTACTCGTTTCGATTCTCGGTGTTTGCGACGCGATGCGCATTCCGATGCCCCGCTCTTCCCGGCCACAACGCCCAACCCAAAAGGGCTGCGACGGCTCGACGAACATCAAGAACAACGCGAGGGCTCCTCGTCTTCAGGTCTTCAGCAAGGCATCCCCGACCGTATCAATCTCGAACACGAACGCGTCCTGTGCCACCACCGCTTGTCTTTCTCCTTCGCCTGTATCTGACATGCCTACCAACTTCATTCCATTCCCATCGTCGCCCATTCCATGTCCTACCGGACGAAACGACGTGTCGCAGAAGGATACGCATCCGATCTTACGCGACTTTTACGAGGAAGAACTATCTGCGGCTGCACTGGACGCCTACAATGACGGAGGCGCGTCGCAAACCGTCGTCCGCAACGTCCGCAAACGCGCGAAGTCCTCGCTCTCGTGGTCTGAACCTAGCCACAACTCCCTGTTGCAGAGGGGCGAGAACAACCTTTACGCAGATCCGGGCCTTCTGATTCCGCGTCGTTCCGCCAGACGCATGGGTCAGCGCAAGCTGGAGTCGCGGTCCGCGGACGGTGGCGGGCGAAAGTTAAGCATACTTGCCGGTGGCCCACCCCAAAGGCGCGCCCGAAAAGAGAGGCGAAGCGTCTCCGACGCGCAGTTCCTCGCGATAGTGCACCAGAGTATCGCCTGGCGCGCACGTAACATACAAGCGAACCTGCAGGACGCGTTCGCAGCGGAGGATATCGCTCTCGCCAGGCGCCTCTGGCTGGACCTTGTCGCACAGGGCTGGCAGCCCGTCCCATTCAACGACCAGCTGCCGTGTGGACGTCGTGCGAACGAGATCCACGATGCCTCGTCGGTCCCCCCTCCCACAACGTGCCTGCCGTCTGCTCCGCTGGCAACTAGGATGCCGCCCCCGTACACGCTTACCATGCCGCAGCTCGTGGCAGTGCTGACTTTGCGACACAGAGATCGCAGTGCCAGTCGTTCGCGGTCAAAAGACGAGAAGGTCGAGCTGGCCCTGCCGGCACGCCCGCCATCGTCGCTCTCTCGGATCGTATTCTCCGAATAGCTGTCATTGGAGATCGATGGCAGGACCGTCGCTTTTGTTTCTCAGGACTCAAGATCACTTATGCCTCATTCTTACGACCCAAACGACTGCGACACGGGTGCACGCAGGGCGTGTGCCCCTCATGGATTCCGCACCCCATCATTTCCATCTCACTTTTCTCACTCACCTATGTCCACCCTCATTGCATACAACCCATATCTTTCCGCTCCCCTTGCGTCACCACATCATCTCATATACAAAGACACAAACACGCAATCATTTCTGCCCGGCATCGCATTGTACTGAGTGTATCGATGTTATTGGAGGGTTCTCTCAGGTCCTCGTTTGATTCTGATCGTAGATTCGGATTGGACGGATATGTACGACCTGTGTACTCAGCGGTAATGAAAGTTGATTCCAGTTGAACTGGAAAAGAACGGTGCGCGATGCGTCACGCTGCACGTGCGGTGACATGTCGTGACATGTAGAGGCCGTGGCAACACCGATGTACATATGTATGGTGATGTGAAATCTGGCGATGTTTCAACACTCTACATCCAACTCGGTGGGTATCAAAAGTGACCGTCGATGAGGACTAGGCTCTTCCAAGCACTCATCTTCAAAGAGGAACTATATATGGACCGCGACTTTTCCATAAGTCATTAAAAGGTCAGCTCTTTCACTAAGATGACAAAAAACTCACAGACATCATCTTTCAAAATTTCAGATGCTTTCAATCGAGATGACGGGTGCACTGACGCCTCCTCAGTGAAGAGAAGCCACGAGATAGAAACCACGCCGCACAAATTCGCTTCTTTACGTTCTTAGTCGTGATTTCTCCCACTCTACGTACATGAAAAAATCAGTTCAAAGCCGGCATCAGAGATATAGAGGGGACTCACCGCTTGAAGATCGCTGGCAGGGCGTTGTGACTGTTGGTGTGGAAGCCGCCGACCAACCTGTTGAAAGTTGAAATGACGTGTTGGGGATTAATAGAACTGCGCGACTACAAGATGACTTGCACATCAGTGTCTGCACCCTTCTTCGTCTCAGATAGCGGTGCCCGAGGATTTCTCCGGCAAGAGGTGTATGTGCGATTACTCTGACACTGAACGTCTATTCCTAACTGGTCACTGTGGCGCAGTCTGTGGGTCAACTTTGTTCGGGAGCATGCCCACGGAGGGCGTTTGAGGGTTCTGCCGCAGGGTTTTCAGGACTCGCCAGCCAGTACGTACCAGCACGTAGTTCTTCGTTTTCTCTGTATTCGCTGCAGAAATATTAATGAGACAAGCAACCTTGCTGCCAATGAGTCACGGTCACGTGCACCGTGTTAATTTTCGCCCAGGCAACCCCGGCGTCTACTTGTTTCGCTCTTATCAGCCTCTCCACACTGTAGTCGAGCTAAAAATGAACGGACACTCCAATTTTTCCATCCTTGCTAAGGTTGAAGCCAGATTGGCCAGTGCCACCGCCGGGACGCAATTACTCAAGATGTCCCGGTCACTTTTTGGAGAAGACTTCACGTCGGCACCGCTTCGAAACCCACCAATAGAGACAGGAATGACTGATACGCTGAAAAGATTGAACGACATCGTTTTGAAGACCTCAGCGATATCGCAAGCTGAGTATATTCAGGCAGGTTTATGCGATGGCATTTCGCGGACAAAGCTCAGGCCGCACCGTTGTAGATTCCGGACCTACTCAGACGTGTGATGCATTTGTTGCGCGTGTACTATGACGCAAAGATTAGCGGTCGCAAGCCCGCGGAATTCAAGTATTGCGATGCTAGGGATATCCACGACGTCGGGCTGGATCTGCATCGCGCAGGCGTTTATCTGCAGCTGTCGCCTGCGCGTCTTCGTGCGCTTTTCAGTGCTGCACCAGATATAGAAGCATTCCTCCTCGACGAAGAGATTGACATCGGTCAATGGCGGCTGGAGGCCCAGGAAGTCAGCGATTCCGTCGATGCAGACCCCGAGTCCGACGATGACGATAGAGAGCGGGTCATGCAGCTGGAGGATTCATCAGGGTCGGATTTAGCCGCATATCATATGGTCTACTTTGTGGCGGATCTGCTGGTCGCGTTCGTGCTCATACCCCCAGTGGACATCACCGAAAGGAGGCGGGCTGAGCGGGCTATGGGAAGACTGGTGCAGTACTCGACACTTCCGATGTGGAGGAGAGCGCTCGGTGACCCCCTCACTGACACTCTGCGCCCATTATACGCATCGAAAGAGTCTCTGGTTCGATTTGCGCACGCTGGTGGTCTTCCCTCGCTATATGATGATTGGGTTTGTCTGTTCGCCCACAACGCATAGTGCGATGGAAAGTGTGTTGACGGTTTGAATTAGGCGCAGAGCTCAGCCAAGGACGGTTACTGCAAAAAAGCGGTAGAGATGCTGCCAAGCAGGGCTTGGGAACACCAGACTGAGGCATCCCTTAAGGGCGTCATGTTAGGCCTCATCCACAAGTTGGAAGCTGATGGGGAAGACCTTGTGGTGAGTCTGCATACTGCGTTGTCCTTATTGGCACAACTGACAAGTCCGAACACAGGCAACCCCGCTCTTCGCGCGCATCATACATGAGATCTACTCTCGGTACGGCCTCGAGCCATTCGCGCGAGGATCCACCCTCTCGCACAGCACCATCCTCTTCCTCTTCCTGCATCGCCGCATCGCACGCAAGCCCGATGCATACCGCACGCAGTCTGCGCTGCTTGCACTCCTGAAGAAGTATCAGAACGTCCCCCGGACCACGCGTAAGCGTCACGGGTGGATAAGCCTTCCTGTCTCTGGCAGGTGGGACTGCCTGACCGGCTTGGATTTTGGATGCGCGAATCTAACTTGCCCAGAAAAGGACGCCCTTGAGAAATTGAAGGAGAAACGTGTGAGAGGTGTAAGGGATCCTGAGGTAGAGGATCAACTCTTCCGATGGGGAGGTGCCAGTAAGGCTTGCAAAAGGTGCGTTCTTTTTCGGAAGGCTTTAGAAAGGTTAATCTCTCATGATGTTCTCAGTTGCCTATACGTGTCTTATTGCTCAAGGACATGCCAGAAGGCTGATTGGAAGAGACATAAGCCACAATGCCAGCTGCACAGCGCAAAGGACCAGAGTCAGGTCGAGGTGGAAATCTGAACCGGTTTCATCATTGTGTCTCTACCATCTACCTACTTGTGGATGCCCTCGATGCTACGTAATATCTACTTAGATCTTGGTATTGTTTCACTGCAATCCTACAATCCATTCCACTCGAAACCTTTCTCCACAGTGAAGGTCGCCGCCAAGCCCAAGTCCTTTGGAGCACTACTCTTGCCAATGCGCACGAGGTATTCCCCGGTCTCGACAACCCAGCGCGAGATTCGGTCCTCCCAGTAAGACACAGCGTACTTGTCCAGCTCCAACACGATGCTTATGCGCTTGCCAGGTGCTAGATTCTTGACCTTCGCGAACTTCTTGAGCATCAGTGGCGGGTGCGTGAGCTCAGATGTGCTCGGCAGCGTAACATAGAGCTGCACGATATCCGAACCCGCAACGGTACCCGTGTTGGTGACGGTAACGGAGGCGGTTAGCTCGAACTCGCCATTGAAGACTGCAGGCTTGGAGAGCTTGAGATCGGAATATTGGAATGTCGTGTACGACAGACCGTATCTAGGATCAAACGACTAAAAGCTGCCCAGGAAATGACTAGAGCTAGGATGACGTACCCGAAGGGGAACAGAGGTTCGATCTTTCTGTGATGGAAGTGCTTATAGCCCTGGAAGATAAGGTACTGATCAACACTTCCTCGACAAACAGCGCACGCTTGTGATATCACGTACAACAAACAGATCTTCCGCATATCGCACTTTCCCGTTCTCCGAGTGGAAATGTCCATGACTCGGGAAATCCTCGAGACGCTTCGCAAAAGTCAGGCTCAGCCGGCCGCTCGGGTTAACCTTGCCTGTCAGGACGTCCCCAATCGCTTCCCCCGTGGAGTTCCCTAGGTACCATGCATGCACGATTGCGGGCACCTGGTCAACCCAAGGCATGGTGATGCTAGAGCCCGATTGGGTGACGACGATCGTGCGCGCGTTCACTTGCGCGACGCGTGAGACGAGCTCGTCTGTGCGCTGCGGGAGCGCGAGCGTTGTGCGGTCATAGCCCTCCGTCTCCCAATCCGCGTTGAGCCCAACGACGGCAACTACAGCGTCAGCCTCGCTCGCGAGCTTCACCGCCCGCTCCATCAGCGCATCCGGGTCCTCGACCTCCGCGCCGCCGAGCCGCACGCCCGGGTTTGAGTCCATCAGCATTTCATCGAGGTCGTCATCAGCGGGCGCGCGAACGTTACAATACTCGACGAGAATCGAGTGTGCAATACCGGCCTTGAGCGGGTATATTCCCTTCTCTTCCTCGGAACCGGAGCCAAAGAAAGCAGAACCACGGCGCTGCTTCGTCCAGTTGTCGACCAAGAGTTTTCCATCGACATAGAGCTTGAGGTCCAGGAATGAGCTAGGAAAATATACCGATAACAGAGAGCACGTACGCGGGCTCGACCTGCGGACAAAAGCCCGAACTCGAACTGGCAGTCGTACGGACGTGGCTTGAGCTGGCCCTTGAGCTTCAGTGTCCATCGTTTCGTCAGACGTTCGTCGTACGAGGTGCTGTAGTAAATAATCAGCGATATGTCGGCTTTATTCTCTCCACGATAGCCCACCTGAAGAAAATACGGGTCTCGTCAATGTAGCGATCTACAAGGGGCTCCGACAGAGGCGTCATGCTGTTATCGCTCTCGTGCGAGTAGAAAGAACCGATCCAACCGCGCTGTCCCTTGTCCGTAAAAATGTCGTAGTCGAGCGACGGCATCTGCATATACGCTGGGTGACTTCGTCAGCGCGAAATGACAGAGCGAGGCTCGGAAGGTTGTCTTCACCTCTAGCACCCTCGCAGTATGTGATCTCGACGTTCTTGTCCACCTCGCCGAGTGCGGCAACGATGCCGTCGTGGGGTGTCGTGAAGAAGCTCGGTTTAAGCGCGGCGGACCCACCACCGCTAAGCACGAGCGCTTTCGCGTTTCCGCCTACAATCGCAATCTTCTTCAAATTCTGCTCCTGTGAATTACGCGTCAAAATCCGAAGTCTATGCACGCACGGGAGGTGTGAACCTTAGGCTTCAGTGGCAGCACACCTTTGTCGTTCTTCAGAAGCACAATAGACTGCGTGGCAAGGTGACGCATGAGTGCCTTCTCTTCAGGCGTGTCCACCGTGCGCTCAAGGCCATCACCGTCCAAAATCTACAGCAGCGTATCAGGGAAGCGGACAAAAGTTGAGCTGAAGACACACTTCGGGCGCGGCCCGCGCACACTTCTGGACGAGTTGAAGGACCTTAGCAGCGCGTTCCTTCACCGTACGGCGCATAATCTTACGGCTCTGGATTCTGCAATTTAGAGTTTCAGCCTGAGTGCTTTGCGAAATAATGGCGCCGGAGCTACGTACGATCTGTTCATAAGGTCGAGCGTTCGCCACTTGTTCGTGCCGGGCATTTCGAGATCAAGACCCGCGTTAATTGCGTGGTCAATAGAGTACACGCCGAACCAGTCGCTCATTACAGTCGCGTCGCTGCCCCATTCGTTGCGGAGTATATCACGGATGATCTTCGGGTTCTCCGAGACGTGCGTCCCGTTCACGCGGTTGTATCTATTGAAGACGCAGCAAATCTCGGTATAGAGAGAGCGAACCTGGTAAAAGCTGCTTACGCAGTCATGAAGCTCCACGGCTTGGCATACTTCTCTGCCAACATAAACGGCATGAGGTATATTTCCCTCAGGGCGCGCTCAGACATGATTGAGTCGTACGCCATCCGGTCGTCCTCCTTGTCATTTCCGACGAAGTGCTTGATGCATCCCGCGATTCCGCCTTCCTGGACACCCTTGACGTAGGAGGCAGCAATCATGCCAGATAGGTGAGGATCCTCAGAGAACGACTCAAAAGATCTGCCGCCAAGCGGACTTCGCTGGGTATTGCAGGTCGGACCGAGAAGAACAGACGCGCCTTTGAGCTTGGCCTCTTGCGCGAGGAGCTTGAGACCAACATCATGCAGTAGGTCGGGATCGAACGTGGCTCCGAGAGCAGTAGCCGATGGTAAACATTTAGCAGGTGTACCCATGAAGAAGTGGTTACCCCGAATGCCTATGGACTAATCAGTGCGGTACGACAACGTAGATGCGTCCTGTACTCGCCATTCGGTCCGTCACTGACTTTGAGCGCCGGGACGTTGAGTCGAGGAATGGCGTGAGTATGCCAGAAGCCGACACCAGCAGTGAGCAGAATCGCCTCGTCCGTGGTGAGTTGGTCGACGACGTCCGCAAGGTCTACGTTTGCGAAATCCGAGGGCGGCATCTTGGATTATTCACCAAAAATCCAGCAAAATCAAGCAAAACTTTCGCCGCTTCCGCGTGTGTAGTGAGAAAAGACAATGCGTCGGAGAAAGTAGCCTGGGACATCCCTCGAGGGTAAGCAGCGTACTTATATGCAACGCAGGAGGAGAAGCAGGTGCACTGTATTTCCGATGTTTTCCCGGACTGTCTGGTCGTGTGGCCTTCAACCACCTTCATCTGGGGGGGAACTTCCCTCGTTTCAGTCAAGTACATATGCAGTCTGGACTTACTGTCATTTCGCCTGAAGCTATTATCAACGCCTTGAGATCGCTTGTTGCAAGAATTGGAGTGTATAAGTGATGACGGCCCAGCAGGGAACAGAAGCTACCGCAGAACCCCTCCATCACAAGGGATGTGAGTTTTATTCTTTTTGAACCTTACTTTGATCCCTTCGACAATCTTGCAGGCATCTCCGGGAAATCAATGACCCTAGTTATGAGCGTAACGTGAGAAAATAAAATGGATTCAATCATATCTTGCAGTTGGAATACGATTTCTGGATGACCGTGATGTGTTTCAATTGGTCGTGTCAACTGGTCGTGCGCGCGCGCTGCAGTTGTCTGACTGCTGTCGTTCGATGTTGTAAGTGTCTTGTTGACTGATCTGGCGTGCATGATGTGAATATACTACTTCGTACTTCTCAGGTGGAGCATATCCTGGCATCCCCGGGCCAGCTGCTGGATCTGGCAATTCTAACTACTATCACGACTGTTCACCACCACTATGTGCAAGCTTCTAGCCAAGTTCGAGCTGGAAATGCAAGGCCAGGTAGCGCTAAAATGTGGAAGACCCAGTACCGTCGACGCGTCTGCGGAGTCATCTCCTTGTAATATACCGGCTGCGCAGATTACAACGATGTGTGCCAACTTCTAGGTCTGGCCGAGTGGTTGATCATCAAGATTCTCGTTTCCTCAGCCACCATAAGCATGGGAGCTGGTCTGCCGACTACTGAAGAGCATGTATGCGTTCGGGTGGGCTGTGAAGAGTCAGATTCGCCTTCTTTCTCACTTCTCCGATTTCCGAAAGAGATGGGCTGGCGTAACCTTGGTAGAACAGACTTATACGGATTTGGCAACTCACGTCCATGTGCGACAAATAGATGTTTCCGCAATATATACCTAGTTTCCAGGAGCAACTCCAGAACTTGTCCGGTTCTAACATTTTAGCCGGCTGCAGTCGTTCTCGTCAAGTCACGAATCTCTGAATACAGACTATGAAGTCATTGATTCATTCTGCGGTAAGTTTCCTGCCACAGGTGATAAAATCGACGACCGGAACGGCAAGTAATGGATTCAAATCTCGATCTTGACCGCATTTTCGTCTCGGGGTGTGTGCCGTTTGTAATTGAGCTTGTGTTTTTTCCAATCGGCCTTCTGGCAACTCCTCAAACAGTAGCAAACACATCTGCGGCTAGCGACAATTATCATGGATACATTCAAGGCAACACACCTTGCGCAAACGCTGCCCACTCCCCAACGATAGAGTCTACTCTCGACCTCCACATTCCAGATTCCCCTCTCCCGCTTCCGCCTAAGTTCCAGAAGAGTCATTCGCTCGAGGCACTCTGCATATGCGCATCCAAATTCAGTCAAGCAGTGCCACTGGACAGAGATGGGGAGGATCATCCAGCCATGACATCTGCTTGTTGCACGTGGTACATGTTTATACTTCTCCAGGAGTCCAAGCATCTCTGAGGGCGGGTGATATGCATCGGGCTTACGCGCTATGCGGCGGTGAAGGAAAAAGAATAAAATTGTGTTCTGCGACAAGGTAGCTCCGCGCACGAATGGCTCCAGACCGTAGTGAGAGTACATCTCGTGTATGATGCGTGCAAAGAGCGGAGTGGCCTGTTTTTCATATCGATCAGGATGAGTGGAGTAGGACTTGGAGTTCTCACAAACCACTAAATCTTCACCATCCTCCACCTTGCAAATGAGACCGTGCATCACACCTTTCAGCGACGTTTCCGTCTGATGCTCCCAAGCTCTGCTCGGTAGTGTTTCCACTGTCTTCTGGCATAAGGTTTTCGAGGCACTCCGCGCCTGATCAAAAGTTTCAATGAGTAACATGAACGGTATACTCAAAACCCACGTACCCAATCGTGGAATAGTGTAGGAAGGCCACCGACATGTGCAAATAGCAGGGTGAGATCGACCGGTATAACGGAAGCATAGCATCGGTGAGGAGGCTTCCGACGGCGTTCCTCCACACTAAGAGTGTCGAGTACTTCACTAATCTTTCCATCGCACGATCTGCCCGTTGCCTCTCGTTGTTGTCCACGGGTGAGATTAGCACGAGAGCCACAAGTAAGTCTGCAACGAAGCAGACCATATGACTGGCAGCCAAGTCCTCCATCGACTTCTTTTGAAGCAATAAAGCGCGCTCTTCATCTTCATCTTCATCTTCATCTTCAGGGTCTGAATCGACTGCGTCGCTGGCCTCCTGAGCTTCGAGGCGCCATTTCCCGATGTCGAGCTTCTCATCCAGGAAGAAAGCTTCTATGTCTGGGAAGAGCACGAGGGTTTGAGCTGCAGGAAGAGGCGCGCTTGGTGCAGGTCAATACATATGGTATTCATGTTGTGATCATCGCAGTACCCGAACTCAACAGGTTTATGGCCTGTGATCTTGGTATCGCAGTACACGCGCAAAAGGTGTCTCAAGTGTCTGAGAAGCTTGGGAACCCAATATGAGGCGGTGAGTACCAGTCTGTCGAAAAAGTATTAATGAGCTGTACTTGAGCATATTCTGCCTCAGACACTGCTGAGCTCTTCATGATAATTCTTGCAGTTTTTTCTCTAGTCTCTGTCATCCCTGTGCTTATCGGTGGATTCAAGAGCGGGGCCGACTCAAATTCTTCCGCTTCAATCGATCGAACCACTGCCCGCTCAGCTCCTCCAATGAGGGAAGTTGCCAGTCTTGCTTCGACCTGGGCAAGGACAGATCCCGAGTTGGCGAGTGTATGCCGGCTCATAATCGTCGAATCTGGAAGGAATTTGCTTGACAGATGGATTATCCTGTGTGATGGGATGGTTAATTCACTCAAGAAAGGTTCGACGATTGCGGATACTGTACGATATACCGAGGATCGGTTATAAAGGTCCTCCAGATCGGCCAAAAAAAATTCACGACTTGCCCAAAACCTGACAAACGACATTGGAGAAACACCACTCACGATCGATGCACTTAATCACGCCCTGTATTTAACGATGAATAAGTACAGCAAGTCAAGCAAAGTTGGGAACCACCACCGTGACCAGTCGTCACAGACGCGCCCTCGTGATCTGTGATGGTGACAGATCACGCTTGAGATATCTATCTGCCACGGTGAGACCAGGGGCAAACTCGGAACCTGAGGTTGATGTACTTATCGACGGTCAGTGTTCTCTCGAATTCGTCTGAAAGTGCACATTCACAATACTTATCCGCCTAGACCCCGTGCCTCGTCAAGTTCTAGGCCCGGGTCCTCTAAGTCTCTAGCTAGCACGAAGCCAGACTTCAACCAGGCATCGTCATATAGGGACCCAAGCTTTCGACTCTGCTATACACCACACCATAAACTACCCCATACTGCTCGCCCATGCAATCCTCATCCACATCAGCGGGCTCTTCCAGCAATAACAGTTACACTAGGAGTGCACACGAACCACCCGAGACAGATATCTTGTTCTCGCACCGTCTTCACGACGAGTGAGCAATTGCCACCGTTAGCACAGCTGCATATCGTTAAACGAGACACCTAGCTTCCTCCAAGAGATCCACGACATAACACACTCGCCCACGCGCGTCACCCAATTCTTGCACGACCCAAACCTCCTCTCACCGGCGCACAGGCACGCGCGGAAACAGTCGGCCTCGAATCTGGGTGAGCAAAGAACTGACAACCACGCGCATCCGAGTCAAGTTCACAGGGATACCGCGAATGCCCTCACGGTCGTGCTTGGGGAGGAGGAGCGCGAAGCCCACCGCCTGCGGCGTCTCCTAGGTGAGGCGGGCGAGCGGCTAGAGTCCGAGATCTGCCGCGCGGACGACTCCGAGGCGCGTGCTCGTGCTGCGCAAGAGCTCGCGAAGGAGGGCGAAGCACGCGTTACATCAGAGCAGTCCGCGCGGCGTCAGGCGGAGACGGACGCCGCGCACGCTCACGAGGAGGTCCGGCGGATTGAGGCATTGCAGGATGCGGCTGCGGAAGACTTGCGGCGCGCGGAAGTGCAAGTCCTGGAGGTGCGGCAGCAACTAGAAGAGGAGCGTAAGAGGGCGGCGGAGGCCGTGGACGGTGTGCGGAAGGCACAACAGGTCTTGCGGGAGTACCAGGCGCTGGAACAAGGACATGAAGAGGTGAAGCGGCTGGAGCTCGGCAGAGGCGCTGTAGATCCGGTGGATGAGCGTGCAATGGCGTTTGAGGAGGGACGTGCGGAGGGCTATGCGGCTGGGCGAGCGCAAGGGTATGCAGCTGGAAGGTCAAACGGTTTTCAGGCTGGGCAAGCAACTGGGTATGACCAAGGCATGAAAGCGGGGAAAGCGAAGGGGTTTAGCACAGGGATCCGGCAAGGGCACGCCGAGGAGCGCGACTACGCGCTGGAGCAATTTGACAGGTTCTTGGAGTCAGACAGCGGTCGTAGGAGCTTGCAGGATTATCTCGTGCGTAATGGTTCTCGAGAGATCTAACCAAAGCGTCACGGCATCTGACTTTGATGTTTCCAGACTCACAATAGCATACGACGACGGACGAAACGCCCGCATCAAACCGAGGTACGGCCAGGGCAATTTAGGCTATACCTGGAGCCAGTAAGCAACAGTTCCTCGGAGGCAGTGAGGGGGAGAAACGCAACCGCAGAAGTACTCGTAGAGCGGGTACCAGCCCAAGAACTTCTTGCAGCATCTCAAGAGCAGTCTACGCCTCTGGGTAAACAGCGATCCAGAGAGTCGCTCAAAGAGCGCATTCGGAACACAGTTCATGGCCGGAGGCACTCTCACCAGCACGCACACGACCATGATCGAGAGCCAGTTCCATCTCTGTATAATGCGACCTAGTCAAAAGTATGAACCACCAGATTTCACCTTATAATATGCCCTCGGTTGTCGGTGTATTCCCTCAAATAATGAGAGGGTGAAGTCCGGCGGGAAAATAGAGGGATGTAACCTGAAAGGTAAGCCAACTCACGAGAAGTCCGAAGTAGATTATGGTGGACTTATCAGCCGACGAATGGTCAAGGATCCATATCGTCTCCCACTCGAAGGGTTGTAGTCTGACTTTGCGAGACTAGTCGAGGATAGTAACAGCTACAGTTGTTTCAGCAGTCGGGCGAACAGGATACATCTTCAATTACCACGCCAGAGTAGAACATTCTTTCGCGCCCTCCAACTTCTCCCAAAAGCCACTCTTGTCCCGTTCAGCATTTGTCAGGTCCACCACCACGCTCGCCGCCCAGTGGGTCCCGCTCTCCCTGAAAGTCGTTTAGCCCCGTCCTGCAGTAACCCGGATTCACAGCCAATGAATGCAAGTCAGAAAATTCAGCGGATTGTCCACGCCGTACATGAAGACAAATACGCGCATGGAAGAGCACGTTCGGGTGCAGCTTTCGGTACTCGATGGTAAACATATTCAGCGCGGCCTTGGAGACGGTGTACAGAATGCTCGGAGTGATCGGATCTGCTAGCTTTGAGACAATACCGAGCGACCCAGCAGCTGAAGACACATTGATGACGCGGGGATCGGGAGAGAGTACGAGCAACGGGAGGAAGACGGACATGACGAGGGCAACGGCAGAGACATTCGTGTCGTATATTGCGTTATATATCGACCGCAGGCGTCGATCCCGTCTGGAGACGGATAAAGTGCGATCGCCGCATTATTGATTAAAACTGATGTAGACTGTGTCACGGCGGCGCGGTCGCCAGATCAGAGGGGCAAACAAGCGTACCGTCAAGCTTTCCGTAGCGCTCGCGCACGGTCTTTTCTGCCGCCTTGATACTGGCATCGTCCGTAATGTCGAGTGCGAGGCTGTCGACGTGATCCGATCGAACTCCTAGCTTGCACAGCTCGTCGATAGCGCCTATAGCTTTTTCAATTGAGCGCGCGGCCAGGATAAGTTAATCGTCCGGCTTCCCCGATGCCAGGGCTTGGACGATTTAAAACCCAATTCCTGAGAAACCAAGCCCGTGTTAGAGGATCGTCGTTCACCGCGCATCCCCTAAAATCGGTGAATTCGGATATACTTATGTTCGCACCTGTGACGGGAACTGTTCGAATCGTGCTCAGTGCTGGGTTGTGCGATGGGAAGTTAGGACCATTCACAGCATCCTGGCGGTCTTTTCTACGTTTCTACGAACAGACAGTCAGGTGCCAGCTCCCCTACCGAAGCTGCTATGCGTAAGTACTCTGGGCCACAGCTTCCGGCCTTCGTTGACGTTTTGCTATCGTACCTGCGCTCTTCCTGCTTAGGCTTGTTGTGTTCCCGAACGATGTAGAGTATCTCACTGCATTGCAGAGACAAAGCTGTAAGAAATCTATCGTTCAAATCAATTTTGGATAAGCCAAAGAAACGTGAGCACAACATAAATAGAGACGAGAGAACAAAACACAAAGTTCCACATGTGCGATGGCGATGACGATGGTAAGATAAATAATACCGGACGTGAAGTCAGCCCCGATGAAAATGAGATCGAGCAAGTGGATCATCCGCCGCTAAATCATCTTTCGCCGCTGACATTTGAGGCCAAAGACAAGCTGGCCGAAGCATGTGGCGAGCCTCAGCCAACTCTGGAACGCTTGCTCTGACGAGCGCCCTGCATATCTGCTTCAAGACGACGTTTCGAGCCAGAAGGTGCAGTTGGCACCGCAGGAAGCTCGAGGCCCTTCTCTTTGTAGTGCGCGTAGTTGTAGTTCGAGGGGACTCGGTCGAGTACCTTGTCATGCTTCGGCCACTCATCCACGTGCTGATTATAAGCCTCTTCGAGCAACCTGTACATCGGAACCTGAGAGTTCAAGTTGTTAGCCAGCGCCTTTTGCTCCTCTCGCGCTTTTCCCTCGATTTGTGGATCTTCTTTAAAGGTTTCGACAGACATGCCTGTTGCAAGGGACCGCGCCATAACCTGTCTGCGCAAGTGGTCTCTAATGGACATCTCCGTGTCAGCAGAGAATTCATCATTCTCTATTCCATCATTCGGTTGCTGCGGTTCGTCGGTGACAGGTCCATTTTGCACGGCTCCTTGTGGCCAGTCCTCAGGAGAGAATTCCGCATATCGTGCCTTGAACCATTTCAAGAGCTGGTGGATGAGCGCATTACATGGATGTGTCTTCTTATCACCGTACTCGAATCTGACTGTTTTGTCGAGGGTTGTCTGCAGTTTTCCGGATTGCATTGCATTCCGCTTGGCGATACCGCAGGTATAATGAGTCGCTCCGTCACTGACGGTGCACTCATCAAAGTACTGAGACATGAAGTATGCTGGGTTCTTGAGGGAACTGTTCATGAACCTGACGAGATAGAACAAGAAGACATTGAAGAATGCCTCAAGCTCATCCGCAACTTCGACGGCTCTAGCGGGCACGTCCAGCAAGATGGCCGACATGAACTGCCATGTTCCCTGTGAGTATGAGATGAGCATTCACTATCAGTTGGAAGACTAACTGGATGCTCACAGTACGGTCAGGTTGCCTTGCCTTCTGGATCCCCTCTGTATCGTCGACTTCACCATCTTCATCATCAATCAATTTGGACAGCTCCCAGTCACATAACATCCCAACCCTCCAGGGTACATCACCATTCGATGGCAGTAGCATTTCATTCATGAGGATATTCCCTGCACTGACATCTCGATGCATGATTCTAGCTCTCACCATGGCCTGATGATGAGCTACATGTAATCTATGAGTATCATGTGCTTAAGTCCACTCTTAATAGAAAGGCTCACCATATATACAATCTGAGATAATCCTCACCAGCTCCAAAGCATTTTTAAAATCGCTTAGTGGACGACAGACTTCTTCGACTACAAGCCGATAATGTGTGTGGGTCTTGATCGGGTTCATCTGTCCACTATAGAACTCGCGCCAGTAGGTGTCTGTCTTCGTCCGTTGTCGTTCAACATGTACAGTGTTTCCAACGTTTTCAACGTCTAGAACGTCCCCGTGGCAAACCAGAGTCGGGACGTTTGCGACTTCTGCATCATTGAGGGACTGGAGGATGTATCCCTCCTTCTCGATGTCTGGCAGGTCTACGCGCCACACATCCTTGAGGAAGACGAATTTCTTATCCTGGCAGTCGTACGCAATGTACCCTCGTGTAGTGCGGCCTGTCATACCTGACGCCTGAAAATGAGGCTTTCCGACCAAAAAATGTCGAAAACGTGGCTTTTTGCGGACATTCCTCCCTGCAGGTCGAGAGTCTGAGCCGTCGGTCCCCTTTCCCTTTTCCGGATGTACAGTCAGTTTCCAACACGACCAGTCATCAGGATTCTCCTTCGAGAGGTTGGGCACGGACTTGGCGAATGATTGCCTCGCATACTCGGAGCCAGCACCTTTTGGCGGATTCTTGGCCAGCTGCTCCATGAGCTTGTAGTCTGCCGATCCGGGTTTCACAGCAACGACCGTCGTATCGTATCCTTGCTGTTTATCAGTCATATTACAGAATCGCCACAGGAACTTGCCAAGATACTCGGTGTTCGTGTACTTGAATTTGTTCGTGATAACAGTACCGGCCCTGTCCCAGCGAATAATTCGTGCGAGATCGCGGAGGATGAGAATCGTGAATGCGAAGCAGCGATGTTGCCGTGAGAAGAGCATTTTGGCGTAGGAGATGATCTGCCCTCGAGCCGCAGCTCGTCGGTCAGCGGGCGGCTCATAAGCTGTCTCGAAGACCTCTCTGGATGATTTTTCAGAAGCCATCTGAAGGGAATTCTCTTCCTCGCTGTCTTCACCGTCTCCCATTGTCGGGTCACCGTCTCCGTATGTCTCGTCTTCATCCAGGAAGACATTGTCCATATCGCCCACGTCGTCGTCATTCGCGTCGTGCACGTCATCTACTTGGACCTCGTCGCCCTGCTCAGCATCGTGGTGCAGGTCATCTTCATCCTCGGCCTTCGTCTTTGGATCTTCGAAAGGATCATCCTCCGTTCTATGCTTCTTGAACTCAATCGAAAGCCGCTGAAGTGACCAATGTGGCCTACTATCGTCAAAGGACTTTCTCTGCTTGGCGTTCTCAGGCAGAAACAGCGCAGCATCAACCTTCTGCCTCGAGGGGTCCGCCTTGTCGGGCTTGTTCTGCACCAACTTGAGGACATATCCTGTGCAAAGCTTGTAATTTTGGACGCATTTGACCTTGACATAACCGACTCAATCAGATGCATGATGTGTAGGAGAATGTCAAGCTCACCAGAGGTTCATACATCTGCTCTTCTCGTACTGTACCTTCGAGTACGTTCTCCATGTCCTTGAACACCTTCTTGAAATTCGGCTTGAATGGTTTCTCCACCATCGCTTCAGATTCAGGGGTGAACGCGTCCATAAATTTGTCCACGGGCATCACGATAAATTTCCCGCGCATTTCTTCACGAAGATGCCGTCGTTGGTCGTGCAGAGTTTGGCCGCCGGTAGCAAATCGCGAATTATCACGCTTGGCCTTGTGGGGAGAGCTTTGACAATTAGCAGAGAGATTGTCAGATTGGAGAGACTTAGTGGAAGACATGCTGGCGCGTGCTTACCTCCTCCGAGAGAGATGGAGGACTTTATATATTCGGCTGGAAGACGGGTGGCCAAGCTCTGCGCAATCTCGATCAGTTGGTCGGCCAGAGATCGACTCACAGATTTACATTACCGTGTGCAAGATCTTCTTGTCTATTGTGCCCTCCGAAACACGGCAATGTTGCTGAGGTGCGTGCGGTTGTAGCCTTGCGTTCGAAGGCCAGCGACCACGTGTACCGCGTCCAATGCCCGACACGTGATGCTGTTGCGCCTAATTCTACTACTCGTTGTACGTGCCCGTTTTCTTGTAGAGTGACATGAGTCCTCAGTCGCTCATTCTAGCCAACACTGGATGGACTTGCTACCTCAGCGGTAAAAATCTTGCGAAGTTGTGAGCGCAACGACTTGTTGCCACGACCTCACTCGCACCACTCCCAGGTCGTGCCCGTGGCCGGCTCGGAGCTGTCCAGCATACTAGTCGTAACCAGCATGTTACGGGAACGACGTTGTGGCACAGCGTCTCCATTTTTTTGTGGAGGCGAAATAACTGCTGTACACTTATTCACCTGTGCATTGTTCTGACGCTCAAGTGCGTGGCCTCGGATAGCCTTTCGCGCGGTTCATTTCGGTCCATGGCACAAAGGAGTTCCCCCCAACAAAGGAGATTGTCAGACAGGCACCCTGGTTTCCGCAGTGGCCCTCCTTTACCATTGTGGTTCGTGCTCCCATCCTTCCCAGTCATAATAACATCGTCCGAGGTGGGACTCGCTCTGTCGTTCCCGGTTCGACAGCCAACATCGTTTGTTTGCCCAATGCCCTGTTTTAGTAATTCAATACCTGATTGGCAGGGTGAAACTGAGTTGACGAACAGCCCACCCCGGTTCTCAGACATTTACTCCTGTATGGCGCCGCGTGTACTGCTTGCATGAAATCGTATTGACGAATCACACACACGCCCAGCGCGATCAACACCAGCCAGCCTCAAGCCACCTGCTGTATAGTGCTATCATAGCTATTGAAATTCGCAAGTCCCCTCTCAAGGGCCACTGCGCCTTGAACACGACCTAGGAGAAATCAGATGCAGAATGAGATGCGTGTCCCTACCAAGGCACAGTGGAACATTCTTCGGCACCGTTATCCATGGCCCAAAATCTACTTTTGTACTTGTCCCTCGCTGCATTCGCCAACTTTACGATCACACTGGCTCCATCCAATGGATCTCGAGGTCCCCGATAGCCGTTCATCCCAGTCTTACAGTATCCCGGGTCTATGGTCTGCATTGGCGCACTTAGTGAAGTTCCCCTGGTCCGACAATGACTACTCGCCTGAAAGAGCACGTTCGGATGCAGCTTCTGGTACTCTATGGTGAGTACGTTTAGCGCAGTCTTCGAGGTGCTGTATGGGATGCTCCCTGTGGGAGGGAGTTTGCCTGACATGGCAAGTTCGATCGATGCGCGGCCAGATGAGACGTTGATCACGCGCGGGTCTGGCGATAGCGCGAGAAGCGGCAGAAACACGGAGGTGAATACAGCGACTCCGGATACGTTGGTGTCATAGATCGCATTGTAAATCGAACGCAGGTTGTCGATTTCTCCGGGGAACGGGATGATGGCTATGCCCGCGTTGTTGATTAAGACTAGATCACAGTTAGCGTAGCATCCAGGTAACTTGGCGAACAAAACAGTATTACTGTCAAGCTTTCCATATCGCCCACGAACTGTCTGTTCTGCAGCTCTGATGCTGACATCATCCGTGACGTCGAGAGCCAAGCTATGGATGTCTGACGTGAGTCCGAGCTTGCGCAACTCCGCTATCGCACCGTTGGCTTTGTCAATGGAACGAGCAGCAAGAACGAGCTGGTCGTCCAATTTTTGCAGCGCTAATCCTTGGACGACGCTGAAACCGATTCCTGGGAAGTCAAACACCGACGTGAGAAGGTCTTGCACCGCGGACAGTACAGTCTAGGGTCTGTGGCACAAACCTCGATTAGCTCCTGTGATGAGGATCGTGCGCGGCATTGTTCAGAAGACAGTGGGATGCAAGAACGCGATATCATCGCCTTATCTACGCTTTGAGGGTTTTGAAACGCTAGGATTACTTGCCGAAGCAGTGGACATACGTGCCATAGTCTAGGTACCTCCAACGAATGCTGACTACTATCATCTTTGCAGTTCGGCATCCCGCGTTCCTTTACGCGAGTGAGTGTCACATGTGACGGTACGCGTTGCGTGACCCCTTGAGTTTCCTTGTTTGCATTCTCCTTGTGCTGACATCCTAACTGACGATATGTATCTGGCTCATGGAGCATATCATCGGGCGAATCTTGTACTCACCTTTCTAGTCTTCAATTTTATCAATTTATGCTATAGTGGTAATCAAATCCCTCGATCACAATAGAGACAAGTCGCAGCTTCGCGTTCGACACGGGCCCCTTCGCAAACCTGGGTTGAATGACACAGCACTGTAGGCAGAGATGACTGCTTTTCCACCGAGCTCTAAGTGGATTGTGGTTGTTTCACATCGACCACTATTCTTTTAACAAGCATCGTGCACGACTGGTACCTGTGACAGGTGCAAGACGCTTATGAGAAGGTGGACCATCTGTATCTGTCTATCTTGTCTTCACTAATTCTGCCTTCCTCTGGTTTGACAGAGCGAAAATCTATCGAAGGTTCGTGTTGTGTTTTTTAGAGCTCTGGCACCAACTATCATGTCTCTCGGCTTCTACTGGTCGGTGCGGTCGTCGTATATGACTGCAAGGGTGTGTTCTCTTGCGGCTCTTGTGATAATTTCGAGTGACGCAGATACTGTGCGTTCCGAAAGGCGTAGCCGGCTATTCTCCGAAGCGTGGCTCGCCGCTCAGGTCCTGGCAGATATCTCGATGCAGCACTTGATTACACGGAATGCTTGTAGAGACCACCCGAATAACTCTGAGCACGAGTGTCATGATCTAATGCGATGTGCACGGATGTGGCATGAGCAGCGTATCACAGCTGAGTAGTTGGTCAGCCGAGATAACGTCACGTAACGTATGCAGGTCTCGCGTCTGCTTGTGCTGTTTATATGAGAGTATTTCTTATCTCCTCCCACCTCCCCGACCTTCTTGACGTCCTCACAAGCGATTGAATATCGTTCTTTTTACAGCTTATGTCTGCGAACCTCGTGCTTCCCCCTCGCAGTATAAGTACCGCGTTCCGCCACGGCACGCGTGTCGTGCTTTGAGGGAAGTCTTCGTCACTGCAGTACTAGATTTTGGCGATGTTCCTCGTTAAGCTCTTCTCGGCGGCCTTGTGCTTAACCGCACCTGTTAGGGCTTTTAATTCTTATGGGTTCAGTCCAGTAAACGGTGCGTACGTGTCTCATGGAGGAACTCCCCCGCCTGACATCTACGTACCGTCTGATCACTTAGGGAAATCCTTGCCTGACCTGTTCTACGCTACGATTGATGATCTTCAATTCGGACTTGCACAAGGAACCTTTACTAGCGTTGATCTTGTTAAGGTGCAAGATCTATTTGTCCGCGATATTTTAAACCTATTGTTCATGCGCGTGATAGGCGTATTTCGCACGTATTGAGGAGGTGAACAATATCACTCATGCAGTCATTGAGACCAATCCCGATGCTCTTGCGATCGCTGCCTCTCTCGACGCGGAGAGAGCGAATGGAGTCGTGCGTGGGTGAGTTGTCGGAAGAATGTATCATCGCATTCATTTTTCACGTTCATGATCCTTCCCATTATTTGTAGAAAAATGCATGGTATCCCCGTGCTGGTGAAGGATAACATCGGAACGCTCGACAAGATGAATACAACTGGTACGTTTTCTCACAATTAACCATGGAAGGATTCTGACGATCTGTTCATCAAGCTGGTTCGTATGCCTTTGTCGGCGCCATATTGCCCAGAGACTCCACTATCGCGGCAAAGTTGAAAGCAGCCGGTGCTATCCTCATCGGGAAGGCCAATCTTTCGCAGTTCGCCAACTATAGGTCCACGAACTCTACAAATGGTCAGCACGTACTGAACCACAAGGCCTCATAATAGTATTCAACGGCTTTTGTTAACAGGTTGGACTTCTCGTGGGGGCCAGACGACGGCAGCATATTATCCCTATTTGGACCCGTCGGGCTCTAGTAGTGGCCCTGGGGTCTCATGTTCGATAGGTCTTGCTGCTGTTTGTATTGGCACCGAAACGGACGGCTCTATCATCTCTCCCAGTAGTAGGAATAGCCTAACTGGTATAAAGCCCGTAAGTGTACCCAGACTGGCGCTCGGAGCGGTATTTTGACGCGAGTTCTTCCTTTCCAGTCTGTCGGCCTGACAAGTCGTTATCTCGTAATCCCGATTTCGCAGACACAGGATACGGTTGGCCCCATGACAAGGACGATTATGGATGCCGCATACGTCCTCTCCGTCATCGCTGGTGGGTCGGCTTTTGAACTTGAGTAACACAAGTAATGAATGATCCTCAGGCCCGGACCCATATGACAACTACACCTCTGCCATCCCATTCGACACTGTCCCCAATTACGCTGCGAACTGTAACATCAACGGTCTGCAAGGTGCAAAGATTGGGATCCCGCGCAATGCGATCTCTGTGCACACAATAGATGGCCCTGAAGTCGCTGCTTTCAACGCGTCGATCCCAATCTTCAAGGCGCTGGGCGCGACGGTCCTGGAGAGCGCTGATTTCCCCGATTTGGAAGGATATGTAAACTTCACCGGGTCCAGCGTGAGTGGCTTTACAGAAATTAAACGAGTGGCGTCTAAGCCTGACATTACGAATCAGTATGCAACGGATCCAGTTGTAGGTGCCGACTTTGTCGTCGGCATAGCGAACTACTTCAATGAGCTAGTGTACAACCCGCTTGAAATCCATAGCCTCACCGAACTAGCAAACTTCACGATGAGCTATCCCCCTGAGGATTATGTGAGCATTATGAATTATCTCCGATCCACTCTCCCTATTCAACTGTCCCTCGCGTACTACAGCCTGACCGCAACATTGCTACGTAAGTCGTTCGATGCTTCCCGCTTTGAGCGCGTGGTCTTGATGCCTTCAACTTTAAGCTGGCAGCAAGATTTGGCCCTCAATGTCACGCAGGGTGACTCTGCGTACTACACCGCGCTTCTGGAGCAATACTACTATGGCTCAAATGCCAGTAAGCACCTTTTCACAGGCTAGCCGCTGCCGCGTCCTTACGCAACCTTTCAGCCATCCTCGGTGCGCTCGACAATTATGACCTCGACGCGTTGATCATTCCGAGTTCCTTTGCCCCGGGTATGAATCAGGTTCCTGTTTCCGTTGCACGGCTGAGCTCACATATAAATCTTCAACGCAAAGGATACGCCGCCATCGCGGGATACCCAATCGTCACTGTGCCGCTAAACTACTACCCTGGTAACACTACCGTCACCTGGAACTCGCGGTACACACTCGTCGAGTCTGCACCAAACATGCCGTATGTAGTGATAACACATCGACTCGATCATAAGGGGCTGATTACATGGATTGGTGGCGTTCGTGATATAGATTTGGTATCTCGATCTATGGAAGGCGCTTCAGCGAGGCCACGATGGTGCAGTACGCGTGTGCCTTCGAGGCTGCTACGAATGTGCGTACTACCCATTCGCTGCTGATCACGTTGCTTCCATTTGGCTGATTATCGGTATTCATCATCCAGTATCGCAATCTGAAGCTTCCTTACTTGATACCAAACATTCAGCTCGTCGACGTCATGTAAATGGGAACATCAGCCTACTGCCCTGAGGTTCAATATGTAGAAATGGAAAGTTCAACTTCTACTCTTTATGGGGCGTAATTCAGCGCACCTTCACTTCCTTTGGAGATATAAGGCCTAATTGACCGAATCATTGGTCCTTTGGAACAGCAGCAGCAAACAAGCCCGGAGATCATGCCGAAGTCTAAGCCTAAATTCAGCTGTGTTACTTTAGTCGATCATCTCAGCGGGCTGTCACTCGTACAAGCAAGCATGCGATGCCTCGTGCATTGCGGTAGTTGCGTCAGTTTACGGCCCAAGCTCGGGAGCCGCCGTTCACTCCTGGTGACACTTCCGTCGAATCAAGAGCCGAACATCACGGGCATTGACCGAGTTGCAAGCAGAAAGTCTCTTGCCCATTGCGTTTAGGGCGAGTATAAGTGTCCAACATGCAGGAGCACAAGTCCTTAGTAGTGAAGAGTTCACTGCTCGACTGACTCAGCACTATGCTTCAAGTTCTTGTGCTGATCTCAGATGGTTTGTCTTTCACATGGCACCAAGGATTTTCAGTGAACGGTTTCTACAGCTTCTACTGGAATCCTCTCTTGGCCGAGTGCCTTTTTTCGCTCTCTCAGGAAAGCCCGTTACTTGCTTTGTGACGATCGGCGATCCACAGAGGGATGTGCACGATCCGATCGTTCACGATCTTGTCCTCCTGTTGATGCTTGCTTCCGTCACTATGATCTAACCAAACCCTACATCGTCGACGGTATACAGGGGAATGGGACCTTCCGTCGGTGAGTACCCTGTAATGCATCACTCGTTCTGCATGGTTACATACTGCATGGCATCCCCGTGCTGGTCAAAAATATCATCCGAACGCTCGACAACACGAACACGACTAGCACGCGTCCCCCTGCTTTGACCATGTCACCTTTCTGATAATGCAAGCATACATCCCGCTGGATCCTTCGCTCAGTCCCAGCCAGCCAGCGCCATCACTGATAGGAAGGTCCCGTAGGGGTCGTTCAACTTGGAAAAAGGTAAGTAGATACTTGATCAACAGATTGATGCCGCATAGGTGTTGTACGTCTTACTTGGAGCATTGGAGCACCCAGCAGCGAAGAATGTTGACATCAGGAAGAAAGTTCAGTGGAGAATACTGCTTGACGTGACATCGGATTCCTGCGGCCAGCAGTCCGAATGGTTCCGACAGAAGGACAACCACGTCGAGAAGAGGCTGGAAAACACAGCAGTTCACGGTCTGTCTCAGGAATCTATATCTCCATCCTGGATTCTATCTCATCTCCGTGAACTCGTACGGGTTTCTCTGCCTAGCTCTACAACACATAGTGCGTACATATACATCTCACAGCCGTCCTCTAAACGCCATGCCTTCCCACCACCTTGCGCCGAGCTTTCAGAAGTGGCCATTAATTTCCAACGGGTGGTACGGCTCCTCGAGATACTTAATCACGTCCTCCGTCAGTTGGATGTGTACCGCGGCTGTTCAATGCAATATTGTTCAAATGTCATCATCGTCCTCAGGGGAAGGTGCAGAACTCAGGCGTATCGATGATGTCCTTGAGGTTGTCAAGACACGTGGTCCCAACGATGGGCGCGGTGACGCCCGGCTTGGACAGGCTCCACGCGATCGCGACCTGCGCTATGTCGATGCCCTTCCTCGCTAGCTCCTCCACGCTGTCGGATAGCACCGTCAGTATCGTACTGTGAGATGGGCACGGGTAAGATGACTCGGAGGGGGACGCACCGGTTGATGTCGACGGTCCCCGGACTGTCAATGTGGGCCTTGCATCAGGAAAACACGCATGCATGCAATAGGCGATTGGCCCGGATAAGGGGGCAGAGTAGCGGGATGGGTAAGTTGGATGTCTGAGAAGGAACGAAGTACTTGCTGGTCAGTCTGCGCACGACGCCGAACATCTGCAGACCGCCGGGTGTGGTCAGCGTACGGCACAATTGGCGGAAAGGAGTCGCCGAAGGTGTAGAACGATGCGTACGGGCGAGATGGCAGGGAGGAAGATGACAGAGGGAAGTAGAAGTGGACAAAACGTGTGCGACAGTATCGGCACAGACGCAATACGTTGGAGGGGAGCTGATAATCAAGTAAATTGGTAAAGAGCGAGATGTGTAGGTGGAGGAGAGGAGCGGCACACCTTAAGCGTGGGGAACATCTCGCGCTCCTCTTCGCTCGGTGGGTACATGCCTTAGCGTGCAGGCAAGGTCCTCGCTCTCGCGAGTGGTCCGCATGCCCCTTCAGTGCGCGGCACGGTAAAGATGCGCCCTTAATGTGTGACAGGGGGAAGACAAGCGAATACCACGGACATGTGGACGTTCGTACGCAGCGTTGACGCGTCCATCTATCTAGCGCCTGCCGACATCGTGCATCCCTTCATCTCAAAGAGGCTTTTGGGCGAAGGCGAGGACGTGGGTGAAGATGCTCAGCTACGTGCTGAAGCTGTCGACGGAAGTTCCAAGGAACATTGATAATATGAATGTTCGAGTGGCAGGAGCATGACTGGTGCCGCGACCATGAAAAATGGATGCACACACCTTTCATTGAATTACTATTGGAACGATTGTCTTCCGCTAAATAGAGGCTGTATCTATGAGCCTATACTATTGGCAGTCTCCCAGAGCATTACATGGTACAAACATGGCGGCTCGTGGTCACCTACAGTATGAATTGTCGACAGAGTAGCACAATCACGACTCTCAATCTTACCTCGCCTGCGCAGTACGTCCGCATCAAAATCCAGGCGACCTTCGAAGATGAGTATTTTTGTAACTCTCTCGTGCCACTGAGGCGGCGACGACATGTGAGCTTGCGATTTCAGACAGTCACCACCTTCTCTATGACAGCTGTTCCGGGCACAATGACTTCACCGTAGCAGGGTACTGCACGTCCCAGAGTCCGGGACTGGTTATCATCGTACTACATCTACGGCTCAGCTATAAGTAAGTGAGGTATCGACTCATCGTGCCGCAGCGGCAAACGTCTACATCATCGGCAGACTTGACAAGAAGATGTCTGGACTGCCTTCTCCGGAAGATTCTGCTTTGTGAAATATACGGGCCTCCGACTGAGTGATTTCCCTGGAGGAGATATTCATAGGCTCAGTTACGGGAAGGGGCAGGAATACGCGCCTTGAACTATCAGAACTCACGCCAAGCGTGATTGCGGGATAGCAGTACGTACTCGCAAGCACAGAATGGCCCTCCCTAATGCCACACGCCGCGAGTGTCCCGATTAGGCGACATCTTCATGCAATTATGAAGGGCATGAGCGCTGGTGCCTGTTCATGCGGTCGATCAAGCTTGGGCTGTGCCGGCGAAGATGAAAGTATACAGTACAGTGTACAAAGCCAGACTGACAAACGAGTCATATGCAGGCCTTGGCACCGAACGTAATGAATGCGGAACTAGTTGAGCGCTGTTACAGATAAGACGGAAAGCTGAAAAGACGCACGTCATATATTGTTTTGAATGAGGATCGCCTAGTAGGAAGTGCTTTATGCACAGATAAAGTCAAGGTTTCCCTGGACGAAAAGTATGTACTGTAAGAACTTCTTGAAACTTGAACAGGAACGAAGTAACTTACGGTTGCGAGCCCTACACAACATGGACAGAAGATAGAGGACGGAAGGGGCTGCATCTATAGCACCTTTGGAGCAAATATTTGAATCCCGGGAATTTACCATCTTCAAGAAAAAAGCATTTACCAAATATGTCCTGCCGTGGATCCCGTGACTAAGTACCGGTCCGAGCGGCAATCACCGTCGATCTTGTCCGAAGTGGTCGCCGTGTTTCATGCACATGCTTGACAGTGAGACTGTGGTCACTCCTCAGAGTCCTCTACTTCGCCTTGCATTCCTGTCTAGTGACCCGGCCGTTTTACATATCATCTGGTGGTGATGACTGTGTAGTCTCCGTCTGAGTGAAGACCAGGGAAGCACATGTTCGTAGGAGTCAGGACGAAGTACGTGAGTCTGGGCAGAGCACAGTAAAGCACCACAAGTGTATCTGACAGCCACAATACATACGTATGCTACGTCACCAGTCTGAACACCGCCGACAACGTACAGCATGATCTACGTAGACTGGCGATGTTCCTCATCGGTCCGCAGTCCAGGCAACCCTTGAAAATTTCCCTGCAGCATGACCAGGAGCGGTGCTCTACAGTATACGAACCCTTCGTATGCACGTTTCGCATGGAACGGATACCTAATCGTTACTTCCAATGGATCCCATCACCGTGGCTACCACAGTCTTCGCTTGTGTGGCCTTCGTGAAAGACATGCGAGAGCTTGCTCAGAAGCTCGCAGAGTCGGTAGAGAAGGTGCGAAATTTTCTCTCCGTTCATTTCGGCTATAGTTGACTAACTAATGGACTACAGGTCTCTGACAATCGCAAAAAGCTACGTGCACTGTGTAACAACAGTGTCAAGCATCTCGTTGAACTTGAGGAGGTAACTCGTGCGCATGAGGCTGATCTTACGTCTCGTCAGCTACAAGATGCACTCACTGAATTGCGGGAGTAAGTGTCATGCATGTGACGGGTCTTTCAATGATGTTCATCGCATGTGCTGAGGCAGTGAGCTCGAACGTATATATCGCCGTTGCTCGAAACGCATAGGACACCGGAAGCGAGGATTACCCCTGGTTTGGAGCCATCTCAAATCATGGAAGGCTGCAGATGAGCTCGAAGCAGATATCCTCATTTTCGAGAGCAATATTCGAGCTTGCGAGATGCGCTTCTTGGTCCGTCACATCACCTTTTGAAATTGATATGCTAATCATCATGCTCTGTAGACTACCTCCATGGTGCGATTTGAGCAGAATGCCCGTCTTCAAGCTCATTCCTTCCACGCTATGAATGCCGAACAACACTCTTCCATGAACCAGCTAGTACAAGCTTTTCGCCAGAGTACGTTTCAGGAGCCGCAAGAAGTGCCCTATGCCGTCGTGCTCCGGCAGAACACCACCGATTCTGTCGTTCACAGAGGTATTGTAGCAAGGCCGTCCGCCCTCATCCATGAACCAGCTAGTACAAGCTTTTCGCCAGAGTACGTTTCAGGAGCCGCAAGAAGTGCCCTATGCCGTCGTGCTCCGGCAGAACACCACCGATTCTGTCGTTCACAGAGGTATTGTAGCAAGGCCGTCCGCCCTCACTGTAAGCCCTCATCCACATCATCGGCCTTCTTGACTTAACATGGATTCTCAGACTTTGAACGACGTCGAGAAGAACGAGGTAGCGTCTCACTCGCTCAGCCTGCATCTCGAGACGCTGAACCAAGTATTTACGCAGCCGATCACTCTCGCGGCGCTCAGTAAAGACTTTGTCGGCATTGAGCCGTACGTTTACATTCCGCACTATCCCAGCACCGCAGATCCGTCTGTCCAGATAAAGGATGCCATTCTCGAGATCTCGTGTACTCTCAAAATGTTCCGGAGCGCACCAATTTCAGCAACAGACTGTGCGAAGAACTTACACTCCCTCGCAACAATACTAGGCGATCTGGCAATGTATGCCAGCGCCCTGATGGTTCTCGCGCGGTCGGTCAGCTTGTACCGCGACATGCACCGCAAACAACCAAAAGCCTTTGCTCCCTATCTTGCGCGCAGCGTTCGCTTCGTAGCATTATACCGCTTGAAGTTAGGCCAGTACTCCGCAGCAAAGGTCGCCAGCTCGGAGGCCACCGAGCTCTACCGCCAGGCCTACGCAGACACCCTGGATGACGGGATAGCTGCCGATCTGGGCATATCGCTGAACATTTACTCGCTTGTACTCCGGCATAAGGGCCAGATGCATCGCGCCGATGTGCTATCGGTGGCTGAAGAGGCCGTTTGCATCTTCCGTAGGCTCGCCGATGCGAGGGAAGAATTCATGCCAGAGCTAGCAAATATGCTGATTGGACAGGCACGGCACTTCGGCGACGGAGGGGATTTCGATAAGGCGCTCGAGTGCGTGGAGGAAGCCACCAATCTGTGCCGCACCACGGTGCAACAGAGTCACGTCCCATTCGCACAGCACAGGCTCGCACGCGCATTGTTCAATTACGCCCACCACTTGTGGAAAGCAGGCAGGACCCCGGAGTGTTTGCAGGCGAATGAAGAGGCGGTTGAACTCTTCCGTGGCTTCTTCTCAGCCCGACCCAACGCATGGCGGGTGGAATTCTGCGATGCGCTGAACAACCAAGCCTGGTTCTCCTACACTTCTGGGTTGTACGAAGACGCTCTAAGGCTGTCGCAAGAGGCGATCCCTATCCTACGTGGCGTAGCCACCACTGCGAAGGAGTACGCTGTATTCACTAATATCCTTGATACACTAGCAGCAGTACTCGAGGCGATGGGGCGACTCGAGGACTCACTAGCCACCGTGGAGCAGATCGTGCATACTATATACGACTGCCCGGCATTCTTGAAACGCAGCGAGCAGCTTATAAAGGCACTGCGATGGGCGGCGAGGCTGTTACGGGCGCTCGATCGTTTTCAGGAGGCGCAGCAGAGGGAGGACGAAGCCGCGCTGGAAGTTGAAAGTTAGCCCGTTTTCCCATGTTTTTTTAGATACAGTTTGAATGTAGTGCGGAACGAGTGCGGGAAAGGAAGGGCACACTTACGGGATCGAATTCAGTTAGTAACTGGATTGTAACATTCGCCGTTGCGTGGGGGGTCCGGAGAAATCGAAAAGCCTTTCAAGTGCAAACGTGGACGGCCAGATATCCATTATGATGTTGCGGAACCGTGCATGGTCTGTGTGGGGTTTGTAGGCTACGATTGCTGGCTCTGCCCCACGATCGTACTCTAGCAGGTCAGTCTGCGGGCTGACGAGTCCCGCGGACACACAAGTGCTTCAGCAAGCACATGTCTCATGGAGCATGCATGAGAGGCTATCGACACTCAGGTACAGCTCCTGTTCGACGAGAGAACCCGCAATCTACATCGCTGTATGGGGTCACATAAAATGGTCAGAGAGTTATGCATGTCGAAAGATTGTCAACGCAAGATGCGCGTGATACGCACATCCTTGAAAATAAAAAGAACGAGCGCACACCAGGACATAAGGAAGAGAAATTTACCGCGACGAGAAATCGTAAGAAGCCTATGTCTCAACCCGGTCGGAGTGACTAGAAAGATCCTGACCAGAATGTCAAAAAAACACGAACCAATGCTGAATAATATTGACTGGATTGCGTATGTTCGCGGCAGAATCTCAATGCATATAAAATAATCACTTACGCGTGGCACCGCCCAACGTACAGGTTACTTAGAAATATACTTCAGAGAGTAATAGAAAAACATATTGCAACCTCAACGTGTAAGACTGACTCACCATTCTAGATATATACAGAGAGAGGAAACTTCAGTTTCCATCGGCTGCGAGTAGTACAGAGGTCGGCGCGAAAATGCGCAGAAGTTGGCGAGAACTAGCACGGGCTGGCACCGAGGCTTGCAAGCCTTGCCTGGAGGCGAAGGAGTTTTACCTGAACTGGCTGGCAAGCACATCTAGTCAAGCTGCTGCTTAAATTATGGTAAATAATCTGAAATAAAATGTATATATTAAAACTCTTCGCCGTGCTACATCTTCCTCCGGCTCGCCATTATCCTCAGCATCGGAGTCGAGCTCGATCTCGAGGGTTAACTCTTCATCCTTCATCTTGCCATTACCCTCGCCCTGATTGTCAGTTATCTCCAGTTCCGCCTCCAAGGCCGAAGAAGGATCTGCTTCCCGAAAGAATAGATTGCGCCGGAAAGCGCACTTCAGTGCATCGACTCGGGAGATTTAACTCATGCTTGACTCAAGCATGAATTAAATCTGCCGAGTCGATGCTAGACCGTGATTCGTGAGTCCGTTCACTAGGATACATGGTATCCGGATAATGTACGCACCTCATTACAAAGGCCCGCATCAACTTCCTTCTTGCTTGTACACGGCAAATACGGAGAGAGAAGAATTGAATACTACGTGCCAATGTCGCCGGTCCGTGCCGGTCTGTGCCGCTCGTCCTTTCACTGTCTTTTCGTGCAAGTGCCTCAGGCTCTGGACATTGCGATACATCTATCATTCACAATTCTTTCGGCCACTAGAAGCCATCTCTACGGACCTAGGGCAGGGCCGCGTCCTAGTATTACAGTAATACTGACTCTGCGATACTATGAGATCTTGACCCCTGCTCGCCGTCTAGCAGCAATTGCACGTGTCCTCGAGCACTTCAGCTGTGCCCCCAGGAATATCGCGACACCCGCAAGGAGTCCCTTGCGCTGCTCAGGTCGGCGACTGCCTCCACAACAGGTACACAATCATGCGCAAGCTAGGTGGGGCCAGATTCTCGACAGTGTGGCTTGCTCGGGACACTCTGTACGCCAGGATATATCCCGTCGAGTAACTGACAGCCGACGTGCAAATTAGGGACGATCTCGACGTTGCAATTAAAATATTGACCACTGAGTGTACTGAAGGCGCCACCGGACTTGATGAAGTCAATATTATGACGACAACCAATAAGACTGACCCAGCTCACTCAGGATATAACCACGTCGTGCGGCTCCTGGATCACTTTCGTCATACGAGTTCTAGCAGCATTCACATTTGTCTCGTTCTCGAACTTGCTCATTCAAGCGTGAATAACATTTGCCGTGATTCGGACGGAAATGTGGGACGGCTTCAACTTCTGTTGTAAAACAGATCGCAAGACACACTCTTCTTGGTCTATCTTACCTGCACAACTCTTACTTAATGATACACACGGGTTATTTCCTCGTTCTTGCTATAATTCTTGCAGCTGACCTCCAGTATCAGATATTAAGCCTGATAATCTGCTGTGATTTGACCCATCGGACGTGGCCCCCTCGGCGATACAAGCTAATGCCGCAGGACCTGCCTGTATTCCAGAAATATTCAAAGTCGGAGATCTTGGACACGGTGATGTTTACTGTTATCCCAGAGTTATCGCAGCTAATGCCATCATTGCAGTCAACTGGGTTCATAAACACATTACAGACCAAATCTCACCGCCTGCACTGCGCGCCCCAGAAGCCATACTGTGTGCCGAGTGGAGTACAGCAACTGATATCTGGAGTTTAAATTGTGTTGTATGTTCCATTGTGTGAATCAGCCATATTGTTTGTGATGCCTTTGTTTTTCAGATTTATGCGCTCATGATGGGCATTTGCCTTTTCAATCATTTTTTTGAAGTTAAGGAAACGGGCCTTCGCCCTGCGCAGACACACATCATGCAGATTGTCGGAGTTTGTGGAGACTTCCCTGCAGACCTGCTTGCCAAAGGCACGCACTCTTCGAGATTCATTGATAAGAATGGTGCGCCTTCCTTAATTTTTTTGTCTGCTTCCAATTCTCATCAGGATACATAGGAGTGCTGATTGAAGCCCCGGTGCTCATCCGGTTCACCGTGGAACAACTGCTAAAGATACATCCCTGATGAGCCAGATATCAAGACCTTGGCTTCTTTCCTCGGCGGCATGTTTCAGTTACGCCCTGAGGGTCGATCTGATGCGTCGAAGTTGCTGAAATACCCGTGGCTTGCATAATAAATGTCTAGGTTTGAAGATTTTTTTTGGATTCCACAGTGCAGATCGGACACATACATATGTGTTCTTTCAAACCCTCAACGATCGTATTATTAGTTGTGCTGATTAGTTGTGCTGGTTCTTACATGTGCTTTCTACGCTTTGCGTTTTGTATACATTCACGACTGGCGAGTTAATCGTGAATTTCTCACTGCAAGTCGAATGTAGGTCAATGCCAGAAACCTCAGCCTTTCCCGATGCACTTGGTTCGCGACGCAGACTCACAGCGTATGATCACCATCTCACGAAGTGTATGTCGACTTTCGGACTCCATCTTTTCGGTATACGAGTGCTCGCATCGCGCTTCATATCATTTTGGGACCCTGCAGCCCCGCAGACGGCACGATGGCATCTGGTAGAAGCTTGACCAACACAGTCCAGCGCCCCCGCGTACATCACATGAGCGCGTCAGAACCGTCCTACCATGGCAAAGCATCTCCCTCCAGCTGACAGCTTCGTCCCCCAACATAGCTGAACGTTATTCAGACGCAGACAGCCGACACCCAGGCTCTTCCAGTGCCCTGGAACCGCAGCTATTCTCGTTAGATAGGTGTTCCATGTCTAGCAATCGTCCTATTACCGACGCCTCAAGTGTGATACTAGCTCAGCTCCTACAATTTAGCATGCCCATATTCCGTCACTTGTACGTGTCGGACGACAGAGGGTAATGCATCAGGGGACCCATCATGACCGGTGTCGTACGTAGAGAGTGCCGCATTTCGTCCATCCCCGACTTCGGCCCCATGAGGCGGTGTCTGCTCCTACTTATGAAGCGGATCGCCCGTGGAGCGTGACACCCACCTTGACCTCATCCCCGTCTCCCTATGCACCTGTATGCTGCCTGAGCTTCAGATGGACTGCTTCGACGCACCAGATTCCTCACTCTCGAAGAATGCGGGTACGAGCACGAGCACACAGCCCCAACGCGACCCCCAATTCTACACCGAACCAAGCCCGGAGCAAGGGGACGAACATATCACGTTCCTCGTGCGTGCCTTGTCCGCGCTCTCTTCCTGCGTGATAGACTGAGACATCCGCAGGTCGAGGGCGTGCTTTTCCGTGTAGCGCGTTGGGCCTTCGAGGACGACTCGGAGGTCTTCCGTGATATGTATGCGCTCCCACTTGCACCGGGCGCTACACCGGATGGGGCGAGCGACGCGCGACCTTTAAGGCTCGACGGTGTTGCAAAGAACGAGTTCCGGCTGCTCCTGTGTGTAATGTATTCAAGGTATGTCCTTTATCCTTATCTTCGAATCACCAACAAACCAGATACTCACAAACCATGGAGCACCCCCGACGGCCCCGACCTCACTCCCGACGAATGGATCTCTGTACTCAAGCTCGCAGACATGTGGCACCTAGCGCACGCGCGCGACATCGCAATCGCGCACCTCACGCGTACGCTGAGCACGCAAGACCCCGTACAGCAGCTCGCACTTGCACAGCGGCACGGCATCGACGCGTGGCTCCTGCCCGCGCTCAATGCACTCGCGCGACGGCCTTCACCGCTCTGCGCCCGCGACGCGGCCGTCATCGGGTGGGAATGTGCACTGAAGCTTGCAGCGGTGCGCGAGATCTTCCCGGGTACGAGCTCGCAATGCGGATGCGTGTGCTCTTCATGCGAGCGGGCGCATGCGTGTGGGCCGAGGAGGGGGGGAAGACGGGAGGAGTATGATTTTACGGGGAAAATTCGGATCGTGTTTGGGTTGGGTGTAGCAGAGGTGCCTAGCTACTATTCACTTGGTGGACTGGGAGTGTAGCTCAAGGCTTCGAGGTGTCTAGAGGTGTGTTGCACTCTGATTTGTTCCGATATCTGTGGTTGGATCGTACCAGAGGACACCAACGTGTGCGCGAGGGAGGATGCTTCAGGACGTACGATGTAACACACGAAACGCACCGAGTAAAAGAGCGCAATCGACCATACGTATCTTGCTGTTCCCTTTTCGAGTCCCTGTGGTCCCCCCCCCCGGCCGGTTGTCATCTCGCAACTCCTGGGCCTGAAGATTCCGCAACATTTTCAGGAGATGGGTACAGCGAGCGAAGACACCCGAGGAAAATCAGCGAAGAGGGCAGAATACGACTAGCAATATACACGCGATCTGCCGACACTTTCGTGCGGTGTGGGTGTTCGTGCGGCACATGGCTCAAGCGATCACTTCCGCGATCCAATCAAGCGGCGCGATCGATTATTCCAATTTGCTGTTGAGGAGCCAGCAGGATGTGGATTGAATGCAACGACAGACTCAAGGCGTTCCAGCCAACAAAATGGCGTGGGGGTACCGCATGCGCAGTCGTGAGTGAAGAGGGGAAAGTCGCATGCGCCAATCATTCGCCGGACATTTCCGAGACACTCATACTTCTCGTCATCCTGATCAAACTGCTCCAAAGCTGCTCTGAAGTGTGCGGACAGCAAGCTTATGCATGTTCGTCTGCAAAGGTGTTATGTTATATTCAGTAAACATGAACATGGACATATGACAACGACTTACCTGCAGTTTTCTCCACTTTTCTGGGAAGGTCGTTACTTATTGGCAAATTGTATGCGCCCGTATAGCGTTCGAGCTTCTCAAACTCACGAAAATGCGCGTGGTGCGTCTCTTGAATACCATGCCTACTCTGCCATCCTGGCGATGCAGGACATCGCTGGCGGTTCAGGTAGTGCGCGCTACGAGTAGCCTGAGCGTGATGCTGATGATAAGCCGTAATCTGCAGCAGCATTTTCAAGCCGCTCGTCGCATATGCATCCCATGAGAACGGAAGTGGATTTTGATGACGCTGACAAGCAGGTTTTGTTTATAGATCCGAGGTCCGAGAAAGGATGATCGACTTGAATTTCTGTACTCGACATGCAACGCAAGGCCTCGATGTGTCGTGTAGCTTCAAGTCCTCTGAATGATGAAAATGAACTGACTGTGTCACACCGTTATCAGGGTGGAGACGAGTCGTACTCGATGGAGTTTCTGCAAAGACCAGGATTAGCCTTGGGGACCAGGAAAAATCTTGCCTATGTCTGCCTCGTGCTGTAGGATCAGACTCGGAGCATTCTCAGCCTTTGCGACGGTGTGATGGTAAAACGCCGTCACTCCTGGCTTGAATGGGTACAATCCAGCGAGAAGTATAAATCGGCGTTGTCCAGGACCAAGATGTGCTGCATCGTATTTCTGTGAGCATCCTCAACTCCTGCTGGTGCTTCTGTTCATTTTGCGTTCACGTTGGATAAGCTGCTGGCAGAAGACCGCCCGATTCGCGGCGCCGCTTGTCATATCGCCCCGACAGAGGTTTGGCTACCATCTACGATAGTATGTGCTCTCTGTCCGTCGGTTTGCAAACGGCAGCTTTGGACTTGGTCCTATCTGCACGGAGGTTTTCTGTTTCCCTTCGAATGGCAGTGCAAGAAGTTGCAAGACATATCGCCATTGCATTTCGGTTGGAGCCTAGCACATTCGAAGCAATATGCGCTTGAAGCGTCCTGCACTTACTTGGTATGCCATATCGGTGCGCCTGTAAGTTGAGCACGCCAAATAACGAAGAGGATACAACTTTGACGGGTGTTTACTGATTTAAAGCGTCGGTGGCGGAGTTTCTGATGTCGATGGACAAAGCCTGTGCTTGAGCCATCGCAGGTAAGCGGATCAATTACTGAGAGTCCAGTGTGGTCAGCACTCACAATTGAGAAGGTGGCATTATTAGGCTGTTGTTTCAAGGTGCTTCGGATTCACACCAAGCATTTGTCCAGCAGGGCGTTACACGAAATTTCGACGCAACCTTCTGTAAATACGGGCTAGGCAAAGCGCGTGGTTTCGAACACGGTTCACGTGCAAGTTGGCCCTGCTTGTTTAACATGGTTGGTGCTTTTACAGTCGAACAACCATCTGACTGCCAACATTGACCACAACCGACAGGCTACATTTCTGAGACATCACCATGGATGTTACCTTTATTAGAATGTCGTTAGGCGAATTCGCTCTTCACTTCCTTCCGGCAAACTTGGTCCTCGACTATGGGCCACCGTCATTCGAGGACGCATTTTCAACTATGCCTAGTAATGATATATCCACAACTAGTTTCTTTGGCTCAATGGTATGCTCGCTCCTGTGCAAGGCTCCATAGTGTGGCTAACAGATATCCTCAGGCAAGGTGCATCGTCGATTTCCAACTTTGTCCCGGGTACGCCTTAGAACTCATTCGAAATAGCCCACACGACGCCAACCTCAGCGGCTTCCGCGCAGCCTTACTGCATAAAGACGACGTCGCCAGAAGGGATGTGAACCTCTATTGGGCGCTACAACGATTGTCGTTCGTACGCAGGCCACATTGTACCGAAGACGACCCATTTGAAGATATAGACAACGAGGGGAAAGTCCGAACTTCAAGCAGCGCTGGCTCAAGGGCGGACACGGCGCGGAGAGCTGCCATTCTCAAGCAGCTTACAGCCGAAGTGGCCACAGTTTTATTGCGTCAGCACCGCTGTTTTGTGTTCACCGTGCTTATACTTGGTGACCACGCACGCTTCATCCGGTGGGACCGCGCGGGTGCAGTAGTCACCGAGAAGTTCAACTACAAGTGCACTCCGTACCTTGCCAGGTTCCTCCGAATGTTTGCTCAAATGTCTCCAGAGCAACAGGGTGCCGACCCCACCGCCGTGCTTGTAGAGAATGGCTCGCAAGATTTCCGCTTGATGATGGATGCCCCGAATAACTCTACGCCTGGGAACTTGTATGCGCGCGACATGTTCTACAAGTCGCTGGAGCCCGGTTGGGCGTGGTGGAAACTAAGCGTTCCATCTATGGAAGGAGAAAATAATGTCCAAGAGTCCCGCGAATTTTTGGTGGGCAAGCCGCATTTCCTATCGGATGACCTACAAGGCCGTGCGACACGCGGATACGTCGCACTTGACTGCTCAAAAAAACACTTTGTGTTCCTCAAGGACGCTTGGCGGGTCTCTGGTGCAGGGATGCAGAAGGAGGGCGATGCCCTCAGGACCCTTCAGAAGGCAGGTGTCACACACGTCCCGACCCTTGTCTGTCATGGAGACATCGGAGGCCAGATATCGTCCACGCAAAAGCACGTCGCTCCCGGTCAGCCAAATGACACCTATGTTCACTACCGCCTGGTAGTGGAGCAGGTGTGTCGTCCGATCCATGGGCATCGTAGCGGCTTGGAGTTAGTGAGAATTATCGCTGACTGCGTCGATGGTAAGCTGTTTGATTTGGGCGTACTGCTCTATTTGTTGACCAGGGTGTTCAGCTCATCAACAAGCCGTAGAGAAGGCTGGATTGATGCACTGCGACGTCAGTGTAGATAACATTCTCATGGTGGAAAGGCCCATGCGCGGAGGTATGACTGAGCGGCGGGGAATTTTGTGCGATTGGGAGCTCTCGAAGCCTGTTCGCGATGGGCCCAATGGAGAGAAAGAGGCTGTGAGAGTGCCGGGTATTTCGGTATGTATTTATCAATGCAAAGTTAATGATGGCTCACTCAAAATACATTATTTACAGGGAACATGGGCGTATATGTCCGTGCATGCGCTGGACCATCCGGAAGACCCAATTACTGTTGCGGATGAACTTGAAGCATTCTATTACGTGCTCTTTATGAGTGCCATCTACTGTATGAAGAACAACATCTCCGACGTCGAAAACTTTGTGTATCAATACTTCGATTCGTGTGGTGCGAACGGCCGTTGTGGATCAATGAAGCGCCAGGCCATGCTCGACGGGCGATTCATGTATAAAGGCACGCGTATCAAGTTTACTGACGAAGAAGGGGTGTTGCAACACCCACTCAATGATCTGCTCCCACTCCTTTCTCTCTGGTTCAGTTTGCGCTATGGTTTCGAGCAGTATGAGAACGACACGAGAGGGACAGAAAGCCGCACGAGAGTCGACAAGGACGGGCGTGTGCTTGACCATCAATTTGCGGAGAGGATCGAGTGGTGCATGGATCAAGTTACGCAGCTGAAGACGCACGATGCGGTGCGTCGACTATTGGAGGAATTTCTAGATGCGGTCGTGCAGCCGGGGGACGACAAGAGATCTATTCCAGGTTTCGTGATTCGCAAGGAAATAGATTCCCCACAAGAGCGATTCCTACCTGCCGCAAGTCGGAAACGTCCATTAGAAGAGGAGTCAGAAGACCTGCCCTCGTCAAAGGGCGCCAAACGTCGCCGTGCTTGATACTTTTTGAGCTTGCACGAGGCAGATGCTCATATGAATCGAATATCGTTCCTCGATACTGCCCGAGGGTCGCCTCACTGGCACATCCACCGAATCACGTATCGTCCCTTCATGATCGTCATTTCTGACGTCGATATTTCCGCTTTCGTTAAACCCGTCAATTCGTCACTCTCGTTTCGGTTGGTCACTGTTGCATTCAAAACTCTCCGGACTTAGTTCCTGTAACTTATGCGTATTTATTGCTACAGTTATTTAAAAGGATATGGGCCATGAAATAGCGTGTCAGTACTTACGGCTGGCCAATGATCCGTGCTACGCGCCCCGCTGTGCCGTGGATCGAAATGAACGCGCGGCGAGTCATATCCGAGGCCAAGCATTGGTGGGTTCGCCGATGAACAATATTCACAGTGTGAGCAAGAAGAATCAATAGATGGCAGGTTAAGTCTGTAGCACTAATTTAGCTAAAAAAAAGGATAAAGAGGAGGCTGTGCCACAATGCTGGACGAGAAACATGCAGCTACGCTCAGGCGGCCACTGGTAAGCGGCGAGAAATTGTGCAAAAAAATCCCCAGAAATTTCCACCAGAGAGTGGTATCAATTAAATCAAAAATTTGCCTGAATGAATATCTGAGGAAGGAGACCAACGAGAAACCATCCTCTGCTGTAGACGCGCGACAGAATCACGTGCCAGGCATTGGACGCGGTGCACGTGGTCGCTGGCCTGCGAACGCAAGGCTACAACCGCACGCACCTCAGCAACATTGCTGTGTTTCGGAGGGCACAATAGACAAGAAGATCTTGCACACGGTAATGTAAATCTGTAAGCCGACCTCTGGCCGACCAACTGATCGAGATTGCGCAGAGCTTGGCCACTCGTCTTCCAGCCGAATATATAAAGTCCTCCACATCTTTTCGAGGAGGTAAGCACGCGCCAACATGTCTTCCACTAAGTCTCTCCAATCTGACAATCTCTCTGCTAATTGTCAAAGCTCTCCCCACAAGGCCAAGCGTGATAATTCGCGATTTGCTACCGGCGGCCAAACTCTGCACGACCAACGACGGCATCTTCGTGAAGAAATGCGCGGAAAATTTATCGTGATGCCTGTGGACAAGTTCATGGAAACGTTCGCTCCGGAATCTGAAGCGATGGTGGAGAAACCATTCCAGCCGAATTTCAAGAAGGCATTTAAGAAGATGGAGAACGTACTCGAAGGTACAATACGAGAAGAGCAAATGTACCGGCCTCTTGTGAGCTTAACCTTCTCCTGCACATCATGAGTCTGACTGAGTCGGTTATCTCAAGGTCAAATGCGTCCGAAGCTATAAGCTTTGCACAGGATTGTCCTCGAGCTGGTGCAGAACAAGCCCGACAAGGCGGAGCCCTCTAGGCAGAAGGTTGATGCCGCACTGTTTCTGCCTGAGAATTCCAAGCAGAGGAAGTCACTCAAGGATGGTAGGCCACATTGGGCACTTCAGCGCCTGTCGATCGAGTTCAAGAAGCATAGAACGGAGGACGATCCGTTCGAAGATCCAAAGACGGAGGCCGAGGGTGAAGACGACCCGCACTACCATGCTGAGCGAGGCGACGAGGTCGACGGGGATGACGTGGACGATGCGGATGACATGGACGACATGGACAATTGCCTGGATGAAAACGAGTCATACGAAGACGGTGGCCCGTCAGTGGAAGACAATGAAGACTGCGTCGAAGAGAATCCCCTTCAGATGACTTCTGAAAAATCATCCAGAGAGGTCTTCAAGACAGCTTACGAGCCCCCAGCTGACCGACGAGCTGCCACTCGAGGGCAGATCATCTCCTACGCGAAAATGCTCTTTTCACGGCAACATCGCTGCTTCGCGTTCACGATTCTCATCCTCCGCGATTTCGCGCGAATTATTCGCTGGGACAGGGCCGGTACTGTTATCACGAACAAATTCAAGTACACGAACACCGAGTACCTTGGCAAGTTCCTGTGGCGATTCTGTAACATGACTGACAAACAGCAAGGATACGATACGACAGCCGTTGCTGTGAAACCCGGATCGGCAGACTACAAGCTCATGGAGCAGCTGGCCAAGAATCCGCCAAAAGGTGCTGGCTCCGAGTACGCGAGGCAATCGTTCGCCAAGTCCATGCCCAATCTCTCGAAGGAGAATCCCGATGACTGGTCGTGTTGGAAACTGACCGTACATCCGGAAAAGGGGAAGGCGACCGACGGCTCAGACGCTCGACCTGCAGGGAGGAATGTCTGCAAAAAGCCACGTTTGCAACATTTTTTGGTCGGCAAGCCTCATTTTCAGGCATCAGGTATGACAGGCCGCGCTACACGAGGGTACATTGCGTACGACTGCCAGGGTGAGAAGTTCGTCTTCCTCAAGGATGTGTGGCGCGTAGACCTGCCGGATATCGAGAAGGAGGGATACATTGTCCAGTCTCTCAACGACGCAGAAGTCGCAAACGTCCCGACTATGGTTTGTCACGGGGACGTTTTAGAAGTTGAAGATGATGGAAATGCTGTACGCATTGAACGACAACAGACGAAGACGGACACTTACTGGCACGAGTCCTATAGTGGACAGATGAACCCAATCAAGACCCATACACATTACCGCCTCGTCGTGGAAGAGGTCTGTCGCCCATTGAGCGATTTCGAGAATTGTTTTGAGTTGGTGAAGATCATAGCAGACTGCATCTATGGTATGGTACGTTCTGTTGCAAACCCCATGCACAATAACTTGCTTACGCGTGATTTGTAGCTCATCGACAGGCCTTGAAGGACGCTAAGCTGATTCACCGTGATGTCAGCGCAGGAAATGTCCTCATTAATGAAAAGCTGACGACCGTCAATGGTGAGGACGTTCCCGTCCGTACAGGCATGTTGAGCGATTGGGAGCTGTCTAAACCAACCAATGAAGCCAGAGAGGATGCAGAGGAGACTCGGATGGCAAGGCAACCTGACCGTACTGTGAGTGTCCAGTCAACGTCTTCACTGACAATGAAGGCTCATCTCGTATTCATAGGGGACATGGCAGTTCATGTCTGCCATCCTACTAGACTCGCCCACTAGGCCCGTCGAAGTTGCAGACGAACTTGAGGCATTTTTTAATGTCTTTTCTTTCTACCTCGTCAAGTTCACCAACAGTTCCATCAAGAACCCAGCATACTTCATGTCTCAGTATTTTGACGAGTGTACTGTCAGCGACTCCGAAACTCACTACACCTGCGGGTCAGCCAAGCGCAATGCAATGCAGTCGGGAATATTGCAGACAACCCTCGACAAAAGTGTCACATTCTTTTGCAGTGATGGCAAGACGCCGCATCCGTGCAATAAGCTCGTCAACGAGATGTTGGGATGGTTTAAAGCCCGATATGCAGAGTTCTCACCAACCGATTGGCCCCAAGGGGCCGTCAAACCAGACGATCACTCGCAGGTTGCAGTTGATGGGGGGGGGGGGGGGGGGGGGGGGGGGGGGGCGGAGCTGTCGCACATGGCAAGAAGGCAACACTTGAAGATTACCTGCTAGAACAGGAGGCGGCTGCGTTCGAGGCTGAATTTACTATGGATGAACTTGGTGAAGGCACGCAAGTTATCTCCAAGAAAATTTTAGAGATAGGAAAACCTCTCGCTGCGAAATTGAAAACCCAGGATCCTACGTACACGTTATTCAAGAAGGTCCGTGTTACACCGGAGGAGCGCAAACTATGGCCTAAACATGACAAGATACCCGACAGAGTCCCTTCGAACTACAATTACGCGCGCTACAGAGAGAAGGGCCTCGAGCTTCCTGCAGCACCCTTTGCCTCGAAGCGTCGTCTTGAAGTAGATCTCCAGAGCTCCCGTCGGAGCAAGCGATCCAAAGTTGACTGAAGCGTCCACCACATTCCTCCCCCGCCTTAGACTTTGAAGCTACAAGTCAAGATGATAGTAGCCTCGAATGTCAGTGGGAGGAGACACAGATTTCCACTTTCTCGATCTCGTCTCCACCAGGACTGTACGTAACTGCAAGTTGCAATGTTATTTGTTTTGGCATCATTACCACTGCTATACCTGTGCGTTGTACTAGATCTCTTGTCACTATATATGTTGTGCTCGCTTTTTCTTCTCCGTTCATACAGTGGTGTGATTCGTCGAAATAGATAACGGCGCAGTGTCCACGCTGGAGTGGAGTAACCGAAGCCAACTTTGACAGACGTCCATGTAATTGGTGGATCATTGTCGGGGAGCGAGAACGGGCCTAGAGAACACTGACCCGCATCTCAATTAGATTGTTACTGAACATGATCGCGCCTGGCAAAAGGTGTACCAGTAACTTAGTAGCAACCGAAGAAATTTAGAACTGCCTCAAGCTTAGAGAAACGCAACCATTTAATAAGCACAGCATACGAGACTGAGGACGCACCTACGGCAAGGAGAAGTCAGTGATATCCCAGTACCAATCAGTGAGACACTGTCATCAGGGTTTGCGAAGGCGAAAGGGCGAAGACACTCTCAAAGTACCTAGGCGAACCTGGTGAGTCTGCTTTGCATGAAACTCATGAACACTCCGACGCTGAGGTCGGGGTCCTATCCTCCAGCTTGAACTTGCAATTGGGTGGACGAGCTCCACATAGACTCGTGGAGTCAATCGAAAATATAGTGAGATGATGGCCGGCATGCCACAATATAAAGTATAGTCGCAGATGCCTCGCGCGCATTGGTCCAAGATGAGTACGATTGGGCCCTGGGGGTTGTAGCACTGCATAATCTAAGGTTGAACAACAAGTAGTTTACACGGCAATAGATAGGAAATAAGTAAATCTGTGTAGGAGCAGAACTAAAATCAACCAGATGTATGCAGGCGTACGAACTAGAAGTGCAATCAACAGCACGAGAACAAGACCCTCCAACGCACACATCATATTTCGACGGACTCAAGACGTCTGAGAGGATTATTGTACCGATTCCCCTCCGTACCCGCTTCGACGTCGCGCTTTTCAGTATACACCATGTGAGGTATATCACTATCCGCTTGGTCGTGGGACGGTGCAAATACGGGCTTCTGCACTGGGGGCCACTTCCTGTCCGCGAACAACAGAATCAAATCCTGCATAGCGCGGTGCGTCCTGAGTCCGGCGGCGAGTTCTCTGCGCCGATTAAGCTCTTCCGGCTTCAGATTTGCGATACGTGTAGGGGGTTCAACGACGTATTGACCCGCGTTGCTCCGCAAGCGCCGCTTGGGGGGGTTGCACCAGTTGTCATATAGCATGACCGAATAGTGAGCACGAAACCAGCTGAGCAACAGAGAGATCAGATCGTCGAACGGGTGCAACTGTAGGTGGTCTTCCGTCTCATACAGTTGGAGTGCTGTCCCCTTGTACGCGATCTTGCCCTCATACATAGCATCGCGCTTTAGCTTTGAGCAGGTCACATAGTACTGATTATGATCGGGGTTTGAAGCGCGGCTATCGAAATATTCCGCGATGAATGCATGCTCATCGTCTCCCAAATTGTTGGATTGGTCACGAACAACGACCATCAATATAAGGTGGAAGAATGCTTCCAGCTCATCCGGGACGGTGATAGGTGTCCCAGGATTATCAAGCGTCCGTACTCCCGACGTTGCCCAAGTACACTGCAGTTGACAAAGTGAGTAGGGACTCAGAACAGAAGCACAGGAGCGTACCATGGCACCCTCTGCACGTTCAGATACCTTCTCACCGCCAGGTGTGATATGGACCGGTTTGGAAAACTCCCAGTCGCAGAGCATCCCGCCCCATTGGCGATACGAATTTCTCTTTTTGACGATTCTACGCTGTTCGTAGATCAACATATTGCCAAGGCTGATATCAGTATGCATGATTCCGGCACGCTCTACCGCTTGCTCGTGGGCTGCATAGTTCCCATGTCAGCAAGAGAATCGGACATGTGGACTTACTGACCTTTTATACAGTCCACAACGAGGTACAAAAATTGCTTGTCGGTGACATAATGTTTCAGCGGGCGACATATCTCGCGCAGGACAAGGCGATAATGTATCAGAGTCTTCGGCGCATCGTTTTCCGAAGCCGCCCCGCTGTTCTTAAGCGTCCACAGGTCTTGCGTGCGCGTGCGCTGACTGTCGACGTCGCAATGACAAACGAGCGTCGGGACATTCTCGACGCCTGCATTATTCAACGCCTTGAGGACACATCCTTCTTTCTTCAATGGCAGCGGATCGCATCTCCATGCATCCTTGAGGAAAACAGGTTTCTCCTCCTCGCAGTCCAGCGCGATGTATCCGCGCGTGCCACGCCCAGGCAGCTTGGTTTGCTCATAGTGGGGCTTCCCGACGAGGAAGTAGCGCGCAGGGGCGTTATTATCGTTATCAAACGTAGCATGACCACCGGGACCACGTCGCCGCTTAGTGTTCGGGCCAGGCTGGGTGCCACCCCGCGCCCGCTTTCTGTTTCCCGAACGTGGATGCTCCTGCGTCTCTTCCACCAGCTCCTCTACCTCAGGCACGATCCGTAACTTCCACCACAGCCAATTCGTATCATTCATTGACTTGCGAAACATGGTGTATGTGTAGTTGCTCATGCTCGACTGCTGTGTGGAGATGAATCTGCGAACCAGTCCAGCCTCTTTTGATCCAGACTGCACAATCTCCGCGTTTGGGTCACAGCCCTGCTGCGTGCGCGAGAGGTGTGAAAATTGCCAGAGGAACGACCCAAAGAGTGGCGTGCCCTTGTATTTGAATTTCTCTGTAATGACCGCGCCGCAGCGGTCCCAGCGGAGGAGGCGCGCGTGATCGCCGAGGATGAGGACGGTGAAAAAGAAGTGGCGGTGCTGCCGAGAGAACACGTTGGTGGCGATTGTGGTGAGGAGGTAGCGCGTGGTCATGCGGCGGTCGGCATTCTTTTTATCACTTTTCGTGCCTTTCGCGAACGGGTCGTCGCGGTGATAGTGAGGCTTGCAAACGATGGCAAGGCGCTGGAAAGCCCAGTGGAGGTTCTGTTTAATAGACGTCTTGTCGGCAGTGAGGAAAATCGCTGCATGGTCGTCGACCATGGCTGATTCAGTGATCCACCCCGCTGTGTATTGTGGGCAAGCGTTTTGCTCGCGAAGACATTTGATCTGGAAAACGTCAGTTGGACGGCGCTCGAATGGAACGAACAGGCGCACCAAAGCATTGTAGAGGTCTTCTTCTCCGTTGCCGTTCGATGGCATCTCATCGAACATGTGCTTGAAATCCTGTTCACCCCGGGGAGTCGCCACATCAGGTTCTGGCATAAATTCGGCAAGGAAATTCTCAAGGGATATCGTGACGAATGGCACCTGCAGAGTGGCATCGCTAGAGGAGGATCCTTCGTGAGATGGGTTCTGGGAGCGGTGGGTGGCCATGGTGGCAGAAATGAAGATTCTTGAAAGAGAGCAGGCACGCGTGTTGCTACTCGCCACACGTCTCTTTGTCTTCCCAGAACGGAAAGCAGTACATGACGCGTTCGATCACGTGCACCGTGCTGCTTTCCTCTGCGAACTACAGAAAAGGTTGAAAAACACGTTATCCGTCGTAATTACCGCAAGAGCAGTCGGTGTAATATTCGTGAAGCGAGAAAAACCGTACCCAGGGGACGTAGAATGTTGCATTCGACATACCTAGATTACCATACTGTATACGAGTGCATGCGATACAGAAAACCGTGACTTAACTATACAGCTGCAATGACCGGGGAACTTGAAGCAATGCGTCAGGACGTCCGGTAGACAAAGCTGTAGGAGAATTTGCTATTTACAGGTGCAACTTGCCATAAGGATCCGCAGATCATGCATCACCGGTGTACGAGAACAGGAAACAAATGCGAAACGGGTATGCACCAGATATTCAAAGGTCGGGAACAGATTCCCCTGGGTTATAGCAAGCGGCGACACACAGAAGGGCGAATATGACCAAGATATTTCTGCAGCGGCCAAAACAAACATGCGCTGTGGGCTCGACCGACTGCATTAACGCATGCTCTAATTGAGAGTCAGAGGCCTTTCGTGTCGAGATCGAGAAGTCGGCAGGAATTGCGCGATGCAAGCCTAATATATGTGACCAACAGGTGCATCCGAGTCTGTACCAACGTTCGAGTCTTTGCGATAAATAGCGTCGTCTCGAGGACCTCAGGGCGGGCAGACGTTCTGCCAGACACGGAGATTGAGGAACGAAGGTGGAACGAAGAAGCAGACTAGGAAGTCAGACACGGATATCTTGAGGGTTGAAGCTGAGTGTCAGTGTGCCTTTGGGAGACTATGAGCACTCGGAGCAAGCGCTGAATGTTACGCCGGAGATATCCGGGAGCTCGACGGCACTTCACGTTGTCCAACTTCGACCGGCGGACGACACGCTTGCTCTCCTTCTTCGACTGGCGGTTTATTTCATCATTTTGACTGTTATGCACAGCGAAGGGAATATAGTCGATGGCCCGATGATGGTAGCGGAAGAGCGTAGGCTTGCGGCAGATGATTGTTCCCATCATAGGTGACGTGTGCCACCGATGCGGCTTGAGGGGCACGCTACTGCAAACTGTTTAGGCTCAGAAGGCGAGTTTTCGCCCTCGAAATTTTAATGGCACCAGCTTGTGACATATTACCGGTGTATCCTGTAATCGAGTGTAATGGCATGCTGAACCATGACCAGCAGTATCGATGTTGGCTCGGTGGAAAGACAGAAAACCCTTTGAAGAATAGCTTAGCATGAACCACGCGGTAGTCTGAGACGCACAATCTTTTCGTTGTGTTTTGGTAAGCCGATCTTTGTTGCTCCTGCAGCGGCGCATTCTATATGGAATGAAATTCGCGCTGAACAGGTTGGGGATGCAAGACTGCTCACGCAGATCGTAAACCAGAGGTCTGTCTTTGCAATGATGATAACTGGAGTACTGACGGCACGCATCCTTTCCGGGTTAGCGATACTGGAATCCACCTTGAAATAAGCATCTATCTTGATCACATCTGCATTTATGGGACATTACACAAACAAATTTGAAGTTCGACCAACGGCGCACGTGCCGGTTGTATTTAAGAGTGCGTTTGCTTTGTTTCCTTTCACAATCGAACATCCGCGTTGCCACTCACCGACACAAACCAGAGACTACATTTTTTCAAGCGACAATGAATACCACCTTTGTTCGAATGTCCCTTGACGACTTTACTCGCTTCTTTCTTCCAATGGATCTGGCCGCCAGCCACCGGCCACGAACTTTGGAAGACGTGTTCCTTCCAATTCCCTACACCGGCGGGGCCAGCGTTGGTTTTTATGCTGCACTGGTATTCTCGCTTCTGCCTAGCGTGTTCGCTGATCAATTAATGGATATCTCCAGGAGAGATGCATTGATAAAACCAATCTTTGTCCCGGCTACGCGCTGGAGCCAATAGAAAATGATTCAGCATGCGACAATGCCAGCCAGAGCAACATCTGCGCGGCATTAGTCTACGAAGATGACTTCGCGGCCGCGGACGAAAGCCTTGGTTGGGCACTGCATCGTCTTTCGTTCTTACGCAGGCCACACTGCACAAGGGACGACCCATTTGAAAACTTGGACAACGACGGCAAAGTCAGAATTCCACGCAACACAGGCAGAAGAACGGACGAGGCGCGACGGACAGCGACCCTCCAACATCTAACGACCCAGGCGAGGATAATGTTCTCCCACCAGCACCGCTGTTTCGCGTTCAGCGTGCTCATCCTCGGTGAGCATGCGCGCCTCGTCCGGTGGGACCGCGCCGGTGCCGTCGTTACAGACAAGTTCGAATACAAACACACTCCACATCTCGCCTCTTTCCTCCACACCTTTGCACGGATGTCACCTGAGCAGCAGGGCGCTGACGTGACCGCGGAGCTCGTTGACTTCGACTCGGACGATTTTCGGCTGATGCTGGAGGTCGCGAACCACGACGTGAACGGAAGTTCATACGCACGCGACTTGTTCCATGAGTCGATCCAGGAGCCTGATTGGGCATGCTGGAAACTGCGCGTTCCTTCCGGCGACGGGTCTGAGGAGTCCCGCGAATTTCTGGTGGGAAAGCCACTTTTTCTAGCGAATGAACTGCGGGGTCGCGCGACGCGCGGATACGTCGCGTTCGACTGCTTGGGGGAACGATTCGTGTTCCTCAAGGACGTCTGGCGCGTCTCATTCCCAGAGTTACAGCAGGAGGGTGACGTCCTGCAGACACTTCAGAAGGCCGGCGTCAAGCATATTCCGACCTTTATCTGCCATGGGGACATCGATGGCCAGAGGTCGTTAACACAGGAACACGCCACTTCTGATCGTTTGGCTTCGGCCTACGTCCACTACCGCCTTGCGGTCGAAGAGGTATGCCGTCCTTTGGGTCACCATCGTGATGGTCAGGAGTTGGTGGGGATCGTCGCTGATTGCGTGGAGGGTGAGTTCATTAATGTTTTGCGTGAGGTCTCGTCCACCCTAACGATGGATGGTTAGCGCACGGGCAGGCAGTCGAGAGGGCCGGGTTGATGCATTGCGATATCAGTGCAGAGAATATTCTCATTTTCGAGAAGCCTGTGCTTCAAGGCGTAAGTGAATGGCGGGGAATACTGTGCGATTGGGAACTCTCCAGGCCTGTGCATGATGGACCCAACAGCATGAAGGAAGCCGTCAGATTTCAAGGTGCAACGGTATGCGATCTTTTTTGATGTGTTATGACAGCCGTTCAGACGAAAATTCATATGTGCAGGGTACTCAGGCATATATGTCGGTTCACTCGCTGGACCATCCGGATAGCCCAATTACTGTTGCCGACGAGCTCGAAAGTTTTTTCCATGTCCTCTTTAATGTCGCCCTTAACTCCACGGAGAACAATATTCCGAACCTTGAAGAATTCTTAACGCAATACTTCCACAGTTGTCCAGCGGACGGTCGCTGTGGCTCCGTCAAACGTACAGCCATGATCGATGGCCGCTTTATGCACCAGGATGTCCCCATCATGTTTGCTGACAGTGCGGAGGCGTCGCAGTGGCCACTCAACGTTCTTCTTCCGATCCTTGCCGCGTGGTTTAGCGCTCGCTATGCTCTCGAGCATTTTAAGGATATTATGGAGAGCAATAGAGACAGCAACAAGATGGCCAAGAAGGGTGGAATCAAGCTGCGGCGCGTTCCTCCACTTCTGCGCTACCTTGACTTCACGGTGGCAATCACATGGTGCAGAGATCGTGTCGCCCAGTTGAAGACGCACGACACGATGCGTCAATTGCTCCAAATATTTCTTCCCGGGGTTACGCAGCCGGCAGACGACAAATCTTCTACCGTTGATTATATCGGGAGAAATGCGCAGCAGGACTCGTCTGTATCGACCACGAATCGAAAGCGCTCGTTGGAAGAAGAGCCGGTGGATTTACCTTTAGCAAAGCGCGCCAAATATCTCCCTGCTCGAACTCATCACTTGAAGAATGACCGGTGATTGGTATAGCAAATACTGCTGTTCAAGGGCCGTCATAGCGCTCGCATTTCGTTTCTTTCCTTCCACCGTTGTCGCCGGTTCGTCCTTGTCGCCAATTTCCTCGCCTTCTTCACTTTCCTCACCTTCCTCGCTTTCCTCGCTTTCGTCGTTTCCGTACTTTCCCTGCTTGTTCTGGTCCATCACATCTCGATTTACTGCTGCATCTACTTTGGAATCTGATTTTTCTCGCCTAGCTGTAACTTATACATATATATATTACTGCAATTATCGTGCTAACATCTTGCATGGGCAATGTCTTGTGGTCGTCGGAATGTTTGGCTTCTTTCCGTCTATTCCTGGTCCGTGCCGAAGGTCCACTTCTTGTGAGTTCTTCCGTATCTGCGTAATGTCAGCAGTCTCGTGCTTCGGGTGTACTCAAAATTAGGACTGGACTGTGAGGGCCCCATTAAAATCCAGAGTCGTTTGCTTCGCATGACAATCTACCTCGCCGGGTCACACCCATGGGCTCCAACGCTGGTCCTTCCGATGCGGGACCATTGGCCAAGTTCCGCCTTGCCATCTGGTACATCCTGCATGCATGATTCTTACTCCTGGCACGCTAAATCGACTACCTTCAGCGGTGGCGGCATCGGCGGCTTTACTCTTGCGTCGGTGCTCGCCCGCCATGCGCACCCTGATTCACCAATCGAGGTCCACGTCTACGAGGCCGCGCAAAAGATCTCCACTATTGGAGCCGGACTCCTCATCTGGCCGCGGACGTGGCACCTCATTGATCTGCTTGGTCTTGAGGTGGAGACGGCAAGGATCTCAACGGAGCCACCCTCGGAGGTCCCTAGTGAGTATCCATCTGATACAACTTCCCGCTTCAGCTCGGGCGGCTGCCACTAGCCTTACGCAGAACTGACACGTGAGATCTACTCCCGTTAATTGCAGAACCGGGATTCTTGTACAGGCTATCTGACAGACAGAGGGAGCCGTATACCTTCTATGAGCTGATGCTGCCTCGTGAGTGCCTTTCTACCCTGATCTCGTGCTGATCTTCTCATAACATGGTCATTGGCTTCAGGTGCTACGACGCTGCATCGAGCTGATCTGCTAGATGTTCTCCGTTACAGCCTTCCCACGTCGTACACTATCCACACCGCGAAGAGGCTTGTGTGCTACGCCGAGACTCAGGACTCGACAGGAAAGCCCATCTTGACACTCTACTTCACGGATGGTACCACTGCGGAGACGGACGTCCTCGTTGGCGCCGACGGCCTTAAGTCCGCGACGCGTGGGTGTATGTACACGCTCGCACATGAACATGACTGCACACCGTGTACGGACGTGCTGACTTGTCCCAGGTGCGCGGTCGTAACCCCACAGTGGAGCGGAATGATCATCTGGCGGTGTCTAATCCCTGAGGAGCGTCTGCGGTCGGTAAATCCCGCACACCGTGCATTGAAGTTCACCTTGTCTGTGCGTATTGCTCCATCTTTTTCTTGGATTTCTCTGACTGCGTTTGACCAGTATTGCGGGAAGAATAAAGTATGTTTTATTGTTCATCTGTGAGAACCATGATTTCGACCGGCTGACACTACGCAAGCACGTCGTCGCGTACCCGATTTCCAACGGTCGCATAGTCAATTTCATCGCATTCTACACCCAGCCAGAACTCGAAGGCACGCCGTACCCTGATAAATCTGGCGAACCAGCTGCGAAAGAGGAGGTCTTGGCACATTTCGTTGGCTGGGAGCGTGAAGTGCTGGAGCTCCTCGAGGTACGTCCGTGCAAGTGTCATTTGAATGTGCTCGAGCTGAGCTGTAGAGCAATTCACAGTGCACAGAAAACCTGACAAAGTGGGCCATAAACTGCATGGGCGCACTGCCATTCTCTGTCTCTAGGAGAGTGGCACTGATGGGCGACGCGGTGCGCGGGATCCTTTTCGCGCGGTGCTGTCGATGACTGATGTACCGACCTGGTAGGCGCATGCGAAACAGACCCATCAAGGGGCTGGCGCTGGACAAGCTATGGAGGTCATTGGTTCTCTTCTTGCCATCGGCTGGTGTTGACTTAACTGCTAACAGGATGGCTACGTGCTCGGACGACTCCTAACACACCCTTCGACAACGCTCGCACGGGTCCCTGCTGTCTTCCAACTGTTTCAGAAAACGCGGCTGCACTTCACGCAGGACGCTGCGCAGGTCTCGCGACTCACAGGGAGGATGGTCGAGTTCAATGCGGAGGGTTTCTACGATGGGAGCGATGTTCCGGATGAGAAAGCTCAACTCGCCGCGCTCGGTCGCGGGATACGCGAGCTTTGGAACTGGCAGGTTGACGGGAATGTGGACACGCTATGGGAGAGGGCAGAAGCAGGTTTGGCCCACTTGGCAGGCGACGAGAATGGGTTTCACTGAAGTGTTTTCGTGCCGGCGACTGTCGTTAATTTGTTTCATTTCAGTACCGTCCTGTCTTAAACTCACACACGTAATTTCTTGTCGTTTTCTTATGATCGAGGGTACTCTTAAGGTTATAACTGCCTTTCACGCAATTGACACTCACCGTATGCTTCTCGTCAACCACAGATGCGCGGTTGAACTGAGGAGGCTGCACTGGAGGATCCATACAATGAACATAGCCCACCCCAGGCTCCTTCCCACCGTAGTTTCGAGTTAAGGGGGGCGATATACAAACATTTCACGCAAGCTTCATCCCAGAACATATCAGCCACCGATCACATGATAATCACGTGAAAATTCAAACTCCCTAACTTTATTCCCCCCAAATTCTCCACTGGCGTCAAACATTGGAACAAACAAACGCCACCCGGGCCCGTCTCACAAATCAGGCAGTCGCGCACCGCATTTTCCTGGAATTTATATATTCTGGAGGTTGCACCTCGAGAGCAGCACGCCCTTGTTATTCACTTTGCACATAAGTTTTGGTGCGGAAGAGGACTTGTATAGCTAGTTATATATGAAATCCATTATATTATCTCAGACTTAGCACGACAAAAGGTTGCGAGACAGCGGATGAGGCTCAAGCAGGTGGAGGAATACCGGTAAGCTTTGCGGAAAATGCGGTGCGCGACTGCCTGATTTGTGAGACGCGCCCGGGTGGCGTTTGTTTGTTCCAATGTTTGACGCCAGCCGTAGTGGAGAATTTGGGGGGAATAAAGTTAGGGAGTTTGAATTTTCACGTGATTATCATGTGATCGGTGGCTGATATGTTCTGGGATGAAGCTTGCGTGAAATGTTTGTATTACTCTAGGATCATTATCCGGGAGCCCACTGAGAAGTCCCCCGTGGGAGTTTTTGAGCTACGTGCCAGACAGCGGAAGGGACGGCTGCGTCATCGGCACTAAACTATAATTCCCAAAACGCGTCGGTGGCAGAGATGTCAGTCGCGTCAACTGTGTATGTATGCTACGTAGCTGTAATCCACGCCGTTCTCTATGTCCATCATACCTGCAGAAGGCTCTTCAGAATGGCTCGAGTTGCTGATCGTTCAGAAGTGCGGAGTTCCCTCGGTTCGCGATTTCCAGCTACGCCATGGCATGGACCTCATCCGCGGCAAGGATCTGTTCCTCGTCATTGCGCCGGGCCAGGGGAAGACGACGGTTATGCATGCTCCGCTACTGGCTGCACAAGCCCAGATGAAGATAGGAATAGCTCTCATGATTGTGCCTACTAAATTGCTAGCATTACAGCAGGTACTGTTGTGCTGACAAGCACACCGACAGTAGTTTCATTCTGACCTTGAGTATAGGAAACTGTGGCCAATAGCCACGGAATTCGCGCACTGGCTATCAACGAAGACACTATGAGAGAAGCATACCACAACAATCGCGATCTTCTGGCCGAGCTTGTCGGCGGAGAGGACATTCGTCTCGCCATCATGAGCCCTCAAATGCTCCGGTCAAAACGCGTTCGTAGCCTGCTGTCGCAGCAAGCTGTCAAGAGTCTTGTCTGCTGGTTCTTCGTTGACGAAGCCCACCTCGTCGACAAACAGAGTGGCGAGTGGATCGAGATCTTCAAGTCCATCAAGACTATGCGCGCTATCTTGTCAGCTCGGACAGTTTGGGCAGCGTTCACTGGCACGGCGACTCCATCTCGGACTCTGGTTCTCGCTGAAAATCTGGGCTTCCAACCTGGGCACTATGTCAATACTCGGTACTCGGTTGACTGCTCCAACATCAAATATATCCCGCGGTTCTTCGAGCATGCTGTCTCTGGCACGGACTTCCTCGACATCAGCTTCCTGATACCCCTGGAGATGGCTTCCCCCACTGATATCACGACAACTCTGATCTTTTGCCAGACTATCGAGCTCGGCTACAAAATCATGTCTTTTCTCGATCGCCTTATCCCTGAAGCAGTACCTCATCGCAACAAGATCATTAAACTCTACAACTCATTGATGCCTGCGACGTACCGACAACACTTCGTACAGGACCGCTTGAGTGGTGCTGAACTGCATATGTAGACACTTGCGAGATGAGCAGATTCAAAGGCGCGCGCGAATGCGTCGGCGAAACTGGACTAGATCGTAGCGGGGGGTAAAGTGATGCTGTGTAACCTCCGTGCATTTCCCGTCGTGCATAGCGAACATCTTGCAGGCCATTGTGCACATGCGCGCGACCTCGTGAAATTTCCGAGTTGTCCTGAGTCCCTGACTCCGATTCCGCTAAGCTCCGTGACCTCGAGTGCATCCCGAACTCACTATCATCCTGAGTATTTACAACAGGAGATAAATCTATACATAAGGCTTATGAGAATCATCCGACGTTAGTGTGGTGACATCCTCACGATGAATAAAATGATACGGATAGCCACTGGCAGGCTGGGATATCTGCGGAAGACTGAAGGATCGGCTGAGTACCTGAGGGCCCATATGTACAGATCCGAATATGTCGCCATCATCCTGGATGTCGTCAGTAGGTGGAACCGTCGCCATGAGAACTTTTTACAGCACGCGAAGCTTGTACACAGGTAAGACGCGCCTGTGGCTGCACGCGACTTGAGCGCTAAAGATTCGTGCGTCGAATTGCCGTCGGCATCGTTCAAAGTCCGGTTTCCCACGGGGGACTTCTCAGCGGGTCATCGGTAATGATCTCAGCCTCTATTACAAAGGAACGACTGTCTTCCTGCAGGTAACTAGAGGCTGTATCTATGAGCCTATGTTTGTATATCGCCCCCCTTAACTCGAAACTACGGTGGGAAGGAGCCTGAGCCCACCCATGATGCATGCAAATGAGTATGATTCGGATACAGAGTCCATGCTTAACCTCGATCCCGCCGATGGTCTATCAATGGAGACAACAGTAGTGCCGATAGTGATTTCGATTCTGACGAGATGTTGAATGGGGATGAAGTTCTCTTTGCACAGCCAGAAAATTGTGGTTGAAGACCTGTTAGTTACAGGATCACGTTGCATTACTTCACTCTCCCTTGAACAGTCCTCATAGATACATGTCTGCTTGGATCTTCTCATGGATGTAAGGTAGAATAGGATGTTAGCTCCACAGGCTAAACTGCCATTTCTACCTGCAAGTGTTGTCAATTTCGAGTCTGCTTTCGAGAAGCTCGTGCCCGATGCATCAGATCTGAGGACACGTTCGAAGAGACCATCGCAGCAACGCCGATGTTCTTTCTATAAGACCTTCTTAGGCGTGCGCATATGCTTTGCTAGTCAACAATAACACCTAGTAGTCTCTATCACTGACGGCGCCGCCGAACAAGATGCGCCTTGTTCATTCTCCACGCCTTCAAGTGCGGAGCTTATCGCAGTCTTACATCGAAGTTTTATCCCTCACGACAACCTGAAATTGGCAAGTCTGAATTTTCGTTCACAGTTTGGATCTCATCTCCAACGACTCACCTAGGACTCTGCTCTCTTGCGCTGCACAAGTTCATCATTTGGAGATGGGCCAATGCGTTCACAGGCTGGAGCTGCAGACCACATCATTTTCGAGGCTCTGGACCTGCCTCCTTCCTCTGTTGTTGCTCTTGTTTTTTTCTTTTTGTTCATGCCAGGGTTACATGCTGGCCTCTATGGCATCTGTTATCAGCAAGTCTTGTCGACTTGTTATTCAAGCCTCGCGACAGTACACAAGGCGCACGTGGTCAGACGCCACAAACGCGTCTCTCTGTACTAGCACGCCCCAAAGAATCCGTTGAAAACAAGTCCGTCTATCTCACCGCCACAATCTCTTCTCTACATAACACCCCACGTTGCATTAGCAAAGAATGGCTGGCACCTTCGTCACTGTTTCACTCGATACCTTCCTCTGTGAATTCATTCCACAGGTCGGTGAGGCGACCACTCTCCCAGAGCTCCATATGATGTTCTGGATGCCCGCGCCCCCCGACTCGGATGTTGAATTCTACGATTCTTTGGTATGTCTAGCACTCTTGTCGAACGCTTTTTTAATCCGACTGCTCCGCTCCAGAGAGGCTGTATGACGAGACAAGGACTCGAACTCTGCCCGGGATATTCCTGTGACGTTGTTGAGAGCGAAGGTACAGAACGCTACAAGTACGCGAGCCTGTCCCGCGAGGAGGATCTGTCTGCTTTCAACGCTGATCCTCAACAAGCACCTCAACTGCTGTCATTGGTGTACATGGCGAAGTCCAAGCATAGTGACCCCTTCGTCCAAGATCGAGACCCCAATCTCCCAGACACAAACCCTACAGATACCGAGTACTTCACTGCTACTCTCCGACGCCTCCAAGAAACTGCGTCTGCCGCCTTCTCCAACCAGCATCGCACTTTCTTCTTCACCATCGTATTTTCCAAGGGCAGTGCATGCCTGGTGCGATGGGACCACGCTGGTGCTATCATCTCAGAGCCATTCATCTATGGCAGGACAGAGCACCTCGCCATATTCTTCTGGCGCTTCTCGCAGCTCTCCCCCGAGCAGCAAGGCTGTGACGCCACAGCGCAACTTGTCCTTCCTCGATCTGACGATTATAAGTTGATGGAAGACATAGTGAAGAGGGAAGATTGCGGTAACCCGTACGCGCGTTGTATGTTCGCCAAGTCGCTCGACCTGGGCTGGTTCTGGTGGAAGTTAGGTGTCAGATCTGAGGACCAAGCTCCGGTGGCCCTGCCAAAGGGCAGGAAGAAGCGGCCGGGGATCAAGCGGCCGCGGGCTGTGCCCCAGAGGAAGAGTAATGAAAGTGAAGACGAGGCTGGCATGAGATACTTCCTCGTTGGCAAGCCCCACTTCGAACAGCAGCCGAATCTCCCTGGCTGTAGCACTCGCGGATACGTAGCGCTCGACTGCAAAACCAAGAAGTTCGTCTTCTTGAAAGACACGTGGCGGCTCGACCAGCCAGAGCACAAGACGGAGGGAGCGGTACTCGAGGTATTGAAGAAGGCAAAAGTTACCAACGTTCCGACTCTCGTGTGTCATGGAGACATAGCCCGCCACCATACGCATACGCGGGATTTCTTCAAACCCAAAGACAAACCGCGTGTGGATCCGTTTGAAGATCCACCATCAAAATACGTTCACTATCGTCTGGTTGCCAATGAAGTCTGCTGTCCTCTAGAAGATTTCGAAGAAGGGAAGGAACTGCTGCAGATTATAGTCGACTGCATGGACGGTAAGGCGCTTATAATCTTCAGTTAGAGTCGGTCATTATGACGACAAGGACTGCAGCACATCGACAAGCGGTAGAAAAAGCTGCGCTGATGCATTGCAACATTAGCAACGGCAATACCCTCATCTACGAAAGATATGTGAGGCGCGGTGGTGAGTACGAACGTCTGAGGACAGGTCTGCTGTGCGATTGGGAGCACGCAACATCCGTTCGCGCTGCAGAAAATGGGGATAAAGAAGCCCCTCGTAAACTTGGAGCCAGGGTATGTTCCCGAAGTTGCCGTGCTGCCCTTACTCACGATCTGCATTCGTCAATTGTAGGCGACATGGCCATTCATGTCGGTACTCTCGCTCGACCATCCGAAGACAGCTATTACGATCCAGGACGAACTGGAAGGATTCTTCTACGTCCTCCTTCTCACCACTGCGTGGCGCATCGACAATAACATTCGCACTACCGACTTCATTCCCCAGTTCTTTGATTCCAAGGAATTGCTCTCGGAGTTATCCCCTTCCATTTATTCATGTGGCCCATCGAAGCGCCAGGCAATGCACGCCGGCGTGATGAAGCACAATGATGATGAGCTGCGTTTCTTCGATGCAGCAAGACGGCCTCATCCCTTTGAGAAAGTATTCAGGCTCTTTATGCACATGTTCCGCGCACACTACACGACGTTGGTCTACGAGAAAGACTCTGAGGAGGTGGAACCTGAGGACGCACAAGAGCAAATCCCTCTCCCGGTTCCGCGACAAGGCGCGGAGAGCCGCGTTCGAGTGGAGCGAGTGCAACTGTCTGAGGAGGATCTCAATGCGCGCAAGCATCTCGCGGAATCGCTGAAGACGCACCAAGCCATGCGGCAATTGCTTCTCATGTTTCTGGATAGGGAGTGGCCCTGCGGGGACAAGATCGAACCGAAGTCCAACGACAGCGTGGATTCTGACTCGGATAGCTGGGAGGAGCCAATGGGTCCTGCATCTCCTGAGGTGGAATTGGATCTCCCGCGTCTGAAGCGTGGTCGGGATGAGGATGAGGATGACGAAGAGGATGAGGAGCGGCGACCTCGGAAGGTGCAGCGTGCGAATTCAGAGGAAGTGTAGGAGCTTCGCGCTCATTGGAATATCTTTCGTCCCCATAACTTATAAGTATTTATACTTAGCAGCCGTAGCTGTGCTAGTCTAGGATCATTATCCGGGAGCCCACTGAGAAGTCCCCCGTGGGAGTTTTTGAGCTACGTGCCAGACAGCGGAAGGGACGGCTGCGTCATTGGCACTAAACTATAATTCCCAAAACGCGTCGGTGGCAGAGATGTCAGTCGCGTCAACTGTGTATGTATGCTACGTAGCTGTAATCCACGCCGTTCTCTATGTCCATCATACCTGCAGAAGGCTCTTCAGAATGGCTCGAGTTGCTGATCGTTCAGAAGTGCGGAGTTCCCTCGGTTCGCGATTTCCAGCTACGCCATGGCATGGACCTCATCCGCGGCAAGGATCTGTTCCTCGTCATTGCGCCGGGCCAGGGGAAGACGACGGTTATGCATGCTCCGCTACTGGCTGCACAAGCCCAGATGAAGATAGGAATAGCTCTCATGATTGTGCCTACTAAATTGCTAGCATTACAGCAGGTACTGTTGTGCTGACAAGCACACCGACAGTAGTTTCATTCTGACCTTGAGTATAGGAAACTGTGGCCAATAGCCACGGAATTCGCGCACTGGCTATCAACGAAGACACTATGAGAGAAGCATACCACAACAATCGCGATCTTCTGGCCGAGCTTGTCGGCGGAGAGGACATTCGTCTCGCCATCATGAGCCCTCAAATGCTCCGGTCAAAACGCGTTCGTAGCCTGCTGTCACAGCAAGCTGTCAAGAGTCTTGTCTGCTGGTTCTTCGTTGACGAAGCCCACCTCGTCGACAAACAGAGTGGCGAGTGGATCGAGATCTTCAAGTCCATCAAGACTATGCGCGCTATCTTGTCAGCTCGGACAGTTTGGGCAGCGTTCACTGGCACGGCGACTCCATCTCGGACTCTGGTTCTCGCTGAAAATCTGGGCTTCCAACCTGGGCACTATGTCAATACTCGGTACTCGGTTGACTGCTCCAACATCAAATATATCCCGCGGTTCTTCGAGCATGCTGTCTCTGGCACGGACTTCCTCGACATCAGCTTCCTGATACCCCTGGAGATGGCTTCCCCCACTGATATCACGACAACTCTGATCTTTTGCCAGACTATCGAGCTCGGCTACAAAATCATGTCTTTTCTCGATCGCCTTATCCCTGAAGCAGTACCTCATCGCAACAAGATCATTAAACTCTACAACTCATTGATGCCTGCGACGTACCGACAACACTTCGTACAGGACCGCTTGAGTGGTGCTGAACTGCATATGTAGACACTTGCGAGATGAGCAGATTCAAAGGCGCGCGCGAATGCGTCGGCGAAACTGGACTAGATCGTAGCGGGGGGTAAAGTGATGCTGTGTAACCTCCGTGCATTTCCCGTCGTGCATAGCGAACATCTTGCAGGCCATTGTGCACATGCGCGCGACCTCGTGAAATTTCCGAGTTGTCCTGAGTCCCTGACTCCGATTCCGCTAAGCTCCGTGACCTCGAGTGCATCCCGAACTCACTATCATCCTGAGTATTTACAACAGGAGATAAATCTATACATAAGGCTTATGAGAATCATCCGACGTTAGTGTGGTGACATCCTCACGATGAATAAAATGATACGGATAGCCACTGGCAGGCTGGGATATCTGCGGAAGACTGAAGGATCGGCTGAGTACCTGAGGGCCCATATGTACAGATCCGAATATGTCGCCATCATCCTGGATGTCGTCAGTAGGTGGAACCGTCGCCATGAGAACTTTTTACAGCACGCGAAGCTTGTACACAGGTAAGACGCGCCTGTGGCTGCACGCGACTTGAGCGCTAAAGATTCGTGCGTCGAATTGCCGTCGGCATCGTTCAAAGTCCGGTTTCCCACGGGGGACTTCTCAGCGGGTCATCGGTAATGATCTCAGCCTCTATTACAAAGGAACGACTGTCTTCCTGCAGGTAACTAGAGGCTGTATCTATGAGCCTATAGCTGTGCCTGCTTACGTTCTTGCTCCCTCCACTGGCTTCTCTCAGGTAGAATACTATCCCGTCTAATAATAACTCTACCTGCACGACTGAATAGCAAACACGACGCAGAGATCGACCCGTGCAAATCGACCAGGGCTTTGTGCAGGCGTGGCATACTCACGGCTGAATATCTCGTCTGACTGAGAACGCCATCCGTCACGCGCACGTGACACATCACACATCACGCAGCGCGGCTACAAAGCGTGGAATCATTTCAGTGTGGAAACAACGTAAGATAGCGTAGACAGGAATAATATGTATGCGTCGGAATTGAATTCATCTGGAAGGCCGGAGTCAGTAGGGTCATTAAGCTGCACATAGAACGTACGATGTACTACTTACTGGACGAGATTGCTGTCGGAAATCCGCGCAGGAATTACGAACAGGTGAAGATTGTGACAGCGTCGAGCCGAAAATGACCGTATCGACTACCTGTAGACCCCCAGATTTCAATGCAGGCCTGTAGTTGACGAAGTTCTCAACCGAAAGACGTAAGAATGACTGCACAAGATCGCACGCACAACACTGTCCAGAGAGCTCAAGCTGGTTATCGCCACCTCAAAATAAGTGACAGCAGAACAGAAAAGATTGTAAACAACATGGCGCAAATATACGAATGATCCAAGTTGCAATAAGCCAGTAACGGTAGGCAAGGGGCTTAATGAATCCATAAATGTTCCGCTAACAGGGTAGCGCTAGTAGCCTGATGACGAAGACAGTATTCTAGGAGAATTAATGTCGATTGCCACGTGAGATCGCACGACAATGGTTGTGTCGTATAGATCGGAGAATGAATCTGAAGAGTCTTTCAGGTGTTGGCAGAAAATATTGCTGGATTCCCCGCGATGAGATCAGAGCAACGAGCAGCAGGAGAAACAGCTCAGTGCCCGGTATAACCCAGAGGAGTGTTGACTGCACAAAGGTATCGACATCCTGACTACCTCGGTGCTTTCGCTGCCAACTGTATCTGGAAGCGCTACATATAAGTACGTCAGAGATACCTTCTCAGATCAAACATGATATGCAGAATGCACCAGCGTAGAGTAGGGTTCCGGAGAGCATGCGAAAAGGCAAGGAGGTGGCCCAGGATCACAAGCGATGGCACTGCAAACGAGTAAAGCGTACCGTGCTATTACATTAAGCATCGTGCAATAGCATAACGCCGACACAAACTCCCCGGATCGCCAGAGTCTTAAATTGTGTACAGAGGTAATAAAATTGGCAGGACTTACCGTAGTAAAGACTGTGAAACCTTCACTGCGGCGTAGCCTGTATCTCGAGGATTAAGTTCGAGGGAGGTTTAGGATGGTGCTGCGTTGGAGTTCGTCTCAGACCGTATGCGTAGGATGTGATACATCCGTGAATAATCGATGCAAATACTCAGCGGAGTGCGCGTTTGGCTCACCGAAAAGAAAAAAAAAATACAGATCCACACCATACTCAAACTCCCCAGAGCTCCTGCATGCCGCGAACCGACACTGGTTGTGGAGTATAGGCAAAGTTTCTGCCATAAGGTGAGCTAGGTTCCTGACTGCATGCGTATGGGAAGTAAAATATCACAGACTTACCGCAATCAGTGCCGCTTTGTGCAGCGCGAGATAGCTCACAGCATCGGGTGCGAAAAATCCGGGCATTCCCGGTGGATACAACTCGCCTGGAAATGACCACGTAACATCGATCATCATCGACGTCGACCTCCAGAGTTGTGGCACTGGCACTCCTAGGGCGATATGTCGACGACGTTATCGCCTCTTGAATCGACATTAACCTGGTTTGCGATTCAACGCCACGTATTCCGCTGTCTTGCTCCTGGCCAAGCGCATTTGCTACCTCTCCCAGTATTCTAGGTCAAGATCAGCCTTCCAGATGATTCCGTCGATACATCCTGGTATCCCAGAGACGCAGGGCGATTCGCCCCTTAAGCCTGCGCGAGGTATATTGGAAAGACAACAAGCGCACAAGCACGTGGTCAGACTGTGACGCCACAGACGCGTTTGATGTGTGGCGACGCCACACTTGGGTGAACAAGAGTTCCTCGGATCTCTAACTTCTTCACCTCGTACATCAGCATTACCACGTACGCTCCACACCAGCACCACCTCTTACACTCGACTGGCATATTACTTTCTCAGACATGGGTTGCACCTTTGTCACTGTTCCGGTCAAGACCTTTCTCAGCGAGTTCGTTCCACAGCCGGACGTCCAAGCAGCCGCATCTGCCAGTCAGGCATACCTACATGCATTCGACGGCATGCCAAACTCATTTGTTTCCCAGGAGCACTTCTTTGGTCGTTTGGTTCGTCGTTGTTGTCGTGTGCTTTCGTATCGCTGATTTCCGTTAGGCCCGTTGCGCTGACGATTGCGGACTGTGGAGGGGCTACTCACGGGAACTCGTCCTGAGCGAAGACTTGACAGCAGGCACTCCCGTGGGCGACCCTTACAAGGTCAATACTCACATGGCTTTATTCCGCAACGAGGATGCGCACACCAAAGAGAGCGAGCTTCACTGGTCGTATGAGGTCCTGTCCATTATCTATAAACCAGACGCCACCGTGGACGACCTGTTCGCTGAAGAAAAGGATCCGAACCTCCCAGATGCCGAGATGTGTGCAACCACACGTGCGCACATCCAGTCCATCGCGTCTACCATCCTGTCCCGTCAACATCGCACATCCGTCTTCACCGTTCTGTTCTTCCCCACATGCGCGCGCCTCATGCGGTGGGATCGCCATGGTGCGATTGTCACAGAACAATTCCCGATTAAAGTCACTCAGGATCTCGCCACATTCTTCTGGCGCTTCGCTCGCCTCTCGCCTGAACAACAGGGATACGATCCCACCGCGAAGCTCGTCCTGCCCGGGTCAGACGACCACAGGTTAATGGTAGACATCTCCCAGAGCATGTACCGCCAGAACGCTTGCGCACGAGCTATGTTCGCTGAGTCACTTGAAGACCCGGACCGGCCGTGCTGGAAGTTGAGGGTCGTGCCCGAAGGCCGGGTACCCATGGCTCGGAGACGGCGCACAAAGAGACCGACGTGTGGCAAGCGGTGGAAGGCTGTGCCACAGGAAGAAAAAGACGAAGAGAACGAGGAGGCATACGCTCGATATTTCCTCGTCGGGAAGCCCCATTTTGAGCACACTGACCTTCCTGGCCGAGGCACACGAGGATACGTCGCACTAGACTGCAAGACAAAAAAACTCGTCTTTTTGAAGGACTCATGGCGATTTGACCCACCAGTACACCAGACGGAAGGAGCGGCGCTCAAAACGCTCAAGAAGGCCAAGGTCACGAACATACCGACGCTCGTGTGCTACGGCGACATTGGCGACCAGCGAACTCGCACACTAGAGTTTGTGGGACCGGAAAATAGCTGGCCCGCTGACCGAGAGCGGGATGTATCACCGACGCTTGTGCATAGCCGTCTCGTGGTCGAGGAGGTCTGCCTTGGTGTACATGATTTCCATGACGGGAAGGAGCTTTTGCAGATTTTCACCGATGTCATTGACGGTGAGTTGCCCATTACCTTCCGAGAAACCTCGTCCTGATATCAATCATGCAGCGCACCGACAGGCGGTAGAGAACGCTGGGCTGATGCATTGTGATATCAGCAGTGGCAACATTTTGATCTACGAAAGGTTGGAGAGGCGCGGTAAGGAGTTAGAGACGAGGAGGTCGGGTCTACTCTGCGATTGGGAGCTCGCCGCGCCTGTACGCGATGCGGAGAACGGGGGAAAAGAAGCTCCACGGAAACCTGGATCGATGGTACGTCAGCGAATTCCACCTGTTGTCGTTCCTACTCTCCCACTCACGGCCGTATTCATTATTCGTAGGGAACGTGGCAGTTCATGTCAGTGCTCTCACTCGATCACCCGAGAACAGCAATCGCGACACAGGACGAGCTGGAAGCATTCTTCCATGTTCTTCTCCAAACCGCTCTGGTGTACATCGCGAACAACTTCGAAGTACCAGCCTTCATTCAAGACTTCTTCTTCACCATGGATCCGCCAGCGAACTCTGCGTGTCCCTTTAATTCGTGCAACTCACTAAAGCGAAAGGCGATGCACACTGGCGTCATCGAGCATGAAAAACGAACGCTGGAATTCTATGATAGAAATGGAGGATTCCACCCGTTCGGCAAGGTTTTTGACCTCCTTATCCTCCTGTTTCGCGCGCATTACACAACCTTGATTTACGAAGAGGACTGTGAACAGCAGGACATGCCGCCACAAACGCCGCTCGCAGTTCCCCGACAGGGCGCTGTGCATCGTGTGGGAGTGAAGCTGGAGGAGCTGAACGAGGAGGACCTCGACGCGCGCAAGCATCTCGCGGAATTGCTAAAAACGCACCAGGGTATGCGCCAGCTTCTCCTCACGTTCCTGGACAGGGAGTGGCCCAGCGAGGACAAGATTGAACCAGAGTTGCCGAACGCGGAGTCCGAGGTAGACTCAAGTGAGCCACCATCTTCTAAAGAGGTAGAAAGGAAGCTCCAATTGTTAGGTGCTCTCAGCATGAAGCGTGGACGAGAGGAAGAGGATGAAAGCAGTGATATGGAGGAGGAACCACCTCGAAAGGTCCAACGCGCCAATTCAGAAGAAGCGTAGAAACGCTAGGCTCGAAGTTATGCTGGGATGCGGGGGGCCGTTATAACTTATCTTTATTTCATTGCTGTTGCTGTAATCACTCTCGAGCTCGCACGACGACACCTGCGTTTGCTGGTCAGAGCTTCGAATCGTAGAAATATTACGCGTCTTTCGGTGATCCACACGCGCTGTGTTGAGAGCTCTGGAACGTCTACACAGGCATCGTCTGAAACTGTCAACGGTTCGCGGGGAGATATTTCCCTAGCTCTACTAAGTGCTCGTGAACTTGAATGATAGCGATAACAGCTGCAGGTGTTAGATGCGCCCAAAGAAACTGTCAACATTTTCAACGAGGCGCTCGCACAAGAATCCCCCGTGAGTACAGGATATACAGTGGGAAATCAATGGCATAGGGTGATCTCAACCCCAAGGTCTGTTCACGAGGACGGATACCGCGATCAAGTGTAGCAGTGGCAGTCGCAGTCTACGTCGCAAACTGGTAGCGCTAACCCTGGCCGCAGCATTGCGAAAAAGGAAGAACTCCAAGTCACCACGGCAAACTCGTCAGGAGGAAACCCTTCAGGAGCCGTTCGCGGTGTCTTTGCTAGTGGAGTCTGGAAGAAATGAGATCCTCAGCACTGCAACGATGTAGAGGTCGAGACATCGGCCTGACAGTCTTGCATATTGCCTTCCCAGTGACCAAAGCCGGTCTATTCCCTTTTCACAGGTTAGATGAAGATTCGTCGAGAGTAAGATCATGGAAGAATCGCCGAGGGAAACAGACGATATTTTAACGGTGAGCGCGCTCGGAGCCTGCCGGAAGGATTCGGTCCCGGCCTTCGCCGGTCGAAGTTTCCTCCGCTATCGCTCAGACGAGTCGACGAGGCTGGTGACGTTGTAACCATCACTTGCAATGGCTGGAACTTTCCCTTCAGTATTATGGTACGCTAACATTTATTGTCTTACATTTCTTGCATGGAATTGGACATGCTTGAAGAACAACGCCAGTCGACTGATGGAATCTGCTTCGACGTTGAACGTTGAATATCCTAGAGACAATTCCGTCTGTGCTCTGCTCGTAATTTGCTATGGTATGCAGCAGGAATCCCCCTTCCGCATCTCACTATCTGGCAATCGGTGCGTTCCTATTTGATCGTCGTTCTTTGCATTATGTGTGACAGCAGAAGGCTCTGTGTCTCAGATTCTATGAGACAAGAATTCCATTTCACTACCATCAAATGCTGTCGTCCTTCTCCGGAAAAATATCAGGACTTGTAGGTATCGCAGGCTCTCACTTTCTGATCCAGGTGTATGGAATGCGGACGTATGGATACTTTCTTTGCTGTTCAGTCCATTGCTATTCAGAAGAGCGAGCGATAGTCACTACAGGGAGTACTGACCGCTTGGGCGGACTTTCCCAGTGACGCGTTGCCACGGAATCAAACGGAGCTCGAGAACAATTGGTGCTAGATGAGACGCAGATCAGAGAAGAAAGCACGGTGCACGTGATCAACACGACGCGTCGCAGTGGCCTGTTTTCGGAGGACAAGAGACGTGTGGCGTCAGCGAACGGTAACGCGCTGTGCGTGACTGCTCACCACACCATCCTACAGTGCCACCACCATGGCCACCCACATCTCCCAGAATGCACAACCGTCTAAACAACAATCCAGCGAGTTTGCAATGCAGGTGCCTTTCGCCGCTGTATCCCTCAAGACATTTCTGGCTGAATTCATGCCGCAACCTGACGTGGCGACCAGGCGGCGTGATAAAGATTTCAAGCACATGTTTGATAAGATGCCGGCGAACAACAATTCAGAAGACGATTTCTATCATACATTAGTGCGTCTGCCGTCGTCCCACACGTATCCTGTCCAACTGTCGCTCCTCAGATCCAATGTTTCTGTGAGCAGAACATTTGCCCCAATTACTCAGCAGGGCGCATCACCAAATCCGAAATGGTCGACGACCATGCAGCCCTTTTTCTCACCAACGATAAGAAGTCTATCATATGGAATCGCCATTGGGCACTCCAGTGCCTTGCCATCATCTGCAAGCCTCACTACCACGATGACGACCCCTTCGCAGAGAACGCAAAGAGCGACAAACGGAATGCCGACTGCCGCAAGACGACGCGTGACCTCCTGACGACGATTGCCTCCAAAGTTTTTTCTCGACAGCACCGCTGCTTCTTTTTCACCGTCCTCATCCTAGGTGACAGTGCACGTCTCCTCCGCTGGGACCGCTCCGGTGTGGTCATTACGGAACCATTCTGGTACAAGAGAACGCCACACCTCGGCTCTTTCCTATGGCGGTTCGCTCACCTCTCGCCAGTCCAACAGGGCTGCGACTCGAGCGCGGAGGTTGTGCAGCGAGGTTCAGTGGATGCAAAGCTCATAGAGAAGTTCACCGCTGAGCGGCCGTCGACCATGAACGAATACGTGCACGTCATGTTCTGCAATTCGATGAAGGACGAGAGTTGGCTGTGGTGGAAATTGCGGATTGTACCGGAGGTAAACGAGTCTGCGCTGGAGGGGCCGGAGCAGCGGTCGGGAAGTAAAAAGCGGACACGCGGCGATCACCTGTCGGGCCCAAGCACTAAGCGTCGCCGCTATGCTGGCGGGCGCGCTATCAGCAATGACAGCAACGACGAGCGACGGGCCCGCTATTTCCTCGTGGGGAAACCCCACTTTCATTCCTCTAGCTTACCCGGGCGGGGCACGCGCGGCTATATCGCATTGGACTGTGAGGAGGAGGTACCCGTCTTCCTCAAGGATACGTGGAGGTGCGATCCGCTACCGATGATAAGGGAGGGTTGTGTTCTTAGGGCACTCAACGAGGCGCACGTTGAGAACGTTCCGACGCTCGTTTGCCACGGTGACATCGAGAACCAATGCACGCGCACCCAAGATTTACGCAAAAACGTCAGTGCTGGACAGAAGGACAATTCGCCGAGGAATCTGATCCATTATCGCATGGTCGAGCGCGAGATCTGCCGCCCGCTGAGAGACTATGAAACCGACAAACAATTTCTGCACCTCGTTGCGGACTGTCTGAAGGGTCAGTTTACTTCTCTCGCATGTCTGATTAACTTGCTGATAGGATGATGCAGCCCACGAGCAAGCGGTAGAACGTGTCGGGGTCATGCATGCTGACATCAGTCTTGGCAACATGCTGATCTTCGAGCAGTACCGCCTCGACCAAAACGAAGAGGGGTGCTTTCGGCGGGTTGGAATGCTCTGTGACTGGGAGTTCTCTAAGCCAGTGCATACAACGCGTAATGGTGAGAAGGTGGCGCAACGTGCCCCCACTGACGTGGTATGCACCATCCTTCCGTTGTAAGAGCCACCCTACTCACCACTGTTGTCAACGATCTGCAGTGCACTTGGGAAATGGCGGGCGTGCACCTCGCTGATCATCCTGGGACACCAATCACCATCCCAGACGAGCTGGAAGCTTTCTTTCACCTCATATTGATGGTCACTGTCCGCGACCAACGGAGCAACCTGGGCAGTAACGAGTGGGCATTCCGGAAAGACTACTTCGTTGACTGCACTGAAAACCCCAAACCTGGAGAACGGTACATGACTTGCACCAAGCTGAAGCGCAAGGCGATGTATGAGGGCAAGATCATGTACAAGGCCACACCCCTCCGAATTTTCCGCTCAGCAGATGATAAGCGCATACACCCTTTCGGCGATCTTCTCTCAATGCTGCTCACTTTGTTCCGCGCTCACTATTCAGCCACGCTGTACGATGAGTGGCACAATCGGCCCAAGCGGCGTCTGCGGAGTAATACCGGTCAGCACGTCGTTGAACCCCCGTCATGTATCATCAGATTGGAGCCAGATGAGCTCGTGCGGCGCAGGGAACTTGCAGCTGGACTTAAAAGCCACTGTGCGATGCAAGATTTAATTCTGTTAATCGCCGAAGGGGATTGGCTCGGGAGCAAGAAGCGCGACTGCGAGATTGACCAAGGCAAGGAGGATATTGATATACCCCACATGATCTTCACTTGCGAAGCGTACCCGTGAACTGGCCAAAACTGCTCAATTGTCTCAATTTCGTGAGGATATGAAGTTTCGAAGTAATGGCTGTCGCTTGATTTGTGCTCTCGTTATTGCATTCCGTGTATCCGAATGTCTGCGGCTCTATAGCATTACTTATATCGTATCTATTGACTTGCAAACCAGTACCGTTGGGTCTCGAGGCATACCATGGTCCAGATAGAAAGTCACAGCTTCGTCATGCATTGCTCACGGTATCTGCGCGAATGAATTTAAAGAGGACATCGTATGCCGACCATTAACCCGATATGGAACGTATTTGCATTTTTAAAGCCCGTTTTCTCGAAAGCAACTTAGAGATGCTGAGGAGATTGAATATTGAATTACCATATCGTCATATTCTGACTCGGTCTGAGACATACAAGGTGATCTCCAGCGTGCAAGCGGAGAACTATGTAAATATACATTAGCAAATCTGAGTATCACACAAGTAGTCTACATGCAGACCGGCAGAACAGAGCAATAGCAAACATACTCAACCGCTCATACGATAATCGCCGGCACTCGAACCTGAGTCTGAAAGCTTACAAGAAAGTGAGCAAAGTAGAATGTCTTCGATTTTTTTTTGCCGCTGATATTCAAGCCCGTTGCCTTTACAACAGAGGGCAAGCGAAGCATGCGGCGAGTATTTCAGCTGATTTTGCAACGCTTGCTCTGGCGGGACCTCTGCAGATCCGCCCCTGGCTGGCGCTTCGAGCCAGGTAACACAACTGTAGCCACAGGACGTTCCACGCGTTTCTCCTCGTAGGGGGGACAGTCATCCGATAAAAGTCTGTTGGGCACCTTATCTCGTTTCGGCCATTCGTCAGCATGTTTGAGGAAGACATTCATGAACAACCGGTACATGGGGCCATGAGTCTTCAAGTTCTCGGCGAAAGGTCTACTCATCTCTCGGATTTTCCTATTGAAATCCGGTGTTCTTTCCTGGGATTCCCGGGTTGCGAATTCCGAACCACGTCCGGCCATAATCTGCTGGCGCATGTGGTCTGCAACAGAAATCGCAACATTATTTCTTACGGCAGCACCTTCTGAGTGATCTTCCGCAGCCTGGGATTGATCATTTAAAGTGGCAGTTCCATGGACCCAATCGTCGGGCGAAAGATGTGCATATCGTGCTTTGAACCATCCCAATATCTCGCCAACTAGATTATTGCAGGGATGGAGTGTCTTCCCATCGTTGTAAAAGAACTTGACAGTTTGGTCCATGGTTATCTGCAGCGTTCCAGACTGCATCGCGTTTCTCTTGGCTGTCCCACAGGCGTAGTGAGTCCCACGGTTGCTGGCATTGCATTCATCAAAATACTGTGTAATAAAATACGCCGGTTTGTCGATGGAACTGTTCGTGAATTTGATGAGGTGGAACAAAAAGACGTTGAAGAAGGCTTCGAGCTCGTCTGCAACTTCAACCGGCCTAGAGGGCGAGTCTAGTAGGATGGCCGACATGAACTGCCATGTCCCCTGTGAAGATGATGTGAACATGCGTCGAAGGCAAAGAGAGTGACCAGACACCCACTGCATGAGGAAGCTGTGGTGCCTTCTTACTATAACCTCTTGTTTCGTCGACGACTTCCTTTTTAGTGACTTCGTAGTCAATCGATTTGGCCAGTTCCCAATCGCATAACATTCCGACCCTCCAGAGGTGAAGCTCGCCATCAAACGGAATGAGGGTCTCATTTATCAGGATATTTCCCGCGCTCACGTCCAGATGAATTATCCCGACTTTTTCCAAGGCCTGCTGATGGGCTGCATGCGCTCAATAAGTACTGTGCGATGCTACCAGCCTCGGCATAGGAGACTTACCATTGATGCCATCCGCTATCATCCTCGTCAGCTCGACAGTATTTTCGAAATGCTTCAAAGGCCGACAGATTTCTTCCACGACGAGGCGGTAATGCGTGTAGGTCTTGATCGGGTTCATTTGACCACCACTATAGGACCCACGCAGGTAGGCGGCCGTCTTCGTCCGTTGTTGTTCCAAGTGCACAACCTGACCCTCTACCACCTCTATGACATCCCCGTGGCACACGACAGTAGGGACATTTTCAACCTTTGCCTTGTTGAGAGACTGGATGATGTTTCCCTCCTTCTCGATATCCGGCAGATCCACGCGCCACACATCCTTGAGGAAGACGAACTTCTCGTCCTGGTAGTTGTACGCAATGTAGCCTCGCGTCGCGCGGCCCGTCAAGCCTGATGCACGAAAGTGAGGCTTGCCGACCAAAAAATGTAGTGAACGAGGCTTATTCATGCCCGGAGTCTGAGAGTGTGAGCCGTCTGTTGCCTTTCCCTCTTCCGGATGTATGGTCATTTTCCAACATGACCAGTCATCAGGACTCTCCTTCGAGAAATCAGGCATAGACTTGGCGAACGATTGCCTCGCATATTCGGAGCCAGCACCTTTGGGCGGATTCTGGGCCACCTGCCTCATAAGCTTGTAGTCAACCGATCCGGGCTCCACCGCAACGGCTGTCGTATCATACCCTTGCTGTTTGTCGGTCATGTTACAGAATCGCCACATAAACTTGGCAAGGTACTCGGTGTTTGTGTACTGGAACCTATTCGTGGAAATAGCACCGGCCCTGTCCCAGCGAATAATCCGCGCGAAATCGCGGAGGAGCAGAATCGTGAAGGCGAAGCACCGATGCTGGCGTGAGAAGAGCATTTTCGCGCCAGAGATAATCTGCCCTCGAGTGGCAGCCCCACGCGCAGCAGTTGAGATCTTCGTTAATTCGAAACTGTCTTCGGCTTTGTCCTCGGTTGATGCTGATTCCAAAGGTGCAGACGAGGAGTATCCTGCCGGCTCACTTTCGAACGGGTCGTCTTCAGTAATGTGATTCTTGAACAGAAATAGCAAACGTGGACGTGTCCAGTGTGCGGTCTCGTCCGCTAGGACATTGTCAGTATCTCGGAACAACGCAGACCAGACACTGGACTTGGGCAGATGGGCGTCCCTCCGCATATAATTCATCGTATACTCCGGACAAATGCCAGCGTTTTTCGCGCATTTAGCCTGAGCACGCCGGTTAGAAGCTATGGGATCAACTAGAGGACACATACCAGAGTGTGGCTCCGTACGTTCTTGAAGGCGTTGTTGAAGTCTGCTCTGGCCTGAGCAGCAACTGTAGTCGTTTCTGGCGCAAACTTGGCCATAAAGTCGGACACGGGCATGGTGATGGACTTTCCGCCCATAGTAATGGAAAGAGAGATTGGGTATGTGAGAGGTGATGTGGACGACCTGTTCGGAGAAGAAATGAAGAACTTAGAGACAACAACTAGAGAGAGCTGAAGGGCATGATATGCAGCGGTCAATGTGAGTGTGTGGCTCAGCAGCCGTAGCAAGATCCGCTCACCGAGGATGGACTTGTGACTGGCCGCCGGTATGCGTGACTTTCAAGAAGAAGGTGCCTGAAAATGATTCCAACGGCTATGCAGGTTGTTGGGATGACTTTTGTGCGCACTACAATAGAATGTCATAGTAACTGCTGTAAGTGGCCACTGTGGCATTACCGGTGTACGGCCTACGCGGACGCGACCCGCCACATGCACTTGCCGTAAGTCACACCCCGACGGCCACTCAGAAACTGGTACAGCTTCGCGCGGATAAGTAATCTACCTTCTCAAGACAAAGCTGGCCAGTGCACGTCATGTATATACCAACCAGTGTAGGATTTGTGGGTATTTCCAGCCAACCAACAACATGGTTAGCATAAGATCAGCTCGATGAATGCAATCAGACAACGGCCTACATACAGATCAAAATATGACAATCACCTACGACACCGTCTGCGAAACCTTTCCGCATCTGCAACTGTCTAATCTCTCTGAAAGTCTTCCGCTATGTAACATTCCAGCTGTTCATGTGGCTCGTGATGCTCGGTACGTCAAGCTCCGCGAACGCGCTGTGTAGATACTCCGCCACTCAGTCGAACAAAGTCGCATATATCCAACAGTTGCAGCGAGCGCGAGACGACGGGGACGACGTACACGGGGTGGGCAAGAAGCTGGCGTCGACCTCGGCTAGAATGAGCTCCGTCAAGCCCGGGCAGAGGCGGACGAACGTGACGACGGTTTGCAAGGTGGGCGGACGACCAATGCTGTCGTGGTGCAGCGAAAACTTCCTCAGCTTGGGCCACGACGCGGCGAAGTCGAGGATGTCCTTGTCTGACGTGGAGGGTGGCGTGCAGGAATAATCCACAACGACCTGCTCCAGATCGTGAAGAGATAGTAGATGCCGAAAGAAAGCGAGTGCGGGGTAGTTGTTCCACATGCATTCATTCCAGGACCACGAACCGCTGCGTACTTCGATACTTCGCAGAGACGCGTCGTAAGACTTGCATACAGCAGTCATAAATTCTTCGAGTCATCCAGTCCGTAGGATCTTTTCACCCGACGTTCGAATACCAAAGCGGAAAGTTGAGGCGCAGAAATCGCTGTGATGATTGGCATAGCCTCCACAAGAAGGCACGAGATGTGCAGACTTTGTTGTGTCCCGAATCCGCCACACGGGACAGCGTTTACATCCTGATCGGCACATGTAATGATGAGGTCAGTGAGGTGCGGCAGGGTCGAGAGTGCTTGCAGCAAGCCCGTGTCAATCATGATGTATGTACTGGAACTCCCTAGAGCCAAAAGACTGCAGATTTCGCCAGCGCATAACAGGCAGCAGCGACTCGGATGACCAAAAGTAGAGCAAGTAGAACGACCACAGTAAAGGAGCCTTCACAGCCAGACGCCGCACAAGGAATTCGCCGAGCTCGTCTTGGTTTTTCGGTTCGGGGCCGAGGCCAACGGTCGCTCGGAGAAGTGTAGGTGAGATTAGGTGCAGGACGTTCGTATCAGTGATGTGCTGCTCCCATTGAAATTGTCGGACGAACAGTAGGAGGGGCTGGTTCTTGTTATACGCCGCCAACGCGGCCAACACGACGGAAAGGCCATCATCGTAAGAGACTTTCCGTACCCGAATAGCGTAGTTCGTGCCCACTCTGCTGGAGTTATCTCTCCGTCGATGACCTATATCGACATTGAACAGGTACAGTTCACGAGGCAGACTGCAGCAAACTAGGAACTCACGTGTGTCTCGAATTTGTCATCGTAATCGTAGAACTTGCTTGGATAGACTTCTTCTACGGTCTTAAATGCGGAAAACGAGCACGAGCAGAGGCCCGAGACCCTCTTTAAGTTTTCCCACAGGCCGTCCAGCGCAGGACCGTGGAAGGCTTTGCATACGCGTACAGCTTTCGCTAGAGTCCGCTGATTGGAAGCTTCTCCACCATTGCAAGTGTTTGGCGACAGGTGGAAAAGAAATCTCCTGAAGAACATCATAAGTACGCAAGGCACGGTGGGTAAACATGTCCCAGACCAAACCTCTTGGGCTTCTTCCAGTATCGGAACGCAGAACTAGAAAATTCAGAAGGCGTGAAACCACTCATTAGAACTCACACACCTCGCAGTGAATAGCGTAACGACAGATCGTCAGATTTTCCACTTACGTAGTATGGATGCGCGCTGTGCAGTTAGGAACTCTGTCCCGACTTTTTCCCGTCCATTTGACTTTGTTTTCACGACGTTGTACATCTGACACCAGTAAATGAAGAATTTCCACAGACTTCTTCTGCGAGGCTTACATTAGACGAGTGGTCTGCCATAAGTAACCAGCCCGCAAAATTGCTTCGAGCTTGGCTGGTTTAGCCCCGAGCTTCATGGGGTCTCAGGTACTCCCGTCCTGTGGACAGTGAGATAAGCGAGACTCGCACTCAGACAAAAACGGAAGATCGGACAGCGCAGAACATACATCCGCCACGCGTCAAATGCTTACATCGTCCCGACACATGATTGCCTGGTTTGTAGCATCGGCAACAGGTAAGCCGCCAACCAATATAGAGCATAGTAACTTGACGCGAGATGCTCCATGCAGCCCGCTGTGTGGATATCGAACAATTTCAGACATTAATTGGTAAGCTCTGAGGCTTGAGAGGGCATGCACAAGAGTCAAGGCGATATCGCGGGTGAGGACTCCGAGAGACGCGATCGAGCGGCGGAGGAATCAGCCACTCGCGTTGAAAGATGCTTGCACGAAGCACGCGTAAGAGGCGAGAGCAATTGCAAGGATGGCGAAGAAATGACAAATCCCATGAAGTCAGTGTTCATATGGACTCCCAAGCACGTCGGTCATACTATTACTAGTTACCTATGTTGTGAGCAAATGGGCGCGCCGTGCGAAGTGACGGCCTTTCCCGAGCTTGCATGTACCGCTTTAAATTGGTGTCAACCAAGACCTGTAGTACCGACTACCTCGACTCAGCCAGGGCGTGATATGGCTGTTGCGTCAGCGTTGCATTCTCGATGCACTCTATATGCTTAACTACCTGTACTTTTCAGCGGCCTGCTGGTATTCACAGTATGGATGTTGCCCGTACACGAACTGGACTCTTTCCTGCCGCGGCAGCAGCACGACGACGTTGCTGTGGGTGTTAACTCTACATTAGCTTGGTCCCTTCGCGGATACTTTCGCTCTGTCTCCGCTGCATATCTGTACCCAGTACTCTGCGACTGTATCTCTTGTCTCGTGTGGTTGGCCGTTCAAGATAATGCTATCGACTTGCTGGCTTAAGCTCCTCAATGACACATCTGCGTCTTTCCTTTGGAAGCTCGGAGTCATCTTGTCACCGGTGAACACTGATGTTCTTAGGCGTAACGGTTGACGGGCTTACCGAAAGGCTACCTTCTCCGTATTTTCCTGCATTATGTAAAATATTTGCAGTGGGATGCTTTGCGATCCGTCCAGCAGCAGGTTTACTGGGAGTATACCAGCGAGATGTGCGTTTTTTCCTCTCAATTCATGCGTCTTATGACTCTTATCCTGTCTCCTAGAAGGGGCTGGTGTCAGACGATGCTGACCATAGTACGCCGGGCCAACGTGAAAGTGCAACACCCCTGTGCATGTGTTGCGACTCCTCATTTGCGCGTATATTATGGATAGCCTTCTATTGAAGTTACCTTGAGCGGACGGCCCCTTCGTTGCGTGTCGGATCTATGGTCTTGTGTAAGAGTTGCTGATTTCTACTGTTATACCCCTTTCTTCGATTTATGTATTCTTTCACGCGGCAGGTATAACGTCTATAGATACATTACACAATTACAACCTCGACCATATGCGGGAGCATCAGATACATGGGCACGTGATCAAGATGGCCAACTGCGACCACCACCGCCACACGTCTTTGACAGTACGCTGGGCCACCCGTCACATCCAGGTCCTTTTCACAATCTTACGAAGACTAAACGAGATGGATGTTCCCTTCGTGTTCGTCTCTCTCCACGAATTCACCTCTTCGTTCCTGCCAGAACAAGAGCCCGCCACCCTGCCTTCCGGGAGAACCCTTGAGCGCTCTTTCGATGCTCTGCCCGGAGGGAACATTTCTCTGGAAGATTACCATACATCCCTCGTGTGTCTGCTCTGTTATACGCGAGGCCCTTGTCTGACGATTACTGCCCTACAGGAAAAGTGCATCAACACTCACAACATATGCCCAGGATTTTCGGTGAAGCTCATCGAAGTCGATTCCATCACCCCTCCAACAGTAAGGAGGGTGGAATACTTAGCACTATCCCTTACGCAGAACGCCGCCTCAACATTCGACCGCAGCAGACCCTGGTTATATCAACGTCTTCCCTTTCTTTGTATGGCGTCCAAAGATTCGGATCCCTTCGCATTCATACCACAAGGCTCCGACTCTTTCACAACGTACCACCACAACAAGGCCATGGCAATTCGCAAACAGACTCTGGAGCTCATGGTCGCCCACGTACGCGCGCTATTCTCGCACCAGCAAAGGGTTTTCCTATTTTCGGTGCTCATCTTCGGAACGCAGGCGCGCCTCGTCCGCTGGGACCGCATGGGCGGCGTTGTCACCGAAGCATTCCCCATTAGCGGCGCGCCCCACCTCTCTGGCTTCCTGGCGTGCTTCGCCCGCCTCGATCCCGCTCTCCAGGGCGACGACCCATTTGCGGAGGCCGTTCCCCGCACTTCTCGCAATTTTGCACTCATGCAGGATGCCGCGCTTAACCCACCCCAGGGTACCACCCGCTACGCAAAGGAACTCTTTGCTAAGTCCATTGAAGATCCGACGTGGACGTGCTACAGACTCCGGATCATTCCCGCCGAGACGGAAACGAAGCTGCGCAAGCCCGCCAGGAGGCGGCGGCGAGCGGCGACGACCAAGACCAGGCGGACGCGCGCACCACCACCACCTCCGACCGGCGAGGAGGCCGAGGAGGCGCAAGCGCATTACTTTCTCGTGGGAAGACCGCACGTTGCTGACGAGCAGTTTCCCGGGCGCGGCACCCGCGAATACGTTGCGCTCGACTGCGCGTCCGGCGAGCTGGTGTTCCTCAAAGACATGTGGCGCCACAAACCGCACAATTCGTGGTGCGAGGGCCACACGCTCGCAGCGCTGAACAAGGCGGGCGTCGTGAATGTGCCGACTCTCGTATGTCATGGTGACGTTGGATGCCAATGGTCACGAACGCACGAATTCTGGGGTCGCGATGAGAGCGAAGCGGGTTCGAGTACGAACATGAAGAAAACCCCTACGTTCCCGGGTGAGGTGAGGCATTACCGGCTGGTCCAGAAGGAGATATGCCGCCCGTTGGGCCACTTCCGTCACGGACGGGAGATGCTGCAGATTGTTGTAGATTGCATGGACGGTGAGTCGACCCAGTTTCACATCTGCGTCTTTTTCTGACGCAGAGTTTCCAGCGCACAAGCACGCAGTGGAGAAGGTGCATTTGATGCACTGTGATATAAACGAGGAGAACGTCTTGATCTTCGAAACGCCAGCGGAAGACTCAAGTAGGCATCGCTGGACTGGAATGCTCTCCAACTGGGAGTTTGCTAAGCCAGTCCTCGTTGGCGATAAGGTGGCCCCTCGAGAGGCCGATGAAGTAGTACGTATATCGCCGATTCTCGACTCGCCTGCAATTCTCACTGATGACTTTTGCCGACTTGGACAGTGCTCCTTTAGTTGTGCGTCCGTACGCGTTCTTGACGAGCCTGGGACGCCGCAAACCATCGCGGACGAGCTGGAATCATTTTTCCATCTTCTCCTTCTGCTTGCGGTCCAGTACTTCCACAGCAATGTCTGGGCGTACAACGTCCTGTTGGACTACTTCTCGAAGACGGACGAGCCCGAACAGCGTCTCCCAAGATGTGGGAAAGCGAAGAGGGAGATAATTTATTCTGGCGCACTTGAATTCAACAACGAGCCTATCGCGATCACCATGAACAATGAACAGCCACTCCCATTGACAGGACTCTTGCAACTAATGCTTATCTACTTCAGTGCGAGCTATTCCGTGAGGCTACTTGACAACTGGCACGAACGCACTGGTCCCACGCGCCACCTGCGCTCGTCACGGGATCCAGGTCCCGCGCCGCTCATCTGCGAGCCAACGCTTGCGATGCAGCAATTAAGCAAGGAGGACATCGCTCGTCGCCGGATCCTCACTGCTTCACTCAGGGTGTACCATCCCATACGTGACCTGATGCTGTTGTTCATCGAGCAGCCGTGGCCGGAGTCGGACAGGAGACCACGCGAGCATGATATCGCCGATATAGAAGAGCCTCCGCGTCGTGGACCATCATACTCCAGCATTTCAAATGAGGGGTCTGAGCCAGATGAGGAGGCCCACCAGATGGCGGGGTCGGAGCACTCTACGAGTTGGCTGGATGAGTTTGGAGAGGTGGAGGAGGAGCCTCATAGCGACGATATAGCTACGTTTCGTGGCTATGGCAGTCGCAGAAAGAGAGCCCATGCCGAGCCGTCGTCGTCAACACGAAAGCGACGCCGACTTGGTTAGCTTCTCAACACGATGATTACAGTTTTCTTGCGGAGAGGAGCTGCCAGTGATATGTAAAGGTATTTGCTGTCGAGCTATCTACTACTGTCTTATTAGTTCCCGAAGAATAATGTAGCTGTGTCTAAATGTACAGTATCGTACTATTTAAATTATTTGTATCTGCCTTGACTTCGTCTCTATTCACAGGGATAGGAAGAGAGAACCCTTACCTTCAAGCACAGCTCGCGACGCAACCCACACTAGCCATCAAGAACCACTTACCACTGTGTGAGAGGCTCGCACCTGGTGGAGGAATTGTAGGAGCACTTTGCATCATCGGGAAGCAAACAGAGAAATGCTCGTTCCGTCGTACATGGGGCCCGGGATACAGAGTCTGTATTCTTCGCCAGTGATGGCGCTGATCACATTGTAAATACAGTCCGACTGCGGGCTCCCAAGTGCGCACGATAGAGCTTGATTAAACGACTTGCCACTGGGGCTCGACGAAATTTTAAGCCTCGTTCGCATCCAACTCTGCTGGCAGTACAGTTGTGAGGCTTTAAAATGCTCAAATCAAACAAAATTTCCGTCGAATGTCCCCCCCCCTTCTCGATGCTGGCCAGCAATGCAATTGACGTCGAAGCAACTTCAAGATTTCGCACGAAACACGGCCAGGACTCGCGAGCCAATGGCGGCCTCACCCAGACAGCAATTGAATAAACGAATACCATCAGGATTTAATAGTTAGGGGCAGTGCCCTAGAGCCACGGATGCTACTATATAGTAACATTAGCGCACGACGTTGGATAATTTACCGCGACTCTTAATTTCGGAAGAAGGGCGATGACCTTGTCGTCGGTGGTAAAACAAAGACGTCCCCTGTTGAACTGGTGGGAAAATGCACCTGTGAGAGAAGCTGATACATATGCCAAGGTGCGTGTGTCATATCTTCGTGAATAGTGCATTGCTCTCGCCAGGAATCGGCCCACAAACGCGTAGGTATGCGTGAGACCGTCCTCTGGCTCATGAATGAATATGGCCGTATGAGGACAAAGGGAACTCATGAGGTTCACGCCTGATTCATTTGTGGCCAAAGAACCTGGTCTGCCAATCACAGGGTACGTTTGAATGCCGTTCATCAAAGGACAAAGGAGACTGTTTTCTGGCCACTATGATCGAGACCTCATTGGCAGACATCCAACACATGATGGTCAGCGCCGGGAAAGAAGTTATGACTGTACAAACGGTACTATCGTTACCCCAGTACTGCAATCTGGTCTAGTTATGCAATTTCGCCGTTTTGCCGCATTTTGCTGCACTAAAAATCACAAAAAAATATGCAATAGATGTGCACAGTCCCAAATACCTTGGCTGTGCAACTTGGGAGTCAAACTCGGAGGGGAAGAGTGCGAAGTTTCTGAATTGCAAGTTTGGAGGACTTAGGCGTGACAGTGAAATGTGCCATTTAAAACTCCGACTAGAGGGAGAACAAGGGAACGGCACGTCGGCAAGCGTGACGATCTGTGACCGATTCGGCGCTCTTGCGTGCAAATCAGTCTCTTCACTGCGTTCGGTCTTGGAGTCGCACAACATCAGGAAAAAAATTGGCAGTCACACAGAAGGTAGCTTATATGTTGTATATTTGATCCAAAGAGGTTCGAAGGAAAACGGGCTCGATTTGAAGGAACGGTGACAGAGATGCAATCGCAATTGCATTACTGGGGTAACGATAGTAGTTTTCGCTGACAAATGGCTCTAAATTTCTGCGTACGCGATACCTCTTATGGTTACTGGCTGAAAGTTGATATCAAAAGTGAAGAATACAAGTTTAAGGTAGCGTAGCGAGTCACGGCCGAGCCGGACGTGCATGTCACGCGCCGCAGAACGCGGCGCACGTGGTCTCCAGACAATGGATGCGCACTCAAAGTTGGCCTTCAACCACGAGGTTCCCTGCCACGAAACTTGCTCCAGCAACAATAGACATAGGATATTTCGGTGGTAATATTGTTTCGAAGATCAATTCATGACCTGTGTACTGATCGAGGTTACGCAGCATCTGGGCCATTTGGACGTTTGCCCAGCGTATATAAAACTCCCAACCCGCTCTACGAGGAGGTAAGCACCTCCAGCCATGTCTCACCAATCTACTAACAACACACCTTTTAAAAAGAGAGTCTCTGGCTTTAATACTCATGCTACGGGCCGCATGTCTGTGAAGGAACAACGGTGCGAACTTCGTGAAGAAATGCATGCCAAGTTCGTCTTGATGCCCGTCGACGAGTTCATGGACGACTTTGTTCCCAATTTTGATAACCCACTGGGTCAGCAAAAACCAGACTTTATCAATGCCTTCAAGAACATGCCTGGGAACGATAAACGAGAATTCGAGTTATACAGGCCTCTCGTATGCGTCTCTTCTTACTCGTGCTCCATGTAAAACTCACTTTATTCCTCAAGGTCGACTGCGTGGAAGACGCGAACCTTTGTCCTGGTCATACACTTCGACTTGTTCAAAACAAGGCCGATCCTGACGACCCTAGCCGACAGAAAGTTGATGCTGCTCTTTTTCGAACGCCAGACAATGTTCCAGCCGACGGTCGGCCACACTGGGCACTTCAGAACCTGTCAATCGAATTTAAGCGTCATCGTAACTATGATGATCCATTTGAAGAGAAGAAGAGAAGGCCGAAACGTGTGCACAAGGCCACAAAAGTGCACGACGTGGAGATGGCGGCGCCTGAACCGGAGCAATCGGAAGACCTAACCTACATGACGACAACTCGAAGGTTTGTTCCGGGCGACTCGTTGACGAACGTCGTGGAGAACGGTCCCCACGATATGTCTCGATTTGCGCTGCTTGACAATGTGTGGGTGCTCAAAAAGGCGGCCTTAGAAGACGAATTCTCAGAGCAGGAGTTTCTGAACCGGGTACCCGTTTTCGCAACGGGTGAAGACATCTTTGACGAAGACGTTACGCATCCAGCTTCAGAACCGCCAAGCGAGGCGTCTGGAGTGACGGACAATGAGAGCGACTTCCATACCGCCAGCGAAGGGGATGACGATTTCGATGGAGGCCACAAATCTTTTTCTGAAGGAATTACTGGGCTGGTTGGCAAGGACGAACCAGAGGTGGATGGAGATGTCTCGAGGACGTATAAACACTTCTACCCTTCAGTTGCCGAGATGGTCGATACACAAGAGGACTTCTTCCAGACACCTCCCACTTCATCCAGGGCTGAGGACAATGCCAAGGCCATCTTCAAGACCGCTCCTGAGGCAGATGCTCGACGACGTACTGCTGTTCGAGGGCAGATCATTTCATACGCCAAGATGATGTTCTCCCGCCAACACCGTTGCTTCGTGTTCACCGTTCTTATCCTGGGCGATTGCGTGCGGATTATTCGTTGGGACCACGCAGGCGCCATCATCACACACAAGTTCAACTACATGACCACTCAGCATCTCGGTGAGTTCTTGTGGCGGTTCTCTCACATGACGGACGAACAGCAAGGATATGATATGTCGGCTGTGCCTGTGGTACCCGGATCGGCCGACTACAAGCTGATGTCAAAGATGGCAATGCCGATGGATCCTCCTGACCCGTCTAAGGGTGACTATGCGAGACGTTCATTCATCAAGTCCCTAGATCTAAAAGCCTCCAACGAAGATGGCCCAGACGAATGGTTGTGCTGGAAATTCACTATCGTGCCAGAGAAGTGGAGGCAGAAGGGCGATGTTTCGGCAGATCGACCCATTGCCGCGGACGCCAATTCAGATGAAGATAGAGCCATACCTTCCTCCAACATGAGTGAAATGCCAGCCGCACGACACTTTCTGGTCGGTAAACCTCATTTCGAATCTCCGGGCATGACAGGTCGCGCTACGCGATGCTATATCGCAGTCGATTGTGAGGGGGAGAAGTTCGTCTTCCTCAAAGATGTGTGGCGTGTTGATCTTGAAGACATTGAGATGGAAGGGCACATTCTTCAAACACTCAACAAAGAAGGGGTGGAGAATATCCCGACTCTTGAATGCCATGGCGACGTTGAAGGCCGGTACCAGCAGACTGTAACTCACAAGTACCTCAAGCTGGTTCGTCCTGATGATTTGAATCCTGTCAAGAAACACGCACACTATCGCCTTGTAGTTGAAGAAATTTGTCGCCCGCTAAAGGATTTCCGTAACAGTCGGGAGCTAGTCAAGATCATCGCTGAATGCATAGATGGTGAGTTTCTGGCTCTTTGAATGGATAACATGCTCACGATCTACGTACAGCCCATTGGCAGGCGACGGACAAAGCCAAATATGCTCATCGCGATGTTAGTGCAGGAAACCTTCTTATGCACGAAAAGATGGAGGAAATGGATGGTGAATTTCATGAGGTCCGTACGGGGATGTTGTGCGATTGGGAGCTGTCCAAGCGGATTGAAGACGAAGTTGACGAGCAAGATAACAATCTTGAGACAGATAATGCTACCCAGAAACGGACGAAGCCGAGACAACCTGATCGAACTGTGAGTTTCTTATGAACGCGGATCTGATGGTGATCACTCATCCTGTCACTTCCTAGGGTACTTGGCAGTTTATGTCAGTCCTCTTACTAGACTTCCCTTGGAAAGAGGTCACGATTCCAGATGAGCTCGAGGCGTTCTTCAACGTTCTCTTGTTCCATATCGTCCGCTATACGAACAGCAGCATTCGCGATGCGGGGGTGTTCATGTCCCAATACTTCGACGAATCCATCATAGACTCACTGGACGTACAATACACGTGTGGCTCCGTCAAGCGCAATGTCATTCAAACGGGTGTCCTCAAGAGAAGGATGGAGCCGATCAAATTCAAGGATTACAACGGATTGGACCACATTCCATTGAACAATATCGTCAATCATCTCTTGAGATTATTCAAAGCACATTACACGGTGACCTTACCCGATCTTCTCCTACAGCGGCATCCGACCGAAGACCAGCGCAAGCCCGACAGAGTAGATTCGGAGCAGGAGACCCTGAACAGCTCTGGTTCTGCTGCTGCTACGGACGAGAATACGAAGAAGAGGTCCATTCAAGACATGTTGGCTGCTCGGGCGGTGGCTAAGTTGGAGGAAAGGCTCGCAAAACACTCGAAGAACTCCCGGAAGCAGAAAAGCCTACAAAGCGAAGACCAAGCCTTGGAACAAGCCTTGGAAATGGAAAAGGCCGCCGCGACGAGGTTGAAGACCCAAGAACACGTGTACTCTCTCCTAATTAACGCATATGCCGATGAGAAGTGGCCAGAGCACGACAAGGTTGATGACAGAGTTCCATCCAACTACAGCTATGCGGACTATCGGGAGAGAGGCCTCAAGTTTCCTCCAGCACCATCTTCTAGCTCTGGATCAGAGAGCCCTTCGGAAGCCCGTCCAACTAAACGTCCCAGATTGCCAGTGCAAGCGGCCAGTGGCGTGGGCCGCGGATGGCCCTCGTCATCGTACGCCCGTCGTAGGGGCAAACAGCCGGGGAGGTTGAATGCCAGTACCAGGCGGTTGTGAAATCGAGCGTACAAGATATGAGCCGCGTTGTTGATATCGTCATCCCTCTGTCTGGCATTCGATTCGCTCTTGTTTCAGGATGTGCTTCTGCTGAAGAGTTCGTATTTACCTTGTCGGCTCGTCGTTGCTTCATCTCGCTGGTGAGATCACATATGTAACGATGTAGCGATAACTCGGACCAATATTTATATGGAATATATCTACGACTGCGTACACCGGATGCGTAGTTCAAAGAGCTGTCGTCCATGGTCGATGGAAAGTGCTCGTTATTTGTTCTCGACGGTGAATTTTGACGTTTCAAAAAAAGGTAAGGATATCTGGTCCGGCTCGGCTCACTTGGCTTGGCGTCAGGGAGATCGGCCGGGGATTCGAAGAGTAGCTCCATTAGCAGAAGGTTGCACGAGTCGTGACGGCCCTCAAACCAGGCAGGGTGCAAGGTCAGACAACGCTTCTGAATGCGCTATGGCCGCGCTACGTTCGAAATAGCACAGGAATCGGTTAACAGCGAAGATGCAGAAATGCATGAGACTGCCTTTGGCCAAAGTCGAAGGGATTGTCGTTCTGAACATACACCAAATTTTTAACTAAGTGAACTGACTTTGCTATTCTTACGAGGGGTGGTCCTGGGAGGAAACGTGGCAAAGGCTTTCTGGCATAAATGTTCGTCTCTTTCTTCACTTGGCTCGTAGTCCTCTAAACGTTAGAGAAAGTTCAACGCAAAGCCAGGCCGCCCGCAGTCTAGCGCCTGCATTCTCCGAGAAACATTGCAAGACGTTGTTCAAACAGAGGGTACACGCAAAGAAATCGCTCGAGAGTGGAGTGTACGAAAAGGCTAGAGCTACACGGTGTGACTCAGGCGCGTGATAGGCCTCGGCGATGTGACCGTGACGTTGAAGTCAGTCTGCGACGACTCACTGAGTCTTGGATTGACTTTTGGGCTACTGCGTCTGACCTCCTCGCTGCGTGTAATCCAATGGGCCAGAGGCAGCAGATTACAACTCATCCCACAGTTTCTCATGTCCATCCTACCAAGAATGGCGCTCTACACCACCGTCGAGCAGTCAAAGAACCCTGCCTGACGTGGAGGGTTTTTAGGACCGTCTGGGAGCTAGTGGAACACGTCGGGTACTTGGTCCACGGTGAGTGTCCCATCGACATGGAGGCCGATGCAGAGGAAGATACAGGGATGTCTTCCGGCGCGAGTAGAAGGCCAGCTACGCGAGGCTTCCTGGCCTGCATAGATGGTGAGTACCTGACTCTTTGAACGAATAGCCTCGTGTTCACGATCGACGTACAGCCCATTCGCAGGCGACGGAGAAGGCCAAATATGCTCATCACGATGTCAGTGCATACAACCTTCTCATGCACGAAAAGATGGAGGAAATCAGTGGTGAGTTTCGTCCGGTCCGTACGGGGATGTCGTGTGATTGGGAGCTGTCCAAGCGGATTGAAGACGAGGTTGACGAGCAAGATTACAACCCGGAGACAGAGAATGCTACCCAGAAGCGAACGAAGCCGAGGCAACCTGATCGTACTGTGAGTTTCTCACGAATACCGATCTGATGGTGATCACTCATCCTGTCACTTCATAGGGTACTTGGCAGTTTATGTCAGTCCTCTTACTGGACTTCCCTCGGAAAGAGGTCACGATTCCAGATGAGCTCGAGGCATTTTTCAATGTTCTGTTGTTCCATATCGTCCGCTATACCAACAGCAACATTCGCAATGCGAAGGTGTTTATGTCCCAGTACTTCGACGAGTCTATGATGGACTCGTTAGACGCACAATACACCTGTGGCTCCCTCAAGCGCAATGTCATTGAAATGGGTGTCCTCAAGAGAAGGATAGAGCCAATCAAATTCAAGGATCGCAACGGATTGGACCACATTCCGTTAAACAATATCGTCAAACGTCTCTTGAGATTATTCAAAGCGCATTACACGGTGACCTTGCCCGATCTTCTGCTACAGCGGCATCCGGCCGAAGACCAGTGCAACCCCGACGGAATAGATTCGGAGCAGAAGACCTTGAACAGCTCTGCTGCTACGGACGAGAATACGAAGAAGAGGTCAATTGAGGACCTGCTGGTTGCTCGGGTGGTGGCTAAATTCGAGGAAGACCGTGCGAAATACTCGAAGAACTCTCGCAAGCAGGAAAGTCCAGAAAGCTCGGACAACGACTCGGAAGAAGCCTTGGAAAAGGAGAAAGCCGTCGCGGAGAAGTTGAACTCGCAAGAACACGTGTACTCTTTCCTGATTAACGCATATGCCAATGAGAAGTGGCCAGAGCACGACAAGATTGATGACAGAGTTCCGTCCAACAGCTACGCGGACTATCGGGAGAGAGGCCTGAAGTTTCCTCCAGCACCGTCTTCTAGCTCTGGATCAGAGAGCCCTTCGGAAGCCCGTCCAACCAAACGTCCCAGATTGCCAGTGCAAGTGGCCTGTGGCATGGGCCCCGGACAGCCATCGGCATCGTACGCCCGTCGTAGGGGCAAACAGCCGGGGAGGTTGAACGCCGATACCAGGCGGTTCTAAACTCGAGCGTACAGGATATGAGCCGGCTTGTTGATATTGTCATCCCTCTGTCTGGCATTCGATTCGCTCTTGTTTCAGGATGTGCTCCTGCTGAAGATTTCGTATTTACCTTGTCGGCTCGTCGTTGCTTTATGTCGCTGGCGAGATCACATACGTATAACGATGTAGCGATAACTCGGACTAATATTTATATGGAATACATCTATGGCCTGCCTAAGTGGTGAGTAACTGACTCTTTGCACGAATTACGCGTTCACGGACTACGTACAGCTCTTTGGCAGGCCACGGTTCTTATCTGGATAGGTCGACATCCCTCTGTCTGCCATTCGATCCGCTCTTGTTTCAGGATGTGCTCCTGCTGAAGAGTTCGTATTTACCTTGTCGGCTCGTCGTTGCTTTATGTCGCTGGCGAGATCACAGTAACGATGTAGCGATAACTCGGACCAATATCTATATGGAATATATATCTATAGCCTGCGTAGGTGGTGAGTAACTGACTCTTCGCACGAATGACGCGTTCACGGACTACGTACAGCTCTTTGGCAGGTCCCGGAGGAAGGGAAGCCAAATTGGCGCATGCCGATGTCGGTGCAGGGAGTCTTCTCATGCGCAAAGGCGTCGAGTGGATTGACGGTGAGTATCAAACGGCCAGGACAGGGACACCCTACGATTGGGAAACCGCTAAATCGATGGAAAACGTCGGTGATAGCAGGATCAAGCTCAACACGATCGCGAGGTAGCGTCCCCAAACAGAAGACGCCAAGACAGCCCGATCGCCCTGTGAGTCCATCGACTCTTTGGGTTCGAAGCGCGCTCAACGATCGTAGGGCACTTGGCGACTTTCGTCGTCCCTCCTGCCAGATTTTTCCTCAGAGCGTGTGACAATACACGATACCCGACGAGCTCGAGGGCCTTCTTCAACGTGTACCTGTACTACTATCTCGTGCGCTGATACACGAAGCGCTCCATTCGGAATGCGGCCGTCTCCATATCTGACTATTTTGGCCAGCGCACCGTCGGACCCGCCGGAGCAGCGGTGGCAACCCGCAGCAGAACGAGGCGCAGCTGCAGCAGCGTCGTGCACACGGGCGCCATCGGGGAGTTTCAAGCTCCAGAATGCGGACGCGCTCGAATACCCCCATCCGGCGCGCGAACGACGCAGTCGGTCGGGCAACTGCTACCGCGGTTTCGGGCAAACTGCGTGCTCACTTTGGAGGACCTTTCTGACGGAGCGGGATCCGCCGCAGGCCGCTGCCACTGGCGACTATAGGCAAAGATGTGCACCAGAACCATCCCAAAGCGGGCGAAGTGGGGATGGCCGAAGCCCGTCGGCGGCAGAAAAAGCTGGATGGCGCGGTTGATGGAAAGTGCGTGTTGGCTGGCACGGCCGACCACTACTGCAGTCCCACCCAAGTCGAAGCCGAAAGTTTACGACGGGCGTCATCGCTCGTTATCTTCACCGGATTTCGTCGTGCCCGCTCTGAAGCGGCGTCGATGTCCTTCATCGTCTCAGATTGACCAGGTCGTGTTCATGTGCCCCCGTGCCCGTGCTGACCAGCAGCTCGTATTTATCGCGCCGGCGCGGACCAGTATGTATACTAGTATAAGGAATGATATCTACGAACAAGAGTACATGACGCGGCGCGGACCAGTATGTATACTAGTATAAGGAATGATATCTACGAACAAGAGTACATGACGCGGCGTGAGCGAATGCGCACAGCGGCACAGAGGTCCGGCAACACGTTCCCGGAGAACGCGAAGACGAGCGGCGGCCTCACCTGTCGATGTCTAACAGCGCTCTCCTGGGCACGCGTTGGCCGGGTGCTAGCCCCACCGCGCCGCCCGTCGCCCGTCGCCCGTCGCCTACCACGCCGAGCGGTCGTGTCCCGTCGCTGTAAAGCCGCGAGCCGCGAGCCGAAAACGCTCTTCTGGGGCGTCGATGTCGTACACGGGCAGAGAGCCAGAGAGATCTCCAATGCCGACGCGGACGCGGACGCCGCGGGTAGATTTAGGTTGTGGCGCGTTTTGTCCGAACGTATTTCCGTCTTCGCCGTTTCTTGCTCTTCGGCAGTTGGGCGCGCGCGCGCGCGCGGAAGGCGGGCTTGGGAGATAGTACTCATAGACTCATCCGGAACCATGACCCTTGAAGACCAGAGAACGCGTTGGCCGGAGAAGAGGACGCGTTGGCCACGCGACACGCGCCGCAAGACAGCACGTCCAAATCCCACCTCACGCGCCACGCAAAGCCAGAGTCCGAATCTGAGAGAGAGAGCGTGAGAAAAGACGGACCCCGCGGGCAACACGGGCACCGTGATGACACGACCCGGCCAGCCCGCGACGCAATACAACGCGGGATCGAACGACGAAGGTGCCACGAGAACGCGGAGGACCGGAGGCTCAGACAGCGTGCGCTCGCAACGGTCCCGGTGACGATGCCGAGCGGGGTGTGGCGGCCCGTACGACGCGGGGCGCACGGGCCCGGTTGCCGATTGACTGGGCAGCAGGGGCGGCGGCGGCGAGTACACCACATGGGATGGAACGACGCTCGCTGCGGAGGACGAGGACGAGGACGGGGCAGAGCGGCGACGCGAACAAGAGCGGACACGGCGCCGCTCGCAACGGTCAAAGTACGGTGTTGGGCGCACGAACTCTCCGTTCGCGAGGGACCTTGGAGGCCGGGGGGTAAAGCTTTAAAGCCCAAGGGGGACGTTAGAGCCTGATGGATGGACGGCGGTAACATGCGAAGAGCGGGGGCATCGTCGACGGGCTGCGCGCGCGCTAACGAGCCTTCGGTCGACCGCGAGGAAGAAAAGGAAAGGGGACGGCGCATGGGGACGGCGTGCAGGTGCGCCACTCTGACGTCCTATCCGGTCCCGCCCCGCCAACCGCCGCCTCTCCAAAGCCACAGGACGGCGACCTATATCGGATTTACGGCATTACATCCACGAACCCGACCTGCACTTTCCTTAGCCGGCGACACCGACGACTCGACATCCTATTTCGCGAATGGCGAGAGGGCGGCGCGGCGCCAACGCTGAATATGCGGAGATGTCACGCCTGGAGGGGGGGTCGGTTGGACTCACCTGCGGGCGGTACCAGAGCTGTCGAAGCGCGGCACTCGCTCCGCGCCCTCCGCTCTAACGAAGGATGCAGATCGGAAGGCGGCGATATCGAGAGTAGTGCGTACCATAAAAAGCGGCCAACAGTACGAGGGTGCGGGATCGGGTAGGGGCGTGCAGGCGCAGGGATGGGCATGGGCAGACGGCCGTTGTGTGCGCTGTCCGGGTGCGCGTCCGGGTAGGGCCTCGCGTGTGCGGGCTTTGACTTCTTTGGCAAGGATGCCACCGGGATGCGACGCGAGGGGAGTCGCTCGGGATTCTTGCAGCAAAGCATGTGTTGACCTGCCAAGCTGGTCGAGTTCAGCTCTGTATGTAGGTGCTGTTCGCGGTACGCTGGTGCGGGAGAGTCGGGGCGCGATGTGCGTGAGCGACGCGCGAGGGGCGAGTTTGACAGCAGGTAGTCTGAGCGTGATCGGCTGGTGGGCAGGCCTGACAGGATGAGGTCGTGCATTGCTCGGTGGGTGCTCGTCGGAGTGAGTTGTGCGGGTATCGGACGAGGAAGGACGCCTCTGAGTGAGCATCAAGTGCGTATAGGTCGGTGCATGATGTCGTCATTGCCATCTTCGTCCTCCGTTGCATTAGACACGATGGCCGGCATGACGTCACTCGTCATCCCGCGGACAGTGACGTAGGCAGCGACCGGTCACCACCATGCCCCGCCCTCCGTCTGACGAAGGTCGGTATAGGAGGAGACAGCGAATGAGGGAGACACGAGCGAACCCTTTGTATGGCACCGCTGTGCCGCAGATCAGCGCCTCACACATCAATATTTCAATACTCATTGACTACCGACTAGGTACGACCGATCCTATTTCCAAGAACGCGTCCCCCATTACACGCTCTATCTCAGAGAGCAAATTACTACCGTAACTCCAACGTCTGCGCAACGAGCATACGGCGCACCGAATCGGACGCTCGGTAGCACGTACCTCCTGTGCGCTGGGTCATGTACAATAACGCAGTATATATCCACCAGCTGGGAAACGCAAAGGGCGAACTGCCCGCCCGCGTCGCATCGCACTGTCGCGACGCCGAGGGCGGATGCATCGGTGAGCGATCGAGGCGATCGAGATCGTTCACCGGGTGGGATCGAGTGCGTGCCCACTCCTTTGAACCCATCTATGTAGCCTGCTGCAGGCGCGAGTGCGTCAGTATTAAATAAGGCCTTGGAGGGCCCATGGCCTCCGAGACCCAAGTGGAGCTGACGTCCACGCCGACCGCGAGCTTCGGAGGCGCAGGAGAGAGAACGGGCGCCTCAAGAGAGCCGAGATCTCCGAGTCGTCCAACCCAGTGCATTACGACTTTGGGATGACCAGCCCGTGTCGCGGTGGGCGATTGCCAGCGGGTGAGGATCCGTCACTCGGAGAAGAGAAGGGCGCGCGGAGAGCGGGCGACGGACGTGGACCGGGCTCGCGGGGGCCGTACTATCGTGTGCGTCCACGGGAAACAAATAAGCCAACTGAAGCCGGGGCTGGCAGGCAGGCCATAAGCGCGGCACAGCTCACGGGTTGTAACATCGGGAGGAGAGGACGGCGAGATAGTGGGACGCGCGCGGGCGGGCCGCTGGACTTGCTTCGAGGAGTCTGTTCCAGAACTCTGCCAAGTAGCCCCCCGGTGACGCGACGCCACGCCACCGTGCACGGCTACCGGATTGGGGTGACGCATACGCGTTCACCAATCGGCGTTGAGCGACGGACGCGGAGGCGGCGCGGTTGCTTCGGACGGACACAACGTCGCCGCGAATGGCAGAGAGACGCCACCTTGAAAAGGTGCGGTTCCAGCTGGCACCAGCGGCCTGGGCATGGAGAATGGCCAGAGCGGAGGCGGTCTAATCGGCTGCCATCCCCCCACTGAACATTTGCGACTGGAGAGGCGTGCCTCTGGCGCTGCGCAACGGCCGCGCGCGGACGTCCGACGCCGGGGGCGAGGAAAAGGCGGTCGATGCTCGTTAATGCCACAGTCGCGGCTGTCAACCAGAGAACCGGGCCCACAGGAGGCGACGGCGACGTCACCTGGTATGATATCTCCGCAGAGGAATAACGAAAAGGAACACAAGGAAATGTGCAAGTATATGGCCCGTCACACCGCGAAATGCTCACTCTCCGCCAGCACGGCTCTCATCTCCGAGTCGTCTTCGCCGAGGGTCATCCGACGCGTCGACGTCGGCGACCAGCACATCGGTCTCGTCCCCTAGCTCTGCTGTACCCGCCGATCTCGTACACGCCTGCGTCCTCTGCATCCCGCCGTAGCCGGAAGCGCTTCCCGCGCAGCACCTCTGGATCGCCGGAGGACCCGAGCGCGCGCGCGGTGAGCGTCCTCGCTCCACTGGACGGCTTGGCCGTGGTAGAGACGGGCGCCCCGTGGGTGACCGGCAGGGGGCGCAGGGCACGACGGCGGGAACGCAGCACTCACCGCCTCGCCCGGTATATCTCGCGCAGATCTGGAGGATGACCGGCAGCGGCTGCGCGCATATCTCGAACGCGCAGACGCACACGCTCCGTGCATGATCTTAAACTCGCCTGGAGCGCGCGCGCGCGTCGCGTATCTCGGCCACTCACGCGTCAACATCCGTGCGCGCCGCAGGAGTCGCGAGTACGCGAGGCATGTACTCCGCGACGTGCTCCGCGCCCGGCCCCCACCGCTCGCCGACCAAGCGCGCTACGCCTGCTGGATTACCCGCAGGCAACGTCCCAGCCGGAGCACTTTGGTCTGGTTCCTCCCCCGTCGCAGTCGCGCGGTTTCGTCGACTGAAAGGGACCGCAAATGGGAGTCCCCCCCCCTTTTTTTTTTGCAGGTCTTCGCGGGCGTGGCGAGCACGGCTAGGATGGCCAGTGGCCAGGAGAGCGAGGCCAACAGGTTGTGCTGCAATTTGTCAACGCCGGAAGACGTTGTTTGGCTCTATCTGGGATACCAAAGGGATGGTCACCTCCGCTCCCATTCTGTGAAGCGCGACCCGCGAGCCGACCAGGGCCAAGTTATCGAACGGCTGCGGTCGATTTGAAGGCCCGGCCACGTTCTGCAGCTCAACGTGACGGCGTACGGCGTCGATCGAGGACTTTTTGAAGGCGGTTCAGGACGCGCAGGGGGGGAGGGTTGGCCGCCTACCACATCCGAGACCCTGGGAAGCCCCGGAGAAGAATACGAATAGGCCGGTTCGTGCGCTCGAGGCGCGCCGACCGCTGCTACATGACTCGCATAGCCGCGCACAGGAAGGAGAAGCCGCGCGGGCTCGCAGGACTGCGTGTGCGTCCCGGCGCGCGGCGTCCGGCTCTGGGTCATGCAATGGTCGGTGACGGTCGTTCTCCGTCCGACGAGAGTCGGTAGGTCGCTCGGGCGAGGGAGACGAGATGGGTCGGCTGAGATGGATATCTAGGACGTGCACAGCAAAACCCGTGCCGTCCTCGGGTCGTCGACGTGAACAGACACAGACTCCATATCGCAGCGTCCGCGCGCGCGTACCCCACGCAGGAGACGCGGTGGAGAATCAAACGCGAAGCACACTGTACCCTTCCCCGTCCCGCCATCCATGTGCCAACGCGGTGCAGTGCGGCGCGGCGCGGCTCATATTCGTGTTCGCGTTTCGCGTCTGGTCCTGCGTGCACGATCGCGAGAATCGACTTTTGCTTTTGGCCATTAGATTCCATTTTGAAGAAGGCGTCGCCCCTTACACAGTCTGTCCCACAGAGGGCCATGCTGGGTACGCGACTCCGAGGGCACGCTTCCGTCGGCGTGATCCTCCCGACGCGCTGACCCCGCACCCCGAGCACACGCACTCGGACGCTCGCTCGGTAGCACCGTCACGATGGGGAGATGCGCGCCGTGTACCATCGAGTCGCCACCACCTGGAGATACACGAGCACGGGTGCACGCGCATGCGCACCGCATGGAGGGCCTGGTGTGAACCGAAATGTAGCCCACACGCTGCGGAACGCGGCCGGTGCTGCACAGGGTATGATATGCAAGCGCATGTTGTTGTTGTCGCCGCAGCAGCACGTACGTGCGCACGCGTCTGCTCGTCCGTGCATGCCTGCCAAGGCGCGCCGACGCAAACGAAGACTGGTGCTCGTCGGCGCGCGGGCCTGCAACGGGAGCATCGGCGGAGCGATCGAGGCGATCGAGCGCGAGCGCTCCTGCACCTCGCCTTCGTACCAAGAGCGAGTGCGTGCGAAGCGGTGCGGACGTCTGCAGAAGGGTGTGTTCGTGGAAGTTATATCGGGAGCCGAGGAGCCCAGGTACTCTGAAGAACAACAAAACGACGACTCCCGTCGCCGTCTGCGTGCACCCGTTCATCCGCCCCTCCGGGTGGACCTTGACCCCTCGACGACGCCCTCGTGCGTCTGGCTGACGACGATTTGTTTGCCTAGGAGAGCGCGCACGTGCACCTGGAGTGGGCTTTCCTTGAAGTCCCTAGCGGGAGCAGGTTCATACACCAGGGCGTGCCCTGGAGGAGTCGACTTGTACCGATGCGGGAAGACGAGACGAGGGGATGCCAGCGCAGATACTGGAACAGCCCAGAGTCATGCATATCTGCGCACCCTCGTCGACCGCGCCGGTTCGTCCGCAATGATATACAGCTTCCGTATCCGAGCGGGAATGGCGGTGGTGATGTCTTGGGATTGAGGAGGGTCATGTCGCGCATGTAGCCTAGCCTGGGAGTGTAAGGCTTTGAGGCTTCGCAGCTCTCGATGTCGCGTACCAGCGAATAGAGTTGGACTCGGATATAGACGGCCCTCTGCTCATGCACACTCCGGATCCCATCGGATGGGAGCACGCGGAAGCACTACGTTGTGTGATGTGTTGGACTTTTGCAGGGGATCATGATAGATTAAGCGATACGACCGATAGACATCAGCGCAGCGACGAAAACGGGACGTAGCACGTAGTCTTCCAAAGGCAGTTGTAGATACTCTGCTTCAAACTTCGTGACTCAGGATATCCGGACGTACGTACGTGGTCACACAGATAGTGTGCACCCCACTTGTGTTCTTCACCCAGAAACCTTGCCATCAGCTCCCTCTGCCAGGAGCATCGTTGCAAGCATACCCCAGCGCAAAGATCTTCACTCTGCCAAGTCAAGTTCTTTATAACCTAACAAAATTGAGGGTGCCATAATACATACTATACGTACAACACTCAAATAACGATGGTGATACATTGAACAGTGACATAGAGGAAACGTGATCGTTCATGATATACCAAACATTCGAAAGACAAGCCGCGAAAGAACGCCGTGAAAAATCATACACAACGCACGATGCGGCATAATCGCAGCTCCTAGTCGAGCGACGGCACCGGTGAGCCACCCCTCGCAGCTATGATGCTGGAGCCGCCCACAGAGGTACGGAGGCGCTTCGTCGGGGACTCGTCACCATTCCCACCTTGCGACGGCTGCTCCATCTCTGGAGATGGGGAGGACGACTTGCGTTTCCCAAGTAGGATTAGGTTGGCCGCCTGCCGCGCCGATGAGGATGAGGAAATTTCGGGAATGCCATCATCGTCACACTGCACGGTCTCAGGCGTGCTGGTGCGCGTACCATAGGCATTCGAGGTGACTAAGTTGCGATTGGAATCGTTGCCTGCGCCGGCTGCAGACGTTTCGCCGAGATCTTTATAGTCCTCGTGGGGTTGTAACATAGATTCGTAGGCTCCCCAGATGGTGGCAGGCGTGCTGTTGCGTGTGCCCGGGGCACTTGGGGTTGCCGAATCGGGAATGGAGGTATTGTCTATGTCGTCTGCATACACGTCGCCATAACTTTCAGGGTGCCGTTGGCTTTGCAGTATGTCACAGACTTGCTCCAATTTGACTCGGTAGTCGTGCACGGTAGATGTGGCCTGTAGATTCGCCTCATCACGGAGGGTTGACTGAGAACCACCTGGGGATATAGCCTGCCCGCCGATTTCCTCATTAATTTCAGGAAGGAGAGGCTCATCATTGTCATCCTCTTCGACAAATTCAGTGAGCCATGGGTGATGCCGCGCTTCGGCGACAGTGTACCGCTCATTGTAATCCTTCTGTACCATGCACTCGACAAAGTCCCCCGCTGCGTAGGCTAGGTGAGTGTCCCTTGTGAATGATCGCAGAGAACAAACCTTGATTGCTCAATTTGGGTTCCTGGTTATTCCACGAATGCCATTCGACTTCTCGAGTGGTTACGTGTTCCTTTGTTTCCATGTCCGGGTCTTCAGACCTTTTAAAAGGGAGCGACCCAGTCAACCTGCACGTCGGAGCGCGCATCAGCAGAGCATCTCAAACTACGCGGAAAACCTCAACACACATCTGGAAGACTATGACACCAATACAGAAGCTGTCAACACGGTTGTCGTACCCTTTTTTGTTGTCCGCAAACAACTCGGGAGCATAGTAAGCCGGCGTGCCGCACATACTCTAGTAAGCGCACCCGGCAAACGCGAGCCTCACAATATTAGGTATGTCTCTTGTTGGCGGCATGGAGCGGTGCTAACCTTCAGCAACTCTTTCGAATTTACTGCCTTAGCTAAGCCGAAATCGGCGATCTTGACCTTGGGCGGCTCGTCGTTCGTGAGCAGAATATTGGCTGGTTTTAGGTCTCGGTGGGTGATCCCAAGCTCGTGGAAATGCTGGTGAAAACTCAACTTTTCCATAAACACGGATGGAAAATTGGATGGCACGCACAGCAACACCATCGCAGATCTGACATGTAAGGTGTTGCGCTTCACCCTCAACTAGAGAATATCGGAAGTAAGAGAGAATCTGTGAACCAAACGTACAGGGTGCTCACATAATGCCCCGCCATCGAGGTGCGCTGCGAGATCGCCACCCTCAACGAGCTCCATTACGATATCTGGAGTTAATGGGTTAATTAGCCTCATTGAGAGAAACGATAACAAATCGCACGTACAGGGTTGCCAGGTCTTGCCCTCTCCACTCTCAAAAACCTCCCTGATTTGGCAAATATTCTCGTGTTCAAGTTGGGATAGGATGCTAATTTCCCTCTCGTAGCTTTCCCGATCTACTTTTCCGGCCTTCAAAATCTTGACGGCGTATATCCCATCAGTCTTGTGGACTGCATACACGACTGTCGAGAATGCGCCCCAACCCAACCGTTTACCAAGTCGGTAAAAGTTGCGGATGCTCGGTTTCCAATCGGCAAGATGATGATACACGTATCCTATACGAACTGTGAGAAACGCCGCACACATACAAACTACATGGTTACAACGTACTTGATTCGTTCATACGCGGTTTCTTACCGTTTTTGGTTCCCAAGACTATGTCGTCCCCATCGTCCAATACGACACCTTCGCTTGGAACTTCTCCGTCCTTGGCCTGAACATAGCAAATGACTCAGAGCAGCACTTTGACATCTCGTGCACGTGGGACGTACAAAAGTGCCGTTGGGAGAAAAATTGTAGATAGTAACTATAGAATCTTGGCCATCCTTCCCGTTCCAATCGATGGAGCAGTGACATTTACCTACACACCATGATGCCTTAATCCCACAAAATCAAGAACATAAACATGCACTGCCACTCACCAACAAGAGGATTGTCCTTACTAAGAACAACGTCGTTGGATCTTGAGCGCCCAAGTGTATAGGAGATGTTTTCACGCTGGAATTCGATCCTCTTGGAGCCATTGTATGGGTAGAGGCAACCCCAGAGGTGCGCAAGATCCTCGGATTCTTGGGATGACTGTGAGCTCGCCAGCTGTGTGCTCTGCGTGTCCTGGCTACTACTAGTAGCATATTCGGACGTCGGGTCGACCACGTCCTGACTGTCTTCCAGCGCATCGTCCGACGCCGGGTCTGACATGTTTCTCGCGTCGACCGTCGAGGGTGTGGCGGGCAGTGAGTGTATTCGATCGAATCGATCGCCTCCGCCTACCACGTGCTTGCAATAGTCTGCAAGATACTGTGATCCCTCAAGATACGGACAACCCTTGTAGCTGACGGGGGGGAAGTGAAACGATATAATATGTTGCTCTGATTCACGCTGTATCCACACAGTCGAGGTACGTATGTTATGGTTCGATTTTACCACTCAGTACCATGGGACAAGTCTCATCTCGGAAATGCAAGGAAATTACCTGGCTGCAATGAGACCGTTCGCAGTCCGTGACGTTTCATCGCCTGGGACCAGAGGGTCTAGCCATAGGCTCCTACACAGAACTAAAGTCAGAGCCGTCATGCATATCTTCGTCCGCATCATTATTGTCCGCATCGTTTCGGTGCGCGTCATCTTCGTCCGTATGCTCACCCGAATCCTGTAGAATGGACGGGTCTCGAGGCATATTTCTCCAATCGATGCTCGGTTCTGTTCATGCGTCCACGTCGAGATCGTCCGCCACTGATTCTGAATCCTGAGGGATAGGTTAGTCACCTCCGGTATACACCCAGCCGACGTTATTAAGATGTGGAGGCATAATTGCGTACCTGCTGCTCCGTTTAGTTTCCGCGTCCGCGTCCACGTCCACATCGAAAATCGCTCGGCAGCTTTGTCGATCTTGTGCGGATGCATTCGCAGCAATGCTCGGCAAGTCGATCCAACCCAAAGACGCGTTGTTGAATGTCTAGAACGGCTCTATGTGCCGCACTGCTTCCTGCGTCGTTTTGCTCCTGCGTGTATCGGCGCGCACAAGGATCCAAAGGCATCTATCTCTCGCAACTCGACAGCCCTGTACACCACCCGAAGACGTAGATAGAGTAACGAGGATGGACGCGAGGATGGACGCGAGGTCCACTAGTTTCCTCTCGGTTCGCCCCCTCCAAGTCGGATTGAGGCACCTGCGGGGCATCGATGTCGGGCTGCATAGTCTGAGCAACCTGTGTCCTATCTTTTTTCCATGCCTTCCTCTCTGCCGCGATGGCGGCGTTTTGTACGCAGAGCTCCATGACGAGCGAGATGTACCGCCGCCCGTCCGGCACAGCGAAACATCTCGGGAACGCTCGATGGTCGACAGCACAGGGCTCGCGTGCACCAACCGGCGCTCGCCGCCTGACCTGGACAAAGAGGAACGCCATACACCGCAGGTATTCGCCCAGCACCCCCACCGTGCAGACGCCGCGCACGTCGGTCAGCACACCAAAGTGGGTGAAACGCACCTGCGCGCGAACGCTGCACAGAAGGGCCTCCCGAGCTCTGAGTCCAGCGGTATGTTGTCGGGGCGAGCGTTGAGGATCTGGTCGGCGCGTCCCGTGGTGAATAGCGCCTGGATGAAGTCGATGAGGAGACAACCCTGGCTGTAGCGCACGGGCTCCTTGATCGGTATGACTCCGAGCGCAGCGTCGTACGCCAGAACAAGGGATAAAGCCCCCCGCGCACGCTCGTCCTCGAGAGGCCACCTTGCTCAGCGAGGTTGCACAGGACCTTGCGAAGAGACCGGTCTTGATCCTGATTAGCCCAGTGTTGTTCCTGCCCCGCGACCTCCACTAGTAACGGCTCGGAGGGGTAGCCAGATGTAACACACTCACGATCCTGCCGGACAGAATACCGGTACCTAGTAGAGTCCAGAACCTGTAACTACATGAGCACACGCAGAACACATGGGAAAGAAGGACCTACAGAGGGCGCCCGAACTGCGCAAGGAAGTGAAGCGACGTGATGTCCTGGAGTGTCAGCGTGGCCGCGCGAAGAGGGAACGCGGGCGAGCAGTCGAAAGGCGTCTCCGTAATCGGGGCCTGCCGGAACGACCCAGCAATGAATGGCCCGCTCACAGGGGGCAATGGCGCGATGTCCGCGTCCGTCGAAAGAAAGACCGTGAGCAGAGCGGAGACTGAGATACGGGCGAGGCACGTGCAGAAGGGGTGAAGGTGTATTCCGCTGTTGAGGTGCCTTGCTTTGAAAAGAGTGTCGTCTGCCCCGTCGAAGTAAAACACGACCTTTACGTCGTTCCGGCCTATACTGGACAGATCGATGACCTTGCCATCGATCGCTTCGATGAGCGCGTCGCGCGCCTGAATTGCTAGAGAGGCTGTGTCAAGAATTGCGCGCGAGAATTCCTGGTAGACCTTCAGTACGTGCTCCATACACGCCAGTGATCTTGAGATACTTACGGATGCTCTGCATCTCTCGGTGACTTCGCTGTACAAACTACCAGAGGTGCGGGCTCGATCCTCTGTGAGATATGTATGCCACGCAGACACGAGTGCAGCATAGGTGGGAAATCCGTCTGGAAGGAGTTCCAGCCGCCTTGCACATCGCTAAAAAACATTTATGAGGAAATAGAAGTCGCCGGACTGGGATATACCTGGTGCCCTACGCAAGTGGTAGGCCACATCTGTGTCTCGGAGAGGAAACGTGTCTAGATCTGTTGCCGGTATTCAATTAGAAACTTTACTTTTATGGGACGTTAACGCTCCAGCATACCGTCATTGCCAATGTTGAATGGAATGGTGAAGACGAGCTTTGCTTGCTCGTCGACCATGCGGGACCTTCCAGTGCCCGAGCTTTGGATGATGGAAACGTCAAACGTCACACTGTGACGTTTCCATCATCCAAAGTTCGCATGCCCGCCTCGTCGATCCATTATATTTATGTTGTAGTACAGAAACCTGTGCCAGTAGTCGCAGCTGTACGGCGTCTCCCAGGCAGCTTGGAGCACTATATGGCCTATGTCAGACGGTGCGCTGTCGAGCAGGAGTATTCTCACCATGAGGGTCCGTGAGACGACCCTTCATACTTTCGTCAGAAACGACGTGTTGCTCTTCTTCACGGATTACTTGTGGACGGGTGTTAGAATGTGTAAGCTCACTCGAGCAACGAATGTTAAGGGCGTACGTGCGAGTTCTTGCTCACCCTGTAAGGATTACTAGTAATCCTTACAGGGTAAGATCGATTGCTTGTCTGACGAGTCTTGGACAAGGCCACGGCGTGCGGAGTGGACACGCGAGCGCTCGCCGACTCCGGTATACGTAACGTCATGAAATTTGCTACGCCTGTTGAAAGCGCTGTAAATCGACTGCTATTCTCTATTGCAGAACACAGAAAGGGGCGTACACACAGCGTGCAACAAACGGACGGGTACAGTCACTAGTACTCGCAACAACACGACTAGAGGACTCCTAGCTGACAGTCGAGGCTCTAATTTTTAAGTACGGATCCAGACTGTAGCAGCGACGCGACGACGCGGGTGGTAAGAGTCTCTAGGGACATGGAAATTCAAACTGTCCAGTCTTGAGCGCACCAAACGGAACCGGAAGAAAAACACAAACCAACAAGAAATTTAAAGAACAGATAAGATATCTTAGAAAGAAGAACGCGAGCAGGGAGAGGGTGCGCGATCCAGCGGGCGCCACACCAGCAGACTCAGAAAACGCACGATGGATAGCAAAGCGGAATAAATAAGGGGGAGGAAGGCAGCAAGCACCCCAGGCGACAAGGTCCGTCCTCCGCTGGTCCCTGTCCTCCGCTGCAGGCGACAGTGCCGAACGGAGGACGCGGCGATGCCGGGGAAAATAATTTACTCATTGGCGACCTGGCAAACACGCGGATCAGTCGTGCATATAACCGCACAAGCGCAGCTGTACTTACCTTCAGCACCCGTCTACCACCATTGTACCCGTAGTCTTCCTCGTCGCGGATGCTCATGCGGTTCGCGTCTTCCTGATGCCACGGAATACCTGGCACATCGCGCTCACCGCTCTCGGCCGAGGTATCAGGCGTTGTCGAATTACCAGAAAGGGGACGCTGCTCCGGAGACGTCGAACCCCCGAACGGGTTAGGCAGCGGCGACTGTGCGGTATACCCCTCGTACGGATCCTCCATGGCGACCAGGTGCGCATCAGACTGGGGCTGCTGAAGATTCGACTGAGCAGAATACCCGTATTGATTTCCAGGCATAGACGTATAGTTCGCGGGGTAGGCGCCGTGGTCAGACGAGCTCGCACCCGTCCCGGCCAACGCTGTTCCGCCGAGCATCGCAGCGCCCATGCTGCGATTCCGCGCGAGGTTCGCATTCGTCTGCGACAGGCCGCGGACGAGTTCTTCTGTCCCGGGCGCCCCAGCAAGGCCAGCGGCCTCGAGAAGACCGTAACCACTGCCGGTCGGGCCGTACGGGCCTTGCGTGTCCGCGAACGTATTCGGAGCCTGCATAGCTACCGGCGGAGGCGCGGCGAACGCGTTGTACGGCGTCGTCTGCTTCTGCCCCATGCTGCGTACACGATTGACGCCCGCAGCGCCGACGCCAGCAGCGCCTGCAGAGTGCACACTGGCAGCCGCAGCAGCGCCGACGCCAGCAGCACCCGCGGCGACCAGGGGACCGGCGTACGGGTCGAACGGCGGGAGCTCGCTCATGCTGTAGTTCTCACCGTGTCCCATGGGCTGCTGCGCGTACGTGCCGTGGCTGGCGTCCGAGTAGCCACTCTGGGCACCAAAGTCCCGGCGGTCCTCAGGGTAGCCGTAGTCGTCGTCCGTGAAGTCTGGGACGTGTGCACCGGCGGCGGCTTCTGCGGCGGCGAGAGCGACATCGTGGTCGAACTTCTTGGCGCGCTGGCGGCGGATCGCGGTAGTGACGAGGGCGACTACGATCGCAGCTACGACCAGGCCGACAACGGTGAACACCCCAGCGACGGCTCCTTTGTTATGGAAGAACCTAGAGGGAGTGAGTGGTCAACATCGCGGGCAGCGTTAGACAGTCGCCATGTGACACGTCTGGTCTCATGACCTGAATAGAAGAACCAAAAAAGGGAGGTACTCACCCCTTGCTGGCGACGGCGTTGTTAGCGACATCGGTAGCCGCAGGGCCGCCAACGGTGCTGGTCAAAGTTACGACGACACCTCCTGAAGTGCTCAACCTCAGGGAGGTGCTGTAGGACGGAGTGGACGAGGTGCTGCTTAAACTGGTCAGGGAGCTAGTCGGCACCGATGTCGAGCCCGTCGAAGATAAACTTGAGGAAGAAGAGTTAGAGGTAGGGCTAGACGAAGAAGTGCTGGCAGAGCTGCTGGACAACGAGGATGAGGACGCGGATGCGGATGAGGACGATGATTGAGCAGATGATGAGCTGGAAGGGGGTGGAGAAGAGGATGACGATGAGGACGACGAGGACTGAGGAGTAGAAGAAGATAAGGAGCTTGAAGGGCTGGAACTGGAGGAAGATGAAGAGGATTGGCTCGTCGGGGTAGGAGTAGATATAGGGAAGGGGCTATGAGATATCAGTTAATGAGGTGAGTTATAGCGTTCTACGCAGTGAAACTTACGTGAAAGGGAGGCTGATCGATGAGGTTGGGAGAGCTGGTCAACGCAGGCACAACGGTGAGTAAAAAACGATAGTCGATGCGCGGGGACGTACACATGGCGGATGATCAACGAGAAAACGACAAGCAGTTAGCGTAAAGAGCGTGGAATCGTCCTGAGAGAACGAATTGGTTTGGGAGCACTTCCAGCGTCGACGACGACGAGAGTGATGATGTTGGGGCCGACCGCGACGGCGAGGAGAGGACGAAGGAGGGCAGCGACGGGCGAACGGTCGGGAAGATGGACGACGAGCTCAAAGCCGGGCTCAGCGACGGAGATCACTCAAACGATCATTACCGCACAGTATTACGTAATCACAACACTTTTTCTTTGTGCACCTGATCACAATACACGATTACTCCGAGACAAACCCCGAAACAACAGCGACGCTCTCCACGCTCTCTGCGCGCATACAATCACTGCGACTGCCTCCTCCGCTTCGTTGACCTCCCCTCGTCCTCGCTGTCGCCGCTGTCCTCTGGCACGTCCCTCGCAGCCTTCAGGCCCTTCATCTTCCGCGTCTGCAGCTTCCCCAGGTCCTGCTTCGCGACGTGTATCCTGCCCCGCAGGTCCCCCATCTCGTCCACCTCCATGTTCTTCCGCTTCTTTCCCAGCCCCTTCTCCACGTCCTGCTTCCGCATCTTCGGCCGCTTCAAAGCCTGCTTCATCAGCTCCGGGTCCGCCTCCGTGTGTCGCCGCAGCGTGAGGTCCAGCGACGGCCCCATGGCCGCCAGCTCCACGCGCGGTATCCGCGTGCCGGACGCCAGCAGCCGAGTCGTGTACACGCGCACATGTACTTTTGGTAGTAACGAGTCTTGCGCCTTTGACGACGCCGATGGATCTGTCGCCGTAGTCGAGTTTAGCGAGGCGGGCGTGGGCGCGAGCGACACGCTGATAACGTGCTCCAGCCCCGTGAGGCATATCGAGTCGATGACCTCGCCGTTGAAAAAGTCCATGAGAAGCGACTTGAGCTGAATAAACCGCGGATGCGTATCGAACAGCTCCGACGCAAAGTGCATTAGTGGTTTGTGCCCCGGGGTCGCTTTTGGTGTCTACTAGCATGTCAGATCATGTAAAAGGTTGAACCAGATGAGATAAAGACCCACCTTGAACTCAGCCATGCCGACCCAGTTGTCTACACCCACCTCACACATATCGAGCACGCGCCCGTCAAACATGCGCACGAACGTGAGCCCATCCGGCCGCTTTTTCGTGCTCTGGCCCACCACAAACAGGCTCGCGTCGTTCTTCTGCGCCCAGAATTCGAGCGAGGAAGCGTCCTCGAAAGGCCGGACAGTATTCTTTTTCGAGAACGAGACGGCGTTCGGTCGCTTGAGCGACATCTATTGCATAGTCGTTCGGTACGGTCAGAAATTTGTCGGAACGGACAGGGCGAGAGCGTACTAGTTCCTTCATAGCTGCGCTGACTTTTTCTCCCGTATGTGTGCCCCGCACGAAGATAGCAATGCGCGGGTCCTCCACTTCCTTGGGCTCGCGTGCCTGCATCGCACGCTTCGACCGCGCATTTCTGGGTTTTCTGCATAAAAAATCAGCGGTGCAAAAGACTTTATCGTCGAATGAAACATACACTGTCCGCAACATGGCGAGTACTTATGCAAGCTGGGGATGGAAGAGCGGAGAAAATCTAGAAGTACGTAAGCAAGCACCGAAGTGCATAGGCGCCGAAGTGGACATCTGCATGAACGTCATTCGAATGCAGTTCGTGTCACGATACTGCAGAGTCTTATCGACAACACCACTGCCTCGCCGACTGTTTTCCACCCAGAGAGCGACTGTCTCAAAGCCATCGTCGCGGCCGCGAAACCGCTCCAAGACCAAGAGCGTCCACAAATCCTATCGAAGGAAAACCATGAAAGTGAGTAAGGGTGGACGCACACGCGCAGCTCATTTCACCCAACGTTCACATGCAGATCGCAATCGAGGGCTGCTGCCACGGCGAGCTCGACGCGATATACGCGCAAATCGGCGCACTAGAGCAGCGGAACAAGTACAAAGTCGACCTGCTCCTCATATGCGGCGACTTCCAGGCGGTCCGCAACCACCGCGACCTCCAGTGCATGGCCGTTCCAGACAAGTACCGCCAGCTCGGCGGCTTCTACAAGTAGGTGGGCGCCGTCGTTTTGCTGATGCGGTGGTTATCCTGATGCATGGGTGTAGGTATTATACTGGCGAGAAGGCCGCACCGGTGTTGACCATCGTCATTGGGGGAAACCACGAGGCGTCGAATTACCTCTGGGAGCTGTGAGTGCCATCTCATGGTTCTTTCATACTCTGCCATGTACGCTTCCAAACGTGTTTATGGCACAGAGCGGCAGTGTTGGAATTAGTTGACGAGTATTCGTGTGGAAACTAATTTATTTATCTCAGGTATCACGGCGGTTGGCTTGCGCCAAATATCTACTTTCTCGGCCACGCCGGATGCGTCCAAGTCAACGGAGTCCGTATAGCGGGCGCATCGGGTATATTTAAGCCTCAAGATTTCCGACAGGGTGGGTTTCTTGCTGTGACAAAGTATTCAAATAGACAGACAGCTAAGACTGTACTACGACACTTCAGGCCACTGGGAGCGCGTACCCTACAACCACGGCTCGATGCGCAGCATCTACCACATTCGCGAGTTCAACGTCCGCAAGTTATCACTCGTGCGTCTCATGCGCCTACCGCGCTTTCCGAGTGCTGAACCTCACTTATGCTGCAGCTGTCCTCCCCGACCATCTTTCTCTCACACGACTGGCCGCAGTCCATCGAGCATCATGGGAACCTCCCCGAGCTCCTCCGGCGCAAGCCGTACTTCCGCGAGGACATCAAGAAGGGGGCGCTCGGCTCTCCGCCCATGATGGGCCTCCTGCACACGCTGCAGCCCGAATGGTGGTTCGCCGCGCACCTACATTGTCGGTTCGAGGCGCGCGTCGTGCACGAAACGGCGAGCGGAGCGAGTATAGGGACGTCTGCTGTAGATAAGAACCCCGATGAAATTGCCATCGAGGACGACGATGACGATGACGAGAAGGCCGGAACGACGGAAGCTGAGGCAGAGGTGTCCCCCATAAATAACGGTGACGTCGCGGCGGCTCCACGGAACTCCGACGAGATCGTGCTCGATGACGAAGAAGAAGACATCGTTGCTCCGCCCCCCGCACCACTTCCGCCAGCTGAGACGAAGTTCCTCGCGCTCGACAAGTGCCTGCCGAGGCGGCAATTCTTGGAGGTAAGTTCCATGGAGGGAGTGGTAACTCAGCTGAACCTTCTCCTGTAGATCGTCGATGTCCCCGTTCCTGCTTCCTTTACCCCTCCGTCGAACAGCAGTGGACCAGTGCTCGCGTACGACGCGGAGTGGCTCGCGATCACGAGGGCGTTCCATCCGTACATGTCTGTCAACCGTTCGCAAATTCCGTTTCCAGACGAGGCGCAGGCTCGAGAGGCGGTACGGCGCGAGCTGGAGTGGGTGAGGAGTAACGTGCTTGAAGGCAATAGGGAGAAGAGCGTAGATGAGTGTCAGCAGTTCGTGATGACGGCGCCTGCCCCGGGTTCGGAGGGTGCGGCACTGAAGCAACAACGTGAGTGCTCAAGCACGCAGCGTCCCCGCCGCATCGATATTGTCATGGACTCACCAACCCGTGTGCAGCGCCGCATTATCCGAACCCACAGACCGCCGCGTTCTGTGCGATGCTGGGTATCGAGAACAGAATCGACCCGCCGCCGTCTTTGTCTTCCCACCCGTCTCATGTCCCTACTGATTAGGTCTAAAATAATTCTACCGTTCATTCCGCCCTGCGGGATATCTGTCGGGATATCCGTGTCTGCATATGACAGTTCCCTGCACGCCCACCGGTTTGCACTCGACGCACATAAAGTTACTTTGACAGGCCGATGCAGTATCGGATGGTTTACAGAGTGTGTTCGTGTTTCGTGATGACAAGTTTACTCAATGCGATCACTCAACGGCCTTGGCTTGCCACGTCAACTGTCCGGCGCCAACAATTCAACACCGCGCCCATCGCGTGAACGGTCTGCTCGTTCTGAAACAAGTTCGCGATGCAGACCGACTCCTTGCCGAAGCGTGGTGGTGTACTCCGCATCAAATCGTGGCCATCCGAGGGCCGCTCACAAGGCCTGCGAGACATCGCTAAAATCAGCACGACCAATATTGGTGATCTTTGTATTTCTCGTGGTCTCTTTCTCAGAGCACGGCACGGTGAGTACGTTCGCGATAACGCGGGGGTTGTTCTGTGTACCAAAAAATCTTTCTGCGTGCACGACTGACAAGACATGTCCCCTAACTATCTATTGCTGACACCAGAAGTTGATGCTGCGGTCGCATGTCCATCCGCCGCGTCGACTTTCCGTGATACGGTAAGGTTTGAGGACGTTCTTCGCGATCCCCGTGTAATCTGATGCACATTCAATCTAGACGGCCTTCGATGCCAACTCTATGCATGAAGCTTACGCTGCACTGGAGTCTTGAGAGCAGCGCTGGCTCGCATCACCTTCTCCTCCTTGCCCTTTCCAGAAACTTTTGGGCTCGCAGGGCCAGTGGCGGTCCATACTATCGCGTGAGTATCCCGCTGAATAGAGCAGGCCTCGGCATCCATTGCCCAGGAGCATTTTTCTCGTCCGTGTCTTGTCTTGTCTTGTCATGTGGTGTGGGTTGTTGTTCTTCCAGGTCAGGCTGATTGTTGACGCGCCGCAGCTCCCATGAATGTACGGGCACAACTGACAAAGGAAGACGAAGAAGGGAAGAATGGGAGAAAACGTGAGGAGGAACGGGCAGCTTTGGTCTGTTATTGATCACGAACTTGCGGTAAGAATTCGCGCTTCTCGGAGCTGGAGGGGAACCTGAGAGCCACTTGTTTTGATGGGCACGAAAACCGCGGATGAGCGCCTTGCGGCTCAAGCCATTGCCATCTGTCATGACGCCGTTGCGTGCACCGATTATTTATACATGATAATCGGCGTCTCAGTGGAGCGTATGTCGGAAAAATCCGTTCTCTCCCGTGAACGTGTCTCATGTTTTTCACCTGCCTGGATGGATCTTCCTGAATGTCATTTTTACTCCATAGTTTCGTGCAGTGGGGTTCTCCCAATCGCGAGGGTATCAAAGCCATATCATTGGTTCGTCGCACCCCCTAAGGTTTTTAACTTTGTTTTCATGTTTTGCTCGCATCCAATAGCGGCGTCGATAATTTACACGGCGGTAGCTTAATCCTGGGTAAGCGCACAAGGACTATCATTCCGTCTTTTGCGGCACCAAGTCTCATCTGCTGCGCTGTCTAGGTTTTGTCAGTTCCTTCGCGCCAATGCTTGCACGGTACCATCATTCTGCATCTGTATGATCCACGCGTCGGAATGAATCAGCGATTCTAGATCTGGTGTTATTCGGTCGCGCGAGATCACGATGCTATGTACCACACGTTCAAAGTGCCCCGTTCCAATCCAACCTTCTCGATGCTGAAGAATGATATTGAAACTCGCCGCGGCGGAGGAGTGCGAGCTCCGACTGCGCCGCCGCCCAGGTGTACCGTGTGGGGGCGGTGCTGAGCCTCGCACTCGTTGGAACACGCTTCTTCGCTGCAAGAGAGGATGATAAGCTTTGGTCCGGTGATTCTGTGGGACTCTCCTAGCTGGTTCTCGATCCACATACCCTCGCCCGAGTACGCCCGCCGCATCCTTGTTTTTTTTTGTTTGATCCGCTGACCTTGGGGCCGTTTGTTATACATGTTCGATCCGTCCGTTCAACGTCCACCAACGCAAGGCGCGTGGAGTCTCAACCGCTTCTGCGCCGCAAGGTATGTCGGACCATGCGATGCCGCGTCTTCCTCACTCGCGCCGATGGGCTTTGCTCAGCCCAGAGCCACCGTGTGGCGAATCCGGGACGGCTCCAACAGTTGCCCAAGATGCGCCCATGCTCTTCTCATTCCGAGCCACGCGATGCGACGGTCCGTCCTCCATTCAAGTCTCGCGCACAAATCACAGGCAGCCGTTTGGGCCGGTCGTCGCGAGCCAGGCTTGGTGCCGCGTCTTCGTCACTACAGTCCAGAGCCGCGTGCGTGGCGAATCCGGGGACGGCGCCAACGCGCCCAAGCTGCTCGAGATGCGTCCGTGCTCGTGTTACTCCAAGCCACGCGGTGCGACGTTCCGTCCTCTATTCAAGGTTCGTCACTGGGTATGGCGCAGCCCAGAGCCGCGTACGTGGCGAATCCGGGGACGGCTCCAACGAGCACCAATTGCCCAAGATGCGTCCGTGCTCTTGTTACTCCAAGCCACGCGGTGCGACGGTCCGTCCTCCATTCAAAGTTCACGCACAAATCAGAGGCAGCCGTTTGGGCCGGTCGTCGCGAGCCAGGCTTGGTGCCGTGTCTTTCTCGTCACTGCAGCCCAGAGCCGCATACGTGGCGAATCCGGGGACGGCGCCAACGCGCCCAAGCTGCTCGAGATGCGTCCACGCATGTCCGCGCACGCGGTGCGACGTCTTGTCCTGCGTTCAACTCTCGTGCACTACAAATCAGAGGCAGCCATGGGCCGGTCGTTCGACTCAAGACGAACTTGCGAGGCAGGCTAGGTGCGTCGACAGAACCGCCGTGTGGCGAATCCGGGGACGGCTTGAGCGTGATACGTTCTGCTCTCGATGCGCCCGTGCATGTTCATCCCGAGCCCCGTCTCGTCCTCCCATTCAAGTCTCGCGCACAAATCAGAGGCCGGCCATTCGACCGAAGACGCGCGAGCCAGGCCACCGTCATCCTCCGACGCCTTCGTCTTCGTCTTCGCTCTGCCCAGCCCCACTGAGTGGCTGTCCAGGGCCATTTTTTTCTCTGCACAGACGCGGACGCGAATCTGCGCTGCCACCGGGTCGAATCTGGCAGATCGTTTCGCGCGTGCGTTGAGCGGGGGGGGGTATTAAGGGACACTTGGGGTCTCCGCGCGCGCTCATCGATCTCGCTGCATCTGGGCGCCGGGACGCACCGGGCGTCGCCGCACTGGCACCGTGGACGTGCCGGCGGTGAGCAGATGGGCCGTGTCCGCCGGGCCTGGGCCTGCTGCCTGTATCGCGCGCGGTGCGGCTCATCGTTGACCCGCGCACCTATCGCGGCGTATGTTTTTTTTTCTTTTCCTTTCGTTATGGTTCTGCGCACGCCAAGGAGGATGTGTCAGGCGTCGGTACCATCGGGGGGAAAAATTTGCAGGAGCCGTGGGGGGTTCTCGGGGCGTCGCAGCGCCGTCTGGAATGGAGGTGTTTGCTTGTTCGGGCACACTGGCGGGTGGAGGCGCGGGGGCTGGAGCTTGTGGCGTCGGATTGCGGAGGGACGGAGCGGAGCATGTGCTGCTGTCCTCGACGCGGGTCTGGATCTGGAGCGGTCACGGTGGGCGTACATAGACACCCACATCGGCTCGCTGTGCGTGTTCGCGTCGCAAATATTGCTGCGCGATCGCGTCGGTCGGTGGACTACGCTGCGTGCGTGTTCTCACAGTGTGCGTGAACGAAAGGACGTTTCGGGCCAAAGGCGCCACTCGGCGGGGTATCTCTATCTCGGTATGCAGGAATCGAACTCACGTGGGACGTCCGGCACGTCGCCGCGGTGGTGGTCTCACCTGGACAGACGGTATCATCGTATCAGCAAGGCTCGAGAGCAGCTGCGGCTGGAGAACTGTAGAGCCGCTGGGGCGCGACTGGCCATGGCCGTGGATAACAGGCTGAGATAACCCGCGGGCGCTGGTCGCTCAGAACGCGAGTGTCGAAAACGGGATACTGTTCGGCGCGTACGGTGTGGGCGCAAGCGCCTGGCGTCAGAGCGAGGGATTAGGACGATTGAGAGCAGCGTGGGGGGGGAGAGAGCTGGTGCCCCTGTAAATCCGCCCTGATCGACTGGTGCTCGCTGAGCGCGGAGGAAACTCCGTGAACGTGGCGGAGGAAGATGTGGGTGATGTGATGATCAGCCGGTGTTCCAGAGAAAATCTGACGCTGCGGCGACGTGCTCGCTCACGCAGAGGACAAGGATGAGGTCGAATGGAGAACAAGCTTGGGAGGAGCCTGTGGCTTTGCGAGGCTGCGTGCGCGATGGGGGCGGCGCGGTGAGCGGAGGGAAGGGCCGAGAGGCCGGTGGGGCGGGGTTGCTGTTCTGGGAACAAGTGTGGGTGGAGATCGCCGGGGGAGGTTCTTCCGAGGACGCGCGGGACAAGGGCAGCCAAACGGGAGCTGTGCACGTCTGAGCACGACGTGACAGCAGCGGCCAACCTCTCGGAGGACGAGTCGTGCGAGATTGCTGTGTTGGCGGCGAAGCGTGATGGACGGATGGACGCCAGACGGAGGCTCTCGACGGCTGGGCGAATCGCGCCGTTTGCAGAGTTCCGTGCGGACTGGTCTGGGACGCGACGGCGAGCTGCAGACGAGGTCAATTGGGCAGCGCGCCGCGCACTGTCAGAAAAGTTACGCTGTTACCTAACACGAACAGCGTACGCGTAGCACGTGGGGCGGTGAGCTAGAGAGAACATAAGAAAAAACATACGGAGGAGATCGACGTGAGGAAGTCTCGAAGAGTCGGAGCCGGCGTGCCTGGCCCGAGGGAACGGGCAGATTGGGACTCCGCCGTGCCTTAATTGTGAGGTCAGGCACCTTTTAGGATGCTCTGCGTTGGTTCAACTCGGGCCCATGGACAACTCAAAGTCCCCGCAAAACTCGCCCCCTGACGACGACGACGTTCGTCCCGACATGGCTGCCGCTGTCGCCCAGCCCGCCGTCCCGCCCCCGCCCCCCGCCAGCCCCCCCGCCGCGTCCACCGCTGCGCCGGCCGGTGTCGGCGTCAACAAGCGATACCGCGCCGCTCCAGCCAAGACGTTCCAGTGCAGGGGCTACGGCGAATGCAGGATGGTTTTCAGTAGGAGCGAACATCTCGCCAGGCACATCAGGTACGCTCCTCGTCCGCTGCGTTCCCCGCTCTTATTCTCACATCCCCCGCAGGAAACACACCGGGGAGCGGCCGTTCACCTGCCATTGCAGCAAGCAATTTTCCCGGCTCGACAACCTCCGCCAGCATGCGCAGACCGTGCACGCCGACAAGCAGGACCAGAACGAGCGCATGATGCACGAGCTCACCTCGCTCCACGCCAGCATGACCGCCGCCAACAAGGGCGCCCCGGCCCGCGGGAAGCGCGCCCAGCTTCCCGCGCCTGACCCCGCCCTCACCGATGCCGCCGATCACGTCTCGGTCAAGCAGGAGGAGCCCTCGCACGTCCTTCCGCCCGTCCATCAGCGCCCCGGCACCAGCACCGGCTACGAGGGAGGCTATCACACCGGGAGTAGTACATGGCACGTACAGACCTCCGACGTCGACCGCCCCGCCGTCCGCCCCACGAACAGCCATTCCTTTCGTGATCCCGGCCAGTCCTTTCTTGCCCCCACCGCATCCTCGCAGTCACCCGCCTCTGCTACCACAGCAGCGTCAGCCGCCCAGTCACACCAGCACCCCGGCCAGTCCTTTCGGATCCCCTCCTACGCCTCTTTCAACTTCAGTCTCCCCGACATCCCAGTCGGGGTTCGCCCCGGATCTGGCAACGGCCCTGCGGCACACCCCGCCCGATCCCTCCCGCCACTCGCTGCCGTCGTCTCCTCATCCCTCGCTCGCGCCCTCCCTCTCCCGCCACCCCCCTTCCCCGCCCCGCCATCTCACCAGCAGCAGCTCCAGCAACCCCTCACTCACTCCCATGTACTACCCTTACCTACCCCATCCCAATATGGCATCTATGCTCGACGGCCATCCACAGCCACTCGCCCCGGAACCGCTCCCGCTGCATACTACTACCCCGCTCTTTACCCTGCAGGAGCTGGAGCAGTACCGTCAATGGCTCCGCTACGACCAGAACTACCACTTCCACAACCACCCTATGCCCATGGACGTCCCGGCGAGTCACTACGCCGACTCGGAACTGGCGGCGGCGCAGCAGCAGCAGCAGCAGCAGATGCAGGAGGATATGAACGCGAGCCGACGTCTCCCGGGGGAGCATACAACGACTCCCCATTTTCCTTCCACGCTCCCGCCACTGCAACAGCCACGGACGCATCCGCAGCTGCGCACGCGGGCCTCCCAGCCAATCCTCGCAAGCGACCTTATTCGGGATCAGACGATGATGGCCCGCGTGAGCGAGGAGATGCTGGCCGCGCAGTTAGCCGCGGCGGGCGCGTCGGGGAGTTCTACGGCGGGGACTACAACAACAACTACGACTACGGGGCCGATTCTCGGCCCCAGTCTCGGCGCCTCTCCGTCATGGAGCTCTGCAATGACACCGATGCAGATGGAGCCCCCGTTCGACCATTTCTTCCCGTACCCGCAGCAGCAGCAGCAGGCGGGCCCGACTCGCGGCCCACCACCACATCCGGACTCTGCATTGGCGCCGCGCAGCTCGCACTCGTCGATCGGACACCCACTCCCACTCCCGACTCTCCAGGGGCCCATCGCCGCGCAAGCCCACCGGTATTCGCACGAGCTGCACCGCCAGCAGCGCCAGCAGCACGATCGCCTCCGCCAGGCGCAGCGCGAGGGCCGCCGCTCGGAGCAGGCGTATCTCCACCCGCAGCAGTACGTGGACTACCAGCACCCGTGCGCGGGTACGCAGCACGGGCGCCCCAGCCCGAGCCCCAGCATCAGCCCGCATGGACAGCAGGGCCCGGCGGACGCTCACCCGTACTTCCAGGGGCCGGCGCAAGGGTACCCGGATGGGAGTGGGACGACGCTCGGGCGGGATTCCGAGGAGGCGTATCGACACCACGCAGCGATGATGGACGGAGCGTATCACATGATGGACGCGGGGGATCCGCTGGACCTGGTGGGAGTCCCCGGAGTGCAGGGGAGCAGCCCTGCGGGAATGATCAAGTACGAGTCGCCGCTGCCGTTGGAATGAGGGCGTAGCTGCGTCGCGGTGGTATTTATTGCTGCCTGTCCTGTTGGACGCGTTGGCGTTAACAGGTCGGGCGGGATGTGCGTGCGTGCGTTCTTTTCCCGCTCGTTGTCCTTTCTTGCTGTGCTATGCGCGATGCAAAACTTGACGGTCTTGTTCGTCCACTGACTTACACGTATATATTGTATACCACATCTCAGACTCTGACTCTGTTCGTGATCACGCTATAGCTTACATGGTCTATACACAGTTCTAATCCGACACTTTCGTGTTTTCGTGTTACATCTCCTCTTTTTTTTTGGTTTTCCTTGGATCGGGCCCCCGGGTTTTTTGGTTGTAGATACATGCAGTTTTTAAATCGTTTTGGATTGGCTACGACCGTCGCTCGTTTACTTGTCGATATTCTTAGTGTACCGCGGTTACCCTGCGCGCGCGTAGAGTTGCTGGCGTTGTTTACGGTGGGTTGCTGTAGAATAAAATTAATGTCGGAGATGCGAGAGGGAATCCGCTCAGCGTTGACCATGCAAATTGGGTGTCAACACTGTCGCACTGTCTCTTTTACCCCTCTACAGCTATCAAGTCGGAATCCGCGGAGGTTTCAGAGAATATCATCTCTGTGGCGCAGGGAGCACGATGCGATCTGGTAATCGCCCACACAGCCCGATCGTGGACGTCCGCGTGCTACGAACTTCCTCCAACCGTCACGTCGCGAGGCGCCGCCAGCATCCTGATGCGCAACAACACTGGCCGCTGACTAACCCCGCGCGTCGCCCCCGACGTTCTCCTCGTCGACCGACGCGTCACAGGACTGAACACGGCTAACGATAGACGATAGCCCAGAAGAGGCGCTGATGGACATAATATCCTGCGACAGTTGTCGAAGATGATCACTCGCCGGATCACCCTTCCTCCATCAGGAGAGCTTCGTTTTTACTCACCTCCTACCACGCTCGCCGACGCCGACTGGCAGGAGCTCTTCCTGGCCTCTTCTCACCGCCTGGCTATCTGTTTGCCAGCTGTGAGCGCCCTTCTCGCTCACACACCCGACGAGCGACGACCGCGGTTAGCATCTCTGCAGCAGTCCCCAGCCCCATGCCCGCCGCGCCCCCGCGAGAGCCAGAGCACAGGACAGCACGCCGATGAACTTCTCCCTGGACGACTCATCCCCCGAGCTCGTCTACTCTTCCGACTGGGGGATCCAGCCCGCCGCCGACCCCGCCTTCTTCCAGGGCACCTACCACGTCGCCGAGGCCGACGGCGCCACCGTCAACTTCACGTTCTCCGGCTCTGCCGTCGTGCTTTATGGCTCCAAGGGCCCCGGGCACGTACGTCGCACCTCCGCTTGTACGTTCCCTTGCGCTGATGGTCGCTTCGCAGGGCAACTACAGTGTCCAGTATGACAACTTCGTCATGGTGAACATATCCGCGTACGCTTCGGAGATGGAGTACCAGCAGCTCCTCTTCCAGAACGCGTTCGCGCAGGACGCGGAGCACTTTATCTCGTTCGCCGCGCACCTCAGCGCGGAGGGCCCGTGGGTCGACTTTGACTACCTCGAGATCACGCAGGCTGAGAGCAGGTGCGCTTACTGCTTGCTCGGCTTGCGGTCCGGGCTTGGCTGATGAGTGCGGTGCTCAGTGCGAATGGGTCGACGCCGATGCCGACGTCATCAGGGGCTGTGGCGACGCTGGTGCCCCCGTGGATGTATGTTCTTTTTCTTTCTTCCTTCCTTGCTGTGTCTGTGTCTGTCTGGCTGTCTCTATCCCGATGAGCGGCGCGTGAGCGCGTCTCGCGCGTGCTTCTCCCGTGAAGTTCGAATGCGGCTTCGCGCTCAGGTGCCTTTCGTTTTCTGGCGCTCTTCAGCTGGCGCTATGTGCCTAGCGCCAATCGTTCCTACTTTATTCAGGCTTCTCGCACAGCAGATGTGTGTGACGTATCTTGGTGTGAGCTTGTGTTCCTGGCGATTTGGCGCTGTGCTTTTTTTAACGTGCGGTATCGCTTCGTGCCTCCACACCAGTTTCGCGCCGTTCGAGACTGTGTGCCCCCCGTTTCTCGCCGTCAAACCTTTGATTTGCCGCACTGGCTGTGTACGCCTCCCCATTTTCCTCCGGTTCAGCGGTGATGCACATCTGATAGTCCCATCGTTGCTGCTGGCTGCTGGAAGATTTTTTGATCGTCATACATCTTTCCTGTTATGACTCCTGATCTTTATCTTTTCCCGAACATCTTGTATACTCCATCGTCCTTTTACTTTGTTCTTCGTCAGATCCAGGTTTCGTCGCTGACACATCCACAGGGCCAGTCAGTCCACTTCGTCCAGCCAGTCCCCCACCCCGAGTCTGTCCCCCTCGCCCACCACACACGCCTCGCCCACCAACGTCGCCCTCATCCTCGCCGTGCTCTTCGGCGCTCTCTTCGGGCTGCTCCTGCTGGCGCTCGCCGCATACTTCCTCCTCCGCCGCCGCGGCCGCTTCCGCACCCCGCGGCCGCGCCAGTTCCGCTATAGCGTGCCTCTAGCGATGCCCAAGGGCTCGGGGCACATCGCGCACGCGCCCGTCCTCGCCACTGGATCCCTTGCGAACCTGTACGGCGCGTCGCCCCCGCCGGGCGCTGTCGTGTCGAGCGTGGGGGCGGGCGGCGGGGCTGGGTACGTGCACATGTTGCTGCCGATGAGCTCGCCGACGCACGAGGGGAGCTTTGCGAGCGAGCTGGAGGAGAAGATCGTGCGGGAGAAGGAGGTTCAGAAGGAGGAGGAGGAGCGCGGGACTTCGCCGGCCAGTGGCAGTGGCAGCGGCAGCGGGGTCGGGCACACGACGTATACCCGGGGGTTCCTGGCGTCGTCGCCGTTTAAGAAGGCGCATAAGGGCGACGCCGATTCGTTAAGGACGGACTTCTTGCAGGTGTGATCGGAGGGGGGCGGGGGCGGTGTTATGGACGGAAGGCAGAATATCTATCTGTATCTAATTGGTTAGCGGGCGGCGTCGCTTTCGTACGGTAGTACGTGTATTCTTTTTTTCTTCGTGTCGTCGTTTCGCCTTCCTGTTGTTCTTCTGTCGCACACATGTATGCCTCATCGATGTTGGACGAGGACACTGGCTGTTCTTTTCGCCCGCATTACATACCTCAGTACTTCTACATTTTCCTGACTAGCGACTTCCTGCATATTTCAGGAGATGGAATACATACAAGCTTCAGTCATATGTCCAAAATATTTGGGACTACGGATGTCGCGGCGTCATTAGTCGAAACATGCTCCATGGGGTGCAGATAACAAGGGCCTGTAATAATGGAGCAAAACTATTTTCACAACCCAGCCTCAATTATGCGCGTACTACAACATACAGTATGTGAACCTACAGTACTTATCAGAAAAACAGATGTATCGTTTCAGGTGTCGGGTGTCACCCATATATAGCAAGTCACCTTCCTTTTATGGAGTCACCCGAGGTGTTCGAGGTGTCGAGGGTGACCGGGTGACCAGGTGTTCGAGGTGTCGAAGGTGACCGGGTGACCAGGTGACCAGGTGACCGAGGTGTCGGAGGTGACCCGGGGTGACTGTAGGCCGCATACAGATAACTGTAGACCGCATACAGAGTATTGTAGGCCTCTCTAGACCGCATACAGAATGCTATAGGCCACATACAGAATGCTATAGGCCACATACAGAATGCTACAGACCGCATACAGAGCACTACAAACCACTCTAAATCGCATACAAATCACTCTAGATCGCATACAGACCACTCTAGACCGCATACAGAATGCTATAGACCACATACAGACCACTATAGGCCATTATAGACCACATACAGACCACTATAGACTGCGTACAGACCACTATAGACTGCATACAGACCACTATAGATTGCATACAGAATACTGTACACCATGTACAGGTTATGAGGCCTCCTAGGACGAGCGTAGGGTCGCTGAGGGCGGGCAACCCCAACCCTAGGGTGGGGGTTCCCCGAGCGGACGCTAGGGGTACGCGTCCCCTTTGGGAAGGAGGCCATTGCCGAACCCTACGGACCGTGCCGTAGGGCACGTGCGCCATCACTAGCGCTGGTGAGGGGCCTCTGACCTGCGCGGCCGTCGCGGACGACCATGCGTGGAAAGGCACAGGTGGTTGCACAGGCGAGGTGGCGCGGGGGGGGGCGAGAACCACGCTGGCCATGAGTGGCCGTCGTAGACGACCGTTCGAGTTGCATGGAGTGCCAGGTCTGAGTTAAACCTGAGCCGAGGCCAGGAACAGGTGTCCGCTTTGGGAAGGGGACTGTTGCTGCACCCTACGGACCGTGCCGTAGGGCACGTGCACCATCATTAGCGCTGGCTGAGGGGCCCCTGACCTGCGTGGCCGTCGCGGACGACCGTGCGCGGAGAGGCACATATGACTGCACAGGCGAGGTGGCGCGGGGGGGGGCGAAGCACGCTGGCCATGAGTGGCCGTCGTAGACGGCCATTTTCGTTGCAGTGTGCGGAACCTGTCTCACCAAATATGCTTGTGCGCAAAACAAAGAAAAAAGAAAAAAGAGGTGTGAGCCAAGAGATGATCAGTGTGTGCGCATATAAGGATGGAGAGAAAGAATGCGAGTTTGGATGATCATATTCCTTCATCCTCAAACATCCACTTGTGAGCCGCCGGGACGCAGTCCCGAGAAGCGGCGAACAAGGTTAGGTTAGGTTAGGTTAGGTTAGGTTAGGGTTAGGTTAGGGTTAGGTTAGGTTAGGTTAGGTTAGGGTTAGGTTAGGTTAGGGTTAGGTTAGGTTAGGTTAGGTTAGGTTAGGTTAGGTTAGGTTAGGTTAGGTTAGGTTAGGGTTAGGT